GCGGAGTTCATTGCTTCAAAAGGTGACGATGCCTGACTCCTCTTGAATACTGATAGGAATCCCAAAATCCCTGTGGCTACTGGAAAGGGTCCTTGGGTGCCCTGCCTCACCTCGAGAAGCGTCCCTTTGGCCCTGCCAAGCCTCGAAGAGATTCCTGAGGTGTCCCTCGTTACTAGACAGGAGTCCTGACGTCACTGAAGAAACTCGTGTTTTGAAGGGCCATCCCCGCCGTAAGTCGAGAACATACCCCAGGTCCCCGCCGCAACTCGAGAAAAACCATGAGACTTCCCCCTAGAGGCGAGATGAGGCCCCATTCCCCTGCAGTGCATGCAGAGCTATTCCGTGATCCCATTCAAACAAGTCAGGAGCTTCGGCTTGCTTAATGGATCTCGAGACAGTCCCCAAGAACACTGTCACCAGTCTAGACGGACCCTGAGGTCACCCCAGCAACGCAAAGCAGCTCCATGTGCCCCAAATCAACTCGAGATGAGGCCCGATTCCCCTGCATTGACTCCAGAGCCATTCCCCGTTCCCCATTCAACACGACCGGTGGCTCGACTTCCTTCAGGCAACTCCCGAGATGCCCCGAGAACACTGTCCCAAGTCTAGAGGAACACCAACTTCAGCACAGCACCTCGAGGAATGCTCCGTGTACCCCAAATCGTCTCGAGATGCGAGCTGATTCCCTGGCTTAGGCTCAAGACGTATGCCAACTTCCCAGAAGCACCTCAGGAGGAGGCTTCTCTCAGCCATAGGTATGTGGGAGGGACCGCGAGTTTGCTGCCTCAAGGGGAATATACAGCGAGAAGCCCTAACTTGAAAGGAGGCCGGATTTCCTTGCAGTGGCTTGAATACAGGCTCGTCTTTCATCTCACAACATGAAGGGATGTCTGAATCCCCTGTGGAGACCTTAGAGAAAGCCCTAGGTCCCTGCCTCATTTTGACGGAATGCCTCACATCCCGCTGACACCTCGAGAGGCACGCGGAGTTCATTGCTTCAAAAGGTGACGATGCCTGACTCCTCTTGAATACTGATAGGAATCCCAAAATCCCTGTGGCTACTGGAAAGGGTCCTTGGGTGCCCTGCCTCACCTCGAGGAGCGTCCCTTTGGCCCTGCCAAGCCTCGAAGAGATTCCTGAGGTGTCCCTCGTTACTAGACAGGAGTCCTGACGTCACTGAAGAAACTCGTGTTTGGAAGGGCCATCCCCGCCGTAAGTCGAGAACATACCCCAGGTCCCCGCCGCAACTCGAGAAAAACCATGAGACTTCCCCCTAGAGGCGAGATGAGGCCCCATTCCCCTGCAGTGCATGCAGAGCTATTCCGTGATCCCATTCAAACTAGTCAGGAGCTTCGGCTTGCTTAATGGATCTCGAGACAGTCCCCAAGAACACTGTCACCAGTCTAGACGGACCCTGAGGTCACCCCAGCAACGCAAAGCAGCTCCATGTGCCCCAAATCAACTCGAGATGAGGCCCGATTCCCCTGCATTGACTCCAGAGCCATTCCCCGTTCCCCATTCAACACGACCGGTGGCTCGACTTCCTTCAGGCAACTCCAGAGATGCCCCGAGAACACTGTCCCAAGTCTAGAGGAACACCAACTTCAGCACAGCACCTCGAGGAATGCTCCGTGTACACCAAATCGTCTCGAGATGCGAGCTGATTCCCTGGCTTAGGCTCAAGACGTATGCCAACTTCCCAGAAGCACCTCAGGAGGAGGCTTCTCTCAGCAATAGGTATGTGGGAGGGACCCCGAGTTTGCTGCCTCAAGGGGAATATACAGCGAGAAGCCCTAACTTGAAAGGAGGCCGGATTTCCTTGCAGTGGCTTGAATACAGGCTCGTCTTTCATCTCACAACATGAAGGGATGTCTGAATCCCCTGTGGAGACCTTAGAGAAAGCCCTAGGTCCCTGCCTCATTTTGACGGAATGCCTCACATCCCGCTGACACCTCGAGAGGCACGCGGAGTTCATTGCTTCAAAAGGTGACGATGCCTGACTCCTCTTGAATACTGATAGGAATCCCAAAATCCCTGTGGCTACTGGAAAGGGTCCTTGGGTGCCCTGCCTCACCTCGAGAAGCGTCCCTTTGGCCCTGCCAAGCCTCGAAGAGATTCCTGAGGTGTCCCTCGTTACTAGACAGGAGTCCTGACTTCACTGAAGAAACTCGTGTTTTGAAGGGCCATCCCCGCCGTAAGTCGAGAACATACCCCAGGTCCCCGCCGCAACTCGAGAAAAACCATGAGACTTCCCCCTAGAGGCGAGATGAGGCCCCATTCCCCTGCAGTGCATGCAGAGCTATTCCGTGATCCCATTCAAACAAGTCAGGAGCTTCGGCTTGCTTAATGGATCTCGAGACAGTCCCCAAGAACACTGTCACCAGTCTAGACGGACCCTGAGGTCACCCCAGCAACGCAAAGCAGCTCCATGTGCCCCAAATCAACTCGAGATGAGGCCCGATTCCCCTGCATTGACTCCAGAGCCATTCCCCGTTCCCCATTCAACACGACCGGTGGCTCGACTTCCTTCAGGTAACTCCAGAGATGCCCCGAGAACACTGTCCCAAGTCTAGAGGAACACCAACTTCAGCACAGCACCTCGAGGAATGCTCCGTGTACCCCAAATCGTCTCGAGATGCGAGCTGATTCCCTGGCTTAGGCTCAAGACGTATGCCAACTTCCCAGAAGCACCTCAGGAGGAGGCTTCTCTCAGCAATAGGTATGTGGGAGGGACCCCGAGTTTGCTGCCTCAAGGGGAATATACAGCGAGAAGCCCTAACTTGAAAGGAGGCCGGATTTCCTTGCAGTGGCTTGAATACAGGCTCGTCTTTCATCTCACAACATGAAGGGATGTCTGAATCCCCTGTGGAGACCTTAGAGAAAGCCCTAGGTCCCTGCCTCATTTTGACGGAATGCCTCACATCCCGCTGACACCTCGAGAGGCACGCGGAGTTCATTGCTTCAAAAGGTGACGATGCCTGACTCCTCTTGAATACTGATAGGAATCCCAAAATCCCTGTGGCTACTGGAAAGGGTCCTTGGGTGCCCTGCCTCACCTCGAGAAGCGTCCCTTTGGCCCTGCCAAGCCTCGAAGAGATTCCTGAGGTGTCCCTCGTTACTAGACAGGAGTCCTGACGTCACTGAAGAAACTCGTGTTTTGAAGGGCCATCCCCGCCGTAAGTCGAGAACATACCCCAGGTCCCCGCCGCAACTCGAGAAAAACCATGAGACTTCCCCCTAGAGGCGAGATGAGGCCCCATTCCCCTGCAGTGCATGCAGAGCTATTCCGTGATCCCATTCAAACAAGTCAGGAGCTTCGGCTTGCTTAATGGATCTCGAGACAGTCCCCAAGAACACTGTCACCAGTCTAGACGGACCCTGAGGTCACCCCAGCAACGCAAAGCAGCTCCATGTGCCCCAAATCAACTCGAGATGAGGCCCGATTCCCCTGCATTGACTCCAGAGCCATTCCCCGTTCCCCATTCAACACGACCGGTGGCTCGACTTCCTTCAGGCAACTCCAGAGATGCCCCGAGAACACTGTCCCAAGTCTAGAGGAACACCAACTTCAGCACAGCACCTCGAGGAATGCTCCGTGCACCCCAAATCGTCTCGAGATGCGAGCTGATTCCCTGGCTTAGGCTCAAGACGTATGCCAACTTCCCAGAAGCACCTCAGGAGGAGGCTTCTCTCAGCCATAGGTATGTGGGAGGGACCGCGAGTTTGCTGCCTCAAGGGGAATATACAGCGAGAAGCCCTAACTTGAAAGGAGGCCGGATTTCCTTGCAGTGGCTTGAATATAGGCTCGTCTTTCATCTCACAACATGAAGGGATGTCTGAATCCCCTGTGGAGACCTTAGAGAAAGCCCTAGGTCCCTGCCTCATTTTGACGGAATGCCTCACATCCCGCTGACACCTCGAGAGGCACGCGGAGTTCATTGCTTCAAAAGGTGACGATGCCTGACTCCTCTTGAATACTGACAGGAATCCCAAAATCCCTGTGGCTACTGGAAAGGGTCCTTGGGTGCCCTGCCTCACCTCGAGAAGCGTCCCTTTGGCCCTGCCAAGCCTCGAAGAGATTCCTGAGGTTTCCCTCGTTACTAGACAGGAGTCCTGACGTCACTGAAGAAACACGTGTTTTGAAGGGCCATCCCCGCCGTAAGTCGAGAACATACCCCAGGTCCCCGCCGCAACTCGAGAAAAACCATGAGACTTCCCCCTAGAGGCGAGATGAGGCCCCATTCCCCTGCAGTGCATGCAGAGCTATTCCGTGATCCCATTCAAACAAGTCAGGAGCTTCGGCTTGCTTAATGGATCTCGAGACAGTCCCCAAGAACACTGTCACCAGTCTAGACGGACCCTGAGGTCACCCCAGCAACGCAAAGCAGCTCCATGTGCCCCAAATCAACTCGAGATGAGGCCCGATTCCCCTGCATTGACTCCAGAGCCATTCCCCGTTCCCCATTCAACACGACCGGTGGCTCGACTTCCTTCAGGCAACTCCAGAGATGCCCCGAGAACACTGTCCCAAGTCTAGAGGAACACCCACTTCAGCACAGCAACTCGAGGAATGCTCCGTGTACCCCAAATCGTCTCGAGATGCGAGCTGATTCCCTGGCTTAGGCTCAAGACGTATGCCAACTTCCCAGAAGCACCTCAGGAGGAGGCTTCTCTCAGCAATAGGTATGTGGGAGGGACCCCGAGTTTGCTGCCTCAAGGGGAATATACAGCAAGAAGCCCTAACTTGAAAGGAGGCCGGATTTCCTTGCAGTGGCTTGAATACAGGCTCGTCTTTCATCTCACAACATGAAGGGATGTCTGAATCCCCTGTGGAGACCTTAGAGAAAGCCCTAGGTCCCTGCCTCATTTTGACGGAATGCCTCACATCCCGCTGACACCTCGAGAGGCACGCGGAGTTCATTGCTTCAAAAGGTGACGATGCCTGACTCCTCTTGAATACTGATAGGAATCCCAAAATCCCTGTGGCTACTGGAAAGGGTCCTTGGGTGCCCTGCCTCACCTCGAGAAGCGTCCCTTTGGCCCTGCCAAGCCTCGAAGAGATTCCTGAGGTGTCCCTCGTTACTAGACAGGAGTCCTGACGTCACTGAAGAAACTCGTGTTTTGAAGGGCCATCCCCGCCGTAAGTCGAGAACATACCCCAGGTCCCCGCCGCAACTCGAGAAAAACCATGAGACTTCCCCCTAGAGGCGAGATGAGGCCCCATTCCCCTGCAGTGCATGCAGAGCTATTCCGTGATCCCATTCAAACAAGTCAGGAGCTTCGGCTTGCTTAATGGATCTCGAGACAGTCCCCAAGAACACTGTCACCAGTCTAGACGGACCCTGAGGTCACCCCAGCAACGCAAAGCAGCTCCATGTGCCCCAAATCAACTCGAGATGAGGCCCGATTCCCCTGCATTGACTCCAGAGCCATTCCCCGTTCCCCATTCAACACGACCGGTGGCTCGACTTCCTTCAGGCAACTCCAGAGATGCCCCGAGAACACTGTCCCAAGTCTAGAGGAACACCAACTTCAGCACAGCAACTCGAGGAATGCTCCGTGTACCCCAAATCGTCTCGAGATGCGAGCTGATTCCCTGGCTTAGGCTCAAGACGTATGCCAACTTCCCAGAAGCACCTCAGGAGGAGGCTTCTCTCAGCCATAGGTATGTGGGAGGGACCGCGAGTTTGCTGCCTCAAGGGGAATATACAGCGAGAAGCCCTAACTTGAAAGGAGGCCGGATTTCCTTGCAGTGGCTTGAATACAGGCTCGTCTTTCATCTCACAACATGAAGGGATGTCTGAATCCCCTGTGGAGACCTTAGAGAAAGCCCTAGGTCCCTGCCTCATTTTGACGGAATGCCTAACATCCCGCTGACACCTCGAGAGGCACGCGGAGTTCATTGCTTCAAAAGGTGACGATGCCTGACTCCTCTTGAATACTGATAGGAATCCCAAAATCCCTGTGGCTACTGGAAAGGGTCCTTGGGTGCCCTGCCTCACCTCGAGAAGCGTCCCTTTGGCCCTGCCAAGCCTCGAAGAGATTCCTGAGGTGTCCCTCGTTACTAGACAGGAGTCCTGACGTCACTGAAGAAACTCGTGTTTTGAAGGGCCATCCCCGCCGTAAGTCGAGAACATACCCCAGGTCCCCGCCGCAACTCGAGAAAAACCATGAGACTTCCCCCTAGAGGCGAGATGAGGCCCCATTCCCCTGCAGTGCATGCAGAGCTATTCCGTGATCCCATTCAAACAAGTCAGGAGCTTCGGCTTGCTTAATGGATCTCGAGACAGTCCCCAAGAACACTGTCACCAGTCTAGACGGACCCTGAGGTCACCCCAGCAACGCAAAGCAGCTCCATGTGCCCCAAATCAACTCGAGATGAGGCCCGATTCCCCTGCATTGACTCCAGAGCCATTCCCCGTTCCCCATTCAACACGACCGGTGGCTCGACTTCCTTCAGGCAACTCCAGAGATGCCCCGAGAACACTGTCCCAAGTCTAGAGGAACACCAACTTCAGCACAGCAACTCGAGGAATGCTCCGTGTACCCCAAATCGTCTCGAGATGCGAGCTGATTCCCTGGCTTAGGCTCAAGACGTATGCCAACTTCCCAGAAGCACCTCAGGAGGAGGCTTCTCTCAGCAATAGGTATGTGCGAGGGACCCCGAGTTTGCTGCCTCAAGGGGAATATACAGCGAGAAGCCCTAACTTGAAAGGAGGCCGGATTTCCTTGCAGTGGCTTGAATACAGGCTCGTCTTTCATCTCACAACATGAAGGGATGTCTGAATCCCCTGTGGAGACCTTAGAGAAAGCCCTAGGTCCCTGCCTCATTTTGACGGAATGCCTCACATCCCGCTGACACCTCGAGAGGCACGCGGAGTTCATTGCTTCAAAAGGTGACGATGCCTGACTCCTCTTGAATACTGATAGGAATCCCAAAATCCCTGTGGCTACTGGAAAGGGTCCTTGGGTGCCCTGCCTCACCACGAGAAGCGTCCCTTTTGCCCTGCCAAGCCTCGAAGAGATTCCTGAGGTGTCCCTCGTTACTAGACAGGAGTCCTGACGTCACTGAAGAAACTCGTGTTTTGAAGGGCCATCCCCGCCGTAAGTCGAGAACATACCCCAGGTCTCCGCCGCAACTCGAGAAAAACCATGAGACTTCCCCCTAGAGGCGAGATGAGGCCCCATTCCCCTGCAGTGCATGCAGAGCTATTCCGTGATCCCATTCAAACAAGTCAGGAGCTTCGGCTTGCTTAATGGATCTCGAGACAGTCCCCAAGAACACTGTCACCAGTCTAGACGGACCCTGAGGTCACCCCAGCAACGCAAAGCAGCTCCATGTGCCCCAAATCAACTCGAGATGAGGCCCGATTCCCCTGCATTGACTCCAGAGCCATTCCCCGTTCCCCATTCAACACGACCGGTGGCTCGACTTCCTTCAGGTAACTCCAGAGATGCCCCGAGAACACTGTCCCAAGTCTAGAGGAACACCCACTTCAGCACAGCAACTCGAGGAATGCTCCGTGTACCCCAAATCGTCTCGAGATGCGAGCTGATTCCCTGGCTTAGGCTCAAGACGTATGCCAACTTCCCAGAAGCACCTCAGGAGGAGGCTTCTCTCAGCAATAGGTATGTGGGAGGGACCCCGAGTTTGCTGCCTCAAGGGGAATATACAGCGAGAAGCCCTAACTTGAAAGGAGGCCGGATTTCCTTGCAGTGGCTTGAATACAGGCTCGTCTTTCATCTCACAACATGAAGGGATGTCTGAATCCCCTGTGGAGACCTTAGAGAAAGCCCTAGGTCCCTGCCTCATTTTGACGGAATGCCTCACATCCCGCTGACACCTCGAGAGGCACGCGGAGTTCATTGTTTCAAAAGGTGACGATGCCTGACTCCTCTTGAATACTGATAGGAATCCCAAAATCCCTGTGGCTACTGGAAAGGGTCCTTGGGTGCCCTGCCTCACCTCGAGAAGCGTCCCTTTGGCCCTGCCAAGCCTCGAAGAGATTCCTGAGGTGTCCCTCGTTACTAGACAGGAGTCCTGACGTCACTGAAGAAACTCGTGTTTTGAAGGGCCATCCCCGCCGTAAGTCGAGAACATACCCCAGGTCCCCGCCGCAACTCGAGAAAAACCATGAGACTTCCCCCTAGAGGCGAGATGAGGCCCCATTCCCCTGCAGTGCATGCAGAGCTATTCCGTGATCCCATTCAAACAAGTCAGGAGCTTCGGCTTGCTTAATGGATCTCGAGACAGTCCCCAAGAACACTGTCACCAGTCTAGACGGACCCTGAGGTCACCCCAGCAACGCAAAGCAGCTCCATGTGCCCCAAATCAACTCGAGATGAGGCCCGATTCCCCTGCATTGACTCCAGAGCCATTCCCCGTTCCCCATTCAACACGACCGGTGGCTCGACTTCCTTCAGGCAACTCCAGAGATGCCCCGAGAACATTGTCCCAAGTCTAGAGGAACACCAACTTCAGCACAGCAACTCGAGGAATGCTCCGTGTACCCCAAATCGTCTCGAGATGCGAGCTGATTCCCTGGCTTAGGCTCAAGACGTATGCCAACTTCCCAGAAGCACCTCAGGAGGAGGCTTCTCTCAGCCATAGGTATGTGGGAGGGACCGCGAGTTTGTTGCCTCAAGGGGAATATACAGCGAGAAGCCCTAACTTGAAAGGAGGCCGGATTTCCTTGCAGTGGCTTGAATACAGGCTCGTCTTTCATCTCACAACATGAAGGGATGTCTGAATCCCCTGTGGAGACCTTAGAGAAAGCCCCAGGTCCCTGCCTCATTTTGACGGAATGCCTCACATCCCGCTGACACCTCGAGAGGCACGCGGAGTTCATTGCTTCAAAAGGTGACGATGCCTGACTCCTCTTGAATACTGATAGGAATCCCAAAATCCCTGTGGCTACTGGAAAGGGTCCTTGGGTGCCCTGCCTCACCACGAGAAGCGTCCCTTTTGCCCTGCCAAGCCTCGAAGAGATCCCTGAGGTGTCCCTCGTTACTAGACAGGAGTCCTGACGTCACTGAAGAAACTCGTGTTTTGAAGGGCCATCCCCGCCGTAAGTCGAGAACATACCCCAGGTCTCCGCCGCAACTCGAGAAAAACCATGAGACTTCCCCCTAGAGGCGAGATGAGGCCCCATTCCCCTGCAGTGCATGCAGAGCTATTCCGTGATCCCATTCAAACAAGTCAGGAGCTTCGGCTTGCTTAATGGATCTCGAGACAGTCCCCAAGAACACTGTCACCAGTCTAGACGGACCCTGAGGTCACCCCAGCAACGCAAAGCAGCTCCATGTGCCCCAAATCAACTCGAGATGAGGCCCGATTCCCCTGCATTGACTCCAGAGCCATTCCCCGTTCCCCATTCAACACGACCGGTGGCTCGACTTCCTTCAGGCAACTCCAGAGATGCCCCGAGAACACTGTCCCAAGTCTAGAGGAACACCAACTTCAGCACAGCAACTCGAGGAATGCTCCGTGTACCCCAAAACGTCTCGAGATGCGAGCTGATTCCCTGGCTTAGGCTCAAGACGTATGCCAACTTCCCAGAAGCACCTCAGGAGGAGGCTTCTCTCAGCAATAGGTATGTGGGAGGGACCCCGAGTTTGCTGCCTCAAGGGGAATATACAGCGAGAAGCCCTAACTTGAAAGGAGGCCGGATTTCCTTGCAGTGGCTTGAATACAGGCTCGTCTTTCATCTCACAACATGAAGGGATGTCTGAATCCCCTGTGGAGACCTTAGAGAAAGCCCTAGGTCCCTGCCTCATTTTGACGGAATGCCTCACATCCCGCTGACACCTCGAGAGGCACGCGGAGTTCATTGCTTCAAAAGGTGACGATGCCTGACTCCTCTTGAATACTGATAGGAATCCCAAAATCCCTGTGGCTACTGGAAAGGGTCCTTGGGTGCCCTGCCTCACCTCGAGAAGCGTCCCTTTGGCCCTGCCAAGCCTCGAAGAGATTCCTGAGGTGTCCCTCGTTACTAGACAGGAGTCCTGACGTCACTGAAGAAACTCGTGTTTTGAAGGGCCATCCCCGCCGTAAGTCGAGAACATACCCCAGGTCCCCGCCGCAACTCGAGAAAAACCATGAGACTTCCCCCTAGAGGCGAGATGAGGCCCCATTCCCCTGCAGTGCATGCAGAGCTATTCCGTGATCCCATTCAAACAAGTCAGGAGCTTCGGCTTGCTTAATGGATCTCGAGACAGTCCCCAAGAACACTGTCACCAGTCTAGACGGACCCTGAGGTCACCCCAGCAACGCAAAGCAGCTCCATGTGCCCCAAATCAACTCGAGATGAGGCCCGATTCCCCTGCATTGACTCCAGAGCCATTCCCCGTTCCCCATTCAACACGACCGGTGGCTCGACTTCCTTCAGGCAACTCCAGAGATGCCCCGAGAACACTGTCCCAAGTCTAGAGGAACACCAACTTCAGCACAGCACCTCGAGGAATGCTCCGTGTACCCCAAATCGTCTCGAGATGCGAGCTGATTCCCTGGCTTAGGCTCAAGACGTATGCCAACTTCCCAGAAGCACCTCAGGAGGAGGCTTCTCTCAGCAATAGGTATGTGGGAGGGACCCCGAGTTTGCTGCCTCAAGGGGAATATACAGCGAGAAGCCCTAACTTGAAAGGAGGCCGGATTTCCTTGCAGTGGCTTGAATACAGGCTCGTCTTTCATCTCACAACATGAAGGGATGTCTGAATCCCCTGTGGAGACCTTAGAGAAAGCCCTAGGTCCCTGCCTCATTTTGACGGAATGCCTCACATCCCGCTGACACCTCGAGAGGCACGCGGAGTTCATTGCTTCAAAAGGTGACGATGCCTGACTCCTCTTGAATACTGATAGGAATCCCAAAATCCCTGTGGCTACTGGAAAGGGTCCTTGGGTGCCCTGCCTCACCTCGAGAAGCGTCCCTTTGGCCCTGCCAAGCCTCGAAGAGATTCCTGAGGTGTCCCTCGTTACTAGACAGGAGTCCTGACGTCACTGAAGAAACTCGTGTTTTGAAGGGCCATCCCCGCCGTAAGTCGAGAACATACCCCAGGTCCCCGCCGCAACTCGAGAAAAACCATGAGACTTCCCCCTAGAGGCGAGATGAGGCCCCATTCCCCTGCAGTGCATGCAGAGCTATTCCGTGATCCCATTCAAACAAGTCAGGAGCTTCGGCTTGCTTAATGGATCTCGAGACAGTCCCCAAGAACACTGTCACCAGTCTAGACGGACCCTGAGGTCACCCCAGCAACGCAAAGCAGCTCCATGTGCCCCAAATCAACTCGAGATGAGGCCCGATTCCCCTGCATTGACTCCAGAGCCATTCCCCGTTCCCCATTCAACACGACCGGTGGCTCGACTTCCTTCAGGCAACTCCAGAGATGCCCCGAGAACACTGTCCCAAGTCTAGAGGAACACCAACTTCAGCACAGCACCTCGAGGAATGCTCCGTGTACCCCAAATCGTCTCGAGATGCGAGCTGATTCCCTGGCTTAGGCTCAAGACGTATGCCAACTTCCCAGAAGCACCTCAGGAGGAGGCTTCTCTCAGCAATAGGTATGTGGGAGGGACCCCGAGTTTGCTGCCTCAAGGGGAATATACAGCGAGAAGCCCTAACTTGAAAGGAGGCCGGATTTCCTTGCAGTGGCTTGAATACAGGCTCGTCTTTCATCTCACAACATGAAGGGATGTCTGAATCCCCTGTGGAGACCTTAGAGAAAGCCCTAGGTCCCTGCCTCATTTTGACGGAATGCCTCACATCCCGCTGACACCTCGAGAGGCACGCGGAGTTCATTGCTTCAAAAGGTGACGATGCCTGACTCCTCTTGAATACTGATAGGAATCCCAAAATCCCTGTGGCTACTGGAAAGGGTCCTTGGGTGCCCTGCCTCACCTCGAGAAGCGTCCCTTTGGCCCTGCCAAGCCTCGAAGAGATTCCTGAGGTGTCCCTCGTTACTAGACAGGAGTCCTGACGTCACTGAAGAAACTCGTGTTTTGAAGGGCCATCCCCGCCGTAAGTCGAGAACATACCCCAGGTCCCCGCCGCAACTCGAGAAAAACCATGAGACTTCCCCCTAGAGGCGAGATGAGGCCCCATTCCCCTGCAGTGCATGCAGAGCTATTCCGTGATCCCATTCAAACAAGTCAGGAGCTTCGGCTTGCTTAATGGATCTCGAGACAGTCCCCAAGAACACTGTCACCAGTCTAGACGGACCCTGAGGTCACCCCAGCAACGCAAAGCAGCTCCATGTGCCCCAAATCAACTCGAGATGAGGCCCGATTACCCTGCATTGACTCCAGAGCCATTCCCCGTTCCCCATTCAACACGACCGGTGGCTCGACTTCCTTCAGGCAACTCCAGAGATGCCCCGAGAACACTGTCCCAAGTCTAGAGGAACACCAACTTCAGCACAGCAACTCGAGGAATGCTCCGTGTACCCCAAATCGTCTCGAGATGCGAGCTGATTCCCTGGCTTAGGCTCAAGACGTATGCCAACTTCCCAGAAGCACCTCAGGAGGAGGCTTCTCTCAGCCATAGGTATGTGGGAGGGACCGCGAGTTTGCTGCCTCAAGGGGAATATACAGCGAGAAGCCCTAACTTAAAAGGAGGCCGGATTTCCTTGCAGTGGCTTGAATACAGGCTCGTGTTTCATCTCACAACATGAAGGGATGTCTGAATCCCCTGTGGAGACCTTAGAGAAAGCCCTAGGTCCCTGCCTCATTTTGACGGAATGCCTCACATCCCGCTGACACCTCGAGAGGCACGCGGAGTTCATTTCTTCAAAAGGTGACGATGCCTGACTCCTCTTGAATACTGATAGGAATCCCAAAATCCCTGCGGCTACTGGAAAGGGTCCTTGGGTGCCCTGCCTCACCTCGAGAAGCGTCCCTTTGGCCCTGCCAAGCCTCGAAGAGATTCCTGAGGTGTCCCTCGTTACTAGACAGGAGTCCTGACGTCACTGAAGAAACTCGTGTTTTGAAGGGCCATCCCCGCCGTAAGTCGAGAACATACCCCAGGTCACTGCCGCAACTCGAGTAAAACCATGAGACTTCCCCCTAGAGGCGAGATGAGGCCCCATTCCCCTGCAGTGCATGCAGAGCTATTCCGTGATCCCATTCAAACAAGTCAGGAGCTTCGGCTTGCTTAATGGATCTCGAGACAGTCCCCAAGAACACTGTCACCAGTCTAGACGGACCCTGAGGTCACCCCAGCAACGCAAAGCAGCTCCATGTGCCCCAAATCAACTCGAGATGAGGCCCGATTCCCCTGCATTGACTCCAGAGCCATTCCCCGTTCCCCATTCAACACGACCGGTGGCTCGACTTCCTTCAGGCAACTCCAGAGATGCCCCGAGAACACTGTCCCAAGTCTAGAGGAACACCAACTTCAGCACAGCAACTCGAGGAATGCTCCGTGTACCCCAAATCGTCTCGAGATGCGAGCTGATTCCCTGGCTTAGGCTCAAGACGTATGCCAACTTCCCAGAAGCACCTCAGGAGGAGGCTTCTCTCAGCAATAGGTATGTGGGAGGGACCCCGAGTTTGCTGCCTCAAGGGGAATATACAGCGAGAAGCCCTAACTTGAAAGGAGGCCGGATTTCCTTGCAGTGGCTTGAATACAGGCTCGTCTTTCATCTCACAACATGAAGGGATGTCTGAATCCCCTGTGGAGACCTTAGAGAAAGCCCTAGGTCCCTGCCTCATTTTGACGGAATGCCTCACATCCCGCTGACACCTCGAGAGGCACGCGGAGTTCATTGCTTCAAAAGGTGACGATGCCTGACTCCTCTTGAATACTGATAGGAATCCCAAAATCCCTGTGGCTACTGGAAAGGGTCCTTGGGTGCCCTGCCTCACCTCGAGAAGCGTCCCTTTGGCCCTGCCAAGCCTCGAAGAGATTCCTGAGGTGTCCCTCGTTACTAGACAGGAGTCCTGACGTCACTGAAGAAACTCGTGTTTTGAAGGGCCATCCCCGCCGTAAGTCGAGAACATACCCCAGGTCCCCGCCGCAACTCGAGAAAAACCATGAGACTTCCCCCTAGAGGCGAGATGAGGCCCCATTCCCCTGCAGTGCATGCAGAGCTATTCCGTGATCCCATTCAAACAAGTCAGGAGCTTCGGCTTGCTTAATGGATCTCGAGACAGTCCCCAAGAAAACTGTCACCAGTCTAGACGGACCCTGAGGTCACCCCAGCAACGCAAAGCAGCTCCATGTGCCCCAAATCAACTCGAGATGAGGCCCGATTCCCCTGCATTGACTCCAGAGCCATTCCCCGTTCCCCATTCAACACGACCGGTGGCTCGACTTCCTTCAGGCAACTCCAGAGATGCCCCGAGAACACTGTCCCAAGTCTAGAGGAACACCAACTTCAGCACAGCAACTCGAGGAATGCTCCGTGTACCCCAAATCGTCTCGAGATGCGAGCTGATTCCCTGGCTTAGGCTCAAGACGTATGCCAACTTCCCAGAAGCACCTCAGGAGGAGGCTTCTCTCAGCAATAGGTATGTGCGAGGGACCCCGAGTTTGCTGCCTCAAGGGGAATATACAGCGAGAAGCCCTAACTTGAAAGGAGGCCGGATTTCCTTGCAGTGGCTTGAATACAGGCTCGTCTTTCATCTCACAACATGAAGGGATGTCTGAATCCCCTGTGGAGACCTTAGAGAAAGCCCTAGGTCCCTGCCTCATTTTGACGGAATGCCTCACATCCCGCTGACACCTCGAGAGGCACGCGGAGTTCATTGCTTCAAAAGGTGACGATGCCTGACTCCTCTTGAATACTGATAGGAATCCCAAAATCCCTGTGGCTACTGGAAAGGGTCCTTGGGTGCCCTGCCTCACCTCGAGAAGCGTCCCTTTGGCCCTGCCAAGCCTCGAAGAGATTCCTGAGGTGTCCCTCGTTACTAGACAGGAGTCCTGACGTCACTGAAGAAACTCGTGTTTTGAAGGGCCATCCCCGCCGTAAGTCGAGAACATACCCCAGGTCCCCGCCACAACTCGAGAAAAACCATGAGACTTCCCCCTAGAGGCGAGATGAGGCCCCATTCCCCTGCAGTGCATGCAGAGCTATTCCGTGATCCCATTCAAACAAGTCAGGAGCTTCAGCTTGCTTAATGGATCTCGAGACAGTCCCCAAGAACACTGTCACCAGTCTAGACGGACCCTGAGGTCACCCCAGCAACGCAAAGCAGCTCCATGTGCCCCAAATCAACTCGAGATGAGGCCCGATTCCCCTGCATTGACTCCAGAGCCATTCCCCGTTCCCCATTCAACACGACCGGTGGCTCGACTTCCTTCAGGCAACTCCAGAGATGCCCCGAGAACACTGTCCCAAGTCTAGAGGAACACCAACTTCAGCACAGCAACTCGAGGAATGCTCCGTGTACCCCAAATCGTCTCGAGATGCGAGCTGATTCCCTGGCTTAGGCTCAAGACGTATGCCAACTTCCCAGAAGCACCTCAGGAGGAGGCATCTCTCAGCAATAGGTATGTGGGAGGGACCCCGAGTTTGCTGCCTCAAGGGGAATATACAGCGAGAAGCCCTAACTTGAAAGGAGGCCGGATTTCCTTGCAGTGGCTTCAATACAGGCTCGTCTTTCATCTCACAACATGAAGGGATGTCTGAATCCCCTGTGGAGACCTTAGAGAAAGCCCTAGGTCCCTGCCTCATTTTGACGGAATGCCTCACATCCCGCTGACACCTCGAGAGGCACGCGGAGTTCATTGCTTCAAAAGGTGACGATGCCTGACTCCTCTTGAATACTGATAGGAATCCCAAAATCCCTGTGGCTACTGGAAAGGGTCCTTGGGTGCCCTGCCTCACCTCGAGAAGCGTCCCTTTGGCCCTGCCAAGCCTCGAAGAGATTCCTGAGGTGTCCCTCGTTACTAGACAGGAGTCCTGACGTCACTGAAGAAACTCCTGTTTTGAAGGGCCATCCCCGCCGTAAGTCGAGAACATACCCCAGGTCCCCGCCGCAACTCGAGAAAAACCATGAGACTTCCCCCTAGAGGCGAGATGAGGCCCCATTCCCCTGCAGTGCATGCAGAGCTATTCCGTGATCCCATTCAAACAAGTCAGGAGCTTCGGCTTGCTTAATGGATCTCGAGACAGTCCCCAAGAACACTGTCACCAGTCTAGACGGACCCTGAGGTCACCCCAGCAACGCAAAGCAGCTCCATGTGCCCCAAATCAACTCGAGATGAGGCCCGATTCCCCTGCATTGACTCCAGAGCCATTCCCCGTTCCCCATTCAACACGACCGGTGGCTCGACTTCCTTCAGGCAACTCCAGAGATGCCCCGAGAACACTGTCCCAAGTCTAGAGGAACACCCACTTCAGCACAGCACCTCGAGGAATGCTCCGTGTACCCCAAATCGTCTCGAGATGCGAGCTGATTCAGTGGCTTAGGCTCAAGACGTATGCCAACTTCCCAGAAGCACCTCAGGAGGAGGCTTCTCTCAGCAATAGGTATGTGGGAGGGACCCCGAGTTTGCTGCCTCAAGGGGAATATACAGCGAGAAGCCCTAACTTGAAAGGAGGCCGGATTTCCTTGCAGTGGCTTGAATACAGGCTTGTCTTTCATCTCACAACATGAAGGGATGTCTGAATCCCCTGTGGAGACCTTAGAGAAAGCCCTAGGTCCCTGCCTCATTTTGACGGAATGCCTCACATCCCGCTGACACCTCGAGAGGCACGCGGAGTTCATTGCTTCAAAAGGTGACGATGCCTGACTCCTCTTGAATACTGATAGGAATCCCAAAATCCCTGTGGCTACTGGAAAGGGTCCTTGGGTGCCCTGCCTCACCTCGAGAAGCGTCCCTTTGGCCCTGCCAAGCCTCGAAGAGATTCCTGAGGTGTCCCTCGTTACTAGACAGGAGTCCTGACGTCACTGAAGAAACTCGTGTTTTGAAGGGCCATCCCCGCCGTAAGTCGAGAACATACCCCAGGTCCCCGCCGCAACTCGAGAAAAACCATGAGACTTCCCCCTAGAGGCGAGATGAGGCCCCATTCCCCTGCAGTGCATGCAGAGCTATTCCGTGATCCCATTCAAACAAGTCAGGAGCTTCGGCTTGCTTAATGGATCTCGAGACAGTCCCCAAGAACACTGTCACCAGTCTAGACGGACCCTGAGGTCACCCCAGCAACGCAAAGCAGCTCCATGTGCCCCAAATCAACTCGAGATGAGGCCCGATTCCCCTGCATTGACTCCAGAGCCATTCCCCGTTCCCCATTCAACACGACCGGTGGCTCGACTTCCTTCAGGCAACTCCAGAGATGCCCCGAGAACACTGTCCCAAGTCTAGAGGAACACCAACTTCAGCACAGCACCTCGAGGAATGCTCCGTGTACCCCAAATCGTCTCGAGATGCGAGCTGATTCCCTGGCTTAGGCTCAAGACGTATGCCAACTTCCCAGAAGCACCTCAGGAGGAGGCTTCTCTCAGCAATAGGTATGTGGGAGGGACCCCGAGTTTGCTGCCTCAAGGGGAATATACAGCGAGAAGCCCTAACTTGAAAGGAGGCCGGATTTCCTTGCAGTGGCTTGAATACAGGCTCGTCTTTCATCTCACAACATGAAGGGATGTCTGAATCCCCTGTGGAGACCTTAGAGAAAGCCCTAGGTCCCTGCCTCATTTTGACGGAATGCCTCACATCCCGCTGACACCTCGAGAGGCACGCGGAGTTCATTGCTTCAAAAGGTGACGATGCCTGACTCCTCTTGAATACTGATAGGAATCCCAAAATCCCTGTGGCTACTGGAAAGGGTCCTTGGGTGCCCTGCCTCACCTCGAGAAGCATCCCTTTGGCACTGCCAAGCCTCGAAGAGATTCCTGAGGTGTCCCTCGTTACTAGACAGGAGTCCTGACGTCACTGAAGAAACTCGTGTTTTGAAGGGCCATCCCCGCCGTAAGTCGAGAACATACCCCAGGTTCCCGCCGCAACTCGAGAAAAACCATGAGACTTCCCCCTAGAGGCGAGATGAGGCCCCATTCCCCTGCAGTGCATGCAGAGCTATTCCGTGATCCCATTCAAACAAGTCAGGAGCTTCGACTTGCTTAATGGATCTCGAGACAGTCCCCAAGATCACTGTCACCAGTCTAGACGGACCCTGAGGTCACCCCAGCAACGCAAAGCAGCTCCATGTGCCCGAAATCAACTCGAGATGAGGCCCGATTCCCCTGCATTGACTCCAGAGCCATTCCCCGTTCCCCATTCAACACGACCGGTGGCTCGACTTCCTTCAGGCAACTCCAGAGATGCCCCGAGAACACTGTCCCAAGTCTAGAGGAACACCAACTTCAGCACAGCAGCTCGAGGTATGCTCCGTGTACCCCAAATCGTCTCGAGATGCGAGCTGATTCCCTGGCTTAGGCTCAAGACGTATGCCAACTTCCCAGAAGCACCTCAGGAGGAGGCTTCTCTCAGCTATAGGTATGTGGGAGGGACCCCGAGTTTGCTGCCTCAAGGGGAATATACAGCGAGAAGCCCTAACTTGAAAGGAGGCCGGATTTCCTTGCAGTGGCTTGAATACAGGCTCGTCTTTCATCTCACAACATGAAGGGATGTCTGAATCCCCTGTGGAGACCTTAGAGAAAGCCCTAGGTCCCTGCCTCATTTTGACGGAATGCCTCACATCCCGCTGACACCTCGAGAGGCACGCGGAGTTCATTGCTTCAAAAGGTGACGATGCCTGACTCCTCTTGAATACTGATAGGAATCCCAAAATCCCTGTGGCAACTGGAAAGGGTCCTTGGGTGCCCTGCCTCACCTCGAGAAGCGTCCCTTTGGCCCTGCCAAGCCTCGAAGAGATTCCTGAGGTGTCCCTCGTTACTAGACAGGAGTCCTGACGTCACTGAAGAAACTCGTGTTTTGAAGGGCCATCCCCGCCGTAAGTCGAGAACATACCCCAGGTCCCCGCCGCAACTCGAGAAAAACCATGAGACTTCCCTCTAGAGGCGAGATGAGGCCCCATTCCCCTGCAGTGCATGCAGAGCTATTCCGTGATCCCATTCAAACAAGTCAGGAGCTTCGACTTGCTTAATGGATCTCGAGACAGTCCCCAAGATCACTGTCACCAGTCTAGACGGACCCTGAGGTCACCCCAGCAACGCAAAGCAGCTCCATGTGCCCCAAATCAACTCGAGATGAGGCCCGATTCCCCTGCATTGACTCCAGAGCAATTCCCCGTTCCCCATTCAACACGACCGGTGGCTCGACTTTCTTCAGGCAACTCCAGAGATGCCCCGAGAACACTGTCCCAAGTCTAGAGGAACACCAACTTCAGCACAGCAGCTCGAGGTATGCTCCGTGTACCCCAAATCGTCTCGAGATGCGAGCTGATTCCCTGGCTTAGGCTCAAGACGTATGCCAACTTCCCAGAAGCACCTCAGGAGGAGGCTTCTCTCAGCAATAGGTATGTGCGAGGGACCCCGAGTTTGCTGCCTCAAGGGGAATATACAGCGAGAAGCCCTAACTTGAAAGGAGGACGGATTTCCTTGCAGTGGCTTGAATACAGGCTCGTCTTTCATCTCACAACATGAAGGGATGTCTGAATCCCCTGTGGAGACCTTAGAGAAAGCCCTAGGACCCTGCCTCATTTTGACGGAATGCCTCACATCCCGCTGACACCTCGAGAGGCACGCGGAGTTCATTGCTTCAAAAGGTGACGATGCCTGACTCCTCTTGAATACTGATAGGAATCCCAAAATCCCTGTGGCTACTGGAAAGGGTCCTTGGGTGCCCTGCCTCACCTCGAGAAGCGTCCCTTTGGCCCTGCCAAGCCTCGAAGAGATTCCTGAGGTGTCCCTCGTTACTAGACAGGAGTCCTGACGTCACTGAAGAAACTCGTGTTTTGAAGGGCCATCCCCGCCGTAAGTCGAGAACATACCCCAGGTCCCCGCCGCAACTCGAGAAAAACCATGAGACTTCCCCCTAGAGGCGAGATGAGGCCCCATTCCCCTGCAGTGCATGCAGAGCTATTCCGTGATCCCATTCAAACAAGTCAGGAGCTTCGACTTGCTTAATGGATCTCGAGACAGTCCCCAAGATCACTGTCACCAGTCTAGACGGACCCTGAGGTCACCCCAGCAACGCAAAGCAGCTCCATGTGCCCCAAATCAACTCGAGATGAGGCCCGATTCCCCTGCATTGACTCCAGAGCAATTCCCCGTTCCCCATTCAACACGACCGGTGGCTCGACTTCCTTCAGGCAACTCCAGAGATGCCCCGAGAACACTGTCCCAAGTCTAGAGGAACACCAACTTCAGCACAGCAGCTCGAGGTATGCTCCATGTACCCCAAATCGTCTCGAGATGCGAGCTGATTCCCTGGCTTAGGCTCAAGACGTATGCCAACTTCCCAGAAGCACCTCAGGAGGAGGCTTCTCTCAGCAATAGGTATGTGGGAGGGACCCCGAGTTTGCTGCCTCAAGGGGAATATACAGCGAGAAGCCCTAACTTGAAAGGAGGCCGGATTTCCTTGCAGTGGCTTGAATACAGGCTCGTCTTTCATCTCACAACATGAAGGGATGTCTGAATCCCCTGTGGAGACCTTAGAGAAAGCCCTAGGACCCTGCCTCATTTTGACGGAATGCCTCACATCCCGCTGACACCTCGAGAGGCACGCGGAGTTCATTGCTTCAAAAGGTGACGATGCCTGACTCCTCTTGAATACTGATAGGAATCCCAAAATCCCTGTGGCTACTGGAAAGGGTCCTTGGGTGCCCTGCCTCACCTCGAGAAGCGTCCCTTTGGCCCTGCCAAGCCTCGAAGAGATTCCTGAGGTGTCCCTCGTTACTAGACAGGAGTCCTGACGTCACTGAAGAAACTCGTGTTTTGAAGGGCCATCCCCGCCGTAAGTCGAGAACATACCCCAGGTCCCCGCCGCAACTCGAGAAAAACCATGAGACTTCCCCCTAGAGGCGAGATGAGGCCCCATTCCCCTGCAGTGCATGCAGAGCTATTCCGTGATCCCATTCAAACAAGTCAGGAACTTCGACTTGCTTAATGGATATCGAGACAGTCCCCAAGAACACTGTCACCAGTCTAGACGGACCCTGAGGTCACCCCAGCAACGCAAAGCAGCTCCATGTGCCCCAAATCAACTCGAGATGAGGCCCGATTCCCCTGCATTGACTCCAGAGCCATTCCCCGTTCCCCATTCAACACGACCGGTGGCTCGACTTCCTTCAGGCAACTCCAGAGATGCCCCGAGAACACTGTCCCAAGTCTAGAGGAACACCAACTTCAGCACAGCACCTCGAGGAATACTCCGTGTACCCCAAATCGTCTCGAGATGCGAGCTGATTCCCTGGCTTAGGCTCAAGACGTATGCCAGCTTCCCAGAAGCACCTCAGGAGGAGGCTTCTCTCAGCAATAGGTATGTGGGAGGGACCCCGAGTTTGCTGCCTCAAGGGGAATATACAGCGAGAAGCCCTAACTTGAAAGGAGGCCGGATTTCCTTGCAGTGGCTTGAATACAGGCTCGTCTTTCATCTCACAACATGAAGGGATGTCTGAATCCCCTGTGGAGACCTTAGAGAAAGCCCTAGGTCCCTGCCTCATTTTCACGGAATGCCTCACATCCCGCTGACACCTCGAGAGGCACGCGGAGTTCATTGCTTCAAAAGGTGACGATGCCTGACTCCTCTTGAATACTGATAGGAATCCCAAAATCCCTGCGGCTACTGGAAAGGGTCCTTGGGTGCCCTTCCTCACCTCGAGAAGAGTCCATTTGGCCCTGCCAAGCCTCGAAGAGATTCCTGAGGTGTCCCTCGTTACTAGACAGGAGTCCTGACGTCACTGAAGAAACTCGTGTTTTGAAGGGCCATCCCCGCCGTAAGTCGAGAACATACCCCAGGTCCCCGCCGCAACTCGAGAAAAACCATGAGACTTCCCTCTAGAGGCGAGATGAGGCCCCATTCACCTGCAGTGCATGCAGAGCTATTCCGTGATCCCATTCAAACAAGTCAGGAGCTTCGACTTGCTTAATGGATCTCGAGACAGTCCCCAGGAACACTGTCACCAGTCTAGACGGACCCTGAGGTCACCCCAGCAACGCAAAGCATCTCCATGTGCCCCAAATCAACCCGAGATGAGGCCCGATTCCCCTGCATTGACTCCAGAGCCATTCCCCGTTCCCCATTCAACACGACCGGTGGCTCGACTTCCTTCAGGCAACTCCAGAGATGCCCCGAGAACACTGTCCCAAGTCTAGAGGAACACCAACTTCAGCACAGCACCTCGAGGAATGCTCCGTGTACCCCAAATCGTCTCGAGATGCGAGCTGATTCCCTGGCTTAGGCTCAAGACGTATGCCAACTTCCCAGAAGCACCTCAGGAGGAGGCTTCTCTCAGCAATAGGTATGTGGGAGGGACCCCGAGTTTGCTGCCTCAAGGGGAATATACAGCGAGAAGCCCTAACTTGAAAGAAGGCCGGATTTCCTTGCAGTGGCTTGAATACAGGCTCGTCTTTCATCTCACAACATGAAGGGATGTCTGAATCCCCTGTGGAGACCTTAGAGAAAGCCCTAGGTCCCTGCCTCATTTTGACGGAATGCCTCACATCCCGCTGACACCTCGAGAGGCACGCGGAGTTCATTGCTTCAAAAGGTGACGATGCCTGACTCCTCTTGAATACTGATAGGAATCCGAAAATCCCTGTGGCTACTGGAAAGGGTCCTTGGGTGCCCTGCCTCACCTCGAGAAGCGTCCCTTTTGCCCTGCCAAGCCTCGAAGAGATTCCTGATGTGTCCCTCGTTACTAGACAGGAGTCCTGACATCACTGAAGAAACTCGTGTTTTGAAGGGCCATCCCCGCCGTAAGTCGAGAACATACCCCAGGTCCCCGCCGCAACTCGAGAAAAACCATGAGACTTCCCCCTAGAGGCGAGATGAGGCCCCATTCCCCTGCAGTGCATGCAGAGCTATTCCGTGATCCCATTCAAACAAGTCAGGAGCTTCGACTTGCTTAATGGATGTCGAGACAGTCCCCAAGATCACTGTCACCAGTCTAGACGCACCCTGAGGTCACCCCAGCAACGCAAAGCAGCTCCATGTGCCCCAAATCAACTCGAGATGAGGCCCGATTCCCCTGCATTGACTCCAGAGCCATTCCCCGTTCCCCATTCAACACGACCGGTGGCTCGACTTCCTTCAGGCAACTCCAGAGATGCCCCGAGAACACTGTCCCAAGTCTAGAGGAACACCAACTTCAGCACAGCACCTCGAGGTATGCTCCGTGTACCCCAAATCGTCTCGAGATGCGAGCTGATCCCCTGGCTTAGGCTCAAGACGTATGCCAACTTCCCAGAAGCACCTCAGGAGGAGGCTTCTCTCAGCAATAGGTATGTGGGAGGGACCCCGAGTTTGCTGCCTCAAGGGGAATATACAGCGAGAAGCCCTAACTTGAAAGGAGGCCGGATTTCCTTGCAGTGGCTTGAATACAGGCTCGTCTTTCATCTCACAGAATGAAGGGATGTCTGAATCCCCTGTGGAGACCTTAGAGAAAGCCCTAGGTCCCTGCCTCATTTTGACGGAATGCCTCACATCCCGCTGACACCTCGAGAGGCACGCGGAGTTCATTGCTTCAAAAGGTGACGATGCCTGACTCCTCTTGAATACTGATAGGAATCCCAAAATCCCTGTGGCTACTGGAAAGGGTCCTTGGGTGCCCTGCCTCACCTCGAGAAGCGTCCCTTTGGCCCTGCCAAGCCTCGAATAGATTCCTGAGGTGTCCCTCGTTACTAGACAGGAGTCCTGACGTCACTGAAGAAACTCGTGTTTTGAAGGGCCATCCCCGCCGTAAGTCGAGAACATACCCCAGGTCCCCGCCGCAACTCGAGAAAAACCATGAGACTTCCCCTTAGAGGCGAGATGAGGCCCCATTCCCCTGCAGTGCATGCAGAGCTATTCCGTGATCCCATTCAAACAAGTCAGGAGCTTCGACTTGCTTAATGGATCTCGAGACAGTCCCCAAGAACACTGTCACCAGTCTAGACGGACCCTGAGGTCACCCCAGCAACGCAAAGCAGCTCCATGTGCCCCAAATCAACTCGAGATGAGGCCCGATTCCCCTGCATTGACTCCAGAGCCATTCCCCGTTCCCCATTCAACACGACCGGTGGCTCGACTTCCTTCAGGCAACTCCAGAGATGCCCCGAGAACACTGTCCCAAGTCTAGAGGAACACCAACTTCAGCACAGCACCTCGAGGAATGCTCCGTGTACCCCAAATCGTCTCGAGATGCGAGCTGATTCCCTGGCTTAGGCTCAAGACGTATGCCAGCTTCCCCGAATCACCTCAGGAGGAGGCTTCTCTCAGCAATAGGTATGTGGGAGGGACCCCGAGTTTGCTGCCTCAAGGGGAATATACAGCGAGAAGCCCTAACTTGAAAGGAGGCCGGATTTCCTTGCAGTGGCTTGAATACAGGCTCGTCTTTCATCTCACAACATGAAGGGATGTCTGAACCCCCTGTGGAGACCTTAGAGAAAGCCCTAGGTCCCTGCCTCATTTTGATGGAATGCCTCACATCCCGCTGACACCTCGAGAGGCACGCGGAGTTCATTGCTTCAAAAGGTGACGATGCCTGACTCCTCTTGAATACTGATAGGAATCCCAAAATCCCTGCGGCTACTGGAAAGGGTCCTTGGGTGCCCTGCCTCACCTCGAGAAGCGTCCCTTTGGCCCTGCCAAGCCTCGAAGAGATTCCTGAGGTGTCCCTCGTTACTAGACAGGAGTCCTGACGTCACTGAAGAAACTCGTGTTTTGAAGGGCCATCCCCGCCGTAAGTCGAGAACATACCCCAGGTCCCCGCCGCAACTCGAGAAAAATCATGAGACTTCCCCCTAGAGGCGAGATGAGGCCCCATTCCCCTGCAGTGCATGCAGAGCTATTCCGTGATCCCATTCAAACAAGTCAGGAGCTTCGACTTGCTTAATGGATCTCGAGACAGTCCCCAGGAACACTGTCACCAGTCTAGACGGACCCTGAGGTCACCCCAGCAACGCAAAGCATCTCCATGTGCCCCAAATCAACTCGAGATGAGGCCCGATTCCCCTGCATTGACTCCAGAGCCATTCCCCGTTCCCCATTCAACACGACCGGTGGCTCGACTTCCTTCAGGCAACTCCAGAGATGCCCGAGAACACTGTCCCAAGTCTAGAGGAACACCAACTTCAGCACAGCACCTCGAGGAATGCTCCGTGTACCCCAAATCGTCTCGAGATGCGAGCTGATTCCCTGGCTTAGGCTCAAGACGTATGCCAACTTCCCAGAAGCACCTCAGGAGGAGGTTTCTCTCAGCAATAGGTATGTGGGAGGGACCCCGAGTTTGCTGCCTCAAGGGGAATATACAGCGAGAAGCCCTAACTTGAAAGGAGGCCGGATTTCCTTGCAGTGGCTTGAATACAGGCTCGTCTTTCATCTCACAACATGAAGGGATGTCTGAATCCCCTGTGGAGACCTTAGAGAAAGCCCTAGGTCCCTGCCTCATTTTGACGGAATGCCTCACATCCCGCTGACACCTCGAGAGGCACGCGGAGTTCATTGCTTCAGAAGGTGACGATGCCTGACTCCTCTTGAATACTGATAGGAATCCCAAAATCCCTGTGGCTACTGGAAAGGGTCCTTGGGTGCCCTGCCTCACCTCGAGAAGCGTCCCTTTGGCCCTGCCAAGCCTCGAAGAGATTCCTGAGGTGTCCCTCGTTACTAGACAGGAGTCCTGACGTCACTGAAGAAACTCGTGTTTGGAAGGGCCATCCCCGCCGTAAGTCGAGAACATACCCCAGGTCCCCGCCGCAAATCGAGAAAAACCATGAGACTTCCCCCTAGAGGCGAGATGAGGCCCCATTCCCCTGCAGTGCATGCAGAGCTATTCCGTGATCCCATTCAAACAAGTCAGGAACTTCGACTTGCTTAATGGATCTCGAGACAGTCCCCAAGATCACTGTCACCAGTCTAGACGGACCCTGAGGTCACCCCAGCAACGCAAAGCAGCTCCATGTGCCCCAAATCAACTCGAGATGAGGCCCGATTCCCCTGAATTGACTCCAGAGCCATTCCCCGTTCCCCATTCAACACGACCGGTGGCTCGACTTCCTTCAGGCAACTCCAGAGATGCCCCGAGAACACTGTCCCAAGTCTAGAGGAACACCAACTTCAGCACAGCACCTCGAGGTATGCTCCGTGTACCCCAAATCGTCTCGAGATGCGAGCTGATTCCCTGGCTTAGGCTCAAGACGTATGCCAACTTCCCAGAAGCACCTCAGGAGGAGGCTTCTCTCAGCAATAGGTATGTGGGAGGGACCCCGAGTTTGCTGCCTCAAGGGGAATATACAGCGAGAAGCCCTAACTTGAAAGGAGGCCGGATTTCCTTGCAGTGGCTTGAATACAGGCTCGTCTTTCATCTCACAACATGAAGGGATGTCTGAATCCCCTGTGGAGACCATAGAGAAAGCCCTAGGTCCCTGCCTCATTTTGACGGAATGCCTCACATCCCGCTGACACCTCGAGAGGCACGCGGAGTTCATTGCTTCAAAAGGTGACGAAGCCTGACTCCTCTTGAATACTGATAGGAATCCCAAAATCCCTGTGGCTACTGGAAAGGGTCCTTGGGTGCCCTGCCTCACCTCGAGAAGCGTCCCTTTTGCCCTGCCAAGAATCGAAGTGATTCCTGAGGTTTCCCTCGTTACTAGACAGGAGTCCTGACGTCACTGAATAACCACGTGTTTTGAAGGGCCATCCCCGCCGTAACTCGAGAACATACCCTAGGTACCAGCCGCAACTCGAAAAAACCATGAGACTTATCCCTAGAGGCGAGATGAGGCCCAATTCCCCTGCAGTGCATGCAAAGCTATTCTGTGATCCCCATCAAACAAGTCAGCAGCTTCGACTTGCTTAATGGATCTCGAGACAGTGCCCAAGAACACTGTCACCAGTCTAGACGGACCCCAAGGTGACCCCAGAAACGCAGAGCAGCTCCATGTGCCCCAAATCAACTAGAGATGATGCCCGATTTCCCTGCATTGACTCCAGAGCCATCCCCCATTCCCCATTCAAAACAACCAGTGGCTTGACTTCCTTCAGGCAACACCAGAGATGCACCGAGAACACTGTCCCAAGTCTAGAGGAACACCAACTTCAGTACAGCAACTCGAGGAATGCTCCTTGTACCCCAAATCGTCTGGAGATGAGAGCTGATTCACTGGCTTAGGCTCAAGACGTATGCCAACTTTCCAGAAGCACCTCAGGAGGAGGCTTCTCTCAGCAGTAGGTATGTAGGAGGGATCCCGAGTTTGCTGCCTCAAGGGGAATATATGGCGAGAAGCCCTAACTTGAAAGGAGGCCGGATTTCCTTTCAGAGGCTTTAATACAGGCTCGTCTTTCATCTCACAACATGAAGGATTGTCGGAATCCCCTGTGGAGACCTTAGAGAAAGCCCTAGGTCCCTGCCTCATTTTGACGGAATGCCTCACATCCTGTTGATACATCGAGAGGCACGCGGAGTTCCCTGCTTCAAGAGGTGACGATGCCTGAGTCCTCTTGCATACTGATAGGAATCCCAAATCCCTGTGGCTACTGGAAAGGGTTCTTGGATGCCCTGCCTCACCTCGAGAAGCGTCCCTTTTGCCTTGTCAAGCCTCGAAGTGTTTCCTGAAGTGTCCCTCCTTACTAGACAGGAGTCCTGACGTCACTGAATAAACACGTGTTTTGAAGTGCCATCCCCGCCGTAACTCGAGCACATACCCCAGGTCCCTGCCGCAACTCGAGAAAAACCATGAGACTTCCCCCTAGAGGCGAGCCGAGGCCCCATTGCCATGCAGTGCATGAACAGCTATTCCGTGATCCCCATAAAACAAGTCAGGAGCTTCGACTTGCTTAATGGAACTTGAGACACCCACCAAGAACACTGCCACCAGTCTAGAGGGAACCTGACATCACCCCAGGAACGCCAGCAGGTCCATGTGCCCCAAATCAACTCAAGATGAGGCCCCATTCCCCTCCAGTGCATGCAGAGCTACTCCAAGATCCCCATCAAACAAGTCAGGAGCTTCGACTTGCTTAATGGATCTTGAGACAGTCCCCAAGAACACTGTCATAAGTCTAGGCGGACCCTGACGTCACCCCAGCAACGCACAGCAGCCCCATGTGCCCCAAATCAAGTCGAGATGAGGCCCGATTCCACTGCATTGACTCCAGAGCCATCCCCCGTTCCCCATTCAACACGACCAGTGGCTTGACTTCCTTCAGGCAACTCCAGAGATGCCCTGAGAACACTGTCCCAAGTCTAGAGGAACACCAACTTTAGCACAGCAACTCGAGGAATGCTTAGTGTACCCCAAATCGTCTCGAGATGAGAGCTGATTCCCTGGCTTAGGCTCAAGTCGTATGCCAACTTTCCAGAAACAGCTCAAGAGGAGGCTTCTCTCAGCAATAGGTATGTGGGAGAGACCCCGAGTTTGCTGCCTCAAGGGGAATATACTGCGAGAAGACCTAACATGAAATCAGGCCGGATTTCCCTGCAGTGGCTTGAATACAGGCTAGTCTTTCATCTCACAACATGAAGGGATGTCTGAATCCAATGTGGAGACCTTAGAGAAAGGCCTAGATCCCTGCCTCGTTTTGACGGAATGCCTCACATACCGTTGACACATCGAGAGGCACGCGGAGTTCACTGCTTCAAGAGGTGACGATGCCTGACTCCTCTTGAATACTGATAGGAATCCCAAAATCCCTGTGGCTACTGGAAAGGGTCCTTGGGTGCCCTGCCTCACCTCGAGAAGCGTGCCTTTTGCCATGCCAAGCCTCGAAGAGTTTCCTGAGGTGTCCCTCGTTACTAGACAGGAGTCCTGACGTCACTGAATAAACACGAGTTTTTAAGGGCTATCCCCACCGTAACTGGAGAACCTAGCCCAGGTCCGCGCCGCAATTCGAGAAAAACCATGAGACTTCCCACTAGAGGCGAGATGAGTCCCCATTCCCCTGCAGTGCATGCAGAGCTATTCCGTGATCCCCATCAAACAAGTCAGGAGCTTCGACTTGCTTAATGGATCTTGAGACAGTCCACAAGAACCTTGTCATAAGTCTAGACGGACCCTGACGTCACCCCAGCAACGCACAGCAACTCCATGTGCCCCAAATCAAGGCGAGATGAGGCCCGATTCCCTGCATTGAGTCCAGAGCCATCCCCCGTTCCCCATTCAACAATACCAGTGGCTTGACTTACTTCAGGCAACACCAGAGATGCCACGAGAACCCTGTCCCAAGTCTAGAGGAACACCAACTTCAGCACAGCAACTCGAGGAATGCTCCGTGTACCCCAAATCGTCTCGAGATGAGAGCTGATTCCCTGGCTTAGGCTCAAGACATATGCCAAATTTCCAGAAGCACCTCAAGAGGAGGCTTCTCTCAGCAATAGTTATGTGTGAGGGACCCCGAGTTTGCTGCCTCAAGTGGAATATACAGCGAGAAGCCCTAACTTGAAAGGAGGCCGGATTTCCTTGCAGGGGCTTGAATACAGGCTCGTGTTTCATCTCACAACATGAAGGGATGTCTGAATCCCCTGTGGATACCTTAGAGAAAGTCCTAGGTCCCTGCCTCATTTTGACGGAATGCCTCACATCCCGTTGACACCTCGAGAGGCACACGGAGTTCACTGCTTCAAAAGGTGACGATGCCTGACTCCACTTGAATACTGATTGGAATCCGAAAATCCCTGTGGCTACTGGAAAGGGCTCTTGGGTGCACTGCCTCACCTGGAGAAGCGTCCCTTTTGCCTGCCAAGAATCGAAGAGCTTCCTGAGGTGTCCCTCGTTACTAGACAGCAGTCCTGACGTCACTGAATAAACACGTGTTTTGAAGGGCCATCCCCACCGAAACACGAGAACATACCCTAGGTCCCCGCCGCAACTCGAAATAAACCATGAGACTTACCCCTAGAGGCGAGATGAGGCCCCATTCCCCTGCAGTGCATGCAAAGCTATTCCGTGATCCCCATCAAACAATTCAGGAGCTTCGACTTGCTTAATGGATCTCGAGACAGTGCCCACGAACACTGTCACCAGTCTAGGCGGACCCCGATGTCAAACCAGAAACGCACAGCAGCTCCATGTGCCCCAAATCAACTCGAGATGAGGCCTGATTCCCCTGTATTGACTCCAGAGCCATTCCCCGTTCCCCATTCAAAACGACAGTCGCTTGACTTCCTTCAGGGAACACCAGAGATGCCCTGAAAACACTGTCCCAAGTCTAGAGGAACACCAACTTCAGCACAGCAACTAGAGGAATGCTCCGTGTACCCCAAATCGTCTCGAGATGAGAGCTGATTCCCTGGCTTAGGCTCAAGACGTATGCCAACTTTCCAGAAGAACCTCAGGAGGAGGCTTCTCTCAGCAATAGGTATGTGGGAGGGACCCCGAGATCGCTGCCTTAAGTGGAATATACAGCGAGAAGCCCTAACTTGAAAGGAGGCCGGATTTCCTTGCAGAGGCTTGAATACAGGCTCGTCTTTCATCTCACAACATGAAGGGAGGTCTGAATCCCCTGTGGAGACCTTAGAGAAAGCCCCAGGTCCCTGCCTCATTTTGACGGAATGCCTCACATCCCGCTGACACCTCGAGAGGCACGCGGAGTTCATTGCTTCAAAAGGTGACGATGCCTGACTCCTCTTGAATACTGATAGGAATCCCAAAATCCCTGTGGCTACTGGAAAGGGTCCTTGGGTGCCCTGCCTCACCTCGAGAAGCGTCCCTTTTGCCCTGCCAAGCCTCGAAGAGATTCCTGAGGTGTCCCTCGTTACTAGACAGGAGTCCTGACGTCACTGAAGAAACTCGTGTTTTGAAGGGCCATCCCCGCCGTAAGTCGAGAACATACCCCAGGTCCCCGCCGCAACTAGAGAAAAACCATGAGACTTCCCCCTAGCGGCGAGATGAGGCCCCATTCCCCTGCAGTGCATGCAGAGCTCGAGTTGATTTGGGGCACATGGAGCTGCTTTGCGTTGCTGGGGTGACCTCAGGGTCCGTCTAGACTGGTGACAGTGTTCTTGGGGGCTGTCTCGAGATCCATTAAGCAAGTCGAAGCTCCTGACTTGTTTGAATGGGATCACGGAATAGCTCTGCATGCACTGCAGGAGAATGGGGCCTCTTCTCGCCTCTAGGGAGAAGTCTCATGGTTTTTCTCGAGTTGTGGCGGGGACCTGGGGTATGTTCTCGACTTACGGCGGGGATGGCCCTTCAAAACACGAGTTTCTTTAGTGACGTCAGGACTCCAGTCTAGTAATGAGGGACACCTCAGGAATCTCTTCGAGGATTGGCAGGGCAAAAGGGATGCTTCTCGAGGTGAGGCAGGGCACCTAAGGACCCTTTCCAGTAGCCACAGGGATTTTGGGATTCCTATCAGTATTCAAGAGGAGTCAGGCATCGTCACCTTTTGAAGCAATGAACTCCGCGTGCCTCTCGAGGTGTCAATGGGATGTGAGGCATTCCGTCAAAATGAGGCAGGGACCTAGGGCTTTCTCTAAGGTCTCCACAGGGGATTCAGACATCCCTTCATGTTGTGAGATGAAAGGCGAGCCTGTATTCAAGCCACTGCAAGGAAATCCGGCCTCCTTTCAAGTTAGGGCTTCTCGCTGTATATTCCCTTGTGGCAGCAAACTCGGGCTCCCTCCCACATACCTATTGCTGAGAGAAGCCTCCTCCTGAGGTGCTTCTGGAAAGTTGCCATACGTCTTGAGCCTAAGCCAGGTAATCAGCTCTCATCTCGAGACGATTTGGGGTACACGGAGCATTCCTCGAGTTGCTGTGCTGAAGTTGGTGTTCCTGTAGACTAGGGAAATTTTTCTCAGGGCATCTCTGGAGTTGCCTGAAGGAAGTCGAGCCACCGGTCGTGCTGAATGGGGAACGGGGAATGGCTCTGGAGTCAATGCAGGGGCATAGGGCCTCATCTAGGGTTGATTTGGGGCACATGGAGCTGCTTTGCATTGCTGGGGTGATCTCAGGGTCCGTCTAGACTTATGACAGGGTTCTTGTGGACTGTCTCAAGATCCATTAATCAAGTCGAAGCTCCTGACTTGTTTGAATGGGATCACGGAATTGCTCTGCATGCACTGCAGGGGAATGGGGCCTCCTCTTGCCTCTAGGGGGTAGTCTCATGGTTTTTCTCGAGTTGCGGCGGGGACCTGGGGTATGTTCTCGACTTACGGCGGGGATGGCCCTTCAAAACACGTGTTTCTTCAGTGACGTAGGACTCCTGTCTAGTAACGAGGGACACCTCAGGAATCTCTTCGAGGTTTGGCAGGGCAAATGGGACGCTTCTCGAGGTGAGGCAGGGCACCCAAAGACACTTTCCTGTAGCCACAGGGATTTTGGGATTCCTATCAGTATTCAAAAAGAGTCAGGCATCGTCACCTTTTGAAGCAGTGAACTCCGCGTGCCTCTCGAGGTGTCAACGGGATGTGAGGCATTCCGTCAAAATGAGGCAGGGACCTAGGGCTTTCTCTAAGGTCTCCACAGGGGATTCAGACATCCCTTCATGTTGTGAGATGAAAGGCGAGCCTGTATTCAAGCCACTGCAAGGAAATCCGGCCTCCTTTCAAGTTAGGGCTTCTCGCTGTATATTCCCCTTGTGGCAGCAAACTCGGGCTCCCTCCCACATACCTATTGCTGAGAGAAGCCTCCTCCTGAGGTGCTTCTGGAAAGTTGCCATACGTCTTGAGCCTAAGCCAGGTAATCAGCTCTCATCTCGAGACGATTTGGGGTACACGGAGCATTCCTCGAGTTGCTGTGCTGAAGTTGGTGTTCCTGTAGACTAGCGACATTTTTCTCAGGCATCTCTGGAGTTGCCTGAAGGAAGTCGAGCCACCGGTCGTGCTGAATGGGGAACGGGAATGGCTCTGGAGTCAATGCAGGGGCATAGGGCCTCATCTAGAGTTGATTTGGGGCACATGGAGCTGCTTTGCATTGCTGGGGTGATCTCAGGGTCCGTCTAGACTTATGACAGGGTTCTTGTGGACTGTCTCAAGATCCATTAATCAAGTCGAAGCTCCTGACTTGTTTGAATGGGATCACGGAATTGCTCTGCATGCACTGCAGGGGAATGGGGCCTCCTCTTGCCTCTAGGGGGTAGTCTCGTGGTTTTTCTCGAGTTGCGGCGGGGACCTGGGGTATGTTCTCGACTTACGGCGGGGATGGCCCTTCAAAACACGTGTTTCTTCAGTGACGTAGGACTCCTGTCTAGTAACGAGGGACACCTCAGGAATCTCTTCGAGGTTTGGCAGGGCAAATGGGACGCTTCTCGAGGTGAGGCAGGGCACCCAAGGACACTTTCCTGTAGCCACAGGGATTTTGGGATTCCTATCAGTATTCAAAAAGAGTCAGGCCTCGTCACCTTTTGAAGCAGTGAACTCCGCGTGCCTCTCGAGGAGTCAAAGGGATGTGAGGCATTCCGTCAAAATGAGGCAGGGACCTAGGGCTTTCTCTAAGGTCTCCACAGGGAATTCAGACATCCCTTCATGTTTTGAGATCTAAGACGAGCCTGTATTCAAGCCACTGCAAGGATATCAGGCCTCCTTTCAAGTTAGGGCTTCTCGCTGAATATTCCACTTGAGGCAGCGATCTCAGTGTCCCTCCCACATACCTATTGCTGAGAGAAGCCTCCTCCTGAGGTTCTTCTCGAAAGTTGGCATACGTCTTGAGCCTAAGCCAGGGAATCAGCTCTCATCTCGAGAGGATTTGCGGTACACGGAGCATTCCTCGAGTTGCTGTGCTGAAGTTGGTGTTCCTCTAGACTTGGGACAGTGTTCTCGGGGCATCGCTGGAGTTGCCTGAAGGAAGTCGAGCCACCGGTCGTGTTGAATGGGGAACGGGGAATGGCTCTGGAGTCAATACAGGGGAATCGGGCCTAATATCGAGTTGATTTGGGGCACATGGAGCTGCTTTGCGTTGCTGGGGTGACCTCAGGGTCCGTCTAGACTGGTGACAGTGTTCTTGGGGACTGTCTCGAGATCCATTAAGCAAGTCGAATCCCCTGACTTGTTTGAATGGGATGACGGAATAGCTCTGCATGCACTGCAGGGGAATGGGGCCTCATCTCGCCTCTAGGGGGAAGTCTCATGGTTTTTCTCGAGTTGCAGCGGGGACCTGGGGTATGTTCTCGACTTACGGCGGACATGGCCCTTCAAAACACGAGTTTCTTCAGTGACGTCAGGACTCCATTCTAGTAACGAGGGACACCTCAGGAATCTCTTCGAGGCTTGGCATGGCAAAAGGGAAGCTTCTCGGGGTGAGGCTGGGCACCCAAGGACACTTTCCAATAGCCACAGGGATTTTGGGATTCCTATCAGTATTCATGAGGAGTCAGGCATCGTCACCTTTTGAAGCAATGAACTCCGCGTGCCTCTCGAGGTGTCAACGGGATGTGAGGCATTCCGTCAAAATGAGGCAGGGACCAAAGGCTTTCTCTAAGGCCTCCAAAGGTGACTCAGACTTCCCTTCATGTTTTGAGAACAAAGACGAGCCTGTATTCAAGCCAATGCAAGGAAATCCGGCCTCCTTTCAAGTTAGGGCTTCTCGCTGTATATTCCACTAGAAGCAGCGATCTCGGGTTCCCTCCCACATACGTATTGCTGAGAGATGCCTCCTCCTGAGGTGCTTCTGGAAAGTAGGCATACGGCTTTAGCTAAGTCAGGGAATCAGCTCTCATCTCGAGATGATTTGGGGTACACGGAGCATTCCTCGAGTTGCTGTGCTGAAGTTGGTGTTCCTCTAGACTTGGGACAGTGTTCTCGGGGCATCTCTGGAGTTGCCTGAAGGAAGTCGAGCCACCGGTCGTGTTGAATGGGGAACGGGGAATGAGTCTGGAGTCAATGCAGGGGAATCGGGCCTCATCTCGAGTTGATTTGGGGCACATGGAGCTAATTTGCGTTGCTGGGGTGACCTCAGGGTCCGTCTAGACTGGTGACAGTGTTCTTGGGGACTGTCTCGAGATCCATTAAGCAAGTCGAAGCTGCTGACTTGTTTGAATGGGATCACGGAATAGCTCTGCAAGCACTGCAGGGGAATGGGGCCTCATCTCGCCTCTAGGGGGAAGTCTCATGGTTTTTCTCGAGTTGCGGCGGGGACCTGGGGTATGTTCTCGACTTACGGCGGGGATGGCCCTTCAAAACACGAGTTTGTTCAGTGACGTCAGGACTCCTGTCTAGTAACGAGGGACACCTCAGGAATCTCTTCGAGGCTTGGCAGGGCAAAAGGGACTCTTCTCGAGGTGAGGCAGGGCACCCAAGGACCCTTTCCAGTAGCCACAGGGATTTTGGGATTCCTATCAGTATTCAAGAGGAGTCAGGCATCGTCACCTTTTGAAGCAATGAACTCCGCGTGCCTCTCGAGGTGTCAACGGGAAGTGAGGCATTCCGTCAAAGTGAGCCAGGGACCTAGGGCTTTCTCTAAGGTCTCCACAGGAGATTCAGACAGCCCTTCATGTTGTGAAATGAAACACGAGCCTGTATTCAAGCCACTGCAAGGAAATCCGGCCTCCTTTCAAGTTAGGGCTTCTCGCTGTATATTGCCCTTGAGGCAGCAAACTCGGGGTCCCTCCCACATACCTATTGCTGAGACAGCCTCCTCCTGAGGTGCTTCTGGAAAGTTGGCTTACGTCTTGAGCCTAAGCCAGGGAATCAGCTCTCATCTCGAGACGATTTGGGGTACACGGAGCATTCCTCGAGTTGCTGTGCTGAAGTTGGTGTTCCTCTAGACTTGGGCCAGTGTTCTCGGGGCATCTCTGGAGTTGCCTGAAGGAAGTCGAGCCACCGGTCGTGTTGAATGGGGAACGGGAATGGCTATGGAGTCAATGAAGGGGAATCGGGCCTCATCTCGAGTTGATTTGGGGCACATGGAGCTGCTTTGCGTTGCTGGGGTGACCTCAGGGTCCGTCTAGACTGGTGACAGTGTTCCTGGGGACTGTCTCAAGATCCATTAAGCAAGTCGAAGCTCCTGACTTGTTTGAATGGGATCACGGAATAGCTCTGCATGCACTGCAGGGGAATGGGGCCTCATCTCGCCTCTAGGGGGAAGTCTCTTCGTTTTTCTCGAGTTGCGGCGGGAACCTGGGGTATGTTCTCGACTTACGGCGGGGATGGCCCCTCCAAACACTTTTTTCTTCAGTGACGTCAGGACCTCTGTCTAGGAACGAGGGACACCTCAGCAATCTCTTCGAGGCTTGGCAGGGCAAAAGGGATGCTTCTCGAGGTGAGGCAGGGCACCCAAGGACCCTTTCCAGTAGCCACAGGGATTTTGGGATTCCTATCAGTATTCAAGAGGAGTCAGGCATCGTCACCTTTAGAAGCAATGAACTCCGCGTGCCTCTCGAGGTGTCAACGAAATGTGAGGCATTCCGTCAAAATGAGGCAGGGACCTAGGGCTTTCTCTAAGGTCTCCACAGGGGATTCAGACATTCCTTCATGTTGTGAAATGAAACATGAGCCTGCATTCAAGCCACTGCAAGGAAATCCGGCCTCCTTTCAAGTTAGGGCTTCTCGCGGTATATTCCCCTAGAGGCAGCAAACTCTGGGTCCCTCCCACATACCTATTGCTGAGAGAAGCCTCCTCCTGCGGTGCATCTGGACAGTTGGCATACGTCTTGAGCCTAAGCCAGGGAATCAGCTCTCATCTCGAGACGATTTGGGGTACACGGAGCATTCCTCGAGTTGCTGTGCTAAAGTTGGTGTTCCTCTAGACTTGGGAGAGTGTTCTCAGGGCATCTCTGGAGTTGCCTGAAGGAAGTCGAACCACCGGTCGTGTTGAATGGGGAACGGGGAATGGCTCTGGAGTCAATCCAGGGGAATCGGGCCTCATCTCGAGTTGATTTGGGGCACATGGAGCTGCTATGCGTTGCTGGGGTAACCTCAGGGTCCGTCTAGACTGGTGACAGTGTTCTTGGAGACTGTCTCGAGATCCATTAAGCAAGTCGAAGCTCCTGACTTGTTTGAATGGGATCACGGAATAGCTCTGCATGCACTGCAGGGGAATGGGGCCTCATCTCGCCTCTAGGGGGAAGTCTCATGGTTTTTCTCGAGTTGCGGCGGGGACCTGGGGTATGTTCTCGACTTATGGTGGGGATGGCCCTTCAAAACACGAGTTTCTTCAGTGACGTCAGGACTCCTGTCTAGTAAAGAGGGACACCTCAAGAAACTCTTCGAGGCTTGGCAGGGCAAAAGGGACTCTTCTCGAGGTGAGGCAGGGCACCCAAGGACCCTTTCCAGTAGCCACAGGGATTTTGGGATTCCTATCAGTATTCAAGAGGAGTCAGGCATCGTCACCTTTTGAAGCAATGAACTCCGCGTGCCTCTCGAGGTGTCAGCGGGATGTGAGGCATTCCGTCAAAGTGAGGCAGGGACCTAGGGCTTTCTCTAAGGTCTCCACAGTGGATTCAGACATCCCTTCATGTTGTGAAATGAAACACGAGCCTGTATTCAAGCCACTGCAAGGAAATCCGGCCTCCTTTCAAGTTAGGGCTTCTCGCTGTATATTCCCCTTGAGGCAGCGAACTCGGGGTCCCTCCCACATACCTATTGCTGAGACAGCCTCCTCCTGAGGTGCTTCTGGAAAGTTGGCATACGTCTTGAGCCTAAGCCAGGGAATCAGCTCTCATCTCGAGACGATTTGGGGTACACGGAGCATTCCTCGAGTTGCTGTGCTGAAATTGGTGTTTCTCTAGACTTGGGACAGTGTTCACGGGGCATCACTGGAGTTGCCTGAAGGAAGTCGAGACACTGGTCGTGTTGAATGGGGAACGGGGAATCGCTCTGGAGTCAATGCAGGGGAATCGGGCCTCATCTCGAGTTGATTTGTGGCACATGGAGCTGCTTTGCGTTGCTTGGGTGAACTCAGGGTCCGTCTAGACTGGTGACAGTGTTCTTGGGGACTGTCTCGAGATCCATTAAGCAAGTCGAAGCTCCTGACTTGTTTGAATGGGATCACGGAATAGCTCTGCATGCACTGCAGGGGAATGGGGCCTCATCTCGCCTCTAGGGGGAAGTCTCATGGTTTTTCTCGATTTGCGGCGGGGACCTGGGGTATGTTCTCGACTTACGGCGGGGATGGCCCTTCAAAACACGAGTTTCTTCAGTGACGTTAGGACTCCTGTCTAGTAACGAGGGACACCTCAGGAATCTCTTTGAGGCTTGGCAGGGCAAAAGGGACGCTTCTCGAGGTGAGGCAGGGCAACCAAGGACCCTTTCCAGTAGCCACAGGGATTTTGGGATTCCTATCATTATTCAAGAGCAGTCAGGCATCGTCACCTTTTGAAGCAATGAACTCCGCGTGCCTCTCGAGGTGTCAATGGTATGTGAGGCATTCCGTCAAAATGAGGCAGGGACCTAGGGCTTTCTCTAAGGTCTCCACAGAGGATTCAGACATCCCTTCATGTTGTGAAATGAAACAAGAGCCTGTATTCAAGACACTGCAAGGAAATCCGGCCTCCTTTCAAGTTAGGGCTTCTCGCTGTATATTCCCCTTGAGGCAGCAAACTCGGTGTCCCTCCCACATACCTATTGCTGAGAGAAGCCTCCTCCTGAGGTGCTTCTGGAAAGTTGGCATATGTCTTAAGTCTAAGCCAGGGAATCAGCTCTCATCTCGAGACGATTTGGGGTACACGGAGCATTCCTCGAGTTGCTGTGCTGAAGTTGGTGTTCCTCTAGACTTGGGCCAGTGTTCTCGGGGCATCTCTGGAGTTGCCTGAAGGAAGTCGAGCCACCGGTCGTGTTGAATGGGGAACGGGAATGGCTATGGAGTCAATGCAGGGGAATTGAGCCTCATCTCGAGTTGATTTGGGGCACATGGAGCTGCTTTCCGTTGCTGGGGTGACCTCAGGGTCCGTCTAGACTGGTGACAGTGTTCCTGGGGACTGTCTCGAGATCCATTAAGCAAGTCGAAGCTCCTGCCTGGTTTGAATGGGATCACGGAATAGCTCTGCATGCACTGCAGGGGAATGGGGCCTCATCTCGCCTCTAGGGGGAAGTCTCATGGTTTTTCTCGAGTTGCGGCGGGAACCTGGGGTATGTTCTCGACTTACGGCGGGGATGGCCCTTCAAAACACGAGTTTCTTCAGTGACGTCAGGACTCCTGTCTAGTAACGAGGGACACCTCAGGAATCTCTTCGAGGCTTGGCAGGGCAAAAGGGACGCTTCTCGAGGTGAGGCAGGGCACCCAAGGACCCTTTCCAGTAGCCACAGGGATTTTGGGATTCCTATCAGTATTCAAAAGGAGTCAGGCATCTTCACCTTTTGAAGCAATGAACTCCGCGTGCCTCTCGAGGTGTCAACGGGATGTGAGGCATTCCGTCAAAATGAGGCAGGGACCTAGGGCTTTCTCTAAGGTCTCCACAGGGGATTAAGACATCCCTTCATGTTGTGAGATGAAAGACGAGCCTGTATTCAAGCCACTGCAAGGAAATCCGGCCTCCTTTCAAGTTAGGGCTTCTCGCTGTATATTCCACTTGAGGCAGCGATCTCGGGGTCCCTCCTACATACCTATTGCTGAGAGAAGCCTCCTCCTGAGGTGCTTCTGGAAAGTTGGCATACATCTTGAGCCTAAGCCAGGGAATCAGCTCTCATCTCGAGACGATTTGGGGTACACGGAGCATTCCTCGAGTTGCTGTGCTGAAGTTGGTGTTCCTCTATACTTGGGACAGAGTTCTCGGGGCAACTCTGGCGTTGCCTGAAGGAAGTCGAGCCACCGGCCGTGTTGAATGGGGAACGGGAAATGGCTCTGGAGTCAATGCAGCGGAATCGGGCCTCATCTGGAGTTGATTTGGGGCACATGGAGCTGCTTTGCGTTGTTGGGGTGACTTCAGGGTCCGTCTAGACTGGTGACAGTGTTCTTGGGGACTCTCTCGAGATCCATTAAGCAAGTCGAAGCTCCTGACTTGTTTGAATGGGATCACGGAATAGCTCTGCATGCACTGCAGGGGAATGGGGCCTCATCTCGCCTCTAGGGAGAAGTCTCATGGTTTTTCTCGAGTTGCGGCGGGGACCTGGGGTATGTTCTCGACTTACGGCGGGGATGGCCCTTCAAAACACGAGTTTCTTTAGTGACGTCAGGACTCCAGTCTAGTAACGAGGGACACCTCAGGAAGCTCTTCGAGGCTTGGCAGGGCAAAAGGGATGCTTCTCGAGGTGAGGCAGGGCACCCAAGGACCCTTTCCAGTAGCCACAGGGATTTTGGGACTCCTATCAGTATTCAAAAGGAGTTAGGCATCGTCACATTTTGAAGCAATGAACTCCGCGTGCCTCTCGAGGTGTCAACGGGATGTGAGGCATTCCGTCAAAATGAGGCAGGGACCTAGGTCTTTTTCTAAGTCTCCAAAGGGGATTCAGACATCCCTTCAGGTTTTGAGATCAAAGACGAGCCTGTATTCAAGCCACTGCAAGGAAGTACGGCCTCCGTTCAAGTTAGGGCTTCTCGCTGTATATTCCACTTGAGGCAGCGATCTCGGGGTCTCTCCCACATACCTATTGCTGAGAGAAGCCTCCTCCTGAGGTGCCTCTGGAAAGTTGGCATACGTCTTGAGCCTAAGCCAGGGAATCAGCTCTCATCTCGAGACGATTTGGGTTACACGGAGCATTCCTCCAGTTGCTGTGCTGAAGTTGGTGTTCCTCTAGACTTGGAACAGTGTTCTCGGGGCATCTCTGGAGCTGCCTGAAGGAAGCCGAGCCACTGGTCGTGTTGAATGGGGAACGGGGAATGGCTCTGGAGTCAATGCAGGGGAATCGGGCCTCATCTCGAGTTGATTTGGGGCACATGGAGCTGCTTTGCATTGCTGGGGTGACCTCAGGGTCCGTCTAGACTGGTGACAGTGTTCTTGGGGACTGTCTCGAGATCCATTAAGCAAGCCGAAGCTCCTGACTTGTTTGAATGGGATCACGGAATAGCTCTGCATGCACTGCAGGGGAATGGGGCCTCATCTCGCCTCTAGGGGGAAGTCTCATGGTTTTTCTCGATTTGCGGCGGGGACCTGGGGTATGTTCTCGACTTACGGCGGGGATGGCCCTTCAAAACACGAGTTTCTTCAGTGACGTCAGGACTCCTGTCTAGTAACGAGGGACACATCAGGAATCTCTTTGAGGCTTGGCAGGGCAAAAGGGACGCTTCTCGAGGTGAGGCAGGGCAACCAAGGACCCTTTCCAGTAGCCACAGGGATTTTGGGATTCCTATCATTATTCAAGAGCAGTCAGGCATCGTCACCTTTGGAAGCAATGAACTCCGCGTGCCTCTCGAGGTGTCAATTGTATGTGAGGCATTCCGTCAAAATGAGGCAGGGACCTAGGGCTTTCTCTAAGGTCTCCACAGGGGATTAAGACATCCCTTCATGTTGTGAGATGAAAGACGAGCCTGTATTCAAGCCACTGCAAGGAAATCCGGCCTCCTTTCAAGTTAGGGCTTCTCGCTGTATATTCCACTTGAGGCAGCGATCTCGGGGTCCCTCCTACATACCTATTGCTGAGAGAAGCCTCCTCCTGAGGTGCTTCTGGAAAGTTGGCATACGTCTTGAGCCTAAGCCAGGGAATCAGCTCTCATCTCGAGACGATTTGGGGTACACGGAGCATTCCTCGAGTTGCTGTGCTGAAGTTGGTGTTCCTCTATACTTGGGACAGAGTTCTCGGGGCAACTCTGGCGTTGCCTGAATGAAGTCGAGCCACCGGCCGTGTTGAATGGGGAACGGGAAATGGCTCTGGAGTCAATGCAGCGGAATCGGGCCTCATCTCGAGTTGATTTGGGGCACATGGAGCTGCTTTGCGTTGTTGGGGTGACTTCAGGGTCCGTCTAGACTGGTGACAGTGTTCTTGGGGACTCTCTCGAGATCCATTAAGCAAGTCGAAGCTCCTGACTTGTTTGAATGGGATCACGGAGTAGCTCTGCATGCACTGCAGGGGAATGGGGCCTCATCTCGCCTCTAGGGAGAAGTCTCATGGTTTTTCTCGAGTTGCGGCGGGGACCTGGGGTATGTTCTCGACTTACGGCGGGGATGGCCCTTCAAAACACGAGTTTCTTTAGTGACGTCAGGACTCCAGTCTAGTAACGAGGGACACCTCAGGAATCTCTTCGAGGCTTGGCAGGGCAAAAGGGACGCTTCTCGAGGTGAGGCAGGGCACCCAAGGACCCTTTCCAGTAGCCACATGGATTTTGGGACTCCTATCAGTATTCAAAAGGAGTTAGGCATCGTCACATTTTGAAGCAATGAACTCCGCGTGCCTCTCGAGGTGTCAACGGGATGTGAGGCATTCCGTCAAAATGAGGCAGGGACCTAGGTCTTTTTCTAAGTCTCCAAAGGGGATTCAGACATCCCTTCAGGTTTTGAGATCAAAGACGAGCCTGTATTCAAGCCACTGCAAGGAAGTACGGCCTCCTTTCAAGTTAGGGCTTCTCGCTGTATATTCCACTTGAGGCAGCGATCTCGGGGTCTCTCCCACATACCTATTGCTGAGAGAAGCCTCCTCCTGAGGTGCCTCTGGAAAGTTGGCATACGTCTTGAGCCTAAGCCAGGGAATCAGCTCTCATCTCGAGACGATTTGGGTTACATGGAGCATTCCTCCAGTTGCTGTGCTGAAGTTGGTGTTCCTCTAGACTTGGAACAGTGTTCTCGGGGCATCTCTGGAGCTGCCTGAAGGAAGCCGAGCCACTGCTCGTGTTGAATGGGGAACGGGGAATGGCTCTGGAGTCAATGCAGGGGAATCGGGCCTCATCTCGAGTTGATTTGGGGCACATGGAGCTGCTTTGCGTTGCTGGGGTGACCTCAGGGTCCGTCTAGACTGGTGACAGTGTTCCTGGGGACTGTCTCAAGATCCATTAAGCAAGTCGAAGCTCCTGACTTGTTTGAATGGGATCACGGAATAGCTCTGCATGCACTGCAGGGGAATGGGGCCTCATCTCGCCTCTAGGGGGAAGTCTCATCGTTTTTCTCGAGTTGCGGCGGGAACCTGGGGTATGTTCTCGACTTACGGCGGGGATGGCCCCTCAAAACACTTTTTTCTTCAGTGACGTCAGGACCTCTGTCTAGTAACGAGGGACACCTCAGCAATCTCTTCGAGGCTTGGCAGGGCAAAAGGGACGCTTCTTGAGGTGAGGCAGGGCACCCAAGGACCCTTTCCAGTAGCCACAGGGATTTTGGGATTCCTATCAGTATTCAAGAGGAGTCAGGCATCGTCACCTTTAGAAGCAATGAACTCCGCGTGCCTCTCGAGGTGTCAACGAAATGTGAGGCATTCCGTCAAAATGAGGCAGGGACCTAGGGCTTTCTCTAAGGTCTCCACAGGGGATTCAGACATTCCTTCATGTTGTGAAATGAAACACGAGCCTGCATTCAAGCCACTGCAAGGAAATCCGGCCTCCTTTCAAGTTAGGGCTTCTCGCGGTATATTCCCCTAGAGGCAGCAAACTCTGGGTCCCTCCCACATACCTATTGCTGAGAGAAGCCTCCTCCTGCGGTGCATCTGGACAGTTGGCATACGTCTTGAGCCTAAGCCAGGGAATCAGCTCTCATCTCGAGACGATTTGGGGTACACGGAGCATTCCTCGAGTTGCTGTGCTAAAGTTGGTGTTCCTCTAGACTTGGGAGAGTGTTCTCGGGGCATCTCTGGAGTTGCCTGAAGGAAGTCGAGCCACCGGTCGTGTTGAATGGGGAACGGGGAATGGCTCTGGAGTCAATCCAGGGGAATCGGGCCTCATCTCGAGTTGATTTGGGGCACATGGAGCTGCTTTGCGTTGCTGGGGTAACCTCAGGGTCCGTCTAGACTGGTGACAGTGTTCTTGGGGACTGTCTCGAGATCCATTAAGCAAGTCGAAGCTCCTGACTTGTTTGAATGGGATCACGGAATAGCTCTGCAAGCACTGCAGGGGAATGGGGCCTCATCTCGCCTCTAGGGGGAAGTCTCATGGTTTTTCTCGAGTTGCGGCGGGGACCTGGGGTATGTTCTCGACTTACGGCGGGGATGGCCCTTCAAAACACGAGTTTGTTCAGTGACGTCAGGACTCCTGTCTAGTAACGAGGGACACCTCAGGAATCTCTTCGAGGCTTGGCAGGGCAAAAGGGACTCTTCTCAAGGTGAGGCAGGGCACCCAAGGACCCTTTCCAGTAGCCACAGTGATTTTGGGATTCCTATCAGTATTCAAGAGGAGTCAGGCATCGTCACCTTTTGAAGCAATGAACTCCGCGTGCCTCTCGAGGTGTCAACGGGAAGTGAGGCATTCCGTCAAAGTGAGCCAGGGACCTAGGGCTTTCTCTAAGGTCTCCACAGGAGATTCAGACAGCCCTTCATGTTGTGAAATGAAACACGAGCCTGTATTCAAGCCAATGCAAGGAAATCCGGCCTCCTTTCAAGTTAGGGCTTCTCGCTGTATATTGCCCTTGAGGCAGCAAACTCGGGGTCCCTCCCACATACCTATTGCTGAGACAGCCTCCTCCTGAGGTGCTTCTGGAAAGTTGGCTTACGTCTTGAGCCTAAGCCAGGGAATCAGCTCTCATCTCGAGACGATTTGGGGTACACGGAGCATTCCTCGAGTTGCTGTGCTGAAGTTGGTGTTCCTCTAGACTTGGGCCAGTGTTCTCGGGGCATCTCTGGAGTTGCCTGAAGGAAGTCGAGCCACCGGTCGTGTTGAATGGGGAACGGGAATGGCTATGGAGTCAATGCAGGGGAATCGGTCCTCATCTCGAGTTGATTTGGGGCACATGGAGCTGCTTTGCGTTGCTGGGGTGACCTCAGGGTCCGTCTAGACTGGTGACAGTGTTCCTGGGGACTGTCTCAAGATCCATTAAGCAAGTCGAAGCTCCTGACTTGTTTGAATGGGATCACGGAATAGCTCTGCATGCACTGCAGGGGAATGGGGCCTCATCTCGCCTCTAGGGGGAAGTCTCATCGTTTTTCTCGAGTTGCGGCGGGAACCTGGGGTATGTTCTCGACTTACGGCGGGGATGGCCCCTCCAAACACTTTTTTCTTCAGTGACGTCAGGACCTCTGTCTAGTAACGAGGGACACCTCAGCAATCTCTTCGAGGCTTGGCAGGGCAAAAGGGACGCTTCTCGAGGTGAGGCAGGGCACCCAAGGACCCTTTCCAGTAGCCACAGGGATTTTGGGATTCCTATCAGTATTCAAGAGGAGTCAGGCATCGTCACCTTTAGAAGCAATGAACTCCGCGTGCCTCTCGAGGTGTCAACGAAATGTGAGGCATTCCGTCAAAATGAGGCAGGGACCTAGGGCTTTCTCTAAGGTCTCCACAGGGGATTCAGACATTCCTTCATGTTGTGAAATGAAACACGAGCCTGCATTCAAGCCACTGCAAGGAAATCCGGCCTCCTTTCAAGTTAGGGCTTCTCGCGGTATATTCCCCTAGAGGCAGCAAACTCTGGGTCCCTCCCACATACCTATTGCTGAGAGAAGCCTCCTCCTGCGGTGCATCTGGACAGTTGGCATACGTCTTGAGCCTAAGCCAGGGAATCAGCTCTCATCTCGAGACGATTTGGGGTACACGGAGCATTCCTCGAGTTGCTGTGCTAAAGTTGGTGTTCCTCTAGACTTGGGAGAGTGTTCTCAGGGCATCTCTGGAGTTGCCTGAAGGAAGTCGAACCACCGGTCGTGTTGAATGGGGAACGGGGAATGGCTCTGGAGTCAATCCAGGGGAATCGGGCCTCATCTCGAGTTGATTTGGGGCACATGGAGCTGCTTTGCGTTGCTGGGGTAACCTCAGGGTACGTCTAGACTGGTGACAGTGTTCTTGGAGACTGTCTCGAGATCCATTAAGCAAGTCGAAGCTCCTGACTTGTTTGAATGGGATCACGGAATAGCTCTGCATGCACTGCAGGGGAATGGGGCCTCATCTCGCCTCTAGGGGGAAGTCTCATGGTTTTTCTCGAGTTGCGGCGGGGACCTGGGGTATGTTCTCGACTTATGGTGGGGATGGCCCTTCAAAACACGAGTTTCTTCAGTGACGTCAGGACTCCTGTCTAGTAAAGAGGGACACCTCAAGAAACTCTTCGAGGCTTGGCAGGGCAAAAGGGACTCTTCTCGAGGTGAGGCAGGGCACCCAAGGACCCTTTCCAGTAGCCACAGGGATTTTGGGATTCCTATCAGTATTCAAGAGGAGTCAGGCATCGTCACCTTTTGAAGCAATGAACTCCGCGTGCCTCTCGAGGTGTCAGCGGGATGTGAGGCATTCCGTCAAAGTGAGGCATGGACCTAGGGCTTTCTCTAAGGTCTCCACAGTGGATTCAGACATCCCTTCATGTTGTGAAATGAAACACGAGCCTGTATTCAAGCCACTGCAAGGAAATCCAGCCTCCTTTCAAGTTAGGGCTTCTCGCTGTATATTCCCCTTGAGGCAGCAAACTCGGGGTCCCTCCCACATACCTATTGCTGAGACAGCCTCCTCCTGAGGTGCTTCTGGAAAGTTGGCATACGTCTTGAGCCTAAGCCAGGGAATCAGCTCTCATCTCGAGACGATTTGGGGTACACGGAGCATTCCTCGAGTTGCTGTGCTGAAATTGGTGTTTCTCTAGACTTGGGACAGTGTTCACGGGGCATCACTGGAGTTGCCTGAAGGAAGTCGAGACACTGGTCGTGTTGAATGGGGAACGGGGAATCGCTCTGGAGTCAATGCAGGGGAATCGGGCCTCATCTCGAGTTGATTTGTGGCACATGGAGCTGCTTTGCGTTGCTTGGGTGAACTCAGGGTCCGTCTAGACTGGTGACAGTGTTCTTGGGGACTGTCTCGAGATCCATTAAGCAAGTCGAAGCTCCTGACTTGTTTGAATGGGATCACGGAATAGCTCTGCATGCACTGCAGGGGAATGGGGCCTCATCTCGCCTCTAGGGGGAAGTCTCATGGTTTTTCTCGATTTGCGGCGGGGACCTGGGGTATGTTCTCGACTTACGGCGGGGATGGCCCTTCAAAACACGAGTTTCTTCAGTGACGTTAGGACTCCTGTCTAGTAACGAGGGACACCTCAGGAATCTCTTTGAGGCTTGGCAGGGCAAAAGGGACGCTTCTCGAGGTGAGGCAGGGCAACCAAGGACCCTTTCCAGTAGCCACAGGGATTTTGGGATTCCTATCATTATTCAAGAGCAGTCAGGCATCGTCACCTTTTGAAGCAATGAACTCCGCGTGCCTCTCGAGGTGTCAATGGTATGTGAGGCATTCCGTCAAAATGAGGCAGGGACCTAGGGCTTTCTCTAAGGTATCCACAGAGGATTCAGACATCCCTTCATGTTGTGAAATGAAACAAGAGCCTGTATTCAAGACACTGCAAGGAAATCCGGCCTCCTTTCAAGTTAGGGCTTCTCGCTGTATATTCCCCTTGAGGCAGCAAACTCGGTGTCCCTCCCACATACCTATTGCTGAGAGAAGCCTCCTCCTGAGGTGCTTCTGGAAAGTTGGCATATGTCTTAAGTCTAAGCCAGGGAATCAGCTCTCATCTCGAGACGATTTGGGGTACACGGAGCATTCCTCGAGTTGCTGTGCTGAAGTTGGTGTTCCTCTAGACTTGGGCCAGTGTTCTCGGGGCATCTCTGGAGTTGCCTGAAGGAAGTTGAGCCACCGGTCGTGTTGAATGGGGAACGAGAATGGCTATGGAGTCAATGCAGGGGAATTGAGCCTCATCTCGAGTTGATTTGGGGCACATGGAGCTGCTTTCCGTTGCTGGGGTGACCTCAGGGTCCGTCTAGACTGGTGACAGTGTTCCTGGGGACTGTCTCGAGATCCATTAAGCAAGTCGAAGCTCCTGCCTGGTTTGAATGGGATCACGGAATAGCTCTGCATGCACTGCAGGGGAATGGGGCCTCATCTCGCCTCTAGGGGGAAGTCTCATGGTTTTTCTCGAGTTGCGGCGGGAACCTGGGGTATGTTCTCGACTTACGGCGGGGATGGCCCTTCAAAACACGAGTTTCTTCAGTGACGTCAGGACTCCTGTCTAGTAACGAGGGACACCTCAGGAATCTCTTCGAGGCTTGGCAGGGCAAAAGGGACGCTTCTCGAGGTGAGGCAGGGCACCCAAGGACCCTTTCCAGTAGCCACAGGGATTTTGGGATTCCTATCAGTATTCAAAAGGAGTCAGGCATCTTCACCTTTTGAAGCAATGAACTCCGCGTGCCTCTCGAGGTGTCAACGGGATGTGAGGCATTCCGTCAAAATGAGGCAGGGACCTAGGGCTTTCTCTAAGGTCTCCACAGGGGATTAAGACATCCCTTCATGTTGTGAGATGAAAGACGAGCCTGTATTCAAGCCACTGCAAGGAAATCCGGCCTCCTTTCAAGTTAGGGCTTCTCGCTGTATATTCCACTTGAGGCAGCGATCTCGGGGTCCCTCCTACATACCTATTGCTGAGAGAAGCCTCCTCCTGAGGTGCTTCTGGAAAGTTGGCATACGTCTTGAGCCTAAGCCAGGGAATCAGCTCTCATCTCGAGACGATTTGGGGTACACGGAGCATTCCTCGAGTTGCTGTGCTGAAGTTGGTGTTCCTCTATACTTGGGACAGAGTTCTCGGGGCAACTCTGGCGTTGCCTGAAGGAAGTCGAGCCACCGGCCGTGTTGAATGGGGAACGGGAAATGGCTCTGGAGTCAATGCAGCGGAATCGGGCCTCATGTGGAGTTGATTTGGGGCACATGGAGCTGCTTTGCGTTGTTGGGGTGACTTCAGGGTCCGTCTAGACTGGTGACAGTGTTCTTGGGGACTCTCTCGAGATCCATTAAGCAAGTCGAAGCTCCTGACTTGTTTGAATGGGATCACGGAATAGCTCTGCATGCACTGCAGGGGAATGGGGCCTCATCTCGCCTCTAGGGAGAAGTCTCATGGTTTTTCTCGAGTTGCGGCGGGGACCTGGGGTATGTTCTCGACTTACGGCGGGGATGGCCCTTCAAAAGACGAGTTTCTTTAGTGACGTCAGGACTCCAGTCTAGTAACGAGGGACACCTCAGGAATCTCTTCGAGGCTTGGCAGGGCAAAAGGGATGCTTCTCGAGGTGAGGCAGGGCACCCAAGGACGCTTTCCAGTAGCCACAGGGATTTTGGGACTCCTATCAGTATTCAAAAGGAGTTAGGCATCGTCACATTTTGAAGCAATGAACTCCGCGTGCCTCTCGAGGTGTCAACGGGATGTGAGGCATTCCGTCAAAATGAGGCAGGGACCTAGGTCTTTTTCTAAGTCTCCAAAGGGGATTCAGACATCCCTTCAGGTTTTGAGATCAAAGACGAGCCTGTATTCAAGCCACTGCAAGGAAGTACGGCCTCCGTTCAAGTTAGGGCTTCTCGCTGTATATTCCACTTGAGGCAGCGATCTCGGGGTCTCTCCCACATACCTATTGCTGAGAGAAGCCTCCTCCTGAGGTGCCTCTGGAAAGTTGGCATACGTCTTGAGCCTAAGCCAGGGAATCAGCTCTCATCTCGAGACGATTTGGGTTACACGGAGCATTCCTCCAGTTGCTGTGCTGAAGTTGGTGTTCCTCTAGACTTGGAACAGTGTTCTCGGGGCATCTCTGGAGCTGCCTGAAGGAAGCCGAGCCACTGGTCGTGTTGAATGGGGAACGGGGAATGGCTCTGGAGTCAATGCAGGGGAATCGGGCCTCATCTCGAGTTGATTTGGGGCACATGGAGCTGCTTTGCATTGCTGGGGTGACCTCAGGGTCCGTCTAGACTGGTGACAGTGTTCTTGGGGACTGTCTCGAGATCCATTAAGCAAGCCGAAGCTCCTGACTTGTTTGAATGGGATCACGGAATAGCTCTGCATGCACTGCAGGGGAATGGGGCCTCATCTCGCCTCTAGGGGGAAGTCTCATGGTTTTTCTCGATTTGCGGCGGGGACCTGGGGTATGTTCTCGACTTACGGCGGGGATGGCCCTTCAAAACACGAGTTTCTTCAGTGACGTCAGGACTCCTGTCTAGTAACGAGGGACACATCAGGAATCTCTTTGAGGCTTGGCAGGGCAAAAGGGACGCTTCTCGAGGTGAGGCAGGGCAACCAAGGACCCTTTCCAGTAGCCACAGGGATTTTGGGATTCCTATCATTATTCAAGAGCAGTCAGGCATCGTCACCTTTGGAAGCAATGAACTCCGCGTGCCTCTCGAGGTGTCAATTGTATGTGAGGCATTCCGTCAAAATGAGGCAGGGACCTAGGGCTTTCTCTAAGGTCTCCACAGGGGATTAAGACATCCCTTCATGTTGTGAGATGAAAGACGAGCCTGTATTCAAGCCACTGCAAGGAAATCCGGCCTCCTTTCAAGTTAGGGCTTCTCACTGTATATTCCACTTGAGGCAGCGATCTCGGGGTCCCTCCTACATACCTATTGCTGAGAGAAGCCTCCTCCTGAGGTGCTTCTGGAAAGTTGGCATACGTCTTGAGCCTAAGCCAGGGAATCAGCTCTCATCTCGAGACGATTTGGGGTACACGGAGCATTCCTCGAGTTGCTGTGCTGAAGTTGGTGTTCCTCTATACTTGGGACAGAGTTCTCGGGGCAACTCTGGCGTTGCCTGAAGGAAGTCGAGCCACCGGCCGTGTTGAATGGGGAACGGGAAATGGCTCTGGAGTCAATGCAGCGGAATCGGGCCTCATCTCGAGTTGATTTGGGGCACATGGAGCTGCTTTGCGTTGTTGGGGTGACTTCAGGGTCCGTCTAGACTGGTGACAGTGTTCTTGGGGACTCTCTCGAGATCCATTAAGCAAGTCGAAGCTCCTGACTTGTTTGAATGGGATCACGGAGTAGCTCTGCATGCACTGCAGGGGAATGGGGCCTCATCTCGCCTCTAGGGAGAAGTCTCATGGTTTTTCTCGAGTTGCGGCGGGGACCTGGGGTATGTTCTCGACTTACGGCGGGGATGGCCCTTCAAAACACGAGTTTCTTTAGTGACGTCAGGACTCCAGTCTAGTAACGAGGGACACCTCAGGAATCTCTTCGAGGCTTGGCAGGGCAAAAGGGATGCTTCTCGAGGTGAGGCAGGGCACCCAAGGACCCTTTCCAGTAGCCACAGGGATTTTGGGACTCCTATCAGTATTCAAAAGGAGTTAGGCATTGTCACATTTTGAAGCAATGAACTCCGCGTGCCTCTCGAGGTGTCAACGGGATGTGAGGCATTCCGTCAAAATGAGGCAGGGACCTAGGTCTTTTTCTAAGTCTCCAAAGGGGATTCAGACATCCCTTCAGGTTTTGAGATCAAAGACGAGCCTGTCTTCAAGCCACTGCAAGGAAGTACGGCCTCCTTTCAAGTTAGGGCTTCTCGCTGTATATTCCACTTGAGGCAGCGATCTCGGGGTCTCTCCCACATACCTATTGCTGAGAGAAGCCTCCTCCTGAGGTGCCTCTGGAAAGTTGGCATACGTCTTGAGCCTAAGCCAGGGAATCAGCTCTCATCTCGAGACGATTTGGGTTACACGGAGCATTCCTCCAGTTGCTGTGCTGAAGTTGGTGTTCCTCTAGACTTGGAACAGTGTTCTCGGGGCATCTCTGGAGCTGCCTGAAGGAAGCCGAGCCACTGCTCGTGTTGAATGGGGAACGGGGAATGGCTCTGGAGTCAATGCAGGGGAATCGGGCCTCATCTCGAGTTGATTTGGGGCACATGGAGCTGCTTTGCGTTGCTGGGGTGACCTCAGGGTCCGTCTAGACTGGTGACAGTGTTCCTGGGGACTGTCTCAAGATCCATTAAGCAAGTCGAAGCTCCTGACTTGTTTGAATGGGATCACGGAATAGCTCTGCATGCACTGCAGGGGAATGGGGCCTCATCTCGCCTCTAGGGGGAAGTCTCATCGTTTTTCTCGAGTTGCGGCGGGAACCTGGGGTATGTTCTCGACTTACGGCGGGGATGGCCCCTCAAAACACTTTTTTCTTCAGTGACGTCAGGACCTCTGTCTAGTAACGAGGGACACCTCAGCAATCTCTTCGAGGCTTGGCAGGGCAAAAGGGACGCTTCTTGAGGTGAGGCAGGGCACCCAAGGACCCTTTCCAGTAGCCACATGGATTTTGGGATTCCTATCAGTATTCAAGAGGAGTCAGGCATCGTCACCTTTAGAAGCAATGAACTCCGCGTGCCTCTCGAGGTGTCAACGAAATGTGAGGCATTCCGTCAAAATGAGGCAGGGACCTAGGGCTTTCTCTAAGGTCTCCACAGGGGATTCAGACATTCCTTCATGTTGTGAAATGAAACACGAGCCTGCATTCAAGCCACTGCAAGGAAATCCGGCCTCCTTTCAAGTTAGGGCTTCTCGCGGTATATTCCCCTAGAGGCAGCAAACTCTGGGTCCCTCCCACATACCTATTGCTGAGAGAAGCCTCCTCCTGCGGTGCATCTGGACAGTTGGCATACGTCTTGAGCCTAAGCCAGGGAATCAGCTCTCATCTCGAGACGATTTGGGGTACACGGAGCATTCCTCGAGTTGCTGTGCTAAAGTTGGTGTTCCTCTAGACTTGGGAGAGTGTTCTCGGGGCATCTCTGGAGTTGCCTGAAGGAAGTCGAGCCACCGGTCGTGTTGAATGGGGAACGGGGAATGGCTCTGGAGTCAATCCAGGGGAATCGGGCCTCATCTCGAGTTGATTTGGGGCACATGGAGCTGCTTTGCGTTGCTGGGGTAACCTCAGGGTCCGTCTAGACTGGTGACAGTGTTCTTGGAGACTGTCTCGAGATCCATTAAGCAAGTCGAAGCTCCTGACTTGTTTGAATGGGATCACGGAATAGCTCTGCATGCACTGCAGGGGAATGGGGCCTCATCTCGCCTCTAGGGGGAAGTCTCATGGTTTTTCTCGAGTTGCGGCGGGGACCTGGGGTATGTTCTCGACTTATGGTGGGGATGGCCCTTCAAAACACGAGTTTCTTCAGTGACGTCAGGACTCCTGTCTAGTAAAGAGGGACACCTCAGGAAACTCTTCGAGGCTTGGCAGGGCAAAAGGGACTCTTCTCGAGGTGAGGCAGGTAACCCTAGGACCCTTTCCAGTAGCCACAGGGATTTTGGGATTCCTATCAGTATTCAAGAGGAGTCAGGCATCGTCACCTTTTGAAGCAATGAACTCCGCGTGTCTCTCGAGGTGTCAGCGGGATGTGAGGCATTCCGTCAAAGTGAGGCAGGGACCTAGGGCTTTCTCTAAGGTCTCCACAGGGGATTCAGACATCCCTTCATGTTGTGAAATGAAACACGAGCCTGTATTCAAGCCACTGCAAGGAAATCCGGCCTCCTTTCAAGTTAGGGCTTCTCGCTGTATATTCCCCTTGAGGCAGCAAACTCGGGGTCCCTCCCACATACCTATTGCTGAGACAGCCTCCTCCTGAGGTGCTTCTGGAAAGTTGGCATACGTCTTGAGCCTAAGCCAGGGAATCAGCTCTCATCTCGAGACGATTTGGGGTACACGGAGCATTCCTCGAGTTGCTGTGCTGAAATTGGTGTTTCTCTAGACTTGGGACAGTGTTCACGGGGCATCACTGGAGTTGCCTGAAGGAAGTCGAGACACTGGTCGTGTTGAATGGGGAACGGGGAATCGCTCTGGAGTCAATGCAGGGGAATCGGGCCTCATCTCGAGTTGATTTGTGGCACATGGAGCTGCTTTGCGTTGCTTGGGTGACCTCAGGGTCCGTCTAGACTGGTGACAGTGTTCTTGGGGACTGTCTCGAGATCCATTAAGCAAGTCGAAGCTCCTGACTTGTTTGAATGGGATCACGGAATAGCTCTGCATGCACTGCAGGGGAATGGGGCCTCATCTCGCCTCTAGGGGGAAGTCTCATGGTTTTTCTCGATTTGCGGCGGGGACCTGGGGTATGTTCTCGACTTACGGCGGGGATGGCCCTTCAAAACACGAGTTTTTTCAGTGACGTTAGGACTCCTGTCTAGTAACGAGGGACACCTCAGGAATCTCTTTCAGGCTTGGCAGGGCAAAAGGGACGCTTCGCGAGGTGAGGCAGGGCAACCAAGGACCCTTTCCAGTAGCCACAGGGATTTTGGGATTCCTATCATTATTCAAGAGCAGTCAGGCATCGTCACCTTTTGAAGCAATGAACTCCGCGTGCCTCTCGAGGTGTCAATGGTATGTGAGGCATTCCGTCAAAATGAGGCAGGGACCTAGGGCTTTCTCTAAGGTCTCCACAGAGGATTCAGACATCCCTTCATGTTGTGAAATGAAACAAGAGCCTGTATTCAAGACACTGCAAGGAAATCCGGCCTCCTTTCAAGTTAGGGCTTCTCGCTGTATATTCCCCTTGAGGCAGCAAACTCGGGGTCCCTCCCACATACCTATTGCTGAGAGAAGCCTCCTCCTGAGGTGCTTCTGGAAAGTTGGCATATGTCTTAAGTCTAAGCCAGGGAATCAGCTCTCATCTCGAGACGATTTGGGGTACACGTAGCATTCCTCGAGTTGCTGTGCTGAAGTTGGTGTTCCTCTAGACTTGGGCCAGTGTTCTCGGGGCATCTCTGGAGTTGCCTGAAGGAAGTCGAGCCACCGGTCGTGTTGAATGGGGAACGGGAATGGCTATGGAGTCAATGCAGGGGAATTGGGCCTCATCTCGAGTTGATTTGGGGCACATGGAGCTGCTTTGCGTTGCTGGGGTGACCTCAGGGTCCGTCTAGACTGGTGACAGTGTTCCTGGGGACTGTCTCGAGATCCATTAAGTAAGTCGAAGCTCCTGCCTGGTTTGAATGGGATCACGGAATAGCTCTGCATGCACTGTAGGGGAATGGGGCCTCATCTCGCCTCTAGGGGGAAGTCTCATGGTTTTTCTCGAGTTGCGGCGGGAACCTGGGGTATGTTCTCGACTTACGGCGGGGATGGCCCTTCAAAACACGAGTTTCTTCAGTGACGTCAGGACTCCTGTCTAGTAAAGAGGGACACCTCAGGAATCTCTTCGAGGCTTGGCAGGGCAAAAGGGACGCTTCTCGAGGTGAGGCAGGGCACCCAAGGACCCTTTCCAGTAGCCACAGGGATTTTGGGATTCCTATCAGTATTCAAAAGGAGTCAGGCATCTTCACCTTTTGAAGCAATGAACTCCGCGTGCCTCTCGAGGTGTCAACGGGATGTGAGGCATTCCGTCAAAATGAGGCAGGGACCTAGGGCTTTCTCTAAGTTCTCCACAGGGGATTAAGACATCCCTTCATGTTGTGAGATGAAAGACGAGCCTGTATTCAAGCCACTGCAAGGAAATCCGGCCTCCTTTCAAGTTAGGGCTTCTCGCTGTATATTCCCCTTGAGGCAGCAAACTCGGGGTCCCTCCTACATACCTATTGCTGAGAGAAGCCTCCTCCTGAGGTGCTTCTGGAAAGTTGGCATACGTCTTGAGCCTAAGCCAGGGAATCAGCTCTCATCTCGAGACGATTTGGGGTACACGGAGCATTCCTCGAGTTGCTGTGCTGAAGTTGGTGTTCCTCTATACTTGGGACAGAGTTCTCGGGGCAACTCTGGCGTTGCCTGAAGGAAGTCGAGCCACCGGTCGTGTTGAATGGGGAACGGGAAATGGCTCTGGAGTCAATGCAGCGGAATCGGGCCTCATCTCGAGTTGATTTGGGGCACATGGAGCTGCTTTGCGTTGTTGGGGTGACTTCAGGGTCCGTCTAGACTGGTGACAGTGTTCTTGGGGACTCTCTCGAGATCCATTAAGCAAGTCGAAGCTCCTGACTTGTTTGAATGGGATCACGGAATAGCTCTGCATGCACTGCAGGGGAATGGGGCCTCATCTCGCCTCTAGGGAGAAGTCTCTTGGTTTTTCTCGAGTTGCGGCGGGGACCTGGGGTATGTTCTCGACTTACGGCGGGGATGGCCCTTCAAAACACGAGTTTCTTTAGTGACGTCAGGACTCCAGTCTAGTAACGAGGGACACCTCAGGAATCTCTTCGAGGCTTGGCAGGGCAAAAGGGATGCTTCTCGAGGTGAGGCAGGGCACCCAAGGACCCTTTCCAGTAGCCACAGGGATTTTGGGACTCCTATCAGTATTCAAAAGAGTTAGGCATCGTCACATTTTGAAGCAATGAACTCCGCGTGCCTCTCGAGGTGTCAACGGGATGTGAGGCATTCCGTCAAAATGAGGCAGGGACCTAGGTCTTTTTCTAAGTCTCCAAAGGGGATTCAGACATCCCTTCAGGTTTTGAGATCAAAGACGAGCCTGTATTCAAGCCACTGCAAGGAAGTACGGCCTCCGTTCAAGTTAGGGCTTCTCGCTGTATATTCCACTTGAGGCATCGATCTCGGGGTCTCTCCCACATACCTATTGCTGAGAGAAGCCTCCTCCTGAGGTGCTTCTGGAAAGTTGGCATATGTCTTAAGTCTAAGCCAGGGAATCAGCTCTCATCTCGAGACGATTTGGGGTACACGGAGCATTCCTCGAGTTGCTGTGCTGAAGTTGGTGTTCCTCTAGACTTGGGCCAGTGTTCTCGGGGCATCTCTGGAGTTGCCTGAAGGAAGTCGAGCCACCGGTCGTGTTGAATGGGGAACGGGAATGGCTATGGAGTCAATGCAGGGGAATCGGGCCTCATCTCGAGTTGATTTGGGGCACATGGAGCTGCTTTTTGTTGCTGCGGTGACCTCAGGGTCCGTCTAGACTGGTGACAGTGTTCCTGGGTACTGTCTCGAGATCCATTAAGCAAGTCGAAGCTCCTGACTTGTTTGAATGGGATCACGGAATACCTCTGCATGCACTGCAGGGGAATGGGGCCTCATCTCGCCTCTAGGGGGAAGTCTCATGGTTTTTCTCGAGTTGCGGCGGGAACCTGGGGTATGTTCTCGACTTACGGCGGGGATGGCCCTTCAAAACACGTGTTTATTCAGTGACGTCAGGACTCCTGTCTAGTAAAGAGGGACACCTCAGGAATCTCTTCGAGGCTTGGCAGGGCAAAAGGGACGCTTCTCGAGTTGAGGCAGGGCACCCAAGGACCCTTTCCAGTAGCCACAGGGATTTTGGGATTCCTATCAGTATTCAAAAGGAGTCAGGCATCGTCACCTTTTGAAGCAATGAACTCCGCGTGCCTCTCGAGGTGTCAACCGAATGTGAGGCATTCCGTCAAAATGAGGCAGGGACATAGGGCTTTCTCTAAGGTCTCAACAGTGGATTCAGAAATCCCTTCATGTTTTGAGACCAAAGACGAGCCTATATTCAAGCCACTGCTAGGAAATCCGGCCTCCTTTCAAGTTAGGGCTTCTCGCTGTATATTCCACTTGAGGCAGCGATCTCGGGGTCCCTCCCACATACCTATTGCTGAGAGAAGCCTACTCCTGAGGTGCTTCTGGAAATTTGGCATACGTCTTGAGCCTAAGCCAGGGAATCAGCTCTCATCTCGAGACGATTTGGGGTACACGGAGCATTCCTTGAGTTGCTGTGCTGAAGTTGGTGTTCCTCTAGGCTTGGGATAGTGTTCTCGGGGCATCTCTGGAGTTGCCTGAAGGAAGTCGACCCACCGGTCGTGTTGAATGGGGAACGGGGAATGGCTCTGGAGTCAATGCAGGGGAATCGGGCCTCATCTCGAGTTGATTTGGGGCACATGGAGCTGCTTTGCGTTGCTGGGGTGACCTCAGGGTCCGTCTAGACTGGTGACAGTGTTCTTGGGGACTGTCTCGAGATTCATTAAGCAAGTCGAAGCTCCTGATTTGTTTGAATGGGATCACGGAATAGCTCTGCCTGCACTGCAGGGGATTTGGGCCTCATCTCGCCTCTAGGGGGAAGTCTCATGGTTTTTCTCGATTTGCGGCGGGGACCTGGGGTATGTTCTCGACTTACGGCGGGGATGGCCCTTCAAAACACGAGTTTCTTCAGTGACGTCAGGACTCCTGTCTAGTAACGAGGGACACCTCAGGAATCTCTTTGAGGCTTGGCACGGCAAAAGGGACGCTTCTCGAGGTGAGGCAGGGCAACCAAGGACACTTTCCAGTAGCCACAGGGATTTTGGGATTCCTATCATTATTCAAGAGCAGTCAGGCATCGTCACCTTTTGAAGCAATGAACTCCGCGTGCCTCTCGAGGTGTCAACGGTATGTGAGGCATTCCGTCAAAATGAGGCAGGGACCTAGGGCTTTCTCTAAGGTCTCCACAGAGGATTCAGACATCCCTTCATGTTGTGAAATGAAACAAGAGCCTGTATTCAAGACACTGCAAAGAAATCCGGCCTCCTTTCAAGTTAGGGCTTCTCGCTGTATATTCCCCTTGAGGCAGCAAACTCGGGGTCCCTCCCACATACCTATTGCTGAGAGAAGCCTCCTCCTGAGGTGCTTCTGGAAAGTTGGCATATGTCTTAAGTCTAAGCCAGGGAATCAGCTCTCATCTCGAGACGATTTGGGGTACATGGAGCATTCCTCGAGTTGCTGTGCTGAAGTTGGTGTTCCTCTAGACTTGGGCCAGTGTTCTCGGGGCATCTCTGGAGTTGCCTGAAGGAAGTCGAGCCACCGGTCTTGTTGAATGGGGAACGGGAATGGCTATGGAGTCAATGCAGGGGAATCGGGCCTCATCTCGAGTTGATTTGGGGCACATGGAGCTGCTTTGCGTTGCTGGGGTGACCTCAGGGTCCGTCTAGACTGGTGACAGTGTTCCTGGGTACTCTCTCGAGATCCATTAAGCAAGTCGAAGCTCCTGACTTGTTTCAATGGGATCACGGAATACCTCTGCATGCACTGCAGGGGAATGGGGCCTCATCTCGCCTCTAGGGGGAAGTCTCATGGTTTTTCTCGAGTTGTGGCGGGAACCTGGGGTATGTTCTCGACTTACGGCGGGGATGGCCCTTCAAAACACGTGTTTATTCAGTGACGTCAGGACTCCTGTCTAGTAACGAGGGACACCTCAGGAATCTCTTCGAGGCTTGGCAGGGCAAAAGGGACGCTTCTCGAGGTGAGGCAGGGCACCCAAGGACCCTTTCCAGTAGCCACAGGGATTTTGGGATTCCTATCAGTATTCAAAAGGAGTCAGGCATCGTCACCTTTTGAAGCACTGAACTCTGCGTGCCTCTCGAGGTGTCAACCGAATGTGAGGCATTCCGTCAAAATGAGGCAGGGACCTAGGGCTTTCTCTAAGGTCTCCACAGTGGATTCAGAAATCCCTTCATGTTTTGAGACCAAAGACGAGCCTATATTCAAGCCACTGCAAGGAAATCCGGCCTCCTTTCAAGTTAGGGCTTCTCGCTGTATATTCCACTTGAGGCAGCGATCTCGGGGTCCCTCCCACATACCTATTGCTGAGAGAAGCCTCCTCCTGAGGTGCTTCTGGAAAGTTGGCATACGTCTTGAGCCTAAGCCAGGGAATCAGCTCTCATCTCGAGACGATTTGGGGTACACGGAGCATTCCTTGAGTTGCTGTGCTGAAGTTGGTGTTCCTCTAGGCTTGGGATAGTGTTCTCGGGGCATCTCTGGAGTTGCCTGAAGGAAGTCGACCCACCGGTCGTGTTGAATGGGGAACGGGGAATGGCTCTGGAGTCAATGCAGGGGAATCGGGCCTCATCTCGAGTTGATTTGGGGCACATGGAGCTGCTTTGCGTTGCTGGGGTGACCTCAGGGTCCGTCTAGACTGGTGACAGTGTTCTTGGGGACTGTCTCGAGATTCATTAAGCAAGTCGAAGCTCCTGATTTGTTTGAATGGGATCACGGAATAGCTCTGCCTGCACTGCAGGGGATTTGGGCCTCATCTCGCCTCTAGGGGGAAGTCTCATGGTTTTTCTCGAGTTGCGGCAGTGACCTGGGGTATGTTCTAGACTTACGGCGGGGATGGCCCTTCAAAACACGAGTTTCTTCAGTGACGTCAGGACTCCTGTCTAGTAACGAGGGACACTTCAGGAATCTCTTCGAGGCTTGGCAGGGCAAACGGGACGCTTCTCGAGGTGAGGCAGGGCACCCCAGGACCCTTTCCAGTAGCCACAGGGATTTTGGGATTCCTATCAGTATTCAAGTGGAGTCAGGCATCTTCACCTTTTGAAGCAATGAACTCCGCGTGCCTCTCGAGGTGTCAACGGGATGTGAGGCATTCCGTCAAAATGAGGCAGGGACCTAGGGCTTTCTCTAAGGTCTCCACAGGGGATTAAGACATCCCTTCATGTTGTGAGATGAAAGACGAGCCTGTATTCAAGCCACTGCAAGGAAATCTGGCCTCCTTTCAAGTTAGGGTTTCTCGCTGTATATTGCCCTTGAGGCAGCAAACTCGGGGTCCCTCCCACATACCTATTGCTGAGACAGCCTCCTCCTGAGGTGCTTCTGGAAAGTTGGCATACGTCTTGAGCCTAAGCCAGGGAATCAGCTCTCATCTCGAGACGATTTGGGGTACACGGAGCATTCCTCGAGTTGCTGTGCTGAAGTTGGTGTTCCTCCAGACTTGGGACAGTGTTCTCGGGGCATCTCTGGAGTTGCCTGAAGGAAGTCGAGCCACCGGTCGTGTTGAATGGGGAACGAGAATGGCTATGGAGTAATGCAGGGGAATCGGGCCTCATCTCGAGTTGATTTGGGGCACATGGAGCTGCTTTGCGTTGCTGGGGTGACCTCAGAGTCCGTCTAGACTGGTGACAGTGTTCTTGGGGACTCTCTCGAGATCCATTAAGCAAGTCGAAGCTCCTGACTTGTTTGAATGGGATCACGGAATAGCTCTGCATGCACTGCAGGGGAATGGGGCCTCATCTCGCCTCTAGGGGGAAGTCTCATGGTTTTTCTCGAGTTGCGGCGGGGACCTGGGGTATGTTCTCGACTTACGGCGGGGATGGCCCTTCAAAACACGAGTTTCTTCAGTGACGTCAGGACTCCTGTCTAGTAACGAGGGACACCTCAGGAATCTCTTCGAGGCTTGGCAGGGCCAAAGGGACGCTTCTCGAGGTGAGGCAGGGCACCCAAGGACCCTTTCCAGTAGCCACAGGGATTTTGGGATTCCTATCAGTATTCAAGAGGAGTCAGGCATCGTCACCTTTTGAAGCAATGAACTCCGCGTGCCTCTCGAGGTGTCAGCGGGATGTGAGGCATTCCGTCAAAGTGAGGCAGGGACCTAGGGCTTTCTCTAAGGTCTCCACAGTGGATTCAGACATCCCTTCATGTTGTGAAATGAAACACGAGCCTGTATTCAAGCCACTGCAAGGAAATCCGGCCTCCTTTCAAGTTAGGGCTTCTCGCTGTATATTCCCCTTGAGGCAGCAAACTCGGGGTCCCTCCCACATACCTATTGCTGAGACAGCCTCCTCCTGAGGTGCTTCTGGAAAGTTGGCATACGTCTTGAGCCTAAGCCAGGGAATCAGCTCTCATCTCGAGACGATTTGGGGTACACGCAGCATTCCTCGAGTTGCTGTGCTAAAGTTGGTGTTTCTCTAGACTTGGGACAGTGTTCTCGGGGCATCACTGGAGTTGCCTGAAGGAAGTCGAGACACTGGTCGTGTTGAATGGGGAACGGGGAATCGCTCTGGAGTCAATGCAGGGGAATCGGGCCTCATCTCGAGTTGATTTGTGGCACATGGAGCTGCTTTGCGTTGCTTGGGTGACCTCAGGGTCCGTCTAGACTGGTGACAGTGTTCTTGGGGACTGTCTCGAGATCCATTAAGCAAGTCGAAGCTCCTGACTTGTTTGAATGGGATCACGGAATAGCTCTGCATGCACTGCAGGGGAATGGGGCCTCATCTCGCCTCTAGGGGGAAGTCTCATGGTTTTTCTCGATTTGCGGCGGGGACCTGGGGTATGTTCTCGACTTACGGCGGGGATGGCCCTTCAAAACACGAGTTTCTTCAGTGACGTCAGGACTCCTGTCTAGTAACGAGGGACACCTCAGGAATCTCTTTGAGGCTTGGCACGGCAAAAGGGACGCTTCTCGAGGTGAGGCAGGGCAACCAAGGACCCTTTCCAGTAGCCACAGGGATTTTGGGATTCCTATCATTATTCAAGAGCAGTCAGGCATCGTCACCTTTTGAAGCAATGAACTCCGCGTGCCTCTCGAGGTGTCCACGGTATGTGAGGCATTCCGTCAAAATGAGGCAGGGACCTAGGGCTTTCTCTAAGGTCTCCACAGAGGATTCAGACATCCCTTCATGTTGTGAAATGAAACAAGAGCCTGTATTCAAGACACTGCAAAGAAATCCGGCCTCCTTTCAAGTTAGGGCTTCTCGCTGTATATTCCCCTTGAGGCAGCAAACTCGGGGTCCCTCCCACATACCTATTGCTGAGAGAAGCCTCCTCCTGAGGTGCTTCTGGAAAGTTGGCATATGTCTTAAGTCTAAGCCAGGGAATCAGCTCTCATCTCGAGACGATTTGGGGTACACGGAGCATTCCTCGAGTTGCTGTGCTGAAGTTGGTGTTCCTCTAGACTTGGGCCAGTGTTCTCGGGGCATCTCTGGAGTTGCCTGAAGGAAGTCGAGCCACCGGTCGTGTTGAATGGGGAACGGGAATGGCTATGGAGTCAATGCAGGGGAATCGGGCCTCATCTCGAGTTGATTTGGGGCACATGGAGCTGCTTTGTGTTGCTGGGGTGACCTCAGGGTCCGTCTAGACTGGTGACAGTGTTCCTGGGTACTGTCTCGAGATCCATTAAGCAAGTCGAAGCTCCTGACTTGTTTGAATGGGATCACGGAATACCTCTGCATGCACTGCAGGGGAATGGGGCCTCATCTCGCCTCTAGGGGGAAGTCTCATGGTTTTTCTCGAGTTGCGGCGGGAACCTGGGGTATGTTCTCGACTTACGGCGGGGATGGCCCTTCAAAACACGTGTTTATTCAGTGACGTCAGGACTCCTGTCTAGTAACGAGGGACACCTCAGGAATCTCTTCGAGGCTTGGCAGGGCAAAAGGGACGCTTCTCGAGGTGAGGCAGGGCACCCAAGGACCCTTTCCAGTAGCCACAGGGATTTTGGGATTCCTATCAGTATTCAAAAGGAGTCAGGCATCGTCACCTTTTGAAGCAATGAACTCCGCGTGCCTCTCGAGGTGTCAACCGAATGTGAGGCATTCCGTCAAAATGAGGCAGGGACCTAGGGCTTTCTCTAAGGTCTCCACAGTGGATTCAGAAATCCCTTCATGTTTTGAGACCAAAGACGAGCCTATATTCAAGCCACTGCTAGGAAATCCGGCCTCCTTTCAAGTTAGGGCTTCTCGCTGTATATTCCACTTGAGGCAGCAATCTCGGGGTCCCTCCCACATACCTATTGCTGAGAGAAGCCTACTCCTGAGGTGCTTCTGGAAATTTGGCATACGTCTTGAGCCTAAGCCAGGGAATCAGCTCTCATCTCGAGACGATTTGGGGTACACGGAGCATTCCTTGAGTTGCTGTGCTGAAGTTGGTGTTCCTCTAGGCTTGGGATAGTGTTCTCAGGGCATCTCTGGAGTTGCCTGAAGGAAGTCGACCCACCGGTCGTGTTGAATGGGGAACGGGGAATTGCTCTGGAGTCAATGCAGGGGAATCGGGCCTCATCTCGAGTTGATTTGGGGCACATGGAGCTGCTTTGCGTTGCTGGGGTGACCTCAGGGTCCGTCTAGACTGGTGACAGTGTTCTTGGGGACTGTCTCGAGATTCATTAAGCAAGTCGAAGCTCCTGATTTGTTTGAATGGGATCACGGAATAGCTCTGCCTGCACTGCAGGGGATTTGGGCCTCATCTCGCCTCTAGGGGGAAGTCTCATGGTTTTTCTCGAGTTGCGGCGGGAACCTGGGGTATGTTCTCGACTTACGGCGGGGATGGCCCTTCAAAACACGTGTTTATTCAGTGACGTCAGGACTCCTGTCTAGTAACGAGGGACACCTCAGGAATCTCTTCGAGGCTTGGCAGGGCAAAAGGGACGCTTCTCGAGGTGAGGCAGGGCACCCAAGGACCCTTTCCAGTAGCCACAGTGATTTTGGGATTCCTATCAGTATTCAAAAAGAGTCAGGCATCGTCACCTTTTGAAGCACTGAACTCTGCGTGCCTCTCGAGGTGTCAACCGAATGTGAGGCATTCCGTCAAAATGAGGCAGGGACCTAGGGCTTTCTCTAAGGTCTCCACAGTGGATTCAGAAATCCCTTCATGTTTTGAGACCAAAGACGAGCCTATATTCAAGCCACTGCAAGGAAATCCGGCCTCCTTTCAAGTTAGGGCTTCTCGCTGTATATTCCACTTGAGGCAGCGATCTCGGGGTCCCTCCCACATACCTATTGCTGAGAGAAGCCTCCTCCTGAGGTGCTTCTGGAAAGTTGGCATACGTCTTGAGCCTAAGCCAGGGAATCAGCTCTCATCTCGAGACGATTTGGGGTACACGGAGCATTCCTTGAGTTGCTGTGCTGAAGTTGGTGTTCCTCTAGGCTTGGGATAGTGTTCTCGGGGCATCTCTGGAGTTGCCTGAAGGAAGTCGACCCACCGGTCGTGTTGAATGGGGAACGGGGAATGGCTCTGGAGTCAATGCAGGGGAATCGGGCCTCATCTCGAGTTGATTTGGGGCACATGGAGCTGCTTTGCGTTGCTGGGGTGACCTCAGGGTCCGTCTAGACTGGTGACAGTGTTCTTGGGGACTGTCTCGAGATTCATTAAGCAAGTCGAAGCTCCTGATTTGTTTGAATGGGATCACGGAATAGCTCTGCCTGCACTGCAGGGGATTTGGGCCTCATCTCGCCTCTAGGGGGAAGTCTCATGGTTTTTCTCGAGTTGCGGCGGGGACCTGGGGTATGTTCTCGACTTACGGCGGGGATGGCCCTTCAAAACACGAGTTTCTTCAGTGACGTCAGGACTCCTGTCTAGTAACGAGGGACACCTCAGGAATCTCTTCGAGGCTTGGCAGGGCAAAAGGGACGCTTCTCGAGGTGAGGCAGGGCACCCAAGGACCCTTTCCAGTAGCCACAGGGATTTTGGGATTCCTATCAGTATTCAAGAGGAGTCAGGCATCGTCACCTTTTGAAGCAATGAACTCCGCGTGCCTCTCGAGGTGTCAGCGGGATGTGAGGCATTCCGTCAAAGTGAGGCAGGGACCTAGGGCTTTCTCTAAGGTCTCCACAGTGGATTCAGACATCCCTTCATGTTGTGAAATGAAACACGAGCCTGTATTCAAGCCACTGCAAGGAAATCCGTCCTCCTTTCAAGTTAGGGCTTCTCGCTGTATATTCCCCTTGAGGCAGCAAACTCGGGGTCCCTCCCACATACCTATTGCTGAGACAGCCTCCTCCTGAGGTGCTTCTGGAAAGTTGGCATACGTCTTGAGCCTAAGCCAGGGAATCAGCTCTCATCTCGAGACGATTTGGGGTACACGCAGCATTCCTCGAGTTGCTGTGCTAAAGTTGGTGTTTCTCTAGACTTGGGACAGTGTTCTCGGGGCATCACTGGAGTTGCCTGAAGGAAGTCGAGACACTGGTCGTGTTGAATGGGGAACGGGGAATCGCTCTGGAGTCAATGCAGGGGAATCGGGCCTCATCTCGAGTTGATTTGTGGCACATGGAGCTGCTTTGCGTTGCTTGGGTGACCTCAAGGTCCGTCTAGACTGGTGACAGTGTTCTTGGGGACTGTCTCGAGATCCATTAAGCAAGTCGAAGCTCCTGACTTGTTTGAATGGGATCACGGAATAGCTCTGCATGCACTGCAGGGGAATGGGGCCTCATCTCGCCTCTAGGGGGAAGTCTCATGGTTTTTCTCGAGTTGCGGCGGGGACCTGGGGTATGTTCTCGACTTACGGCGGGGATGGCCCTTCAAAACACGAGTTTCTTCAGTGACGTCAGGACTCCTGTCTAGTAACGAGGGACACCTCAGGAATCTCTTTGAGGCTTGGCACGGCAAAAGGGACGCTTCTCGAGGTGAGGCAGGGCAACCAAGGACCCTTTCCAGTAGCCACAGGGATTTTGGGATTCCTATCATTATTCAAGAGCAGTCAGGCATCGTCACCTTTTGAAGCAATGAACTCCGCGTGCCTCTCGAGGTGTCAACGGTATGTGAGGCATTCCGTCAAAATGAGGCAGGGACCTAGGGCTTTCTCTAAGGTCTCCACAGAGGATTCAGACATCCCTTCATGTTGTGAAATGAAACAAGAGCCTGTATTCAAGACACTGCAAAGAAATCCGGCCTCCTTTCAAGTTAGTGCTTCTCGCTGTATATTCCCCTTGAGGCAGCAAACTCGGGGTCCCTCCCACATACCTATTGCTGAGAGAAGCCTCCTCCTGAGGTGCTTCTGGAAAGTTGGCATATGTCTTAAGTCTAAGCCAGGGAATCAGCTCTCATCTCGAGACGATTTGGGGTACACGGAGCATTCCTCGAGTTGCTGTGCTGAAGTTGGTGTTCCTCTAGACTTGGGCCAGTGTTCTCGGGGCATCTCTGGAGTTGCCTGAAGGAAGTCGAGCCACCGGTCGTGTCGAATGGGGAACGGGAATGGCTATGGAGTCAATGCAGGGGAATCGGGCCTCATCTCGAGTTGATTTGGGGCACATGGAGCTGCTTTGTGTTGCTGGGGTGACCTCAGGGTCCGTCTAGACTGGTGACAGTGTTCCTGGGTACTGTCTCGAGATCCATTAAGCAAGTCGAAGCTCCTGACTTGTTTGAATGGGATCACGGAATACCTCTGCATGCACTGCAGGGGAATGGGGCCTCATCTCGCCTCTAGGGGGAAGTCTCATGGTTTTTCTCGAGTTGCGGCGGGAACCTGGGGTATGTTCTCGACTTACGGCGGGGATGGCCCTTCAAAACACGTGTTTATTCAGTGACGTCAGGACTCCTGTCTAGTAACGAGGGACACCTCAGGAATCTCTTCGAGGCTTGGCAGGGCAAAAGGGACGCTTCTCGAGGTGAGGCAGGGCACCCAAGGACCCTTTCCAGTAGCCACAGGGATTTTGGGATTCCTATCAGTATTCAAAAGGAGTCAGGCATCGTCACCTTTTGAAGCACTGAACTCTGCGTGCCTCTCGAGGTGTCAACCGAATGTGAGGCATTCCGTCAAAATGAGGCAGGGACCTAGGGCTTTCTCTAAGGTCTCCACAGTGGATTCAGAAATCCCTTCATGTTTTGAGACCAAAGACGAGCCTATATTCAAGCCACTGCAAGGAAATCCGGCCTCCTTTCAAGTTAGGGCTTCTCGCTGTATATTCCACTTGAGGCAGCGATCTCGGGGTCCCTCCCACATACCTATTGCTGAGAGAAGCCTCCTCCTGAGGTGCTTCTGGAAAGTTGGCATACGTCTTGAGCCTAAGCCAGGGAATCAGCTCTCATCTCGAGACGATTTGGGGTACACGGAGCATTCCTTGAGTTGCTGTGCTGAAGTTGGTGTTCCTCTAGGCTTGGGATAGTGTTCTCGGGGCATCTCTGGAGTTGCCTGAAGGAAGTCGACCCACCGGTCGTGTTGAATGGGGAACGGGGAATGGCTCTGGAGTCAATGCAGGGGAATCGGGCCTCATCTCGAGTTGATTTGGGGCACATGGAGCTGCTTTGCGTTGCTGGGGTGACCTCAGGGTCCGTCTAGACTGGTGACAGTGTTCTTGGGGACTGTCTCGAGATTCATTAAGCAAGTCGAAGCTCCTGATTTGTTTGAATGGGATCACGGAATAGCTCTGCCTGCACTGCAGGGGATTTGGGCCTCATCTCGCCTCTAGGGGGAAGTCTCATGGTTTTTCTCGAGTTGCGGCAGTGACCTGGGGTATGTTCTAGACTTACGGCGGGGATGGCCCTTCAAAACACGAGTTTCTTCAGTGACGTCAGGACTCCTGTCTAGTAATGAGGGACACTTCAGGAATCTCTTCGAGGCTTGGCAGGGCAAACGGGACGCTTCTCGAGGTGAGGCAGGGCACCCCAGGACCCTTTCCAGTAGCCACAGGGATTTTGGGATTCCTATCAGTATTCAAGTGGAGTCAGGCATCTTCACCTTTTGAAGCAATGAACTCCGCGTGCCTCTCGAGGTGTCAACGGGATGTGAGGCATTCCGTCAAAATGAGGCAGGGACCTAGGGCTTTCTCTAAGGTCTCCACAGGGGATTAAGACATCCCTTCATGTTGTGAGATGAAAGACGAGCCTGTATTCAAGCCACTGCAAGGAAATCTGGCCTCCTTTCAAGTTAGGGTTTCTCGCTGTATATTGCCCTTGAGGCAGCAAACTCGGGGTCCCTCCCACATACCTATTGCTGAGACAGCCTCCTCCTGAGGTGCTTCTGGAAAGTTGGCATACGTCTTGAGCCTAAGCCAGGGAATCAGCTCTCATCTCGAGACGATTTGGGGTACACGGAGCATTCCTCGAGTTGCTGTGCTGAAGTTGGTGTTCCTCCAGACTTGGGACAGTGTTCTCGGGGCATCTCTGGAGTTGCCTGAAGGAAGTCGAGCCACCGGTCGTGTTGAATGGGGAACGAGAATGGCTATGGAGTAATGCAGGGGAATCGGGCCTCATCTCGAGTTGATTTGGGGCACATGGAGCTGCTTTGCGTTGCTGGGGTGACCTCAGAGTCCGTCTAGACTGGTGACAGTGTTCTTGGGGACTCTCTCGAGATCCATTAAGCAAGTCGAAGCTCCTGACTTGTTTGAATGGGATCACGGAATAGCTCTGCATGCACTGCAGGGGAATGGGGCCTCATCTCGCCTCTAGGGGGAAGTCTCATGGTTTTTCTCGAGTTGCGGCGGGGACCTGGGGTATGTTCTCGACTTACGGCGGGGATGGCCCTTCAAAACACGAGTTTCTTCAGTGACGTCAGGACTCCTGTCTAGTAACGAGGGACACCTCAGGAATCTCTTCGAGGCTTGGCAGGGCCAAAGGGACGCTTCTCGAGGTGAGGCAGGGCACCCAAGGACCCTTTCCAGTAGCCACAGGGATTTTGGGATTCCTATCAGTATTCAAGAGGAGTCAGGCATCGTCACCTTTTGAAGCAATGAACTCCGCGTGCCTCTCGAGGTTTCAGCGGGATGTGAGGCATTCCGTCAAAGTGAGGCAGGGACCTAGGGCTTTCTCTAAGGTCTCCACAGTGGATTCAGACATCCCTTCATGTTGTGAAATGAAACACGAGCCTGTATTCAAGCCACTGCAAGGAAATCCGGCCTCCTTTCAAGTTAGGGCTTCTCGCTGTATATTCCCCTTGAGGCAGCAAACTCGGGGTCCCTCCCACATACCTATTGCTGAGACAGCCTCCTCCTGAGGTGCTTCTGGAAAGTTGGCATACGTCTTGAGCCTAAGCCAGGGAATCAGCTCTCATCTCGAGACGATTTGGGGTACACGCAGCATTCCTCGAGTTGCTGTGCTAAAGTTGGTGTTTCTCTAGACTTGGGACAGTGTTCTCGGGGCATCACTGGAGTTGCCTGAAGGAAGTCGAGACACTGGTCGTGTTGAATGGGGAACGGGGAATCGCTCTGGAGTCAATGCAGGGGAATCGGGCCTCATCTCGAGTTGATTTGTGGCACATGGAGCTGCTTTGCGTTGCTTGGGTGACCTCAGGGTCCGTCTAGACTGGTGACAGTGTTCTTGGGGACTGTCTCGAGATCCATTAAGCAAGTCGAAGCTCCTGACTTGTTTGAATGGGATCACGGAATAGCTCTGCATGCACTGCAGGGGAATGGGGCCTCATCTCGCCTCTAGGGGGAAGTCTCATGGTTTTTCTCGATTTGCGGCGGGGACCTGGGGTATGTTCTCGACTTACGGCGGGGATGGCCCTTCAAAACACGAGTTTCTTCAGTGACGTCAGGACTCCTGTCTAGTAACGAGGGACACCTCAGGAATCTCTTTGAGGCTTGGCACGGCAAAAGGGACGCTTCTCGAGGTGAGGCAGGGCAACCAAGGACCCTTTCCAGTAGCCACAGGGATTTTGGGATTCCTATCATTATTCAAGAGCAGTCAGGCATCGTCACCTTTTGAAGCAATGAACTCCGCGTGCCTCTCGAGGTGTCAACGGTATGTGAGGCATTCCGTCAAAATGAGGCAGGGACCTAGGGCTTTCTCTAAGGTCTCCACAGAGGATTCAGACATCCCTTCAGGTTGTGAAATGAAACAAGAGCCTGTATTCAAGACACTGCAAAGAAATCCGGCCTCCTTTCAAGTTAGTGCTTCTCGCTGTATATTCCCCTTGAGGCAGCAAACTCGGGGTCCCTCCCACATACCTATTGCTGAGAGAAGCCTCCTCCTGAGGTGCTTCTGGAAAGTTCGCATATGTCTTAAGTCTAAGCCAGGGAATCAGCTCTCATCTCGAGACGATTTGGGGTACACGGAGCATTCCTCGAGTTGCTGTGCTGAAGTTGGTGTTCCTCTAGACTTGGGCCAGTGTTCTCGGGGCATCTCTGGAGTTGCCTGAAGGAAGTCGAGCCACCGGTCGTGTTGAATGGGGAACGGGAATGGCTATGGAGTCAATGCAGGGGAATCGGGCCTCATCTCGAGTTGATTTGGGGCACATGGAGCTGCTTTGTGTTGCTGGGGTGACCTCAGGGTCCGTCTAGACTGGTGACAGTGTTCCTGGGTACTGTCTCGAGATCCATTAAGCAAGTCGAAGCTCCTGACTTGTTTGAATGGGATCACGGAATACCTCTGCATGCACTGCAGGGGAATGGGGCCTCATCTCGCCTCTAGGGGGAAGTCTCATGGTTTTTCTCGAGTTGCGGCGGGAACCTGGGTTATGTACTCGACTTACGGCGGGGATGGCCCTTCAAAACACGTGTTTATTCAGTGACGTCAGGACTCCTGTCTAGTAACGAGGGACACCTCAGGAATCTCTTCGAGGCTTGGCAGGGCAAAAGGGACGCTTCTCGAGGTGAGGCAGGGCACCCAAGGACCCTTTCCAGTAGCCACAGGGATTTTGGGATTCCTATCAGTATTCAAAAGGAGTCAGGCATCGTCACCTTTTGAAGCAATGAACTCCGCGTGCCTCTCGAGGTGTCAACCGAATGTGAGGCATTCCGTCAAAATGAGGCAGGGACCTAGGGCTTTCTCTAAGGTCTCCACAGTGGATTCAGAAATCCCTTCATGTTTTGAGACCAAAGACGAGCCTATATTCAAGCCACTGCTAGGAAATCCGGCCTCCTTTCAAGTTAGGGCTTCTCGCTGTATATTCCACTTGAGGCAGCGATCTCGGGGTCCCTCCCACATACCTATTGCTGAGAGAAGCCTACTCCTGAGGTGCTTCTGGAAATTTGGCATACGTCTTGAGCCTAAGCCAGGGAATCAGCTCTCATCTCGAGACGATTTGGGGTACACGGAGCATTCCTTGAGTTGCTGTGCTGAAGTTGGTGTTCCTCTAGGCTTGGGATAGTGTTCTCGGGGCATCTCTGGAGTTGCCTGAAGGAAGTCGACCCACCGGTCGTGTTGAATGGGGAACGGGGAATGGCTCTGGAGTCAATGCAGGGGAATCGGGCCTCATCTCGAGTTGATTTGGGGCACATGGAGCTGCTTTGCGTTGCTGGGGTGACCTCAGGGTCCGTCTAGACTGGTGACAGTGTTCTTGGGGACTGTCTCGAGATTCATTAAGCAAGTCGAAGCTCCTGATTTGTTTGAATGGGATCACGGAATAGCTCTGCCTGCACTGCAGGGGATTTGGGCCTCATCTCGCCTCTAGGGGGAAGTCTCATGGTTTTTCTCGATTTGCGGCGGGGACCTGGGGTATGTTCTCGACTTACGACGGGGATGGCCCTTCAAAACACGAGTTTCTTCAGTGACGTCAGGACTCCTGTCTAGTAACGAGGGACACTTCAGGAATCTCTTCGAGGCTTGGCAGGGCAAACGGGACGCTTCTCGAGGTGAGGCAGGGCACCCCGGGACCCTTTCCAGTAGCCACAGGGATTTTGGGATTCCTATCAGTATTCAAGTGGAGTCAGGCATCTTCACCTTTTGAAGCAATGAACTCCGCGTGCCTCTCGAGGTGTCAACGGGATGTGAGGCATTCCGTCAAAATGAGGCAGGGACCTAGGGCTTTCTCTAAGGTCTCCACAGGGGATTAAGACATCCCTTCATGTTGTGAGATGAAAGACGAGCCTGTATTCAAGCCACTGCAAGGAAATCCGGCCTCCTTTCAAGTTAGGGCTTCTCGCTGTATATTCCACTTGAGGCAGCGATCTCAGGGTCCCTCCTACATACCTATTGCTGAGAGAAGCCTCCTCCTGAGGTGCTTCTGGAAAGTTGGCATACGTCTTGAGCCTAAGCCAGGGAATCAGCTCTCATCTCGAGACGATTTGGGGTACAAGGCGCATTCCTCGAGTTGCTGTGCTGAAGTTGGTGTTCCTCTATACTTGGGACAGAGTTCTCGGGGCAACTCTGGCGTTGCCTGAAGGAAGTCGAGCCACCGGCCGTGTTGAATGGGGAACGGGAAATGGCTCTGGAGTCAATGCAGGGGAATCGGGCCTCATCTCGAGTTGATTTGTGGCACATGGAGCTGCTTTGCGTTGTTGGGGTGACTTCAGGGTCCGTCTAGACTGGTGACAGTGTTCTTGGGGACTCTCTCGAGATCCATTAAGCAAGTCGAAGCTCCTGACTTGTTTGAATGGGATCACGGAATAGCTCTGCATGCACTGCAGCGGAATGGGGCCTCATCTCGCCTCTAGGGAGAAGTCTCATGGTTTTTCTCGAGTTGCGGCGGGGACCTGGGGTATGTTCTCGACTTACGGCGGGGATGGCCCTTCAAAACACGAGTTTCTTTAGTGACGTCAGGACTCCAGTCTAGTAACGAGGGACACCTCAGGAATCTCTTCGAGGCTTGGCAGGGCAAAAGGGATGCTTCTCGAGGTGAGGCAGGGCACCCAAGGACCCTTTCCAGTAGCCACAGGGATTTTGGGATTCCTATCAGTATTCAAAAGGAGTTAGGCATCGTCACATTTTGAAGCAATGAACTCCGCGTGCCTCTCGAGGTGTCAACGGGATGTGAGGCATTCCGTCAAAATGAGGCAGGGACCTAGGTCTTTTTCTAAGTCTCCAAAGGGGATTCAGACATCCCTTCAGGTTTTGAGATCAAAGACGAGCCTGTATTCAAGCCACTGCAAGGAAGTACGGCCTCCGTTCAAGTTAGGGCTTCTCGCTGTATATTCCACTTGAGGCAGCGATCACGGGGTCTCTCCCACATACCTATTGCTGAGAGAAGCCTCCTCCTGAGGTGCCTCTGGAAAGTTGGCATACGTCTTGAGCCTAAGCCAGGGAATCAGCTCTCATCTCGAGACGATTTGGGTTACACAGAGCATTCCTCCAGTTGCTGTGCTGAAGTTGGTGTTCCTCTAGACTTGGAACAGTGTTCTCGGGGCATCTCTGGAGCTGCCTGAAGGAAGCCGAGCCACTGGTCGTGTTGAATGGGGAACGGGGAATGGCTCTGGAGTCAATGCAGGGGAATCGGGCCTCATCTCGAGTTGATTTGGGGCACATGTTGCTAGTTTGCGTTGCTGGAGTGACCTCAGGGTCCGTCTAGACTGGTGACAGTGTTCTTGGGGACTGTCTCGAGATCCATTAAGCAATTCGAAGCTCCTGATTTGTTTGAATGGGATCACGGAATAGATCTGCATGCACTGCAGGGAAATGGGGCCTCATCTCGCCTCTAGAGGGAAGTCTCAAGGTTTTTCTCGAGTTGCGGCGGGGACCTGGGCTATGTTCTCGACTTACGGCGGGGATGGCCCTTCAAAACACGAGTTTCTTCAGTGACGTCAGGACTCCAATCTAGTAAACAGGGACACCTCAGCAAACTCTTTCAGGCTTGGCAGGGCAAAAGGGATGCTTCTCGATTTGAGGCAGGGCACCCAAGGACCCTTTCCAGTAGCCACAGCGATTTTGGGATTCCTATCAGTATTCAAGAGGAGTCAGGCATCGTCACCTTTTGAAGCAATGAACTCCGCGTGCCTCTCGAGGTGTCAACGGGTTGTGAGGCATTCCGTCAAAATCAGGCAGGGACCTAGGGCTTTCTCTAAGGTCTCCACAGGGAATTCAGACATCCCTTCATGTTTTGAGATCAAAGACGAGCCTTTATGCAAGCCACTGCAAGGAAATCCGGCCTCCTTTCAATATAGGGCTTCTCGCTGTATATTCCCCTTGAAGCAGCGATCTTGGGGTCCCTCCCAAATACCTGTTGCTGAGAGAAGCCTCCTCCTGAGGTGCTTCTGGAAAGTTAGCATACGTCTTGAGCCTAAGGCAGGGAATCAGCTCGCATCTCGAGACGATTTGGTGTACATGGAGCATTCCTCGAGTTGCTGTGCTGAGGTTGGTGTTCCTCTATACTTGGGACAGTGTTCTCGGGGCATCTCTGGAGTTCCCTGAAGGAAGTCGAGCCACCGGTCGTGTTGAATGGGGAACGGGGAATTGCTCTGGAGTCAATGCAGGGGAATCGGGCCTCATCTCGTGTTGATTTGGGGCACATGGAGCTTCTTTGCATTGCTGGGGTGACCTCAGGGTCCGTCTAGACTGGTGACAGTGTTCTTGGGGACTGTCTCGAGATCCATTAAGCAAGTCGAAGCTCCTGACTGGTTTGAATGGGATCACGGAATAGCTCTGCATGCACTGCATGGGAATGGGGCCTCATCTCGCCTCTAGGGGGAAGTCTCATGGTTTTTCTCGAGTTGCGGCGGGGACCTGGGGTATGTTCTCGACTTACAGCGGGGATGGCCCTTCAAAACACAAGTTTCTTCAGTGACGTCAGGACTCCTGTCTAGTAACGAGGGACACCTCAGGAATCTCTTTGAGGCTTGGCACGGCAAAAGGGACGCTTCTCGAGGTGAGGCAGGGCAACCAAGGACACTTTCCAGTAGCCACAGGGATTTTGGGATTCCTATCATTATTCAAGAGCAGTCAGGCATCGTCACCTTTTGATGCAATGAACTCCGCGTGCCTCTCGAGGTGTCAACGGTATGTGAGGCATTCCGTCAAAATGAGGCAGGGACCTAGGGCTTTCTCTAAGGTCTCCACAGAGGATTCAGACATCCCTTCATGTTGTGAAATGAAACAAGAGCCTGTATTCAAGACACTGCAAAGAAATCCGGCCTCCTTTCAAGTTAGGGCTTCTCGCTGTATATTCCCCTTGAGGCAGCAAACTCGGGGTCCCTCCCACATACCTATTGCTGAGAGAAGCCTCCTCCTGAGGTGCTTCTGGAAAGTTGGCATATGTCTTAAGTCTAAGCCAGGGAATCAGCTCTCATCTCGAGACGATTTGGGGTACATGGAGCATTCCTCGAGTTGCTGTGCTGAAGTTGGTGTTCCTCTAGACTTGGGCCAGTGTTCTCGGGGCATCTCTGGAGTTGCCTGAAGGAAGTCGAGCCACCGGTCTTGTTGAATGGGGAACAGGAATGGCTATGGAGTCAATGCAGGGGAATCGGGCCTCATCTCGAGTTGATTTGGGGCACATGGAGCTGCTTTGCGTTGCTGGGGTGACCTCAGGGTCCGTCTAGACTGGTGACAGTGTTCCTGGGTACTCTCTCGAGATCCATTAAGCAAGTCGAAGCTCCTGACTTGTTTCAATGGGATCACGGAATACCTCTGCATGCACTGCAGGGGAATGGGGCCTCATCTCGCCTCTAGGGGGAAGTCTCATGGTTTTTCTCGAGTTGCGGCGGGAACCTAGGGTATGTTCTCGACTTACGGCGGGGATGGCCCTTCAAAACACGTGTTTATTCAGTGACGTCAGGACTCCTGTCTAGTAACGAGGGACACCTCAGGAATCTCTTCGAGGCTTGGCAGGGCAAAAGGGACGCTTCTCGAGGTGAGGCAGGGCACCCAAGGACCCTTTCCAGTAGCCACAGGGATTTTGGGATTCCTATCAGTATTCAAAAGGAGTCAGGCATCGTCACCTTTTGAAGCACTGAACTCTGCGTGCCTCTCGAGGTGTCAACCGAATGTGAGGCATTCCGTCAAAATGAGGCAGGGACCTAGGGCTTTCTCTAAGGTCTCCACAGGGGATTCAGAAATCCCTTCATGTTTTGAGACCAAAGACGAGCCTATATTCAAGCCACTGCAAGGAAATCCGGCCTCCTTTCAAGTTAGGGCTTCTCGCTGTATATTCCACTTGAGGCAGCGATCTCGGGGTCCCTCCCACATACCTATTGCTGAGAGAAGCCTCCTCCTGAGGTGCTTCTGGAAAGTTGGCATACGTCTTGAGCCTAAGCCAGGGAATCAGCTCTCATCTCGAGACGATTTGGGGTACACGGAGCATTCCTTGAGTTGCTGTGCTGAAGTTGGTATTCCTCTAGGCTTGGGATAGTGTTCTCGGGGCATCTCTGGAGTTGCCTGAAGGAAGTCGACCCACCGGTCGTGTTGAATGGGGAACGGGGAATGGCTCTGGAGTCAATGCAGGGGAATCGGGCCTCATCTCGAGTTGATTTGGGGCACATGGAGCTGCTTTGCGTTGCTGGGGTGACCTCAGGGTCCGTCTAGACTGGTGACAGTGTTCTTGGGGACTGTCTCGAGATTCATTAAGCAAGTCGAAGCTCCTGATTTGTTTGAATGGGATCACGGAATAGCTCTGCCTGCACTGCAGGGGATTTGGGCCTCATCTCGCCTCTAGGGGGAAGTCTCATGGTTTTTCTCGAGTTGCGGCAGTGACCTGGGGTATGTTCTAGACTTACGGCGGGGATGGCCCTTCAAAACACGAGTTTCTTCAGTGACGTCAGGACTCCTGTCTAGTAACGAGGGACACTTCAGGAATCTCTTCGAGGCTTGGCAGGGCAAACGGGACGCTTCTCGAGGTGAGGCAGGGCACCCCAGGACCCTTTCCAGTAGCCACAGGGATTTTGGGATTCCTATCAGTATTCAAGTGGAGTCAGGCATCTTCACCTTTTGAAGCAATGAACTCCGCGTGCCTCTCGAGGTGTCAACGGGATGTGAGGCATTCCGTCAAAATGAGGCAGGGACCTAGGGCTTTCTCTAAGGTCTCCACAGGGGATTAAGACATCCCTTCATGTTGTGAGATGAAAGACGAGCCTGTATTCAAGCCACTGCAAGGAAATCTGGCCTCCTTTCAAGTTAGGGTTTCTCGCTGTATATTGCCCTTGAGGCAGCAAACTCGGGGTCCCTCCCACATACCTATTGCTGAGACAGCCTCCTCCTGAGGTGCTTCTGGAAAGTTGGCATACGTCTTGAGCCTAAGCCAGGGAATCAGCTCTCATCTCGAGACGATTTGGGGTACACGGAGCATTCCTCGAGTTGCTGTGCTGAAGTTGGTGTTCCTCCAGACTTGGGACAGTGTTCTCGGGGCATCTCTGGAGTTGCCTGAAGGAAGTCGAGCCACCGGTCGTGTTGAATGGGGAACGAGAATGGCTATGGAGTAATGCAGGGGAATCGGGCCTCATCTCGAGTTGATTTGGGGCACATGGAGCTGCTTTGCGTTGCTGGGGTGACCTCAGAGTCCGTCTAGACTGGTGACAGTGTTCTTGGGGACTCTCTCGAGATCCATTAAGCAAGTCGAAGCTCCTGACTTGTTTGAATGGGATCACGGAATAGCTCTGCATGCACTGCAGGGGAATGGGGCCTCATCTCGCCTCTAGGGGGAAGTCTCATGGTTTTTCTCGAGTTGCGGCGGGGACCTGGGGTATGTTCTCGACTTACGGCGGGGATGGCCCTTCAAAACACGAGTTTCTTCAGTGACGTCAGGACTCCTGTCTAGTAACGAGGGACACCTCAGGAATCTCTTCGAGGCTTGGCAGGGCCAAAGGGACGCTTCTCGAGGTGAGGCAGGGCACCCAAGGACCCTTTCCAGTAGCCACAGGGATTTTGGGATTCCTATCAGTATTCAAGAGGAGTCAGGCATCGTCACCTTTTGAAGCAATGAACTCCGCGTGCCTCTCGAGGTGTCAGCGGGATGTGAGGCATTCCGTCAAAGTGAGGCAGGGACCTAGGGCTTTCTCTAAGGTCTCCACAGTGGATTCAGACATCCCTTCATGTTGTGAAATGAAACACGAGCCTGTATTCAAGCCACTGCAAGGAAATCCGGCCTCCTTTCAAGTTAGGGCTTCTCGCTGTATATTCCCCTTGAGGCAGCAAACTCGGGGTCCCTCCCACATACCTATTGCTGAGACAGCCTCCTCCTGAGGTGCTTCTGGAAAGTTGGCATACGTCTTGAGCCTAAGCCAGGGAATCAGCTCTCATCTCGAGACGATTTGGGGTACACGCAGCATTCCTCGAGTTGCTGTGCTAAAGTTGGTGTTTCTCTAGACTTGGGACAGTGTTCTCGGGGCATCACTGGAGTTGCCTGAAGGAAGTCGAGACACTGGTCGTGTTGAATGGGGAACGGGGAATCGCTCTGGAGTCAATGCAGGGGAATCGGGCCTCATCTCGAGTTGATTTGTGGCACATGGAGCTGCTTTGCGTTGCTTGGGTGACCTCAGGGTCCGTCTAGACTGGTGACAGTGTTCTTGGGGACTGTCTCGAGATCCATTAAGCAAGTCGAAGCTCCTGACTTGTTTGAATGGGATCACGGAATAGCTCTGCATGCACTGCAGGGGAATGGGGCCTCATCTCGCCTCTAGGGGGAAGTCTCATGGTTTTTCTCGATTTGCGGCGGGGACCTGGGGTATGTTCTCGACTTACGGCGGGGATGGCCCTTCAAAACACGAGTTTCTTCAGTGACGTCAGGACTCCTGTCTAGTAACGAGGGACACCTCAGGAATCTCTTTGAGGCTTGGCACGGCAAAAGGGACGCTTCTCGAGGTGAGGCAGGGCAACCAAGGACCCTTTCCAGTAGCCACAGGGATTTTGGGATTCCTATCATTATTCAAGAGCAGTCAGGCATCGTCACCTTTTGAAGCAATGAACTCCGCGTGCCTCTCGAGGTGTCAACGGTATGTGAGGCATTCCGTCAAAATGAGGCAGGGACCTAGGGCTTTCTCTAAGGTCTCCACAGAGGATTCAGACATCCCTTCATGTTGTGAAATGAAACAAGAGCCTGTATTCAAGACACTGCAAAGAAATCCGGCCTCCTTTCAAGTTAGGGCTTCTCGCTGTATATTCCCCTTGAGGCAGCAAACTCGGGGTCCCTCCCACATACCTATTGCTGAGAGAAGCCTCCTCCTGAGGTGCTTCTGGAAAGTTGGCATATGTCTTAAGTCTAAGCCAGGGAATCAGCTCTCATCTCGAGACGATTTGGGGTACACGGAGCATTCCTCGAGTTGCTGTGCTGAAGTTGGTGTTCCTCTAGACTTGGGCCAGTGTTCTCGGGGCATCTCTGGAGTTGCCTGAAGGAAGTCGAGCCACCGGTCGTGTTGAATGGGGAACGGGAATGGCTATGGAGTCAATGCAGGGGAATCGGGCCTCATCTCGAGTTGATTTGGGGCACATGGAGCTGCTTTGTGTTGCTGGGGTGACCTCAGGGTCCGTCTAGACTGGTGACAGTGTTCCTGGGTACTGTCTCGAGATCCATTAAGCAAGTCGAAGCTCCTGACTTGTTTGAATGGGATCACGGAATACCTCTGCATGCACTGCAGGGGAATGGGGCCTCATCTCGCCTCTAGGGGGAAGTCTCATGGTTTTTCTCGAGTTGCGGCGGGAACCTGGGGTATGTTCTCGACTTACGGCGGGGATGGCCCTTCAAAACACGTGTTTATTCAGTGACGTCAGGACTCCTGTCTAGTAACGAGGGACACCTCAGGAATCTCTTCGAGGCTTGGCAGGGCAAAAGGGACGCTTCTCGAGGTGAGGCAGGGCACCCAAGGACCCTTTCCAGTAGCCACAGTGATTTTGGGATTCCTATCAGTATTCAAAAGGAGTCAGGCATCGTCACCTTTTGAAGCACTGAACTCTGCGTGCCTCTCGAGGTGTCAACCGAATGTGAGGCATTCCGTCAAAATGAGGCAGGGACCTAGGGCTTTCTCTAAGGTCTCCACAGTGGATTCAGAAATCCCTTCATGTTTTGAGACCAAAGACGAGCCTATATTCAAGCCACTGCAAGGAAATCCGGCCTCCTTTCAAGTTAGGGCTTCTCGCTGTATATTCCACTTGAGGCAGCGATCTCGGGGTCCCTCCCACATACCTATTGCTGAGAGAAGCCTCCTCCTGAGGTGCTTCTGGAAAGTTGGCATACGTCTTGAGCCTAAGCCAGGGAATCAGCTCTCATCTCGAGACGATTTGGGGTACACGGAGCATTCCTTGAGTTGCTGTGCTGAAGTTGGTGTTCCTCTAGGCTTGGGATAGTGTTCTCGGGGCATCTCTGGAGTTGCCTGAAGGAAGTCGACCCACCGGTCGTGTTGAATGGGGAACGGGGAATGGCTCTGGAGTCAATGCAGGGGAATCGGGCCTCATCTCGAGTTGATTTGGGGCACATGGAGCTGCTTTGCGTTGCTGGGGTGACCTCAGGGTCCGTCTAGACTGGTGACAGTGTTCTTGGGGACTGTCTCGAGATTCATTAAGCAAGTCGAAGCTCCTGATTTGTTTGAATGGGATCACGGAATAGCTCTGCCTGCACTGCAGGGGATTTGGGCCTCATCTCGCCTCTAGGGGGAAGTCTCATGGTTTTTCTCGAGTTGCGGCAGTGACCTGGGGTATGTTCTAGACTTACGGCGGGGATGGCCCTTCAAAACACGAGTTTCTTCAGTGACGTCAGGACTCCTGTCTAGTAACGAGGGACACTTCAGGAATCTCTTCGAGGCTTGGCAGGGCAAACGGGACGCTTCTGGAGGTGAGGCAGGGCACCCCAGGACCCTTTCCAGTAGCCACAGGGATTTTGGGATTCCTATCAGTATTCAAGTGGAGTCAGGCATCTTCACCTTTTGAAGCAATGAACTCCACTTGCCTCTCGAGGTGTCAACGGGATGTGAGGCATTCCGTCAAAATGAGGCAGGGACCTAGGGCTTTCTCTAAGGTCTCCACAGGGGATTAAGACATCCCTTCATGTTGTGAGATGAAAGACGAGCCTGTATTCAAGCCACTGCAAGGAAATCTGGCCTCCTTTCAAGTTAGGGTTTCTCGCTGTATATTGCCCTTGAGGCAGCAAACTCGGGGTCCCTCCCACATACCTATTGCTGAGACAGCCTCCTCCTGAGGTGCTTCTGGAAAGTTGGCATCCGTCTTGAGCCTAAGCCAGGGAATCAGCTCTCATCTCGAGACGATTTGGGGTACACGGAGCATTCCTCGAGTTGCTGTGCTGAAGTTGGTGTTCCTCCAGACTTGGGACAGTGTTCTCGGGGCATCTCTGGAGTTGCCTGAAGGAAGTCGAGCCACCGGTCGTGTTGAATGGGGAACGAGAATGGCTATGGAGTAATCCAGGGGAATCGGGCCTCATCTCGAGTTGATTTGGGGCACATGGAGCTGCTTTGCGTTGCAGGGGTGACCTCAGATTCCGTCTAGACTGGTGACAGTGTTCTTGGGGACTCTCTCGAGATCCATTAAGCAAGTCGAAGCTCCTGACTTGTTTGAATGGGATCACGGAATAGCTCTGCATGCACTGCAGGGGAATGGGGCCTCATCTCGCCTCTAGGGGGAAGTCTCATGGTTTTTCTCGAGTTGCGGCGGGGACCTGGGGTATGTTCTCGACTTACGGCGGGGATGGCCCTTCAAAACACGAGTTTCTTCAGTGACGTCAGGACTCCTGTCTAGTAACTAGGGACACCTCAGGAATCTCTTCGAGGCTTGGCAGGGCAAAAGGGACGCTTCTCGAGGTGAGGCAGGGCACCCAAGGACCCTTTCCAGTAGCCACAGGGATTTTGGGATTCCTATCAGTATTCAAGAGGAGTCAGGCATCGTCACCTTTTGAAGCAATGAACTCCGCGTGCCTCTCGAGGTGTCAGCGGGATGTGAGGCATTCCTTCATAGTGAGGCAGGGACCTAGGGCTTTCTCTAAGGTCTCCACAGTGGATTCAGACATCCCTTCATGTTGTGAAATGAAACACGAGCCTGTATTCAAGCCACTGCAAGGAAATCCGGCCTCCTTTCAAGTTAGGGCTTCTCGCTGTATATTCCCCTTGAGGCAGCAAACTCGGGGTCCCTCCCACATACCTATTGCTGAGACAGCCTCCTCCTGAGGTGCTTCTGGAAAGTTGGCATACGTCTTGAGCCTAAGCCAGGGAATCAGCTCTCATCTCGAGACGATTTGGGGTACACGCAGCATTCCTCGAGTTGCTGTGCTAAAGTTGGTGTTTCTCTAGACTTGGGACAGTGTTCTCGGGGCATCACTGGAGTTGCCTGAAGGAAGTCGAGACACTGGTCGTGTTGAATGGGGAACGGGGAATCGCTCTGGAGTCAATGCAGGGGAATCGGGCCTCATCTCGAGTTGATTTGTGGCACATGGAGCTGCTTTGCGTTGCTTGGGTGACCTCAGGGTCCGTCTAGACAGGTGACAGTGTTCTTGGGGACTGTCTCGAGATCCATTAAGCAAGTCGAAGCTCCTGACTTGTTTGAATGGGATCACGGAATAGCTCTGCATGCACTGCAGGGGAATGGGGCCTCATCTCGCCTCTAGGGGGAAGTCTCATGGTTTTTCTCGATTTGCGGCGGGGACCTGGGGTATGTTCTCGACTTACGGCGGGGATGGCCCTTCAAAACACGAGTTTCTTCAGTGACGTCAGGACTCCTGTCTAGTAACGAGGGACACCTCAGGAATCTCTTTGAGGCTTGGCACGGCAAAAGGGACGCTTCTCGAGGTGAGGCAGGGCAACCAAGGACCCTTTCCAGTAGCCACAGGGATTTTGGGATTCCTATCATTATTCAAGAGCAGTCAGGAATCGTCACCTTTTGAAGCAATGAACTCCGCGTGCCTCTCGAGGTGTCAACGGTATGTGAGGCATTCCGTCAAAATGAGGCAGGGACCTAGGGCTTTCTCTAAGGTCTCCACAGAGGATTCAGACATCCCTTCATGTTGTGAAATGAAACAAGAGCCTGTATTCAAGACACTGCAAAGAAATCCGGCCTCCTTTCAAGTTAGTGCTTCTCGCTGTATATTCCCCTTGAGGCAGCAAACTCGGGGTCCCTCCCACATACCTATTGCTGAGAGAAGCCTCCTCCTGAGGTGCTTCTGGAAAGTTGGCATATGTCTTAAGTCTAAGCCAGGGAATCAGCTCTCATCTCGAGACGATTTGGGGTACACGGAGCATTCCTCGAGTTGCTGTGCTGAAGTTGGTGTTCCTCTAGACTTGGGCCAGTGTTCTCGGGGCATCTCTGGAGTTGCCTGAAGGAAGTCGAGCCACCGGTCGTGTTGAATGGGGAACGGGAATGGCTATGGAGTCAATGCAGGGGAATCGGGCCTCATCTCGAGTTGATTTGGGGCACATGGAGCTGCTTTGTGTTGCTGGGGTGACCTCAGGGTCCGTCTAGACTGGTGACAGTGTTCCTGGGTACTGTCTCGAGATCCATTAAGCAAGTCGAAGCTCCTGACTTGTTTGAATGGGATCACGGAATACCTCTGCATGCACTGCAGGGGAATGGGGCCTCATCTCGCCTCTAGGGGGAAGTCTCATGGTTTTTCTCGAGTTGCGGCGGGAACCTGGGGTATGTTCTCGACTTACGGCGGGGATGGCCCTTCAAAACACGTGTTTATTCAGTGACGTCAGGACTCCTGTCTAGTAACGAGGGACACCTCAGGAATCTCTTCGAGGCTTGGCAGGGCAAAAGGGACGCTTCTCGAGGTGAGGCAGGGCACCCAAGGACCCTTTCCAGTAGCCACAGGGATTTTGGGATTCCTATCAGTATTCAAAAGGAGTCAGGCATCGTCACCTTTTGAAGCACTGAACTCTGCGTGCCTCTCGATGTGTCAACCGAATGTGAGGCATTCCGTCAAAATGAGGCAGGGACCTAGGGCTTTCTCTAAGGTCTCCACAGTGGATTCAGAAATCCCTTCATGTTTTGAGACCAAAGACGAGCCTATATTCAAGCCACTGCAAGGAAATCCGGCCTCCTTTCAAGTTAGGGCTTCTCGCTGTATATTCCACTTGAGGCAGCGATCTCGGGGTCCCTCCCACATACCTATTGCTGAGAGAAGCCTCCTCCTGAGGTGCTTCTGGAAAGTTGGCATACGTCTTGAGCCTAAGCCAGGGAATCAGCTCTCATCTTGAGACGATTTGGGGTACACGGAGCATTCCTTGAGTTGCTGTGCTGAAGTTGGTGTTCCTCTAGACTTGGGACAGTGTTCTCGGGGCATCTCTGGAGTTGCCTGAAGGAAGTCGACCCACCGGTCGTGTTGAATGGGGAACTGGGAATGGCTCTGGAGTCAATGCAGGGGAATCGGCCCTCATCTCGAGTTGATTTGGGGCACATGGAGCTGCTTTGCGTTGCTGGGGTGACCTCAGGGTCCGTCTAGACTGGTGACAGTGTTCTTGGGGACTGTCTCGAGATTCATTAAGCAAGTCGAAGCTCCTGATTTGTTTGAATGGGATCACGGAATAGCTCTGCCTGCACTGCAGGGGATTTGGGCCTCATCTCGCCTCTAGGGGGAAGTCTCATGGTTTTTCTCGAGTTGCGGCAGTGACCTGGGGTATGTTCTAGACTTACGGCGGGGATGGCCCTTCAAAACACGAGTTTCTTCAGTGACGTCAGGACTCCTGTCTAGTAACGAGGGACACTTCAGGAATCTCTTCGAGGCTTGGCAGGGCAAACGGGACGCTTCTCGAGGTGAGGCAGGGCACCCCAGGACCCTTTCCAGTAGCCACAGGGATTTTGGGATTCCTATCAGTATTCAAGTGGAGTCAGGCATCTTCACCTTTTGAAGCAATGAACTCCGCGTGCCTCTCGAGGTGTCAACGGGATGTGAGGCATTCCGTCAAAATGAGGCAGGGACCTAGGGCTTTCTCTAAGGTCGCCACAGGGGATTAAGACATCCCTTCATGTTGTGAGATGAAAGACGAGCCTGTATTCAAGCCACTGCAAGGAAATCTGGCCTCCTTTCAAGTTAGGGTTTCTCGCTGTATATTGCCCTTGAGGCAGCAAACTCGGGGTCCCTCCCACATAACTATTGCTGAGACAGCCTCCTCCTGAGGTGCTTCTGGAAAGTTGGCATACGTCTTGAGCCTAAGCCAGGGAATCAGCTCTCATCTCGAGACGATTTGGGGTACACAGAGCATTCCTCGAGTTGCTGTGCTGAAGTTGGTGTTCCTCCAGACTTGGGACAGTGTTCTCGGGGCATCTCTGGAGTTGCCTGAAGGAAGTCGAGCCACCGGTCGTGTTGAATGGGGAACGAGAATGGCTATGGAGTAATGCAGGGGAATCGGGCCTCATCTCGAGTTGATTTGGGGCACATGGAGCTGCTTTGCGTTGCTGGGTTGACCTCAGAGTCCGTCTAGACTGGTGACAGTGTTCTTGGGGACTCTCTCGAGATCCATTAAGCAAGTCGAAGCTCCTGACTTGTTTGAATGGGATCACGGAATAGCTCTGCATGCACTGCAGGGGAATGGGGAATCATCTCGCCTCTAGGGGGAAGTCTCATGGTTTTTCTCGAGTTGCGGCGGGGACCTGGGGTATGTTCTCGACTTACGGCGGGGATGGCCCTTCAAAACACGAGTTTCTTCAGTGACGTCAGGACTCCTGTCTAGTAACGAGGGACACCTCAGGAATCTCTTCGAGGCTTGGCAGGGCCAAAGGGACGCTTCTCGAGGTGAGGCAGGGCACCCAAGGACCCTTTCCAGTAGCCACAGGGATTTTGGGATTCCTATCAGTATTCAAGAGGAGTCAGGCATCGTCACCTTTTGAAGCAATGAACTCCGCGTGCCTCTCGAGGTGTCAGCGGGATGTGAGGCATTCCGTCAAAGTGAGGCAGGGACCTAGGGCTTTCTCTAAGGTCTCCACAGTGGATTCAGACATCCCTTCATGTTGTGAAATGAAACACGAGCCTGTATTCAAGCCACTGCAAGGAAATCCGGCCTCCTTTCAAGTTAGGGCTTCTCGCTGTATATTCCCCTTGAGGCAGCAAACTCGGGGTCCCTCCCACATACCTATTGCTGAGACAGCCTCCTCCTGAGGTGCTTCTGGAAAGTTGGCATACGTCTTGAGCCTAAGCCAGGGAATCAGCTCTCATCTCGAGACGATTTGGGGTACACGCAGCATTCCTCGAGTTGCTGTGCTAAAGTTGGTGTTTCTCTAGACTTGGGACAGTGTTCTCGGGGCATCACTGGAGTTGCCTGAAGGAAGTCGAGACACTGGTCGTGTTGAATGGGGAACGGGGAATCGCTCTGGAGTCAATGCAGGGGAATCGGGCCTCATCTCGAGTTGATTTGTGGCACATGGAGCTGCTTTGCGTTGCTTGGGTGACCTCAGGGTCCGTCTAGACTGGTGACAGTGTTCTTGGGGACTGTCTCGAGATCCATTAAGCAAGTCGAAGCTCCTGACTTGTTTGAATGGGATCACGGAATAGCTCTGCATGCACTGCAGGGGAATGGGGCCTCATCTCGCCTCTAGGGGGAAGTCTCATGGTTTTTCTCGATTTGCGGCGGGGACCTGGGGTATGTTCTCGACTTACGGCGGGGATGGCCCTTCAAAACACGAGTTTCTTCAGTGACGTCAGGACTCCTGTCTAGTAACGAGGGACACCTCAGGAATCTCTTTGAGGCTTGGCACGGCAAAAGGGACGCTTCTCGAGGTGAGGCAGGGCACCCAAGGACCCTTTCCAGTAGCCACAGGGATTTTGGGATTCCTATCAGTATTCAAGAGGAGTCAGGCATCGTCACCTTTTGAAGCAATGAACTCCGCGTGCCTCTCGAGGTGTCAGCGGGATGTGAGGCATTCCGTCAAAGTGAGGCAGGAACCTAGGGCTTTCTCTAAGGTCTCCACAGTGGATTCAGACATCCCTTCATGTTGTGAAATGAAACACGAGCCTGTATTCAAGCCACTGCAAGGAAATCCGGCCTCCTTTCAAGTTAGGGCTTCTCGCTGTATATTCCCCTTGAGGCAGCAAACTCGGGGTCCCTCCCACATACCTATTGCTGAGACAGCCTCCTCCTGAGGTGCTTCTGGAAAGTTGGCATACGTCTTGAGCCTAAGCCAGGGAATCAGCTCTCATCTCGAGACGATTTGGGGTACACGCAGCATTCCTCGAGTTGCTGTGCTAAAGTTGGTGTTTCTCTAGACTTGGGACAGTGTTCTCGGGGCATCACTGGAGTTGCCTGAAGGAAGTCGAGACACTGGTCGTGTTGAATGGGGAACGGGGAATCGCTCTGGAGTCAATGCAGGGGAATCGGGCCTCATCTCGAGTTGATTTGTGGCACATGGAGCTGCTTTGCGTTGCTTGGGTGACCTCAGGGTCCGTCTAGACTGGTGACAGTGTTCTTGGGGACTGTCTCGAGATCCATTAAGCAAGTCGAAGCTCCTGACTTGTTTGAATGGGATCACGGAATAGCTCTGCATGCACTGCAGGGGAATGGGGCCTCATCTCGCCTCTAGGGGGAAGTCTCATGGTTTTTCTCGAGTTGCGGCGGGGACCTGGGGTATGTTCTCGACTTACGGCGGGGATGGCCCTTCAAAACACGAGTTTCTTCAGTGACGTCAGGACTCCTGTCTAGTAACGAGGGACACCTCAGGAATCTCTTTGAGGCTTGGCACGGCAAAAGGGACGCTTCTCGAGGTGAGGCAGGGCAACCAAGGACCCTTTCCAGTAGCCACAGGGATTTTGGGATTCCTATCATTATTCAAGAGGAGTCAGGCATCGTCACCTTTTGAAGCAATGAACTCCGCGTGCCTCTCGAGGTGTCAACGGTATGTGAGGCATTCCGTCAAAATGAGGCAGGGACCTAGGGCTTTCTCTAAGGTCTCCACAGAGGATTCAGACATCCCTTCAGGTTGTGAAATGAAACAAGAGCCTGTATTCAAGACACTGCAAAGAAATCCGGCCTCCTTTCAAGTTAGTGCTTCTCGCTGTATATTCCCCTTGAGGCAGCAAACTCGGGGTCCCTCCCACATACCTATTGCTGAGAGAAGCCTCCTCCTGAGGTGCTTCTGGAAAGTTCGCATATGTCTTAAGTCTAAGCCAGGGAATCAGCTCTCATCTCGAGACGATTTGGGGTACACGGAGCATTCCTCGAGTTGCTGTGCTGAAGTTGGTGTTCCTCTAGACTTGGGCCAGTGTTCTCGGGGCATCTCTGGAGTTGCCTGAAGGAAGTCGAGCCACCGGTCGTGTTGAATGGGGAACGGGAATGGCTATGGAGTCAATGCAGGGGAATCGGGCCTCATCTCGAGTTGATTTGGGGCACATGGAGCTGCTTTGTGTTGCTGGGGTGACCTCAGGGTCCGTCTAGACTGGTGACAGTGTTCCTGGGTACTGTCTCGAGATCCATTAAGCAAGTCGAAGCTCCTGACTTGTTTGAATGGGATCACGGAATACCTCTGCATGCACTGCAGGGGAATGGGGCCTCATCTCGCCTCTAGGGGGAAGTCTCATGGTTTTTCTCGAGTTGCGGCGGGAACCTGGGGTATGTTCTCGACTTACGGCGGGGATGGCCCTTCAAAACACGTGTTTATTCAGTGACGTCAGGACTCCTGTCTAGTAACGAGGGACACCTCAGGAATCTCTTCGAGGCTTGGCAGGGCAAAAGGGACGCTTCTCGAGGTGAGGCAGGGCCCCCAAGGACCCTTTCCAGTAGCCACAGGGATTTTGGGATTCCTATCAGTATTCAAAAGGAGTCAGGCATCGTCACCTTTTGAAGCAATGAACTCCGCGTGCCTCTCGAGGTGTCAACCGAATGTGAGGCATTCCGTCAAAATGAGGCAGGGACCTAGGGCTTTCTCTAAGGTCTCCACAGTGGATTCAGAAATCCCTTCATGTTTTGAGACCAAAGACGAGCCTATATTCAAGCCACTGCTAGGAAATCCGGCCTCCTTTCAAGTTAGGGCTTCTCGCTGTATATTCCACTTGAGGCAGCGATCTCGGGGTCCCTCCCACATACCTATTGCTGAGAGAAGCCTACTCCTGAGGTGCTTCTGGAAATTTGGCATACGTCTTGAGCCTAAGCCAGGGAATCAGCTCTCATCTCGAGACGATTTGGGGTACACGGAGCATTCCTTGAGTTGCTGTGCTGAAGTTGGTGTTCCTCTAGGCTTGGGATAGTGTTCTCGGGGGATCTCTGGAGTTGCCTGAAGGAAGTCGACCCACCGGTCGTGTTGAATGGGGAACGGGGAATTGCTCTGGAGTCAATGCAGCGGAATCGGGCCTCATCTCGAGTTGATTTGGTGCACATGGAGCTGCTTTGCGTTGCTGGGGTGACCTCAGGGTCCGTCTAGACTGGTGACAGTGTTCTTGGGGACTGTCTCGAGATTCATTAAGCAAGTCGAAGCTCCTGATTTGTTTGAATGGGATCACGGAATAGCTCTGCCTGCACTGCAGGGGATTTGGGCCTCATCTCGCCTCTAGGGGGAAGTCTCATGGTTTTTCTCGAGTTGCGGCAGTGACCTGGGGTATGTTCTCGACTTACGGCGGGGATGGCCCTTCAAAACACGAGTTTCTTCAGTGACGTCAGGACTCCTGTCTAGTAACGAGGGACACTTCAGGAATCTCTTCGAGGCTTGGCAGGGCAAACGGGACGCTTCTCGAGGTGAGGCAGGGCACCCCGGGACCCTTTCCAGTAGCCACAGGGATTTTGGGATTCCTATCAGTATTCAAGTGGAGTCAGGCATCTTCACCTTTTGAAGCAATGAACTCCGCGTGCCTCTCGAGGTGTCAACGGGATGTGAGGCATTCCGTCAAAATGAGGCAGGGACCTAGGGCTTTCTCTAAGGTCTCCACAGGGGATTAAGACATCCCTTCATGTTGTGAGATGAAAGACGAGCCTGTATTCAAGCCACTGCAAGGAAATCCGGCCTCCTTTCAAGTTAGGGCTTCTCGCTGTATATTCCACTTGAGGCAGCGATCTCAGGGTCCCTCCTACATACCTATTGCTGAGAGAAGCCTCCTCCTGAGGTGCTTCTGGAAAGTTGGCATACGTCTTGAGCCTAAGCCAGGGAATCAGCTCTCATCTCGAGACGATTTGGGGTACAAGGCGCATTCCTCGAGTTGCTGTGCTGAAGTTGGTGTTCCTCTATACTTGGGACAGAGTTCTCGGGGCAACTCTGGCGTTGCCTGAAGGAAGTCGAGCCACCGGCCGTGTTGAATGGGGAACGGGAAATGGCTCTGGAGTCAATGCAGGGGAATCGGGCCTCATCTCGAGTTGATTTGTGGCACATGGAGCTGCTTTGCGTTGTTGGGGTGACTTCAGGGTCCGTCTAGACTGGTGACAGTGTTCTTGGGGACTCTCTCGAGATCCATTAAGCAAGTCGAAGCTCCTGACTTGTTTGAATGGGATCACGGAATAGCTCTGCATGCACTGCAGCGGAATGGGGCCTCATCTCGCCTCTAGGGAGAAGTCTCATGGTTTTTCTCGAGTTGCGGCGGGGACCTGGGGTATGTTCTCGACTTACGACGGGGATGGCCCTTCAAAACACGAGTTTCTTTAGTGACGTCAGGACTCCAGTCTAGTAACGAGGGACACCTCAGGAATCTCTTCGAGGCTTGGCAGGGCAAAAGGGATGCTTCTCGAGGTGAGGCAGGGCACCCAAGGACCCTTTCCAGTAGCCACAGGGATTTTGGGATTCCTATCAGTATTCAAAAGGAGTTAGGCATTGTCACATTTTGAAGCAATGAACTCCGCGTGCCTCTCGAGGTGTCAACGGGATGTGAGGCATTCCGTCAAAATGAGGCAGGGACCTAGGTCTTTTTCTAAGTCTCCAAAGGGGATTCAGACATCCCTTCAGGTTTTGAGATCAAAGACGAGCCTGTATTCAAGCCACTGCAAGGAAGTACGGCCTCCGTTCAAGTTAGGGCTTCTCGCTGTATATTCCACTTGAGGCAGCGATCTCGGGGTCTCTCCCACATACCTATTGCTGAGAGAAGCCTCCTCCTGAGGTGCCTCTGGAAAGTTGGCATACGTCTTGAGCCTAAGCCAGGGAATCAGCTCTCATCTCGAGACGATTTGGGTTACACAGAGCATTCCTCCAGTTGCTGTGCTGAAGTTGGTGTTCCTCTAGACTTGGAACAGTGTTCTCGGGGCATCTCTGGAGCTGCCTGAAGGAAGCCGAGCCACTGGTCGTGTTGAATGGGGAACGGGGAATGGCTCTGGAGTCAATGCAGGGGAATCGGGCCTCATCTCGAGTTGATTTGGGGCACATGTTGCTAGTTTGCGTTGCTGGAGTGACCTCAGGGTCCGTCTAGACTGGTGACAGTGTTCTTGGGGACTGTCTCGAGATCCATTAAGCAAGTCGAAGCTCCTGACTTGTTTGAATGGGATCACGGAATAGATCTGCATGCACTGCAGGGAAATGGGGCCTCATCTCGCCTCTAGAGGGAAGTCTCAAGGTTTTTCTCGAGTTGCGGCGGGGACCTGGGCTATGTTCTCGACTTACGGCGGGGATGGCCCTTCAAAACACGAGTTTCTTCAGTGACGTCAGGACTCCAATCTAGTAAACAGGGACACCTCAGCAAACTCTTTCAGGCTTGGCAGGGCAAAAGGGATGCTTCTCGATTTGAGGCAGGGCACCCAAGGACCCTTTCCAGTAGCCACAGCGATTTTGGGATTCCTATCAGTATTCAAGAGGAGTCAGGCATCGTCACCTTTTGAAGCAATGAACTCCGCGTGCCTCTCGAGGTGTCAACGGGTTGTGAGGCATTCCGTCAAAATCAGGCAGGGACCTAGGGCTTTCTCTAAGGTCTCCACAGGGGATTCAGACATCCCTTCATTTTGTGAGATGAAAGACGAGACTGTATTCAAGCCAATGCAAGGAAATCTGGCCTCGTTTCAAGTTAGGGCTTCTCGCTGTATATTTCCCTTGAGGCAGCAAACTCGGGGTCCCTCCCACGTAACTATTGCTGAGAGAAGCCTCCACCTGAGGTGCTTCTGGAAAGTTGGCATATGTCTTGAGCCTAAGCCAGGGAATCAGCTCGCATCTCGAGACGATTTGGGGTACACGGAGCATTCCTCGAGTTGCTGGGCTGAAGTTCGTGTTCCTCTAGACTTGGGACAGTGTTCTCGGGGCATCTCTGGAGTTGCCTGAAGGAAGTCGAGCCACCGGTCGTGTTGAATGGGGAAGGGGGAATGGCTCTGGAGTCAATGCAGGGGAATCGGGCCTCATCTCGTGTTGATTTGGGGCACATGGAGCTGCTTTGAGTTGCTGGGGTGACCTCAGGGTCCGTCTAGACTGGTGACAGTGTTCTTGGGACTGTCTCGAGATCCATTAAGCAAGTCGAAGCTCCTGACTTGTTTGAATGGGATCACGGAATAGCTCTGCATGCACTGCAGGGGAATGGGGCCTCATCTCGCCTCTAGGGGGAAGTCTCATGGTTTTTCTCGAGTTGCGGCGGGGACCTGGGGTATGTTCTCGACTTACGGCGGGGATGGCCCATCAAAACACGTGTTTCTTCAGTGACGTCAGGACTCCTGTCTAGTAACGAGGGACACCTCAGGAATCTCTTTGAGGCTTGGCAGGGCAAAACGGATGTTTCTCGAGGTGAGCAGGGCACCCAAGGACCCTTTCCAGTAGCCACAGGGATTTTGGGATTCCTATCAGTATTCAAGAGGAGTCAGGCATCGTCACCTTTTGAAACAATGAACTCCGCGTGCCTCTCGAGGTGTCAACGGGATGTGAGGCATTCCGTCAAAATGAGGCAGGGACCTAAGGCTTTCTCTAAGGTCTCCACAGGGAATTCAGACATCCCTTCATGTTTTGAGATCAAAGACGAGCCTTTATGCAAGCCACTGCAAGGAAATCCGGCCTCCTTTCAATATGGGGCTTCTCGCTGTATATTCCTATTGAAGCAGCGATCTCGGGGTCCCTCCCACATACCTATTGCTGAGAGAAGCCTCCTCCTGAGGTGCTTCTGGAAAGTTAGCATACGTCTTGAGCCTAAGGCAGGGAATCAGCTCTCATCTCGAGACGATTTGGGGTACACGGAGCATTCCTCGAGTTGCTGTGCTGAGGTTGGTGTTCCTGTAGACTTGGGACAGTGTTCTCGGGGCATCTCTGGAGATCACTGAAGGAAGTCGAGCCACCGGTCGTGTTGAATGGGGAACGGGGAATTGCTCTGGAGTCAGTGCATGGGAATCGGGCCTCATCTCGTGTTGATTTGGGGCACATGGAGCTGCTTTGCGTTGCTGGGGTGACCTCAGGGTCCGTCTAGACTGGTGACAGTGTTCTTGGGGGCTTTCTCCAGATCCATTAAGCAAGTCGAAGCTCCTGACTTGTTTGAATGGGATCACGGAATAGCTCTGCATGCACTGCAGGGGAATGGGGCCTCATCTCGCCTCTAGGGGGAAGTCTCATGGTTTTCCTCGAGTTGCGGCGGGCACCTGGGGTATGTTCTCGAGTTACGGCGGGGATGGCCCATCAAAACACGTGTTTCTTCAGTGACGTCAGGACTCCTGTCTAGTAACGATGGACACCTCAGGAATCACTTTGAGGCTTGGCAGGGCAAAAGGGATGCTTCTCGAGGTGAGCAGGGCACCCAAGGACCCTTTCCAGTAGCCAGAGGGATTTTGGGATTCCTATCAGTATTCAAGAGGAGTCAGGCATCGTCACCTTTTGAAGCAATGAACTCCGCGTGCCTCTCGAGGTGTCAGCGGGATGTGAGGCATTCCCTCAAAATGAGGCAGGGACCAAAGGCTTTCTCTAAGGCCTCCAAAGGGGATTCAGACTTCCCTTCATGTTTTGAGAACAAAGACGAGCCTGTATTCAAGCCAATGCAAGGAAATCCGGCCTCCTTTCAAGTTAGGGCTTCTCGCTGTATATTCCACTTGAAGCAGCGATCTCGGGTTCCCTCCCACATACGTATTGCTGAGAGATGCCTCCTCCTGAGGTGCTTCTGGAAAGTAGGCATACTGCTTTAGCTAAGTCAGGGAATCAGCTCTCATCTCGAGACGATTTGGGGTACACGGAGCATTCCTCGAGTTGCTGTGCTGAAGTTGGTGTTCCTCTAGACTTGGGACAGTGTTCTCGGGGCATCTCTGGAGTTGCCTGAAGGAAGTCGAGCCACCGGTCGTGTTGAATGGGGAACGCGGAATGAGTCTGGAGTCAATGCAGGGGAATCGGGCCTCATCTCGAGTTGATTTGGGGCACATGGAGCTGATTTGCGTTGCTGGGGTGACCTCAGGTTCCGTCTAGACTGGTGACAGTCTTCTTGGGGACTGTCTCGAGATCCATTAAGCAAGTCGAAGCTCCTGACTGGTTTGAATGGGATCACGGAATAGCTCTGCATGCACTGCAGGGGAATGGGGCCTCATCTCGCCTCTAGGGGGAAGTCTCATGGTTTTTCTCGAGTTGCGGCGGGGACCTGGGGTATGTTCTCGACTTACGGCGGGGATGGCCCTTCAAAACACGAGTTTCTTCAGTGACGTCAGGACTTCTGTCTAGTAACGAGGGACACCTCAGGAATCTCTTCGAGGCTTGCCAGGGCAAAAGGGATGCTTCTCGAGGTGAGGCAGGGCACCCAAGGGCCCTTTCCAGTAGCCAGAGGGATTTGGGGATTCCTATCAGTATTCAAGAAGAGTCAGGAATCGTCCCTTTTGAAGCAATGAACTCCGCGTGCCTCTCGAGGTGTCAGCGGGATGTGAGGCATTCCGTCAAAATGAGGCAGGGACCTAGGGCTTTCTCTAAGGTCTCCACAGGGGATTCAGACATCCCTTCATTTTGTGAGATGAAAGACGAGCCTGTATTCAAGCCAATGCAAGGAAATCCGGCCTCCTTTCAAGTTAGGGCTTCTCGCTGTATATTTCCCTTGAGGCAGTAAACTCGGGGTCCCTCCCACATAACTATTGCTGAGAGAATCCTCCTCCTGAGGTGCTTCTGGAAAGTTGGCATACGTCTTGAGCCTAAGCCAGGGAATCTGCTCTCATCTCCAGACGATTTGGGGTACATGGAGCATTCCTCGAGTTGCTGTGCTGAAGTTGGTGTTCCTCTAGACTTGGGACAGTGTTCTCGGGGCATCTCTGGAGTTGGCTGAAGGAAGTCGAGCCACCGGTCGTGTTGAATGGGGAAGGGGGAATGGCTCTGGAGTCAATGCAGGGGAATCGGGCCTCCTCTCGATTTGATTTGGGGCACATGGAGCTGCTTTGTGTTGCTGGGGTGACCTCAGGGTCCGTCTAGACTGGTGACAGTGTTCTTGGGGACTCTCTCGAGATCCAATAAGCAAGTCGAAGCTCCTGACTTGTTTGAATGGGATCACGGAATAGCTCTGCATGCACTGCAGGGGAATGGGGCCTCACCTCGCCTCTAGGGGGAAGTCTCATGGTTTTTCTCGAGTTGCGGCGGTGACCTGGGGTATGTTCTCGACTTACGGCGGGGATGGCCCTTCAAAACACGAGTTTCTTCAGTGACGTCAGGACTCCTGTCTAGCAACGAGGTACACCTCAGGAATCTCTTCGAGGCTTGGCAGGGCAAAAGGGACGCTTCTCGAGGTGAGGCAGGGCAACCAAGGACCCTTTCCAGTAGCCACAGGGATTTTGGGATACCTATCAGTATTCAAGAGGAGTCAGGCATCGTCACCTTCTGAAGCAATGAACTCCGCGTGCCTCTCGAGGGGTCAGCGGGATGTGAGGCATTCCGTCAAAATGAGGCAGGGACCTAGGGCTTTCTCTAAGGTCTCCACAGGGTATTCAGACATCCCTTCATGTTGTGAGATGAAAGATGAGCCTGTATTCAAGCCACTGCAAGGAAATCCGGCCTCCTTTCAAGTTAGGGCTTCTCGCTGTATATTCCCCTTGAGGCAGCAAACTCGGGGTCCCTCCCACATACCTATTGCTGAGAGAAGCCTCCTCCTGAGGTGCTTCTGGAAAGTTGGCATACGTCTTGAGCCTAAGCCAGGGAATCAGCTCTCATCTCGAGACGATTTGGGGTACCCGGAGAGGTCCTCGAGTTGCTGTGCTGAAGTTGGTGTTCCTCTAGACTTGGGACAGTGTTCTCGGGGCATCTCTGGAGTTGCCTGAAGGAAGTCGAGCCACCGGTCGTGTTGAATGTGGAACGGGGAATGGCTCTGGAGTCAATGCAGGGGAATCGGGCCTCATCTCGAGTTGATTTGTGGCACATGGAGCTTCTTTGCGTTGCTGGGGTGACCTAAGGGTCCGTCTAGACTGGTGACAGTGTTCTTGGGGACTGTCTCGAGATCCAATAACCAAGTCGAAGCTCCTGACTTGTTTGAATGGGATCACGGAATACCTCTGCATGCACTGCAGGGGAATGGGGCCTCACCTCGCCTCTAGGGGGAAGTCTCATGGTTTTTCTCGAGTTGCGGCGGGGACCTGGGGTATGTTCTCGACTTACGGCGGGGATGGCCCTTCAAAACACGAGTTTCTTCAGTGACGTCAGGACTCCTGTCTAGCAACGAGGTACACCTCAGGAATCTCTTCGAGGCTTGGCAGGGCAAAAGGGACGCTTCTCGAGGTGAGGCAGGGCAACCAAGGACCCTTTCCAGTAGCCACAGGGATTTTGGGATACCTATCAGTATTCAAGAGGAGTCAGGCATCGTCACCTTCTGAAGCAATGAACTCCGCGTGCCTCTCGAGGGGTCAGCGGGATGTGAGGCATTCCGTCAAAATGAGGCAGGGACCTAGGGCTTTCTCTAAGGTCTCCACAGGGTATTCAGACATCCCTTCATGTTGTGAGATGAAAGATGAGCCTGTATTCAAGCCACTGCAAGGAAATCCGGCCTCCTTTCAAGTTAGGGCTTCTCGCTGTATATTCCCCTTGAGGCAGCAAACTCGGGGTCCCTCCCACATACCTATTGCTGAGAGAAGCCTCCTCCTGAGGTGCTTCTGGAAAGTTGGCATACGTCTTGAGCCTAAGCCAGGGAATCAGCTCTCATCTCGAGACGATTTGGGGTACCCGGAGAGGTCCTCGAGTTGCTGTGCTGAAGTTGGTGTTCCTCTAGACTTGGGACAGTGTTCTCGGGGCATCTCTGGAGTTGCCTGAAGGAAGTCGAGCCACCGGTCGTGTTGAATGTGGAACGGGGAATGGCTCTGGAGTCAATGCAGGGGAATCGGGCCTCATCTCGAGTTGATTTGTGGCACATGGAGCTTCTTTGCGTTGCTGGGGTGACCTAAGGGTCCGTCTAGACTGGTGACAGTGTTCTTGGGGACTGTCTCGAGATCCAATAACCAAGTCGAAGCTCCTGACTTGTTTGAATGGGATCACGGAATACCTCTGCATGCACTGCAGGGGAATGGGGCCTCACCTCGCCTCTAGGGGGAAGTCTCATGGTTTTTCTCGAGTTGCGGCGGGGACCTGGGGTATGTTCTCGACTTACGGCGGGGATGGCCCTTCAAAACACGAGTTTCTTCAGTGACGTCAGGACTACTGTCTAGCAACGAGGGACACCTCAGGAATCTCTTCGAGGCTTGGCAGGGCAAAAGGGACGCTTCTCGAGGTGAGGCAGGGCAACCAAGGACCCTTTCCAGTAGCCACAGGGATTTTCGGATTCCTATCAGTATTCAAGAGGAGTCAGGCATCGTCACCTTTTGAAGCAATGAACTCCGCGTGCCTCTCGAGGTGTCAGCGGCATGTGAGGCATTCCGTCAAAGTGAGGCAGGGACCTATGGCTTTCTCGAAGGTCTCCACAGGGGATTCAGACAACCCTTCATGTTCTGAAATGAAACAAGAGCCTGTATTCAAGCCACTGCAAGGAAATCCGGCCTCCTTTCAAGTTAGGGCTTCTCGCTGTATATTCCCCTTGAGGCAGCAAACTCGGGGTCCCTCCCACATACCTATTGCTGAGAGAAACCTCCTCCTGAGGTGCTTCTGGAAAGTTGACATACGTCTTGAGCCTAAGCCAGGGAATCAGCTCTCATCTCGAGACGATTTGGGGTACACGGAGCATTCCTCGAGTTGCTGTGCTGAGGTTGGTGTTCCTCTAGACTTGGGCCAGTGTTCTCGGGGCATCTCTGGAGTTGCCTGAAGGAAGTCGACCCACCGGTCGTGTTGAATGGGGAACGGGAATGGCTATGGAGTCAATCTAGGGGAATCGGGCCTCATCTCGAGTTGATTTGGGGCACATGGAGCTGCTTTGCGTTGCTGGAGTGACCTCAGGGTCCATCTAGACTGATGACAGTGTTCTTGGGGACTGTCTCGAGTTCCATTAAGCAAGTCGAAGCTCCTGACTTGTTTCAATGGGATCACGGAATAGCTCTGCATGCACTGCAGGGGAATGGGGCCTCATCTCGCCTCTAGGGAGAAGTCTCATTGTTTTTCTCGATTTGCGGCGGGGACCTGGGGTATGTTCTCGACTTACGGCGGGGATGGCCCTTCAAAACACGAGTTTCTTCAGTGACGTCAGGACTCCTGTCTAGTAACGAGGGACACCTCAGGAATCTCTTCGAGGCTTGGCAGGTCAAAAGGGACGCTTCTCGAGGTGAGGCAGGGCAACCAAGGACCCTTTCCAGTAGCCACAGGGATTTTGGGATTCCTATCAGTATTCAAGAGGAGTCAGGCATCGTCACCTTTTGAAGCAATGAACTCCGCGTGCCTCTCGAGGTGTCAACGGGTTGTGAGGCATTCCGTCAAAATCAGGCAGGGACCTACTGCTTTCTCTAAGGTCTCCACAGGGAATTCAGACATCCCTTCATGTTTTGAGATCAAAGACGAGCCTTTATGCAAGCCACTGCAAGGAAATCCGGCCTCCTTTCAATATGGGGCTTCTCGCTGTATATTCCTATTGAAGCAGCGATCTCGGGGTCCCTCCCACATACCTATTGCTGAGAGAAGCCTCCTCCTGAGGTGCTTCTGGAAAGTTAGCATACGTCTTGAGCCTAAGGCAGGGAATCAGCTCTCATCTCGAGACGATTTGGTGTACATGGAGCATTCCTCGAGTTGCTGTGCTGAGGTTGGGGTTCCTCTAGACTTGGGCCAGTGTTCTCGGGGCATCTCTGGAGTTCCCTGAAGGAAGTCGAGCCACCGGTCGTGTTGAATGGGGAACGGGGAATTGCTCTGGAGTCAATGCAGGGGAATCGGGCCTCATCTCGTGTTGATTTGGGGCACATGGAGCTGCTTTGCGTTGCTGGGGTGACCTCAGGGTCCGTCTAGACTGGTGACAGTGTTCTTGGGGGCTGTCTCCAGATCCATTAAGCAAGTCGAAGCTCCTGACTTGTTTGAATGGGATCACGGAATAGCTCTGCATGCACTGCAGGGGAATGGGGCCTCATCTCGCCTCTAGGGGGAAGTCTCATGGTTTTTCTCGAGTTGCGGCGGGGACCTGGGATATGTTCTCGAGTTACGGCGGGGATGGCCCATCAAAACACGTGTTTCTTCAGTGACGTCAGGACTCCTGTCTAGTAACGAGGGACACCTCAGGAATCACTTTGAGGCTTGGCAGGGCAAAAGGGATGCTTCTCGAGGTGAGCAGGGCACCCAAGGACCCTTTCCAGTAGCCACAGGGATTTTGGGATTCCTATCAGTATTCAAGACGAGTCAGGCAACGTCACCTTTTGAAGCAATGAACTCCGCGTGCCTCTCGAGGGGTCAACGGGATGTGAGGCATTCCGTCAAAATGAGGCAGGGACCAAAGGCTTTCTCTAAGGCCTCCAAAGGGGATTCAGACTTCCCTTCATGTTTTGAGAACAAAGACGAGCCTGTATTCAAGCCAATGCAAAGAAATCCGGCCTCCTTTCAAGTTAGGGCTTCTCGCTGTATATTCCACTTGAAGCAGCGATCTCGGGTTCCCTCCCACATACGTATTGCTGAGAGATGCCTCCTCCTGAGGTGCTTCTGGAAAGTAGGCATACTGCTTTAGCTAAGTCAGGGAATCAGCTCTCATCTCGAGACGATTTGGGGTACACGGAGCATTCCTCGAGTTGCTGTGCTGAAGTTGGTGTTCCTCTAGACTTGCTACAGTGTTCTCGGGGCATCTCTGGAGTTGCCTGAAGGAAGTCGAGCCACCGGTCGTGTTGAATGGGGAACGGGGAATGAGTCTGGAGTCAATGCAGGGGAATCGGGCCTCATCTCGAGTTGATTTGGGGCACATGGAGCTGATTTGCTTTGCTGGGGTGACCTCAGGTTCCGTCTAGACTGGTGACAGTGTTCTTGGGGACTGTCTCGAGATCCATTAAGCAAGTCGAAGCTCCTGACTGGTTTGAATGGGATCACGGAATAGCTCTGCATGCACTGCAGGGGAATGGGGCCTCATCTCGCCTCTAGGGGGAAGTCTCATGGTTTTTCTCGAGTTGCGGCGGGGACCTGGGGTATGTTCTCGACTTACGGCGGGGATGGCCCTTCAAAACACGAGTTTCTTCAGTGACGTCAGGACTTCTGTCTAGTAACGAGGGACACCTCAGGAATCTCTTCGAGGCTTGCCAGGGCAAAAGGGACGCTTCTCGAGGTGAGGCAGGGCACCCAAGGCCCCTTTCCAGTAGCCAGAGGGATTTGGGGATTCCTATCAGTATTCAAGAAGAGTCAGGCATCATCCCTTTTGAAGCAGTGAACTCCGCGTGCCTCTCGAGGTGTCAGCGGGATGTGAGGCCTTCCGTCAAAATGAGGCAGGGACCTAGGGCTTTCTCTAAGGTCTCCACAGGGGATTCAGACATCCCTTCATTTTGTGAGATGAAAGACGAGCCTGTATTCAAGCCAATGCAAGGAAATCCGGCCTCCTTTCAAGTTAGGGCTTCTCGCTGTATATTTCCCTTGAGGCAGCAAACTCGGGGTCCCTCCCACATAACTATTGCTGAGAGAAGCCTCCTCCTGAGGTGCTTCTGGAAAGTTGGCATACGTCTTGAGCCTAAGCCAGGGAATCAGCTCTCATCTCCAGACGATTTGGGGTACATGGAGCATTCCTCGAGTTGCTGTGCTGAAGTTGGTGTTCCTCTAGACTTGGGCCAGTGTTCTCGGGGCATCTCTGGAGTTGCCTGAAGGAAGTCGAGCCACCGGTCGTGTTGAATGGGGAAGGGGGAATGGCTCTGGAGTCAATGCAGGGGAATCGGGCCTCATCTCGAGTTGATTTGGGGCACATGGAGCTGCTTTGTGTTGCTGGGGTGACCTCAGGGTCCGTCTAGACTGGTGACAGTGTTCTTGGGGACTCTCTCGAGATCCAATAAGCAAGTCGAAGCTCCTGACTTGTTTGAATGGGATCACGGAATAGCTCTGCATGCACTGCAGGGGAATGGGGCCTCACCTCGCCTCTAGGGGGAAGTCTCATGGTTTTTCTCGAGTTGCGGCGGTGACCTGGGGTATGTTCTCGACTTACGGCGGGGATGGCCCTTCAAAACACGAGTTTCTTCAGTGACGTCAGGACTCCTGTCTGGCAACGAGGGACACCTCATTAATCTCTTCGAGGCTTGTCAGGGCAAAAGGGACGCTTCTCGAGGTGAGGCAGGGCAACCAAGGACAATTTCCAGTAGCCACAGGGATTTTGGGATACCTATCAGTATTCAAGAGGAGTCAGGCATCGTCACCTTCTGAAGCAATGAACTCCGCGTGCCTCTCGAGGTGTCAGCGGGATGTGAGGCATTCCTTCAAAGTGAGGCAGGGACCTAGGGCTTTCTCTAAGGTCTCCACAGGGGATTCAGACATCCCTTCATGTTGTGAAATGAAACACGAGCCTGTATTCAAGCCACTGCAAGGAAATCCGGCCTCCTTTCAAGTTAGGGCTTCTCGCTGTATATTCCCCTTGAGGCAGCAAACTCGGGGTCCCTCCCACATACCTATTGCTGAGACAGCCTCCTCCTGAGGTGCTTCTGGAAAGTTGGCATACGTCTTGAGCCTAAGCCAGGGAATCAGCTCTCATCTCAAGACGATTTGGGGTACACGGAGCATTCCTCGAGTTGCTGTGCTGAAGTTGGTGTTTCTCTAGACTTGGGACAGTGTTCTCGGGGCATCACTGGAGTTGCCTGAAGGAAGTCGAGACACTGGTCGTGTTGAATGGGGAATGGGGAATGGCTCTGGAGTCAATGCAGGGGAATCGGGCCTCATCTCGAGTTGATTTGTGGCACATGGAGCTGCTTTGCATTGCTTGGGTAACCTCAGGGTCCGTCTACACTGGTGACAGTGTTCTTGGGGACTGTCTCGAGATCCATTAAGCAAGTCGAAGCTCCTGACTTGTTTGAATGGGATCACGGAATAGCTCTGCATACTCTGCAGGGGAATGGGGCCTCATCTCGCCTCTAGGGTGAAGTCTCATGGTTTTTCTCGAGTTGCGGCGGGGACCTGGGGTATGTTCTCGACTTACGGCGGGGATGGCCCTTCAAAACACGAGTTTCTTCAGTGACGTCAGGACTCCTGTCTAGTAACGAGGGCCACCTCAGGAATCTCTTCGAGGCTTGGCAGGGCAAAAGGGACGCTTCTCGAGGTGAGGCAGGGCAACCAAGGACCCTTTCCAGTAGCCACAGGGATTTTGGGATTCCTATCATTATTCAAGAGGAGTCAGGCATCGTCACCTTTTGAAGCAATGAACTCCGCGTGCCTCTCGAGGTGTCAACGGTATGTGAGGCATTCCGTCAAAATGAGGCAGGGACCTAGGGCTTTCTCTAAGGTCTCCACAGGGGATTCAGACATCCCTTCATGTTGTGAAATGAAACACGAGCCTGTATTCAAGACACTGCAAGGAAATCCGGCCTCCTTTCAAGTTAGGGCTTCTCGCTGTATATTCCCCTTGAGGCAGCAAACTCGGGGTCCCTCCCACATACCTATTGCTGAGACAAGCCTCCTCCTGAGGTGCTTCTGGAAAGTTGGCATACGTCTTGAGCCTAAGCCAGGGAATCAGCTCTCATCTCGAGACGATTTGGGGTACACGGAGCATTCCTCGAGTTGCTGTGCTGAAGTTGGTGTTCCTCTAGACTTGGGCCAGTGTTCTCGGGGCATCTCTGGAGTTGCCTGAAGGAAGTCGACCCACCGGTCGTGTTGAATGTGGAACGGGAATGGCTATGGAGTCAATCCAGGGGAATCGGGCCTCATCTCGAGTTGATTTGGGGCACATGGAGCTGCTTTGCGTTGCTGGGGTGACCTCAGGTTCCGTCTAGACTGGTGACAGTGTTCCTGGGGACTGTCTCGAGATCCATTAAGCAAGTCGAAGCTCCTGACTTCTTTCAATGTGATCACGGAATAGCTCTGCATGCACTGCAGGGGAATGGGGCCTCATCTCGCCTCTAGGGGGAAGTCTCATGGTTTTTCTCGAGTTGCGGCGGGGACCTGGGGTATGTTCTCGACTTACGGCGGGGATGGCCCCTCAAAACACTTTTTTCTTCAGTGACGTCAGGACCTCTGTCTAGTAACGAGGGACACCTCAGCAATCTCTTCGAGGCTTGGCAGGGCAAAAGGGACTCTTCTCGAGGTGAGGCAGGTAACCCTAGGACCCTTTCCAGTAGCCACAGGGATTTTGGGATTCCTATCAGTATTCAAGTGGAGTCAGGCATCGTCACCTTTTGAAGCAATGAACTCCGCGTGCCTCTCGAGGTGTCAACGGGATGTGAGGCATTCCGTCAAAGTGAGGCAGGTACCTAGGGCTTTCTCTAAGTTCTCCACAGGGGATTCAGACATCCCTTCATGTTGTGAAATGAAACACGAGCCTGTATTCAAGCCACTGCAAGGAAATTCGGCCTCCTTTCAAGTTAGGGCTTCTCGCTGTATATTCCCCTTTAGGCAGCAAACTCGGGGTCCCTCCCACATACCTATTGCTGAGACAGCCTCCTCCTGAGGTGCTTCTGGAAAGTTGGCATACGTCTTGAGCCTAAGCCAGTGAATCAGCTCTCATCTCGAGACGATTTGGGGTACACGGAGCATTCCTCGAGTTGCTGTGCTGAAGTTGGTGTTCCTCTAGACATGGGACAGTGTTCTCGGGGCATCTCTGGAGTTGCCTGAAAGAAGTCGAGCCACCGGTAGTGTTGAATGGGGAACGAGAATGGCTATGGAGTCAATGCAGGGGAATCGGGCCTCATCTCGAGTTGATTTAGGGCACATGGAGCTGCTTTGCGTTGCTGGGGTGACCTCAGAGTCCGTCTAGACTGGTGACAGTGTTCTGGGGGACTCTCTCGAGATCCATTAAGCAAGTCGAAGCTCCTGACATGTTTGAATGGGATCACGGAATAGCTCTGCATGCACTGCAGGGGAATGGGGCCTCATCTCGCCTCTAGGGGGAAGTCTCATGGTTTTTCTCGAGTTGCGGCGGGGACCTGGGGTATGTTCTCGACTTACGGCGGGGATGGCCCTTCAAAACACGAGTTTCTTCAGTGACGTCAGGACTCCTGTCTAGTAACGAGGGACAGCTCAGGAATCTCTTCGAGGCTTGGCAGGGCAAAAGGGACGCTTCTCGGGGTGAGGCAGGGCAACCAAGGACCCTTTCCAGTAGCCACAGGGATTTTGGGATTCCTATCAGTATTCAAGAGGAGTCAGGCATCGTCACCTTTTGAAGCAATGAACTCCGCGTGCCTCTCGAGGTGTCAGCGGGATGTGAGGCATTCCGTCAAAGTGAGGCAGGGACCTAGGGCTTTCTCTAAAGTCTCCACAGGGGATTCAGACATCCCTTCATGTTGTGAAATGAAACACGAGCCTGTATTCAAGACACTGCAAGGAAATTCTGCCTCCTTTCAAGTTAGGGCTTCTCGCTGTATATTCCCCTTGAGGCAGCAAACTCGGGGTCCCTCCCACATACCTATTGCTGAGAGAAACCTCCTCCTGAGGTGCTTCTGGAAAGTTGGCATACGTCTTGAGCCTAAGCCAGGGAATCAGCTCTCATCTCGAGACGATTTGGGGTACACGGAGCATTCCTTGAGTTGCTGTGCTGAAGTTGGTGTTCCTCTAGACTTGGGCCAGTGTTCTCGGGGCATCTCTGGAGTTGCCTGAAGGAAGTCGACCCACCGGTCGTGTTGAATGGGGAACGGGAATGGCTATGGAGTCAATCTAGGGGAATCGGGCCTCATCTCGAGTTGATTTGGGGCACATGGAGCTGCTTTGCATTGCTGGGGTGACCTCAGGGTCCATCTAGACTGATGACAGTGTTCTTGGGGACTGTCTCGAGATCCATTAAGCAAGTCGAAGCTCCTGACTTGTTTCAATGGGATCACGGAATAGCTCTGCATGCACTGCAGGGGAATGGGGCCTCATCTCGCCTCTAGGGAGAAGTCTCATTGTTTTTCACGATTTGCGGCGGGGACATGGGGTATGTTCTCGACTTACGGCGGGGATGGCCCTTCAAAACACGAGTTTCTTCAGTGACGTCAGGACTCCTGTCTAGTAACGAGGGCCACCTCAGGAATCTCTTCGAGGCTTGGCAGGTCAAAAGGGACGCTTCTCGAGGTGAGGCAGGGCAACCAAGGACCCTTTCCAGTAGCCACAGGGATTTTGGGATTCCTATCAGTATTCAAGAGGAGTCAGGCATCGTCACCTTTTGAAGCAATGAACTCCGCGTGCCTCTCGAGGTGTCAACGGGTTGTGAGGCATTCCGTCAAAATCAGGCAGGGACCTAGGGCTTTCTCTAAGGTCTCCACAGGGAATTCAGACATCCCTTCATGTTTTGAGATCAAAGACGAGCCTTTATGCAAGCCACTGCAAGGAAATCCGGCCTCCTTTCAATATGGGTCTTCTCGCTGTATATTCCTATTGAAGCAGCGATCTCGGGGTCCCTCCCACATACCTATTGCTGAGAGAAGCCTCCTCCTGAGGTGCTTCTGGAAAGTTAGCATACGTCTTGAGCCTAAGGCAGGGAATCAGCTCTCATCTCGAGACGATTTGGTGTACATGGAGCATTCCTCGAGTTGCTGTGCTGAGGTTGGTGTTCCTCTAGACTTGGGACAGTGTTCTCGGGGCATCTCTGGAGTTCCCTGAAGGAAGTCGAGCCACCGGTCGTGTTGAATGGGGAACGGGGAATTGCTGTGGAGTCAATGCAGGGGAATCGGGCCTCATCTCGTGTTGATTTGGGGCACATGGAGCTGCTTTGCGTTGCTGGGGTGACCTCAGGGTCCGTCTAGACTGGTGACAGTGTTCTTGGGGGCTGTCTCCAGATCCATTAAGCAAGTCGAAGCTCCTGACTTGTTTGAATGGGATCACGGAATAGCTCTGCATGCACTGCAGGGGAATGGGGCCTCATCTCGCCTCTAGGGGGAAGTCTCATGGTTTTTCTCGAGTTGCGGCTGGGATCTGGGGTATGTTCTCGACTTACGGCGGGGATGCCCTTCAAAACACGAGTTTCTTCAGTGACGTCAGGACCTCTGTCTAGTAACGAGGGACACCTCAGGAATCTCTTCGAGGCTTGGCAGGGCAAAAGGGACGCTTCTCGAGGTGAGGCAGGGCAACCAAGGACCCTTTCCAGTAGCCACAGGGATTTTGGGATTCCTATCATTATTCAAGAGGAGTCAGGCATCGTCACCTTTTGAAGCAATGAACTCCGCGTGCCTCTCGAGGTGTCAACGGTATGTGAGGCATTCCGTCAAAATGAGGCAGGGACCTAGGGCTTTCTCTAAGGTCTCCACAGGGGATTCAGACATCCCTTCATGTTGTGAAATGAAACACGAGCCTGTATTCAAGACACTGCAAGGAAATCCGGCCTCCTTTCAAGTTAGGGCTTCTCGCTGTATATTCCCCTTGAGGCAGCAAACTCGGGGTCCCTCCCACATACCTATTGCTGAGAGAAACCTCCTCCTGAGGTGCTTCTGGAAAGTTGGCATACGTCTTGAGCCTAAGCCAGGGAATCAGCTCTCATCTCGAGACGATTTGGGGTACACGGAGCATTCCTTGAGTTGCTGTGCTGAAGTTGGTGTTCCTCTAGACTTGGGCCAGTGTTCTCGGGTCATCTCTGGAGTTGCCTGAAGGAAGTCGACCCACCGGTCGTGTTGAATGGGGAACGGGAATGGCTATGGAGTCAATCTAGGGGAATCGGGCCTCATCTCGAGTTGATTTGGGGCACATGGAGCTGCTTTGCATTGCTGGGGTGACCTCAGGGTCCATCTAGACTGATGACAGTGTTCTTGGGGACTGTCTCGAGATCCATTAAGCAAGTCGAAGCTCCTGACTTGTTTCAATGGGATCACGGAATAGCTCTGCATGCACTGCAGGGGAATGGGGCCTCATCTCGCCTCTAGGGAGAAGTCTCATTGTTTTTCACGATTTGCGGCGGGGACATGGGGTATGTTCTCGACTTACGGCGGGGATGGCCCTTCAAAACACGAGTTTCTTCAGTGACGTCAGGACTCCTGTCTAGTAACGAGGGACACCTCAGGAATCTCTTCGAGGCTTGGCAGGTCAAAAGGGACGCTTCTCGAGGTGAGGCAGGGCAACCAAGGACCCTTTCCAGTAGCCACAGGGATTTTGGGATTCCTATCAGTATTCAAGAGGAGTCAGGCATCGTCACCTTTTGAAGCAATGAACTCCGCGTGCCTCTCGAGGTGTCAACGGGTTGTGAGGCATTCCGTCAAAATCAGGCAGGGACCTAGGGCTTTCTCTAAGGTCTCCACAGGGAATTCAGACATCCCTTCATGTTTTGAGATCAAAGACGAGCCTTTATGCAAGCCACTGCAAGGAAATCCGGCCTCCTTTCAATATGGGTCTTCTCGCTGTATATTCCTATTGAAGCAGCGATCTCGGGGTCCCTCCCACATACCTATTGCTGAGAGAAGCCTCCTCCTGAGGTGCTTCTGGAAAGTTAGCATACGTCTTGAGCCTAAGGCAGGGAATCAGCTCTCATCTCGAGACGATTTGGTGTACATGGAGCATTCCTCGAGTTGCTGTGCTGAGGTTGGTGTTCCTCTAGACTTGGGACAGTGTTCTCGGGGCATCTCTGGAGTTCCCTGAAGGAAGTCGAGCCACCGGTCGTGTTGAATGGGGAACGGGGAATTGCTGTGGAGTCAATGCAGGGGAATCGGGCCTCATCTCGTGTTGATTTGGGGCACATGGAGCTGCTTTGCGTTGCTGGGGTGACCTCAGGGTCCGTCTAGACTGGTGACAGTGTTCTTGGGGGCTGTCTCCAGATCCATTAAGCAAGTCGAAGCTCCTGACTTGTTTGAATGGGATCACGGAATAGCTCTGCATGCACTGCAGGGGAATGGGGCCTCATCTCGCCTCTAGGGGGAAGTCTCATGGTTTTTCTCGAGTTGCGGCTGGGACCTGGGGTATGTTCTCGACTTACGGCGGGGATGCCCTTCAAAACACGAGTTTCTTCAGTGACGTCAGGACCTCTGTCTAGTAACGAGGGACACCTCAGGAATCTCTTCGAGGCTTGGCAGGGCAAAAGGGACGCTTCTCGAGGTGAGGCAGGGCAACCAAGGACCCTTTCCAGTAGCCACAGGGATTTTGGGATTCCTATCATTATTCAAGAGGAGTCAGGCATCGTCACCTTTTGAAGCAATGAACTCCGCGTGCCTCTCGAGGTGTCAACGGTATGTGAGGCATTCCGTCAAAATGAGGCAGGGACCTAGGGCTTTCTCTAAGGTCTCCACAGGGGATTCAGACATCCCTTCATGTTGTGAAATGAAACACGAGCCTGTATTCAAGACACTGCAAGGAAATCCGGCCTCCTTTCAAGTTAGGGCTTCTCGCTGTATATTCCCCTTGAGGCAGCAAACTCGGGGTCCCTCCCACATACCTATTGCTGAGAGAAACCTCCTCCTGAGGTGCTTCTGGAAAGTTGGCATACGTCTTGAGCCTAAGCCAGGGAATCAGCTCTCATCTCGAGACGATTTGGGGTACACGGAGCATTCCTTGAGTTGCTGTGCTGAAGTTGGTGTTCCTCTAGACTTGGGCCAGTGTTCTCGGGGCATCTCTGGAGTTGCCTGAAGGAAGTCGACCCACCGGTCGTGTTGAATGGGGAACGGGAATGGCTATGGAGTCAATCTAGGGGAATCGGGCCTCATCTCGAGTTGATTTGGGGCACATGGAGCTGCTTTGCATTGCTGGGGTGACCTCAGGGTCCATCTAGACTGATGACAGTGTTCTTGGGGACTGTCTCGAGATCCATTAAGCAAGTCGAAGCTCCTGACTTGTTTCAATGGGATCACGGAATAGCTCTGCATGCACTGCAGGGGAATGGGGCCTCATCTCGCCTCTAGGGAGAAGTCTCATTGTTTTTCACGATTTGCGGCGGGGACATGGGGTATGTTCTCGACTTACGGCGGGGATGGCCCTTCAAAACACGAGTTTCTTCAGTGACGTCAGGACTCCTGTCTAGTAACGAGGGACACCTCAGGAATCTCTTCGAGGCTTGGCAGGTCAAAAGGGACGCTTCTCGAGGTGAGGCAGGGCAACCAAGGACCCTTTCCAGTAGCCACAGGGATTTTGGGATTCCTATCAGTATTCAAGAGGAGTCAGGCATCGTCACCTTTTGAAGCAATGAACTCCGCGTGCCTCTCGAGGTGTCAACGGGTTGTGAGGCATTCCGTCAAAATCAGGCAGGGACCTAGGGCTTTCTCTAAGGTCTCCACAGGGAATTCAGACATCCCTTCATGTTTTGAGATCAAAGACGAGCCTTTATGCAAGCCACTGCAAGGAAATCCGGCCTCCTTTCAATATGGGTCTTCTCGCTGTATATTCCTATTGAAGCAGCGATCTCGGGGTCCCTCCCACATACCTATTGCTGAGAGAAGCCTCCTCCTGAGGTGCTTCTGGAAAGTTAGCATACGTCTTGAGCCTAAGGCAGGGAATCAGCTCTCATCTCGAGACGATTTGGTGTACATGGAGCATTCCTCGAGTTGCTGTGCTGAGGTTGGTGTTCCTCTAGACTTGGGACAGTGTTCTCGGGGCATCTCTGGAGTTCCCTGAAGGAAGTCGAGCCACCGGTCGTGTTGAATGGGGAACGGGGAATTGCTGTGGAGTCAATGCAGGGGAATCGGGCCTCATCTCGTGTTGATTTGGGGCACATGGAGCTGCTTTGCGTTGCTGGGGTGACCTCAGGGTCCGTCTAGACTGGTGACAGTGTTCTTGGGGGCTGTCTCCAGATCCATTAAGCAAGTCGAAGCTCCTGACTTGTTTGAATGGGATCACGGAATAGCTCTGCATGCACTGCAGGGGAATGGGGCCTCATCTCGCCTCTAGGGGGAAGTCTCATGGTTTTTCTCGAGTTGCGGCTGGGACCTGGGGTATGTTCTCGACTTACGGCGGGGATGCCCTTCAAAACACGAGTTTCTTCAGTGACGTCAGGACCTCTGTCTAGTAACGAGGGACACCTCAGGAATCTCTTCGAGGCTTGGCAGGGCAAAAGGGACGCTTCTCGAGGTGAGGCAGGGCAACCAAGGACCCTTTCCAGTAGCCACAGGGATTTTGGGATTCCTATCATTATTCAAGAGGAGTCAGGCATCGTCACCTTTTGAAGCAATGAACTCCGCGTGCCTCTCGAGGTGTCAACGGTATGTGAGGCATTCCGTCAAAATGAGGCAGGGACCTAGGGCTTTCTCTAAGGTCTCCACAGAGGATTCAGACATCCCTTCATGTTGTGAAATGAAACACGAGCCTGTATTCAAGACACTGCAAGGAAATCCGGCCTCCTTTCAAGTTAGGGCTTCTCGCTGTATATTCCCCTTGAGGCAGCAAACTCGGGGTCCCTCCCACATACCTATTGCTGAGAGAAGCCTCCTCCTGAGGTGCTTCTGGAAAGTTGGCATACGTCTTGAGCCTAAGCCAGGGAATCAGCTCTCATCTCGAGACGATTTGGGGTACACGGAGCATTCCTCGAGTTGCTGTGCTGAAGTTGGTGTTCCTCTAGACTTGGGCCAGTGTTCTCGGGGCATCTCTGGAGTTGCCTGAAGGAAGTTGACCCACCGGTCGTGTTGAATGGGGAACGGGAATGGCTCTGGAGTCAATGCAGGGGAATCGGGCCTCATCTCGAGTTGATTTGTGGCACATGGAGCTGCTTTGCGTTGCTGGGGTGACCTCAGGGTCCGTCTAGACTGGTGACAGTGTTCCTGGGGACTGTCTCGAGATCCATTAAGCAAGTCGAAGCTCCTGACTTGTTTCAATGGGATCACGGAATAGCTCTGCATGCACTGCAGGGGAATGGGGCCTCATCTCGCCTCTAGGGGGAAGTCTCATGGTTTTTCTCGAGTTGCGCCGGGGACCTGGGGTATGTTCTCGACTTACGGCGGGGATGGCCCCTCAAAACACTTTTTTCTTCAGTGACGTCAGGACCTCTGTCTAGTAACGAGGGACACCTCAGCAATCTCTTCGAGGCTTGGCAGGGCAAAAGGGACGCTTCTCGATGTGAGGCAGGGCACCCAAGGACCCTTTCCAGTAGCCACAGGGATTTTGGGATTCCTATCAGTATTCAAGAGGAGTCAGGCATCGTCACCTTTAGAAGCAATGAACTCCGCGTGACTCTCGAGGTGTCAACGAAATGTGAGGCATTCCGTCAAAATGAGGCAAGGATCTAGGGCTATCTCTAAGGTCTCCACAGGGGATTCAGACATTCCTTCATGTTGTGAAATGAAACACGAGCCTGCATTCAAGCCACTGCAAGGAAATCCGGCCTCCTTTCAAGTTAGGGCTTCTCGCGGTATATTCCCCAAGAGGCAGCAAACTCGGGGTCCCTCCCACATACCTATTGCTGAGAGAAGCCTCCTCCTGAGGTGCATCTGGAAAGTTGGCATACGTCTTGAGCCTAAGCCAGGGAATCAGCTCTCATCTCGAGACGATTTGGGGTACACGGAGCATTCCTCGAGTTGCTGTGCTAAAGTTGGTGTTCCTCTAGACTTGGGAGAGTGTTCTCGGGGCATCTCTGGAGTTGCCTGAAGGAAGTCGAGCCATCGGTCGTGTTGAATGGGGAACGGGGAATGGCTCTGGAGTCAATCCAGGGGAATCGGGCCTCATCTCGAGTTGATTTGGGGTACATGGAGCTGCTTTGCGTTGCTGGGGTGACCTCAGGGTCCGTCTAGACTGGTGACAGTGTTCTTGGAGACTGTCTCGAGATCCATTAAGCAAGTCGAAGCTCCTGACTTGTTTGAATGGGATCACGGAATAGCTCTGCATGCACTGCAGGGGAATGGGGCCTCATCTCGCCTCTAGGGGGAAGTCTCATGGTTTTTCTCGATTTGCGGCGGGGACCTGGGGTATGTTCTCGACTTACGGCGGGGATGGCCCTTCAAAACACGAGTTTCTTCAGTGACGTCAGGACTCCTGTCTAGTAACGAGGGACACCTCAGGAAACTCTTCGAGGCTTGGCAGGGCAAAAGGGACTCTTCTCGACGTGAGGCAGGTAACCCTAGGACCCTTTCCAGTAGCCACAGGGATTTTGGGATTCCTATCAGTATTCAAGAGGAGTCAGGCATCGTCACCTTTTGAAGCAATGAACTCCGCGTGCCTCTCGAGGTGTCAACGGGATGTGAGGCATTCCGTCAAAGTGAGGCAGGTACCTAGGGCTTTCTCTAAGGTCTCCACAGGGGATTCAGACATCCCTTCATGTTGTGAAATGAAACACGAGCCTGTATTCAAGCCACTGCAAGGAAATTCGGCCTTCTTTCAAGTTAGGGCTTCTCGCTGTATATTCCCCTTTAGGCAGCAAACTCGGGGTCCCTCCCACATACCTATTGCTGAGACAGCCTCCTCTTGAGGTGCTTCTGGAAAGTTGGCATACGTCTTGAGCCTAAGCCAGGGAATCAGCTCGCATCTCGAGACGATTTGGGGTACACGGAGCATTCCTCGAGTTGCTGTGCTGAAGTTGGTGTTTCCCTAGACTTCGGACAGTGTTCTCGGGGCATCACTGGAGTTGCCTGAAGGAAGTCGAGATACTGGTCGTGTTGAATGGGGAACGGGGAATGGCTCTGGAGTCAATGCAGGGGAATCGGGCCTCATCTCGAGTTGATTTGTGGCACATGGAGTTGCTTTGCGTTGCTGGGGTGACCTCAGGGTCCGTCTAGACTGGTGACAGTGTTCTTGGGGACTGTCTCGAGATCCATTAAGCAAGTCGAAGCTCCTGACTTGTTTGAATGGGATCACGGAATAGCTCTGCATGCACTGCAGGGGAATGGGGCCTCATCTCGCCTCTAGGGGGAAGTCTCATGGTTTTTCTCGAGTTGCGGCGGGAACCTGGGATATGTTCTCGACGTACGGCAGGGATGGCCCTTCAAAACACGAGTTTCTTCAGTGACGTCAGGACTCCTGTCTAGTAACGAGGGACACCTCAGGAATCTCTTCGAGGCTTGGCAGGGCAAAAGGGACTCTTCTCGAGGTGAGGCAGGGCACCCAAGGACCCTTTCCAGTAGCCACAGGGATTTTGGGATTCCTATCAGTATTCAAGAGGAGTCAGGCATCGTCACCTTTTGAAGCAATGAACTCCGCGTGCCTCTCGAGGTGTCAACGGGATGTGAGGCATTCCGTCAAAGTGAGGCAGGGACCTAGGGCTTTCTCTAAGGTCTCCACAGGGGATTCAGACATCCCTTCATATTGTGAAATGAAACACGAGCCTGTATTCAAGCCACTGTAAGGAAATCCGGCCTCCTTTCAAGTTAGGGATTCTCGCTGTATATTGCCCTTGAGGCAGCAAACTCGGGGTCCCTCCCACATACCTATTACTGAGACAGCCTCCTCCTGAGGTGCTTCTGGAAAGTTGGCATACGTCTTGAGCCTAAGCCAGGGAATCAGCTCTCATCTCGAGACAATTTGGGGTACACGGAGCATTCCTCGAGTTGCTGTGCTGAAGTTGGTGTTCCTCTAGACTTGGGACAGTGTTCTCGGGGCATCTCTGGAGTTGCCTGAAGGAAGTCGAGCCACCGGTCGTGTTGAATGGGGAACGAGAATGGCTATGGAGTCAATGCAGGGGAATAGGGCCTCATCTCGAGTTGATTTGGGGCACATGGAGCTGCTTTGCGTTGCTGGGGTGACCTCAGGGTCCGTCTAGACTGGTGACAGTGTTCCTGGGGACTGTCTCGAGATCCATTAAGCAAGTCGAAGCTCCTGACTTGTTTCAATGGGATCACGGAATAGCTCTGCATGCACTGCAGGGGAATGGGGCCTCATCTCGCCTCTAGGGGGAAGTCTCATGGTTTTTCTCGAGTTGCGGCGGGGACCTGGGGTATGTTCTCGACTTACGGCGGGGATGGCCCCTCAAAACACTTTTTTCTTCAGTGACGTCAGGACCTCTGTCTAGTAACGAGGGACACCTCAGCAATCTCTTCGAGGCTTGGTAGGGCAAAAGGGACTCTTCTCGAGGTGAGGCAGGTAACCCTAGGACCCTTTCCAGTAGCCACAGGGATTTTGGGATTCCTATCAGTATTCAAGAGGAGTCAGGCATCGTCACCTTTTGAAGCAATGAACTCCGCGTGCCTCTCGAGGTGTCAACGGGATGTGAGGCATTCCGTCAAAGTGAGGCAGGTACCTAGGGCTTTCTCTAAGGTCTCCACAGGGATTCAGACATCCTTTCATGTTGTGAAATGAAACACGAGCCTGTATTCAAGCCACTGCAAGGAAATTCAGCCTCCTTTCAAGTTAGGGCTTCTCGCTGTATATTCCCCTTTAGGCAGCAAACTCGGGGTCCCTCCCACATACCTATTGCTGAGACAGCCTCCTCCTGAGGTGCTTCTGGAAAGTTGGCATACGTCTTGTGCCTAAGCCAGTGAATCAGCTCTCATCTCGAGACGATTTGGGGTACACGGTGCATTCCTCGAGTTGCTGTGCTGAAGTTGGTGTTCCTCTAGACATGGGACAGTGTTCTCGGGGCATCTCTGGAGTTGCCTGAAAGAAGTCGAGCCACCGGTAGTGTTGAATGGGGAACGAGAATGGCTATGGAGTCAATGCAGGGGAATCGGGCCTCATCTCGAGTTGATTTGGGGCACATGGAGCTGCTTTGCGTTGCTGGGGTGACCTCAGAGTCCGTCTAGACTGGTGACAGTGTTCTTGGGGACTCTCTCGAGATCCATTAAGCAAGTCGAAGCTCCTGACTTGTTTGAATGGGATCACGGAATAGCTCTGCATGCACTGCAGGGGAATGGGGCCTCATCTCGCCTCTAGGGGGAAGTCTCATGGTTTTTCTCGAGTTGCGGCGGGGACCTGTGGTATGTTCTCGACTTACGGCGGGGATGGCCCTTCAAAACACGAGTTTCTTCAGTGACGTCAGGACTCCTGTCTAGTAACGAGGGACACCTCAGGAATCTCTTCGAGGCTTGGCAGGGCAAAAGGGACGCTTCTCGGGATGAGGCAGGGCAACCAAGGACCCTTTCCAGTAGCCACAGGGATTTTGGGATTCCTATCAGTATTCAAGAGGAGTCAGGCATCGTCACCTTTTGAAGCAATGAACTCCGCGTGCCTCTCGAGGTGTCAGCGGGATGTGAGGCATTCCGTCAAAGTGAGGCAGGGACCTAGGGCTTTCTCTAAGGTCTCCACAGGGGATTCAGACATCCCTTCATTTTGTGAGATGAAAGACGAGCCTGTATTCAAGCCACTGCAAGGAAATCCGGCCTCCTTTCAAGTTAGGGCTTCTCGCTGTATATTGCCCTTGAGGCAGCAAACTCGGGGTCCCTCCCACATACCTATTGCTGAGACAGCCTCCTCCTGAGGTGCTTCTGGAAAGTTGGCATACGTCTTGAGCCTAAGCCAGGGAATCAGCTCTCATCTCGAGACGATTTGGGGTACACGGAGCATTCCTCGAGTTGCTGTGCTGAAGTTGGTGTTCCTCTATACTTGGGACAGTGTTCTCGGGGCATCTCTGGAGTTGCCTGAAGGAAGTCGAGCCACCGGTCGTGTTGAATGGGGAACGAGAATGGCTATGGAGTCAATGCAGGGGAATCGGGCCTCATCTCGAGTTGATTTGGGGCACATGGAGCTGCTTTGCGTTGCTGGGGTGACCTCAGAGTCCGTCTAGACTGGTGACAGTGTTCCTGGGGACTGTCTCGAGATCCATTAAGCAAGTCGAAGCTCCTGACTTGTTTCAATGGGATCACGGAATAGCTCTGCATGCACTGCAGGGGAATGGGGCCTCATCTCGCCTCTAGGGGGAAGTCTCATGGTTTTTCTCGAGTTGCGGCGGGGACCTGGGGTATGTTCTCGACTTACGGCGGGGATGGCCCCTCAAAACACTTTTTTCTTCAGTGACGTCAGGACCTCTGTCTAGTAACGAGGGACACTTCAGCAATCTCTTCGAGGCTTGGCAGGGCAAAAGGGACTCTTCTCGAGGTGAGGCAGGTAACCCTAGGACCCTTTCCAGTAGCCACAGGGATTTTGGGATTCCTATCAGTATTCAAGAGGAGTCAGGCATCGTCACCTTTTGAAGCAATGAACTCCGCGTGCCTCTCGAGGTGTCAACGGGATGTGAGGCATTCCGTCAAAGTGAGGCAGGTACCTAGGGCTTTCTCTAAGGTCTCCACAGGGGATTCAGACATCCCTTCATGTTGTGAAATGAAACACGAGCCTGTATTCAAGCCACTGAAAGGAAATTCGGCCTCTTTTCAAGTTAGGGCTTCTCGCTGTATATTCCCCTTTAGGCAGCAAACTCGGGGTCCCTCCCACATACCTATTGCTGAGACAGCCTCCTCCTGAGGTGCTTCTGAAAAGTTGGCATACGTCTTGAGCCTAAGCCAGTGAATCAGCTCTCATCTCGAGACGATTTGGGGTACACGGTGCATTCCTCGAGTTGCTGTGATGAAGTTGGTGTTCCTCTAGACATGGGACAGTGTTCTCGGGGCATCTCTGGAGTTGCCTGAAAGAAGTCGAGCCACCGGTAGTGTTGAATGGGGAACGAGAATGGCTATGGAATCAATGCAGGGGAATCGGGCCTCATCTCGAGTTGATTTGGGGCACATGGAGCTGCTTTGCGTTGCTGGGGTGACCTCAGAGTCCGTCTAGACTGGTGACAGTGTTCTTGGGGACTCTCTCGAGATCCATTAAGCAAGTCGAAGCTCCTGACTTGTTTGAATGGGATCACGGAATAGCTCTGCATGCACTGCAGGGGAATGGGGCCTCATCTCGCCTCTAGGGGGAAGTCTCATGGTTTTTCTCGAGTTGCGGCGGGGACCTGGGGTATGTTCTCGACTTACGGCGGGGATGGCCCTTCAAAACACGAGTTTCTTCAGTGACGTCAGGACTCCTGTCTAGTAACGAGGGACACCTCAGGAATCTCTTCGAGGCTTGGCAGGGCAAAAGGGACGCTTCTCGGGGTGAGGCAGGGCAACCAAGGACCCTTTCCAGTAGCCACAGGGATTTTGGGATTCCTATCAGTATTCAAGAGGAGTCAGGCATCGTCACCTTTTGAAGCAATGAACTCCGCGTGCCTCTCGAGGTGTCAGCGGGATGTGAGGCATTCCGTCAAAGTGAGGCAGGGACCTAGGGCTTTCTCTAAGGTCTCCACAGGGGATTCAGACATCCCTTCATGTTGTGAGATGAAAGACGAGCCTGTATTCAAGACACTGCAAGGAAATTCTGCCTCTTTTCAAGTTAGGGCTTCTCGCTGTATATTCCCCTTGAGGCAGCAAACTCGGGGCCCTCCCACATACCTATTGCTGAGAGAAACCTCCTCCTGAGGTGCTTCTGGAAAGTTGGCATACGTCTTGAGCCTAAGCCAGGGAATCAGCTCTCATCTCGAGATGATTTGGGGTACACGGAGCATTCCTCGAGTTGCTGTGCTGAAGTTGGTGTTCCTCTAGACTTGGGCCAGTGTTCTCGGGGCATCTCTGGAGTTGCCTGAAGGAAGTCGACCCACCGGTCGTGTTGAATGGGGAACGGGAATGGCTATGGAGTCAATCTAGGGGAATCGGGCCTCATCTCGAGATGATTTGGGGCACATGGAGCTGCTTTGCGTTGCTGGGGTGACCTCAGGGTCCATCTAGACTGATGACAGTGTTCTTGGGGACTGTCTCGAGATCCATTAAGCAAGTCGAAGCTCCTGACTTGTTTGATTGGGATCACGGAATAGCTCTGCATGCACTGCAGGGGAATGGGGCCTCATCTCGCCTCTAGGGAGAAGTCTCATTGTTTTTCTCGATTTGCGGCGGGGACCTGGGGTATGTTCTCGACTTACGGCGGGGATGGCCCTTCAAAACACGAGTTTCTTCAGTGACGTCAGGACTCCTGTCTAGTAACGAGGGACACCTCAGGAATCTCTTCGAGGCTTCGCAGGTCAAAAGGGACGCTTCTCGAGGTGAGGCAGGGCAACCAAGGACCCTTTCCAGTAGCCACAGGGATTTTGGGATTCCTATCAGTATTCAAGAGGAGTCAGGCATCGTCACCTTTTGAAGCAATGAACTCCGCGTGCCTCTCGAGGTTTCAACGGGTTGTGAGGCATTCCGTCAAAATCAGGCAGGGACCTAGGGCTTTTTCTAAGGTCTCCACAGGGAATTCAGACATCCCTTCATGTTTTGAGATCAAAGACGAGCCTTTATGCAAGCCACTGCAAGGAAATCCGGCCTCCTTTCAATATGGGGCTTCTCGCTGTATATTCCTATTGAAGCAGCGATCTCGGGGTCCCTCCCACATACCTATTGCTGAGAGAAGCCTCCTCCTGAGGTGCTTCTGGAAAGTTGGCATACGTCTTGAGCCTAAGCCAGGGAATCAGCTCTCATCTCGAGACGATTTGGGGTACACGGAGCATTCCTCGAGTTGCTGTGCTGAAGTTGGTGTTCCTCTAGACTTGGGCCAGTGTTCTCGGGGCATCTCTGGAGTTGCCTGAAGGAAGTCGAGCCACCGGTCGTGTTGAATGGGGAACGGGGAATTGCTCTGGAGTCAATGCAGGGGAATCGGGCCTCATCTCGTGTTGATTTGGGGCACATGGAGCTGCTTTGCGTTGCTGGGGTGACCTCAGGGTCCGTCTAGACTGGTGACAGTGTTCTTGGGGACTGTCTCGAGATCCATTAAGCAAGTCGAAGCTCCTGACTGGTTTGAATGGGATCACGGAATAGCTCTGCATGCACTGCAGGGGAATGGGGCCTCATCTCGCCTCTAGGGGGACGTCTCATGGTTTTTCTCGAGTTGCGGCGGGGACCTGGGGTATGTTCTCGACTTACGGCGGGGATGGCCCTTCAAAACACGAGTTTCTTCAGTGACGTCAGGACCTCTGTCTAGTAACGCGGGACACCTCAGGAATCTCTTCGAGGCTTGGCAGGGCAAAAGGGACGCTTCTCGAGGTGAGACAGGGCAACCAAGGACCCTTTCCAGTAGCCACAGGGATTTTGGGATTCCTATCATTATTCAAGAGGAGTCAGGCATCGTCACCTTTTGAAGCAATGAACTCCGCGTGCCTCTCGAGGTGTCAACGGGATGTGAGGCATTCCGTCAAAATGAGGCAGGGACCTAGGGCTTTCTCTAAGGTCTCCACAGGGGATTCAGACATCCATTCATGTTGTGAAATGAAACACGAGCCTGTATTCAAGACACTGCAAGGAAATCCGGCCTCCTTTCAAGTTAGGGCTTCTCGCTGTATATTCCCCTTGAGGCAGCAAACTCGGGGTCCCTCCCACATACCTATTGCTGAGAGAAGCCTCCTCCTGAGGTGCTTCTGGAAAGTTGGCATACGTCTTGAGCCTAAGCCAGGGAATCAGCTCTCATCTCGAGACGATTTGGGGTACACGGAGCATTCCTCGAGTTGCTGTGCTGAAGTTGGTGTTCCTCTAGACTTGGGACAGTGTTCTCGGGGCATCTCTGGAGTTGCCTGAAGGAAGTCGACCCACCGGTCGTGTTGAATGGGGAACGGGAATGGCTCTGGAGTCAATGCAGGGGAATCGGGCCTCATCTCGAGTTGATTTGTGGCACAAGGAGCTGCTTTGCGTTGCTGGGGTGACCTCAGGGTCCGTCTAGACTGGTGACAGTGTTCCTGGGGACTGTCTCGAGATCCATTAAGCAAGTCGAAGCTCCTGACTTGTTTCAATGGGATCACGGAATAGCTCTGCATGCACTGCAGGGGAATGGGGCCTCATCTCGCCTCTAGGGGGAAGTCTCATGGTTTTTCTCGAGTTGTGGCGGGGACCTGGGGTATGTTCTCGACTTACGGCGGGGATGGCCCCTCAAAACACTTTTTTCTTCAGTGACGTCAGGACTTCTGTCTAGTAACGAGGGACACCTCAGCAATCTCTTCGAGGCTTGGCAGGGCAAAAGGGACGCTTCTCGATGTGAGGCAGGGCACCCAAGGACCCTTTCCAGTAGCCACAGGGATTTTGGGATTCCTATCAGTATTCAAGAGGAGTCAGGCATCGTCACCTTTTGAAGCAATGAACTCCGCGTGACTCTCGAGGTGTCAACAAAATGTGAGGCATTCCGTCAAAATGAGGCAGGGATCTAGGGCTTTCTCTAAGGTCTCCACAGGGGATTCAGACATTCCTTCATGTTGTGAAATGAAACACGAGCCTGCATTCAAGCCACTGCAAGGAAATCCGGCCTCCTTTCAAGTTAGGGCTTCTCGCGGTATATTCCCCAAGAGGCAGCAAACTCGGGGTCCCTCCCACATACCTATTGCTGAGAGAAGCCTCCTCCTGAGGTGCATCTTTAAAGTTGGCATACGTCTTGAGCCTAAGCCAGGGAATCAGCTCTCATCTCGAGACGATTTGGGGTACACGGAGCATTCCTCGAGTTGCTGTGCTAAAGTTGGTGTTCCTCTAGACTTGAGAGAGTGTTCTCGGGGCATCTCTGGAGTTGCCTGAAGGAAGTCGAGCCACCGGTCGTGTTGAATGGGGAACGGGGAATGGCTCTGGAGTCAATGCAGGGGAATCGGGCCTCATCTCGAGTTGATTTGGGGCACATGGAGCTGCTGTGTGTTGCTGGGGTGACCTCAGAGTCCGTCTAGACTGGTGACAGTGTTCTTGGGGACTGTCTCGAGATCCATTAAGCAAGTCGAAGCTCCTGACTTGTTTGAATGGGATCACGGAATAGCTCTGCATGCACTGCAGTGGAATGGGGCCTCATCTCGCCTCTAGGGGGAAGTCTCATGGTTTTTCTCGAGTTGCGGCAGGGACCTGTGGTATGTTCTCGACTTACGGCGGGGATGGCCCCTCAAAACACTTTTTTCTTCAGTGACGTCAGGACCTCTGTCTAGTAACGAGGGACACCTCAGGAATCTCTTCGAGGCTTGGCAGGGCAAAAGGGACGCTTCTCGGGATGAGGCAGGGCAACCAAGGACCCTTTCCAGTAGCCACAGGGATTTTGGGATTCCTATCAGTAATCAAGAGGAGTCAGGCATCGTCACCTTTTGAAGCAATGAACTCCGCGTGCCTCTCGAGGTGTCAGCGGGATGTGAGGCATTCCGTCAAAGTGAGGCAGGGACCTAGGGCTTTCTCTAAGGTCTCCACAGGGTATTCAGACATCCCTTCATTTTGTGAGATGAAAGACGAGCCTGTATTCAAGCCACTGCAAGGAAATCCGGCCTCCTTTCAAGTTAGGGCTTCTCGCTGTATATTCCACTTGAGGCAGCAAACTCGGGGTCCCTCCCACATATCTATTGCTGAGACAGCCTCCTCTTGAGGTGCTTCTGGAAAGTTGGCATACGTCTTGAGCCTAAGCCAGGGAATCAGCTCTCATCTCGAGACGATTTGGGGTACACGGAGCATTCCTCGAGTTGCTGTGCTGAAGTTGGTGTTTCTCTAGACTTGGGACAGTGTTCTCGGGGCATCACTGGAGTTGCCTGAAGGAAGTCGAGATACTGGTCATGTTGAATGGGGAACGGGGAATGGCTCTGGAGTCAATGCAGGGGAATCGGGCCTCATCTCGAGTTGATTTGTGGCACATGGAGCTGCTTTGCGTTGCTGGGGTGACCTCAGGGTCCGTCTAGACTGGTGACAGTGTTCTTGGGGACTGTCTCGAGATCCATTAAGCAAGTCGAAGCTCCTGACTTGTTTGAATGGGATCACGGAATAGCTCTGCATGCACTGCAGGGGAATGGGGCCTCATCTCGCCTCTAGGGGGAAGTCTCATGGTTTTTCTCGAGTTGCGGCGGGGACCTGGGGTATGTTCTCGACTTACGGCGGGGATGGCCCTTCAAAACACGAGTTTCTTCAGTGACGTCAGGACTCCTGTCTAGTAACGAGGGACACCTCAGGAATCGCTTCGAGGCTTGGCAGGGTAAAAGGGACGCTTCTCGAGGTGAGGCAGGGCAACCAAGGACCCTTTCCAGTAGCCACAGGGATTTTGGGATTCCTATCAGTATTCAAGAGGAGTCAGGCATCGTCACCTTTTGAAGCAATGAACTCCGCGTGCCTCTCGAGGTGTCAGCGGGATGTGAGGCATTCCGTCAAAGTGAGGCAGGGACCTAGGGCTTTCTCTAAGGTCTCCACAGTGGATTCAGACATCCCTTCATGTTGTGAAATGAAACACGAGCCTGTATTCAAGCCACTGCAAGGAAATCCGGCCTCCTTTCCAGTTAGGGCTTCTCGCTGTATATTCCCCTTGAGGCAGCAAACTCGGGGTCCCTCCCACATACATATTGCTGAGACAGCCTCCTCCTGAGATGCTTCTGGAAAGTTGGCATACGTCTTGAGCCTAAGCCAGGGAATCAGCTCTCATCTCGAGACGATTTGGGGTACACGGAGCATTCCTCGAGTTGCTGTGCTGAAGTTGGTGTTTCTCTAGACTTGGGACAGTGTTCTCGGGGCATCACTGGAGTTGCCTGAAGGAAGTCGAGACACTGGTCGTGTTGAATGGGGAACGGGGAATCGCTCTGGAGTCAATTCAGGGGAATCGGGCCTCATCTCGAGTTGATTTGTGGCACATGGAGCTGCTTTGCGTTGCTTGGGTGACCTCAGGGTCCGTCTAGACTGGTGACAGTGTTCTTGGGGACTCTCTCGAGATCCATTAAGCAAGTCGAAGCTCCTGACTTGTTTGAATGGGATCACGGAATAGCTCTGCATGCACTGCAGGGGAATGGGGCCTCATCTCGCCTCTAGGGGGAAGTCTCATGGTTTTTCTCGAGTTGCGGCGGGGACCTGGGGTATGTTCTCGACTTACGGCCGGGATGGCCCTTCAAAACACGAGTTTCTTCAGTGACGTCAGGACTCCTGTCTAGTAACGAGGGACACCTCAGGAAACTCTTCGAGGCTTGGCAGGGCAAAAGTGACTCTTCTCGAGGTGAGGCAGGTAACCCTAGGACCCTTTCCAGTAGCCACAGGGATTTTGGGATTCCTATCAGTATTCAAGAGGAGTCAGGCATCGTCACCTTTTGAAGCAATGAACTCCGCGTGCCTCTCGAGGTGTCAACGGGATGTGAGGCATTCCGTCAAAGTGAGGCAGGTACCTAGGGCTTTCTCTAAGGTCTCCACAGGGGATTCAGACATCCCTTCATGTTGTGAAATGAAACACGAGCCTGTATTCAAGCCACTGCAAGGAAATTCGGCCTCCTTTCAAGTTAGGGCTTCTCGCTGTATATTCCCCTTTAGGCAGCAAACTCGGGGTCCCTCCCACATACCTATTGCTGAGACAGCCTCCTCCTGAGGTGCTTCTGGAAAGTTGGCATACGTCTTGAGCCTAAGCCAGGGAATCAGCTCTCATCTCGAGACGATTTGGGGTACACGGAGCATTCCTCGAGTTGCTGTGCTGAAGTTGGTGTTCCTCTAGACATGGGACAGTGTTCTCGGGGCATCTCTGGAGTTGCCTGAAAGAAGTTGAGCCACCGGTAGTGTTGAATGGGGAACGAGAATGGCTATGGAGTCAATGCAGGTGAATCGGGCCTCATCTCGAGTTGATTTGGGGCACATGGAGCTGCTTTGCGTTGCTGGGGTGACCTCAGAGTCCGTCTAGACTGGTGACAGTGTTCTTGGGGACTCTCTCGAGATCCATTAAGCAAGTCGAAGCTCCTGACTTGTTTGAATGGGATCACGGAATAGTTCTGCATGCACTGCAGGGGAATGGGGCCTCATCTCGCCTCTAGGGGGAAGTCTCATGGTTTTTCTCGAGTTGCGGCGGGGACCTGGAGTATGTTCTCGACTTACGGCGGGGATGGCCCTTCAAAACACGAGTTTCTTCAGTGACGTCAGGACTCCTGTCTAGTAACGAGGGACACCTCAGGAATCTCTTCGAGGCTTGGCAGGGCAAAAGGGACGCTTCTCGGGGTGAGGCAGGGCAACCAAGGACCCTTTCCAGTAGCCACAGGGATTTTGGGATTCCTATCAGTATTCAAGAGGAGTCAGGCATCGTCACCTTTTGAAGCAATGAACTCCGCGTGCCTCTCGAGGTGTCAGCGGGATGTGAGGCATTCCGTCAAAGTGAGGCAGGGACCTAGGGCTTTCTCTAAGGTCTCCACAGGGGATTCAGCCTTCCCTTCATGTTGTGAAATGAAACACGAGCCTGTATTCAAGCCACTGCAAGGAAATCCGGCCTCCTTTCAAGTTAGGGCTTCTCGCTGTATATTCCCCTTGAGGCAGCAAACTCGGGGTCCCTCCCACATACCTATTGCTGAGACAGCTTCCTCCTGAGGTGCTTCTGGAAAGTTGGCATACGTCTTGAGCCTAAGCCAGGGAATCAGCTCTCATCTCGAGACGATTTGGGGTACACGGAGCATTCCTCGAGTTGCTGTGCTGAAGTTGGTGTTTCTCTAGACTTGGGACAGTGTTCTCGGGGCATCACTGGAGTTGCCTGAAGTAAGTCGAGACACTGGTCGTGTTGAATGGGGAACGGGGAATGGCTCTGGAGTCAATGCAGGGGAATCGGGCCTCATCTCGAGTTGATTTGTGGCACATGGAGCTGCTTTGCGTTGCTGGGGTGACCTCAGGGTCCGTCTAGACTGGTGACAGTGTTCTTGGGGACTGTCTCGAGATCCATTAAGCAAGTCGAAGCTCCTGACTTGTTTGAATGGGATCACGGAATAGCTCTGCATGCACTGCAGGGGAATGGGGCCTCATCTCGCCTCTAGGGGGAAGTCTCATGGTTTTTCTCGAGTTGCGACGGGGACCTGGGATATGTTCTCGACGTACGGCGGGGATGGCCCTTCAAAACACGAGTTTCTTCAGTGACGTCAGGACTCCTGTCTAGTAACGAGGGACACCTCAGGAATCTCTTCGAGGCTTGGCAGGGCAAAAGGGACTCTTCTCGAGGTGAGGCAGGGCACCCAAGGACCCTTTTCAGTAGCCACAGGGATTTTGGGATTCCTATCAGTATTCAAGAGGAGTCAGGCATCGTCACCTTTTGAAGCAATGAACTCCGCGTGCCTCTCGAGGTGTCAACGGGATGTGAGGCATTCCGTCAAAGTGAGGCAGGGACCTAGGGCTTTCTCTAAGGTCTCCACAGGGGATTCAGACATCCCTTCATGTTGTGAAATGAAACACGAGCCTGTATTCAAGCCACTGCAAGGAAATCCGGCCTCCTTTCAAGTTAGGGCTTCTCGCTGTATATTGCCCTTGAGGCAGCAAACTCGGGGTCCCTCCCACATACCTATTGCTGAGACAGCCTCCTCCTGAGGTGCTTCTGGAAAGTTGGCATACGTCTTGAGCCTAAGCCAGGGAATCAGCTCTCATCTCGAGACGATTTGGGGTACACGGAGCATTCCTCGAGTTGCTGTGCTGAAGTTGGTGTTCCTCTAGACTTGGGACAGTGTTCTCGGGGCATCTCTGGAGTTGCCTGAAGGAAGTCGAGGCACCGGTCGTGTTGAATGGGGAACGAGAATGGCTATGGAGTCAAAGCAGGGGAATCGGGCCTCATCTCGAGTTGATTTGGGGTACATGGAGCTGCTTTGCGTTGCTGGGGTGACCTCAGAGTCCGTCTAGACTGATGACAGTGTTCTTGGGGACTCTCTCGAGATCCATTAAGCAAGTCGAAGCTCCTGACTTTTTTCAATGGGATCACGGAATAGCTCTGCATGCACTGCAGGGGAATTGTGCCTCATCTCGCCTCTAGGGGGAAGTCTCATGGTTTTTCTCGAGTTGCGGCGGGGACCTGGGGTATGTTCTCGGGTTACGGCGGGGATGGCCCTTCAAAACACGTGTTTATTCAGTGACGTCAGGACTCCTGTCTAGTAACGAGGGACACCTCAGGAATCTTTTCGAGGCTTGCCAGGGCAAAAGGGACGCTTCTCGAGGTGAGGCAGGGCACCCAAGGACCCTTTCCAGTAGACACAGGGATTTGGGGATTCCTATCAGTATTCAAGAAGAGTCAGGCATCGTCCCTTTTGAAGCAATGAACTCCGCGTGCCTCTCGAGGTGTCAGCGGGATGTGAGGCATTCCGTCAAAATGAGGCAGGGACCTAGGGCTTTCTCTAAGGTCTCCACAGGGGATTCAGACATCCCTTCATGTTGTGAAATGAAACAGGAGCCTGTATTCAAGCCACTGCAAGGAAATCCGGCCTCCTTTCAAGTTAGGGCTTCTCGCTGTATATTCCCCTTGAGGCAGCAAACTCGGAGTCCCTCCCACATACCTATTACTGAGACAGCCTCCTCCTGAGGTGCTTCTGGAAAGTTGGCATACGTCTTGAGCCTAAGCCAGGAAATCAGCTCTCATCTCGAGACGATTTGGGGTACACGGAGCATTCCTCGAGTTGCTGTGCTGAAGTTGGTGTTTCTCTAGACTTGGGACAGTGTTCTCGGGGCATCACTGGAGTTGCCTGAAGGAAGTCGAGACACTGGTCGTGTTGAATGGGGAACGGGGAATGGCTCTGGAGTCAATGCAGGGGAATCGGGCCTCATCTGGAGTTGATTTGTGGCACATGGAGCTGCTTTGCGTTGCTGGGGTGACCTCAGGGTCCGTCTAGACTGGTGACAGTGTTCTTGGAGACTGTCTCGAGATCCATTAAGCAAGTCGAAGCTCCTGACTTGTTTGAATGGGATCACGGTATAGCTCTGCATGCACTGCAGGGAAATGGGGCCTCATCTCGCCTCTAGGGGGAAGTCTCATGGTTTTTCTCGAGTTGCGGAGGGGACCTGGGGTATGTTCTCGACTTACGGCGGGGATGGCCCTTCAAAACACGAGTTTGTTCAGTGACGTCAGGACTCCTGTCTAGTAACGAGGGACACCTCAGGAATCTCTTCGAGGCTTGACAGGGCAAAAGGGACTCTTCTCGAGGTGAGGCAGGGCACCCAAGGACCCTTTCCAGTAGCCACAGGGATTTTGGGATTCCTATCGGTATTCAAGAGGAGTCAGGCATCGTCACCTTTTGAAGCAATGAACTCCTCGTGCCTCTCGAGGTGTCAGCGGGATGTGAGGCATTCCGTCAAAATGAGGCAGGGACCTAGGGCTTTCTCTAAGTTCTCCACAGAGGATTCAGACATCCCTTCATGTTGTGAAATGAAACAAGAGCCTGTATTCAAGACACTGCAAAGAAATCCGGCCTCCTTTCAAGTTAGGGCTTCTCGCTGTATATTCCCCTTGAGGCAGCAAACTCGGGGTCCCTCCCACATACCTATTGCTGAGAGAAGCCTCCTCCTGAGGTGCTTCTGGAAAGTTGGCATATGTCTTAAGTCTAAGCCAGGGAATCAGCTCTCATCTCGAGACGATTTGGGGTACACGGAGCATTCCTCGAGTTGCTGTGCTGAAGTTGGTGTTCCTCTAGACTTGGGCCAGTGTTCTCGGGGCATCTCTGGAGTTGCCTGAAGGAAGTCGAGCCACCGGTCTTGTTGAATGGGGAAAGGGAATGGCTATGGAGTCAATGCAGGGGAATCGGGCCTCATCTCGAGTTGATTTGGGGCACATGGAGCTGCTTTGCGTTGCTGGGGTGACCTCAGGGTCCGTCTAGACTGGTGACAGTGTTCCTGGGTACTCTCTCGAGATCCATTAAGCAAGTCGAAGCTCCTGACTTATTTCAATGGGATCACGGAATACCTCTGCATGCACTGCAGGGGAATGGGGCCTCATCTCGCCTCTAGAGGGAAGTCTCATGGTTTTTCTCGAGTTGCGGCGGGGACCTGGGGTATGTTCTCGACTTACGGCGGGGATGGCCCTTCAAAACACGAGTTTCTTCAGTGACGTCAGGACTCCTGTCTAGTAACGAGGGACACCTCAGGAATCTATTCGAGGCTTGGCAGGGCCAAAGGGACGCTTCTCGAGGTGAGGCAGGGCACCCAAGGACCCTTTCCAGTAGCCACAGGGATTTTGGGATTCCTATCAGTATTCAAGAGGAGTCAGGCATCGTCACCTTTTGAAGCAATGAACTCCGCGTGCCTCTCGAGGTGTCAGCGGGATGTGAGGCATTCCGTCAAAGTGAGGCAGGGACCTAGGGCTTTCTCTAAGGTCTCCACAGTGGATTCAGACATCCCTTCATGTTGTGAAATGAAACACGAGCCTGTATTCAAGCCACTGCAAGGAAATCCGGCCTCCTTTCAAGTTAGGGCTTCTCGCTGTATATTCCCCTTGAGGCAGCAAACTCGGGGTCCCTCCCACATACCTATTGCTGAGACAGCCTCCTCCTGAGGTGCTTCTGGAAAGTTGGCATACGTCTTGAGCCTAAGCCAGGGAATCAGCTCTCATCTCGAGACAATTTGGGGTACACGGAGCATTCCTCGAGTTGCTGTGCTAAAGTTGGTGTTTCTCTAGACTTGGGACAGTGTTCTCGGGGCATCACTGGAGTTGCCTGAAGGAAGTCGAGACACTGGTCGTGTTGAATGGGGAACGGGGAATCGCTCTGGAGTCAATGCAGGGGAATCGGGCCTCATCTCGAGTTGATTTGTGGCACATGGAGCTGCTTTGCGTTGCTTGGGTGACCTCAGGGTCCGTCTAGACTGGTGACAGTGTTCTTGGGGACTGTCTCGAGATCCATTAAGCAAGTCGAAGCTCCTGACTTGTTTGAATGGGATCACGGAATAGCTCTGCATGCACTGCAGGGGAATGGGGCCTCATCTCGCCTCTAGGGGGAAGTCTCATGGTTTTTCTCGATTTGCGGCGGGGACCTGGGGTATGTTCTCGACTTACGGCGGGGATGGCCCTTCAAAACACGAGTTTCTTCAGTGACGTCAGGACTCGTGTCTAGTAACAAGGGACACCTCAGGAATCTCTTTGAGGCTTGGCACGGCAAAAGGGACGCTTCTCGAGGTGAGGCAGGGCACCCAAGGACCCTTTCCAGTAGCCACAGGGATTTTGGGATTCCTATCATTATTCAAGAGGAGTCAGGCATCGTCACCTTTTGAAGCAATGAACTCCGCGTGCCTCTCGAGGTGTCAACGGTATGTGAGGCATTCCGTCAAAATGAGGCAGGGACCTAGGGCTTTGTCTAAGGTCTCCACAGAGGATTCAGACATCCCTTCATGTTGTGAAATGAAACAAGAGCCTGTATTCAAGACACTGCAAAGAAATCCGGCCTCCTTTCAAGTTAGGGCTTCTCGCTGTATATTCCCCTTGAGGCAGCAAACTCGGGGTCCCTCCCACATACCTATTGCTGAGAGAAGCCTCCTCCTGAGGTGCTTCTGGAAAGTTGGCATATGTCTTAAGTCTAAGCCAGGGAATCAGCTCTCATCTCGAGACGATTTGGGGTACACGGAGCATTCCTCGAGTTGCTGTGCTGAAGTTAGTGTTCCTCTAGACTTGGGCCAGTGTTCTCGGGGCATCTCTGGAGTTGCCTGAAGGAAGTCGAGCCACCGGTCTTGTTGAATGGGGAACGGGAATGGCTATGGAGTCAATGCAGGGGAATCGGGCCTCATCTCGAGTTGATTTGGGGCACATGGAGCTGCTTTGCGTTGCTGGGGTGACCTCAGGGTCCGTCTAGACTGGTGACAGTGTTCCTGGGTACTCTCTCGAGATCCATTAAGCAAGTCGAAGCTCCTGACTTGTTTCAATGGGATCACGGAATACCTCTGCATGCACTGCAGGGGAATGGAGCCTCATCTCGCCTCTAGGGTGAAGTCTCATGGTTTTTCTCGAGTTGCGGCGGGAACCTGGGGTATGTTCTCGACTTACGGCGGGGATGGCCCTTCAAAACACGTGTTTATTCAGTGACGTCAGGACTCCTGTCTAGTAACGAGGGACACCTCAGGAATCTCTTCGAGGCTTGGCAGGGCAAAAGGGACGCTTCTCGAGGTGAGGCAGGGCACCCAAGGACCCTTTCCAGTAGCCACAGGGATTTTGGGATTCCTATCAGTATTCAAAAGGAGTCAGGCATCGTCACCTTTTGAAGCACTGAACTCTGCGTGCCTCTCGAGGTGTCAACCGAATGTGAGGCATTCCGTCAAAATGAGGCAGGGACCTAGGGCTTTCTCTAAGGTCTCCACAGTGGATTCAGAAATCCCTTCATGTTTTGAGACCAAAGACGAGCCTATATTCAAGCCACTGCAAGGAAATCCGGCCTCCTTTCAAGTTAGGGCTTCTCGCTGTATATTCCACTTGAGGCAGCGATCTCGGGGTCCCTCCCACATACCTATTGCTGAGAGAAGCCTCCTCCTGAGGTGCTTCTGGAAAGTTGGCATACGTCTTGAGCCTAAGCCAGGGAATCAGCTCTCATCTCGAGACGATTTGGGGTACACGGAGCATTCCTTGAGTTGCTGTGCTGAAGTTGGTGTTCCTCTAGGCTTGGGATAGTGTTCTCGGGGCATCTCTGGAGTTGCCTGAAGGAAGTCGACCCACCGGTCGTGTTGAATGGGGAACGGGGAATGGCTCTGGAGTCAATGCAGGGGAATCGGGCCTCATCTCGAGTTGATTTGGGGCACATGGAGCTGCTTTGCGTTGCTGGGGTGAACTCAGGGTCCGTCTAGACTGGTGACAGTGTTCTTGGGGACTGTCTCGAGATTCATTAAGCAAGTCGAAGCTCCTGATTTGTTTGAATGGGATCACGGAATAGCTCTGCCTGCACTGCAGGGGATTTGGGCCTCATCTCGCCTCTAGGGGGAAGTCTCATGGTTTTTCTCGAGTTGCGGCAGTGACCTGGGGTATGTTCTAGACTTACGGCGGGGATGGCCCTTCAAAACACGAGTTTCTTCAGTGACGTCAGGACTCCTGTCTAGTAATGAGGGACACTTCAGGAATCTCTTCGAGGCTTGGCAGGGCAAACGGGACGCTTCTCGAGGTGAGGCAGGGCACCCCAGGACCCTTTCCAGTAGCCACAGGGATTTTGGGATTCCTATCAGTATTCAAGTGGAGTCAGGCATCTTCACCTTTTGAAGCAATGAACTCCGCGTGCCTCTCGAGGTGTCAACGGGATGTGAGGCATTCCGTCAAAATGAGGCAGGGACCTAGGGCTTTCTCTAAGGTCTCCACAGGGGATTCAGACATCCCTTCATGTTGTGAGATGAAAGACGAGCCTGTATTCAAGCCACTGCAAGGAAATCCGGCCTCCTTTCAAGTTAGGGCTTCTCGCTGTATATTCCCCTTGAGGCAGCAAACTCGGGGTCCCTCCCACATACCTATTGCTGAGACAGCCTCCTCCTGAGGTGCTTCTGGAAAGTTGGCATACGTCTTGAGCCTAAGCCAGGGAATCAGCTCTCATCTCGAGACGATTTGGGTTACACGCAGCATTCCTCGAGTTGCTGTGCTAAAGTTGGTGTTTCTCTAGACTTGGGACAGTGTTCTCGGGGCATCACTGGAGTTGCCTGAAGGAAGTCGAGACACTCGTCGTGTTGAATGGGGAACGGGGAATCGCTCTGGAGTCAATGCAGGGGAATCGGGCCTCATCTCGAGTTGATTTGTGGCACATGGAGCTGCTTTGCATTGCTTGGGTGAACTCAGGGTCCGTCTAGACTGGTGACAGTGTTCTTGGGGACTGTCTCGAGATCCATTAAGCAAGTCGAAGCTCCTGACTTGTTTGAATGGGATCACGGAATAGCTCTGCATGCACTGCAGGGGAATGGGGCCTCATCTCACCTCTAGGGGGAAGTCTCATGGTTTTTCTCGATTTGCGGCGGGGACCTGGGGTATGTTCTCGACTTACGGCGGGGATGGCCCTTCAAAACACGAGTTTCTTCAGTGACGTCAGGACTCCTGTCTAGTAACGAGGGACACCTCAGGAATCTCTTTGAGGCTTGGCACGGCAAAAGGGACGCTTCTCGAGGTGAGGCAGGGCAACCAAGGACCCTTTCCAGTAGCCACAGGGATTTTGGGATTCCTATCATTATTCAAGAGCAGTCAGGCATCGTCACCTTTTGAAGCAATGAAATCCGCGTGCCTCTCGAGGTGTCAACGGTATGTGAGGCATTCCGTCAAAATGAGGCAGGGACCTAGGGCTTTCTCTAAGGTCTCCACAGAGGATTCAGACATCCCTTCATGTTGTGAAATGAAACAAGAGCCTGTATTCAAGACACTGCAAAGAAATCCGGCCTCCTTTCAAGTTAGTGCTTCTCGCTGTATATTCCCCTTGAGGCAGCAAACTCGGGGTCCCTCCCACATACCTATTGCTGAGAGAAGCCTCCTCCTGAGGTGCTTCTGGAAAGTTGGCATATGTCTTAAGTCTAAGCCAGGGAATCAGCTCTCATCTCGAGACGATTTGGGGTACACGGAGCATTCCTCGAGTTGCTCTGCTGAAGTTGGTGTTCCTCTAGACTTGGGCCAGTGTTCTCGGGGCATCTCTGGAGTTGCCTGAAGGAAGTCGAGCCACCGGTCGTGTTGAATGGGGAACGGGAATGGCTATGGAGTCAATGCAGGGGAATCGGGCCTCATCTCGAGTTGATTTGGGGCACATGGAGCTGCTTTGTGTTGCTGGGGTGACCTCAGGGTCCGTCTAGACTGGTGACAGTGTTCCTGGGTACTGTCTCGAGATCCATTAAGCAAGTCGAAGCTCCTGATTTGTTTGAATGGGATCACGGAATAGCTCTGCCTGCACTGCAGGGGATTTGGGCCTCATCTCGCCTCTAGGGGGAAGTCTCATGGTTTTTCTCGAGTTGCGGCAGTGACCTGGGGTATGTTCTCGACTTACGGCGGGGATGGCCCTTCAAAACACGAGTTTCTTCAGTGACGTCAGGACTCCTGTCTAGTAACGAGGGACACTTCAGGAATCTCTTCGAGGCTTGGCAGGGCAAACGGGACGCTTCTCGAGGTGAGGCAGGGCACCCCGGGACCCTTTCCAGTAGCCACAGGGATTTTGGGATTCCTATCAGTATTCAAGTGGAGTCAGGCATCTTCACCTTTTGAAGCAATGAACTCCGCGTGCCTCTCGAGGTGTCAACGGGATGTGAGGCATTCCGTCAAAATGAGGCAGGGACCTAGGGCTTTCTCTAAGGTCTCCACAGGGGATTAAGACATCCCTTCATGTTGTGAGATGAAAGACGAGCCTGTATTCAAGCCACTGCAAGGAAATCCGGCCTCCTTTCAAGGTAGGGCTTCTCGCTGTATATTCCAATTGAGGCAGCGATCTCGGGGTCCCTCCTACATACCTATTGCTGAGAGAAGCCTCCTCCTGAGGTGCTTCTGGAAAGTTGGCATACGTCTTGAGCCTAAGCCAGGGAATCAGCTCTCATCTCGAGACGATTTGGGGTACAAGGCGCATTCCTCGAGTTGCTGTGCTGAAGTTGGTGTTCCTCTATACTTGGGACAGAGTTCTCGGGGCAACTCTGGCGTTGCCTGAAGGAAGTCGAGCCACCGGCCGTGTTGAATGGGGAACGGGAAATGGCTCTGGAGTCAATGCAGGGGAATCGGGCCTCATCTCGAGTTGATTTGTGGCACATGGAGCTGCTTTGCGTTGTTGGGCTGACTTCAGGGTCCGTCTAGACTGGTGACAGTGTTCTTGGGGACTCTCTCGAGATCCATTAAGCAAGTCGAAGCTCCTGACTGGTTTGAATGGGATCACGGAATAGCTCTGCATGCACTGCAGCGGAATGGGGCCTCATCTCGCCTCTAGGGAGAAGTCTCATGGTTTTTCTCGAGTTGCGGCGGGGACCTGGGGTATGTTCTCGACTTACGGCGGGGATGGCCCTTCAAAACACGAGTTTCTTCAGTGACGTCAGGACTCCAGTCTAGTAACGAGGGACACCTCAGGAATCTCTTCGAGGCTTGGCAGGGCAAAAGGGATGCTTCTCGAGGTGAGGCAGGGCACCCAAGGACCCTTTCCAGTAGCCACAGGGATTTTGGGATTCCTATCAGTATTCAAAAGGAGTTAGGCATCGTCACATTTTGAAGCAATGAACTCCGCGTGCCTCTCGAGGTGTCAACGGGATGTGAGGCATTCCGTCAAAATGAGGCAGGGACCTAGGTCTTTTTCTAAGTCTCCAAAGGGGATTCAGACATCCCTTCAGGTTTTGAGATCAAAGACGAGCCTGTATTCAAGCCACTGCAAGGAAGTACGGCCTCCGTTCAAGTTAGGGCTTCTCGCTGTATATTCCACTTGAGGCAGCGATCTCGGGGTCTCTCCCACATACCTATTGCTGAGAGAAGCCTCCTCCTGAGGTGCCTCTGGAAAGTTGGCATACATCTTGAGCCTAAGCCAGGGAATCAGCTCTCAACTCGAGACGATTTGGGTTACACGGAGCATTCCTCCAGTTGCTGTGCTGTAGTTGGTGTTCCTCTAGACTTGGAACAGTGTTCTCGGGGCATCTCTGGAGCTGCCTGAAGGAAGCCGATCCACTGGTCGTGTTGAATGGGGAATGGAGAATGGCTCTGGAGTCAATGCAGGGGAATCGGGCCTCATCTCGAGTTGATTTGGGGCACATGTTGCTAGTTTGCGTTGCTGGAGTGACCTCAGGGTCCGTCTAGACTGGTGACAGTGTTCTTGGGGACTGTCTCGAGATCCATTAAGCAATTCGAAGCTCCTGATTTGTTTGAATGGGATCACGGAATAGATCTGCATGCACTGCAGGGGAATGGGGCCTCATCTCGCCTCTAGAGGGAAGTCTCAAGGTTTTTCTCGAGTTGCGGCGGGGACCTGGGCTATGTTCTCGACTTACGGCGGGGATGGCCCTTCAAAACACGAGTTTCTTCAGTGACGTCAGGACTCCAGTCTAGTAAACAAGGACACCTCAGCAAACTCTTTCAGGCTTGGCAGGGCAAAAGGGACGCTTCTCGATTTGAGGCAGGGCACCCAAGGACCCTTTCCAGTAGCCACAGCGATTTTGGCATTCCTATCAGTATTCAAGAGGAGTCAGGCATCGTCACCTTTTGAAGCAATGAACTCCGCGTGCCTCTCGAGGTGTCAACGGGTTGTGAGGCATTCCGTCAAAATCAGGCAGGGACCTAGGGCTTTCTCTAAGGTCTCCACAGGGAATTCAGACATCCCTTCATGTTTTGAGATCAAAGACGAGCCTTTATGCAAGCCACTGCAAGGAAATCCGGCCTCCTTTCAATATAGGGCTTCTCGCTGTATATTCCCCTTGAAACAGCGATCTTGGGGTCCCTCCCACATACCTATTGCTGAGAGAAGCCTCCTCCTGAGGTGCTTCTGGAAAGTTAGCATACGTCTTGAGCCTAAGGCAGGGAATCAGCTCTCATCTCGAGACGATTTGGTGTACATGGAGCATTCCTCGAGTTGCTGTGCTGAGGTTGGTGTTCCTCTAGACTTGGGACAGTGTTCTCGGGGCATCACTGGAGTTCCCTGAAGGAAGTCGAGCCACCGGTCGTGTTGAATGGGGAACGGGGAATTGCTCTGGAGTCAATGCAGGTGAATCGGGCCTCATCTCGTGTTGATTTGGGGCACATGGAGCTGCTTTGCGTTGCTGGGGTGACCTCAAGGTCCGTCTAGACTGGTGACAGTGTTCTTGGGGACTGTCTCGTGATCCATTAAGCAAGTCGAAGCTCCTGACTGGTTTGAATGGGATCACGGAATAGCTCTGCATGCACTGCATGGGAATGGGGCCTCATCTCGCCTCTAGGGGGACGTCTCATGGTTTTTCTCGAGTTGCGGCGGGGACCTGGGGTATGTTCTCGACTTACGGCGGGGATGGCCCTTCAAAACACGAGTTTCTTCAGTGACGTCAGGACTCCTGTCTAGTAACGAGGGACACTTCAGGAATCTCTTCGAGGCTTGCCAGGGCAAAAGGGACGCTTCTCGAGGTGAGGCAGGGCACCCAAGGACCCTTTCCAGTAGCCACAGGGATTTGGGGATTCCTATCAGTATTCAAGAAGAGTCAGGCATCGTCCCTTTTGAAGCAATGAACTCCGCGTGCCTCTCGAGGTGTCAGCGGGATGTGAGGCATTCCGTCAAAATGAGGCAGGGACCTAGGGCTTTCTCTAAGGTCTCCACAGGGGATTCAGACATCCCTTCATGTTGTGAAATGAAACAGGAGCCTGTATTCAAGCCACTGCAAGGAAATCCGGCCTCCTTTCAAGTTAGGGCTTCTCGCTGTATATTCCCCTTGAGGCAGCAAACTCGGGGTCCCTCCCACATACCTATTACTGAGACAGCCTCCTCCTGAGGTGCTTCTGGAAAGTTGGCATACGTCTTGAGCCTAAGCCAGGGAATCAGCTCTCATCTCGAGACGATTTGGGGTACACGGAGCATTCCTCGAGTTGCTGTGCTGAAGTTGGTGTTTCTCTAGACTTGGGACAGTGTTCTCGGGGCATCACTGGAGTTGCCTGAAGGAAGTCGAGACACTGGTCGTGTTGAATGGGGAACGGGGAATGGCTCTGGAGTCAATGCAGGGGAATCGGGCCTCATCTGGAGTTGATTTGTGGCACATGGAGCTGCTTTGCGTTGCTGGGGTGACCTCAGGGTCCGTCTAGACTGGTGACAGTGTTCTTGGAGACTGTCTCGAGATCCATTAAGCAAGTCGAAGCTCCTGACTTGTTTGAATGGGATCACGGTATAGCTCTGCATGCACTGCAGGGAAATGGGGCCTCATCTCGCCTCTAGGGGGAAGTCTCATGGTTTTTCTCGAGTTGCGGCGGGGACCTGGGGTATGTTCTCGACTTATGGCGGGGATGGCCCTTCAAAACACGAGTTTGTTCAGTGACGTCAGGACTCCTGTCTAGTAACGAGGGACACCTCAGGAATCTCTTCGAGGCTTGACAGGGCAAAAGGGACTCTTCTCGAGGTGAGGCAGGGCACCCAAGGACCCTTTCCAGTAGCCACAGGGATTTTGGGATTCCTATCGGTATTCAAGAGGAGTCAGGCATCGTCACCTTTTGAAGCAATGAACTCCTCGTGCCTCTCGAGGTGTCAGCGGGATGTGAGGCATTCCGTCAAAATGAGGCAGGGACCTAGGGCTTTCTCTAAGGTCTCCACAGGGGATTCAGACATCCCTTCATGTTGTGAAATGAAACACGAGCCTGTATTCAAGCCACTGCAAGGAAATCCGGCCTCCTTTCAAGTTAGGGCTTCTCGCTGTATATTGCCCTTGAGGCAGCAAACTCGGGGTCCCTCCCACATACCTATTGCTGAGACAGCCTCCTCCTGAGGTGCTTCTGGAAAGTTGGCATACGTCTTGAGCCTAAGCCAGGGAATCAGCTCTCATCTCGAGACGATTTGGGGTACACGGAGCATTCCTCGAGTTGCTGTGCTGAAGTTGGTGTTCCTCCAGACTTGGGACAGTGTTCTCGGGGCATCTCTGGAGTTGCCTGAAGGAAGTCGAGCCACCGGTCGTGTTGAATGGGGAACGAGAATGGCTATGGAGTAATGCAGGGGAATCGGGCCTCATCTCGAGTTGATTTGGGGCACATGGAACTGCTTTGCGTTGCTGGGGTGACCTCAGAGTCCGTCTAGACTGGTGACAGTGTTCTTGGGGACTCTCTCGAGATCCATTAAGCAAGTCGAAGCTCCTGACTTGTTTGAATGGGATCACGGAATAGCTCTGCATGCACTGCAGGGGAATGGGGCCTCATCTCGCCTCTAGGGGGAAGTCTCATGGTTTTTCTCGAGTTGCGGCGGGGACCTGGGGTATGTTCTCGACTTACGGCGGGGATGGCCCTTCAAAACACGAGTTTCTTCAGTGACGTCAGGACTCCTGTCTAGTAACGAGGGACACCTCAGGAATCTCTTCGAGGCTTGGCAGGGCCAAAGGGACGCTTCTCGAGGTGAGGCAGGGCACCCAAGGACCCTTTCCAGTAGCCACAGGGATTTTGGGATTCCTATCAGTATTCAAGAGGAGTCAGGCATCGTCACCTTTTGAAGCAATGAACTCCGCGTGCCTCTCGAGGTGTCAGCGGGATGTGAGGCATTCCGTCAAAGTGAGGCAGGGACCTAGGGCTTTCTCTAAGGTCTCCACAGTGGATTCAGACATCCCTTCATGTTGTGAAATGAAACACGAGCCTGTATTCAAGCCACTGCAAGGAAATCCGGCCTCCTTTCAAGTTAGGGCTTCTCGCTGTATATTCCCCTTGAGGCAGCAAACTCGGGGTCCCTCCCACATACCTATTGCTGAGACAGCCTCCTCCTGAGGTGCTTCTGGAAAGTTGGCATACGTCTTGAGCCTAAGCCAGGGAATCAGCTCTCATCTCGAGACGATTTGGGGTACACGGAGCATTCCTCGAGTTGCTGTGCTAAAGTTGGTGTTTCTCTAGACTTGGGACAGTGTTCTCGGGGCATCACTGGAGTTGCCTGAAGGAAGTCGAGACACTGGTCGTGTTGAATGGGGAACGGGGAATCGCTCTGGAGTCAATGCAGGGGAATCGGGCCTCATCTCGAGTTGATTTGTGGCACATGGAGCTGCTTTGCGTTGCTTGGGTGACCTCAGGGTCCGTCTAGACTGGTGACAGTGTTCTTGGGGACTGTCTCGAGATCCATTAAGCAAGTCGAAGCTCCTGACTTGTTTGAATGGGATCACGGAATAGCTCTGCATGCACTGCAGGGGAATGGGGCCTCATCTCGCCTCTAGGGGGAAGTCTCATGGTTTTTCTCGATTTGCGGCGGGGACCTGGGGTATGTTCTCGACTTACGGCGGGGATGGCCCTTCAAAACACGAGTTTCTTCAGTGACGTCAGGACTCCTGTCTAGTAACGAGGGACACCTCAGGAATCTCTTTGAGGCTTGGCACGGCAAAAGGGACGCTTCTCGAGGTGAGGCAGGGCAACCAAGGACCCTTTCCAGTAGCCACAGGGATTTTGGGATTCCTATCATTATTCAAGAGCAGTCAGGCATCGTCACCTTTTGAAGCAATGAACTCCGCGTGCCTCTCGAGGTGTCAACGGTATGTGAGGCATTCCGTCAAAATGAGGCAGGGACCTAGGGCTTTGTCTAAGGTCTCCACAGAGGATTCAGACATCCCTTCATGTTGTGAAATGAAACAAGAGCCTGTATTCAAGACACTGCAAAGAAATCCGGCCTCCTTTCCAGTTAGGGCTTCTCGCTGTATATTCCCCTTGAGGCAGCAAACTCGGGGTCCCTCCCACATACCTATTGCTGAGAGAAGCCTCCTCCTGAGGTGCTTCTGGAAAGTTGGCATATGTCTTAAGTCTAAGCCAGGGAATCAGCTCTCATCTCGAGACGATTTGGGGTACACGGAGCATTCCTCGAGTTGCTGTGCTGAAGTTAGTGTTCCTCTAGACTTGGGCCAGTGTTCTCGGGGCATCTCTGGAGTTGCCTGAAGGAAGTCGAGCCACCGGTCTTGTTGAATGGGGAACGGGAATGGCTATGGAGTCAATGCAGGGGAATCGGGCCTCATCTCGAGTTGATTTGGGGCACATGGAGCTGCTTTGCGTTGCTGGGGTGACCTCAGGGTCCGTCTAGACTGGTGACAGTGTTCCTGGGTACTCTCTCGAGATCCATTAAGCAAGTCGAAGCTCCTGACTTGTTTCAATGGGATCACGGAATACCTCTGCATGCACTGCAGGGGAATGGAGCCTCATCTCGCCTCTAGGGTGAAGTCTCATGGTTTTTCTCGAGTTGCGGCGGGAACCTGGGGTATGTTCTCGACTTACGGCGGGGATGGCCCTTCAAAACACGTGTTTATTCAGTGACGTCAGGACTCCTGTCTAGTAACGAGGGACACCTCAGGAATCTCTTCGAGGCTTGGCAGGGCAAAAGGGACGCTTCTCGAGGTGAGGCAGGGCACCCAAGGACCCTTTCCAGTAGCCACAGGGATTTTGGGATTCCTATCAGTATTCAAAAGGAGTCAGGCATCGTCACCTTTTGAAGCACTGAACTCTGCGTGCCTCTCGAGGTGTCAACCGAATGTGAGGCATTCCGTCAAAATGAGGCAGGGACCTAGGGCTTTCTCTAAGGTCTCCACAGTGGATTCAGAAATCCCTTCATGTTTTGAGACCAAAGACGAGCCTATATTCAAGCCACTGCAAGGAAATCCGGCCTCCTTTCAAGTTAGGGCTTCTCGCTGTATATTCCACTTGAGGCAGCGATCTCGGGGTCCCTCCCACATACATATTGCTGAGAGAAGCCTCCTCCTGAGGTGCTTCTGGAAAGTTGGCATACGTCTTGAGCCTAAGCCAGGGAATCAGCTCTCATCTCGAGACGATTTGGGGTACACGGAGCATTCCTTGAGTTGCTGTGCTGAAGTTGGTGTTCCTCTAGGCTTGGGATAGTGTTCTCGGGGCATCTCTGGAGTTGCCTGAAGGAAGTCGACCCACCGGTCGTGTTGAATGGGGAACGGGGAATGGCTCTGGAGTCAATGCAGGGGAATCGGGCCTCATCTCGAGTTGATTTGGGGCACATGGAGCTGCTTTGCGTTGCTGGGGTGACCTCAGGGTCCGTCTAGACTGGTGACAGTGTTCTTGGGGACTGTCTCGAGATTCATTAAGCAAGTCGAAGCTCCTGATTTGTTTGAATGGGATCACGGAATAGCTCTGCCTGCACTGCAGGGGATTTGGGCCTCATCTCGCCTCTAGGGGGAAGTCTCATGGTTTTTCTCGAGTTGCGGCAGTGACCTGGGGTATGTTCTAGACTTACGGCGGGGATGGCCCTTCAAAACACGAGTTTCTTCAGTGACGTCAGGACTCCTGTCTAGTAATGAGGGACACTTCAGGAATCTCTTCGAGGCTTGGCAGGGCAAACGGGACGCTTCTCGAGGTGAGGCAGGGCACCCCAGGACCCTTTCCAGTAGCCACAGGGATTTTGGGATTCCTATCAGTATTCAAGTGGAGTCAGGCATCTTCACCTTTTGAAGCAATGAACTCCGCGTGCCTCTCGAGGTGTCAACGGGATGTGAGGCATTCCGTCAAAATGAGGCAGGGACCTAGGGCTTTCTCTAAGGTCTCCACAGGGGATTAAGACATCCCTTCATGTTGTGAGATGAAAGACGAGCCTGTATTCAAGCCACTGCAAGGAAATCTGGCCTCCTTTCAAGTTAGGATTTCTCGCTGTATATTGCCCTTGAGGCAGCAAACTCGGGGTCCCTCCCACATACCTATTGCTGAGACAGCCTCCTCCTGAGGTGCTTCTGGAAAGTTGGCATACGTCTTGAGCCTAAGCCAGGGAATCAGCTCTCATCTCGAGACGATTTGGGGTACACGGAGCATTCCTCGAGTTGCTGTGCTGAAGTTGGTGTTCCTCCAGACTTGGGACAGTGTTCTCGGGGCATCTCTGGAGTTGCCTGAAGGAAGTCGAGCCACCGGTCGTGTTGAATGGGGAACGAGAATGGCTATGGAGTAATCCAGGGGAATCGGGCCTCATCTCGAGTTGATTTGGGGCACATGGAGCTGCTTTGCATTGCAGGGGTGACCTCAGAGTCCGTCTAGACTGGTGACAGTGTTCTTGGGGACTCTCTCGAGATCCATTAAGCAAGTCGAAGCTCCTGACTTGTTTGAATGGGATCACGGAATAGCTCTGCATGCACTGCAGGGGAATGGGGCCTCATCTCGCCTCTAGGGGGAAGTCTCATGGTTTTTCTCGAGTTGCGGCGGGGACCTGGGGTATGTTCTCGACTTAAGGCGGGGATGGCCCTTCAAAACACGAGTTTCTTCAGTGACGTCAGGACTCCTGTCTAGTAACGAGGGACACCTCAGGAATCTCTTCGAGGCTTGGCAGGGCAAAAGGGACGCTTCTCGAGGTGAGGCAGGGCACCCAAGGACCCTTTCCAGTAGCCACAGGGATTTTGGGATTCCTATCAGTATTCAAGAGGAGTCAGGCATCGTCACCTTTTGAAGCCATGAACTCCGTGTGCCTCTCGAGGTGTCAGCGGGATGTGAGGCATTCCGTCAAAGTGAGGCAGGGACCTAGGGCTTTCTCTAAGTTCTCCACAGTGGATTCAGACATCCCTTCATGTTGTGAAATGAAACACGAGCCTGTATTCAAGCCACTGCAAGGAAATCCGGCCTCCTTTCAAGTTAGGGCTTCTCGCTGTATATTCCCCTTGAGGCAGCAAACTCGGGGTCCCTCCCACATACCTATTGCTGAGAGAAGCCTCCTCCTGAGGTGCTTCTGGAAAGTTGGCATATGTCTTGAGCCTAAGCCAGGGAATCAGCTCTCATCTCGAGACGATTTGGGTTACACGCAGCATTCCTCGAGTTGCTGTGCTAAAGTTGGTGTTTCTCTAGACTTGGGACAGTGTTCTCGGGGCATCACTGGAGTTGCCTGAAGGAAGTCGAGACACTCGTCGTGTTGAATGGGGAACGGGGAATCGCTCTGGAGTCAATGCAGGGGAATCGGGCCTCATCTCGAGTTGATTTGTGGCACATGGAGCTGCTTTGCGTTGCTTGGGTGACCTCAGGGTCCGTCTAGACTGGTGACAGTGTTCTTGGGGACTGTCTCGAGATCCATTAAGCAAGTCGAAGCTCCTGACTTGTTTGAATGGGATCACGGAATAGCTCTGCATGCACTGCAGGGGAATGGGCCTCATCTCGCCTCTAGGGGGAAGTCTCATGGTTTTTCTCGATTTGCGGCGGGGACCTGGGGTATGTTCTCGACTTACGGCGGGGATGGCCCTTCAAAACACGAGTTTCTTCAGTGACGTCAGGACTCCTGTCTAGTAACGAGGGACACCTCAGGAATCTCTTTGAGGCTTGGCACGGCAAAAGGGACGCTTCTCGAGGTGAGGCAGGGCAACCAAGGACCCTTTCCAGTAGCCACAGGGATTTTGGGATTCCTATCATTATTCAAGAGCAGTCAGGCATCGTCACCTTTTGAAGCAATGAAATCCGCGTGCCTCTCGAGGTGTCAACGGTATGTGTGGCATTCCGTCAAAATGAGGCAGGGACCTAGGGCTTTCTCTAAGGTCTCCACAGAGGATTCAGACATCCCTTCATGTTGTGAAATGAAACAAGAGCCTGTTTTCAAGACACTGCAAAGAAATCCGGCCTCCTTTCAAGTTAGTGCTTCTCGCTGTATATTCCCCTTGAGGCAGCAAACTCGGGGTCCCTCCCACATACCTATTGCTGAGAGAAGCCTCCTCCTGAGGTGCTTCTGGAAAGTTGGCATATGTCTTAAGTCTAAGCCAGGGAATCAGCTCTCATCTCGAGACGATTTGGGGTACACGGAGCATTCCTCGAGTTGCTGTGCTGAAGTTGGTGTTCCTCTAGACTTGGGCCAGTGTTCTCGGGGCATCTCTGGAGTTGCCTGAAGGAAGTCGAGCCACCGGTCGTGTTGAATGGGGAACGGGAATGGCTATGGAGTCAATGCAGGGGAATCGGGCCTCATCTCGAGTTGATTTGGGGCACATGGAGCTGCTTTGTGTTGCTGGGGTGACCTCAGGGTCAGTCTAGACTGGTGACAGTGTTCCTGGGTACTGTCTCGAGATCCATTAAGCAAGTCGAAGCTCCTGATTTGTTTGAATGGGATCACGGAATAGCTCTGCCTGCACTGCAGGGGATTTGGGCCTCATCTCGCCTCTAGGGGGAAGTCTCATGGTTTTTCTCGAGTTGCGGCAGTGACCTGGGGTATGTTCTCGACTTACGGCGGGGATGGCCCTTCAAAACACGAGTTTCTTCAGTGACGTCAGGACTCCTGTCTAGTAACGAGGGACACTTCAGGAATCTCTTCGAGGCTTGGCAGGGCAAACGGGACGCTTCTCGAGGTGAGGCAGGGCACCCTGGGACCCTTTCCAGTAGCCACAGGGATTTTGGGATTCCTATCAGTATTCAAGTGGAGTCAGGCATCTTCACCTTTTGAAGCAATGAACTCCGCGTGCCTCTCGAGGTGTCAACGGGATGTGAGGCATTCCGTCAAAATGAGGCAGGGACCTAGGGCTTTCTCTAAGGTCTCCACAGGGGATTAAGACATCCCTTCATGTTGTGAGATGAAAGACGAGCCTGTATTCAAGCCACTGCAAGGAAATCCGGCCTCCTTTCAAGGTAGGGCTTCTCGCTGTATATTCCACTTGAGGCAGCGATCTCGGGGTCCCTCCTACATACCTATTGCTGAGAGAAGCCTCCTCCTGAGGTGCTTCTGGAAAGTTGGCATACGTCTTGAGCCTAAGCCAGGGAATCAGCTCTCATCTCGAGACGATTTGGGGTACAAGGCGCATTCCTCGAGTTGCTGTGCTGAAGTTGGTGTTCCTCTATACTTGGGACAGAGTTCTCGGGGCAACTCTGGCGTTGCCTGAAGGAAGTCGAGCCACCGGCCGTGTTGAATGGGGAACGGGAAATGGCTCTGGAGTCAATGCAGGGGAATCGGGCCTCATCTCGAGTTGATTTGTGGCACATGGAGCTGCTTTGCGTTGTTGGGGTGACTTCAGGGTCCGTCTAGACTGGTGACAGTGTTCTTGGGGACTCTCTCGAGATCCATTAAGCAAGTCGAAGCTCCTGACTGGTTTGAATGGGATCACGGAATAGCTCTGCATGCACTGCAGCGGAATGGGGCCTCATCTCGCCTCTAGGGAGAAGTCTCATGGTTTTTCTCGAGTTGCGGCGGGGACCTGGGGTATGTTCTCGACTTACGGCGGGGATGGCCCTTCAAAACACGAGTTTCTTTAGTGACGTCAGGACTCCAGTCTAGTAACGAGGGACACCTCAGGAATCTCTTCGAGGCTTGGCAGGGCAAAAGGGATGCTTCTCGAGGTGAGGCAGGGCACCCAAGGACCCTTTCCAGTAGCCACAGGGATTTTGGGATTCCTATCAGTATTCAAAAGGAGTTAGGCATCGTCACATTTTGAAGCAATGAACTCCGCGTGCCTCTCGAGGTGTCAACGGGATGTGAGGCATTCCGTCAAAATGAGGCAGGGACCTAGGTCTTTTTCTAAGTCTCCAAAGGGGATTCAGACATCCCTTCAGGTTTTGAGATCAAAGACGAGCCTGTATTCAAGCCACTGCAAGGAAGTACGGCCTCCGTTCAAGTTAGGGCTTCTCGCTGTATATTCCACTTGAGGCAGCGATCTCGGGGTCTCTCCCACATACCTATTGCTGAGAGAAGCCTCCTCCTGAGGTGCCTCTGGAAAGTTGGCATACGTCTTGAGCCTAAGCCAGGGAATCAGCTCTCATCTCGAGACGATTTGGGTTACACAAAACATTCCTCCAGTTGCTGTGCTGAAGTTGGTGTTCCTCTAGACTTGGAACAGTGTTCTCGGGGCATCTCTGGAGCTGCCTGAAGGAAGCCGAGCCACTTTTCGTGTTGAATGGGGAACGGGGAATGGCTCTGGAGTCAATGCAGGGGAATCGGGCCTCATCTCGAGTTGATTTGGGGCACATGTTGCTAGTTTGCTTTGCTGGAGTGACCTCAGGGTCCGTCTAGACTGGTGACAGTGTTCTTGGGGACTGTCTCGAGATCCATTAAGCAATTCGAAGCTCCTGATTTGTTTGAATGGGATAACGGAATAGATCTGCATGCACTGCAGGGGAATGGGGCCTCATCTCGCCTCTAGAGGGAAGTCTCAAGGTTTTTCTCGAGTTGCGGCGGGGACCTGGGCTATGTTCTCGACTTACGGCGGGGATGGCCCTTCAAAACACGAGTTTCTTCAGTGACGTCAGGACTCCAATCTAGTAAACAGGGACACCTCAGCAAACTCTTTCAGGCTTGGCAGGGCAAAAGGGATGCTTCTCGATTTGAGGCAGGGCACCCAAGGACCCTTTCCAGTAGCCACAGCGATTTTGGGATTCCTATCAGTATTCAAGAGGAGTCAGGCATCGTCACCTTTTGAAGCAATGAACTCCGCGTGCCTCTCGAGGTGTCAACGGGTTGTGAGGCATTCCGTCAAAATGAGGCAGGGACCTAGGGCTTTCTCTAAGGTCTCCACAGGGAATTCAGACATCCCTTCATGTTTTGAGATCAAAGACGAGCCTTTATGCAAGCCACTGCAAGGAAATCCGGCCTCCTTTCAATATAGGGCTTCTCGCTGTATATTCCCCTTGAAGCAGCGATCTTGGGGTCCCTCCCAAATACCTATTGCTGAGAGAAGCCTCCTCCTGAGGTGCTTCTGGAAAGTTAGCATACGTCTTGAGCCTAAGGCAGGGAATCAGCTCGCATCTCGAGACGATTTGGTGTACATGGAGCATTCCTCGAGTTGCTGTGCTGAGGTTGGTGTTCCTCTATACTTGGGACAGTGTTCTCGGGGCATCTCTGGAGTTCCCTGAAGGAAGTCGAGCCACCGGTCGTGTTGAATGGGGAACGGGGAATTGCTCTGGAGTCAATGCAGGGGAATCGGGCCTCATCTCGTGTTGATTTGGGGCACATGGAGCTTCTTTGCGTTGCTGGGGTGACCTCAGGGTCCGTCTAGACTGGTGACAGTGTTCTTGGGGACTGTCTCGAGATCCATTAAGCAAGTCGAAGCTCCTGACTGGTTTGAATGGGATCACGGAATAGCTCTGCATGCACTGCATGGGAATGGGGCCTCATCTCGCCTCTAGGGGGAAGTCTCATGGTTTTTCTCGAGTTGCGGCGGGGACCTGGGGTATGTTCTCGACTTACAGCGGGGATGGCCCTTCAAAACACAAGTTTCTTCAGTGACGTCAGGACTCCTGTCTAGTAACGAGGGACACCTCAGGAATCTCTTCGAGGCTTGCCAGGGCAAAAGGGACGCTTCTCGAGGTGAGGCAGGGCAACCAAGGACCCTTTCCAGTAGCCACAGGGATTTGGGGTTCCTATCAGTATTCAAGAAGAGTCAGGCATCGTCCCTTTTGAATCAATGAACTCCGCGTGCCTCTCGAGGTGTCAGCGGGATGTGAGGCATTCCGTCAAAATGAGGCAGGGACCTAGGGCTTTCTCTAAGGTCTCCACATGGGATTCAGACATCCCTTCATTTTGTGAGATGAAAGACGAGACTGTATTCAAGCCAATGCAAGGAAATCTGGCCTCCTTTCAAGTTAGGGCTTCTCGCTGTATATTTCCCTTGAGGCAGCAAACTCGGGGTCCCTCCCATGTAACTATTGCTGAGAGAAGCCTCCTCCTGAGGTGCTTCTGGAAAGTTGGCATACGCCTTGATCCTAAGCCAGGGAATCAGCTCGCATCTCGAGACGATTTGGGGTACACGGAGCATTCCTCGAGTTGCTGGGCTGAAGTTGGTATTCCTCTAGACTTGGGACAGTGTTCTCGGGGCATCTCTGGAGTTGCCTGAAGGAAGTCGAGCCACCGGTCGTGTTGAATGGGGAAGGGGGAATGGCTCTGGAGTCAATGCAGGGGAATCGGGCCTCATCTCGTGTTGATTTGGGGCACATGGAGCTGCTTTGAGTTGCTGGGGTGACTTCAGGGTCCGTCTAGACTGGTGACAGTGTTCTTGGGACTGTCTCGAGATCCATTAAGCAAGTCGAAGCTCCTGACTTGTTTGAATGGGATCACGGAATAGCTCTGCATGCACTGCAGGGGAATGGGGCCTCATCTCGCCTCTAGGGGGAAGTCTCATGGTTTTTCTCGAGTTGCGGCGGGGACCTGGGGTATGTTCTCGACTTACGGCGGGATGGCCCATCAAAACACGTGTTTCTTCAGTGACGTCAGGACTCCTGTCTAGTAACGAGGGACACCTCAGGAATCTCTTTGAGGCTTGGCAGGGCAAAACGGATGTTTCTCGAGGTGAGCAGGGCACCCAAGGACCCTTTCCAGTAGCCACAGGGATTTTGGGATTCCTATCAGTATTCAAGAGGAGTCAGGCATCGTCACCTTTTGAAACAATGAACTCCGCGTGCCTCTCGAGTTGTCAACGGGATGTGAGGCATTCCGTCTAAATGAGGCAGGGACCTAGGGCTTTCTCTAAGGTCTCCACTGGGAATTCAGACATCCCTTCATGTTTTGAGATCAAAGACGAGCCTTTATGCAAGCCACTGCAAGGAAATCCGGCCTCCTTTCAATATGGGGCTTCTCGCTGTATATTCCTATTGAAGCAGCGATCTCGGGGTCCCTCCCACATACCTATTGCTGAGAGAAGCCTCATCCTGAGGTGCTTCTGGAAAGTTAGCATACGTCTTGAGCCTAAGGCAGGGAATCAGCTCTCATCTCGAGACGATTTGCTGTACATGGAGCATTCCTCGAGTTGCTGTGCTGAGGTTGGTGTTCCTGTAGACTTGGGACAGTGTTCTCGGGGCATCTCTGGAGATCCCTGAAGGAAGTCGAGCCACCGGTCGTGTTGAATGGGGAACGGGGAATTGCTCTGGAGTCAGTGCATGGGAATCGGGCCTCATCTCGTGTTGATTTGGGGCACATGGAGCTGCTTTGCGTTGCTGGGGTGACCTCAGGGTCCGTCTAGACTGGTGACAGTGTTCTTGGGGGCTTTCTCCAGATCCATTAAGCAAGTCGAAGCTCCTGACTTGTTTGAATGGGATCACGGAATAGCTCTGCATGCACTGCAGGGGAATGGGGCCTCATCTCGCCTCTAGGGGGAAGTCTCATGGTTTTTCTCGAGTTGCGGCGGGGACCTGGGGTATGTTCTCGAGTTACGGCGGGGATGGCCCATCAAAACACGTGTTTCTTCAGTGACGTCAGGACTCCTGTCTAGTAACGATGGACACCTCAGGAATCACTTTGAGGCTTGGCAGGGCAAAAGGGATGCTTCTCGAGGTGAGCAGGGCACCCAAGGACCCTTTCCAGTAGCCAGAGGGATTTTGGGATTCCTATCAGTATTCAAGAGGAGTCAGGCATCGTCACCTTTTGAAGCAATGAACTCCGCGTGCCTCTCGAGGTGTCAGCGGGATGTGAGGCATTCCCTCAAAATGAGGCAGGGACCAAAGGCTTTCTCTAAGGCCTCCAAAGGGGATTCAGACTTCCCTTCATGTTTTGAGAACAAAGACGAGCCTGTATTCAAGCCAATGCAAGGAAATCCGGCCTCCTTTCAAGTTAGGGCTTCTCGCTGTATATTCCACTTGAAGCAGCGATCTCGGGTTCCCTCCCACATACGTATTGCTGAGAGATGCCTCCTCCTGAGGTGCTTCTGGAAAGTAGGCATACGGCTTTAGCTAAGTCAGGGAATCAGCTCTCATCTCGAGACGATTTGGGGTACACGGAGCATTCCTCGAGTTGCTGTGCTGAAGTTGGTGTTCCTCTAGACTTGGGACAGTGTTCTCGGGGCATCTCTGGAGTTGCCTGAAGGAAGTCGAGCCACCGGTCGTGTTGAATGGGGAACGCGGAATGAGTCTGGAGTCAATGCAGGGGAATCGGGCCTCATCTCGAGTTGATTTGGGGCACATGGAGCTGCTTTGCGTTGCTGGGGTGACCTCAGGGTCCGTCTAGACTGGTGACAGTGTTCTTGGGGACTGTCTCGAGATCCATTAAGCAAGCCGAAGCTCCTGACTTGTTTGAATGGGATCACGGAATAGCTCTGCATGCACTGCAGGGGAATGGGGCCTCATCTCGCCTCTAGGGGGAAGTCTCATGGTTTTTCTCGAGTTGCGGCGGGGACCTGGGGTATGTTTTCGACTTACGGTGGGGATGGCCCTTCAAAACACGAGTTTCTTCAGTGACGTCAGGACTTCTGTCTAGTAACGAGGGACACCTCAGGAATCTCTTCGAGGCTTGCCAGGGCAAAAGGGACGCTTCTCGAGGTGAGGCAGGGCACCCAAGGGCCCTTTCCAGTAGCCAGAGGGATTTGGGGATTCCTATCAGTATTCAAGAAGAGTCAGGCATCGTCCCTTTTGAAGCAATGAACTCCGCGTGCCTCTCGAGGTGTCAGCGGGATGTGAGGCATTCCGTCAAAATGAGGCAGGGACCTAGGGCTTTCTCTAAGGTCTCCACAGGGGATTCAGACATCCCTTCATTTTGTGAGATGAAAGACGAGCCTGTATTCAAGCCAATGCAAGGAAATCCGGCCTCCTTTCAAGTTAGGGCTTCTCGCTGTATATTTCCCTTGAGGCAGTAAACTCGGGGTCCCTCCCACATAACTATTGCTGAGAGAATCCTCCTCCTGAGGTGCTTCTGGAAAGTTGGCATACGTCTTGAGCCTAAGCCAGGGAATCTGCTCTCATCTCCAGACGATTTGGGGTACATGGAGCATTCCTCGAGTTGCTGTGCTGAAGTTGGTGTTCCTCTAGACTTGGGACAGTGTTCTCGGGGCATCTCTGGAGTTGGCTGAAGGAAGTCGAGCCACCGGTCGTGTTGAATGGGGAAGGGGGAATGGCTCTGGAGTCAATGCAGGGGAATCGGGCCTCCTCTCGATTTGATTTGGGGCACATGGAGCTGCTTTGTGTTGCTGGGGTGACCTCAGGGTCCGTCTAGACTGGTGACAGTGTTCTTGGGGACTCTCTCGAGATCCAATAAGCAAGTCGAAGCTCCTGACTTGTTTGAATGGGATCACGGAATAGCTCTGCATGCACTGCAGGGGAATGGGGCCTCACCTCGCCTCTAGGGGGAAGTCTCATGGTTTTTCTCGAGTTGCGGCGGTGACCTGGGGTATGTTCTCGACTTACGGCGGGGATGGCCCTTCAAAACACGAGTTTCTTCAGTGACGTCAGGACTCCTGTCTAGCAACGAGGTACACCTCAGGAATCTCTTCGAGGCTTGGCAGGGCAAAAGGGACGCTTCTCGAGGTGAGGCAGGGCAACCAAGGACCCTTTCCAGTAGCCACAGGGATTTTGGGATACCTATCAGTATTCAAGAGGAGTCAGGCATCGTCACCTTCTGAAGCAATGAACTCCGCGTGCCTCTCGAGGGGTCAGCGGGATGTGAGGCATTCCGTCAAAATGAGGCAGGGACCTAGGGCTTTCTCTAAGGTCTCCACAGGGTATTCAGACATCCCTTCCTGTTGTGAGATGAAAGACGAGCCTGTATTCAAGCCACTGCAAGGAAATCCGGCCTCCTTTCAAGTTAGGGCTTCTCGCTGTATATTCCCCTTGAGGCAGCAAACTCGGGGTCCCTCCCACATACCTATTGCTGAGAGAAGCCTCCTCCTGAGGTGCTTCTGGAAAGTTGGCATACGTCTTGAGCCTAAGCCAGGGAATCAGCTCTCATCTCGAGACGATTTGGGGTACCCGGAGAGGTCCTCGAGTTGCTGTGCTGAAGTTGGTGTTCCTCTAGACTTGGGACAGTGTTCTCGGGGCATCTCTAGAGTTGCCTGAAGGAAGTCGAGCCACCGGTCGTGTTGAATGTGGAACGGGGAATGGCTCTGGAGTCAATGCAGGGGAATCGGGCCTCATCTCGAGTTGATTTGTGGCACATGGAGCTTCTTTGCGTTGCTGGGGTGACCTCAGGGTCCGTCTAGACTGGTGACAGTGTTCTTGGGGACTGTCTCGAGATCCAATAACCAAGTCGAAGCTCCTGACTTGTTTGAATGGGATCACGGAATACCTCTGCATGCACTGCAGGGGAATGGGGCCTCACCTCGCCTCTAGGGGGAAGTCTCATGGTTTTTCTCGAGTTGCGGCGGGGACCTGGGGTATGTTCTCGACTTACGGCGGGGATGGCCCTTCAAAACACGAGTTTCTTCAGTGACGTCAGGACTACTGTCTAGCAACGAGGGACACCTCAGGAATCTCTTCGAGGCTTGGCAGGGCAAAAGGGACGCTTCTCGAGGTGAGGCAGGGCAACCAAGGACCCTTTCCAGTAGCCACAGGGATTTTCGGATTCCTATCAGTATTCAAGAGGAGTCAGGCATCGTCACCTTTTGAATCAATGAACTCCGCGTGCCTCTTGAGGTGTCAGCGGGATGTGAGGCATTCCGTCAAAGTGAGGCAGGGACCTAGGGCTTTCTCGAAGGTCTCCACAGGGGATTCAGACATCCCTTCATGTTCTGAAATGAAACACGAGCCTGTATTCAAGCCACTGCAAGGAAATCCGGCCTCCTTTCAAGTTAGGTCTTCTCGCTGTATATTCCCCTTGAGGCAGCAAACTCGGGGTCCCTCCCACATACCTATTGCTGAGACAGCCTCCTCCTGAGGTGCTTCTGGAAAGTTGGCATACGTCTTGAGCCTAAGCCAGGGAATCAGCTCTCATCTCGAAACGATTTGGGGTACACGGAGCATTCCTCGAGTTGCTGTGCTGAAGTTGGTGTTTCTCTAGACTTGGGACAGTGTTCTCGGGGCATCACTGGAGTTGCCTGAAGGAAGTCGAGACACTGGTCATGTTGAATGGGGAACGGGGAATGGCTCTGGAGTCAATGCAGGGGAATCGGGCCTCATCTCGAGCTGATTTGTGGCACATGGAGCTGCTTTGCGTTGCTTGGGTGACCTCATGGTCCGTCTAGACTGGTGACAGTGTTCTTGGTGACTGTCTCGAGATCCATTAAGCAAGTCGAAGCTCCTGACTTGTTTGAATGGGATCACGGAATAGCTCTGCATGCACTGCAGGGGAATGGGGCCTCATCTCGCCTCTAGGGGGAAGTCTCATCGTTTTTCTCGATTTGCGGCGGGGACCTGGGGTATGTTCTCGACTTACGGCGGGGATGGCCCTTCAAAACACGAGTTTCTTCAGTGACGTCAGGACTCCTGTCTAGTAACGAGGGAAACCTCAGGAATCTCTTCGAGGCTTGGCAGGTCAAAAGGGACGCTTCTCGAGGTGAGGCAGGGCAACCAAGGACCCTTTCCAGTAGCCACAGGGATTTTGGGATTCGTATCAGTATTCAAGAGGAGTCAGGCATCGTCACCTTTTGAAGCAATGAACTCCGCCTGCCTCTTGAGGTGTCAACGGTATGTGAGGCATTCCGTCAAATTGAGGCAGGGACTTAGGGCTTTCTCTAAGGTCTCAACAGGGGATTCAGACATCCCTTCATGTTGTGAAATGAAACACGAGCCTGTATTCAAGACACTGCAAGGAAAATCTGCCTCCTTTCAAGTTAGGGCTTCTCGCTGTATATTCCCCTTGAGGCAGCAAACTCGGGGTCCCTCCCACATACCTATTGCTGAGAGAAACCTCCTCCTGAGGTGCTTCTGGAAAGTTGGCATACGTCTTGAGCCTAAGCCAGGGAATCAGCTCTCATCTCGAGACGATTTGGGGTACACGGAGCATTCCTCGAGTTGCTGTGCTGAAGTTGGTGTTCCTCTAGACTTGGGCCAGTGTTCTCGGGGCATCTCTGGAGTTGCCTGAAGGAAGTCGACCCACCGGTCGTGTTGAATGGGGAACGGGAATGGCTATGGAGTCAATCTAGGGGAATCGGGCCTCATCTCGAGTTGATTTGGGGCACATGGAGCTGCTTTGCGTTGCTTGGGTGACCTCATGGTCCGTCTAGACTGGTGACAGTGTTCTTGGGGACTGTCTCGAGATCCATTAAGCAAGTCGAAGCTCCTGACTGGTTTGAATGGGATCACGGAATAGCTCTGCATGCACTGCAGGGGAATGGGGCCTCATCTCGCCTCTAGGGGGAAGTCTCATGGTTTTTCTCGAGTTGCGGCGGGGACCTGGGGTATGTTCTCGACTTACGGCGGGGATGGCCCTTCAAAACACGAGTTTCTTCAGTGACGTCAGGACTTCTGTCTAGTAACGAGGGACACCTCAGGAATCTCTTCGAGGCTTGCCAGGGCAAAAGGGACGCTTCTCGAGGTGAGGCAGGGCACCCAAGGCCCATTTCCAGTAGCCAGAGGGATTTGGGGATTCCTATCAGTATTCAAGAAGAGTCAGGCATCGTCCCTTTTGAAGCAATGAACTCCGCGTGCCTCTCGAGGTGTCAGCGGGATGTGAGGCATTCCGTCAAAATGAGGCAGGGACCTAGGGCTTTCTCTAAGGTCTCCACAGGGGATTCAGACATCCCTTCATTTTGTGAGATGAAAGACGAGCCTGTATTCAAGCCAATGCAAGGAAATCCGGCCTCCTTTCAAGTTAGGGCTTCTCGCTGTATATTTCCCTTGAGGCAGCAAACTCGGGGTCCCTCCCACATAACTATTGCTGAGAGAAGCCTCCTCCTGAGGTGCTTCTGGAAAGTTGGCATACGTCTTGAGCCTAAGCCAGGGAATCAGCTCTCATCTCCAGACGATTTGGGGTACATGGAGCATTCCTCGAGTTGCTGTGCTGAAGTTGGTGTTCCTCTAGACTTGGGACAGTGTTCTCGGGGCATCTCTGGAGTTGCCTGAAGGAAGTCGAGCCACCGGTCGTGTTGAATGGGGAAGGGGGAATGGCTCTGGAGTCAATGCAGGGGAATCGGGCCTCCTCTCGAGTTGATTTGGGGCACATGGAGCTGCTTTGTGTTGCTGGGGTAACCTCAGGGTCCATCTAGACTGGTGACAGTGTTCTTGGGGACTCTCTCGAGATCCAATAAGCAAGTCGAAGCTCCTGACTTGTTTGAAAGGGATCACGGAATAGCTCTGCATGCACTGCAGGGGAATGGGGCCTCACGTCGCCTCTAGGGGGAAGTCTCATGGTTTTTCTCGAGTTGCGGCGGTGACCTGGGGTATGTTCTCGACTTACGGCGGGGATGGCCCTTCAAAACACGAGTTTCTTCAGTGACGTCAGGACTCCTGTCTAGCAACGAGGTACACCTCAGGAATCTCTTCGAGGCTTGGCAGGGCAAAAGGGACGCTTCTCGAGGTGAGGCAGGGCAACCAAGGACCCTTTCCAGTAGCCACAGGGATTTTGGGATACCTATCAGTATTCAAGAGGAGTCAGGCATCGTCACCATCTGAAGCAATGAACTCCGCGTGCCTCTCGAGGGGTCAGCGGGATGTGAGGCATTCCGTCAAAATGAGGCAGGGTCCTAGGGCTTTCTCTAAGGTCTCCACAGGGTATTCAGACATCCCTTCATGTTGTGAGATGAAAGACGAGCCTGTATTCAAGCCACTGCAAGGAAATCTGGCCTCCTTTCAAGTTAGGGCTTCTCGCTGTATATTTCCCTTGAGGCAGCAAACTCGGGGTCCCCCCCACATACCTATTGCTGAGAGAAGCCTCCTCCTGAGGTGCTTCTGGAAAGTTGGCATACGTCTTGAGCCTAAGCCAGGGAATCAGCTCTCATCTCGAGACGATTTGTGGTACCCGGAGAGGTCCTCGAGTTGCTGTGCTGAAGTTGGTGTTCCTCTAGACTTGGGACAGTGTTCTCGGGGCATCTCTGGAGTTGCCTGAAGGAAGTCGAGCCACCGGTCGTGTTGAATGTGGAACGGGGAATGGCTCTGGAGTAAATGCAGGGGAATCGGGCCTCATCTCGAGTTGATTTGTGGCACATGGAGATTCTTTGCGTTGCTGGGGTGACCTCAGGGTCCGTCTAGACTGGTGACAGTGTTCTTGGGGACTGTCTCGAGATCCAATAACCAAGTCGAAGCTCCTGACTTGTTTGAATGGGATCACGGAATATCTCTGCATGCACTGCAGGGGAATGGGGCCTCACCTCGCCTCTAGGGGGAAGTCTCATGGTTTTTCTCGAGTTGCGGCGGGGACCTGGGGTATGTTCTCGACTTACGGCGGGGATGGCCCTTCAAAACACGAGTTTCTTCAGTGACGTCAGGACTCCTGTCTAGCAACGAGGGACACCTCAGGAATCTCTTCGAGGCTTGGCAGGGCAAAAGGGACGCTTCTCGAGGTGAGGCAGGGCACCCAAGGACCCTTTCCAGTAGCCACAGGGATTTTCGGATTCCTATCAGTATTCAAGAGGAGTCAGGCATCGTCACCTTTTGAAGCAATGAACTCCGCGTGCCTCTCGAGGTGTCAGCGGGATGTGAGGCATTCCGTCAAAGTGAGGCAGGGACCTAGGGCTTTCTCTAAGGTCTCCACAGGGGATTCAGACATCCCTTCATGTTCTGAAATGAAACACGAGCCTGTATTCAAGCCACTGCAAGGAAATCCGGCCTCCTTTCAAGTTAGGGCTTCTCGCTGTATATTCCCCTTGAGGCAGCAAACTCGGGGTCCCTCCCACATACCTATTGCTGAGACAGCCTCCTCCTGAGGTGCTTCTGGAAAGTTGGCATACGTCTTGAGCCTAAGCCAGGGAATCAGCTCTCATCTCGAAACGATTTGGGGTACACGGAGCATTCCTCGAGTTGCTGTGCTGAAGTTGGTGTTTCTCTAGCCTTGGGACAGTGTTCTCGGGGCATCACTGGAGTTGCCTGAAGGAAGTCGAGACACTGGTCGTGTTGAATGGGGAACGGGGAATGGCTCTGGAGTCAATGCAGGGGAATCGCGCCTAATCTCGAGCTGATTTGTGGCACATGGAGCTGCTTTGCGTTGCTTGGGTGACCTCATGGTCCGTCTAGACTGGTGACAGTGTTCTTGGGGACTGTCTCGAGATCCATTAAGCAAGTCGAAGCTCCTGACTTGTTTGAATGGGATCACGGAATAGCTCTGCATGCTCTGCAGGGGAATGGGGCCTCATCTCGCCTCTAGGGGGAAGTCTCATGGTTTTTCTCGATTTGCGGCGGGGACCTGGGTTATGTTCTCGACTTACGGCGGGGATGGCCCTTCAAAACACGAGTTTCTTCAGTGACGTCAGGACTCCTGTCTAGTAACGAGGGACACCTCAGGAATCTCTTCGAGGCTTGGCAGGTCAAAAGGGACGCTTCTCGAGGTGAGGCAGGGCAACCAAGGACCCTTTCCAGTAGCCACAGGGATTTTGGGATTCCTATCAGTATTCAAGAGGAGTCAGGCATCGTCACCTTTTGAAGCAATGAACTCCGCCTGCCTCTTGAGGTGTCAACGGTATGTGAGGCATTCCGTCAAATTGAGGCAGGGACTTAGGGCTTTCTCTAAGGTCTCAACAGGGGATTCAGACATCCCTTCATGTTGTGAAATGAAACACGAGCCTGTATTCAAGACACTGCAAGGAAAATCTGCCTCCTTTCAAGTTAGGGCTTCTCGCTGTATATTCCCCTTGAGGCAGCAAACTCGGGGTCCCTCCCACATACCTATTGCTGAGAGAAACCTCCTCCTGAGGTGCTTCTGGAAAGTTGGCATACGTCTTGAGCCTAAGCCAGGGAATCAGCTCTCATCTCGAGACGATTTGGGGTACACGGAGCATTCCTCGAGTTGCTGTGCTGAAGTTGGTGTTCCTCTAGACTTGGGCCAGTGTTCTCGGAGCATCTCTGGAGTTGCCTGAAGGAAGTCGACCCACCGGTCGTGTTGAATGGGGAACGGGAATGGCTATGGAGTCAATCTAGGGGAATCGGGCCTCATCTCGAGTTGATTTGGGGCACATGGAGCTGCTTTGCGTTGCTTGGGTGACCTCATGGTCCGTCTAGACTGGTGACAGTGTTCTTGGGGACTGTCTCGAGATCCATTAAGCAAGTCGAAGCTCCTGACTGGTTTGAATGGGATCACGGAATAGCTCTGCATGCACTGCAGGGGAATGGGGCCTCATCTCGCCTCTAGGGGGAAGTCTCATGGTTTTTCTCGAGTTGCGGCGGGGACCTGGGGTATGTTCTCGACTTACGGCGGGGATGGCCCTTCAAAACACGAGTTTCTTCAGTGACGTCAGGACTTCTGTCTAGTAACGAGGGACACCTCAGGAATCTCTTCGAGGCTTGCCAGGGCAAAAGGGACGCTTCTCGAGGTGAGGCAGGGCACCCAAGGCCCATTTCCAGTAGCCAGAGGGATTTGGGGATTCCTATCAGTATTCAAGAAGAGTCAGGCATCGTCCCTTTTGAAGCAATGAACTCCGCGTGCCTCTCGAGGTGTCAGCGGGATGTGAGGCATTCCGTCAAAATGAGGCAGGGACCTAGGGCTTTCTCTAAGGTCTCCACAGGGGATTCAGACATCCCTTCATTTTGTGAGATGAAAGACGAGCCTGTATTCAAGCCAATGCAAGGAAATCCGGCCTCCTTTCAAGTTAGGGCTTCTCGCTGTATATTTCCCTTGAGGCAGCAAACTCGGGGTCCCTCCCACATAACTATTTCTGAGAGAAGCCTCCTCCTGAGGTGCTTCTGGAAAGTTGGCATACGTCTTGAGCCTAAGCCAGGGAATCAGCTCTCATCTCCAGACGATTTGGGGTACATGGAGCATTCCTCGAGTTGCTGTGCTGAAGTTGGTGTTCCTCTAGACTTGGGACAGTGTTCTCGGGGCATCTCTGGAGTTGCCTGAAGGAAGTCGAGCCACCGGTCGTGTTGAATGGGGAAGGGGGAATGGCTCTGGAGTCAATGCAGGGGAATCGGGCCTCCTCTCGAGTTGATTTGGGGCACATGGAGCTGCTTTGTGTTGCTGGGGTAACCTCAGGGTCCATCTAGACTGGTGACAGTGTTCTTGGGGACTCTCTCGAGATCCAATAAGCAAGTCGAAGCTCCTGACTTGTTTGAAAGGGATCACGGAATAGCTCTGCATGCACTGCAGGGGAATGGGGCCTCACGTCGCCTCTAGGGGGAAGTCTCATGGTTTTTCTCGAGTTGCGGCGGTGACCTGGGGTATGTTCTCGACTTACGGCGGGGATGGCCCTTCAAAACACGAGTTTCTTCAGTGACGTCAGGACTCCTGTCTAGCAATGAGGTACACCTCAGGAATCTCTTCGAGGCTTGGCAGGGCAAAAGGGACGCTTCTCGAGGTGAGGCAGGGCAACCAAGGACCCTTTCCAGTAGCCACAGGGATTTTGGGATACCTATCAGTATTCAAGAGGAGTCAGGCATCGTCACCATCTGAAGCAATGAACTCCGCGTGCCTCTCGAGGGGTCAGCGGGATGTGAGGCATTCCGTCAAAATGAGGCAGGGTCCTAGGGCTTTCTCTAAGGTCTCCACAGGGTATTCAGACATCCCTTCATGTTGTGAGATGAAAGACGAGCCTGTATTCAAGCCACTGCAAGGAAATCTGGCCTCCTTTCAAGTTAGGGCTTCTCGCTGTATATTTCCCTTGAGGCAGCAAACTCGGGGTCCCCCCCACATACCTATTGCTGAGAGAAGCCTCCTCCTGAGGTGCTTCTGGAAAGTTGGCATACGTCTTGAGCCTAAGCCAGGGAATCAGCTCTCATCTCGAGACGATTTGTGGTACCCGGAGAGGTCCTCGAGTTGCTGTGCTGAAGTTGGTGTTCCTCTAGACTTGGGACAGTGTTCTCGGGGCATCTCTGGAGTTGCCTGAAGGAAGTCGAGCCACCGGTCGTGTTGAATGTGGAACGGGGAATGGCTCTGGAGTCAATGCAGGGGAATCGGGCCTCATCTCGAGTTGATTTGTGGCACATGGAGCTTCTTTGCGTTGCTGGGGTGACCTCAGGGTCCGTCTAGACTGGTGACAGTGTTCTTGGGGACTGTCTCGAGATCCAATAACCAAGTCGAAGCTCCTGACTTGTTTGAATGTGATCACGGAATATCTCTGCATGCACTGCAGGGGAATGGGGCCTCACCTCGCCTCTAGGGGGAAGTCTCATGGTTTTTCTCGAGTTGCGGCGGGGACCTGGGGTATGTTCTCGACTTACGGCGGGGATGGCCCTTCAAAACACGAGTTTCTTCAGTGACGTCAGGACTCCTGTCTAGCAACGAGGGACACCTCAGGAATCTCTTCGAGGCTTGGCAGGGCAAAAGGGACGCTTCTCGAGGTGAGGCAGGGCAACCAAGGACCCTTTCCAGTAGCCACAGGGATTTTCGGATTCCTATCAGTATTCAAGAGGAGTCAGGCATCGTCACCTTTTGAAGCAATGAACTCCGCGTGCCTCTCGAGGTGTCAGCGGGATGTGAGGCATTCCGTCAAAGTGAGGCAGGGACCTAGGGCTTTCTCTAAGGTCTCCACAGGGGATTCAGACATCCCTTCATGTTGTGAAATGAAACACGAGCCTGTATTCAAGCCACTGCAAGGAAATCCGGCCTCCTTTCAAGTTAGGGCTTCTCGCTGTATATTCCCCTTGAGGCAGCAAACTCGGGGTCCCTCCCACATACCTATTGCTGAGACAGCCTCCTCCTGAGGTGCTTCTGGAAAGTTGGCATACGACTTGAGCCTAAGCCAGGGAATCAGCTCTCATCTCGAAACGATTTGGGGTACACGGAGCATTCCTTGAGTTGCTGTGCTGAAGTTGGTGTTTCTCTAGCCTTGGGACAGTGTTCTCGGGGCATCACTGGAGTTGCCTGAAGGAAGTCGAGACACTGGTCGTGTTGAATGGGGAACGGGGAATGGCTCTGGAGTCAATGCAGGGGAATCGCGCCTAATCTCGAGCTGATTTGTGGCACATGGAGCTGCTTTGCGTTGCTTGGGTGACCTCATGGTCCGTCTAGACTGGTGACAGTGTTCTTGGGGACTGTCTCGAGATCCATTAAGCAAGTCGAAGCTCCTGACTTGTTTGAATGGGATCACGGAATAGCTCTGCATGCTCTGCAGGGGAATGGGGCCTCATCTCGCCTCTAGGGGGAAGTCTCATGGTTTTTCTCGATTTGCGGCGGGGACCTGGGTTATGTTCTCGACTTACGGCGGGGATGGCCCTTCAAAACACGAGTTTCTTCAGTGACGTCAGGACTCCTGTCTAGTAACGAGGGACACCTCAGGAATCTCTTCGAGGCTTGGCAGGTCAAAAGGGACGCTTCTCGAGGTGAGGCAGGGCAACCAAGGACCCTTTCCAGTAGCCACAGGGATTTTGGGATTCCTATCAGTATTCAAGAGGAGTCAGGCATGGTCACCTTTTGAAGCAATGAACTCCGCGTGCCTCTTGATGTGTCAACGGTATGTGAGGCATTCCGTCAAATTGAGGCAGGGACTTAGGGCTTTCTCTAAGGTCTCCACAGGGGATTCAGACATCCCTTCATGTTATGAAATGAAACACGAGCCTGTATTCAAGACACTGCAAGGAAATTCTGCCTCCTTTCAAGTTAGGGCTTCTCGCTGTATATTCCCCTTGAGGCAGCAAACTCGGGGTCCCTCCCACATACCTATTGCTGAGAGAAACCTCCTCCTGAGGTGCTTCTGGAAAGTTGGCATACGTCTTGAGCCTAAGCCAGGGAATCAGCTCTCATCTCGAGACGATTTGGGGTACACGGAGCATTCCTCGAGTTGCTGTGCTGAAGTTGGTGTTCCTCTAGACTTGGGCCAGTGTTCTCGGGGCATCTCTGGAGTTGCCTGAAGGAAGTCGAACCACCGGTCGTGTTGAATGGGGAACGGGAATGGCTATGGAGTCAATCTAGGGGAATCGGGCCTCATCTCGAGTTGATTTGGGGCACATGGAGCTGCTTTGCGTTGCTGGGGTGACTTCAGGGTCCATCTAGACTGATGACAGTGTTATTGGGGACTGTCTCGAGATCCATTAAGCAAGTCGAAGCTCCTAACTTGTTTCAACGGGATCACGGAATAGCTCTGCATGCACTGCAGGGGAATGGGGACTCATCTCGCCTCTAGGGAGAAGTCTCATTGTTTTTCTCGATTTGCGGCGGGGACCTGGGGTATGTTCTCGACTTACGGCGGGGATGGCCCTTCAAAACACGAGTTTCTTCAGTGACGTCAGGACTCCTGTCTAGTAACGAGGGACACCTCAGGAATCTCTTCGAGGCTTGGCAGGTGAAAAGGGACGCTTCTCGAGGTGAGGCAGGGCAACCAAGGACCCTTTCCAGTAGCCACAGGGATTTTGGGATTCCTATCAGTATTCAAGAGGAGTCAGGCATCGTCACCTTTTGAAGCAATGAACTCCGCGTGCCTCTCGAGGTGTCAACGGGTTGTGAGGCATTCCGTCAAAATCAGGCAGGGACCTAGGGCTTTCTCTAAGGTCTCCACAGGGAATTCAGACATCCCTTCATGTTTTGAGATCAAAGACGAGCCTTTATGCAAGCCACTGCAAGGAAATCCGTTCTCCTTTCAATATGGGGCTTCTCGCTGTATATTCCTATTGAAGCAGCGATCTCGGGGTCCCTCCCACATACCTATTGCTGAGAGAAGCCTCCTCCTGAGGTGCTTCTGGAAAGTTAGCATACGTATTGAGCCTAAGCCAGGGAATCAGCTCTCATCTCGAGACGATTTGGTGTACATGGAGCATTCCTCGAGTTGCTGTGCTGAGGTTGGTGTTCCTCTAGACTTGGGACAGTGTTCTCGGGGCATCTCTGGAGTTCCCTGAAGGAAGTCGAGCCACCGGTCGTGTTGAATGGGGAACGGGGAATTGCTCTGGAGTCAATGCAGGGGAATCGGGCCTCATCTCGTGTTGATTTGGGGCACATGGAGCTGCTTTGCGTTGCTGGGGTGACCTCAGGGTCCGTCTAGACTGGTGACAGTGTTCTTGGGGACTGTCTCGAGATCCATTAAGCAAGTCGAAGCTCCTGACTGGTTTGAATGGGATCACGGAATAGCTCTGCATGCACTGCAGGGGAATGGGGCCTCATCTCGCCTCTAGGGGGAAGTCTCATGGTTTTTCTCGAGTTGCGGCGGGGACCTGGGGTATGTTCTCGACTTACGGCGGGGATGGCCCTTCAAAACACGAGTTTCTTCAGTGACGTCAGGACTTCTGTCTAGTAACGAGGGACACCTCAGGAATCTCTTCGAGGATTGCCAGGGCAAAAGGGACGCTTCTCGAGGTGAGGCAGGGCACCCAAGGCCCCTTTCCAGTAGCCAGAGGGATTTGGGGATTCCTATCAGTATTCAAGAAGAGTCAGGCATCGTCCCTTTTGAAGCAATGAACTCCGCGTGCCTCTCGAGGTGTCAGCGGGATGTGAGGCATTCCGTCAAAATGAGGCAGGGACCTAGGGCTTTCTCTAAGGTCTCCACAGGGGATTCAGACATCCCTTCATGTTGTGAGATGAAAGACGAGCCTGTATTCAAGCCAATGCAAGGAAATCCGGCCTCCTTTCAAGTTAGGGCTTCTCGCTGTATATTTCCCTTGAGGCAGCAAACTCGGGGTCCCTCCCACAAAACTATTGCTGAGAGAAGCCTCCTCCTGAGGTGCTTCTGGAAAGTTGGCATACGTCTTGAGCCTAAGCCAGGGAATCAGCTCTCATCTCCAGACGATTTGGGGTACATGGAGCATTCCTCGAGTTGCTGTGCTGAAGTTGGTGTTCCTCTAGACTTGGGACAGTGTTCTCGGGGCATCTCTGGAGTTGCCTGAAGGAAGTCGAGCCACCGGTCGTGTTGAATGGGGAAGGGGGAATGGCTCTGGAGTCAATGCAGGGGAATCGGGCCTCCTCTCGAGTTGATTTGGGGCACATGGAGCTGCTTTGTGTTGCTGGGGTGACCTCAGGGTCCGTCTAGACTGGTGACAGTGTTCTTGGGGACTCTCTCGAGATCCAATAAGCAAGTCGAAGCTCCTGACTTGTTTGAATGGGATCACGGAATAGCTCTGCATGCACTGCAGGGGAATGGGGCCTCACCTCGCCTCTAGGGGGAAGTCTCATGGTTTTTCTCGAGTTGCGGCGGTGACCTGGGGAATGTTCTCGACTTACGGCGGGGATGGCCCTTCAAAACACGAGTTTCTTCAGTGACGTCAGGACTCCTGTCTAGCAACGAGGGACACCTCAGGAATCTCTTCGAGGCTTGGCAGGGCAAAAGGGACGCTTCTCGAGGTGAGGCAGGGCAACCAAGGACCCTTTCCAGTAGCCACAGGGATTTTGGGATACCTATCAGTATTCAAGAGGAGTCAGGCATCGTCACCTTCTGAAGCAATGAACTCCGCGTGCCTCTCGAGGGGTCAGTGGGATGTGAGGCATTCCGTCAAAATGAGGCAGGGACCTAGGGCTTTCTCTAAGGTCTCCACAGGGTATTCAGACATCCCTTCATGTTGTGAGATGAAAGACGAGCCTGTATTCAAGCCACTGCATGGAAATCCGGCCTCCTTTCAAGTTAGGGCTTCTCGCTGTATATTCCCCTTGAGGCAGCAAACTCGGGGTCCCTCCCACATACCTATTGCTGAGAGAAGCCTCCTCCTGAGGTGCTTCTGGAAAGTTGGCATACGTCTTGACCCTAAGCCAGGGAATCAGCTCTCATATCGAGATGATTTGGGGTACCCGGAGAGTTCCTCGAGTTGCTGTGCTGAAGTTGGTGTTCCTCTAGACTTGGGACAGTGTTCTCGGGGCATCTCTGGAGTTGCCTGAAGGAAATCGAGCCACCGGTCGCGTTGAATGTGGAACGGGGAATGGCTCTGGAGTCAATGCAGGGGAATCGGGCCTCATCTCGAGCTGATTTGTGGCACATGGAGCTGCTTTGCGTTGCTTGGGTGACCTCATGGTCCGTCTAGACTGGTGACAGTGTTCTTGGGGACTGTCTCGAGATCCATTAAGCAAGTCGAAGCTCCTGACTTGTTTGAATGGGATCACGGAATAGCTCTGCATGCACTGCAGGGGAATGGGGCCTCATCTCGCCTCTAGGGGGAAGTCTCATGGTTTTTCTCGAGTTGCGGCGGGGACCTGGGGTATGTTCTCGACTTACGGCGGGGATGGCCCTTCAAAACACGAGTTTCTTCAGTGACGTCAGGACTCCTGTCTAGTAACAAGGGACACCTCAGGAATCTCTTCGGGGCTTGGCAGGTCAAAAGGGACGCTTCTCGAGGTGAGGCAGGGCAACCAAGGACCCTTTCCAGTAGCCACAGCGATTTTGGGATTCCTATCAGTATTCAAGAGGAGTCAGGCATCGTCACTTTTGAAGCAATGAACTCCGCGTGCCTCTTGAGGTGTCAACGGAATGTGAGGCATTCCGTCAAATTGAGGCAGGGACTTAGGGCTTTCTCTAAGGTCTCCACAGGGGATTCAGACATCCCTTCATGTTGTGAAATGAAACACGAGCCTGTATTCAAGACACTGCAAGGAAATTCTGCCTCCTTTCAAGTTAGGTCTTCTCGCTGTATATTCCCCTTGAGGCAGCAAACTCGGGGTCCCTCCCACATACCTATTGCTGAGAGAAACCTCCTCCTGAGGTGCTTCTGGAAAGTTGACATACGTCTTGAGCCTAAGCCAGGGAATCAGCTCTCATCTCGAGACAATTTGGGGTACACGGAGCATTCCTCGAGTTGCTGTGCTGAGGTTGGTGTTCCTCTAGACTTGGGCCAGTGTTCTCGGGGCATCTCTGGAGTTGCCTGAAGGAAGTCGACCCACCGGTCGTGTTGAATGGGGAACGGGAATGGCTATGGAGTCAATCTAGGGGAATCGGGCCTCATCTCGAGTTGATTTGGGGCACATGGAGCTGCTTTGCGTTGCTGGAGTGACCTCAGGGTCCATCTAGACTGATGACAGTGTTCTTGGGGACTGTCTCGAGATCCATTAAGCAAGTCGAAGCTCCTGACTTGTTTCAATGGGATCACGGAATAGCTCTGCATGCACTGCAGGGGAATGGGGCCTCATCTCGACTCTAGGGAGAAGTCTCATTGTTTTTCTCGATTTGCGGCGGGGACCTGGGGTATGTTCTCGACTTACGGCGGGGATGGCCCTTCAAAACACGAGTTTCTTCAGTGACGTCAGGACTCCTGTCTAGTAACGAGGGACACCTCAGGAATCTCTTCGAGGCTTGGCAGGTCAAAAGGGACGCTTCTCGAGGTGAGGCAGGGCAACCAAGGACCCTTTCCAGTAGCCACAGGGATTTTGGGATTCCTATCAGTATTCAAGAGGAGTCAGGCATCGTCACCTTTTGAAGCAATGAACTCCGCGTGCCTCTCGAGGTGTCAACGGGTTGTGAGGCATTCCGTCAAAATCAGGCAGGGACCTAGGGCTTTCTCTAAGGTCTCCACAGGGAATTCAGACATCCCTTCATGTTTTGAGATCAAAGACGAGCCTTTATGCAAGCCACTGCAAGGAAATCCGGCCTCCTTTCAATATGGGGCTTCTCGCTGTATATTCCTATTGAAGCAGCGATCTCGGGGTCCCTCCCACATACCTATTGCTGAGAGAAGCCTCCTCCTGAGGTGCTTCTGGAAAGTTAGCATACGTCTTGAGCCTAAGGCAGGGAATCAGCTCTCATCTCGAGACGATTTAGTGTACATGGAGCATTCCTCGAGTTGCTGTGCTGAGGTTGGGGTTCCTCTAGACTTGGGCCAGTGTTCTCGGGGCAACTCTGGAGTTCCCTGAAGGAAGTCGAGCCACCGGTCGTGTTGAATGGGGAACGGGGAATTGCTCTGGAGTCAATGCAGGGGAATCGGGCCTCATCTCGTGTTGATTTGGGGCACATGGAGCTGCTTTGCGTTGCTGGGGTGACCTCAGGGTCCGTCTAGACTGGTGACAGTGTTCTTGGGGGCTGTCTCCAGATCCATTAAGCAAGTCGAAGCTCCTGACTTGTTTGAATGGGATCACGGAATAGCTCTGCATGCACTGCAGGGGAATGGGGCCTCATCTCGCCTCTAGGGGGAAGTCTCATGGTTTTTCTCGAGTTGCGGCGGGGACCTGGGGTATGTTCTCGAGTTACGGCGGGGATGGCCCATCAAAACACGTGTTTCTTCAGTGACGTCAGGACTCCTGTCTAGTAACGAGGGACACCTCAGGAATCACTTTGAGGCTTGGCAGGGCAAAAGGGATGCTTCTCGAGGTGAGCAGGGCACCCAAGGACCCTTTCCAGTAGCCACAGGGATTTTGGGATTCCTATCAGTATTCAAGACGAGTCAGGCAACGTCACCTTTTGAAGCAATGAACTCCGCGTGCCTCTCGAGGGGTCAACGGGATGTGAGGCATTCCGTCAAAATGAGGCAGGGACCAAAGGCTTTCTCTAAGGCCTCCAAAGGGGATTCAGACTTCCCTTCATGTTTTGAGAACAAAGACGAGCCTGTATTCAAGCCAATGCAAAGAAATCCGGCCTCCTTTCAAGTTAGGGCTTCTCGCTGTATATTCCACTTGAAGCAGCGATCTCGGGTTCCCTCCCACATACGTATTGCTGAGAGATGCCTCCTCCTGAGGTGCTTCTGGAAAGTAGGCATACGGCTTTAGCTAAGTCAGGGAATCAGCTCTCATCTCGAGACGATTTGGGGTACACGGAGCATTCCTCGAGTTGCTGTGCTGAAGTTGGTGTTCCTCTAGACTTGCTACAGTGTTCTCGGGGCATCTCTGGAGTGGCCTGAAGGAAGTCGAGCCACCGGTCGTGTTGAATGGGGAACGGGGAATGAGTCTGGAGTCAATGCAGGGGAATCGGGCCTCATCTCGAGTTGATTTGGGGCACATGGAGCTGATTTGCTTTGCTGGGGTGACCTCAGGTTCCGTCTAGACTGGTGACAGTGTTCTTGGGGACTGTCTCGAGATCCATTAAGCAAGTCGAAGCTCCTGACTGGTTTGAATGGGATCACGGAATAGCTCTGCATGCACTGCAGGGGAATGGGGCCTCATCTCGCCTCTAGGGGGAAGTCTCATGGTTTTTCTCGAGTTGCGGCGGGGACCTGGGGTATGTTCTCGACTTACGGCGGGGATGGCCCTTCAAAACACGAGTTTCTTCAGTGACGTCAGGACTTCTGTCTAGTAACGAGGGACACCTCAGGAATCTCTTCGAGGCTTGCCAGGGCAAAAGGGACGCTTCTCGAGGTGAGGCAGGGCACCCAAGGCCCCTTTCCAGTAGCCAGAGGGATTTGGGGATTCCTATTAGTATTCAAGAAGAGTCAGGCATCATCCCTTTTGAAGCAGTGAACTCCGCGTGCCTCTCGAGGTGTCAGCGGGATGTGAGGCCTTCCGTCAGAATGAGGCAGGGACCTAGGGCTTTCTCTAAGGTCTCCACAGGGGATTCAGACATCCCTTCATTTTGTGAGATGAAAGACGAGCCTGTATTCAAGCCAATGCAAGGAAATCCGGCCTCCTTTCAAGTTAGGGCTTCTCGCTGTATATTTCCCTTGAGGCAGCAAACTCGGGGTCCCTCCCACATAACTATTGCTGAGAGAAGCCTCCTCCTGAGGTGCTTCTGGAAAGTTGGCATACGTCTTGAGCCTAAGCCAGGGAATCAGCTCTCATCTCCAGACGATTTGGGGTACATGGAGCATTCCTCGAGTTGCTGTGCTGAAGTTGGTGTTCCTCTAGACTTGGGCCAGTGTTCTCGGGGCATCTCTGGAGTTGCCTGAAGGAAGTCGAGCCACCGGTCGTGTTGAATGGGGAAGGGGGAATGGCTCTGGAGTCAATGCAGGGGAATCGGGCCTCATCTCGAGTTGATTTGGGGCACATGGAGCTGCTTTGTGTTGCTGGGGTGACCTCAGGGTCCGTCTATTCTGGTGACAGTGTTCTTGGGGACTCTCTCGAGATCCAATAAGCAAGTCGAAGCTCCTGACTTGTTTGAATGGGATCACGGAATAGCTCTGCATGCACTGCAGGGGAATGGGGCCTCACCTCGCCTCTAGGGGGAAGTCTCATGGTTTTTCTCGAGTTGCGGCGGTGACCTGGGGTATGTTCTCGACTTACGGCGGGGATGGCCCTTCAAAACACGAGTTTCTTCAGTGACGTCAGGACTCCTGTCTGGCAACGAGGGACACCTCATTAATCTCTTCGAGGCTTGGCAGGGCAAAAGGGACGCTTCTCGAGGTGAGGCAGGGCAACCAAGGACCATTTCCAGTAGCCACAGGGATTTTGAGATACCTATCAGTATTCAAGAGGAGTCAGGCATCGTCACCTTCTGAAGCAATGAACTCCGCGTGCCTCTCGAGGTGTCAGCGGGATGTGAGGCATTCCTTCAAAGTGAGGCAGGTACCTAGGGCTTTCTCTAAGGTCTCCACAGGGGATTCAGACATCCCTTCATGTTGTGAAATGAAACACGAGCCTGTATTCAAGCCACTGCATGGAAATCCGGCCTCCTTTCAAGTTAGGGCTTCTCGCTGTATATTCCCCTTGAGGCAGCAAACTCGGGGTCCCTCCCACATACCTATTGCTGAGACAGCCTCCTCCTGAGGTGCTTCTGGAAAGTTGGCATACGTCTTGAGCCTAAGCCAGGGAATCAGCTCTCATCTCAAGACGATTTGGGGTACACGGAGCATTCCTCGAGTTGCTGTGCTGAAGTTGGTGTTTCTCTAGACTTGGGACAGTGTTCTCGGGGCATCACTGGAGTTGCCTGAAGGAAGTCGAGACACTGGTCGTGTTGAATGGGGAATGGGGAATGGCTCTGGAGTCAATGCAGGGGAATCGGGCCTCATCTCGAGTTGATTTGTGGCACATGGAGCTGCTTTGCATTGCTTGGGTGACCTCAGGGTCCGTCTACACTGGTGACAGTGTTCTTGGGGACTGTCTCGAGATCCATTAAGCAAGTCGAAGCTCCTGACTTGTTTGAATGGGATCACGGAATAGCTCTGCATACTCTGCAGGGGAATGGGGCCTCATCTCGCCTCTAGGGTGAAGTCTCATGGTTTTTCTCGAGTTGCGGCGGGGACCTGGGGTATGTTCTCGACTTCCGGCGGGGATAGCCCTTCAAAACACGAGTTTCTTCAGTGACGTCAGGACTCCTGTCTAGTAACTAGGGCCACCTCAGGAATCTCTTCGAGGCTTGGCAGGGCAAAAGGGACGCTTCTCGAGGTGAGGCAGGGCAACCAAGGACCCTTTCCAGTAGCCACAGGGATTTTGGGATTCCTATCATTATTCAAGAGGAGTCAGGCATCGTCACCTTTTGAAGCAATGAACTCCGCGTGCCTCTCGAGGTGTCAACGGTATGTGAGGCATTACGTCAAAATGAGGCAGGGACCTAGGGCTTTCTCTAAGGTCTCCACAGGGGATTCAGACATCCCTTCATGTTGTGAAATGAAACACGAGCCTGTATTCAAGACACTGCAAGGAAATCCGGCCTCCTTTCAAGTTAGGGCTTCTCGCTGTATATTCCCCTTGAGGCAGCAAACTCGGGGTCCCTCCCACATACCTATTGCTGAGAGAAGCCTCCTCCTGAGGTGCTTCTGGAAAGTTGGCATACGTCTTGAGCCTAAGCCAGGGAATCAGCTCTCATCTCGAGACGATTTGGGGTACACGGAGCATTCCTCGAGTTGCTGTGCTGAAGTTGGTGTTCCTCTAGACTTGGGCCAGTGTTCTCGGGGCATCTCTGGAGTTGCCTGAAGGAAGTCGACCCACCGGTCGTGTTGAATGTGGAACGGGAATGGCTATGGAGTCAATCCAGGGGAATCGGGCCTCATCTCGAGTTGATTTGGGGCACATGGAGCTGCTTTGCGTTGCTGGGGTGACCTCAGGGTCCGTCTAGACTGGTGACAGTGTTCCTGGGGACTGTCTCGAGATCCATTAAGCAAGTCGAAGCTCCTGACTTGTTTCAATGGGATCACGGAATAGCTCTGCATGCACTGCAGGGGAATGGGGCCTCATCTCGCCTCTAGGGGGAAGTCTCATGGTTTTTCTCGAGTTGCGGCGGGGACCTGGGGTATGTTCTCGACTTACGGCGGGGATGGCCCCTCAAAACACTTTTTTCTTCAGTGACGTCAGGACCTCTGTCTAGTAACGAGGGACACCTCAGCAATCTCTTCGAGGCTTGGCAGGGCAAAAGGGACTCTTCTCGAGGTGAGGCAGGTAACCCTAGGACCCTTTCCAGTAGCCACAGGGATTTTGGGATTCCTATCAGTATTCAAGTGGAGTCAGGCATCGTCACCTTTTGAAGCAATGAACTCCGCGTGCCTCTCGAGGTGTCAACGGGATGTGAGGCATTCCGTCAAAGTGAGGCCGGTACCTAGGGCTTTCTCTAAGGTCTCCACAGGGGATTCAGACATCCCTTCATGTTGTGAAATGAAACACGAGCCTGTATTCAAGCCACTGCAAGGAAATTCGGCCTCCTTTCAAGTTAGGGCTTCTCGCTGTATATTCCCCTTTAGGCAGCAAACTCGGGGTCCCTCCCACATACCTATTGCTGAGACAGCCTCCTCCTGAGGTGCTTCTGGAAAGTTGGCATACGTCTTGAGCCTAAGCCAGTGAATCAGCTCTCATCTCGAGACGATTTGGGGTACACGGAGCATTCCTCGAGTTGCTGTGCTGAAGTTGGTGTTCCTCTAGACATGGGACAGTGTTCTCGGGGCATCTCTGGAGTTGCCTGAAAGAAGTCGAGCCACCGGTAGTGTTGAATGTGGAACGAGAATGGCTATGGAGTCAATGCAGGGGAATCGGGCCTCATCTCGAGTTGATTTAGGGCACATGGAGCTGCTTTGCGTTGCTGGGGTGACCTCAGAGTCCGTCTAGACTGGTGACAGTGTTCTTGGGGACTCTCTCGAGATCCATTAAGCAAGTCGAAGCTCCTGACATGTTTGAATGGGATCACGGAATAGCTCTGCATGCACTGCAGGGGAATGGGGCCTCATCTCGCCTCTAGGGGGAAGTCTCATGGTTTTTCTCGAGTTGCGGCGGGGACCTGGGGTATGTTCTCGACTTACGGCGGGGATGGCCCTTCAAAACACGAGTTTCTTCAGTGACGTCAGGACTCCTGTCTAGTAATGAGGGACACCTCAGGAATCTCTTCGAGGCTTGGCAGGGCAAAAGGGACGCTTCTCGGGGTGAGGCAGGGCAACCAAGGACCCTTTCCAGTAGCCACAGGGATTTTGGGATTCCTATCAGTATTCAAGAGGAGTCAGGCATCGTCACCTTTTGAAGCAATGAACTCCGCGTGCCTCTCGAGGTGTCAGCGGGATGTGAGGCATTCCGTCAAAGTGAGGCAGGGACCTAGGGCTTTCTCTAAGGTCTCCAAAGGGGATTCAGACATCCCTTCATGTTGTGAAATGAAACACGAGCCTGTATTCAAGACACTGCAAGGAAATTCTGCCTCCTTTCAAGTTAGGGCTTCTCGCTGTATATTCCCCTTGAGGTAGCAAACTCGGGGTCCCTCCCACATACCTATTGCTGAGAGAAACCTCCTCCTGAGGTGTTTCTGGAAAGTTGGCATACGTCTTGAGCCTAAGCCAGGGAATCAGCTCTCATCTCGAGACGATTTGGGGTACACGGAGCATTCCTCGAGTTGCTGTGCTGAAGTTGGTGTTCCTCTAGGCTTGGGCCAGTGTTCTCGGGGCATCTCTGGAGTTGCCTGAAGGAAGTCGACCCACCGGTCATGTTGAATGGGGAACGGGAATGGCTATGCAGTCAATCTAGGGGAATCGGGCCTCATCTCGAGTTGATTTGGGGCACATGGAGCTGCTTTGCTTTGCTGGGATGACCTCAGGGTCCATCTAGACTGATGACAGTGTTCTTGGGGACTGTCTCGAGATCCATTAAGCAAGTCGAAGCTCCTGACTTGTTTCAATGGGATCACGGAATAGCTCTGCATGCACTGCAGGGGAATGGGGCCTCATCTCGCCTCTAGGGGGAAGTCTCATGGTTTTTCTCGAGTTGCGGCGGGGACCTGTGGTATGTTCTCGACTTACGGCGGGGATGGCCCCTCAAAACACTTTTATCTTCAGTGACGTCAGGACCTCTGTCTAGTAACGAGGGACACCTCAGCAATCTCTTCGAGGCTTGGCAGGGCAAAAGGGACTCTTCTCGAGGTGAGGCAGGTAACCCTAGGACCCTTTCCAGTAGCCACAGGGATTTTGGGATTCCTATCAGTATTCAAGATGAGTCAGGCATCGTCACCTTTTGAAGCAATGAACTCTGCGTGCCTCTCGAGGTGTCAACGGGATGTGAGGCATTCCGTCAAAGTGTGGCAGGTACCTAGGGCTTTCTCTAAGGTCTCCACAGGGGATTCAGACATCCCTTCATGTTGTGAAATGAAACACGAGCCTGTATTCAAGCCACTGCAAGGAAATTCGGCCTCCTTTCAAGTTAGGGCTTCTCGCTGTATATTCCCCTTTAGGCAGCAAACTCGGGGTCCCTCCCACATACCTATTGCTGAGACAGCCTCCTCCTGAAGTGCTTCTGGAAAGTTGGCATACGTCTTGAGCCTAAGCCAGTGAATCAGCTCTCATCTCGAGACGATTTGGAGTACACGGAGCATTCCTCGAGTTGCTGTGCTGAAGTTGGTGTTCCTCTAGACATGGGACAGTGTTCTCGGGGCATCTCTGGAGTTGCCTGAAAGAAGTCGAGCCACCGGTAGTGTTGAATGTGGAACGAGAATGGCTATGGAGTCAATGCAGGGGAATTGGGCCTCATCTCGAGTTGATTTGGGGCACATGGAGCTGCTTTGCGTTGCTGGGGTGACCTCAGAGTCCGTCTAGACTGGTGACAGTGTTCTTGGGGACTCTCTCGAGATCCATTAAGCAAGTCGAAGCTCCTGACTTGTTTGAATGGGATCACGGAATAGCTCTGCATGCACTGCAGGGGAATGGGGCCTCATCTCGCCTCTAGGGGGAAGTCTCATGGTTTTTCTCGAGTTGCGGCGGGGACCTGGGGTATGTTCTCGACTTACGGCGGGGATGGCCCTTCAAAACACGAGTTTCTTCAGTGACGTCAGGACTCCTGTCTAGTAACGAGGGACAGCTCAGGAATCTCTTCGAGGCTTGGCAGGGCAAAAGGGACGCTTCTCGGGGTGAGGCAGGGCAACCAAGGACCCTTTCCAGTAGCCACAGGGATTTTGGGATTCCTATCAGTATTCAAGAGGAGTCAGGCATCGTCACCTTTTGAAGCAATGAACTCCGCGTGCCTCTCGAGGTGTCAGCGGGATGTGAGGCATTCCGTCAAAGTGAGGCAGGGACCTAGGGCTTTCTCTAAAGTCTCCACAGGGGATTCAGACATCCCTTCATGTTGTGAAATGAAACACGAGCCTGTATTCAAGACACTGCAAGGAAATTCTGCCTCCTTTCAAGTTAGGGCTTCTCGCTGTATATTCCCCTTGAGGCAGCAAACTCGGGGTCCCTCCCACATACCTATTGCTGAGAGAAACCTCCTCCTGAGGTGCTTCTGGAAAGTTGGCATACGTCTTGAGCCTAAGCCAGGGAATCAGCTCTCATCTCGAGACGATTTGGGGTACACGGAGCATTCCTCGAGTTGCTGTGCTGAAGTTGGTGTTCCTCTAGACTTGGGCCAGTGTTCTCGGGGCATCTCTGGAGTTGCCTGAAGGAAGTCGACCCACCGGTCGTGTTGAATGGGGAACGGGAATGGCTATGGAGTCAATCTATGGGAATCGGGCCTCATCTCGAGTTGATTTGGGGCACATGGAGCTGCTTTGCATTGCTGGGGTGACCTCAGGGTCCATCTAGACTGATGACAGTGTTCTTGGGGACTGTCTCGAGATCCATTAAGCAAGTCGAAGCTCCTGACTTGTTTCAATGGGATCACGGAATAGCTCTGCATGCACTGCAGGGGAATGGGGCCTCATCTCGCCTCTAGGGAGAAGTCTCATTGTTTTTCACGATTTGCGGCGGGGACATGGGGTATGTTCTCGACTTACGGCGGGGATGGCCCTTCAAAACACGAGTTTCTTCAGTGACGTCAGGACTCCTGTCTAGTAACGAGGGACACCTCAGGAATCTCTTCGAGGCTTGGCAGGTCAAAAGGGACGCTTCTCGAGGTGAGGCAGGGCAACCAAGGACCCTTTCCAGTAGCCACAGAGATTTTGGGATTCCTATCAGTATTCAAGAGGAGTCAGGCATCGTCACCTTTTGAAGGAATGAACTCCGCGTGCCTCTCGAGGTGTCAACGGGTTGTGAGGCATTCCGTCAAAATCAGGCAGGGACCTAGGGCTTTCTCTAAGGTCTCCACAGGGAATTCAGACATCCCTTCATGTTTTGAGATCAAAGACGAGCCTTTATGCAAGCCACTGCAAGGAAATCCGGCCTCCTTTCAATATGGGTCTTCTCGCTGTATATTCCTATTGAAGCAGCGATCTCGGGGTCCCTCCCACATACCTATTGCTGAGAGAAGCCTCCTCCTGAGGTGCTTCTGGAAAGTTGGCATACGTCTTGAGCCTAAGCCAGGGAATCAGCTCTCATCTCGAGACGATTTGGGGTACACGGAGCATTCCTCGAGTTGCTGTGCTGAAGTTCGTGTTCCTCTAGACTTGGGACAGTGTTCTCGGGGCATCTCTGGAGTTGCCTGAAGGAAGTCGAGCCACCGGTCGTGTTGAATGGGGAACGAGAATGGCTATGGAGTCAATGCAGGGGAATCGGGCCTCATCTCGAGTTGATTTGGGGCACATGGAGCTGCTTTGCGTTGCTGGGGTGACCTCAGGGTCCGTCTAGACTGGTGACAGTGTTCCTGGGGACTTTCTCGAGATCCATTAAGCAAGTCGAAGCTCCTGACTTGTTTCAATGGGATCACGGAATAGCTCTGCATGCACTGCAGGGGAATGGGGCCTCATCTCGCCTCTAGGGGGAAGTCTCATGGTTTTTCTCGAGTTGCGGCGGGGACCTGGGGTATGTTCTCGACTTACGGCGGGGATGGCCCCTCAAAACACTTTTTTCTTCAGTGACGTCAGGACCTCTGTCTAGTAACGAGGGACACCTCAGCAATCTCTTCGAGGCTTGGTAGGGCAAAAGGGACTCTTCTCGAGGTGAGGCAGGTAACCCTAGGACCCTTTCCAGTAGCCACAGGGATTTTGGGATTCCTATCAGTATTCAAGAGGAGTCAGGCATCGTCACCTTTTGAAGCAATGAACTCCGCGTGCCTCTCGAGGTGTCAACGGGATGTGAGGCATTCCGTCAAAGTGAGGCAGGTACCTAGGGCTTTCTCTAAGGTCTCCACAGGGGATTCAGACATCCCTTCATGTTGTGAAATGAAACACGAGCCTGTATTCAAGCCACTGCAAGGAATTTCAGCCTCCTTTCAAGTTAGGGCTTCTCGCTGTATATTCCCCTTTAGGCAGCAAACTCGGGGTCCCTCCCACATACCTATTGCTGAGACAGCCTCCTCCTGAGGTGCTTCTGGAAAGTTGGCATACGTCTTGAGCCTAAGCCAGTGAATCAGCTCTCATCTCGAGACGATTTGGGGTACACGGTGCATTCCTCGAGTTGCTGTGCTGAAGTTGGTGTTCCTCTAGACATGGGACAGTGTTCTCGGGGCATCTCTGGAGTTGCCTGAAAGAAGTCGAGCCACCGGTAGTGTTGAATGGGGAACGAGAATGGCTATGGAGTCAATGCAGGGGAATCGGGCCTCATCTCGAGTTGATTTGGGGCACATGGAGCTGCTTTGCGTTGCTGGGGTGACCTCAGAGTCCGTCTAGACTGGTGACAGTGTTCCTGGGGACTCTCTCGAGATCCATTAAGCAAGTCGAAGCTCCTGACTTATTTGAATGGGATCACGGAATAGCTCTGCATGCACTGCAGGGGAATGGGGCCTCATCTCGCCTCTAGGGGGAAGTCTCATGGTTTTTCTCGAGTTGCGGCGGGGACCTGTGGTATGTTCTCGACTTACGGCGGGGATGGCCCTTCAAAACACGAGTTTCTTCAGTGACGTCAGGACTCCTGTCTAGTAACGAGGGACACCTCAGGAATCTCTTCGAGGCTTGGCAGGGCAAAAGGGATGCTTCTCGGGATGAGGCAGGGCAACCAAGGACCCTTTCCAGTAGCCACAGGGATTTTGGGATTCCTATCAGTATTCAAGAGGAGTCAGGCATCGTCACCTTTTGAAGCAATGAACTCCGCGTGCCTCTCGAGGTGTCAGCGGGATGTGAGGCATTCCGTCAAAGTGAGGCAGGGACCTAGGGCTTTCTCTAAGGTCTCCACAGGGGATTCAGACATCCCTTCATTTTGTGAGATGAAAGACGAGCCTGTATTCAAGCCACTGCAAGGAAATCCGGCCTCCTTTCAAGTTAGGGCTTCTCGCTGTATATTCCCCTTGAGGCAGCAAACTCGGGGTTCCTCCCACATACCTATTGCTGAGACAGCCTCCTCTTGAGGTGCTTCTGGAAAGTTGGCATACGTCTTGAGCCTAAGCCAGGGAATCAGCTCTCATCTCGAGACGATTTGGGGTACACGGAGCATTCCTCGAGTTGCTGTGCTGAAGTTGGTGTTTCTCTAGACTTCGGACAGTGTTCTCGGGGCATCACTGGAGTTGCCTGAAGGAAGTCGAGATACTGGTCGTGTTGAATGGGGAACGGGGAATGGCTCTGGAGTCAATGCAGGGGAATCGGGCCTCATCTCGAGTTGATTTGTGGCACATGGAGATGCTTTGCGTTGCTGGGGTGACCTCAGGGTCCGTCTAGACTGGTGACAGTGTTCTTGGGGACTGTCTCGAGATCCATTAAGCAAGTCGAAGCTCCTGACTTGTTTGAATGGGATCACGGAATAGCTCTGCATGCACTGCAGGGGAATGGGGCCTCATCTCGCCTCTAGGGGGAAGTCTCATGGTTTTTCTCGAGTTGCGGCGGGGACCTGGGGTATGTTCTCGACTTACGGCGGGGATGGCCCTTCAAAACACGAGTTTCTTCAGTGACGTCAGGACTCCTGTCTAGTAACGAGGGACACCTCAGGAAACACTTCGAGGCTTGGCAGGGCAAAAGGGACTCTTCTCGAGGTGAGGCAGGGCACCCAAGGACCCTTTTCAGTAGCCACAGGGATTTTGGGATTCCTATCAGTATTCAAGAGGAGTCAGGCATCGTCACCTTTTGAAGCAATGAACTCCGCGTGCCTCTCGAGGTGTCAACGGGATGTGAGGCATTCCGTCAAAGTGAGGCAGGGACCTAGGGCTTTCTCTAAGGTCTCCACAGGGGATTCAGACATCCCTTCATGTTGTGAAATGAAACACGAGCCTGTATTCAAGCCACTGCAAGGAAATCCGGCCTCCTTTCAAGTTAGGGCTTCTCGCTGTATATTGCCCTTGAGGCAGCAAACTCGGGGTCCCTCCCACATACCTATTGCTGAGACAGCCTCCTCCTGAGGTGCTTCTGGAAAGTTGGCATACGTCTTGAGCCTAAGCCAGGGAATCAGCTCTCATCTCGAGACGATTTGGGGTACACGGAGCATTCCTCGAGTTGCTGTGCTGAAGTTGGTGTTCCTCTAGACTTGGGACAGTGTTCTCGGGGCATCTCTGGAGTTGCCTGAAGGAAGTCGAGGCACCGGTCGTGTTGAATGGGGAACGAGAATGGCTATGGAGTCAAAGCAGGGGAATCGGGCCTCATCTCGAGTTGATTTGGGGCACATGGAGCTGCTTTGCGTTGCTGGGGTGACCTCAGAGTCCGTCTAGACTGATGACAGTGTTCTTGGGGACTCTCTCGAGATCCATTAAGCAAGTCGAAGCTCCTGACTTTTTTCAATGGGATCACGGAATAGCTCTGCATGCACTGCAGGGGAATTGTGCTTCATCTCGCCTGTAGGGGGAAGTCTCATGGTTTTTCTCGAGTTGCGGCGGGGACCTGGGGTATGTTCTCGGGTTACGGCGGGGATGGCCCTTCAAAACACGTGTTTATTCAGTGACGTCAGGACTCCTGTCTAGTAACGAGGGACACCTCAGGAATCTCTTCGAGGCTTGGCAGGGCAAAAGGGACGCTTCTCGAGGTGAGGCAGGGCACCCAAGGACCCTTTCCAGTAGCCACAGGGATTTTGGGATTCCTATCAGTATTCAAAAGGAGTCAGGCATCTTCACCTTTGAAGCACTGAACTCTGCGTGCCTCTCGAGGTGTCAACCGAATGAGGCATTCCGTCAAAATGAGGCAGGGACCTAGGCCTTTCTCTAAGGTCTCCACAGGGGATTCAGAAATCCCTTCATGTTTTGAGACCAAAGACGAGCCTATATTCAAGCCACTGCAAGGAAATCCGGCCTCCTTTCAAGTTAGGGCTTCTCGCTGTATATTCCACTTGAGGCAGCGATCTCGGGGTCCCTCCCACATACCTATTGCTGAGAGAAGCCTCCTCCTGAGGTGCTTCTGGAAAGTTGGCATACGTCTTGAGCCTAAGCCAGGGAATCAGCTCTCATCTCGAGACGATTTGGGGTACACGGAGCATTCCTCGAGTTGCTGTGCTGAAGTTGTTGTTCCTCTATACTTGGGACAGAGTTCTCGGGGCAACTCTGGCGTTGCCTGAAGGAAGTCGAGCCACCGGCCGTGTTGAAGGGGAACGGGAAATGGCTCTGGAGTCAATGCAGCGGAATCGGGCCTCATCTCGAGTTGATTTGGGGCACATGGAGCTGCTTTGCGTTGTTGGGGTGACTTCAGGGTCCGTCTAGACTGGTGACAGTGTTCTTGGGGACTCTCTCGAGATCCATTAAGCAAGTCGAAGCTCCTGACTTGTTTGAATGGGATCACGGAATAGCTCTGCATGCACTGCAGGGGAATGGGGCCTCATCTCGCCTCTAGGGAGAAGTCTCATGGTTTTTCTCGAGTTGCGGCGGGGACCTGGGGTATGTTCTCGACTTACGGCGGGGATGGCCCTTCAAAACACGAGTTTCTTTAGTGACGTCAGAACTCCAGTCTAGTAACGAGGGACACCTCAGGAATCTCTTCGAGGCTTGGCAGGGCAAAAGGGATGCTTCTCGAGGTGAGGCAGGGCACCCAAGGACCCTTTCCAGTAGCCACAGGGATTTTGGGACTCCTATCAGTATTCAAAACTAGTTAGGCATCGTCACATTTTGAAGCAATGAACTCCGCGTGCCTCTCGAGGTGTCAACGGGATGTGAGGCATTCCGTCAAAATGAGGCAGGGACCTAGGTCTTTTTCTAAGTCTCCAAAGGGGATTCGGACATCCCTTCAGGTTTTGAGATCAAAGACGAGCCTGTATTCAAGCCACTGCAAGGAAGTACGGCCTCCGTTCAAGTTAGGGCTTCTCGCGGTATATTCCCCTAGAGGCTGCAAACTCGGTGTCCCTCCCACATACCTATTGCTGTGAGAAGCCTCCTCCTGAGGTGCCTCTGGAAAGTTGGCATACATCTTGAGCCTAAGCCAGGGAATCAGCTCTCATCTCGAGACGATTTGGGTTACACGGAGCATTCCTCCAGTTGCTGTGCTGTAGTTGGTGTTCCTCTAGACTTGGAACAGTGTTCTCGGGGCATCTCTGGAGCTGCCTGAAGGAAGCCGATCCACTGGTCGTGTTGAATGGGGAATGGGGAATGGCTCTGGAGTCAATGCAGGGGAATCGGGCCTCATCTCGAGTTGATTTGGGGCACATGTTGCTAGTTTGCGTTGCTGGAGTGACCTCAGGGTCCGTCTAGACTGGTGACAGTGTTCTTGGGGACTGTCTCGAGATCCATTAAGCAATTCGAAGCTCCTGATTTGTTTGAATGGGATCACGGAATAGATCTGCATGCACTGCAGGGGAATGGGGCCTCATCTCGCCTCTAGAGGGAAGTCTCAAGGTTTTTCTCGAGTTGCGGCGGGGACCTGGGCTATGTTCTCGACTTACGGCGGGGATGGCCCTTCAAAACACGAGTTTCTTCAGTGACGTCAGGACTCCAGTCTAGTAAACAAGGACACCTCAGCAAACTCTTTCAGGCTTGGCAGGGCAAAAGGGACGCTTCTCGATTTGAGGCAGGGCACCCAAGGACCCTTTCCAGTAGCCACAGCGATTTTGGGATTCCTATCAGTATTCAAGAGGAGTCAGGCATCGTCACCTTTTGAAGCAATGAACTCCGCGTGCCTCTCGAGGTGTCAACGGGTTGTGAGGCATTCCGTCAAAATCAGGCAGGGACCTAGGGCTTTCTCTAAGGTCTCCACAGGGAATTCAGACATCCCTTCATGTTTTGAGATCAAAGACGAGCCTTTATGCAAGCCACTGCAAGGAAATCCGGCCTCCTTTCAATATAGGGCTTCTCGCTGTATATTCCCCTTGAAGCAGCGATCTTGGGGTCCCTCCCACATACCTATTGCTGAGAGAAGCCTCCTCCTGAGGTGCTTCTGGAAAGTTAGCATACGTCTTGAGCCTAAGGCAGGGAATCAGCTCTCATCTCGAGACGATTTGGTGTACATGGAGCATTCCTCGAGTTGCTGTGCTGAGGTTGGTGTTCCTCTAGACTTGGGACAGTGTTCTCGGGGCATCACTGGAGTTCCCTGAAGGAAGTCGAGCCACCGGTCGTGTTGAATGGGGAACGGGGAATTGCTCTGGAGTCAATGCAGGTGAATCGGGCCTCATCTCGTGTTGATTTGGGGCACATGGAGCTGCTTTGCGTTGCTGGGGTGACCTCAGGGTCCGTCTAGACTGGTGACAGTGTTCTTGGGGACTGTCTCGTGATCCATTAAGCAAGTCGAAGCTCCTGACTGGTTTGAATGGGATCACGGAATAGCTCTGCATGCACTGCATGGGAATGGGGCCTCATCTCGCCTCTAGGGGGACGTCTCATGGTTTTTCTCGAGTTGCGGCGGGGACCTGGGGTATGTTCTCGACTTACGGCGGGGATGGCCCTTCAAAACACGAGTTTCTTCAGTGACGTCAGGACTCCTGTCTAGTAACGAGGGACACCTCAGGAATCTCTTCGAGGCTTGCCAGGGCAAAAGGGACGCTTCTCGAGGTGAGGCAGGGCACCCAAGGACCCTTTCCAGTAGCCACAGGGATTTGGGGATTCCTATCAGTATTCAAGAAGAGTCAGGCATCGTCCCTTTTGAAGCAATGAACTCCGCGTGCCTCTCGAGGTGTCAGCGGGATGTGAGGCATTCCGTCAAAATGAGGCAGGGACCTAGGGCTTTCTCTAAGGTCTCCACAGGGGATTCAGACATCCCTTCATGTTGTGAAATGAAACAGGAGCCTGTATTCAAGCCACTGCAAGGAAATCCGGCCTCCTTTCAAGTTAGGGCTTCTCGCTGTATATTCCCCTTGAGGCAGCAAACTCGGGGTCCCTCCCACATACCTATTACTGAGACAGCCTCCTCCTGAGGTGCTTCTGGAAAGTTGGCATACGTCTTGAGCCTAAGCCAGGGAATCAGCTCTCATCTCGAGACGATTTGGGGTACACGGAGCATTCCTCGAGTTGCTGTGCTGAAGTTGGTGTTTCTCTAGACTTGGGACAGTGTTCTCGGGGCATCACTGGAGTTGCCTGAAGGAAGTCGAGACACTGGTCGTATTGAATGGGGAACGGGGAATGGCTCTGGAATCAATGCAGGGGAATCGGGCCTCATCTGGAGTTGATTTGTGGCACATGGAGCTGCTTTGCGTTGCTGGGGTGACCTCAGGGTCCGTCTAGACTGGTGACAGTGTTCTTGGAGACTGTCTCGAGATCCATTAAGCAAGTCGAAGCTCCTGACTTGTTTGAATGGGATCACGGAATAGCTCTGCATGCACTGCAGGGGAATGGGGCCTCATCTCGCCTCTAGGGGGAAGTCTCATGGTTTTTCTCGAGTTGCGGCAGGGACCTGGGGTATGTTCTCGACTTACGGCGGGGATGGCCCTTCAAAACACGAGTTTGTTCAGTGACGTCAGGACTCCTGTCTAGTAACGAGGGACACCTCAGGAATCTCTTCGAGGCTTGACAGGGCAAAAGGGACTCTTCTCGAGGTGAGGCAGGGCACCCAAGGACCCTTTCCAGTAGCCACAGGGATTTTGGGATTCCTATCGGTATTCAAGAGGAGTCAGGCATCGTCACCTTTTGAAGCAATGAACTCCTCGTGCCTCTCGAGGTGTCAGCGGGATGTGAGGCATTCCGTCAAAATGAGGCAGGGACCTAGGGCTTTCTCTAAGGTCTCCACAGGGGATTCAGACATCCCTTCATGTTGTGAAATGAAACACGAGCCTGTATTCAAGCCACTGCAAGGAAATCCGGCCTCCTTTCAAGTTAGGGCTTCTCGCTGTATATTGCCCTTGAGGCAGCAAACTCGGGGTCCCTCCCACATACCTATTGCTGAGACAGCCTCCTCCTGAGGTGCTTCTGGAAAGTTGGCATACGTCTTGAGCCTAAGCCAGGGAATCAGCTCTCATCTCGAGACGATTTGTGGTACACGGAGCATTCCTCGAGTTGCTGTGCTGAAGTTGGTGTTCCTCCAGACTTGGGACAGTGTTCTCGGGGCATCTCTGGAGTTGCCTGAAGGAAGTCGAGCCACCGGTCGTGTTGAATGGGGAACGAGAATGGCTATGGAGTAATGCAGGGGAATCGGGCCTCATCTCGAGTTGATTTGGGGCACATGGAACTGCTTTGCGTTGCTGGGGTGACCTCAGAGTCCGTCTAGACTGGTGACAGTGTTCTTGGGGACTCTCTCGAGATCCATTAAGCAAGTCGAAGCTCCTGACTTGTTTGAATGGGATCACGGAATAGCTCTGCATGCACTGCAGGGGAATGGGGCCTCATCTCGCCTCTAGGGGGAAGTCTCATGGTTTTTCTCGAGTTGCGGCGGGGACCTGGGGTATGTTCTCGACTTACGGCGGGGATGGCCCTTCAAAACACGAGTTTCTTCAGTGACGTCAGGACTCCTGTCTAGTAACGAGGGACACCTCAGGAATCTCTTCGAGGCTTGGCAGGGCCAAAGGGACGCTTCTCGAGGTGAGGCAGGGCACCCAAGGACCCTTTCCAGTAGCCACAGGGATTTTGGGATTCCTATCAGTATTCAAGAGGAGTCAGGCATCGTCACCTTTTGAAGCAATGAACTCCGCGTGCCTCTCGAGGTGTCAGCGGGATGTGAGGCATTCCGTCAAAGTGAGGCAGGGACCTAGGGCTTTCTCTAAGGTCTCCACAGTGGATTCAGACATCCCTTCATGTTGTGAAATGAAACACGAGCCTGTATTCAAGCCACTGCAAGGAAATCCGGCCTCCTTTCAAGTTAGGGCTTCTCGCTGTATATTCCCCTTGAGGCAGCAAACTCGGGGTCCCTCCCACATACCTATTGCTGAGACAGCCTCCTCCTGAGGTGCTTCTGGAAAGTTGGCATACGTCTTGAGCCTAAGCCAGGGAATCAGCTCTCATCTCGAGACGATTTGGGGTACACGGAGCATTCCTCGAGTTGCTGTGCTAAAGTTGGTGTTTCTCTAGACTTGGGACAGTGTTCTCGGGGCATCACTGGAGTTGCCTGAAGGAAGTCGAGACACTGGTCGTGTTGAATGGGGAACGGGGAATCGCTCTGGAGTCAATGCAGGGGAATCGGGCCTCATCTCGAGTTGATTTGTGGCACATGGAGCTGCTTTGCGTTGCTTGGGTGACCTCAGGGTCCGTCTAGACTGGTGACAGTGTTCTTGGGGACTGTCTCGAGATCCATTAAGCAAGTCGAAGCTCCTGACTTGTTTGAATGGGATCACGGAATAGCTCTGCATGCACTGCAGGGGAATGGGGCCTCATCTCGCCTCTAGGGGGAAGTCTCATGGTTTTTCTCGATTTGCGGCGGGGACCTGGGGTATGTTCTCGACTTACGGCGGGGATGGCCCTTCAAAACACGAGTTTCTTCAGTGACGTCAGGACTCCTGTCTAGTAACGAGGGACACCTCAGGAATCTCTTTGAGGCTTGGCACGGCAAAAGGGACGCTTCTCGAGGTGAGGCAGGGCAACCAAGGACCCTTTCCAGTAGCCACAGGGATTTTGGGATTCCTATCATTATTCAAGAGCAGTCAGGCATCGTCACCTTTTGAAGCAATGAACTCCGCGTGCCTCTCGAGGTGTCAACGGTATGTGAGGCATTCCGTCAAAATGAGGCAGGGACCTAGGGCTTTCTCTAAGTTCTCCACAGAGGATTCAGACATCCCTTCATGTTGTGAAATGAAACAAGAGCCTGTATTCAAGACACTGCAAAGAAATCTGGCCTCCTTTCAAGTTAGGGCTTCTCGCTGTATATTCCCCTTGAGGCAGCAAACTCGGGGTCCCTCCCACATACCTATTGCTGAGAGAAGCCTCCTCCTGAGGTGCTTCTGGAAAGTTGGCATATGTCTTAAGTCTAAGCCAGGGAATCAGCTCTCATCTCGAGACGATTTGGGGTACACGGAGCATTCCTCGAGTTGCTGTGCTGAAGTTGGTGTTCCTCTAGACTTGGGCCAGTGTTCTCGGGGCATCTCTGGAGTTGCCTGAAGGAAGTCGAGCCACCGGTCTTGTTGAATGGGGAAAGGGAATGGCTATGGAGTCAATGCAGGGGAATCGGGCCTCATCTCGAGTTGATTTGGGGCACATGGAGCTCCTTTGCGTTGCTGGGGTGACCTCAGGGTCCGTCTAGACTGGTGACAGTGTTCCTGGGTACTCTCTCGAGATCCATTAAGCAAGTCGAAGCTCCTGACTTATTTCAATGGGATCACGGAATACCTCTGCATGCACTGCAGGGGAATGGGGCCTCACCTCGCCTCTAGAGGGAAGTCTCATGGTTTTTCTCGAGTTGCGGCGGGGACCTGGGGTATGTTCTCGACTTACGGCGGGGATGGCCCTTCAAAACACGAGTTTCTTCAGTGACGTCAGGACTCCTGTCTAGTAACGAAAGACACCTCATGACTCTCTTCGAGGCTTGGCAGGGCCAAAGGGACGCTTCTCGAGGTGAGGCAGGGCACCCAAGGACCCTTTCCAGTAGCCACAGGGATTTTGGGATTCCTATCAGTATTCAAGAGGAGTCAGGCATCGTCACCTTTTGAAGCAATGAACTCCGCGTGCCTCTCGAGGTGTCAGCGGGATGTGAGGCATTCCGTCAAAGTGAGGCAGGGACCTAGGGCTTTCTCTAAGGTCTCCACAGTGGATTCAGACATCCCTTCATGTTGTGAAATGAAACACGAGCCTGTATTCAAGCCACTGCAAGGAAATCCGGCCTCCTTTCAAGTTAGGGCTTCTCGCTGTATATTCCCCTTGAGGCAGCAAACTCGGGGTCCCTCCCACATACCTATTGCTGAGACAGCCTCCTCCTGAGGTGCTTCTGGAAAGTTGGCATACGTCTTGAGCCTAAGCCAGGGAATCAGCTCTCATCTCGAGACAATTTGGGGTACACGGAGCATTCCTCGAGTTGCTGTGCTAAAGTTGGTGTTTCTCTAGACTTGGGACAGTGTTCTCGGGGCATCACTGGAGTTGCCTGAAGGAAGTCGAGACACTGGTCGTGTTGAATGGGGAACGGGGAATCGCTCTGGAGTCAATGCAGGGGAATCGGGCCTCATCTCGAGTTGATTTGTGGCACATGGAGCTGCTTTGCGTTGCTTGGGTGACCTCAGGGTCCGTCTAGACTGGTGACAGTGTTCTTGGGGACTGTCTCGAGATCCATTAAGCAAGTCGAAGCTCCTGACTTGTTTGAATGGGATCACGGAATAGCTCTGCATGCACTGCAGGGGAATGGGGCCTCATCTCGCCTCTAGGGGGAAGTCTCATGGTTTTTCTCGATTTGCGGCGGGGACCTGGGGTATGTTCTCGACTTACGGCGGGGATGGCCCTTCAAAACACGAGTTTCTTCAGTGACGTCAGGACTCCTGTCTAGTAACAAGGGACACCTCAGGAATCTCTTTGAGGCTTGGCACGGCAAAAGGGACGCTTCTCGAGGTGAGGCAGGGCAACCAAGGACCCTTTCCAGTAGCCACAGGGATTTTGGGATTCCTATCATTATTCAAGAGGAGTCAGGCATCGTCACCTTTTGAAGCAATGAACTCCGCGTGCCTCTCGAGGTGTCAACGGTATGTGAGGCATTCCGTCAAAATGAGGCAGGGACCTAGGGCTTTGTCTAAGGTCTCCACAGAGGATTCAGACATCCCTTCATGTTGTGAAATGAAACAAGAGCCTGTATTCAAGACACTGCAAAGAAATCCGGCCTCCTTTCAAGTTAGGGCTTCTCGCTGTATATTCCCCTTGAGGCAGCAAACTCGGGGTCCCTCCCACATACCTATTGCTGAGAGAAGCCTCCTCCTGAGGTGCTTCTGGAAAGTTGGCATATGTCTTAAGTCTAAGCCAGGGAATCAGCTCTCATCTCGAGACGATTTGGGGTACACGGAGCATTCCTCGAGTTGCTGTGCTGAAGTTAGTGTTCCTCTAGACTTGGGCCAGTGTTCTCGGGGCATCTCTGGAGTTGCCTGAAGGAAGTCGAGCCACCGGTCTTGTTGAATGGGGAACGGGAATGGCTATGGAGTCAATGCAGGGGAATCGGGCCTCATCTCGAGTTGATTTGGGGCACATGGAGCTGCTTTGCGTTGCTGGGGTGACCTCAGGGTCCGTCTAGACTGGTGACAGTGTTCCTGGGTACTCTCTCGAGATCCATTAAGCAAGTCGAAGCTCCTGACTTGTTTCAATGGGATCACGGAATACCTCTGCATGCACTGCAGGGGAATGGAGCCTCATCTCGCCTCTAGGGTGAAGTCTCATGGTTTTTCTCGAGTTGCGGCGGGAACCTGGGGTATGTTCTCGACTTACGGCGGGGATGGCCCTTCAAAACACGTGTTTATTCAGTGACGTCAGGACTCCTGTCTAGTAATGAGGGACACCTCAGGAATCTCTTCGAGGCTTGGCAGGGCAAAAGGGACGCTTCTCGAGGTGAGGCAGGGCACCCAAGGACCCTTTCCAGTAGCCACAGGGATTTTGGGATTCCTATCAGTATTCAAAAGGAGTCAGGCATCGTCACCTTTTGAAGCACTGAACTCTGCGTGCCTCTCGAGGTGTCAACCGAATGTGAGGCATTCCGTCAAAATGAGGCAGGGACCTAGGGCTTTCTCTAAGGTCTCCACAGTGGATTCAGAAATCCCTTCATGTTTTGAGACCAAAGACGAGCCTATATTCAAGCCACTGCAAGGAAATCCGGCCTCCTTTCAAGTTAGGGCTTCTCGCTGTATATTCCACTTGAGGCAGCGATCTCGGGGTCCCTCCCACATACCTATTGCTGAGAGAAGCCTCCTCCTGAGGTGCTTCTGGAAAGTTGGCATACGTCTTGAGCCTAAGCCAGGGAATCAGCTCTCATCTCGAGACGATTTGGGGTACACGGAGCATTCCTTGAGTTGCTGTGCTGAAGTTGGTGTTCCTCTAGGCTTGGGATAATGTTCTCGGGGCATCTCTGGAGTTGCCTGAAGGAAGTCGACCCACCGGTCGTGTTGAATGGGGAACGGGGAATGGCTCTGGAGTCAATGCAGGGGAATCGGGCCTCATCTCGAGTTGATTTGGGGCACATGGAGCTGCTTTGCGTTGCTGGGGTGACCTCAGGGTCCGTCTAGACTGGTGACAGTGTTCTTGGGGACTGTCTCGAGATCCATTAAGCAAGTCGAAGCTCCTGACTTGTTTGAATGGGATCACGGAATAGCTCTGCATGCACTGCAGGGGAATGGGGCCTCATCTCGCCTCTAGGGGGAAGTCTCATGGTTTTTCTCGATTTGCGGCGGGGACCTGGGGTATGTTCTCGACTTACGGCGGGGATGGCCCTTCAAAACACGAGTTTCTTCAGTGACGTCAGGACTCCTGTCTAGTAACGAGGGACACCTCAGGAATCTCTTTGAGGCTTGGCACGGCAAAAGGGACACTTCTCGAGGTGAGGCAGGGCAACCAAGGACACTTTCCAGTAGCCACATGGATTTTGGGATTCCTATCATTATTCAAGAGCAGTCAGGCATCGTCACCTTTTGAAGCAATGAACTCCGCGTGCCTCTCGAGGTGTCAACGGTATGTGAGGCATTCCGTCAAAATGAGGCAGGGACCTAGGGCTTTCTCTAAGTTCTCCACAGAGGATTCAGACATCCCTTCATGTTGTGAAATGAAACAAGAGCCTGTATTCAAGACACTGCAAAGAAATCCGGCCTCCTTTCAAGTTAGGGCTTCTCGCTGTATATTCCCCTTGAGGCAGCAAACTCGGGGTCCCTCCCACATACCTATTGCTGAGAGAAGCCTCCTCCTGAGGTGCTTCTGGAAAGTTGGCATATGTCTTAAGTCTAAGCCAGGGAATCAGCTCTCATCTCGAGACGATTTGGGGTACACGGAGCATTCCTCGAGTTGCTGTGCTGAAGTTGGTGTTCCTCTAGACTTGGGCCAGTGTTCTCGGGGCATCTCTGGAGTTGCCTGAAGGAAGTCGAGCCACCGGTCTTGTTGAATGGGGAAAGGGAATGGCTATGGAGTCAACGCAGGGGAATCGGGCCTCATCTCGAGTTGATTTGGGGCACATGGAGCTGCTTTGCGTTGCTGGGGTGACCTCAGGGTCCGTCTAGACTGGTGACAGTGTTCTTGGGGACTGTCTCGAGATCCATTAAGCAAGTCGAAGCTCCTGACTTGTTTGAAAGGGATCACGGAATAGCTCTGCATGCACTGCAGGGGAATGGGGCCTCATCTCGCCTCTAGGGGGAAGTCTCATGGTTTTTCTCGATTTGCGGCGGGGACCTGGGGTATGTTCTCGACTTACGGCGGGGATGGCCCTTCAAAACACGAGTTTCTTCAGTGACGTCAGGACTCCTGTCTAGTAACAAGGGACACCTCAGGAATCTCTTTGAGGCTTGGCACGGCAAAAGGGACGCTTCTCGAGGTGAGGCAGGGCAACCAAGGACCCTTTCCAGTAGCCACAGGGATTTTGGGATTCCTATCATTATTCAAGAGGAGTCAGGCATCGTCACCTTTTGAAGCAATGAACTCCGCGTGCCTCTCGAGGTGTCAACGGTATGTGAGGCATTCCGTCAAAATGAGGCAGGGACCTAGGGCTTTGTCTAAGGTCTCCACAGTGGATTCAGAAATCCCTTCATGTTTTGAGACCAACGACGAGCCTATATTCAAGCCACTGCAAGGAAATCCGGCCTCCTTTCAAGTTAGGGCTTCTCGCTGTATATTCCACTTGAGGCAGCGATCTCGGGGTCCCTCCCACATACCTATTGCTGAGCGAAGCCTCCTCCTGAGGTGCTTCTGGAAAGTTGGCATACGTCTTGAGCCTAAGCCAGGGAATCAGCTCTCATCTCGAGACGATTTGGGGTACACGGAGCATTCCTTGAGTTGCTGTGCTGAAGTTGGTGTTCCTCTAGGCTTGGGATAGTGTTCTCGGGGCATCTCTGGAGTTGCCTGAAGGAAGTCGACCCACCGGTCGTGTTGAATGGGGAACGGGGAATGGCTCTGGAGTCAATGCAGGGGAATCGGGCCTCATCTCGAGTTGATTTGGGGCACATGGAGCTGCTTTGCGTTGCTGGGGTGACCTCAGGGTCCGTCTAGACTGGTGACAGTGTTCTTGGGGACTGTCTCGAGATTCATTAAGCAAGTCGAAGCTCCTGATTTGTTTGAATGGGATCACGGAATAGCTCTGCCTGCACTGCAGGGGATTTGGGCCTCATCTCGCCTCTAGGGGGAAGTCTCATGGTTTTTCTCGAGTTGCGGCAGTGACCTGGGGTATGTTCTAGACTTACGGCGGGGATGGCCCTTCAAAACACGAGTTTCTTCAGTGACGTCAGGACTCCTGTCTAGTAATGAGGGACACTTCAGGAATCTCTTCGAGGCTTGGCAGGGCAAACGGGACGCTTCTCGAGGTGAGGCAGGGCACCCCAGGACCCTTTCCAGTAGCCACAGGGATTTTGGGATTCCTATCAGTATTCAAGTGGAGTCAGGCATCTTCACCTTTTGAAGCAATGAACTCCGCGTGCCTCTCGAGGTGTCAACGGGATGTGAGGCATTCCGTCAAAATGAGGCAGGGACCTAGGGCTTTCTCTAAGGTCTCCACAGGGGATTAAGACATCCCTTCATGTTGTGAGATGAAAGACGAGCCTGTATTCAAGCCACTGCAAGGAAATCTGGCCTCCTTTCAAGTTAGGGTTTCTCGCTGTATATTGCCCTTGAGGCAGCAAACTCGGGGTCCCTCCCACATAACTATTGCTGAGACAGCCTCCTCCTGAGGTGCTTCTGGAAAGTTGGCATCCGTCTTGAGCCTAAGCCAGGGAATCAGCTCTCATCTCGAGACGATTTGGGGTACACGGAGCATTCCTCGAGTTGCTGTGCTGAAGTTGGTGTTCCTCCAGACTTGGGACAGTGTTCTCGGGGCATCTCTGGAGTTGCCTGAAGGAAGTCGAGCCACCGGCCGTGTTGAATGGGGAACGGGAAATGGCTCTGGAGTCAATGCAGGGGAATCGGGCCTCATCTCGAGTTGATTTGTGGCACATGGAGCTGCTTTGCGTTGTTGGGGTGACTTCAGGGTCCGTCTAGACTGGTGACAGTGTTCTTGGGGACTCTCTCGAGATCCATTAAGCAAGTCGAAGCTCCTGACTGGTTTGAATGGGATCACGGAATAGCTCTGCATGCACTGCAGCGGAATGGGGCCTCATCTCGCCTCTAGGGAGAAGTCTCATGGTTTTTCTCGAGTTGCGGCGGGGACCTGGGGTATGTTCTCGACTTACGGCGGGGATGGCCCTTCAAAACACGAGTATCTTTAGTGACGTCAGGACTCCAGTCTAGTAACGAGGGACACCTCAGGAATCTCTTCGAGGCTTGGCAGGGCAAAAGGGATGCTTCTCGAGGTGAGGCAGGGCACCCAAGGACCCTTTCCAGTAGCCACAGGGATTTTGGGATTCCTATCAGTATTCAAAAGGAGTTAGGCATCGTCACATTTTGAAGCAATGAACTCCGCGTGCCTCTCGAGGTGTCAACGGGATGTGAGGCATTCCGTCAAAATGAGGCAGGGACCTAGGTCTTTTTCTAAGTCTCCAAAGGGGATTCAGACATCCCTTCAGGTTTTGAGATCAAAGACGAGCCTGTATTCAAGCCACTGCAAGGAAGTACGGCCTCCGTTCAAGTTAGGGCTTCTCGCTGTATATTCCACTTGAGGCAGCGATCTCGGGGTCTCTCCCACATACCTATTGCTGAGAGAAGCCTCCTCCTGAGGTGCCTCTGGAAAGTTGGCATACATCTTGAGCCTAAGCCAGGGAATCAGCTCTCATCTCGAGACGATTTGGGTTACACGGAGCATTCCTCCAGTTGCTGTGCTGTAGTTGGTGTTCCTCTAGACTTGGAACAGTGTTCTCGGGGCATCTCTGGAGCTGCCTGAAGGAAGCCGATCCACTGGTCGTGTTGAATGGGGAATGGGGAATGGCTCTGGAGTCAATGCAGGGGAATCGGGCCTCATCTCGAGTTGATTTGGGGCACATGTTGCTAGTTTGCGTTGCTGGAGTGACCTCAGGGTCCGTCTAGACTGGTGACAGTGTTCTTGGGGACTGTCTCGAGATCCATTAAGCAATTCGAAGCTCCTGATTTGTTTGAATGGGATCACGGAATAGATCTGCATGCACTGCAGGGGAATGGGGCCTCATCTCGCCTCTAGAGGGAAGTCTCAAGGTTTTTCTCGAGTTGCGGCGGGGACCTGGGCTATGTTCTCGACTTACGGCGGGGATGGCCCTTCAAAACACGAGTTTCTTCAGTGACGTCAGGACTCCAGTCTAGTAAACAAGGACACCTCAGCAAACTCTTTCAGGCTTGGCAGGGCAAAAGGGACGCTTCTCGATTTGAGGCAGGGCACCCAAGGACCCATTCCAGTAGCCACAGCGATTTTGGGATTCCTATCAGTATTCAAGAGGAGTCAGGCATCGTCACCTTTTGAAGCAATGAACTCCGCGTGCCTCTCGAGGTGTCAACGGGTTGTGAGGCATTCCGTCAAAATCAGGCAGGGACCTAGGGCTTTCTCTAAGGTCTCCACAGGGAATTCAGACATCCCTTCATGTTTTGAGATCAAAGACGAGCCTTTATGCAAGCCACTGCAAGGAAATCCGGCCTCCTTTCAATATAGGGCTTCTCGCTGTATATTCCCCTTGAAGCAGCGATCTTGGGGTCCCTCCCACATACCTATTGCTGAGAGAAGCCTCCTCCTGAGGTGCTTCTGGAAAGTTAGCATACGTCTTGAGCCTAAGGCAGGGAATCAGCTCTCATCTCGAGACGATTTGGTGTACATGGAGCATTCCTCGAGTTGCTGTGCTGAGGTTGGTGTTCCTCTAGACTTGGGACAGTGTTCTCGGGGCATCACTGGAGTTCCCTGAAGGAAGTCGAGCCACCGGTCGTGTTGAATGGGGAACGGGGAATTGCTCTGGAGTCAATGCAGGTGAATCGGGCCTCATCTCGTGTTGATTTGGAGCACATGGAGCTGCTTTGCGTTGCTGGGGTGACCTCAGGGTCCGTCTAGACTGGTGACAGTGTTCTTGGGGACTGTCTCGTGATCCATTAAGCAAGTCGAAGCTCCTGACTGGTTTGAATAGGATCACGGAATAGCTCTGCATGCACTGCATGGGAATGGGGCCTCATCTCGCCTCTAGGGGGACGTCTCATGGTTTTTCTCGAGTTGCGGCGGGGACCTGGGGTATGTTCTCGACTTACGGCGGGGATGGCCCTTCAAAACACGAGTTTCTTCAGTGACATCAGGACTCCTGTCTAGTAACGAGGGACACCTCAGGAATCTCTTCGAGGCTTGCCAGGGCAAAAGGGACGCTTCTCGAGGTGAGGCAGGGCACCCAAGGACCCTTTCCAGTAGCCACAGGGATTTGGGGATTCCTATCAGTATTCAAGAAGAGTCAGGCATCGTCCCTTTTGAAGCAATGAACTCCGCGTGCCTCTCGAGGTGTCAGCGGGATGTGAGGCATTCCGTCAAAATGAGGCAGGGACCTAGGGCTTTCTCTAAGGTCTCCACAGGGGATTCAGACATCCCTTCATGTTGTGAAATGAAACAGGAGCCTGTATTCAAGCCACTGCAAGGAAATCCGGCCTCCTTTCAAGTTAGGGCTTCTCGCTGTATATTCCCCTTGAGGCAGCAAACTCGGGGTCCCTCCCACATACCTATTACTGAGACAGCCTCCTCCTGAGGTGCTTCTGGAAAGTTGGCATACGTCTTGAGCCTAAGCCAGGGAATCAGCTCTCATCTCGAGACGATTTGGGGTACACGGAGCATTCCTCGAGTTGCTGTGCTGAAGTTGGTGTTTCTCTAGACTTGGGACAGTGTTCTCGGGGCATCACTGGAGTTGCCTGAAGGAAGTCGAGACACTGGTCGTGTTGAATGGGGAACGGGGAATGGCTCTGGAGTCAATGCAGGGGAATCGGGCCTCATCTGGAGTTGATTTGTGGCACATGGAGCTGCTTTGCGTTGCTGGGGTGACCTCAGGGTCCGTCTAGACTGGTGACAGTGTTCTTGGAGACTGTCTCGAGATCCATTAAGCAAGTCGAAGCTCCTGACTTGTTTGAATGGGATCACGGTATAGCTCTGCATGCACTGCAGGGAAATGGGGCCTCATCTCGCCTCTAGGGGGAAGTCTCATGGTTTTTCTCGAGTTGCGGCGGGGACCTGGGGTATGTTCTCGACTTACGGCGGGGATGGCCCTTCAAAACACGAGTTTGTTCAGTGACGTCAGGACTCCTGTCTAGTAACGAGGGACACCTCAGGAATCTCTTCGAGGCTTGACAGGGCAAAAGGGACTCTTCTCGAGGTGAGGCAGGGCACCCAAGGACCCTTTCCAGTAGCCACAGGGATTTTGGGATTCCTATCGGTATTCAAGAGGAGTCAGGCATCGTCACCTTTTGAAGCAATGAACTCCTCGTGCCTCTCGAGGTGTCAGCGGGATGTGAGGCATTCCGTCAAAATGAGGCAGGGACCTAGGGCTTTCTCTAAGGTCTCCACAGGGGATTCAGACATCCCTTCATGTTGTGAAATGAAACACGAGCCTGTATTCAAGCCACTGCAAGGAAATCCGGCCTCCTTTCAAGTTAGGGCTTCTCGCTGTATATTGCCCTTGAGGCAGCAAACTCGGGGTCCCTCCCACATACCTATTGCTGAGACAGCCTCCTCCTGAGGTGCTTCTGGAAAGTTGGCATACGTCTTGAGCCTAAGCCAGGGAATCAGCTCTCATCTCGAGACGATTTGGGGTACACGGAGCATTCCTCGAGTTGCTGTGCTGAAGTTGGTGTTCCTCCAGACTTGGGACAGTGTTCTCAGGGCATCTCTGGAGTTGCCTGAAGGAAGTCGAGCCACCGGTCGTGTTGAATGGGGAACGAGAATGGCTATGGAGTAATGCAGGGGAATCGGGCCTCATCTCGAGTTGATTTGGGGCACATGGAACTGCTTTGCGTTGCTGGGGTGACCTCAGAGTCCGTCTAGACTGGTGACAGTGTTCTTGGGGACTCTCTCGAGATCCATTAAGCAAGTCGAAGGTCCTGACTTGTTTGAATGGGATCACGGAATAGCTCTGCATGCACTGCAGGGGAATGGGGCCTCATCTCGCCTCTAGGGGGAAGTCTCATGGTTTTTCTCGAGTTGCGGCGGGGACCTGGGGTATGTTCTCGACTTACGGCGGGGATGGCCCTTCAAAACACGAGTTTCTTCAGTGACGTCAGGACTCCTGTCTAGTAACGAGGGACACCTCAGGAATCTCTTCGAGGCTTGGCAGGGCCAAAGGGACGCTTCTCGAGGTGAGGCAGGGCACCCAAGGACCCTTTCCAGTAGCCACAGGGATTTTGGGATTCCTATCAGTATTCAAGAGGAGTCAGGCATCGTCACCTTTTGAAGCAATGAACTCCGCGTGCCTCTCGAGGTGTCAGCGGGATGTGAGGCATTCCGTCAAAGTGAGGCAGGGACCTAGGGCTTTCTCTAAGGTCTCCACAGTGGATTCAGACATCCCTTCATGTTGTGAAATGAAACACGAGCCTGTATTCAAGCCACTGCAAGGAAATCCGGCCTCCTTTCAAGTTAGGGCTTCTCGCTGTATATTCCCCTTGAGGCAGCAAACTCGGGGTCCCTCCCACATACCTATTGCTGAGACAGCCTCCTCCTGAGGTGCTTCTGGAAAGTTGGCATACGTCTTGAGCCTAAGCCAGGGAATCAGCTCTCATCTCGAGACGATTTGGGGTACACGGAGCATTCCTCGAGTTGCTGTGCTAAAGTTGGTGTTTCTCTAGACTTGGGACAGTGTTCTCGGGGCATCACTGGAGTTGCCTGAAGGAAGTCGAGACACTGGTCGTGTTGAATGGGGAACGGGGAATCGCTCTGGAGTCAATGCAGGGGAATCGGGCCTCATCTCGAGTTGATTTGTGGCACATGGAGCTGCTTTGCGTTGCTTGGGTGACCTCAGGGTCCGTCTAGACTGGTGACAGTGTTCTTGGGGACTGTCTCGAGATCCATTAAGCAAGTCGAAGCTCCTGACTTGTTTGAATGGGATCACGGAATAGCTCTGCATGCACTGCAGGGGAATGGGGCCTCATCTCGCCTATAGGGGGAAGTCTCATGGTTTTTCTCGATTTGCGGCGGGGACCTGGGGTATGTTCTCGACTTACGGCGGGGATGGCCCTTCAAAACACGAGTTTCTTCAGTGACGTCAGGACTCCTGTCTAGTAACGAGGGACACCTCAGGAATCTCTTTGAGGCTTGGCACGGCAAAAGGGACGCTTCTCGAGGTGAGGCAGGGCAACCAAGGACCCTTTCCAGTAGCCACAGGGATTTTGGGATTCCTATCATTATTCAAGAGCAGTCAGGCATCGTCACCTTTTGAAGCAATGAACTCCGCGTGCCTCTCGAGGTGTCAACGGTATGTGAGGCATTCCGTCAAAATGAGGCAGGGACCTAGGGCTTTCTCTAAGTTCTCCACAGAGGATTCAGACATCCCTTCATGTTGTGAAATGAAACAAGAGCCTGTATTCAAGACACTGCAAAGAAATCCGGCCTCCTTTCAAGTTAGGGCTTCTCGCTGTATATTCCCCTTGAGGCAGCAAACTCGGGGTCCCTCCCACATACCTATTGCTGAGAGAAGCCTCCTCCTGAGGTGCTTCTGGAAAGTTGGCATATGTCTTAAGTCTAAGCCAGGGAATCAGCTCTCATCTCGAGACGATTTGGGGTACACGGAGCATTCCTCGAGTTGCTGTGCTGAAGTTGGTGTTCCTCTAGACTTCGGCCAGTGTTCTCGGGGCATCTCTGGAGTTGCCTGAAGGAAGTCGAGCCACCGGTCTTGTTGAATGGGGAAAGGGAATGGCTATGGAGTCAATGCAGGGGAATCGGGCCTCATCTCGAGTTGATTTGGGGCACATGGAGCTGCTTTGCGTTGCTGGGGTGACCTCAGGGTCCGTCTAGACTGGTGACAGTGTTCCTGGGTACTCTCTCGAGATCCATTAAGCAAGTCGAAGCTCCTGACTTATTTCAATGGGATCACGGAATACCTCTGCATGCACTGCAGGGGAATGGGGCCTCATCTCGCCTCTAGAGGGAAGTCTCATGGTTTTTCTCGAGTTGCGGCGGGGACCTGGGGTATGTTCTCGACTTACGGCGGGGATGGCCCTTCAAAACACGAGTTTCTTCAGTGACGTCAGGACTCCTGTCTAGTAACGAGGGACACCTCAGGAATCTCTTCGAGGCTTGGCAGGGCCAAAGGGACGCTTCTCGAGGTGAGGCAGGGCACCCAAGGACCCTTTCCAGTAGCCACAGGGATTTTGGGATTCCTATCAGTATTCAAGAGGAGTCAGGCATCGTCACCTTTTGAAGCAATGAACTCCGCGTGCCTCTCGAGGTGTCAGCGGGATGTGAGGCATTCCGTCAAAGTGAGGCAGGGACCTAGGGCTTTCTCTAAGGTCTCCACAGTGGATTCAGACATCCCTTCATGTTGTGAAATGAAACACGAGCCTGTATTCAAGCCACTGCAAGGAAATCCGGCCTCCTTTCAAGTTAGGGCTTCTCGCTGTATATTCCCCTTGAGGCAGCAAACTCGGGGTCCCTCCCACATACCTATTGCTGAGACAGCCTCCTCCTGAGGTGCTTCTGGAAAGTTGGCATACGTCTTGAGCCTAAGCCAGGGAATCAGCTCTCATCTCGAGACAATTTGGGGTACACGGAGCATTCGTCGAGTTGCTGTGCTAAAGTTGGTGTTTCTCTAGACTTGGGACAGTGTTCTCGGGGCATCACTGGAGTTGCCTGAAGGAAGTCGAGCCACCGGCCGTGTTGAATGGGGAACGGGAAATGGCTCTGGAGTCAATGCAGGGGAATCGGGCCTCATCTCGAGTTGATTTGTGGCACATGGAGCTGCTTTGCGTTGTTGGGGTGACTTCAGGGTCCGTCTAGACTGGTGACAGTGTTCTTGGGGACTCTCTCGAGATCCATTAAGCAAGTCGAAGCTCCTGATTTGTTTGAATGGGATCACGGAATAGCTCTGCCTGCACTGCAGGGGATTTGGGCCTCATCTCGCCTCTAGGGGGAAGTCTCATGGTTTTTCTCGAGTTGCGGCAGTGACCTGGGGTATGTTCTAGACTTACGGCGGGGATGGCCCTTCAAAACACGAGTTTCTTCAGTGACGTCAGGACTCCTGTCTAGTAATGAGGGACACTTCAGGAATCTCTTCGAGGCTTGGCAGGGCAAACGGGACGCTTCTCGAGGTGAGGCAGGGCACCCCAGGACCCTTTCCAGTAGCCACAGGGATTTTGGGATTCCTATCAGTATTCAAGTGGAGTCAGGCATCTTCACCTTTTGAAGCAATGAACTCCGCGTGCCTCTCGAGGTGTCAACGGGATGTGAGGCATTCCGTCAAAATGAGGCAGGGACCTAGGGCTTTCTCTAAGGTCTCCACAGTGGATTAAGACATCCCTTCATGTTGTGAGATGAAAGACGAGCCTGTATTCAAGCCACTGCAAGGAAATCTGGCCTCCTTTCAAGTTAGGGTTTCTCGCTGTATATTGCCCTTGAGGCAGCAAACTCGGGGTCCCTCCCACATAACTATTGCTGAGACAGCCTCCTCCTGAGGTGCTTCTGGAAAGTTGGCATCCGTCTTGAGCCTAAGCCAGGGAATCAGCTCTCATCTCGAGACGATTTGGGGTACACGGAGCATTCCTCGAGTTGCTGTGCTGAAGTTGGTGTTCCTCCAGACTTGGGACAGTGTTCTCGGGGCATCTCTGGAGTTGCCTGAAGGAAGTCGAGCCACCGGTCGTGTTGAATGGGGAACGAGAATGGCTATGGAGTAATCCAGGGGAATCGGGCCTCATCTCGAGTTGATTTGGGGCACATGGAGCTGCTTTGCATTGCAGGGGTGACCTCAGAGTCCGTCTAGACTGGTGACAGTGTTCTTGGGGACTCTCTCGAGATCCATTAAGCAAGTCGAAGCTCCTGACTTGTTTGAATGGGATCACGGAATAGCTCTGCATGCACTGCAGGGGAATGGGGCCTCATCTCGCCTCTAGGGGGAAGTCTCATGGTTTTTCTCGAGTTGCGGCGGGGACCTGGGGTATGTTCTCGACTTACGGCGGGGATGGCCCTTCAAAACACGAGTTTCTTCAGTGACGTCAGGACTCCTGTCTAGTAACGAGGGACACCTCAGGAATCTCTTCGAGGCTTGGCAGGGCAAAAGGGACGCTTCTCGAGGTGAGGCAGGGCACCCAAGGACCCTTTCCAGTAGCCACAGGGATTTTGGGATTCCTATCAGTATTCAAGAGGAGTCAGGCATCGTCACCTTTTGAAGCAATGAACTCCGCGTGCCTCTCGAGGTGTCAGCGGGATGTGAGGCATTCCGTCAAAGTGAGGCAGGGACCTAGGGCTTTCTCTAAGGTCTCCACAGTGGATTCAGACATCCCTTCATGTTGTGAAATGAAACACGAGCCTGTATTCAAGCCACTGCAAGGAAATCCGGCCTCCTTTCAAGTTAGGGCTTCTCGCTGTATATTCCCCTTGAGGCAGCAAACTCGGGGTCCCTCCCACATACCTATTGCTGAGACAGCCTCCTCCTGAGGTGCTTCTGGAAAGTTGGCATACGTCTTGAGCCTAAGCCAGGGAATCAGCTCTCATCTCGAGACGATTTGGGTTACACGCAGCATTCCTCGAGTTGCTGTGCTAAAGTTGGTGTTTCTCTAGACTTGGGACAGTGTTCTCGGGGCATCACTGGAGTTGCCTGAAGGAAGTCGAGACACTCGTCGTGTTGAATGGGGAACGGGGAATCGCTCTGGAGTCAATGCAGGGGAATCGGGCCTCATCTCGAGTTGATTTGTGGCACATGGAGCTGCTTTGCGTTGCTTGGGTGACCTCAGGGTCCGTCTAGACTGGTGACAGTGTTCTTGGGGACTGTCTCGAGATCCATTAAGCAAGTCGAAGCTCCTGACTTGTTTGAATGGGATCACGGAATAGCTCTGCATGCACTGCAGGGGAATGGGGCCTCATCTCGCCTCTAGGGGGAAGTCTCATGGTTTTTCTCGATTTGCGGCGGGGACCTGGGGTATGTTCTCGACTTACGGCGGGGATGGCCCTTCAAAACACGAGTTTCTTCAGTGACGTCAGGACTCCTGTCTAGTAACGAGGGACACCTCAGGAATCTCTTTGAGGCTTGGCACGGCAAAAGGGACGCTTCTCGAGGTGAGGCAGGGCAACCAAGGACCCTTTCCAGTAGCCACAGGGATTTTGGGATTCCTATCATTATTCAAGAGCAGTCAGGCATCGTCACCTTTTGAAGCAATGAAATCCGCGTGCCTCTCGAGGTGTCAACGGTATGTGAGGCATTCCGTCAAAATGAGGCAGGGACCTAGGGCTTTCTCTAAGGTCTCCACAGAGGATTCAGACATCCCTTCATGTTGTGAAATGAAACAAGAGCCTGTATTCAAGACACTGCAAAGAAATCCGGCCTCCTTTCAAGTTAGTGCTTCTCGCTGTATATTCCCCTTGAGGCAGCAAACTCGGGGTCCCTCCCACATACCTATTGCTGAGAGAAGCCTCCTCCTGAGATGCTTCTATAAAGTTGGCATATGTCTTAAGTCTAAGCCAGGGAATCAGCTCTCATCTCGAGACGATTTGGGGTACACGGAGCATTCCTCGAGTTGCTGTGCTGAAGTTGGTGTTCCTCTAGACTTGGGCCAGTGTTCTCGGGGCATCTCTGGAGTTGCCTGAAGGAAGTCGAGCCACCGGTCGTGTTGAATGGGGAACGGGAATGGCTATGGAGTCAATGCAGGGGAATCGGGCCTCATCTCGAGTTGATTTGGGGCACATGGAGCTGCTTTGTGTTGCTGGGGTGACCTCAGGGTCCGTCTAGACTGGTGACAGTGTTCCTGGGTACTGTCTCGAGATCCATTAAGCAAGTCGAAGCTCCTGATTTGTTTGAATGGGATCACGGAATAGCTCTGCCTGCACTGCAGGGGATTTGGGCCTCATCTCGCCTCTAGGGGGAAGTCTCATGGTTTTTCTCGAGTTGCGGCAGTGACCTGGGGTATGTTCTCGACTTACGGCGGGGATGGCCCTTCAAAACACGAGTTTCTTCAGTGACGTCAGGACTCCTGTCTAGTAACGAGGGACACTTCAGGAATCTCTTCGAGGCTTGGCAGGGCAAACGGGACGCTTCTCGAGGTGAGGCAGGGCACCCCGGGACCCTTTCCAGTAGCCACAGGGATTTTGGGATTCCTATCAGTATTCAAGTGCAGTCAGGCATCTTCACCTTTTGAAGCAATGAACTCCGCGTGCCTCTCGAGGTGTCAACGGGATGTGAGGCATTCCGTCAAAATGAGGCAGGGACCTAGGGCTTTCTCTAAGGTCTCCACAGGGGATTAAGACATCCCTTCATGTTGTGAGATGAAAGACGAGCCTGTATTCAAGCCACTGCAAGGAAATCCGGCCTCCTTTCAAGGTAGGGCTTCTCGCTGTATATTCCACTTGAGGCAGCGATCTCGGGGTCCCTCCTACATACCTATTGCTGAGAGAAGCCTCCTCCTGAGGTGCTTCTGGAAAGTTGGCATACGTCTTGAGCCTAAGCCAGGGAATCAGCTCTCATCTCGAGACGATTTGGGGTACAAGGCGCATTCCTCGAGTTGCTGTGCTGAAGTTGGTGTTCCTCTATACTTGGGATAGAGTTCTCGGGGCAACTCTGGCGTTGCCTGAAGGAAGTCGAGCCACCGGCCGTGTTGAATGGGGAACGGGAAATGGCTCTGGAGTCAATGCAGGGGAATCGGGCCTCATCTCGAGTTGATTTGTGGCACATGGAGCTGCTTTGCGTTGTTGGGGTGACTTCAGGGTCCGTCTAGACTGGTGACAGTGTTCTTGGGGACTCTCTCGAGATCCATTAAGCAAGTCGAAGCTCCTGACTGGTTTGAATGGGATCACGGAATAGCTCTGCATGCACTGCAGCGGAATGGGGCCTCATCTCGCCTCTAGGGAGAAGTCTCATGGTTTTTCTCGAGTTGCGGCGGGGACCTGGGGTATGTTCTCGACTTACGGCGGGGATGGCCCTTCAAAACACGAGTTTCTTTAGTGACGTCAGGACTCCAGTCTAGTAACGAGGGACACCTCAGGAATCTCTTCGAGGCTTGGCAGGGCAAAAGGGATGCTTCTCGAGGTGAGGCAGGGCACCCAAGGACCCTTTCCAGTAGCCACAGGGATTTTGGGATTCCTATCAGTATTCAAAAGGAGTTAGGCATCGTCACATTTTGAAGCAATGAACTCCGCGTGCCTCTCGAGGTGTCAACGGGATGTGAGGCATTCCGTCAAAATGAGGCAGGGACCTAGGTCTTTTTCTAAGTCTCCAAAGGGGATTCAGACATCCCTTCAGGTTTTGAGATCAAAGACGAGCCTGTATTCAAGCCACTGCAAGGAAGTACGGCCTCCGTTCAAGTTAGGGCTTCTCGCTGTATATTCCACTTGAGGCAGCGATCTCGGGGTCTCTCCCACATACCTATTGCTGAGAGAAGCCTCCTCCTGAGGTGCCTCTGGAAAGTTGGCATACATCCTGAGCCTAAGCCAGGGAATCAGCTCTCATCTCGAGACGATTTGGGTTACACGGAGCATTCCTCCAGTTGCTGTGCTGTAGTTGGTGTTCCTCTAGACTTGGAACAGTGTTCTCGGGGCATCTCTGGAGCTGCCTGAAGGAAGCCGATCCACTGGTCGTGTTGAATGGGGAATGGGGAATGGCTCTGGAGTCAATGCAGGGGAATCGGGCCTCATCTCGAGTTGATTTGGGGCACATGTTGCTAGTTTGCGTTGCTGGAGTGACCTCAGGGTCCGTCTAGACTGGTGACAGTGTTCTTGGGGACTGTCTCGAGATCCATTAAGCAATTCGAAGCTCCTGATTTGTTTGAATGGGATCACGGAATAGATCTGCATGCACTGCAGGGGAATGGGGCCTCATCTCGCCTCTAGAGGGAAGTCTCAAGGTTTTTCTCGAGTTGCGGCGGGGACCTGGGCTATGTTCTCGACTTACGGCGGGGATGGCCCTTCAAAACACGAGTTTCTTCAGTGACGTCAGGACTCCAGTCTAGTAAACAAGGACACCTCAGCAAACTCTTTCAGGCTTGGCAGGGCAAAAGGGACGCTTCTCGATTTGAGGCAGGGCACCCAAGGACCCTTTCCAGTAGCCACAGCGATTTTGGGATTCCTATCAGTATTCAAGAGGAGTCAGGCATCGTCACCTTTTGAAGCAATGAACTCCGCGTGCCTCTCGAGGTGTCAACGGGTTGTGAGGCATTCCGTCAAAATCAGGCAGGGACCTAGGGCTTTCTCTAAGGTCTCCACAGGGAATTCAGACATCCCTTCATGTTTTGAGATCAAAGACGAGCCTTTATGCAAGCCACTGCAAGGAAATCCGGCCTCCTTTCAATATAGGGCTTCTCGCTGTATATTCCCCTTGAAGCAGCGATCTTGGGGTCCCTCCCACATACCTATTGCTGAGAGAAGCCTCCTCCTGAGGTGCTTCTGGAAAGTTAGCATACGTCTTGAGCCTAAGGCAGGGAATCAGCTCTCATCTCGAGACGATTTGGGGTACACGGAGCATTCCTCGAGTTGCTGTGCTGAAGTTGGTGTTCCTCTAGACTTGGGCCAGTGTTCTCGGGGCATCTCTGGAGTTGCCTGAAGGAAGTCGAGCCACCGGTCGTGTTGAATGGGGAACGGGAATGGCTATGGAGTCAATGCAGGGGAATCGGGCCTCATCTCGAGTTGATTTGGGGCACATGGAGCTGCTTTGTGTTGCTGGGGTGACCTCAGGGTCCGTCTAGACTGGTGACAGTGTTCCTGGGTACTGTCTCGAGATCCATTAAGCAAGTCGAAGCTCCTGATTTGTTTGAATGGGATCACGGAATAGCTCTGCCTGCACTGCAGGGGATTTGGGCCTCATCTCGCCTCTAGGGGGAAGTCTCATGGTTTTTCTCGAGTTGCGGCAGTGACCTGGGGTATGTTCTCGACTTACGGCGGGGATGGCCCTTCAAAACACGAGTTTCTTCAGTGACGTCAGGACTCCTGTCTAGTAACGAGGGACACTTCAGGAATCTCTTCGAGGCTTGGCAGGGCAAACGGGACGCTTCTCGAGGTGAGGCAGGGCACCCCGGGACCCTTTCCAGTAGCCACAGGGATTTTGGGATTCCTATCAGTATTCAAGTGGAGTCAGGCATCTTCACCTTTTGAAGCAATGAACTCCGCGTGCCTCTCGAGGTGTCAACGGGATGTGAGGCATTCCGTCAAAATGAGGCAGGGACCTAGGGCTTTCTCTAAGGTCTCCACAGGGGATTAAGACATCCCTTCATGTTGTGAGATGAAAGACGAGCCTGTATTCAAGCCACTGCAAGGAAATCCGGCCTCCTTTCAAGGTAGGGCTTCTCGCTGTATATTCCACTTGAGGCAGCGATCTCGGGGTCCCTCCTACATACCTATTGCTGAGAGAAGCCTCCTCCTGAGGTGCTTCTGGAAAGTTGGCATACGTCTTGAGCCTAAGCCAGGGAATCAGCTCTCATCTCGAGACGATTTGGGGTACAAGGCGCATTCCTCGAGTTGCTGTGCTGAAGTTGGTGTTCCTCTATACTTGGGACAGAGTTCTCGGGGCAACTCTGGCGTTGCCTGAAGGAAGTCGAGCCACCGGCCGTGTTGAATGGGGAACGGGAAATGGCTCTGGAGTCAATGCAGGGGAATCGGGCCTCATCTCGAGTTGATTTGTGGCACATGGAGCTGCTTTGCGTTGTTGGGGTGACTTCAGGGTCCGTCTAGACTGGTGACAGTGTTCTTGGGGACTCTCTCGAGATCCATTAAGCAAGTCGAAGCTCCTGACTGGTTTGAATGGGATCACGGAATAGCTCTGCATGCACTGCAGCGGAATGGGGCCTCATCTCGCCTCTAGGGAGAAGTCTCATGGTTTTTCTCGAGTTGCGGCGGGGACCTGGGGTATGTTCTCGACTTACGGCGGGGATGGCCCTTCAAAACACGAGTTTCTTTAGTGACGTCAGGACTCCAGTCTAGTAACGAGGGACACCTCAGGAATCTCTTCGAGGCTTGGCAGGGCAAAAGGGATGCTTCTCGAGGTGAGGCAGGGCACCCAAGGACCCTTTCCAGTAGCCACAGGGATTTTGGGATTCCTATCAGTATTCAAAAGGAGTTAGGCATCGTCACATTTTGAAGCAATGAACTCCGCGTGCCTCTCGAGGTGTCAACGGGATGTGAGGCATTCCGTCAAAATGAGGCAGGGACCTAGGTCTTTTTCTAAGTCTCCAAAGGGGATTCAGACATCCCTTCAGGTTTTGAGATCAAAGACGAGCCTGTATTCAAGCCACTGCAAGGAAGTACGGCCTCCGTTCAAGTTAGGGCTTCTCGCTGTATATTCCACTTGAGGCAGCGATCTCGGGGTCTCTCCCACATACCTATTGCTGAGAGAAGCCTCCTCCTGAGGTGCCTCTGGAAAGTTGGCATACATCTTGAGCCTAAGCCAGGGAATCAGCTCTCATCTCGAGACGATTTGGGTTACACGGAGCATTCCTCCAGTTGCTGTGCTGTAGTTGGTGTTCCTCTAGACTTGGAACAGTGTTCTCGGGGCATCTCTGGAGCTGCCTGAAGGAAGCCGATCCACTGGTCGTGTTGAATGGGGAATGGGGAATGGCTCTGGAGTCAATGCAGGGGAATCGGGCCTCATCTCGAGTTGATTTGGGGCACATGTTGCTAGTTTGCGTTGCTTGGGTGACCTCAGGGTCCGTCTAGACTGGTGACAGTGTTCTTGGGGACTGTCTCGAGATCCATTAAGCAAGTCGAAGCTCCTGACTTGTTTGAATGGGATCACGGAATAGCTCTGCATGCACTGCAGGGGAATGGGGCCTCATCTCGCCTCTAGGGGGAAGTCTCATGGTTTTTCTCGATTTGCGGCGGGGACCTGGGGTATGTTCTCGACTTACGGCGGGGATGGCCCTTCAAAACACGAGTTTCTTCAGTGACGTCAGGACTCCTGTCTAGTAACGAGGGACACCTCAGGAATCTCTTTGAGGCTTGGCACGGCAAAAGGGACGCTTCTCGAGGTGAGGCAGGGCAACCAAGGACCCTTTCCAGTAGCCACAGGGATTTTGGGATTCCTATCATTATTCAAGAGCAGTCAGGCATCGTCACCTTTTGAAGCAATGAAATCCGCGTGCCTCTCGAGGTGTCAACGGTATGTGAGGCATTCCGTCAAAATGAGGCAGGGACCTAGGGCTTTCTCTAAGGTCTCCACAGAGGATTCAGACATCCCTTCATGTTGTGAAATGAAACAAGAGCCTGTATTCAAGACACTGCAAAGAAATCCGGCCTCCTTTCAAGTTAGTGCTTCTCGCTGTATATTCCCCTTGAGGCAGCAAACTCGGGGTCCCTCCCACATACCTATTGCTGAGAGAAGCCTCCTCCTGAGATGCTTCTATAAAGTTGGCATATGTCTTAAGTCTAAGCCAGGGAATCAGCTCTCATCTCGAGACGATTTGGGGTACACGGAGCATTCCTCGAGTTGCTGTGCTGAAGTTGGTGTTCCTCTAGACTTGGGCCAGTGTTCTCGGGGCATCTCTGGAGTTGCCTGAAGGAAGTCGAGCCACCGGTCGTGTTGAATGGGGAACGGGAATGGCTATGGAGTCAATGCAGGGGAATCGGGCCTCATCTCGAGTTGATTTGGGGCACATGGAGCTGCTTTGTGTTGCTGGGGTGACCTCAGGGTCCGTCTAGACTGGTGACAGTGTTCCTGGGTACTGTCTCGAGATCCATTAAGCAAGTCGAAGCTCCTGATTTGTTTGAATGGGATCACGGAATAGCTCTGCCTGCACTGCAGGGGATTTGGGCCTCATCTCGCCTCTAGGGGGAAGTCTCATGGTTTTTCTCGAGTTGCGGCAGTGACCTGGGGTATGTTCTCGACTTACGGCGGGGATGGCCCTTCAAAACACGAGTTTCTTCAGTGACGTCAGGACTCCTGTCTAGTAACGAGGGACACTTCAGGAATCTCTTCGAGGCTTGGCAGGGCAAACGGGACGCTTCTCGAGGTGAGGCAGGGCACCCCGGGACCCTTTCCAGTAGCCACAGGGATTTTGGGATTCCTATCAGTATTCAAGTGCAGTCAGGCATCTTCACCTTTTGAAGCAATGAACTCCGCGTGCCTCTCGAGGTGTCAACGGGATGTGAGGCATTCCGTCAAAATGAGGCAGGGACCTAGGGCTTTCTCTAAGGTCTCCACAGGGGATTAAGACATCCCTTCATGTTGTGAGATGAAAGACGAGCCTGTATTCAAGCCACTGCAAGGAAATCCGGCCTCCTTTCAAGGTAGGGCTTCTCGCTGTATATTCCACTTGAGGCAGCGATCTCGGGGTCCCTCCTACATACCTATTGCTGAGAGAAGCCTCCTCCTGAGGTGCTTCTGGAAAGTTGGCATACGTCTTGAGCCTAAGCCAGGGAATCAGCTCTCATCTCGAGACGATTTGGGGTACAAGGCGCATTCCTCGAGTTGCTGTGCTGAAGTTGGTGTTCCTCTATACTTGGGATAGAGTTCTCGGGGCAACTCTGGCGTTGCCTGAAGGAAGTCGAGCCACCGGCCGTGTTGAATGGGGAACGGGAAATGGCTCTGGAGTCAATGCAGGGGAATCGGGCCTCATCTCGAGTTGATTTGTGGCACATGGAGCTGCTTTGCGTTGTTGGGGTGACTTCAGGGTCCGTCTAGACTGGTGACAGTGTTCTTGGGGACTCTCTCGAGATCCATTAAGCAAGTCGAAGCTCCTGACTGGTTTGAATGGGATCACGGAATAGCTCTGCATGCACTGCAGCGGAATGGGGCCTCATCTCGCCTCTAGGGAGAAGTCTCATGGTTTTTCTCGAGTTGCGGCGGGGACCTGGGGTATGTTCTCGACTTACGGCGGGGATGGCCCTTCAAAACACGAGTTTCTTTAGTGACGTCAGGACTCCAGTCTAGTAACGAGGGACACCTCAGGAATCTCTTCGAGGCTTGGCAGGGCAAAAGGGATGCTTCTCGAGGTGAGGCAGGGCACCCAAGGACCCTTTCCAGTAGCCACAGGGATTTTGGGATTCCTATCAGTATTCAAAAGGAGTTAGGCATCGTCACATTTTGAAGCAATGAACTCCGCGTGCCTCTCGAGGTGTCAACGGGATGTGAGGCATTCCGTCAAAATGAGGCAGGGACCTAGGTCTTTTTCTAAGTCTCCAAAGGGGATTCAGACATCCCTTCAGGTTTTGAGATCAAAGACGAGCCTGTATTCAAGCCACTGCAAGGAAGTACGGCCTCCGTTCAAGTTAGGGCTTCTCGCTGTATATTCCACTTGAGGCAGCGATCTCGGGGTCTCTCCCACATACCTATTGCTGAGAGAAGCCTCCTCCTGAGGTGCCTCTGGAAAGTTGGCATACATCTTGAGCCTAAGCCAGGGAATCAGCTCTCATCTCGAGACGATTTGGGTTACACGGAGCATTCCTCCAGTTGCTGTGCTGTAGTTGGTGTTCCTCTAGACTTGGAACAGTGTTCTCGGGGCATCTCTGGAGCTGCCTGAAGGAAGCCGATCCACTGGTCGTGTTGAATGGGGAATGGGGAATGGCTCTGGAGTCAATGCAGGGGAATCGGGCCTCATCTCGAGTTGATTTGGGGCACATGTTGCTAGTTTGCGTTGCTGGAGTGACCTCAGGGTCCGTCTAGACTGGTGACAGTGTTCTTGGGGACTGTCTCGAGATCCATTAAGCAATTCGAAGCTCCTGATTTGTTTGAATGGGATCACGGAATAGATCTGCATGCACTGCAGGGGAATGGGGCCTCATCTCGCCTCTAGAGGGAAGTCTCAAGGTTTTTCTCGAGTTGCGGCGGGGACCTGGGCTATGTTCTCGACTTACGGCGGGGATGGCCCTTCAAAACACGAGTTTCTTCAGTGACGTCAGGACTCCAGTCTAGTAAACAAGGACACCTCAGCAAACTCTTTCAGGCTTGGCAGGGCAAAAGGGACGCTTCTCGATTTGAGGCAGGGCACCCAAGGACCCTTTCCAGTAGCCACAGCGATTTTGGGATTCCTATCAGTATTCAAGAGGAGTCAGGCATCGTCACCTTTTGAAGCAATGAACTCCGCGTGCCTCTCGAGGTGTCAACGGGTTGTGAGGCATTCCGTCAAAATCAGGCAGGGACCTAGGGCTTTCTCTAAGGTCTCCACAGGGAATTCAGACATCCCTTCATGTTTTGAGATCAAAGACGAGCCTTTATGCAAGCCACTGCAAGGAAATCCGGCCTCCTTTCAATATAGGGCTTCTCGCTGTATATTCCCCTTGAAGCAGCGATCTTGGGGTCCCTCCCACATACCTATTGCTGAGAGAAGCCTCCTCCTGAGGTGCTTCTGGAAAGTTAGCATACGTCTTGAGCCTAAGGCAGGGAATCAGCTCTCATCTCGAGACGATTTGGGGTACACGGAGCATTCCTCGAGTTGCTGTGCTGAAGTTGGTGTTCCTCTAGACTTGGGCCAGTGTTCTCGGGGCATCTCTGGAGTTGCCTGAAGGAAGTCGAGCCACCGGTCGTGTTGAATGGGGAACGGGAATGGCTATGGAGTCAATGCAGGGGAATCGGGCCTCATCTCGAGTTGATTTGGGGCACATGGAGCTGCTTTGTGTTGCTGGGGTGACCTCAGGGTCCGTCTAGACTGGTGACAGTGTTCCTGGGTACTGTCTCGAGATCCATTAAGCAAGTCGAAGCTCCTGATTTGTTTGAATGGGATCACGGAATAGCTCTGCCTGCACTGCAGGGGATTTGGGCCTCATCTCGCCTCTAGGGGGAAGTCTCATGGTTTTTCTCGAGTTGCGGCAGTGACCTGGGGTATGTTCTCGACTTACGGCGGGGATGGCCCTTCAAAACACGAGTTTCTTCAGTGACGTCAGGACTCCTGTCTAGTAACGAGGGACACTTCAGGAATCTCTTCGAGGCTTGGCAGGGCAAACGGGACGCTTCTCGAGGTGAGGCAGGGCACCCCGGGACCCTTTCCAGTAGCCACAGGGATTTTGGGATTCCTATCAGTATTCAAGTGGAGTCAGGCATCTTCACCTTTTGAAGCAATGAACTCCGCGTGCCTCTCGAGGTGTCAACGGGATGTGAGGCATTCCGTCAAAATGAGGCAGGGACCTAGGGCTTTCTCTAAGGTCTCCACAGGGGATTAAGACATCCCTTCATGTTGTGAGATGAAAGACGAGCCTGTATTCAAGCCACTGCAAGGAAATCCGGCCTCCTTTCAAGGTAGGGCTTCTCGCTGTATATTCCACTTGAGGCAGCGATCTCGGGGTCCCTCCTACATACCTATTGCTGAGAGAAGCCTCCTCCTGAGGTGCTTCTGGAAAGTTGGCATACGTCTTGAGCCTAAGCCAGGGAATCAGCTCTCATCTCGAGACGATTTGGGGTACAAGGCGCATTCCTCGAGTTGCTGTGCTGAAGTTGGTGTTCCTCTATACTTGGGACAGAGTTCTCGGGGCAACTCTGGCGTTGCCTGAAGGAAGTCGAGCCACCGGCCGTGTTGAATGGGGAACGGGAAATGGCTCTGGAGTCAATGCAGGGGAATCGGGCCTCATCTCGAGTTGATTTGTGGCACATGGAGCTGCTTTGCGTTGTTGGGGTGACTTCAGGGTCCGTCTAGACTGGTGACAGTGTTCTTGGGGACTCTCTCGAGATCCATTAAGCAAGTCGAAGCTCCTGACTGGTTTGAATGGGATCACGGAATAGCTCTGCATGCACTGCAGCGGAATGGGGCCTCATCTCGCCTCTAGGGAGAAGTCTCATGGTTTTTCTCGAGTTGCGGCGGGGACCTGGGGTATGTTCTCGACTTACGGCGGGGATGGCCCTTCAAAACACGAGTTTCTTTAGTGACGTCAGGACTCCAGTCTAGTAACGAGGGACACCTCAGGAATCTCTTCGAGGCTTGGCAGGGCAAAAGGGATGCTTCTCGAGGTGAGGCAGGGCACCCAAGGACCCTTTCCAGTAGCCACAGGGATTTTGGGATTCCTATCAGTATTCAAAAGGAGTTAGGCATCGTCACATTTTGAAGCAATGAACTCCGCGTGCCTCTCGAGGTGTCAACGGGATGTGAGGCATTCCGTCAAAATGAGGCAGGGACCTAGGTCTTTTTCTAAGTCTCCAAAGGGGATTCAGACATCCCTTCAGGTTTTGAGATCAAAGACGAGCCTGTATTCAAGCCACTGCAAGGAAGTACGGCCTCCGTTCAAGTTAGGGCTTCTCGCTGTATATTCCACTTGAGGCAGCGATCTCGGGGTCTCTCCCACATACCTATTGCTGAGAGAAGCCTCCTCCTGAGGTGCCTCTGGAAAGTTGGCATACATCTTGAGCCTAAGCCAGGGAATCAGCTCTCATCTCGAGACGATTTGGGTTACACGGAGCATTCCTCCAGTTGCTGTGCTGTAGTTGGTGTTCCTCTAGACTTGGAACAGTGTTCTCGGGGCATCTCTGGAGCTGCCTGAAGGAAGCCGATCCACTGGTCGTGTTGAATGGGGAATGGGGAATGGCTCTGGAGTCAATGCAGGGGAATCGGGCCTCATCTCGAGTTGATTTGGGGCACATGTTGCTAGTTTGCGTTGCTGGAGTGACCTCAGGGTCCGTCTAGACTGGTGACAGTGTTCTTGGGGACTGTCTCGAGATCCATTAAGCAATTCGAAGCTCCTGATTTGTTTGAATGGGATCACGGAATAGATCTGCATGCACTGCAGGGGAATGGGGCCTCATCTCGCCTCTAGAGGGAAGTCTCAAGGTTTTTCTCGAGTTGCGGCGGGGACCTGGGCTATGTTCTCGACTTACGGCGGGGATGGCCCTTCAAAACACGAGTTTCTTCAGTGACGTCAGGACTCCAGTCTAGTAAACAAGGACACCTCAGCAAACTCTTTCAGGCTTGGCAGGGCAAAAGGGACGCTTCTCGACTTGAGGCAGGGCACCCAAGGACCCTTTCCAGTAGCCACAGCGATTTTGGGATTCCTATCAGTATTCAAGAGGAGTCAGGCATCGTCACCTTTTGAAGCAATGAACTCCGCGTGCCTCTCGAGGTGTCAACGGGTTGTGAGGCATTCCGTCAAAATCAGGCAGGGACCTAGGGCTTTCTCTAATGTCTCCACAGGGAATTCAGACATCCCTTCATGTTTTGAGATCAAAGACGAGCCTTTATGCAAGCCACTGCAAGGAAATCCGGCCTCCTTTCAATATAGGGCTTCTCGCTGTATATTCCCCTTGAAGCAGCGATCTTGGGGTCCCTCCCACATACCTATTGCTGAGAGAAGCCTCCTCCTGAGGTGCTTCTGGAAAGTTAGCATACGTCTTGAGCCTAAGGCAGGGAATCAGCTCTCATCTCGAGACGATTTGGTGTACATGGAGCATTCCTCGAGTTGCTGTGCTGAGGTTGGTGTTCCTCTAGACTTGGGACAGTGTTCTCGGGGCATCACTGGAGTTCCCTGAAGGAAGTCGAGCCACCGGTCGTGTTGAATGGGGAACGGGGAATTGCTCTGGAGTCAATGCAGGTGAATCGGGCCTCATCTCGTGTTGATTTGGAGCACATGGAGCTGCTTTGCGTTGCTGGGGTGACCTCAGGGTCCGTCTAGACTGGTGACAGTGTTCTTGGGGACTGTCTCGTGATCCATTAAGCAAGTCGAAGCTCCTGACTGGTTTGAATGGGATCACGGAATAGCTCTGCATGCACTGCATGGGAATGGGGCCTCATCTCGCCTCTAGGGGTACGTCTCATGGTTTTTCTCGAGTTGCGGCGGGGACCTGGGGTATGTTCTCGACTTACGGCGGGGATGGCCCTTCAAAACACGAGTTTCTTCAGTGACGTCAGGACTCCTGTCTAGTAACGAGGGACACCTCAGGAATCTCTTCGAGGCTTGCCAGGGCAAAAGGGACGCTTCTCGAGGTGAGGCAGGGCACCCAAGGACCCTTTCCAGTAGCCACAGGGATTTGGGGATTCCTATCAGTATTCAAGAAGAGTCAGGCATCGTCCCTTTTGAAGCAATGAACTCCGCGTGCCTCTCGAGGTGTCAGCGGGATGTGAGGCATTCCGTCAAAATGAGGCAGGGACCTAGGGCTTTCTCTAAGGTCTCCACAGGGGATTCAGACATCCCTTCATGTTGTGAAATGAAACAGGAGCCTGTATTCAAGCCACTGCAAGGAAATCCGGCCTCCTTTCAAGTTAGGGCTTCTCGCTGTATATTCCCCTTGAGGCAGCAAACTCGGGGTCCCTCCCACATACCTATTACTGAGACAGCCTCCTCCTGAGGTGCTTCTGGAAAGTTGGCATACGTCTTGAGCCTAAGCCAGGGAATCAGCTCTCATCTCGAGACGATTTGGGGTACACGGAGCATTCCTCGAGTTGCTGTGCTGAAGTTGGTGTTTCTCTAGACTTGGGACAGTGTTCTCGGGGCATCACTGGAGTTGCCTGAAGGAAGTCGAGACACTGGTCGTGTTGAATGGGGAACGGGGAATGGCTCTGGAGTCAATGCAGGGGAATCGGGCCTCATCTGGAGTTGATTTGTGGCACATGGAGCTGCTTTGCGTTGCTGGGGTGACCTCAGGGTCCGTCTAGACTGGTGACAGTGTTCTTGGAGACTGTCTCGAGATCCATTAAGCAAGTCGAAGCTCCTGACTTGTTTGAATGGGATCACGGTATAGCTCTGCATGCACTGCAGGGAAATGGGGCCTCATCTCGCCTCTAGGGGGAAGTCTCATGGTTTTTCTCGAGTTGCGGCGGGGACCTGGGGTATGTTCTCGACTTACGGCGGGGATGGCCCTTCAAAACACGAGTTTCTTCAGTGACGTCAGGACTCCTGTCTAGTAACGAGGGACACCTCAGGAATCTCTTCGAGGCTTGGCAGGGCCAAAGGGAAGCTTCTCGAGGTGAGGCAGGGCACCCAAGGACCCTTTCCAGTAGCCACAGGGATTTTGGGATTCCTATCAGTATTCAAGAGGAGTCAGGCATCGTCACCTTTTGAAGCAATGAACTCCGCGTGCCTCTCGAGGTGTCAGCGGGATGTGAGGCATTCCGTCAAAGTGAGGCAGGGACCTAGGGCTTTCTCTAAGGTCTCCACAGTGGATTCAGACATCCCTTCATGTTGTGAAATGAAACACGAGCCTGTATTCAAGCCACTGCAAGGAAATCCGGCCTCCTTTCAAGTTAGGGCTTCTCGCTGTATATTCCCCTTGAGGCAGCAAACTCGGGGTCCCTCCCACATACCTATTGCTGAGACAGCCTCCTCCTGAGGTGCTTCTGGAAAGTTGGCATACGTCTTGAGCCTAAGCCAGGGAATCAGCTCTCATCTCGAGACGATTTGGGGTACACGGAGCATTCCTCGAGTTGCTGTGCTAAAGTTGGTGTTTCTCTAGACTTGGGACAGTGTTCTCGGGGCATCACTGGAGTTGCCTGAAGGAAGTCGAGACACTGGTCGTGTTGAATGGGGAACGGGGAATCGCTCTGGAGTCAATGCTGGGGAATCGGGCCTCATCTCGAGTTGATTTGTGGCACATGGAGCTGCTTTGCGTTGCTTGGGTGACCTCAGGGTCCGTCTAGACTGGTGACAGTGTTCTTGGGGACTGTCTCGAGATCCATTAAGCAAGTCGAAGCTCCTGACTTGTTTGAATGGGATCACGGAATAGCTCTGCATGCACTGCAGGGGAATGGGGCCTCATCTCGCCTCTAGGGGGAAGTCTCATGGTTTTTCTCGATTTGCGGCGGGGACCTGGGGTATGTTCTCGACTTACGGCGGGGATGGCCCTTCAAAACACGAGTTTCTTCAGTGACGTCAGGACTCCTGTCTAGTAACGAGGGACACCTCAGGAATCTCTTTGAGGCTTGGCACGGCAAAAGGGACGCTTCTCGAGGTGAGGCAGGGCAACCAAGGAACCTTTCCAGTAGCCACAGGGATTTTGGGATTCCTATCATTATTCAAGAGCAGTCAGGCATCGTCACCTTTTGAAGCAATGAACTCCGCGTGCCTCTCGAGGTGTCAACGGTATGTGAGGCATTCCGTCAAAATGAGGCAGGGACCTAGGGCTTTCTCTAAGTTCTCCACAGAGGATTCAGACATCCCTTCATGTTGTGAAATGAAACAAGAGCCTGTATTCAAGACACTGCAAAGAAATCCGGCCTCCTTTCAAGTTAGGGCTTCTCGCTGTATATTCCCCTTGAGGCAGCAAACTCGGGGTCCCTCCCACATACCTATTGCTGAGAGAAGCCTCCTCCTGAGGTGCTTCTGGAAAGTTGGCATATGTCTTAAGTCTAAGCCAGGGAATCAGCTCTCATCTCGAGACGATTTGGGGTACACGGAGCATTCCTCGAGTTGCTGTGCTGAAGTTGGTGTTCCTCTAGACTTCGGCCAGTGTTCTCGGGGCATCTCTGGAGTTGCCTGAAGGAAGTCGAGCCACCGGTCTTGTTGAATGGGGAAAGGGAATGGCTATGGAGTCAATGCAGGGGAATCGGGCCTCATCTCGAGTTGATTTGGGGCACATGGAGCTGCTTTGCGTTGCTGGGGTGACCTCAGGGTCCGTCTAGACTGGTGACAGTGTTCCTGGGTACTCTCTCGAGATCCATTAAGCAAGTCGAAGCTCCTGACTTATTTCAATGGGATCACGGAATACCTCTGCATGCACTGCAGGGGAATGGGGCCTCATCTCGCCTCTAGAGGGAAGTCTCATGGTTTTTCTCGAGTTGCGGCGGGGACCTGGGGTATGTTCTCGACTTACGGCGGGGATGGCCCTTCAAAACACGAGTTTCTTCAGTGACGTCAGGACTCCTGTCTAGTAACGAGGGACACCTCAGGAATCTCTTCGAGGCTTGGCAGGGCCAAAGGGACGCTTCTCGAGGTTAGGCAGGGCACCCAAGGACCCTTTCCAGTAGCCACAGGGATTTTGGGATTCCTATCAGTATTCAAGAGGAGTCAGGCATCGTCACCTTTTGAAGCAATGAACTCCGCGTGCCTCTCGAGGTGTCAGCGGGATGTGAGGCATTCCGTCAAAGTGAGGCAGGGACCTAGGGCTTTCTCTAAGGTCTCCACAGTGGATTCAGACATCCCTTCATGTTGTGAAATGAAACACGAGCCTGTATTCAAGCCACTGCAAGGAAATCCGGCCTCCTTTCAAGTTAGGGCTTCTCGCTGTATATTCCCCTTGAGGCAGCAAACTCGGGGTCCCTCCCACATACCTATTGCTGAGACAGCCTCCTCCTGAGGTGCTTCTGGAAAGTTGGCATACGTCTTGAGCCTAAGCCAGGGAATCAGCTCTCATCTCGAGACAATTTGGGGTACACGGAGCATTCCTCGAGTTGCTGTGCTAAAGTTGGTGTTTCTCTAGACTTGGGACAGTGTTCTCGGGGCATCACTGGAGTTGCCTGAAGGAAGTCGAGACACTGGTCGTGTTGAATGGGGAACGGGGAATCGCTCTGGAGTCAATGCAGGGGAATCGGGCCTCATCTCGAGTTGATTTGTGGCACATGGAGCTGCTTTGCGTTGCTTGGGTGACCTCAGGGTCCGTCTAGACTGGTGACAGTGTTCTTGGGGACTGTCTCGAGATCCATTAAGCAAGTCGAAGCTCCTGACTTGTTTGAATGGGATCACGGAATAGCTCTGCATGCACTGCAGGGGAATGGGGCCTCATCTCGCCTCTAGGGGGAAGTCTCATGGTTTTTCTCGATTTGCGGCGGGGACCTGGGGTATGTTCTCGACTTACGGCGGGGATGGCCCTTCAAAACACGAGTTTCTTCAGTGACGTCAGGACTCCTGTCTAGTAACAAGGGACACCTCAGGAATCTCTTTGAGGCTTGGCACGGCAAAAGGGACGCTTCTCGAGGTGAGGCAGGGCAACCAAGGACCCTTTCCAGTAGCCACAGGGATTTTGGGATTCCTATCATTATTCAAGAGGAGTCAGGCATCGTCACCTTTTGAAGCAATGAACTCCGCGTGCCTCTCGAGGTGTCAACGGTATGTGAGGCATTCCGTCAAAATGAGGCAGGGACCTAGGGCTTTGTCTAAGGTCTCCACAGAGGATTCAGACATCCCTTCATGTTGTGAAATGAAACAAGAGCCTGTATTCAAGACACTGCAAAGAAATCCGGCCTCCTTTCAAGTTAGGGCTTCTCGCTGTATATTCCCCTTGAGGCAGCAAACTCGGGGTCCCTCCCACATACCTATTGCTGAGAGAAGCCTCCTCCTGAGGTGCTTCTGGAAAGTTGGCATATGTCTTAAGTCTAAGCCAGGGAATCAGCTCTCATCTCGAGACGATTTGGGGTACACGGAGCATTCCTCGAGTTGCTGTGCTGAAGTTAGTGTTCGTCTAGACTTGGGCCAGTGTTCTCGGGGCATCTCTGGAGTTGCCTGAAGGAAGTCGAGCCACCGGTCTTGTTGAATGGGGAACGGGAATGGCTATGGAGTCAATGCAGGGGAATCGGGCCTCATCTCGAATTGATTTGGGGCACATGGAGCTGCTTTGCGTTGCTGGGGTGACCTCAGGGTCCGTCTAGACTGGTGACAGTGTTCCTGGGTACTCTCTCGAGATCCATTAAGCAAGTCGAAGCTCCTGACTTGTTTCAATGGGATCACGGAATACCTCTGCATGCACTGCAGGGGAATGGAGCCTCATCTCGCCTCTAGGGTGAAGTCTCATGGTTTTTCTCGAGTTGCGGCGGGAACCTGGCGTATGTTCTCGACTTACGGCGGGGATGGCCCTTCAAAACACGTGTTTATTCAGTGACGTCAGGACTCCTGTCTAGTAACGAGGGACACCTCAGGAATCTCTTCGAGGCTTGACAGGGCAAAAGGGACGCTTCTCGAGGTGAGGCAGGGCAGCCAAGGACCCTTTCCAGTAGCCACAGGGATTTTGGGATTCCTATCAGTATTCAAAAGGAGTCAGGCATCATCACCTTTTGAAGCACTGAACTCTGCGTGCCTCTCGAGGTGTCAACCGAATGTGAGGCATTCCGTCAAAATGAGGCAGGGACCTAGGGCTTTCTCTAAGGTCTCCACAGTGGATTCAGAAATCCCTTCATGTTTTGAGACCAAAGACGAGCCTATATTCAAGCCACTGCAAGGAAATCCGGCCTCCTTTCAAGTTAGGGCTTCTCGCTGTATATTCCACTTGAGGCAGCGATCTCGGGGTCCCTCCCACATACCTATTGCTGAGAGAAGCCTCCTCCTGAGGTGCTTCTGGAAAGTTGGCATACGTCTTGAGCCTAAGCCAGGGAATCAGCTCTCATCTCGAGACGATTTGGGGTACACGGAGCATTCCTTGAGTTGCTGTGCTGAAGTTGGTGTTCCTCTAGGCTTGGGATAGTGTTCTCGGGGCATCTCTGGAGTTGCCTGAAGGAAGTCGACCCACCGGTCGTGTTGAATGGGGAACGGGGAATGGCTCTGGAGTCAATGCAGGGGAATCGGGCCTCATCTCGAGTTGATTTGGGGCACATGGAGCTGCTTTGCGTTGCTGGGGTGACCTCAGGGTCCGTCTAGACTGGTGACAGTGTTCTTGGGGACTGTCTCGAGATTCATTAAGCAAGTCGAAGCTCCTGATTTGTTTGAATGGGATCACGGAATAGCTCTGCCTGCACTGCAGGGGATTTGGGCCTCATCTCGCCTCTAGGGGGAAGTCTCATGGTTTTTCTCGAGTTGCGGCAGTGACCTGGGGTATGTTCTAGACTTACGGCGGGGATGGCCCTTCAAAACACGAGTTTCTTCAGTGACGTCAGGACTCCTGTCTAGTAATGAGGGACACTTCAGGAATCTCTTCGAGGCTTGGCAGGGCAAACGGGACGCTTCTCGAGGTGAGGCAGGGCACCCCAGGACCCTTTCCAGTAGCCACAGGGATTTTGGGATTCCTATCAGTATTCAAGTGGAGTCAGGCATCTTCACCTTTTGAAGCAATGAACTCCGCGTGCCTCTCGAGGTGTCAACGGGATGTGAGGCATTCCGTCAAAATGAGGCAGGGACCTAGGGCTTTCTCTAAGGTCTCCACAGGGGATTAAGACATCCCTTCATGTTGTGAGATGAAAGACGAGCCTGTATTCAAGCCACTGCAAGGAAATCTGGCCTCCTTTCAAGTTAGGGTTTCTCGCTGTATATTGCCCTTGAGGCAGCAAACTCGGGGTCCCTCCCACATACCTATTGCTGAGACAGCCTCCTCCTGAGGTTCTTCTGGAAAGTTGGCATCCGTCTTGAGCCTAAGCCAGGGAATCAGCTCTCATCTCGAGACGATTTGGGGTACACGGAGCATTCCTCGAGTTGCTGTGCTGAAGTTGGTGTTCCTCCAGACTTGGGACAGTGTTCTCGGGGCATCTCTGGAGTTGCCTGAAGGAAGTCGAGCCACCGGTCGTGTTGAATGGGGAACGAGAATGGCTATGGAGTAATCCAGGGGAATCGGGCCTCATCTCGAGTTGATTTGGGGCACATGGAGCTGCTTTGCATTGCAGGGGTGACCTCAGAGTCCGTCTAGACTGGTGACAGTGTTCTTGGGGACTCTCTCGAGATCCATTAAGCAAGTCGAAGCTCCTGACTTGTTTGAATGGGATCACGGAATAGCTCTGCATGCACTGCAGGGGAATGGGGCCTCATCTCGCCTCTAGGGGGAAGTCTCATGGTTTTTCTCGAGTTGCAGCGGGGACCTGGGGTATGTTCTCGACTTACGGCGGGGATGGCCCTTCAAAACACGAGTTTCTTCAGTGACGTCAGGACTCCTGTCTAGTAACGAGGGACACCTCAGGAATCTCTTCGAGGCTTGGCAGGGCAAAAGGGACGCTTCTCGAGGTGAGGCAGGGCACCCAAGGACCCTTTCCAGTAGCCACAGGGATTTTGGGATTCCTATCAGTATTCAAGAGGAGTCAGGCATCGTCACCTTTTGAAGCAATGAACTCCGCGTGCCTCTCGAGGTGTCAGCGGGATGTGAGGCATTCCGTCAAAGTGAGGCAGGGACCTAGGGCTTTCTCTAAGGTCTCCACAGTGGATTCAGACATCCCTTCATGTTGTGAAATGAAACACGAGCCTGTATTCAAGCCACTGCAAGGAAATCCGGCCTCCTTTCAAGTTAGGGCTTCTCGCTGTATATTCCCCTTGAGGCAGCAAACTCGGGGTCCCTCCCACATACCTATTGCTGAGACAGCCTCCTCCTGAGGTGCTTCTGGAAAGTTGGCATACGTCTTGAGCCTAAGCCAGGGAATCAGCTCTCATCTCGAGACGATTTGGGTTACACGCAGCATTCCTCGAGTTGCTGTGCTAAAGTTGGTGTTTCTCTAGCCTTGGACAGTGTTCTCGGGGCATCACTGGAGTTGCCTGAAGGAAGTCGAGACACTCGTCGTGTTGAATGGGGAACGGGGAATCGCTCTGGAGTCAATGCAGGGGAATCGGGCCTCATCTCGAGTTGATTTGTGGCACATGGAGCTGCTTTGCGTTGCTTGGGTGACCTCAGGGTCCGTCTAGACTGGTGACAGTGTTCTTGGGGACTGTCTCGAGATCCATTAAGCAAGTCGAAGCTCCTGACTTGTTTGAATGGGATCACGGAATAGCTCTGCATGCACTGCAGGGGAATGGGGCCTCATCTCGCCTCTAGGGGGAAGTCTCATGGTTTTTCTCGATTTGCGGCGGGGACCTGGGGTATGTTCTCGACTTACGGCGGGGATGGCCCTTCAAAACACGAGTTTCTTCAGTGACGTCAGGACTCCTGTCTAGTAACAAGGGACACCTCAGGAATCTCTTTGAGGCTTGGCACGGCAAAAGGGACGCTTCTCGAGGTGAGGCAGGGCAACCAAGGACCCTTTCCAGTAGCCACAGGGATTTTGGGATTCCTATCATTATTCAAGAGGAGTCAGGCATCGTCACCTTTTGAAGCAATGAACTCCGCGTGCCTCTCGAGGTGTCAACGGTATGTGAGGCATTCCGTCAAAATGAGGCAGGGACCTAGGGCTTTGTCTAAGGTCTCCACAGAGGATTCAGACATCCCTTCATGTTGTGAAATGAAACAAGAGCCTGTATTCAAGACACTGCAAAGAAATCCGGCCTCCTTTCAAGTTAGGGCTTCTCGCTGTATATTCCCCTTGAGGCAGCAAACTCGGGGTCCCTCCCACATACCTATTGCTGAGAGAAGCCTCCTCCTGAGGTGCTTCTGGAAAGTTGGCATATGTCTTAAGTCTAAGCCAGGGAATCAGCTCTCATCTCGAGACGATTTGGGGTACACGGAGCATTCCTCGAGTTGCTGTGCTGAAGTTAGTGTTCCTCTAGACTTGGGCCAGTGTTCTCGGGGCATCTCTGGAGTTGCCTGAAGGAAGTCGAGCCACCGGTCTTGTTGAATGGGGAACGGGAATGGCTATGGAGTCAATGCAGGGGAATCGGGCCTCATCTCGAGTTGATTTGGGGCACATGGAGCTGCTTTGCGTTGCTGGGGTGACCTCAGGGTCCGTCTAGACTGGTGACAGTGTTCCTGGGTACTCTCTCGAGATCCATTAAGCAAGTCGAAGCTCCTGACTTGTTTCAATGGGATCACGGAATACCTCTGCATGCACTGCAGGGGAATGGAGCCTCATCTCGCCTCTAGGGTGAAGTCTCATGGTTTTTCTCGAGTTGCGGCGGGAACCTGGCGTATGTTCTCGACTTACGGCGGGGATGGCCCTTCAAAACACGTGTTTATTCAGTGACGTCAGGACTCCTGTCTAGTAACGAGGGACACCTCAGGAATCTCTTCGAGGCTTGGCAGGGCAAAAGGGACGCTTCTCGAGGTGAGGCAGGGCAGCCAAGGACCCTTTCCAGTAGCCACAGGGATTTTGGGATTCCTATCAGTATTCAAAAGGAGTCAGGCATCGTCACCTTTTGAAGCACTGAACTCTGCGTGCCTCTCGAGGTGTCAACCGAATGTGAGGCATTCCGTCAAAATGAGGCAGGGACCTAGGGCTTTCTCTAAGGTCTCCACAGTGGATTCAGAAATCCCTTCATGTTTTGAGACCAAAGACGAGCCTATATTCAAGCCACTGCAAGGAAATCCGGCCTCCTTTCAAGTTAGGGCTTCTCGCTGTATATTCCACTTGAGGCAGCGATCTCGGGGTCCCTCCCACATACCTATTGCTGAGAGAAGCCTCCTCCTGAGGTGCTTCTGGAAAGTTGGCATACGTCTTGAGCCTAAGCCAGGGAATCAGCTCTCATCTCGAGACGATTTGGGGTACACGGAGCATTCCTTGAGTTGCTGTGCTGAAGTTGGTGTTCCTCTAGGCTTGGGATAGTGTTCTCGGGGCATCTCTGGAGTTGCCTGAAGGAAGTCGACCCACCGGTCGTGTTGAATGGGGAACGGGGAATGGCTCTGGAGTCAATGCAGGGGAATCGGGCCTCATCTCGAGTTGATTTGGGGCACATGGAGCTGCTTTGCGTTGCTGGGGTGACCTCAGGGTCCGTCTAGACTGGTGACAGTGTTCTTGGGGACTGTCTCGAGATTCATTAAGCAAGTCGAAGCTCCTGATTTGTTTGAATGGGATCACGGAATAGCTCTGCCTGCACTGCAGGGGATTTGGGCCTCATCTCGCCTCTAGGGGGAAGTCTCATGGTTTTTCTCGAGTTGCGGCAGTGACCTGGGGTATGTTCTAGACTTACGGCGGGGATGGCCCTTCAAAACACGAGTTTCTTCAGTGACGTCAGGACTCCTGTCTAGTAATGAGGGACACTTCAGGAATCTCTTCGAGGCTTGGCAGGGCAAACGGGACGCTTCTCGAGGTGAGGCAGGGCACCCCAGGACCCTTTCCAGTAGCCACAGGGATTTTGGGATTCCTATCAGTATTCAAGTGGAGTCAGGCATCTTCACCTTTTGAAGCAATGAACTCCGCGTGCCTCTCGAGGTGTCAACGGGATGTGAGGCATTCCGTCAAAATGAGGCAGGGACCTAGGGCTTTCTCTAAGGTCTCCACAGGGGATTAAGACATCCCTTCATGTTGTGAGATGAAAGACGAGCCTGTATTCAAGCCACTGCAAGGAAATCTGGCCTCCTTTCAAGTTAGGGTTTCTCGCTGTATATTGCCCTTGAGGCAGCAAACTCGGGGTCCCTCCCACATACCTATTGCTGAGACAGCCTCCTCCTGAGGTGCTTCTGGAAAGTTGGCATCCGTCTTGAGCCTAAGCCAGGGAATCAGCTCTCATCTCGAGACGATTTGGGGTACACGGAGCATTCCTCGAGTTGCTGTGCTGAAGTTGGTGTTCCTCCAGACTTGGGACAGTGTTCTCGGGGCATCTCTGGAGTTGCCTGAAGGAAGTCGAGCCACCGGTCGTGTTGAATGGGGAACGAGAATGGCTATGGAGTAATCCAGGGGAATCGGGCCTCATCTCGAGTTGATTTGGGGCACATGGAGCTGCTTTGCATTGCAGGGGTGACCTCAGAGTCCGTCTAGACTGGTGACAGTGTTCTTGGGGACTCTCTCGAGATCCATTAAGCAAGTCGAAGCTCCTGACTTGTTTGAATGGGATCACGGAATAGCTCTGCATGCACTGCAGGGGAATGGGGCCTCATCTCGCCTCTAGGGGGAAGTCTCATGGTTTTTCTCGAGTTGCGGCGGGGACCTGGGGTATGTTCTCGACTTACGGCGGGGATGGCCCTTCAAAACACGAGTTTCTTCAGTGACGTCAGGACTCCTGTCTAGTAACGAGGGACACCTCAGGAATCTCTTCGAGGCTTGGCAGGGCAAAAGGGACGCTTCTCGAGGTGAGGCAGGGCACCCAAGGACCCTTTCCAGTAGCCACAGGGATTTTGGGATTCCTATCAGTATTCAAGAGGAGTCAGGCATCGTCACCTTTTGAAGCAATGAACTCCGCGTGCCTCTCGAGGTGTCAGCGGGATGTGAGGCATTCCGTCAAAGTGAGGCAGGGACCTAGGGCTTTCTCTAAGGTCTCCACAATGGATTCAGACATCCCTTCATGTTGTGAAATGAAACACGAGCCTGTATTCAAGCCACTGCAAGGAAATCCGGCCTCCTTTCAAGTTAGGGCTTCTCGCTGTATATTCCCCTTGAGGCAGCAAACTCGGGGTCCCTCCCACATACCTATTGCTGAGACAGCCTCCTCCTGAGGTGCTTCTGGAAAGTTGGCATACGTCTTGAGCCTAAGCCAGGGAATCAGCTCTCATCTCGAGACGATTTGGGTTACACGCAGCATTCCTCGAGTTGCTGTGCTAAAGTTGGTGTTTCTCTAGCCTTGGGACAGTGTTCTCGGGGCATCACTGGAGTTGCCTGAAGGAAGTCGAGACACTCGTCGTGTTGAATGGGGAACGGGGAATCGCTCTGGAGTCAATGCAGGGGAATCGGGCCTCATCTCGAGTTGATTTGTGGCACATGGAGCTGCTTTGCGTTGCTTGGGTGACCTCAGGGTCCGTCTAGACTGGTGACAGTGTTCTTGGGGACTGTCTCGAGATCCATTAAGCAAGTCGAAGCTCCTGACTTGTTTGAATGGGATCACGGAATAGCTCTGCATGCACTGCAGGGGAATGGGGCCTCATCTCGCCTCTAGGGGGAAGTCTCATGGTTTTTCTCGATTTGCGGCGGGGACCTGGGGTATGTTCTCGACTTACGGCGGGGATGGCCCTTCAAAACACGAGTTTCTTCAGTGACGTCAGGACTCCTGTCTAGTAACGAGGGACACCTCAGGAATCTCTTTGAGGCTTGGCACGGCAAAAGGGACGCTTCTCGAGGTGAGGCAGGGCAACCAAGGACCCTTTCCAGTAGCCACAGGGATTTTGGGATTCCTATCATTATTCAAGAGCAGTCAGGCATCGTCACCTTTTGAAGCAATGAAATCCGCGTGCCTCTCGAGGTGTCAACGGTATGTGAGGCATTCCGTCAAAATGAGGCAGGGACCTAGGGCTTTCTCTAAGGTCTCCACAGAGGATTCAGACATCCCTTCATGTTGTGAAATGAAACAAGAGCCTCTATTCAAGACACTGCAAAGAAATCCGGCCTCCTTTCAAGTTAGTGCTTCTCGCTGTATATTCCCCTTGAGGCAGCAAACTCGGGGTCCCTCCCACATACCTATTGCTGAGAGAAGCCTCCTCCTGAGGTGCTTCTGGAAAGTTGGCATATGTCTTGAGCCTAAGCCAGGGAATCAGCTCTCATCTCGAGACAATTTTGGGTACACGGAGCATTCCTCGAGTTGCTGTGCTGAAGTTGGTGTTCCTCTAGACTTGGGCCAGTGTTCTCGGGGCATCTCTGGAGTTGCCTGAAGGAAGTCGAGCCACCGGTCGTGTTGAATGGGGAACGGGAATGGCTATGGAGTCAATGCAGGGGAATCGGGCCTCATCTCGAGTTGATTTGGGGCACATGGAGCTGCTTTGTGTTGCTGGGGTGACCTCAGGGTCCGTCTAGACTGGTGACAGTGTTCCTGGGTACTGTCTCGAGATCCATTAAGCAAGTCGAAGGTCCTGATTTGTTTGAATGGGATCACGGAATAGCTCTGCCTGCACTGCAGGGGATTTGGGCCTCATCTCGCCTCTAGGGGGAAGTCTCATGGTTTTTCTCGAGTTGCGGCAGTGACCTGGGGTATGTTCTCGACTTACGGCGGGGATGGCCCTTCAAAACACGAGTTTCTTCAGTGACGTCAGGACTCCTGTCTAGTAACGAGGGACACTTCAGGAATCTCTTCGAGGCTTGGCAGGGCAAACGGGACGCTTCTCGAGGTGAGGAAGGGCACCCCGGGACCCTTTCCAGTAGCCACAGGGATTTTGGGATTCCTATCAGTATTCAAGTGGAGTCAGGCATCTTCACCTTTTGAAGCAATGAACTCCGCGTGCCTCTCGAGGTGTCAACGGGATGTGAGGCATTCCGTCAAAATGAGGCAGGGACCTAGGGCTTTCTCTAAGGTCTCCACAGGGGATTAAGACATCCCTTCATGTTGTCAGATGAAAGACGAGCCTGTATTCAAGCCACTGCAAGGAAATCCGGCCTCCTTTCAAGGTAGGGCTTCTCGCTGTATATTCCACTTGAGGCAGCGATCTCGGGGTCCCTCCTACATACCTATTGCTGAGAGAAGCCTCCTCCTGAGGTGCTTCTGGAAAGTTGGCATACGTCTTGAGCCTAAGCCAGGGAATCAGCTCTCATCTCGAGACGATTTGGGGTACAAGGCGCATTCCTCGAGTTGCTGTGCTGAAGTTGGTGTTCCTCTATACTTGGGACAGAATTCTCGGGGCAACTCTGGCGTTGCCTGAAGGAAGTCGAGCCACCGGCCGTGTTGAATGGGGAACGGGAAATGGCTCTGGAGTCAATGCAGGGGAATCGGGCCTCATCTCGAGTTGATTTGTGGCACATGGAGCTGCTTTGCGTTGTTGGGGTGACTTCAGGGTCCGTCTAGACTGGTGACAGTGTTCTTGGGGACTCTCTCGAGATCCATTAAGCAAGTCGAAGCTCCTGACTGGTTTGAATGGGATCACGGAATAGCTCTGCATGCACTGCAGCGGAATGGGGCCTCATCTCGCCTCTAGGGAGAAGTCTCATGGTTTTTCTCGAGTTGCGGCGGGGACCTGGGGTATGTTCTCGACTTACGGCGGGGATGGCCCTTCAAAACACGAGTTTCTTTAGTGACGTCAGGACTCCAGTCTAGTAACGAGGGACACCTCAGGAATCTCTTCGAGGCTTGGCAGGGCAAAAGGGATGCTTCTCGAGGTGAGGCAGGGCACCCAAGGACCCTTTCCAGTAGCCACAGGGATTTTGGGATTCCTATCAGTATTCAAAAGGAGTTAGGCATCGTCACATTTTGAAGCAATGAACTCCGCGTGCCTCTCGAGGTGTCAACGGGATGTGAGGCATTCCGTCAAAATGAGGCAGGGACCTAGGTCTTTTTCTAAGTCTCCAAAGGGGATTCAGACATCCCTTCAGGTTTTGAGATCAAAGACGAGCCTGTATTCAAGCCACTGCAAGGAAGTACGGCCTCCGTTCAAGTTAGGGCTTCTCGCTGTATATTCCACTTGAGGCAGCGATCTCGGTGTCTCTCCCAGATACCTATTGCTGAGAGAAGCCTCCTCCTGAGGTGCCTCTGGAAAGTTGGCATACGTCTTGAGCCTAAGCCAGGGAATCAGCTCTCATCTCGAGACGATTTGGGTTACACAAAGCATTCCTCCAGTTGCTGTGCTGAAGTTGGTGTTCCTCTAGACTTGGAACAGTGTTCTCGGGGCATCTCTGGAGCTGCCTGAAGGAAGCCGAGCCACTTTTAGTGTTGAATGGGGAACGGGGAATGGCTCTGGAGTCAATGCAGGGGAATCGGGCCTCATCTCGAGTTGATTTGGGGCACATGTTGCTAGTTTGCGTTGCTGGAGTGACCTCAGGGTCCGTCTAGACTGGTGACAGTGTTCTTGGGGACTGTCTCGAGATCCATTAAGCAATTCGAAGCTCCTGATTTGTTTGAATGGGATCACGGAATAGATCTGCATGCACTGCAGGGGAATGGGGCCTCATCTCGCCTCTAGAGGGAAGTCTCAAGGTTTTTCTCGAGTTGCGGCGGGGACCTGGGCTATGTTCTCGACTTACGGCGGGGATGGCCCTTCAAAACACGAGTTTCTTCAGTGACGTCAGGACTCCAATCTAGTAAACAGGGACACCTCAGCAAACTCTTTCAGGCTTGGCAGGGCAAAAGGGATGCTTCTCGATTTGAGGCAGGGCACCCAAGGACCCTTTCCAGTAGCCACAGCGATTTTGGGATTCCTATCAGTATTCAAGAGGAGTCAGGCATCGTCACCTTTTGAAGCAATGAACTCCGCGTGCCTCTCGAGGTGTCAACGGGTTGTGAGGCATTCCATCAAAATCAGGCAGGGACCTAGGGCTTTCTCTAAGGTCTCCACAGGGAATTCAGACATCCCTTCATGTTTTGAGATCAAAGACGAGCCTTTATGCAAGCCACTGCAAGGAAATCCGGCCTCCTTTCAATATAGGGCTTCTCGCTGTATATTCCCCTTGAAGCAGCGATCTTGGGGTCCCTCCCAAATACCTATTGCTGAGAGAAGCCTCCTCCTGAGGTGCTTCTGGAAAGTTAGCATACGTCTTGAGCCTAAGGCAGGGAATCAGCTCGCATCTCGAGACGATTTGGTGTACATGGAGCATTCCTCGAGTTGCTGTGCTGAGGTTGGTGTTCCTCTATACTTGGGACAGTGTTCTCGGGGCATCTCTGGAGTTCCCTGAAGGAAGTCGAGCCACCGGTCGTGTTGAATGGGGAACGGGGAATTGCTCTGGAGTCAATGCAGGGGAATCGGGCCTCATCTCGTGTTGATTTGGGGCACATGGAGCTTCTTTGCGTTGCTGGGGTGACCTCAGGGTCCGTCTAGACTGGTGACAGTGTTCTTGGGGACTGTCTCGAGATCCATTAAGCAAGTCGAAGCTCCTGACTGGTTTGAATGGGATCACGGAATAGCTCTGCATGCACTGCATGGGAATGGGGCCTCATCTCGCCTCTAGGGGGAAGTCTCATGGTTTTTCTCGAGTTGCGGCGGGGACCTGGGGTATGTTCTCGACTTACAGCGGGGATGGCCCTTCAAAACACAAGTTTCTTCAGTGACGTCAGGACTCCTGTCTAGTAACGAGGGACACCTCAGGAATCTCTTCGAGGCTTGCCAGGGCAAAAGGGACGCTTCTCGAGGTGAGGCAGGGCACCCAAGGACCCTTTCCAGTAGCCACAGGGATTTGGGGTTCCTATCAGTATTCAAGAAGAGTCAGGCATCGTCCCTTTTGAATCAATGAACTCCGCGTGCCTCTCGAGGTGTCAGCGGGATGTGAGGCATTCCGTCAAAATGAGGCAGGGACCTAGGGCTTTCTCTAAGGTCTCCACATGGGATTCAGACATCCCTTCATTTTGTGAGATGAAAGACGAGACTGTATTCAAGCCAATGCAAGGAAATCTGGCCTCCTTTCAAGTTAGGGCTTCTCGCTGTATATTTCCCTTGAGGCAGCAAACTCGGGGTCCCTCCCACGTAACTATTGCTGAGAGAAGCCTCCTCCTGAGGTGCTTCTGGAAAGTTGGCATACGCCTTGAGCCTAAGCCAGGGAATCAGCTCGCATCTCGAGACGATTTGGGGTACACGGAGCATTCCTCGAGTTGCTGGGCTGAAGTTGGTGTTCCTCTAGACTTGGGACAGTGTTCTCGGGGCATCTCTGGAGTTGCCTGAAGGAAGTCGAGCCACCGGTCGTGTTGAATGGGGAAGGGGGAATGGCTCTGGAGTCAATGCAGGGGAATCGGGCCTCATCTCGTGTTGATTTGGGGCACATGGAGCTGCTTTGAGTTGCTGGGGTGACTTCAGGGTCCGTCTAGACTGGTGACAGTGTTCTTGGGACTGTCTCGAGATCCATTAAGCAAGTCGAAGCTCCTGACTTGTTTGAATGGGATCACGGAATAGCTCTGCATGCACTGCAGGGGAATGGGGCCTCATCTCGCCTCTAGGGGGAAGTCTCATGGTTTTTCTCGAGTTGCGGTGGGGACCTGGGGTATGTTCTCGACTTACGGCGGGGATGGCCCATCAAAACACGTGTTTCTTCAGTGACGTCAGGACTCCTGTCTAGTAACGAGGGACACCTCAGGAAACTCTTTGAGGCTTGGCAGGGCAAAACGGATGTTTCTCGAGGTGAGCAGGGCACCCAAGGACCCTTTCCAGTAGCCACAGGGATTTTGGGATTCCTATCAGTATTCAAGAGGAGTCAGGCATCGTCACCTTTTGAAACAATGAACTCCGCGTGCCTCTCGAGGTGTCAACGGGATGTGAGGCATTCCGTCAAAATGAGGCAGGGACCTAGGGCTTTCTCTAAGGTCTCCACAGGGAATTCAGACATCCCTTCATGTTTTGAGATCAAAGACGAGCCTTTATGCAAGCCACTGCAAGGAAATCCGGCCTCCTTTCAATATGGGGCTTCTCGCTGTATATTCCTATTGAAGCAGCGATCTCGGGGTCCCTCCCACATACCTATTGCTGAGAGAAGCCTCATCCTGAGGTGCTTCTGGAAAGTTAGCATACGTCTTGAGCCTAAGGCAGGGAATCAGCTCTCATCTCGAGACGATTTGCTGTACATGGAGCATTCCTCGAGTTGCTGTGCTGAGGTTGGTGTTCCTGTAGACTTGGGACAGTGTTCTCGGGGCATCTCTGGAGATCCCTGAAGGAAGTCGAGCCACCGGTCGTGTTGAATGGGGAACGGGGAATTGCTCTGGAGTCAGTGCATGGGAATCGGGCCTCATCTCGTGTTGATTTGGGGCACATGGAGCTGCTTTGCGTTGCTGGGGTGACCTCAGGGTCCGTCTAGACTGGTGACAGTGTTCTTGGGGGCTTTCTCCAGATCCATTAAGCAAGTCGAAGCTCCTGACTTGTTTGAATGGGATCACGGAATAGCTCTGCATGCACTGCAGGGGAATGGGGCCTCATCTCGCCTCTAGAGGGAAGTCTCATGGTTTTTCTCGAGTTGCGGCGGGGACCTGGGGTATGTTCTCGAGTTACGGCGGGGATGGCCCATCAAAACACGTGTTTCTTCAGTGACGTCAGGACTCCTGTCTAGTAACGATGGACACCTCAGGAATCACTTTGAGGCTTGGCAGGGCAAAAGGGATGCTTCTCGAGGTGAGCAGGGCACCCAAGGACCCTTTCCAGTAGCCACAGGGATTTTGGGATTCCTATCAGTATTCAAGAGGAGTCAGGCATCGTCACCTTTTGAAGCAATGAACTCCGCGTGCCTCTCGAGGTGTCAGCGGGATGTGAGGCATTCCCTCAAAATGAGGCAGGGACCAAAGGCTTTCTCTAAGGCCTCCAAAGGGGATTCAGACTTCCCTTCATGTTTTGAGAACAGAGACGAGCCTGTATTCAAGCCAATGCAAGGAAATCCGGCCTCCTTTCAAGTTAGGGCTTCTCGCTGTATATTCCACTTGAAGCAGCGATCTCGGGTTCCCTCCCACATACGTATTGCTGAGAGATGCCTCCTCCTGAGGTGCTTCTGGAAAGTAGGCATACGGCTTTAGCTAAGTCAGGGAATCAGCTCTCATCTCGAGACGATTTGGGGTACACGGAGCATTCCTCGAGTTGCTGTGCTGAAGTTGGTGTTCCTCTAGACTTGGGACAGTGTTCTCGGGGCATCTCTGGAGTTGCCTGAAGGAAGTCGAGCCACCGGTCGTGTTGAATGGGGAACGCGGAATGAGTCTGGAGTCAATGCAGGGGAATCGGGCCTCATCTCGAGTTGATTTGGGGCACATGGAGCTGATTTGCGTTGCTGGGGTGACCTCAGGTTCCGTCTAGACTGGTGACAGTGTTCTTGGGGACTGTCTCGAGATCCATTAAGCAAGTCGAAGCTCCTGACTGGTTTGAATGGGATCACAGAATAGCTCTGCATGCACTGCAGGGGAATGGGGCCTCATCTCGCCTCTAGGGGGAAGTCTCATGGTTTTTCTCGAGTTGCGGCGGGGACCTGGGGTATGTTCTCGACTTACGGTGGGGATGGCCCTTCAAAACACGAGTTTCTTCAGTGACGTCAGGACTTCTGTCTAGTAACGAGGGACACCTCAGGAATCTCTTCGAGGCTTGCCAGGGCAAAAGGGACGCTTCTCGAGGTGAGGCAGGGCACCCAAGGGCCCTTTCCAGTAGCCAGAGGGATTTGGGGATTCCTATCAGTATTCAAGAAGAGTCAGGCATCGTCCCTTTTGAAGCAATGAACTCCGCGTGCCTCTCGAGGTGTCAGCGGGATGTGAGGCATTCCGTCAAAATGAGGCAGGGACCTAGGGCTTTCTCTAAGGTCTCCACAGGGGATTCAGACATCCCTTCATTTTGTGAGATGAAAGACGAGCCTGTATTCAAGCCAATGCAAGGAAATCCGGCCTCCTTTCAAGTTAGGGCTTCTCACTGTATATTTCCCTTGAGGCAGTAAACTCGGGGTCCCTCCCACATAACTATTGCTGAGAGAATCCTCCTCCTGAGGTGCTTCTGGAAAGTTGGCATACGTCTTGAGCCTAAGCCAGGGAATCTGCTCTCATCTCCAGACGATTTGGGGTACATGGAGCATTCCTCGAGTTGCTGTGCTGAAGTTGGTGTTCCTCTAGACTTGGGACAGTGTTCTCGGGGCATCTCTGGAGTTGGCTGAAGGAAGTCGAGCCACCGGTCGTGTTGAATGGGGAAGGGGGAATGGCTCTGGAGTCAATGCAGGGGAATCGGGCCTCCTCTCGATTTGATTTGGGGCACATGGAGCTGCTTTGTGTTGTTGGGGTGACCTCAGGGTCCGTCTAGACTGGTGACAGTGTTCTTGGGGACTCTCTCGAGATCCAATAAGCAAGTCGAAGCTCCTGACTTGTTTGAATGGGATCACGGAATAGCTCTGCATGCACTGCAGGGGAATGGGGCCTCACCTCGCCTCTAGGGGGAAGTCTCATGGTTTTTCTCGAGTTGCGGCGGTGACCTGGGGTATGTTCTCGACTTACGGCGGGGATGGCCCTTCAAAACACGAGTTTCTTCAGTGACGTCAGGACTCCTGTCTAGCAACGAGGTACACCTCAGGAATCTCTTCGAGGCTTGGCAGGGCAAAAGGGACGCTTCTCGAGGTGAGGCAGGGCAACCAAGGACCCTTTCCAGTAGCCACAGGGATTTTGGGATACCTATCAGTATTCAAGAGGAGTCAGGCATCGTCACCTTCTGAAGCAATGAACTCCGCGTGCCTCTCGAGGGGTCAGCGGGATGTGAGGCATTCCGTCAAAATGAGGCAGGGACCTAGGGCTTTCTCTAAGGTCTCCACAGGGTATTCAGACATCCCTTCATGTTGTGAGATGAAAGACGAGCCTGTATTCAAGCCACTGCAAGGAAATCCGGCCTCCTTTCAAGTTAGGGCTTCTCGCTGTATATTCCCCTTGAGGCAGCAAACTCGGGGTCCCTCCCACATACCTATTGCTGAGAGAAGCCTCCTCCTGAGGTGCTTCTGGAAAGTTGGCATACGTCTTGAGCCTAAGCCAGGGAATCAGCTCTCATCTCGAGACGATTTGGGGTACCCGGAGAGGTCCTCGAGTTGCTGTGCTGAAGTTGGTGTTCCTCTAGACTTGGGACAGTGTTCTCGGGGCATCTCTGGAGTTGCCTGAAGGAAGTCGAGCCACCGGTCGTGTTGAATGTGGAACGGGGAATGGCTCTGGAGTCAATGCAGGGGAATCGGGCCTCATCTCGAGTTGATTTGTGGCACATGGAGCTTCTTTGCGTTGCTGGGGTGACCTCAGGGTCCGTCTAGACTGGTGACAGTGTTCTTGGGGACTGTCTCGAGATCCAATAACCAAGTCGAAGCTCCTGACTTGTTTGAATGGGATCACGGAATACCTCTGCATGCACTGCAGGGGAATGGGGCCTCACCTCGCCTCTAGGGGGAAGTCTCATGGTTTTTCTCGAGTTGCGGCGGGGACCTGGGGTATGTTCTCGACTTACGGCGGGGATGGCCCTTCAAAACACGAGTTTCTTCAGTGACGTCAGGACTACTGTCTAGCAACGAGGGACACCTCAGGAATCTCTTCGAGGCTTGGCAGGGCAAAAGGGACGCTTCTCGAGGTGAGGCAGGGCAACCAAGGACCCTTTCCAGTAGCCACAGGGATTTTCGGATTCCTATCAGTATTCAAGAGGAGTCAGGCATCGTCACCTTTTGAATCAATGAACTCCGCGTGCCTCTCGAGGTGTCAGCGGGATGTGAGGCATTCCGTCAAAGTGAGGCAGGGACCTAGGGCTTTCTCGAAGGTCTCCACAGGGGATTCAGACATCCCTTCATGTTCTGAAATGAAACACGAGCCTGTATTCAAGCCACTGCAAGGAAATCCGGCCTCCTTTCAAGTTAGGGCTTCTCGCTGTATATTCCCCTTGAGGCAGCAAACTCGGGGTCCCTCCCACATACCTATTGCTGAGACAGCCTCCTCCTGAGGTGCTTCTGGAAAGTTGGCATACGTCTTGAGCCTAAGCCAGGGAATCAGCTCTCATCTCGAAACGATTTGGGGTACACGGAGCATTCCTCGAGTTGCTGTGCTGAAGTTGGTGTTTCTCTAGACTTGGGACAGTGTTCTCGGGGCATCACTGGAGTTGCCTGAAGGAAGTCGAGACACTGGTCGTGTTGAATGGAGAACGGGGAATGGCTCTGGAGTCAATGCAGGGGAATCGGGCCTCATCTCGAGCTGATTTGTGGCACATGGAGCTGCTTTGCGTTGCTTGGGTGACCTCATGGTCCGTCTAGACTGGTGACAGTGTTCTTGGTGACTGTCTCGAGATCCATTAAGCAAGTCGAAGCTCCTGACTTGTTTGAATGGGATCACGGAATAGCTCTGCATGCACTGCAGGGGAATGGGGCCTCATCTCGCCTCTAGGGGGAAGTCTCATGGTTTTTCTCGATTTGCGGCGGGGACCTGGGGTATGTTCTCGACTTACGGCGGGGATGGCCCTTCAAAACACGAGTTTCTTCAGTGACGTCAGGACTCCTGTCTAGTAACGAGGGAAACCTCAGGAATCTCTTCGAGGCTTGGCAGGTCAAAAGGGACGCTTCTCGAGGTGAGGCAGGGCAACCAAGGACCCTTTCCAGTAGCCACAGGGATTTTGGGATTCGTATCAGTATTCAAGAGGAGTCAGGCATCGTCACCTTTTGAAGCAATGAACTCCGCCTGCCTCTTGAGGTGTCAACGGTATGTGAGGCATTCCGTCAAATTGAGGCAGGGACTTAGGGCTTTCTCTAAGGTCTCAACAGGGGATTCAGACATCCCTTCATGTTGTGAAATGAAACACGAGCCTGTATTCAAGACACTGCAAGGAAAATCTGCCTCCTTTCAAGTTAGGTCTTCTCGCTGTATATTCCCCTTGAGGCAGCAAACTCGGGGTCCCTCCCACATACCTATTGCTGAGAGAAACCTCCTCCTGAGGTGCTTCTGGAAAGTTGGCATACGTCTTGAGCCTAAGCCAGGGAATCAGCTCTCATCTCGAGACGATTTGGGGTACACGGAGCATTCCTCGAGTTGCTGTGCTGAAGTTGGTGTTCCTCTAGACTTGGGCCAGTGTTCTCGGGGCATCTCTGGAGTTGCCTGAAGGAAGTCGACCCACCGGTCGTGTTGAATGGGGAACGGGAATGGCTATGGAGTCAATCTAGGGGAATCGGGCCTCATCTCGAGTTGATTTGGGGCACATGGAGCTGCTTTGCGTTGCTTGGGTGACCTCATGGTCCGTCTAGACTGGTGACAGTGTTCTTGGGGACTGTCTCGAGATCCATTAAGCAAGTCGAAGCTCCTGACTGGTTTGAATGGGATCACGGAATAGCTCTGCATGCACTGCAGGGGAATGGGGCCTCATCTCGCCTCTAGGGGGAAGTCTCATGGTTTTTCTCGAGTTGCGGCGGGGACCTGGGGTATGTTCTCGACTTACGGCGGGGATGGCCCTTCAAAACACGAGTTTCTTCAGTGACGTCAGGACTTCTGTCTAGTAACGAGGGACACCTCAGGAATCTCTTCGAGGCTTGCCAGGGCAAAAGGGACGCTTCTCGAGGTGAGGCAGGGCACCCAAGGCCCATTTCCAGTAGCCAGAGGGATTTGGGGATTCCTATCAGTATTCAAGAAGAGTCAGGCATCGTCCCTTTTGAAGCAATGAACTCCGCGTGCCTCTCGAGGTGTCAGCGGGATGTGAGGCATTCCGTCAAAATGAGGCAGGGACCTAGGGCTTTCTCTAAGGTCTCCACAGGGGATTCAGACATCCCTTCATTTTGTGAGATGAAAGACGAGCCTGTATTCAAGCCAATGCAAGGAAATCCGGCCTCCTTTCAAGTTAGGGCTTCTCGCTGTATATTCCCCTTGAGGCAGCAAACTCGGGGTCCCTCCCACATACCTATTTCTGAGAGAAGCCTCCTCCTGAGGTGCTTCTGGAAAGTTGGCATACGTCTTGAGCCTAAGCCAGGGAATCAGCTCTCATCTCGAGACGATTTGGGGTACCCGGAGAGGTCCTCGAGTTGCTGTGCTGAAGTTGGTGTTCCTCTAGACTTGGGACAGTGTTCTCGGGGCATCTCTGGAGTTGCCTGAAGGAAGTCGAGCCACCGGTCGTGTTGAATGTGGAACGGGGAATGGCTCTGGAGTCAATGCAGGGGAATCGGGCCTCATCTCGAGTTGATTTGTGGCACATGGAGCTTCTTTGCGTTGCTGGGGTGACCTCAGGGTCCGTCTAGACTGGTGACAGTGTTCTTGGGGACTGTCTCGAGATCCAATAACCAAGTCGAAGCTCCTGACTTGTTTGAATGGGATCACGGAATACCTCTGCATGCACTGCAGGGGAATGGGGCCTCACCTCGCCTCTAGGGGGAAGTCTCATGGTTTTTCTCGAGTTGCGGCGGGGACCTGGGGTATGTTCTCGACTTACGGCGGGGATGGCCCTTCAAAACACGAGTTTCTTCAGTGACGTCAGGACTACTGTCTAGCAACGAGGGACACCTCAGGAATCTCTTCGAGGCTTGGCAGGGCAAAAGGGACGCTTCTCGAGGTGAGGCAGGGCAACCAAGGACCCTTTCCAGTAGCCACAGGGATTTTCGGATTCCTATCAGTATTCAAGAGGAGTCAGGCATCGTCACCTTTTGAATCAATGAAGTCTGCGTGCCTCTCGAGGTGTCAGCGGGATGTGAGGCATTCCGTCAAAGTGAGGCAGGGACCTAGGGCTTTCTCGAAGGTCTCCACAGGGGATTCAGACATCCCTTCATGTTCTGAAATGAAACACGAGCCTGTATTCAAGCCACTGCAAGGAAATCCGGCCTCCTTTCAAGTTAGGTCTTCTCGCTGTATATTCCCCTTGAGGCAGCAAACTCGGGGTCCCTCCCACATACCTATTGCTGAGACAGCCTCCTCCTGAGGTGCTTCTGGAAAGTTGGCATACGTCTTGAGCCTAAGCCAGGGAATCAGCTCTCATCTCGAAACGATTTGGGGTACACGGAGCATTCCTCGAGTTGCTGTGCTGAAGTTGGTGTTTCTCTAGACTTGGGACAGTGTTCTCGGGGCATCTCTGGAGTTGCCTGAAGGAAGTCGAGACACTGGTCGTGTTGAATGGGGAACGGGGAATGGCTCTGGAGTCAATGCAGGGGAATCGGGCCTCATCTCGAGCTGATTTGTGGCACATGGAGCTGCTTTGCGTTGCTTGGGTGACCTCATGGTCCGTCTAGACTGGTGACAGTGTTCTTGGTGACTGTCTCGAGATCCATTAAGCAAGTCGAAGCTCCTGACTTGTTTGAATGGGATCACGGAATAGCTCTGCATGCACTGCAGGGGAATGGGGCCTCATCTCGCCTCTAGGGGGAAGTCTCATGGTTTTTCTCGATTTGCGGCGGGGACCTGGGGTATGTTCTCGACTTACGGCGGGGATGGCCCTTCAAAACACGAGTTTCTTCAGTGACGTCAGGACTCCTGTCTAGTAACGAGGGAAACCTCAGGAATCTCTTCGAGGCTTGGCAGGTCAAAAGGGACGCTTCTCGAGGTGAGGCAGGGCAACCAAGGACCCTTTCCAGTAGCCACAGGGATTTTGGGATTCGTATCAGTATTCAAGAGGAGTCAGGCATCGTCACCTTTTGAAGCAATGAACTCCGCCTGCCTCTTGAGGTTTCAACGGTATGTGAGGCATTCCATCAAATTGAGGCAGGGACTTAGGGCTTTCTCTAAGGTCTCAACAGGGGATTCAGACATTCCTTCATGTTGTGAAATGAAACACGAGCCTGTATTCAAGACACTGCAAGGAAAATCTGCCTCCTTTCAAGTTAGGGCTTCTCGCTGTATATTCCCCTTGAGGCAGCAAACTTGGGGTTCCTCCCACATACCTATTGCTGAGAGAAACCTCCTCCTGAGGTGCTTCTGGAAAGTTGGCATACGTCTTGAGCCTAAGCCAGGGAATCAGCTCTCATCTCGAGACGATTTGGGGTACACGGAGCATTCCTCGAGTTGCTGTGCTGAAGTTGGTGTTCCTCTAGACTTGGGCCAGTGTTCTCGGGGCATCTCTGGAGTTGCCTGAAGGAAGTCGACCCACCGGTCGTGTTGAATGGGGAACGGGAATGGCTATGGAGTCAATCTAGGGGAATCGGGCCTCATCTCGAGTTGATTTGGGGCACATGGAGCTGCTTTGCGTTGCTTGGGTGACCTCATGGTCCGTCTAGACTGGTGACAGTGTTCTTGGGGACTGTCTCGAGATCCATTAAGCAAGTCGAAGCTCCTGACTGGTTTGAATGGGATCACGGAATAGCTCTGCATGCACTGCAGGGGAATGGGGCCTCATCTCGCCTCTAGGGGGAAGTCTCATGGTTTTTCTCGAGTTGCGGCGGGGACCTGGGGTATGTTCTCGACTTACGGCTGGGATGGCCCTTCAAAACACGAGTTTCTTCAGTGACGTCAGGACTTCTGTCTAGTAACGAGGGACACCTCAGGAATCTCTTCGAGGCTTGCCAGGGCAAAAGGGACGCTTCTCGAGGTGAGGCAGGGCACCCAAGGCCCATTTCCAGTAGCCAGAGGGATTTGGGGATTCCTATCAGTATTCAAGAAGAGTCAGGCATCGTCCCTTTTGAAGCAATGAACTCCGCGTGCCTCTCGAGGTGTCAGCGGGATGTGAGGCATTCCGTCAAAATGAGGCAGGGACCTAGGGCTTTCTCTAAGGTCTCCACAGGGGATTCAGACATCCCTTCATTTTGTGAGATGAAAGACGAGCCTGTATTCAAGCCAATGCAAGGAAATCCGGCCTCCTTTCAAGTTAGGGCTTCTCGCTGTATATTTCCCTTGAGGCAGCAAACTCGGGGTCCCTCCCACATAACTATTGCTGAGAGAAGCCTCCTCCTGAGGTGCTTCTGGAAAGTTGGCATACGTCTTGAGCCTAAGCCAGGGAATCAGCTCTCATCTCCAGACGATTTGGGGTACATGGAGCATTCCTCGAGTTGCTGTGCTGAAGTTGGTGTTCCTCTAGACTTGGGACAGTGTTCTCGGGGCATCTCTGGAGTTGCCTGAAGGAAGTCGAGCCACCGGTCTTGTTGAATGGGGAAGGGGGAATGGCTCTGGAGTCAATGCAGGGGAATCGGGCCTCCTCTCGAGTTGATTTGGGGCACATGGAGCTGCTTTGTGTTGCTGGGGTAACCTCAGGGTCCGTCTAGACTGGTGACAGTGTTCTTGGGGACTCTCTCGAGATCCAATAAGCAAGTCGAAGCTCCTGACTTGTTTGAAAGGGATCACGGAATAGCTCTGCATGCACTGCAGGGGAATGGGGCCTCACGTCGCCTCTAGGGGGAAGTCTCATGGTTTTTCTCGAGTTGCGGCGGTGACCTGGGGTATGTTCTCGACTTACGGCGGGGATGGCCCTTCAAAACACGAGTTTCTTCAGTGACGTCAGGACTCCTGTCTAGCAACGAGGTACACCTCAGGAATCTCTTCGAGGCTTGGCAGGGCAAAAGGGACGCTTCTCGAGGTGAGGCAGGGCAACCAAGGACCCTTTCCAGTAGCCACAGGGATTTTGGGATACCTATCAGTATTCAAGAGGAGTCAGGCATCGTCACCATCTGAAGCAATGAACTCCGCGTGCCTCTCGAGGGGTCAGCGGGATGTGAGGCATTCCGTCAAAATGAGGCAGGGTCCTAGGGCTTTCTCTAAGGTCTCCACAGGGTATTCAGACATCCCTTCATGTTGTGAGATGAAAGACGAGCCTGTATTCAAGCCACTGCAAGGAAATCCGGCCTCCTTTCAAGTTAGGGCTTCTCGCTGTATATTTCCCTTGAGGCAGCAAACTCGGGGTCCCCCCCACATACCTATTGCTGAGAGAAGCCTCCTCCTGAGGTGCTTCTGGAAAGTTGGCATACGTCTTGAGCCTAAGCCAGGGAATCAGCTCTCATCTCGAGACGATTTGTGGTACCCGGAGAGGTCCTCGAGTTGCTGTGCTGAAGTTGGTGTTCCTCTAGACTTGGGACAGTGTTCTCGGGGCATCTCTGGAGTTGCCTGAAGGAAGTCGAGCCACCGGTCGTGTTGAATGTGGAACGGGGAATGGCTCTGGAGTCAATGCAGGGGAATCGGGCCTCATCTCGAGTTGATTTGTGGCACATGGAGCTTCTTTGCGTTGCTGGGGTGACCTCAGGGTCCGTCTAGACTGGTGACAGTGTTCTTGGGGACTGTCTCGAGATCCAATAACCAAGTCGAAGCTCCTGACTTGTTTGAATGGGATCACGGAATACCTCTGCATGCACTGCAGGGGAATGGGGCCTCACCTCGCCTCTAGGGGGAAGTCTCATGGTTTTTCTCGAGTTGCGGCGGGGACCTGGGGTATGTTCTCGACTTACGGCGGGGATGGCCCTTCAAAACACGAGTTTCTTCAGTGATGTCAGGACTCCTGTCTAGCAACGAGGGACACCTCAGGAATCTCTTCGAGGCTTGGCAGGGCAAAAGGGACGCTTCTCGAGGTGAGGCAGGGCACCCAAGGACCCTTTCCAGTAGCCACAGGGATTTTCGGATTCCTATCAGTATTCAAGAGGAGTCAGGCATCGTCACCTTTTGAAGCAATGAACTCCGCGTGCCTCTCGAGGTGTCAGCGGGATGTGAGGCATTCCGTCAAAGTGAGGCAGGGACCTAGGGCTTTCTCTAAGGTCTCCACAGGGGATTCAGACATCCCTTCATGTTCTGAAATGAAACACGAGCCTGTATTCAAGCCACTGCAAGGAAATCCGGCCTCCTTTCAAGTTAGGGCTTCTCGCTGTATATTCCCCTTGAGGCAGCAAACTCGGGGTCCCTCCCACATACCTATTGCTGAGACAGCCTCCTCCTGAGGTGCTTCTGGAAAGTTGGCATACGTCTTGAGCCTAAGCCAGGGAATCAGCTCTCATCTCGAAACGATTTGGGGTACACGGAGCATTCCTCGAGTTGCTGTGCTGAAGTTGGTGTTTCTCTAGCCTTGGGACAGTGTTCTCGGGGCATCTCTGGAGTTCCCTGAAGGAAGTCGAGCCACCGGTCGTGTTGAATGGGGAACGGGGAATTGCTCTGGAGTCAATGCAGGGGAATCGGGCCTCATCTCGTGTTGATTTGGGGCACATGGAGCTGCTTTGCGTTGCTGGGGTGACCTCAGGGTCCGTCTAGACTGGTGACAGTGTTCTTGGGGACTGTCTCGAGATCCATTAAGCAAGTCGAAGCTCCTGACTGGTTTGAATGGGATCACGGAATAGCTCTGCATGCACTGCAGGGGAATGGGGCCTCATCTCGCCTCTAGGGGGAAGTCTCATGGTTTTTCTCGAGTTGCGGCGGGGACCTGGGGTATGTTCTCGACTTACGGCGGGGATGGCCCTTCAAAACACGAGTTTCTTCAGTGACGTCAGGACTTCTGTCTAGTAACGAGGGACACCTCAGGAATCTCTTCGAGGATTGCCAGGGCAAAAGGGACGCTTCTCGAGGTGAGGCAGGGCACCCAAGGCCCCTTTCCAGTAGCCAGAGGGATTTGGGGATTCCTATCAGTATTCAAGAAGAGTCAGGCATCGTCCCTTTTGAAGCAATGAACTCCGCGTGCCTCTCGAGGTGTCAGCGGGATGTGAGGCATTCCGTCAAAATGAGGCAGGGACCTAGGGCTTTCTCTAAGGTCTCCTCAGGGGATTCAGACATCCCTTCATGTTGTGAGATGAAAGACGAGCCTGTATTCAAGCCAATGCAAGGAAATCCGGCCTCCTTTCAAGTTAGGGCTTCTCGCTGTATATTTCCCTTGAGGCAGCAAACTCGGGGTCCCTCCCACAAAACTATTGCTGAGAGAAGCCTCCTCCTGAGGTGCTTCTGGAAAGTTGGCATACGTCTTGAGCCTAAGCCAGGGAATCAGCTCTCATCTCCAGACGATTTGGGGTACATGGAGCATTCCTCGAGTTGCTGTGCTGAAGTTGGTGTTCCTCTAGACTTGGGACAGTGTTCTCGGGGCATCTCTGGAGTTGCCTGAAGGAAGTCGAGCCACCGGTCGTGTTGAATGGGGAAGGGGGAATGGCTCTGGAGTCAATGCAGGGGAATCGGGCCTCCTCTCGAGTTGATTTGGGGCACATGGAGCTGCTTTGTGTTGCTGGGGTGACCTCAGGGTCCGTCTAGACTGGTGACAGTGTTCTTGGGGACTCTCTCGAGATCCAATAAGCAAGTCGAAGCTCCTGACTTGTTTGAATGGGATCACGGAATAGCTCTGCATGCACTGCAGGGGAATGGGGCCTCACCTCGCCTCTAGGGGGAAGTCTCATGGTTTTTCTCGAGTTGCGGCGGTGACCTGGGGAATGTTCTCGACTTACGGCGGGGATGGCCCTTCAAAACACGAGTTTCTTCAGTGACGTCAGGACTCCTGTCTAGCAACGAGGGACACCTCAGGATTCTCTTCGAGGCTTGGCAGGGCAAAAGGGACGCTTCTCGAGGTGAGGCAGGGCAACCAAGGACCCTTTCCAGTAGCCACAGGGATTTTGGGATACCTATCAGTATTCAAGAGGAGTCAGGCATCGTCACCTTCTGAAGCAATGAACTCCGCGTGCCTCTCGAGGGGTCAGCGGGATGTGAGGCATTCCGTCAAAATGAGGCAGGGACCTAGGGCTTTCTCTAAGGTCTCCACAGGGTATTCAGACATCCCTTCATGTTGTGAGATGAAAGACGAGCCTGTATTCAAGCCACTGCAAGGAAATCCGGCCTCCTTTCAAGTTAGGGCTTCTCGCTGTATATTCCCCTTGAGGCAGCAAACTCGGGGTCCCTCCCACATACCTATTGCTGAGAGAAGCCTCCTCCTGAGGTGCTTCTGGAAAGTTGGCATACGTCTTGACCCTAAGCCAGGGAATCAGCTCTCATATCGAGATGATTTGGGGTACCCGGAGAGTTCCTCGAGTTGCTGTGCTGAAGTTGGTGTTCCTCTAGACTTGGGACAGTGTTCTCGGGGCATCTCTGGAGTTGCCTGAAGGAAATCGAGCCACCGGTCGTGTTGAATGTGGAACGGGGAATGGCTCTGGAGTCAATGCAGGGGAATCGGGCCTCATCTCGAGCTGATTTGTGGCACATGGAGCTGCTTTGCGTTGCTTGGGTGACCTCATGGTCCGTCTAGACTGGTGACAGTGTTCTTGGGGACTGTCTCGAGATCCATTAAGCAAGTCGAAGCTCCTGACTTGTTTGAATGGGATCACGGAATAGCTCTGCATGCACTGCAGGGGAATGGGGCCTCATCTCGCCTCTAGGGGGAAGTCTCATGGTTTTTCTCGAGTTGCGGCGGGGACCTGGGGTATGTTCTCGACTTACGGCGGGGATGGCCCTTCAAAACACGAGTTTTTTCAGTGACGTCAGGACTCCTGTCTAGTAACAAGGGACACCTCAGGAATCTCTTCGAGGCTTGGCAGGTAAAAAGGGACGCTTCTCGAGGTGAGGCAGGGCAACCAAGGACCCTTTCCAGTAGCCACAGCGATTTTGGGATTCCTATCAGTATTCAAGAGGAGTCAGGCATCGTCACTTTTGAAGCAATGAACTCCGCGTGCCTCTTGAGGTGTCAACGGAATGTGAGGCATTCCGTCAAATTGAGGCAGGGACTTAGGGCTTTCTCTAAGGTCTCCACAGGGGATTCAGACATCCCTTCATGTTGTGAAATGAAACACGAGCCTGTATTCAAGACACTGCAAGGAAATTCTGCCTCCTTTCAAGTTAGGTCTTCTCGCTGTATATTCCCCTTGAGGCAGCAAACTCGGGGTCCCTCCCACATACCTATTGCTGAGAGAAACCTCCTCCTGAGGTGCTTCTGGAAAGTTGACATACGTCTTGAGCCTAAGCCAGGGAATCAGCTCTCATCTCGAGACGATTTGGTGTACATGGAGCATTCCTCGAGTTGCTGTGCTGAGGTTGGGCTTCCTCTAGACTTGGGCCAGTGTTCTCGGGGCATCTCTGGAGTTCCCTGAAGGAAGTCGAGCCACCGGTCATGTTGAATGGGGAACGGGGAATTGCTCTGGAGTCAATGCAGGGGAATCGGGCCTCATCTCGTGTTGATTTGGGGCACATGGAGCTGCTTTGCGTTGCTGGGGTGACCTCAGGGTCCGTCTAGACTGGTGACAGTGTTCTTGGGGGCTGTCTCCAGATCCATTAAGCAAGTCGAAGCTCCTGACTTGTTTGAATGGGATCACGGAATAGCTCTGCATGCACTGCAGGGGAATGGGGCCTCATCTCGCCTCTAGGGGGAAGTCTCATGGTTTTTCTCGAGTTGCGGCGGGGACCTGGGGTATGTTCTCGAGTTACGGCGGGGATGGCCCATCAAAACACGTGTTTCTTCAGTGACGTCAGGACTCCTGTCTAGTAACGAGGGACACCTCAGGAATCACTTTGAGGCTTGGCAGGGCAAAAGGGATGCTTCTCGAGGTGAGCAGGGCACCCAAGGACCCTTTCCAGTAGCCACAGGGATTTTGGGATTCCTATCAGTATTCAAGAGGAGTCAGGCATCGTCACCTTTTGAAGCAATGAACTCCGCGTGCCTCTCGAGGGGTCAACGGGATGTGAGGCATTCCGTCAAAATGAGGCAGGGACCAAAGGCTTTCTCTAAGGCCTCCAAAGGGGATTCAGACTTCCCTTCATGTTTTGAGAACAAAGACGAGCCTGTATTCAAGCCAATGCAAAGAAATCCGGCCTCCTTTCAAGTTAGGGCTTCTCGCTGTATATTCCACTTGAAGCAGCGATCTCGGGTTCCCTCCCACATACGTATTGCTGAGAGATGCCTCCTCCTGAGGTGCTTCTGGAAAGTAGGCATACGGCTTTAGCTAAGTCAGGGAATCAGCTCTCATCTCGAGACGATTTGGGGTACACGGAGCATTCCTCGAGTTGCTGTGCTGAAGTTGGTGTTCCTCTAGACTTGCTACAGTGTTCTCGGGGCATCTCTGGAGTTGCCTGAAGGAAGTCGAGCCACCGGTCGTGTTGAATGGGGAACGGGGAATGAGTCTGGAGTCAATGCAGGGGAATCGGGCCTCATCTCGAGTTGATTTGGGGCACATGGAGCTGATTTGCTTTGCTGGGGTGACCTCAGGTTCCGTCTAGACTGGTGACAGTGTTCTTGGGGACTGTCTCGAGATCCATTAAGCAAGTCGAAGCTCCTGACTGGTTTGAATGGGATCACGGAATAGCTCTGCATGCACTGCAGGGGAATGGGGCCTCATCTCGCCTCTAGGGGGAAGTCTCATGGTTTTTCTCGAGTTGCGGCGGGGACCTGGGGTATGTTCTCGACTTACGGCGGGGATGGCCCTTCAAAACACGAGTTTCTTCAGTGACGTCAGGACTTCTGTCTAGTAACGAGGGACACCTCAGGAATCTCTTCGAGGCTTGCCAGGGCAAAAGGGACGCTTCTCGAGGTGAGGCAGGGCACCCAAGGCCCCTTTCCAGTAGCCAGAGGGATTTGGGGATTCCTATTAGTATTCAAGAAGAGTCAGGCATCATCCCTTTTGAAGCAGTGAACTCCGCGTGCCTCTCGAGGTGTCAGCGGGATGTGAGGCCTTCCGTCAAAATGAGGCAGGGACCTAGGGCTTTCTCTAAGGTCTCCACAGGGGATTCAGACATCCCTTCATTTTGTGAGATGAAAGACGAGCCTGTATTCAAGCCAATGCAAGGAAATCCGGCCTCCTTTCAAGTTAGGGCTTCTCGCTGTATATTTCCCTTGAGGCAGCAAACTCGGGGTCCCTCCCACATAACTATTGCTGAGAGAAGCCTCCTCCTGAGGTGCTTCTGGAAAGTTGGCATACGTCTTGAGCCTAAGCCAGGGAATCAGCTCTCATCTCCAGACGATTTGGGGTACATGGAGCATTCCTCGAGTTGCTGTGCTGAAGTTGGTGTTCCTCTAGACTTGGGCCAGTGTTCTCGGGGCATCTCTGGAGTTGCCTGAAGGAAGTCGAGCCACCGGTCGTGTTGAATGGGGAAGGGGGAATGGCTCTGGAGTCAATGCAGGGGAATCGGGCCTCATCTCGAGTTGATTTGGGGCACATGGAGCTGCTTTGTGTTGCTGGGGTGACCTCAGGGTCCGTCTAGACTGGTGACAGTGTTCTTGGGGACTCTCTCGAGATCCAATAAGCAAGTCGAAGCTCCTGACTTGTTTGAATGGGATCACGGAATAGCTCTGCATGCACTGCAGGGGAATGGGGCCTCACCTCGCCTCTAGGGGGAAGTCTCATGGTTTTTCTCGAGTTGCGGCGGTGACCTGGGGTATGTTCTCGACTTACGGCGGGGATGGCCCTTCAAAACACGAGTTTCTTCAGTGACGTCAGGACTCCTGTCTGGCAACGAGGGACACCTCATTAATCTCTTCGAGGCTTGGCAGGGCAAAAGGGACGCTTCTCGAGGTGAGGCAGGGCAACCAAGGACCATTTCCAGTAGCCACAGGGATTTTGGGATACCTATCAGTATTCAAGAGGAGTCAGGCATCGTCACCTTCTGAAGCAATGAACTCCGCGTGCCTCTCGAGGTGTCAGCGGGTTGTGAGGCATTCCTTCAAAGTGAGGCAGGGACCTAGGGCTTTCTCTAAGGTCTCCACAGGGGATTCAGACATCCCTTCATGTTGTGAAATGAAACACGAGCCTGTATTCAAGCCACTGCAAGGAAATCCGGCCTCCTTTCAAGTTAGGGCTTCTCGCTGTATATTCCCCTTGAGGCAGCAAACTCGGGGTCCCTCCCACATACCTATTGCTGAGACAGCCTCCTCCTGAGGTGCTTCTGGAAAGTTGGCATACGTCTTGAGCCTAAGCCAGGGAATCAGCTCTCATCTCAAGACGATTTGGGGTACACGGAGCATTCCTCGAGTTGCTGTGCTGAAGTTGGTGTTTCTCTAGACTTGGGACAGTGTTCTCGGGGCATCACTGGAGTTGCCTGAAGGAAGTCGAGACACTGGTCGTGTTGAATGGGGAATGGGGAATGGCTCTGGAGTCAATGCAGGGGAATCGGGCCTCATCTCGAGTTGATTTGTGGCACATGGAGCTGCTTTGCATTGCTTGGGTGACCTCAGGGTCCGTCTACACTGGTGACAGTGTTCTTGGGGACTGTCTCGAGATCCATTAAGCAAGTCGAAGCTCCTGACTTGTTTGAATGGGATCACGGAATAGCTCTGCATACTCTGCAGGGGAATGGGGCCTCATCTCGCCTCTAGGGTGAAGTCTCATGGTTTTTCTCGAGTTGCGGCGGGGACCTGGGGTATGTTCTCGACTTCCGGCGGGGATAGCCCTTCAAAACACGAGTTTCTTCAGTGACGTCAGGACTCCTGTCTAGTAACTAGGGCCACCTCAGGAATCTCTTCGAGGCTTGGCAGGGCAAAAGGGACGCTTCTCGAGGTGAGGCAGGGCAACCAAGGACCCTTTCCAGTAGCCACAGGGATTTTGGGATTCCTATCATTATTCAAGAGGAGTCAGGCATCGTCACCTTTTGAAGCAATGAACTCCGCGTGCCTCTCGAGGTGTCAACGGTATGTGAGGCATTCCGTCAAAATGAGGCAGGGACCTAGGGCTTTCTCTAAGGTCTCCACAGGGGATTCAGACATCCCTTCATGTTGTGAGATGAAAGACGAGCCTGTATTCAAGCCACTGCAAGGAAATCCGGCCTCCTTTCAAGTTAGGGCTTCTCGCTGTATATTCCCCTTGAGGCAGCAAACTCGGGGTCCCTCCCACATACCTATTGCTGAGAGAAGCCTCCTCCTGAGGTGCTTCTGGAAAGTTGGCATACGTCTTGAGCCTAAGCCAGGGAATCAGCTCTCATCTCGAGACGATTTGGGGTACACGGAGCATTCCTCGAGTTGCTGTGCTGAAGTTGGTGTTCCTCTAGACTTGGGCCAGTGTTCTCGGGGCATCTCTGGAGTTGCCTGAAGGAAGTCGAGCCACCGGTCGTGTTGAATGTGGAACGGGAATGGCTATGGAGTCAATCCAGGGGAATCGGGCCTCATCTCGAGTTGATTTTGGGCACATGGAGCTGCTTTGCGTTGCTGGGGTGACCTCAGGTTCCGTCTAGACTGGTGACAGTGTTCCTGGGGACTATCTCGAGATCCATTAAGCAAGTCGAAGCTCCTGACTTGTTTCAATGGGATCACGGAATAGCTCTGCATGCACTGCAGGGGAATGGGGCCTCATCTCGCCTCTAGGGGGAAGTCTCATGGTTTTTCTCGAGTTGCGGCGGGGACCTGGGGTATGTTCTCGACTTACGGCGGGGATGGCCCCTCAAAACACTTTTTTCTTCAGTGACGTCAGGACCTCTGTCTAGTAACGAGGGACACCTCAGCAATCTCTTCGAGGCTTGGCAGGGCAAAAGGGACTCTTCTCGAGGTGAGGCAGGTAACCCTAGGACCCTTTCCAGTAGCCACAGGGATTTTGGGATTCCTATCAGTATTCAAGTGGAGTCAGGCATCGTCACCTTTTGAAGCAATGAACTCCGCGTGCCTCTCGAGGTGTCAACGGGATGTGAGGCATTCCGTCAAAGTGAGGCAGGTACCTAGGGCTTTCTCTAAGGTCTCCACAGGGGATTCAGACATCCCTTCATGTTGTGAAATGAAACACGAGCCTGTATTCAAGCCACTGCAAGGAAATTCGGCCTCCTTTCAAGTTAGGGCTTCTCGCTGTATATTCCCCTTTAGGCAGCAAACTCGGGGTCCCTCCCACATACCTATTGCTGAGACAGCCTCCTCCTGAGGTGCTTCTGGAAAGTTGGCATACGTCTTGAGCCTAAGCCAGTGAATCAGCTCTCATCTCGAGACGATTTGGGGTACACGGAGCATTCCTCGAGTTGCTGTGCTGAAGTTGGTGTTCCTCTAGACTTGGGCCAGTGTTCTCGGGGCATCTCTGGAGTTGCCTGAAGGAAGTCGACCCACCGGTCGTGTTGAATGGGGAACGGGAATGGCTCTGGAGTCAATGCAGGGGAATCGGGCCTCATCTCGAGTTGATTTGTGGCACATGGAGCTGCTTTGCGTTGCTGGGGTGACCTCAGGGTCCGTCTAGACTGGTGACAGTGTTCCTGGGGACTGTCTCGAGATCCATTAAGCAAGTCGAAGCTCCTGACTTGTTTCAATGGGATCACGGAATAGCTCTGCATGCACTGCAGGGGAATGGGGCCTCATCTCGCCTCTAGGGGGAAGTCTCATGGTTTTTCTCGAGTTGCGGCGGGGACCTGGGGTATGTTCTCGACTTACGGCGGGGATGGCCCCTCAAAACACTTTTTTCTTCAGTGACGTCAGGACCTCTGTCTAGTAACGAGGGACACCTCAGCAATCTCTTCGAGGCTTGGCAGGGCAAAAGGGACTCTTCTCGAGGTGAGGCAGGGCACCCAAGGACCCTTTCCAGTAGCCACAGGGATTTTGGGATTCCTATCAGTATTCAAGAGGAGTCAGGCATCGTCACCTTCTGAAGCAATGAACTCCGCGTGCCTCTCGAGGTGTCAACGGGATGTGAGGCATTCCGTCAAAGTGAGGCAGGGACCTAGGGCTTTCTCTAAGGTCTCCACAGGGGATTCAGACATCCCTTCATGTTGTGAAATGAAACACGAGCCTGTATTCAAGCCACTGTAAGGAAATCCGGCCTCCTTTCAAGTTAGGGATTCTCGCTGTATATTGCCCTTGAGGCAGCAAACTCGGGGTCCCTCCCACATACCTATTGCTGAGACAGCCTCCTCCTGAGGTGCTTCTGGAAAGTTGGCATACGTCTTGAGCCTAAGCCAGGGAATCAGCTCTCATCTCGAGACGATTTGGGGTACACGGAGCATTCCTCGAGTTGCTGTGCTGAAGTTGGTGTTCCTCTAGACTTGGGACAGTGTTCTCGGGGCATCTCTGGAGTTGCCTGAAGGAAGTCGAGCCACCGGTCGTGTTGAATGGGGAACGAGAATGGCTATGGAGTCAATGCAGGGGAACCGGGCCTCATCTCGAGTTGATTTGGGGCACATGGAGCTGCTTTGCGTTGCTGGGGTGACCTCAGGGTCCGTCTAGACTGGTGACAGTGTTCCTGGGGACTTTCTCGAGATCCATTAAGCAAGTCGAAGCTCCTGACTTGTTTCAATGGGATCACGGAATAGCTCTGCATGCACTGCAGGGGAATGGGGCCTCATCTCGCCTCTAGGGGGAAGTCTCATGGTTTTTCTCGAGTTGCGGCGGGGACCTGGGGTATGTTCTCGACTTACGGCGGGGATGGCCCCTCAAAACACTTTTTTCTTCAGTGACGTCAGGACCTCTGTCTAGTAACGAGGGACACCTCAGCAATCTCTTCGAGGCTTGGTAGGGCAAAAGGGACTCTTCTCGAGGTGAGGCAGGTAACCCTAGGACCCTTTCCAGTAGCCACAGGGATTTTGGGATTCCTATCAGTATTCAAGAGGAGTCAGGCATCGTCACCTTTTGAAGCAATGAACTCCGCGTGCCTCTCGAGGTGTCAACGGGATGTGAGGCATTCCGTCAAAGTGAGGCAGGTACCTAGGGCTTTCTCTAAGGTCTCCACAGGGGATTCAGACATCCCTTCATGTTGTGAAATGAAACACGAGCCTGTATTCAAGCCACTGCAAGGAAATTCAGCCTCCTTTCAAGTTAGGGCTTCTCGCTGTATATTCCCCTTTAGGCAGCAAACTCGGGGTCCCTCCCACATACCTATTGCTGAGACAGCCTCCTCCTGAGGTGCTTCTGGAAAGTTGGCATACGTCTTGAGCCTAAGCCAGTGAATCAGCTCTCATCTCGAGACGATTTGGGGTACACGGTGCATTCCTCGAGTTGCTGTGCTGAAGTTGGTGTTCCTCTAGACATGGGACAGTGTTCTCGGGGCATCTCTGGAGTTGCCTGAAAGAAGTCGAGCCACCGGTAGTGTTGAATGAGGAACGAGAATGGCTATGGAGTCAATGCAGGGGAATCGGGCCTCATCTCGAGTTGATTTGGGGCACATGGAGCTGCTTTGCGTTGCTGGGGTGACCTCAGAGTCCGTCTAGACTGGTGACAGTGTTCCTGGGGACTCTCTCGAGATCCATTAAGCAAGTCGAAGCTCCTGACTTATTTGAATGGGATCACGGAATAGCTCTGCATGCACTGCAGGGGAATGGGGCCTCATCTCGCCTCTAGGGGGAAGTCTCATGGTTTTTCTCGAGTTGCGGCGGGGACCTGGGGTATGTTCTCGACTTACGGCGGGGATGGCCCCTCAAAACACTTTTTTCTTCAGTGACGTCAGGACCTCTGTCTAGTAACGAGGGACACCTCAGCAATCTCTTCGAGGCTTGGCAGGGCAAAAGGGACTCTTCTCGAGGTGAGGCAGGGCACCCAAGGACCCTTTCCAGTAGCCACAGGGATTTTGGGATTCCTATCAGTATTCAAGAGGAGTCAGGCATCGTCACCTTCTGAAGCAATGAACTCCGCGTGCCTCTCGAGGTGTCAACGGGATGTGAGGCATTCCGTCAAAGTGAGGCAGGGACCTAGGGCTTTCTCTAAGGTCTCCACAGGGGATTCAGACATCCCTTCATGTTGTGAAATGAAACACGAGCCTGTATTCAAGCCACTGTAAGGAAATCCGGCCTCCTTTCAAGTTAGGGATTCTCGCTGTATATTGCCCTTGAGGCAGCAAACTCGGGGTCCCTCCCACATACCTATTGCTGAGACAGCCTCCTCCTGAGGTGCTTCTGGAAAGTTGGCATACGTCTTGAGCCTAAGCCAGGGAATCAGCTCTCATCTCGAGACGATTTGGGGTACACGGAGCATTCCTCGAGTTGCTGTGCTGAAGTTGGTGTTCCTCTAGACTTGGGACAGTGTTCTCGGGGCATCTCTGGAGTTGCCTGAAGGAAGTCGAGCCACCGGTCGTGTTGAATGGGGAACGAGAATGGCTATGGAGTCAATGCAGGGGAACCGGGCCTCATCTCGAGTTGATTTGGGGCACATGGAGCTGCTTTGCGTTGCTGGGGTGACCTCAGGGTCCGTCTAGACTGGTGACAGTGTTCCTGGGGACTTTCTCGAGATCCATTAAGCAAGTCGAAGCTCCTGACTTGTTTCAATGGGATCACGGAATAGCTCTGCATGCACTGCAGGGGAATGGGGCCTCATCTCGCCTCTAGGGGGAAGTCTCATGGTTTTTCTCGAGTTGCGGCGGGGACCTGGGGTATGTTCTCGACTTACGGCGGGGATGGCCCCTCAAAACACTTTTTTCTTCAGTGACGTCAGGACCTCTGTCTAGTAACGAGGGACACCTCAGCAATCTCTTCGAGGCTTGGTAGGGCAAAAGGGACTCTTCTCGAGGTGAGGCAGGTAACCCTAGGACCCTTTCCAGTAGCCACAGGGATTTTGGGATTCCTATCAGTATTCAAGAGGAGTCAGGCATCGTCACCTTTTGAAGCAATGAACTCCGCGTGCCTCTCGAGGTGTCAACGGGATGTGAGGCATTCCGTCAAAGTGAGGCAGGTACCTAGGGCTTTCTCTAAGGTCTCCACAGGGGATTCAGACATCCCTTCATGTTGTGAAATGAAACACGAGCCTGTATTCAAGCCACTGCAAGGAAATTCAGCCTCCTTTCAAGTTAGGGCTTCTCGCTGTATATTCCCCTTTAGGCAGCAAACTCGGGGTCCCTCCCACATACCTATTGCTGAGACAGCCTCCTCCTGAGGTGCTTCTGGAAAGTTGGCATACGTCTTGAGCCTAAGCCAGTGAATCAGCTCTCATCTCGAGACGATTTGGGGTACACGGTGCATTCCTCGAGTTGCTGTGCTGAAGTTGGTGTTCCTCTAGACATGGGACAGTGTTCTCGGGGCATCTCTGGAGTTGCCTGAAAGAAGTCGAGCCACCGGTAGTGTTGAATGAGGAACGAGAATGGCTATGGAGTCAATGCAGGGGAATCGGGCCTCATCTCGAGTTGATTTGGGGCACATGGAGCTGCTTTGCGTTGCTGGGGTGACCTCAGAGTCCGTCTAGACTGGTGACAGTGTTCCTGGGGACTCTCTCGAGATCCATTAAGCAAGTCGAAGCTCCTGACTTATTTGAATGGGATCACGGAATAGCTCTGCATGCACTGCAGGGGAATGGGGCCTCATCTCGCCTCTAGGGGGAAGTCTCATGGTTTTTCTCGAGTTGCGGCGGGGACCTGGTGTATGTTCTCGACTTACGGCGGGGATGGCCCTTCAAAACACGAGTTTCTTCAGTGACGTCAGGACTCCTGTCTAGTAACGAGGGACACCTCAGGAATCTCTTCGAGGCTTGGCAGGGCAAAAGGGACGCTTCTCGGGGTTAGGCAGGGCAACCAAGGACCCTTTCCAGTAGCCACAGGGATTTTGGGATTCCTATCAGTATTCAAGAGGAGTCAGGCATCGTCACCTTTTGAAGCAATGAACTCCGCGTGCCTCTCGAGGTGTCAGCGGGATGTGAGGCATTCCGTCAAAGTGAGGCAGGGACCTAGGGCTTTCTCTAAGGTCTCCACAGGGGATTCAGACATCCCTTCATTTTGTGAGATGAAAGACGAGCCTGTATTCAAGCCACTGCAAGGAAATCCGGCCTCCTTTCAAGTTAGGGCTTCTCGCTGTATATTCCCCTTGAGGCAGCAAACTCGGGGTTCCTCCCACATACCTATTGCTGAGACAGCCTCCTCTTGAGGTGCTTCTGGAAAGTTGGCATACGTCTTGAGCCTAAGCCAGGGAATCAGCTCTCATCTCGAGACGATTTGGGGTACACGGAGCATTCCTCGAGTTGCTGTGCTGAAGTTGGTGTTTCTCTAGACTTCGGACAGTGTTCTCGGGGCATCACTGGAGTTGCCTGAAGGAAGTCGAGATACTGGTCGTGTTGAATGGGGAACGGGGAATGGCTCTGGAGTCAATGCAGGGGAATCGGGCCTCATCTCGAGTTGATTTGTGGCACATGGAGATGCTTTGCGTTGCTGGGGTGACCTCAGGGTCCGTCTAGACTGGTGACAGTGTTCTTGGGGACTGTCTCGAGATCCATTAAGCAAGTCGAAGCTCCTGACTTGTTTGAATGGGATCACGGAATAGCTCTGCATGCACTGCAGGGGAATGGGGCCTCATCTCGCCTCTAGGGGGAAGTCTCATGGTTTTTCTCGAGTTGCGGCGGGGACCTGGGGTATGTACTCGACTTACGGCGGGGATGGCCCTTCAAAACACGAGTTTCTTCAGTGACGTCAGGACTCCTGTCTAGTAACGAGGGACACCTCAGGAAACACTTCGAGGCTTGGCAGGGCAAAAGGGACTCTTCTCAACGTGAGGCAGGTAACCCTAGGACCCTTTCCAGTAGCCACAGGGATTTTGGGATTCCTATCAGTATTCAAGAGGAGTCAGGCATCGTCACCTTTTGAAGCAATGAACTCCGCGTGCCTCTCGAGGTGTCAACGGGATGTGAGGCATTCCGTCAAAGTGAGGCAGGTACCTAGGGCTTTCTCTAAGGTCTCCACAGGGGATTCAGACATCCCTTCATGTTGTGAAATGAAACACGAGCCTGTATTCAAGCCACTGCAAGGAAATTCGGCCTTCTTTCAAGTTAGGGCTTCTCGCTGTATATTCCCCTTTAGGCAGCAAACTCGGGGTCCCTCCCACATACCTATTGCTGAGACAGCCTCCTCTTGAGGTGCTTCTGGAAAGTTGGCATATGTCTTAAGTCTAAGCCAGGGAATCAGCTCTCATCTCGAGACGATTTGGGGTACACGGAGCATTCCTCGAGTTGCTGTGCTGAAGTTGGTGTTTCTCTAGACTTCGGACAGTGTTCTCGGGGCATCACTGGAGTTGCCTGAAGGAAGTCGAGATACTGGTCGTGTTGAATGGGGAACGGGGAATGGCTCTGGAGTCAATGCAGGGGAATCGGGCCTCATCTCGATTTGATTTGTGGCACATGGAGATGCTTTGCGTTGCTGGGGTCACCTCAGGGTCCGTCTAGACTGGTGACAGTGTTCTTGGGGACTGTCTCGAGATCCATTAAGCAAGTCGAAGCTCCTGACTTGTTTGAATGGAATCACGGAATAGCTCTGCATGCACTGCAGGGGAATGGGGCCTCATCTCGCCTCTAGGGGGAAGTCTCATGGTTTTTCTCGAGTTGCGGCGGGAACCTGGGATATGTTCTCGACGTACGGCAGGGATGGCCCTTCAAAACACGAGTTTCTTCAGTGACGTCAGGACTCCTGTCTAGTAACGAGGGACACCTCAGGAATCTCTTCGCGGCTTGGCAGGGCAAAAGGGACTCTTCTCGAGGTGAGGCAGGGCACCCAAGGACCCTTTCCAGTAGCCACAGGGATTTTGGGATTCCTATCAGTATTCAAGAGGAGTCAGGCATCGTCACCTTTTGAAGCAATGAACTCCGCGTGCCTCTCGAGGTGTCAACGGGATGTGAGGCATTCCGTCAAAGTGAGGCAGGGACCTAGGGCTTTCTCTAAGGTCTCCACAGGGGATTCAGACATCCCTTCATGTTGTGAAATGAAACACGAGCCTGTATTCAAGCCACTGTAAGGAAATCCGGCCTCCTTTCAAGTTAGGGATTCTCGCTGTATATTGCCCTTGAGGCAGCAAACTCGGGGTCCCTCCCACATACCTATTGCTGAGACAGCCTCCTCCTGAGGTGCTTCTGGAAAGTTGGCATACGTCTTGAGCCTAAGCCAGGGAATCAGCTCTCATCTCGAGACGATTTGGGGTACACGGAGCATTCCTCGAGTTGCTGTGCTGAAGTTGGTGTTCCTCTAGACTTGGGACAGTGTTCTCGGGGCATCTCTGGAGTTGCCTGAAGGAAGTCGAGCCACCGGTCGTGTTGAATGGGGAACGAGAATGGCTATGGAGTCAATGCAGGGGAATCGGGCCTCATCTCGAGTTGATTTGGGGCACATGGAGCTGCTTTGCGTTGCTGGGGTGACCTCAGAGTCCGTCTAGACTGGTGACAGTGTTCCTGGGGACTGTCTCGAGATCCATTAAGCAAGTCGAAGCTCCTGACTTGTTTCAATGGGATCACGGAATAGCTCTGCATGCACTGCAGGGGAATGGGGCCTCATCTCGCCTCTAGGGGGAAGTCTCATGGTTTTTCTCGAGTTGCGGCGGGGACCTGGGGTATGTTCTCGACTTACGGCGGGGATGGCCCCTCAAAACACTTTTTTCTTCAGTGACGTCAGGACCTCTGTCTAGTAACGAGGGACACCTCAGCAATCTCTTCGAGGCTTGGCAGGGCAAAAGGGACTCTTCTCGAGGTGAGGCAGGTAACCCTAGGACCCTTTCCAGTAGCCACAGGGATTTTGGGATTCCTATCAGTATTCAAGAGGAGTCAGGCATCGTCACCTTTTGAAGCAATGAACTCCGCGTGCCTCTCGAGGTGTCAGCGGGATGTGAGGCATTCCGTCAAAGTGAGGCAGGGACCTAGGGCTTTCTCTAAGGTCTCCACAGGGGATTCAGACATCCCTTCATGTTGTGAAATGAAACACGAGCCTGTATTCAAGACACTGCAAGGAAATTCTGCCTCCTTTCAAGTTAGGGCTTCTCGCTGTATATTCCCCTTGAGGCAGCAAACTCGGGGTCCCTCCCACATACCTATTGCTGAGAGAAACCTCCTCCTGAGGTGCTTCTGGAAAGTTGGCATACGTCTTGAGCCTAAGCCAGGGAATCAGCTCTCATCTCGAGATGATTTGGGGTACACGGAGCATTCCTCGAGTTGCTGTGCTGAAGTTGGTGTTCCTCTAGACTTGTGCCAGTGTTCTCGGGGCATCTCTGGAGTTGCCTGAAGGAAGTCGACCCACCGGTCGTGTTGAATGGGGAACGGGAATGGCTATGGAGTCAATCTAGGGGAATCGGGCCTAATCTCGAGTTGATTTGGGGCACATGGAGCTGCTTTGCGTTGCTGGGGTGACCTCAGGGTCCATCTAGACTGATGACAGTGTTCTTGGGGACTGTCTCGAGATCCATTAAGCAAGTCGAAGCTCCTGACTTGTTTGAATGGGATCACGGAATAGCTCTGCATGCACTGCAGGGGAATGGGGCCTCATCTCGCCTCTAGGGAGAAGTCTCATTGTTTTTCTCGATTTGCGGCGGGGACCTGGGGTATGTTCTCGACTTACGGCGGGGATGGCCCTTCAAAACACGAGTTTCTTCAGTGACGTCAGGACTCCTGTCTAGTAACGAGGGACACCTCAGGAATCTCTTCGAGGCTTGGCAGGTCAAAAGGGACGCTTCTCGAGGTGAGGCAGGGCAACCAAGGACCCTTTCCAGTAGCCACAGGGATTTTGGGATTCCTATCAGTATTCAAGAGGAGTCAGGCATCGTCACCTTTTGAAGCAATGAACTCCGCGTGCCTCTCGAGGTGTCAACGGGTTGTGAGGGATTCCGTCAAAATCAGGCAGGGACCTAGGGCTTTCTCTAAGGTCTCCACAGGGAATTCAGACATCCCTTCATGTTTTGAGATCAAAGACGAGCCTTTATGCAAGCCACTGCAAGGAAATCCGGCCTCCTTTCAATATGGGGCTTCTCGCTGTATATTCCTGTTGAAGCAGCGATCTCGGGGTCCCTCCCACATACCTATTGCTGAGAGAAGCCTCCTCCTGAGGTGCTTCTGGAAAGTTAGCATACGTCTTGAGCCTAAGGCAGGGAATCAGCTCTCATCTCGAGACTATTTGGTGTACATGGAGCATTCCTCGAGTTGCTGTGCTGAGGTTGGTGTTCCTCTAGACTTGGGCCAGTGTTCTCGGGGCATCTCTGGAGTTGCCTGAAGGAAGTCGACCCACCGGTCGTGTTGAATGGGGAACGGGAATGGCTCTGGAGTCAATGCAGGGGAATCGGGCCTCATCTCGAGTTGATTTGTGGCACATGGAGCTGCTTTGCGTTGCTGGGGTGACCTCAGGGTCCGTCTAGACTGGTGACAGTGTTCCTGGGGACTGTCTCGAGATCCATTAAGCAAGTCGAAGCTCCTGACTTGTTTCAATGGGATCACGGAATAGCTCTGCATGCACTGCAGGGGAATGGGGCCTCATCTCGCCTCTAGGGGGAAGTCTCATGGTTTTTCTCGAGTTGAGGCGGGGACCTGGGGTATGTTCTCGACTTACGGCGGGGATGGCCCCTCAAAACACTTTTTTCTTCAGTGACGTCAGGACCTCTGTCTAGTAACGAGGGACACCTCAGCAATCTCTTCGAGGCTTGGCAGGGCAAAAGGGACGCTTCTCGATGTGAGGCAGGGCACCCAAGGACCCTTTCCAGTAGCCACAGGAATTTTGGGATTCCTATCAGTATTCAAGAGGAGTCAGGCATCGTCACCTTTAGAAGCAATGAACTCCGCGTGACTCTCGAGGTGTCAACAAAATGTGAGGCATTCCGTCAAAATGAGGCAGGGATCTAGGGCTTTCTCTAAGGTCTCCACAGGGGATTCAGACATTCCTTCATGTTGTGAAATGAAACACGAGCCTGCGTTCAAGCCACTGCAAGGAAATCCGGCCTCCTTTCAAGTTAGGGCTTCTCGCTGTATATTCCCCTTGAGGCAGCAAACTCGGGGTCCCTCCCACATACCTATTGCTGAGAGAAGCCTCCTCCTGAGGTGCATCTTTAAAGTTGGCATACGTCTTGAGCCTAAGCCAGGGAATCAGCTCTCATCTCGAGACGATTTGGGGTACATGGAGCATTCCTCGAGTTGCTGTGCTAAAGTTGGTGTTCCTCTAGACTTGGGAGAGTGTTCTCGGGGCATCTCTGGAGTTGCCTGAAGGAAGTCGAGCCACCGGTCGTGTTGAATGGGGAACGGGGAATGGCTCTGGAGTCAATGCAGGGGAATCGGGCCTCATCTCGAGTTGATTTGGGGCACATGGAGCTGCTTTGTGTTGCTGGGGTGACCTCAGAGTCCGTCTACACTGGTGACAGTGTTCTTGGGGACGCTCTCGAGATCCATTAAGCAAGTCGAAGCTCCTGACTTGTTTGAATGGGATCACGGAATAGCTCTGCATGCACTGCAGGGGAATGGGGCCTCATCTCGCCTCTAGGGGGAAGTCTCATGGTTTTTCTCGAGTTGCGGCAGGGACCTGTGGTATGTTCTCGACTTACGGCGGGGATGGCCCTTCAAAACACGAGTTTCTTCAGTGACGTCAGGACTCCTGTCTAGTAACGAGGGACACCTCAGGAATCTCTTCGAGGCTTGGCAGGGCAAAAGGGACGCTTCTCGGGATGAGGCAGGGCAACCAAGGACCCTTTCCAGTAGCCACAGGGATTTTGGGATTCCTATCAGTATTCAAGAGGAGTCAGGCATCGTCACCTTTTGAAGCAATGAACTCCGCGTGCCTCTCGAGGTGTCAGCAGGATGTGAGGCATTCCGTCAAAGTGAGGCAGGGACCTAGGGCTTTCTCTAAGGTCTCCACAGGGTATTCAGACATCCCTTCATTTTGTGAGATGAAAGACGAGCCTGTATTCAAGCCACTGCAAGGAAATCCGGCCTCCTTTCAAGTTAGGGCTTCTCGCTGTATATTCCCCTTGAGGCAGCAAACTCGGGGTCCCTCCCACATATCTATTGCTGAGACAGCCTCCTCTTGAGGTGCTTCTGGAAAGTTGGCATACGTCTTGAGCCTAAGCCAGGGAATCAGCTCTCATCTCGAGACGATTTGGGGTACACGGAGCATTCCTCGAGTTGCTGTGCTGAAGTTGGTGTTTCTCTAGACTTGGGACAGTGTTCTCGGGGCATCACTGGAGTTGCCTGAAGGAAGTCGAGATACTGGTCGTGTTGAATGGGGAACGGGGAATGGCTCTGGAGTCAATGCAGGGGAATCGGGCCTCATCTCGAGTTGATTTGTGGCACATGGAGCTGCTTTGCGTTGCTGGGGTGACCTCAGGGTCCGTCTAGACTGGTGACAGTGTTCTTGGGGACTGTCTCGAGATCCATTAAGCAAGTCGAAGCTCCTGACTTGTTTGAATGGGATCACGGAATAGCTCTGCATGCACTGCAGGGGAATGGGGCCTCATCTCGCCTCTAGGGGGAAGTCTCATGGTTTTTCTCGAGTTGCGGCGGGGACCTGGGGTATGTTCTCGACTTACGGCGGGGATGGCCCTTCAAAACACGAGTTTCTTCAGTGACGTCAGGACTCCTGTCTAGTAACGAGGGACACCTCAGGAATCTCTTCGAGGCTTGGCAGGGCAAAAGGGACGCTTCTCGAGGTGAGGCAGGGCAACCAAGGACCCTTTCCAGTAGCCACAGGGATTTTGGGATTCCTATCAGTATTCAAGAGGAGTCAGGCATCGTCACCTTTTGAAGCAATGAACTCCGCGTGCCTCTCGAGGTGTCAGCGGGTTGTGAGGCATTCCGTCAAAGTGAGGCAGGGACCTAGGGCTTTCTCTAAGGTCTCCACAGTGGATTCAGACATCCCTTCATGTTGTGAAATGAAACACGAGCCTGTATTCAAGCCACTGCAAGGAAATCCGGCCTCCTTTCCAGGTAGGGCTTCTCGCTGTATATTCCCCTTGAGGCAGCAAACTCGGGGTCCCTCCCACATACATATTGCTGAGACAGCCTCCTCCTGAGATGCTTCTGGAAAGTTGGCATACGTCTTGAGCCTAAGCCAGGGAATCAGCTCTCATCTCGAGACGATTTGGGGTACACGGAGCATTCCTCGAGTTGCTGTGCTGAAGTTGGTGTTTCTCTAGACTTGGGACAGTGATCTCGGGGCATCACTGGAGTTGCCTGAAGGAAGTAGAGACACTGGTCGTGTTGAATGGGGAACGGGGAATCGCTCTGGAGTCAATTCAGGGGAATCGGGCCTCATCTCGAGTTGATTTGTGGCACATGGAGCTGCTTTGCGTTGCTTGGGTGACCTCAGGGTCCGTCTAGACTGGTGACAGTGTTCTTGGGGACTGTCTCGAGATCCATTAAGCAAGTCGAAGCTCCTGACTTGTTTGAATGGGATCACGGAATAGCTCTGCATGCACTGCAGGGGAATGGGGCCTCATCTCGCCTCTAGGGGGAAGTCTCATGGTTTTTCTCGAGTTGCGGCGGGGACCTGGGGTATGTTCTCGACTTACGGCCGGGATGGCCCTTCAAAACACGAGTTTCTTCAGTGACGTCAGGACTCCTGTCTAGTAACGAGGGACACCTCAGGAAACTCTTCGAGGCTTGGCAGGGCAAAAGTGACTCTTCTCGAGGTGAGGCAGGTAACCCTAGGACCCTTTCCAGTAGCCACAGGGATTTTGGGATTCCTATCAGTATTCAAGAGGAGTCAGGCATCGTCACCTTTTGAAGCAATGAACTCCGCGTGCCTCTCGAGGTGTCAACGGGATGTGAGGCATTCCGTCAAAGTGAGGCAGGTACCTAGGGCTTTCTCTAAGGTCTCCACAGGGGATTCAGACATCCCTTCATGTTGTGAAATGAAACACGAGCCTGTATTCAAGCCACTGCAAGGAAATTCGGCCTCCTTTCAAGTTAGGGCTTCTCGCTGTATATTCCCCTTTAGGCAGCAAACTCGGGGTCCCTCCCACATACCTATTGCTGAGACAGCCTCCTCCTGAGGTGCTTCTGGAAAGTTGGCATACGTCTTGAGCCTAAGCCAGGGAATCAGCTCTCATCTCGAGACGATTTGGGGTACACGGAGCATTCCTCGAGTTGCTGTGCTGAAGTTGGTGTTCCTCTAGACATGGGACAGTGTTCTCGGGGCATCTCTGGAGTTGCCTGAAAGAAGTTGAGCCACCGGTAGTGTTGAATGGGGAACGAGAATGGCTATGGAGTCAATGCAGGTGAATCGGGCCTCATCTCGAGTTGATTTGGGGCACATGGAGCTGCTTTGCGTTGCTGGGGTGACCTCAGAGTCCGTCTAGACTGGTGACAGTGTTCTTGGGGACTCTCTCGAGATCCATTAAGCAAGTCGAAGCTCCTGACTTGTTTGAATGGGATCACGGAATAGTTCTGCATGCACTGCAGGGGAATGGGGCCTCATCTCGCCTCTAGGGGTAAGTCTCATGGTTTTTCTCGAGTTGCGGCGGGGACCTGGGGTATGTTCTCGACTTACGGCGGGGATGGCCCTTCAAAACACGAGTTTCTTCAGTGACGTCAGGACTCCTGTCTAGTAACGAGGGACACCTCAGGAATCTCTTCGAGGCTTGGCAGGGCAAAAGGGACGCTTCTCGGGGTGAGGCAGGACAACCAAGGACCCTTTCCAGTAGCCACAGGGATTTTGGGATTCCTATCAATATTCAAGAGGAGTCAGGCATCGTCACCTTTTGAAGCAATGAACTCCGCGTGCCTCTCGAGGTGTCAGCGGGATGTGAGGCATTCCGTCAAAGTGAGGCAGGGACCTAGGGCTTTCTCTAAGGTCTCCACAGGGGATTCAGACATCCCTTCATGTTGTGAAATGAAACACGAGCCTGTATTCAAGCCACTGCAAGGAAATCCGGCCTCCTTTCAAGTTAGGGCTTCTCGCTGTATATCCCCCTTGAGGCAGCAAACTCGGGGTCCCTCCCACATACCTATTGCTGAGACAGCCTCCTCCTGAGGTGCTTCTGGAAAGTTGGCATACGTCTTGAGCCTAAGCCAGGGAATCAGCTCTCATCTCGAGATGATTTGGGGTACACGGAGCATTCCTCGAGTTGCTGTGCTGAAGTTGGTGTTTCTCTAGACTTGGGACAGTGTTCTCGGGGCATCACTGGAGTTGCCTGAAGGAAGTCGAGACACTGGTCGTGTTGAATGGGGAACGGGGAATGGCTCTGGAGTCAATGCAGGGGAATCGGGCCTCATCTCGAGTTGATTTGTGGCACATGGAGCTGCTTTGCGTTGCTGGGGTGACCTCAGGGTCCGTCTAGACTGGTGACAGTGTTCTTGGGGACTGTCTCGAGATCCATTAAGCAAGTCGAAGCTCCTGACTTGTTTGAATGGGATCACGGAATAGCTCTGCATGCACTGCAGGGGAATGGGGCCTCATCTCGCCTCTAGGGGGAAGTCTCATGGTTTTTCTCGAGTTGCGACAGGGACCTGGGATATGTTCTCGACGTACGGCGGGGATGGCCCTTCAAAACACGAGTTTCTTCAGTGACGTCAGGACTCCTGTCTAGTAACGAGGGACACCTCAGGAATCTCTTCGAGGCTTGGCAGGGCAAAAGGGACTCTTCTCGAGGTGAGGCAGGGCACCCAAGGACCCTTTTCAGTAGCCACAGGGATTTTGGGATTCCTATCAGTATTCAAGAGGAGTCAGGCATCGTCACCTTTTGAAGCAATGAACTCCGCGTGCCTCTCGAGGTGTCAGCGGGATGTGAGGCATTCCGTCAAAGTGAGGCAGGGACCTAGGGCTTTCTCTAAGGTCTCCACAGTGGATTCAGACATCCCTTCATGTTGTGAAATGAAACAAGAGCCTGTATTTAAGACACTGCAAGGAAATCCGGCCTCCTTTCAAGTTAGGTCTTCTCGCTGTATATTCCCCTTGAGGCAGCAAACTCGGGGTCCCTCCCACTTACCTATTGCTGAGACAGCCTCCTCCTGAGGTGCTTCTGGAAAGTTGGCATACGTCTTGAGCCTAAGCCAGGGAATCAGCTCTCATCTCGAGACGATTTGGGGTACACGGAGCATTCCTCGAGTTGCTGTGCTGAAGTTGGTGTTTCTCTAGACTTGGAACAGTGTTCTCGGGGCATTACTGGAGTTGCCTGAAGGAAGTCGAGACACTGGTCGTGTTGAATGGGGAACGGGGAATCGCTCTGGAGTCAATGCAGTGGAATCGGGCCTCATCTCGAGTTGATTTGTGGCACATGGAGCTGCTTTGCATTGCTTGGGTGACCTCAGGGTCCGTCTAGACTGGTGACAGTGTTCTTGGGGACTGTCTCGAGATCCATTAAGCAAGTCGAAGCTCCTGACTTGTTTGAATGGGATCACGGAATAGCTCTGCATGCACTGCAGGGGAATGGGGCCTCATCTCGCCTCTAGGGGGAAGTCTCATGGTTTTTCTCGATTTGCGGAGGGGACCTGGGGTATGTTCTCGACTTACGGCGGGGATGGCCCTTCAAAACACGAGTTTCTTCAGTGACGTCAGGACTCCTGTCTAGTAACGAGGGACACCTCAGGAATCTCTTCGAGGCTTGGCAGGTCAAAAGGGACGCTTCTCGAGGTGAGGCAGGGCAACCAAGGACCCTTTCCAGTAGCCACAGGGATTTTGGGATTCCTATCAGTATTCAAGAGGAGTCAGGCATCGTCACCTTTTGAAGTAATGAACTCCGCGTGCCTCTCGAGGTGTCAACGGGTTGTGAGGGATTCCGTCAAAATCAGGCAGGGACCTAGGGCTTTCTCTAAGGTCTCCACAGGGAATTCAGACATCCCTTCATGTTTTGAGATCAAAGACGAGCCTTTATGCAAGCCACTGCAAGGAAATCCGGCCTCCTTTCAATATGGGGCTTCTCGCTGTATATTCCTATTGAAGCAGCGATCTCGGGGTCCCTCCCACATACCTATTGCTGAGAGAAGCCTCCTCCTGAGGTGCTTCTGGAAAGTTAGCATACGTCTTGAGCCTAAGGCAGGGAATCAGCTCTCATCTCGAGACTATTTGGTGTACATGGAGCATTCCTCGAGTTGCTGTGCTGAGGTTGGTGTTCCTCTAGACTTGGGACAGTGTTCTCGGGGCAACTCTGGAGTTCCCTGAAGGAAGTCGAGCCACCGGTCGTGTTGAATGGGGAACGGGGAATTGCTCTGGAGTCAATGCAGGGGAATCGGGCCTCATCTCGTGTTGATTTGGGGCACATGGAGCTGCTTTGCGTTGCTGGGGTGACCTCAGGGTCCGTCTAGACTGGTGACAGTGTTCTTTGGGACTGTCTCCAGATCCATTAAGCAAGTCGAAGCTCCTGACTTGTTTGAATGGGATCACGGAATAGCTCTGCATGCACTGCAGGGGAATGGGGCCTCATCTCGCCTCTAGGGGGAAGTCTCATGGTTTTTCTCGAGTTGCGGCGGGGACCTGGGGTATGTTCTCGACTTACGGCGGGGATGGCCCCTCAAAACACTTTTTTCTTCAGTGACGTCAGGACCTCTGTCTAGTAACGAGGGACACCTCAGCAATCTCTTCGAGGCTTGGCAGGGCAAAAGGGACGCTTCTCGATGTGAGGCAGGGCACCCAAGGACCCTTTCCAGTAGCCACAGGAATTTTGGGATTCCTATCAGTATTCAAGAGGAGTCAGGCATCGTCACCTTTAGAAGCAATGAACTCCGCGTGACTCTCGAGGTGTCAACAAAATGTGAGGCATTCCGTCAAAATGAGGCAGGGATCTAGGGCTTTCTCTAAGGTCTCCACAGGGGATTCAGACATTCCTTCATGTTGTGAAATGAAAGACGAGCCTGCATTCAAGCCACTGCAAGGAAATCCGGCCTCCTTTCAAGTTAGGGCTTCTCGCGGTATATTCCCCAAGAGGCAGCAAACTCGGGGTCCCTCCCACATACCTATTGCTGAGAGAAGCCTCCTCCTGAGGTGCATCTTTAAAGTTGGCATACGTCTTGAGCCTAAGCCAGGGAATCAGCTCTCATCTCGAGACGATTTGGGGTACACGGAGCATTCCTCGAGTTGCTGTGCTAAAGTTGGTGTTCCTCTAGACTTGGGAGAGTGTTCTCGGGGCATCTCTGGAGTTGCCTGAAGGAAGTCGAGCCACCGGTCGTGTTGAATGGGGAACGGGGAATGGCTCTGGAGTCAATGCAGGGGAATCGGGCCTCATCTCGAGTTGATTTGGGGCACATGGAGCTGCTTTGTGTTGCTGGGGTGACCTCAGAGTCCATCTAGACTGGTGACAGTGTTCTTGGGGACGCTCTCGAGATCCATTAAGCAAGTCGAAGCTCCTGACTTGTTTGAATGGGATCACGGAATAGCTCTGCATGCACTGCAGTGGAATGGGGCCTCATCTCGCCTCTAGGGGGAAGTCTCATGGTTTTTCTCGAGTTGCGGCAGGGACCTGTGGTATGTTCTCGACTTACGGCGGGGATGGCCCTTCAAAACACGAGTTTCTTCAGTGACGTCAGGACTCCTGTCTAGTAACGAGGGACACCTCAGGAATCTCTTCGAGGCTTGGCAGGGCAAAAGGGACGCTTCTCGGGATGAGGCAGGGCAACCAAGGACCCTTTCCAGTAGCCACAGGGATTTTGGGATTCCTATCAGTATTCAAGAGGAGTCAGGCATCGTCACCTTTTGAAGCAATGAACTCCGCGTGCCTCTCGAGGTGTCAGCGGGATGTGAGGCATTCCGTCAAAGTGAGGCAGGGACCTAGGGCTTTCTCTAAGGTCTCCACAGGGTATTCAGACATCCCTTCATTTTGTGAGATGAAAGACGAGCCTGTATTCAAGCCACTGCAAGGAAATCCGGCCTCCTTTCAAGTTAGGGCTTCTCGCTGTATATTCCCCTTGAGGCAGCAAACTCGGGGTCCCTCCCACATATCTATTGCTGAGACAGCCTCCTCTTGAGGTGCTTCTGGAAAGTTGGCATACGTCTTGAGCCTAAGCCAGGGAATCAGCTCTCATCTCGAGACGATTTGGGGTACACGGAGCATTCCTCGAGTTGCTGTGCTGAAGTTGGTGTTTCTCTAGACTTGGGACAGTGTTCTCGGGGCATCACTGGAGTTGCCTGAAGGAAGTCGAGATACTGGTCGTGTTGAATGGGGAACGGGGAATGGCTCTGGAGTCAATGCAGGGGAATCGGGCCTCATCTCGAGTTGATTTGTGGCACATGGAGCTGCTTTGCGTTGCTGGGGTGACCTCAGGGTCCGTCTAGACTGGTGACAGTGTTCTTGGGGACTGTCTCGAGATCCATTAAGCAAGTCGAAGCTCCTGACTTGTTTGAATGGGATCACGGAATAGCTCTGCATGCACTGCAGGGGAATGGGGCCTCATCTCGCCTCTAGGGGGAAGTCTCATGGTTTTTCTCTAGTTGCGGCGGGGACCTGGGGTATGTTCTCGACTTACGGCGGGGATGGCCCTTCAAAACACGAGTTTCTTCAGTGACGTCAGGACTCCTGTCTAGTAACGAGGGACACCTCAGGAATCTCTTCGAGGCTTGGCAGGGCAAAAGGGACGCTTCTCGAGGTGAGGCAGGGCAACCAAGGACCCTTTCCAGTAGCCACAGGGATTTTGGGATTCCTATCAGTATTCAAGAGGAGTCAGGCATCGTCACCTTTTGAAGCAATGAACTCCGCGTGCCTCTCGAGGTGTCAGCGGGATGTGAGGCATTCCGTCAAAGTGCTGCAGGGACCTAGGGCTTTCTCCAAGGTCTCCACAGTGGATTCAGACATCCCTTCATGTTGTGAAATGAAACACGAGCCTGTATTCAAGACACTGCAAGGAAATCCGGCCTCCTTTCAAGTTAGGTCTTCTCGCTGTATATTCCCCTTGAGGCAGCAAACTCGGGGTCCCTCCCACATACCTATTGCTGAGACAGCCTCCTCCTGAGGTGCTTCTGGAAAGTTGGCATACGTCTTGAGCCTAATCCAGGGAATCAGCTCTCATCTCGAGACGATTTGGGGTACACGGAGCATTCCTCGAGTTGCTGTGCTGAAGTTGGTGTTTCTCTAGACTTGGGACAGTGTTCTCGGGGCATCACTGGAGTTGCCTGAAGGAAGTCGAGACACTGGTCGTGTTGAATGGGGAACGGGGAATCGCTCTGGAGTCAATGCAGGGGAATCGGGCCTCATCTCGAGTTGATTTGTGGCACATGGAGCTGCTTTGCGTTGCTTGGGTGACCTCAGGGTCCGTCTAGACTGGTGACAGTGTTCTTGGGGACTGTCTCGAGATCCATTAAGCAAGTCGAAACTCCTGACTTGTTTGAATGGGATCACGGAATAGCTCTGCATGCACTGCAGGGGAATGGGGCCTCATCTCGCCTCTAGGGGGAAGTCTCATGGTTTTTCTCGATTTGCGGCGGGGACCTAGGGTATGTTCTCGACTTACGGCGGGGATGGCCCTTCAAAACACGAGTTTCTTCAGTGACGTCAGGACTCCTGTCTAGTAACGAGGGACACCTCAGGAATCTCTTTCAGGCTTGGCAGGGCAAAAGGGACGCTTCTCGAGGTGAGGCAGGGCACCCAAGGACCCTTTCCAGTAGCCACAGGGATTTTGGGATTCCTATCAGTATTCAAGAGGAGTCAGGCATCGTCACCTTTTGAAGCAATGAACTCCGCGTGCCTCTCGAGGTGTCAACGGTATGTGAGGCATTCCGTCAAAGTGAGGCAGGGACCTAGGGCTTTCTCTAAGGTCTCCACAGGGGATTCAGACATCCCTTCATGTTGTGAGATGAAAGACGAGCCTGTATTCAAGCCACTGCAAGGAAATCCGGCCTCCTTTCAAATTAGGGCTTCTCGCTGTATATTCCACTTGAGGCAGCGATCTCGGGGTCCCTCCTACATACCTATTGCTGAGAGAAGCCTCCTCCTGAGGTGCTTCTGGAAAGTTGGCATATGTCTTGAGCCTAAGCCAGGGAATCAGCTCTCATCTCGAGACGATTTGGGGTACAAGGCGCATTCCTCGAGTTGCTGTGCTGAAGTTGGTGTTCCTCTATACTTGGGACAGAGTTCTCGGGGCAACTCTGGCGTTGCCTGAAGGAAGTCGAGCCACCGGCCGTGTTGAATGGGGAACGGGAAATGGCTCTGGAGTCAATGCAGGGGAATCGGGCCTCATCTCGAGTTGATTTGGGGCACATGGAGCTGCTTTGCGTTGTTGGGGTGACTTCAGGGTCCGTCTAGACTGGTGACAGTGTTCTTGGGGACTCTCTCGAGATCCATTAAGCAAGTCGAAGCTCCTGACTTGTTTGAATGGGATCACGGAATAGCTCTGCATGCACTGCAGGGGAATGGGGACTCATCTCGCCTCTAGGGAGAAGTCTCATGGTTTTTCTCGAGTTGCGGCGGGGACCTGGGGTATGTTCTCGACTTACGGCGGTGATGGCCCTTCAAAACACGAGTTTCTTTAGTGACGTCAGGACTCCAGTCTAGTAACGAGGGACACCTCAGGAATCTCTTCGAGGCTTGGCAGGGCAAAAGGGATGCTTCTCGAGGTGAGGCAGGGCACCCAAGGACCCTTTCCAGTAGCCACAGGGATTTTGGGATTCCTATCAGTATTCAAAAGGAGTTAGGCATCGTCACATTTTGAAGCAATGAACTCCGCGTGCCTCTCGAGGTGTCAACGGGATGTGAGGCATTCCGTCAAAATGAGGCAGGGACCTAGGTCTTTTTCTAAGTCTCCAAAGGGGATTCAGACATCCCTTCATGTTTTGAGATCAAAGACGAGCCTGTATTCAAGCCACTGCAAGGAAGTACGGCCTCCGTTCAAGATAGGGCTTCTCGCTGTATATTCCACTTGAGGCAGCGATCTCGGGGTCCCTCCCACATACCTATTGCTGAGAGAAGCCTCCTCCTGAGGTGCTTCTGGAAAGTTGGCATACGTCTTGAGCCTAAGCCAGGGAATCAGCTCTCATCTCGAGACGATTTGGGTACACAGAGCATTCCTCGAGTTGCTGTGCTGAAGTTGGTGTTCCTCTAGACTTGGGACAGTGTTCTCGGGGCATCTCTGGAGTTGCCTGAAGGAAGTCGAGCCACCGGTCGTGTTGAATGGGGAACGGGGAATGGCTCTGCAGTCATTGCAGGGGAATCGGGTCTCATCTCGAGTTGATTTGGGGCACATGGAGCTGCTTTGCGTCCGTCTAGACTGGTGACAGTGTTCTAGGGGACTGTCTCGAGATCCATTAAGCAATTCGAAGCTCCTGATTTGTTTGAATGGGATCACGGAATAGATCTGCATGAACTGCAGGGGAATGGGGCCTCATCTCGCCTCTAGAGGGAAGTCTCAAGGTTTTTCGCGAGTTGCGGCCGGGACCTGGGCTATGTTCTCGACTTACGGCGGGGATGGCCCTTCAAAACACGAGTTTCTTCAGTGACGTCAGGACTCCAGTCTAGTAAACAGGGACACCTCAGCAAACTCTTTCAGGCTTGGCAGGGCAAAAGGCACGCTTCTCGATTTGAGGCAGGGCACCCAAGGACCCTTTCCAGTAGCCACAGCGATTTTGGGATTCCTATCAGTATTCAAGAGGAGTCAGGCAACGTCACCTTTTGAAGCAATGAACTCCGCGTGCCTCTCGAGGTGTCAACGGGATGTGAGGCATTCCGTCAAAATGAGGCAGGGACCAAGGGCTTTCTCTAAGGTCTCCAAAGGGGATTCAGACTTCCCTTCATGTTTTGAGAACAAAGACGAGCCTGTATTCAAGCCAATGCAAGGAAATCCGGCCTCCTTTCAAGTTAGGGCTTCTCGCTGTATATTCCACTTGAAGCAGCGATCTCGGGTTCCCTCCCACATACGTATTGCTGAGAGATGCCTCCTCCTGAGGTGCTTCTGGAAAGTAGGCATACGGCTTTAGCTAAGTCAGGGAATCAGCTCTCATCTCGAGACGATTTGGGGTACACGGAGCATTCCTCGAGTTGCTGTGCTGAAGTTGGTGTTCCTCTAGACTTGGGACAGTGTTCTCTGGGCATCTCTGGAGTTGCCTGAAGGAAGTCGAGCCACCTGTCGTGTTGAATGGGGAACGGGGAATGAGTCTGGAGTCAATGCAGGGGAATCGGGCCTCATCTCGAGTTGATTTGGGGCACATGGAGCTGATTTGCGTTGCTGGGGTGACCTCAGGTTCCATCTAGACTGGTGACAGTGTTCTTGGGGACTGTCTCGAGATCCATTAAGCAAGTCAAAGCTCCTGACTGGTTTGAATGGGATCACGGAATAGCTCTGCATGCACTGCATGGGAATGGGGCCTCATCTCGCCTCTAGGGGGAAGTCTCATGGTTTTTCTCGAGTTGCGGCGGGGACCTGGGGTATGTTCTCGACTTACGGCGGGGATGGCCCTTCAAAACACAAGTTTCTTCAGTGACGTCAGGACTCCTGTCTAGTAACGAGGGACACCTCAGGAATCTCTTCGAGGCTTGCCAGGGCAAAAGGGACGCTTCTCGAGGTGAGGCAGGGCACCCAAGGACCCTTTCCAGTAGCCAGAGGGATTTGGGGATTCCTATCAGTATTCAAGAAGAGTCAGGCATCGTCCCTTTTGAAGTAATGAACTCCGCGTGCCTCTCGAGGTGTCAGCGGGATGTGAGGCATTCCGTCAAAATGAGGCAGGGACCTAGGGCTTTCTCTAAGGTCTCCACAGGGGATTCAGACATCCCTTCATTTTGTGAGATGAAAGACGAGCCTGTATTCAAGCCAATGCAAGGAAATCAGACCTCCTTTCAAGTTAGGGCTTCTCGCTGTATATTTCCCTTGAGGCAGCAAACTAGGGGTCCCTCCCACATAACTATTGCTGAGAGAAGCCTCCTCCTGAGGTGCTTCTGGAAAGTTGGCATACGCCTTGAGCCTAAGCCAGGGAATCAGCTCTCATCTCGAGACGATTTGGGTACACAGAGCATTCCTCGAGTTGCTGTGCTGAATTTGGTGTTCCTCTATACTTGGGACAGAGTTCTCGGGGCAACTCTGGCGTTGCCTGAAGGAAGTCGAGCCACCGGCCGTGTTGAATGGGGAACGGGAAATGGCTCTGGAGTCAATGCAGGGGAATCGGGCCTCATCTCGAGTTGATTTGGGGCACATGGAGCTGCTTTGCGTTGTTGGGGTGACTTCAGGGTCCGTCTAGACTGGTGACAGTGTTCTTGGGGACTCTCTCGAGATCCATTAAGCAAGTCGAAGCTCCTGACTTGTTTGAATGGGATCACGGAATAGCTCTGCATGCACTGCAGGGGAATGGGGCCTCATCTCGCCTCTAGGGAGAAGTCTCATGGATTTTCTCGAGTTGTGGCGGGGACCTGGGGTATTTTCTCGACTTACGGCAGGGATGGCCCTTCAAAACACGAGTTTCTTTAGTGACGTCAGGACTCCAGTCTAGTAACGAGGGACACCTCAGGAATCTCTTCGAGGATTGGCAGGGCAAAAGGGATGCTTCTCGAGGTGAGGCAGGACACCCAAGGACCCTTTCCAGTAGCCACAGGGATTTTGAGATTCCTATCAGTATTCAAAAGGAGTTAGGCATCGTCACATTTTGAAGCAATGAACTCCGCGTGCCTCTCGAGGTTTCAACGGGATGTGAGGCATTCCGTCAAAATGAGGCAGGGACCTAGGTCTTTTTCTAAGACTCCAAAGGGGATTCAGACATCCCTTCATGTTTTGAGATCAAAGACGAGCCTGTATTCAAGCCACTGCAAGGAAGTACGGCCTCCGTTCAAGTTAGGGCTTCTCGCTGTATATTCCACTTGAGGCAGCGATCTCGGGGTCTCTCCCACATACCTATTGCTGAGAGAAGCCTCCTCCTGAGGTGCCTCTGGAAAGTTGGCATACGTCTTGAGCCTAAGCCAGGGAATCAGCTCTCATCTCGAGACGATTTGGGTTACACAGAGCATTCCTCCAGTTGCTGTGCTGAAGTTGGTGTTCCTCTAGACTAGGAACAGTGTTCTCGGGGCATCTCTGGAGCTGCCTGAAGGAAGCCGAGCCACTGGTCGTGTTGAATGGGGAACGGGGAATGGCTCTGGAGTCAATGCAGGTGAATCGGGCCTCATCTCGAGTTGATTTGGGGCACATGTTGCTAGTTTGCATTGCTGGAGTGGCCTCAGGGTCCGTCTAGACTGGTGACAGTGTTCTTGGGGACTGTCGCGAGATCCATTAAGCAATTCGAAGCTCCTGATTTGTTTGAATGGGATCACGGAATAGATCTGCATGCACTGCAGGGGAATGGGGCCTCATCTCGCCTCTAGAGGGAAGTCTCAAGGTTTTTCTCGAGTTGCGGCCGGGACCTGGGCTATGTTCTCGACTTACGGCGTGGATGGCCCTTCAAAACACGAGTTTCTTCAGTGACGTCAGGACTCCAGTCTAGTAAACAGGGACACCTCAGCAAACTCTTTCAGGCTTGGCAGGGCAAAAGGGACGCTTCTCGATTTGAGGCAGGGCACCCAAGGACCCTTTCCAGTAGCCACAGCGATTTTGGGATTCCTATCAGTATTCAAGAGGAGTCAGGCAACGTCACCTTTTGAAGCAATGAACTCCGCGTGCCTCTCGAGGTGTCAACGGGATGTGAGGAATTCCGTCAAAATGAGGCAGGGACCAAGGGCTTTCTCTAAGGTCTCCAAAGGGGATTCAGACTTCCCTTCATGTTTTGAGAACAAAGACGAGCCTGTATTCAAGCCAATGCAAGGAAATCCGGCCTCCTTTCAAGTTAGGGCTTCTCGCTGTATATTCCACTTGAAGCAGCGATCTCGGGTTCCCTCCCACATACGTATTGCTGAGAGATGCCTCCTCCTGAGGTGCTTCTGGAAAGTAGGCATACGGCTTTAGCTAAGTCAGGGAATCAGCTCTCATCTCGAGACGATTTGGGGTACACGGAGCATTCCTCGAGTTGCTGTGCTGAAGTTGGTGTTCCTCTAGACTTGGGACAGTGTTCTCTGGGCATCTCTGGAGTTGCCTGAAGGAAGTCGAGCCACCTGTCGTGTTGAATGGGGAACGGGGAATGAGTCTGGTGTCAATGCAGGGGAATCGGGCCTCATCTCGAGTTGATTTGGGGCACATGGAGCTGATTTGCGTTGCTGGGGTGACCTCAGGTTCCATCTAGACTGGTGACAGTGTTCTTGGGGACTGTCTCGAGATCCATTAAGCAAGTCGAAGCTCCTGACTGGTTTGAATGGGATCACGGAATAGCTCTGCATGCACTGCAGGGGAATGGGGCCTCATCTCGCCTCTAGGGGGAAGTCTCATGGTTTTTCTCGAGTTGCGGCGGGGACCTGGGGTATGTTCTCGACTTACGGCGGGGATGGCCCTTCAAAACACAAGTTTCTTCAGTGACGTCAGGACTCCTGTCTAGTAACGAGGGACACCACAGGAATCTCTTCGAGGCTTGGCAGGGCAAAAGGGACGCTTCTCGGGGTGAGGCAGGGCAACCAAGGACCCTTTCCAGTAGCCACAGGGATTTTGGGATTCCTATCAGTATTCAAGAGGAGTCAGGCATCGTCACCTTTTGAAGCAATGAACTCCGCATGCCTCTCGAGGTGTCAGCGGGATGTGAGGCATTCCGTCAAAGTGAGGCAGGGACCTAGGGCTTTCTCTAAGGTCTCCACAGGGGATTCAGACATCCCTTCATGTTGTGAAATGAAACACGAGCCTGTATTCGAGCCACTGCAAGGAAATCCGGCCTCCTTTCAAGTTAGGGCTTCTCGCTGTATATTCCCCTTGAGGCAGCAAACTCGGGGTCCCTCCCACATACCTATTGCTGAGACAGCCTCCTCCTGAGGTGCTTCTGGAAAGTTGGCATACGTCTTGAGCCTAAGCCAGGGAATCAGCTCTCATCTCGAGACGATTTGGGGTACACGGAGCATTCCTCGAGTTGCTGTGCTGAAGTTGGTGTTTCTCTAGACTTGGGACAGTGTTCTCGGGGCATCACTGGAGTTGCCTGAAGGAAGTCGAGACACTGGTCGTGTTGAATGGGGAACGGGGAATGGCTCTGGAGTCAATGCAGGGGAATCGGGCCTCATCTCGAGTTGATTTGTGGCACATGGAGCTGCTTTGCATTGCTGGGGTGACCTCAGGGTCCGTCTAGACTGGTGACAGTGTTCTTGGGGACTGTCTCGAGATCCATTAAGCAAGTCGAAGCTCCTGACTTGTTTGAATGGGATCACGGAATAGCTCTGCATGCACTGCAGGGGAATGGGGCCTCATCTCGCCTCTAGGGGGAAGTCTCATGGTTTTTCTCGAGTTGCGACGGGGACCTGGGATATGTTCTCGACGTACGGCGGGGATGGCCCTTCAAAACACGAGTTTCTTCAGTGACGTCAGGACTCCTGTCTAGTAACGAGGGACACCTCAGGAATCTCTTCGAGGCTTGGTACGGCAAAAGGGACTCTTCTCGAGGTGAGGCAGGGCACTCAAGGACCCTTTTCAGTAGCCACAGGGATTTTGGGATTCCTATCAGTATTCAAGAGGAGTCAGGCATCGTCACCTTTTGAAGCAATGAACTCCGCGTGCCTCTCGAGGTGTCAACGGGATGTGAGGCATTCCGTCAAAGTGAGGCAGGGACCTATGGCTTTCTCTAAGGTCTCCACAGGGGATTCAGACATCCCTTCATGTTGTGAAATGAAACACGAGCCTGTATTCAAGCCACTGCAAGGAAATCCGGCCTCCTTTCAAGTTAGGGCTTCTCGCTGTATATTGCCCTTGAGGCAGCAAACTCGGGGTCCCTCCCACATACCTATTGCTGAGACAGCCTCCTCCTGAGGTGCTTCTGGAAAGTTGGCATACGTCTTGAGCCTAAGCCAGGGAATCAGCTCTCATCTCGAGACGATTTGGGGTACACGGAGCATTCCTCGAGTTGCTGTGCTGAAGTTGGTGTTCCTCTAGACTTGGGACAGTGTTCTCGGGGCATCTCTGGAGTTGCCTGAAGGAAGTCGAGGCACCGGTCGTGTTGAATGGGGAACGAGAATGGCTATGGAGTCAAAGCAGGGGAATCGGGCCTCATCTCGAGTTGATTTGGGGCACATGGAGCTGCTTTGCGTTGCTGGGGTGACCTCAGAGTCCGTCTAGACTGGTGACAGTGTTCTTGGGGACTCTCTCGAGATCCATTAAGCAAGTCGAAGCTCCTGACTTGTTTGAATGGGATCACGGAATAGCTCTGCATGCACTGCAGGGGAATGGGGCCTCATCTCGCCTCTAGGGGGAAGTCTCATGGTTTTTCTCGAGTTGCGGCGGGGACCTGGTGTATGTTCTCGACTTACGGCGGGGATGGCCCTTCAAAACACGAGTTTCTTCAGTGACGTCAGGACTCCTGTCTAGTAACGAGGGACACCTCAGGAATCTCTTCGAGGGTTGGCAGGGCAAAAGGGACGCTTCTCGGGGTGAGGCAGGGCAACCAAGGACCCTTTCCAGTAGCCACAGGGATTTTGGGATTCCTATCAGTATTCAAGAGGAGTCAGGCATCGTCACCTTTTGAAGCAATGAACTCCGCGTGCCTCTCGAGGTGTCAACGGTATGTGAGGCATTCCGTCATAGTGAGGCAGGGACCTAGGGCTTTCTCTAAGGTCTCCACAGTGGATTCAGACATCCCTTCATGTTGTGAAATGAAACACGAGCCTGTATTTAAGACACTGCAAGGAAATCCGGCCTCCTTTCAAGTTAGGTCTTCTCGCTGTATATTCCCCTTGAGGCAGCAAACTCGGGGTCCCTCCCACATACATATTGCTGAGACAGCCTCCTCCTGAGGTGCTTCTGGAAAGTTGGCATACGTCTTGAGCCTAAGCCAGGGAATCAGCTCTCATCTCGAGACGATTTGGGGTACACGGAGCATTCCTCGAGTTGCTGTGCTGAAGTTGGTGTTTCTCTAGACTTGGGACAGTGTTCTCGGGGCATCACTGGAGTTGCCTGAAGGAAGTCGAGACACTGGTCGTGTTGAATGGGGAACGGGGAATCGCTCTGGAGTCAATGCAGGGGAATCGGGCCTCATCTCGAGTTGATTTGTGGCACATGGAGCTGCTTTGCGTTGCTTGGGTGACCTCAGGGTCCGTCTAGACTGGTGACAGTGTTCTTGGGGACTGTCTCGAGATCCATTAAGCAAGTCGAAGCTCCTGACTTGTTTGAATGGGATCACAGAATAGCTCTGCATGCACTGCAGGGGAATGGGGCCTCATCTCGCCTCTAGGGGGAAGTCTCATGGTTTTTCTCGATTTGCGGCGGGGACCTGGGGTATGTTCTCGACTTACGGCGGGGATGGCCCTTCAAAACACGAGTTTCTTCAGTGACGTCAGGACTCCTGTCTAGTAACGAGGGACACCTCAGGAATCTCTTTCAGGCTTGGCAGGGCAAAAGGGACGCTTCTCGAGGTGAGGCAGGGCACCCAAGGACCCTTTCCAGTAGCCACAGGGATTTTGGGATTCCTATCAGTATTCAAGAGGAGTCAGGCATCGTCACCTTTTGAAGCAATGAACTCCGCGTGCCTCTCGAGGTGTCAACGGTATGTGAGGCATTCCGTCAAAGTGAGGCAGGGACCTAGGGCTTTCTCTAAGGTCTCCACAGGGGATTCAGACATCCCTTCATGTTGTGAAATGAAACACGAGCCTGTATTCAAGACACTGCAAGGAAATCCGGCCTCCTTTCAAGTTAGGGCTTCTCGCTGTATATTCCCCTTGAGGCAGCAAACTCGGGTCCCTCCCACATACCTATTGCTGAGAGAAGCCTCCTCCTGAGGTGCTTCTGGAAAGTTGGCATACGTCTTGAGCCTAAGCCAGGGAATCAGCTCTCATCTCGAGACGATTTGGGGTACACGGAGCATTCCTCGAGTTGCTGTGCTGAAGTTGGTGTTCCTCTAGACTTGGGCCAGTGTTCTCGGGGCATCTCTGGAGTTGCCTGAAGGAAGTCGACCCACCGGTCGTGTTGAATGGGGAACGGGAATGGCTATGGAGTCAATCCAGGGGAATCGGGCCTCATCTCGTGTTGATTTGGGGCACATGGAGCTTCTTTGCGTTGCTGGGGTGACCTCAGGGTCCATCTAGACTGATGACAGTGTTCTTGGGGACTGTCTCGAGATCCATTAAGCAAGTCGAAGCTCCTGACTTTTTTCAATGGGATCACGGAATAGCTCTGCATGCACTGCAGGGGAATGGTGCCTCATCTCGCCTCTAGGGGGAAGTCTCATGGTTTTTCTCGAGTTGCGGCGGGGACCTGGGGTATGTTCTCGGGTTACGGCGGGGATGGCCCTTCAAAACACGTGTTTATTCAGTGACGTCAGGACTCCTGTCTAGTAACGAGGGACACCTCAGGAATCTCTTCGAGGCTTGGCAGGGCAAAAGGGACGCTTCTCGAGTTGAGGCAGGGCACCCAAGGACCCTTTCCAGTAGCCACAGGGATTTTGGGATTCCTATCAGTATTCAAAAGGAGTCAGGCATCGTCACCTTTGAAGCACTGAACTCTGCGTGCCTCTCGAGGTGTCAACCGAATGAGGCATTCCGTCAAAATGAGGCAGGGACCTAGGGCTTTCTCTAAGGTCTCCACAGGGGATTCAGACATCCCTTCATGTTTTGAGACCAAAGACGAGCCTATATTCAAGCCACTGCAAGGAAATCCGGCCTCCTTTCAAGTTAGGGCTTCTCGCTGTATATTCCACTTGAGGCAGCGATCTCGGGGTCCCTCCCACATACCTATTGCTGAGAGAAGCCTCCTCCTGAGGTGCTTCTGGAAATTTGGCATACGTCTTGAGCCTAAGCCAGGGAATCAGCTCTCATCTCGAGACGATTTGGGGTACACGGAGCATTCCTTGAGTTGCTGTGCTGAAGTTGGTGTTCCTCTAGGCTTGGGATAGTGTTCTCGGGGCATCTCTGGAGTTGCCTGAAGGAAGTCGAGCCACCGGTCGTGTTGAATGGGGAACGGGGAATGGCTCTGGAGTCAATGCAGGGGAATCGGGCCTCATCTCGAGTTGATTTGTGGCACATGGAGCTGCTTTGCGTTGCTTGAGTGACCTCAGGGTCCATCTAGACTGGTGACAGTGTTCTTAGGGACTGTCTCGAGATTCATTAAGCAAGTCGAAGCTCCTGATTTGTTTGAATGGGATCACGGAATAGCTCTGCATGCTCTGCAGGAGAATGGGGCCTCATCTCGCCTCTAGGGGGAAGTCTCATGGTTTTTCTCGAGTTGCGGCGGTGACCTGGGGTATGTTCTCGACTTACGGCGGGGATGGCCCTTCAAAATACGAGTTTCTTCAGTGACGTCAGGACACCTGTCTAGTAACGAGGGACACCTCAGGAATCTCTTCGAGGCTTGGCAGGGCAAAAGGGACTCTTCTCGAGGTGAGGCAGGACACCCAAGGACCCTTTCCAGTAGCCACAGGGATTTTGGGATTCCTATCAGTATTCAAGAGGAGTCAGGCATCGTCACCTTTTGAAGCAATGAACTCCGCGTGCCTCTCGAGGTGTCAACGGGATGTGAGGCATTCCGTCAAAGTGAGGCAGGGACCTAGGGCTTTCTCTAAGGTCTCCACAGGGGATTCAGACATCCCTTCATGTTGTGAAATGAAACACGAGCCTGTATTCAAGCCACTGCAAGGAAATCCGGCCTCCTTTCAAGTTAGGGCTTCTCGCTGTATATTGCCCTTGAGGCAGCAAACTCGGGGTCCCTCCCACATACCTATTGCTGAGACAGCCTCCTCCTGAGGTGCTTCTGGAAAGTTGGCATACGTCTTGAGCCTAAGCCAGGGAATCAGCTCTCATCTCAAGACGATTTGGGGTACACGGAGCATTCCTCGAGTTGCTGTGCTGAAGTTGGTGTTTCTCTAGACTTGGGACAGTGTTCTCGGGGCATCTCTGGAGTTGCCTGAAGGAAGTCGAGCCACCGGTCGTGTTGAATGGGGAACGAGAATGGCTATGGAGTCAATGCAGGGGAATCGGGCCTCATCTCGAGTTGATTTGGGGCACATGGAGCTGCTTTGCGTTGCTGGGGTGACCTCAGAGTCCGTCTAGACTGGTGACAGTGTTCTTGGGGACTCTCTCGAGATCCATTAAGCAAGTCGAAGCTCCTGACTTGTTTGAATGGGATCACGGAATAGCTCTGCAGGCACTGCAGGGGAATGGGGCCTCATCTCGCCTCTAGGGGGAAGGCTCATGGTTTTTCTCGAGTTGCGGCGGGGACCTCGGTTATGTTCTCGACTTACGGCGGGGATGGCCCTTCAAAACACGAGTTTCTTCAGTGACGTCACGACTCCTGTCTAGTAACGAGGGACAGCTCAGGAATCTCTTCGAGGCTTGGCAGGGCTAAAGGGACGCTTCTCGAGGTGAGGCAGGGCAACCAAGGACTCTTTCCAGTAGCCACAGGGATTTTGGGATTCCTATCAGTATTCAAGAGGAGTCAGGCATCGTCACCTTTTGAAGCAATGAACTCCGCGTGCCTCTCGAGGTGTCAGCGGGATGTGAGGCATTCCGTCAAAGTGAGGCAGGGACCTAGGGCTTTCTCTAAGGTCTCCACAGTGGATTCAGACATCCCTTCATGTTGTGAAATGAAACACGAGCCTGTATTCAAGCCACTGCAAGGAAATCAGGCCTCCTTTCAAGTTAGGGCTTCTCGCTCTATATTCCCCTTGAGGCAGCAAACTCGGGGTCCCTCCCACATACCTATTGCTGAGAGAAGCCTCCTCCTGAGCTGCTTCTGGAAAGTTGGCATACGTCTTGAGCCTAAGCCAGGGAATCAGCTCTCATCTCGAGACGATTTGGGGTACAAGGCGCATTCCTCGAGTTGCTGTGCTGAAGTTGGTGTTCCTCTATACTTGGGACAGAGTTCTCGGGGCAACTCTGGCGTTGCCTGAAGGAAGTCGAGCCACCGGCCGTGTTGAATGGGGAACGGGAAATGGCTCTGGAGTCAATGCAGGGGAATCGGGCCTCATCTCGAGTTGATTTGGGGCACATGGAGCTGCTCTGCGTTGTTGGGGTGACTTCAGGGTCCGTCTAGAGTGGTGACAGTGTTCTTGGGGACTCTCTCGAGATCCATTAAGCAAGTCGAAGCTCCTGACTTGTTTGAATGGGATCACGGAATAGCTCTGCATGCACTGCAGGGGAATGGGGCCTCATCTCGCCTCTAGGGAGAAGTCTCATGGTTTTTCTCGAGTTGCGGCGGGGACCTGGGGTATGTTCTCGACTTACGGCGGTGATGGCCCTTCAAAACACTAGTTTCTTTAGTGACGTCAGGACTCCAGTCTAGTAACGAGGGACACCTCAGGAATCTCTTCGAGGCTTGGCAGGGCAAAAGGGATGCTTCTCGAGGTGAGGCAGGGCACCCAAGGACCCTTTCCAGTAGCCACAGGGATTTTGGGATTCCTATCAGTATTCAAAAGGAGTTAGGCATCGTCACATTGTGAAGCAATGAACTCCGCGTGCCTCTCGAGGTGTCAACGGGATGTGAGGCATTCCGTCAAAATGAGGCAGGGACCTAGGTCTTTTTCTAAGTCTCCAAAGGGGATTCAGACATCCCTTCATGTTTTGAGATCAAAGACGAGCCTGTATTCAAGCCACTGCAAGCAAGTACGGCCTCCGTTCAAGATAGGGCTTCTCGCTGTATATTCCACTTGAGGCAGCGATCTCGGGGTCCCTCCCACATACCTATTGCTGAGAGAAGCCTCCTCCTGAGGTGCTTCTGGAAAGTTGGCATACGCCTTGAGCCTAAGCCAGGGAATCAGCTCTCATCTCGAGACGATTTGGGTACACAGAGCATTCCTCGAGTTGCTGTGCTGAAGTTGGTGTTCCTCTAGACTTGGGACAGTGTTCTCGGGGCATCTCTGGAGTTGCCTGAAGGAAGTCGAGCCACCGGTCGTGTTGAATGTGGAACGGGGAATGGCTCTGCAGTCATTGCAGGTGAATCGGGTCTCATCACGAGTTGATTTGGGGCACATGGGGCTGCTTTGCGTTCGTCTAGACTGGTGACAGTGTTCTAGGGGACTGTCTCGAGATCCATTAAGCAAGTCGAAGCTCCTGACTTGTTTGAATGGGATCCCGGAATAGCTCTGCATGCACTGCAGGGGAATGGTGCCTCATCTCGCCTCTAGGGGGAAGTCTCATGGTTTTTCTCGAGTTGCGGCGGGGACCTGGGGTATGTTCTCGACTTACGGCGGGGATGGCCCTTCAAAACACGTGTTTATTCAGTGACGTCAGGACTCCTGTCTAGTAACGAGGGACACCTCAGGAATCTCTTCGAGGCTTGGCAGGGCAAAAGGGACTCTTCTCGAGGTGAGGCAGGGCACCCAAGGACCCTTTCCAGTAGCCACAGGGATTTTGGGATTCCTATCAGTATTCAAAAGGAGTCAGGCATCGTCACCTTTTGAAGCACTGAACTCTGCGTGCCTCTCGAGGTGTCAACCGAATGTGAGGCATTCCGTCAAAATGAGGCAGGGACCTAGGGCTTTCTCTAAGGTCTTCACAGGGGATTCAGAAATCCCTTCATGTTTTGAGACCAAAGACGAGCCTATATTCAAGCCACTGCAAGGAAATCCGGCCTCCTTTCAAGTTAGGGCTTCTCGCTGTATATTCCACTTGAGGCAGCGATCTCGGGGTCCCTCCCACATACCTATTGCTGAGAGAAGCCTCCTCCTGAGGTGCTTCTGGAAATTTGGCATACGTCTTGAGCCTAAGCCAGGGAATCAGCTCTCATCTCGAGACGATTTGGGGTACAAGGCGCATTCCTCGAGTTGCTGTGCTGAAGTTGGTGTTCCTGTATACTTGGGACAGAGTTCTCGGGGCAACTCTGGCGTTGCCTGAAGGAAGTCGAGCCACCGGCCGTGTTGAATGGGGAACGGGAAATGGCTCTGGAGTCAATGCAGGGGAATCGGGCCTCATCTCGAGTTGATTTGGGGCACATGGAGCTGCTTTGCGTTGTTGGGGTGACTTCAGGGTCCGTCCAAACTGGTGACAGTGTTCTTGGGGACTCTCTCGAGATCCATTAAGCAAGTCGAAGCTCCTGACTTGTTTGAATGGGATCACGGAATAGCTCTGCATGCACTGCAGGGGAATGGGGCCTCATCTCGCCTCTAGGGAGAAGTCTCATGGTTTTTCTCGAGTTGTGGCGGGGACCTGGGGTATGTTCTCGACTTACGGCGGGGATGGCCCTTCAAAACACGAGTTTCTTCAGTGACGTCAGGACTCCAGTCTAGTAACGAGGGACACCTCAGGAATCTCTTCGAGGATTGGCAGGGCAAAAGGGATGCTTCTCGAGGTGAGGCAGGGCACCCAAGGACCCTTTCCAGTAGCCACAGGGATTTTGGGATTCCTATCAGTATTCAAAAGGAGTTAGGCATCGTCACATTTTGAAGCAATGAGATCCGCGTGCCTCTCGAGGTGTCAACGGGATGTGAGGCATTCCGTCAAAATGAGGCAGGGACCTAGGTCTTTTTCTAAGTCTCCAAAGGGGATTCAGACATCCCTTCATGTTTTGAGATCAAAGACGAGCCTGTATTCAAGCCACTGCAAGGAAGTACGGCCTCCGTTCAAGTTAGGGCTTCTCGCTGTATATTCCACTTGAGGCAGCGATCTCGGGGTCTCTCCCACATACCTATTGCTGAGAGAAGCCTCCTCCTGAGGTGCCTCTGGAAAGTTGGCATACGTCTTGAGCCTAAGCCAGGGAATCAGCTCTCATCTCGAGACGATTTGGGTTACACAGAGCATTCCTCCAGTTGCTGTGCTGAAGTTGGTGTTCCTCTAGACTTGGAACAGTGTTCTCGGGGCATCTCTGGAGCTGCCTGAAGGAAGCCGAGCCACTGGTCGTGTTGAATGGGGAACGGGGAATGGCTCTGGAGTCAATGCAGGGGAATCGGGCCTCATCTCGAGTTGATTTGGGGCACATGTTGCTAGTTTGCATTGCTGGAGTGACCTCAGGGTCCGTCTAGACTGGTGACAGTGTTCTTGGGGACTGTCGCGAGATCCATTAAGCAATTCGAAGCTCCTGATTTGTTTGAATGGGATCACGGAATAGATCTGCATGCACTGCAGGGGAATGGGGCCTCATCTCGCCTCTAGGGGGAAGTCTCATGGTTTTTCTCGAGTTGCGGCGGGGACCTGGGGTATGTTCTCGACTTAAGGCGGGGATGGCCCTTCAAAACACAAGTTTCTTCAGTGACGTCAGGACTCCTGTCTAGTAACGAGGGACACCTCAGGAAACTCTTCGAGGCTTGCCAGGGCAAAAGGGACGCTTCTCGAGGTGAGTCAGGGCACCCAAGGCCCCTTTCCAGTAGCCACAGGGATTTGGGGATTCCTATCAGTATTCAAGAAGAGTCAGGCATCGTCACCTTTTGAAGCAATGAACTCCGCGTGCCTCTCGAGGTGTCAACGGGATGTGAGGCATTCCGTCAAAATGAGGCAGGGACCTAAGGCTTTCTCTAAGGTCTCCACAGGGGATTCAGACATCCCTTCATGTTGTAACATGAAACACGAGCCTGTATTCAAGACACTGCAAGGAAATCCGGCCTCCTTTCAAGTTAGGGCTTCTCGCTGTATATTCCCCTTGAGGCAGCAAACTCGGGGTCCCTCCCACATACCTATTGCTGAGAGAAGCCTCCTCCTGAGGTGCTTCTGGAAAGTTGGCATATGTCTTAAGCCAAAGCCAGGGAATCAGCTCTCATCTCGAGATGATTTGGTGTACACGGAGCATTCCTCGAGTTGCTGTGCTGAAGTTGGTATTCCTCTATACTTGGGCCTGTGTTCTCGGGGCATCTCTGGAGTTGCCTGAAGGAAGTCGAGCCACCGGTCGTGTTGAATGGGGAACGGGAATGGCTATGGAGTCAATGCAGGGGAATCGGGCCTCATCTCGAGTTGATTTGGGGCACATGGAGCTCCTTTGCGTTGCTGGGGTGACCTCCGGGTTCGTCTAGACTGGTGACAGTGTTCCTGGGGACTGTCTCGAGATCCATTAAGCAAGTCGAAGCTCCTGACTTGTTTGAATGGGATCACGGAATAGCTCTGCATGCACTGCAGGGGAATGGGGCCTCATCTCGCCTCTAGGGGGAAGTCTCATGGTTTTTCTCGAGTTGCGGCGGGGACCTGGGGTATGTTCTCGACGTACGGCGGGGATGGCCCCTCAAAACACTTTTTTCTTCAGTGACGTCAGGGCCTCTGTCTAGTAACGAGGGACACCTCAGCAATGTCTTCGAGGATTGGCAGGGCAAAAGGGACTCTTCTCGAGGTGAGGCAGGGCACCCAAGGACCCTTTCCAGTAGCCACAGGGATTTTGGGATTCCTATCAGTATTCAAGAGGAGTCAGGCATCGTCACCTTTTGAAGCACTGAACTCTGCGTGCCTCTCGAGGTGTCAACCGAATGTGAGGCATTCCGTCAAAATGAGGCAGGGACCTAGGGCTTTCTCTAAGGTCTTCACAGGGGATTCAGAAATCCCTTCATGTTTTCAGACCAAAGACGAGCCTATATTCAAGCCACTGCAAGGAAATCCAGCCTCCTTTCAAGTTAGGGCTTCTCGCTGTAAATTCCACTTGAGGCAGCGATCTCAGGGTCCCTCCCACATACCTATTGCTGAGAGAAGCCTCCTCCTGAGGTGCTTCTGGAAATTTGGCATACATCTTGAGCCTAAGCCAGGGAATCAGCTCTCATCTCGAGACGATTTGGGGTACACGGAGCATTCCTTGAGTTGCTGTGCTGAAGTTGGTGTTCCTCTAGGCTTGGGATAGTGTTCTCGGGGCATCTCTGGAGTTGCCTGAAGGAAGTCGAGCCACCGGTCGTGTTGAATGGGGAACGGGGAATGGCTCTGGAGTCAATGCAGGGGAATCGGGCCTCATCTCGAGTTGATTTGTGGCACATGGAGCTGCTTTGCGTTGCTGGGGTGACCTCAGGGTCCGTCTAGACTGGTGACAGTGTTCTTGGGGACTGTCTCGAGATTCATTAAGCAAGTCGAAGCTCCTGATTTGTTTGAATGGGATCACGGAATAGCTCTGCATGCTCTGCAGGGGAATGGGGCCTCATCTCGCCTCTAGGGGGAAGTCTCATGGTTTTTCTCGAGTTGCGGCGGGGACCTGGGGTATGTTCCCGACGTACGGCGGGGATGGCCCTTCAAAACACGAGTTTCTTCAGTGACGTCAGGACTAATGTCTAGTAACGAAGGACACCTCAGGAATCTCTTCGAGGCTTGGCAGGGCAAAAGGGACTCTTCTCGAGGTGAGGCAGGGCACCCAAGGACCCTTTCCAGTAGCCACAGGGATTTTGGGATTCCTATCAGTATTCAAGAGGAGTCAGGCATCGTCACCTTTTGAAGCAATGAACTCCGCGTGCCTCTCGAGGTGTCAGCGGGATGTGAGGCATTCCGTCAAAGTGAGGCAGGGACCTAGGGCTTTCTCTAAGGTCTCCACAGTGGATTCAGACATCCCTTCATGTTGTGAAATGAAACACGAGCCTGTATTCAAGCCACTGCAAGGAAATCCGGCCTCCTTTCAAGTTAGGGCTTATCGCTGTATATTGCCCTTGAGGCAGCAAACTCGGGGTCCCTCCCACATACCTATTGCTGAGACAGCCTCCTCCTGAGGTGCTTCTGGAAAGTTGGCATACGTCTTGAGCCTAAGCCAGGGAATCAGCTCTCATCTCGAGACGATTTGGGGTACACGGAGCATTCCTCGAGTTGCTGTGCTGAAGTTGGTGTTTCTCTAGACTTGGGACAGTGTTCTCGGGGCATCACTGGAGTTGTCTGAAGGAAGTCGAGACACTGGTCGTGTTGAATGGGGAACGGGGAATCGCTCTGGAGTCAATGCAGGGGAATCGGGCCTCATCTCGAGTTGATTTGTGGCACATGGAGCTGCTTTGCGTTGCTTGGGTGACCTCAGGGTCCGTCTAGACTGGTGACAGTGTTCTTGGGGACTGTCTCGAGATCCATTAAGCAAGTCGAAGCTCCTGACTTGTTTGAATGGGATCACGGAATAGCTCTGCATGCACTGCAGGGGAATGGGGCCTCATCTCGACTCTAGGGGGAAGTCTCATGGTTTTTCTCGATTTGCGGCGGGGACCTGGGGTATGTTCTCGACTTACGGCGGGGATGGCCCTTCAAAACACGAGTTTCTTCAGTGACGTCAGGACTCCTGTCTAGTAACGAGGGACACCTCAGGAATATCTTTCAGGCTTGGCAGGGCAAAAGGGACGCTTCTCGAGGTGAGGCAGGGCAACCCAGGACCCTTTCCAGTAGCCACAGGGATTTTGGGATTCCTATCAGTATTCAAGAGGAGTCAGGCATCGTCACCTTTTGAAGCAATGAACTCCGCATGCCTCTCGAGGTGTCAACGGTATGTGAGGCATTCCGTCAAAGTGAGGCAGGGACCTAGGGCTTTCTCTAAGGTCTCCACAGGGGATTCAGACATCCCTTCATGTTGTGAAATGAAACACGAGCCTGTATTCAAGACACTGCAAGGAAATCCGGCCTCCTTTCAAGTTAGGGCTTCTCGCTGTATATTCCCCTTGAGGCAGCAAACTCGGGGTCCCTCCCACATACCTATTGCTGAGAGAAGCCTCCTCCTGAGGTGCTTCTGGAAAGTTGGCATACGTCTTGAGCCTAAGCCAGGGAATCAGCTCTCATCTCGAGACGATTTGGGGTACACGGAGCATTCCTCGAGTTGCTGTGCTGAAGTTGGTGTTCCTCTAGACTTGGGCCAGTGTTCTCGGGGCATCTCTGGAGTTGCCTGAAGGAAGTCGAGCCACCGGTCGTGTTGAATGGGGAACGGGAATGGCTATGGAGTCAATCCAGGGGAATCGGGCCTCATCTCGAGTTGATTTGGGGCACATGGAGCTGCTTTGCGTTGCTGGGGTGACCTCAGGGTCCATCTAGACTGGTGACAGTGTTCTTGGGGACTGTCTCGAGATTCATTAAGCAAGTCGAAGCTCCTGACTTGTTTGAATGGGATCACGGAATAGCTCTGCATGCTCTGCAGGGGAATGGGGCCTCATCTCGCCTCTAGGGGGAAGTCTCATGGTTTTTCTCGAGTTGCGGCGGGGACCTGGGGTATGTTCTCGACGTACGGCGGGGATGGCCCTTCAAAACACGAGTTTCTTCAGTGACGTCAGGACTAATGTCTAGTAACGAAGGACACCTCAGGAATCTCTTCGAGGCTTGGCAGGGCAAAAGGGACTCTTCTCGAGGTGAGGCAGGGCACCCAAGGACCCTTTCCAGTAGCCACAGGGATTTTGGGATTCCTATCAGTATTCAAGAGGAGTCAGGCATCGTCACCTTTTGAAGCAATGAACTCCGCGTGCCTCTCGAGGTGTCAGCGGGATGTGAGGCATTCCGTCAAAGTGAGGCAGGGACCTAGGGCTTTCTCTAAGGTCTCCACAGTGGATTCAGACATCCCTTCATGTTGTGAAATGAAACACGAGCCTGTATTCAAGCCACTGCAAGGAAATCCGGCCTCCTTTCAAGTTAGGGCTTATCGCTGTATATTGCCCTTGAGGCAGCAAACTCGGGGTCCCTCCCACATACCTATTGCTGAGACAGCCTCCTCCTGAGGTGCTTCTGGAAAGTTGGCATACGTCTTGAGCCTAAGCCAGGGAATCAGCTCTCATCTCGAGACGATTTGGGGTACACGGAGCATTCCTCGAGTTGCTGTGCTGAAGTTGGTGTTTCTCTAGACTTGGGACAGTGTTCTCGGGGCATCACTGGAGTTGTCTGAAGGAAGTCGAGACACTGGTCGTGTTGAATGGGGAACGGGGAATCGCTCTGGAGTCAATGCAGGGGAATCGGGCCTCATCTCGAGTTGATTTGTGGCACATGGAGCTGCTTTGCGTTGCTTGGGTGACCTCAGGGTCCGTCTAGACTGGTGACAGTGTTCTTGGGGACTGTCTCGAGATCCATTAAGCAAGTCGAAGCTCCTGACTTGTTTGAATGGGATCACGGAATAGCTCTGCATGCACTGCAGGGGAATGGGGCCTCATCTCGACTCTAGGGGGAAGTCTCATGGTTTTTCTCGATTTGCGGCGGGGACCTGGGGTATGTTCTCGACTTACGGCGGGGATGGCCCTTCAAAACACGAGTTTCTTCAGTGACGTCAGGACTCCTGTCTAGTAACGAGGGACACCTCAGGAATATCTTTCAGGCTTGGCAGGGCAAAAGGGACGCTTCTCGAGGTGAGGCAGGGCAACCCAGGACCCTTTCCAGTAGCCACAGGGATTTTGGGATTCCTATCAGTATTCAAGAGGAGTCAGGCATCGTCACCTTTTGAAGCAATGAACTCCGCGTGCCTCTCGAGGTGTCAACGGGATGTGAGGCATTCCGTCAAAATGAGGCAGGGACCTAGGTCTTTTTCTAAGTCTCCAAAGGGGAATCAGACATCCCTTCATGTTTTGAGATCAAAGACGAGCCTGTATTCAAGCCACTGCAAGGAAGTACGGCCTCCGTTCAAGATAGGGCTTCTCGCTGCATATTCCACTTGAGGCAGCGATCTCGGGGTCCCTCCCACATACCTATTGCTGAGAGAAGCCTCCTCCTGAGGTGCTTCTGGAAAGTTGGCATACGCCTTGAGCCTAAGCCAGGGAATCAGCTCTCATCTCGAGACGATTTGGGTACACAGAGCATTCCTCGAGTTGCTGTGCTGAAGTTGGTGTTCCTCTAGACTTGGGACAGTGTTCTCGGGGCATCTCTGGAGTTGCCTGAAGGAAGTCGAGCCACCGGTCGTGTTGAATGGGGAACGGGAATGGCTATGGAGTCAATCCAGGGGAATCGGGCCTCATCTCGAGTTGATTTGGGGCACATGGAGCTGCTTTGCGTTGCTGGGGTGACCTCAGGGTCCGTCTAGACTGGTGACAGTGTTCTTGGGGACTGTCTCGAGATTCATTAAGCAAGTCGAAGCTCCTGATTTGTTTGAATGGGATCACGGAATAGCTCTGCATGCACTGCAGGGGATTTGGGCCTCATCTCGCCTCTAGGGGGAAGTCTCATGGTTTTTCTCGAGTTGCGGCAGTGCCCTGGGGTATGTTCTAGACTTACGGCGGGGATGGCCCTTCAAAACACGAGTTTCTTCAGTGACGTCAGGACTCCTGTCTAGTAACGAGGGACACTTCAGGAATCTCTTCGAGGCTTGGCAGGGCAAACGGGACGTTTCTCGAGGTGAGGCAGGGCACCCCAGGACACTTTCCAGTAGCCACAGGGATTTTGGGATTCCTATCAGTATTCAAGAGGAGTCAGGCATCGTCACCTTTTGAAGCAATGAACTCCGCGTGCCTCTCGAGGTGTCAACGGTATGTGAGGCATTCCGTCAAAGTGAGGCAGGGACCTAGGGCTTTCTCTAAGGTCTCCACAGGGGATTCAGACATCCCTTCATGTTGTGAAATGAAACACGAGCCTGTATTCAAGACACTGCAAGGAAATCCGGCCTCCTTTCAAGTTAGGGCTTCTCGCTGTATATTCCCCTTGAGGCAGCAAACTCGGGGTCCCTCCCACATACCTATTGCTGAGAGAAGCCTCCTCCTGAGGTGCTTCTGGAAAGTTGGCATACGTCTTGAGCCTAAGCCAGGGAATCAGCTCTCATCTCGAGACGATTTGGGGTACACGGAGCATTCCTCGAGTTGCTGTGCTGAAGTTGGTGTTCCTCTAGACTTGGGCCAGTGTTCTCGGGGCATCTCTGGAGTTGCCTGAAGGAAGTCGAGCCACCGGTCGTGTTGAATGGGGAACGGGAATGGCTATGGAGTCAATCCAGGGGAATCGGGCCTCATCTCGAGTTGATTTGGGGCACATGGAGCTGCTTTGCGTTGCTGGGGTGACCTCAGGGTCCATCTAGACTGGTGACAGTGTTCTTGGGGACTGTCTCGAGATTCATTAAGCAAGTCGAAGCTCCTGATTTGTTTGAATGGGATCACGGAATAGCTCTGCATGCACTGCAGGGGAATGGGGCCTCATCTCGCCTCTAGGGGGAAGTCTCATGGTTTTTCTCGAGTTGCGGCAGTGACCTGGGGTATGTTCTAGACTTACGGCGGGGATGGCCCTTCAAAACACGAGTTTCTTCAGTGACGTCAGGACTCCTGTCTAGTAACGAGGGACACTTCAGGAATCTCTTCGAGGCTTGGCAGGGCAAACGGGACGCTTCTCGAGGTGAGGCAGGGCACCCCAGGACGCTTTCCAGTAGCCACAGGGATTTTGGGATTCCTATCAGTATTCAAGAGGAGTCAGGCATCATCACCTTTTGAAGCAATGAACTCCGCGTGCCTCTCGAGGTGTCAACGGGATGTGAGGCATTCCGTCAAAGTGAGGCAGGGACCTAGGGCTTTCTCTAAGGTCTCCACAGGGGATTAAGACATCCCTTCATGTTGTGAGATGAAAGACGAGCCTGTATTCAAGCCACTGCAAGGAAATCCGGCCTCCTTTCAAGTTAGGGCTTCTCGCTGTATATTCCACTTGAGGCAGCGATCTCGGGGTCCCTCCTACATACCTATTGCTGAGAGAAGCCTCCTCCTGAGGTGCTTCTGGAAAGTTGGCATACGTCTTGAGCCTAAGCCAGGGAATCAGCTCGCATCTCGAGACGATTTGGGGTACAAGGCGCATTCCTCGAGTTGCTGTGCTGAAGTTGGTGTTCCTCTATACTTGGGACAGAGTTCTCGGGGCAACTCTGGCGTTGCCTGAAGGAAGTCGAGCCACCGGTCGTGTTGAATGGGGAACGGGGAATGGCTCTGGAGTCAATGCAGGGGAATCGGGCCTCATCTCGAGTTGATTTGGGGCACATGGAGCTGCTTTGCATTGCTGGGGTGACCTCAGGGTCCGTCTAGACTGGTGACAGTGTTCTTGGGGACTGTCTCGAGATTCATTAAGCAAGTCGAAGCTCCTGATTTGTTTGAATGGGATCACGGAATAGCTCTGCATGCACTGCAGGGGATTTGGGCCTCATCTCGCCTCTAGGGGGAAGTCTCATGGTTTTTCTCGAGTTGCGGCAGTGCCCTGGGGTATGTTCTAGACTTACGGCGGGGATGGCCCTTCAAAACACGAGTTTCTTCAGTGACGTCAGGACTCCTGTCTAGTAACGAGGGACACTTCAGGAATCTCTTCGAGGCTTGGCAGGGCAAACGGGACGCTTCTCGAGGTGAGGCAGGGCACCCCAGGACACTTTCCAGTAGCCACAGGGATTTTGGGATTCCTATCAGCATTCAAAAGGAGTCAGGCATCGTCACCCTTTGAAGCACTGAACTCTGCGTGCCTCTCGAGGTGTCAACCGAATGTGAGGCATTCCGTCAAAATGAGGCAGGGACCTAGGGCTTTCTCTAAGGTCTCCACAGGGGATTCAGAAATCCCTTCATGTTTTGAGACCAAAGACGAGCCTATATTCAAGCCACTGCAAGGAAATCCGGCCTCCTTTCAAGTTAGGGCTTCTCGCTGTATATTCCACTTGAGGCAGCGATCTCGGGGTCCCTTCCACATACCTATTGCTGAGAGAAGCCTCCTCCTGAGGTGCTTCTGGAAATTTGGCATACGTCTTGAGCCTAAGCCAGGGAATCAGCTCTCATCTCGAGACGATTTGGGGTACACGGAGCATTCCTTGAGTTGCTGTGCTGAAGTTGGTGTTCCTCTAGGCTTGGGATAGTGTTCTCGGGGAATCTCTGGAGTTGCCTGAAGGAAGTCGAGCCACCGGCCGTGTTGAATGGGGAACGGGGAATGGCTCTGGAGTCAATGCAGGGGAATCGGGCCTCATCTCGAGTTGATTTGGGGCACATGGAGCTGCTTTGCGTTGCTGGGGTGAACTCAGGGTCCGTCTAGACTGGTGACAGTGTTCTTGGGGACTGTCTCGAGATTCATTAAGCAAGTCGAAGCTCCTGATTTGTTTGAATGGGATCACGGAATAGCTCTGCATGCACTGCAGGGGATTTGGGCCTCATCTCGCCTCTAGGGGGAAGTCTCATGGTTTTTCTCGAGTTGCGGCAGTGACCTGGGGTATGTTCTAGACTTACGGCGGGGATGGCCCTTCAAAACACGAGTTTCTTCAGTGACGTCAGGACTCCTGTCTAGTAACGAGGGACACTTCAGGAATCTCTTCGAGGCTTGGCAGGGCAAACGGGACGCTTCTCGAGGTGAGGCAGGGCACCCCAGGACCCTTTCCAATAGCCACAGGGATTTTGGGATTCCTATCAGTATTCAAGAGGAGTCAGGCATCTTCACATTTTGAAGCAATGAACTCCGCGTGCCTCTCGAGGTGTCAACGGGATGTGAGGCATTCCGTCAAAATGAGGCAGGAACCTAGGGCTTTCTCTAAGGTCTCCACAGGGGATTAAGACATCCCTTCATGTTGTGAGATGAAAGACGAGCCTGTATTCAAGCCACTGCAAGGATATCCGGCCTCCTTTCAAGTTACGGCTTCTCGCTGTATATTCCACTTGAGGCAGCGGTCTCGGGGTCCCTCCTACATACCTATTGCTGAGAGAAGCCTCCTCCTGAGGTGCGTCTGGAAAGTTGGCATACGTCTTGAGCCTAAGCCAGGGAATCAGCTCTCATCTCGAGACGATTTGGGGTACAAGGCGCATTCCTCGAGTTGCTGTGCTGAAGTTGGTGTTCCTCTATACTTGGGACAGAGTTCTCGGGGCAACTCTGGCGTTGCCTGAAGGAAGTCGAGCCACCGGCCGTGTTGAATGGGGAATGGGAAATGGCTCTGGAGTCAATGCAGGGGAATCGGGCCTCATCTCGAGTTGATTTGGGGCACATGGAGCTGCTTTGCGTTGTTGGGGTGACTTCAGGGTCCGTCTAGACTGGTGACAGTGTTCTTGGGGACTCTCTCGAGATCCATTAAGCAAGTCGAAGCTCCTGACTTGTTTGAATGGGATCACAGAATAGCTCTGCATGCACTGCAGGGGAATGGGACCTCATCTCGCCTCTAGGGAGAAGTCTCATGGTTTTTCTCGAGTTGCGGCGGGGACCTGGGGTATGTTCTCGACTTACGGCGGGGATGGCCCTTCAAAACAGGAGTTTCTTTAGTGACGTCAGGACTCCAGTCTAGTAACGAGGGACACCTCAGGAATCTCTTCGAGGCTTGGCAGGGCAAAAGGGATGCTTCTCGAGGTGAGGCAGGGCACCCAAGGACCCTTTCCAGTAGCCACAGGGATTTTGGGATTCCTATCAGTATTCAAAAGGAGTTAGGCATCGTCACATTTTGAAGCAATGAACTCCGCGTGCCTCTCGAGGTGTCAACGGGATGTGAGGCATTCCGTCAAAATGAGGCAGGGACCTAGGTCTTTTTCTAAGTCTCCAAAGGGGATTCAGACATCCCTTCATGTTTTGAGATCAAAGACGAGCCTGTATTCAAGCCACTGCAAGGAAGTACGGCCTCCGTTCAAGATAGGGCTTCTCGCTGTATATTCCACTTGAGGCAGCGATCTCGGGGTCCCTCCCACATACCTATTGCTGAGATAAGCCTCCTCCTGAGGTGCTTCTGGAAAGTTGGCATACGCCTTGAGCCTAAGCCAGGGAATCAGCTCTCATCTCGAGACGATTTGGGTACACAGAGCATTCCTCGAGTTGCTGTGCTGAAGTTGGTGTTCCTCTAGACTTGGGACAGTGTTCTCGGGGCATCTCTGGAGTTGCCTGAAGGAAGTCGAGCCACCGGTCGTGTTGAATGGGGAACGGGGAATGGCTCTGCAGTCATTGCAGGTGAATCGGGTCTCATCTCGAGTTGATTTGGGGCACATGGAGCTGCTTTGCGTCCGTCTAGACTGGTGACAGTGTTCTTGGGGACTGTCTCGAGATCCATTAAGCAAGTCGAAGCTCCTGACTTGTTTGAATGGGATCACGGAATAGCTCTGCATGCACTGCAGGGAATGGGGCCTCATCTCGCCTCTAGGGGGAAGTCTCATTGTTTTTCTCGAGTTGCGGCGGGGACCTGGGGTATGTTCTCGACTTACGGCGGGGATGGCCCTTCAAAACACGAGGTTCTTCAGTGACGTCAGGACTCCTGTCTAGTAACGAGGGAAACCTCAGGAATCTCTTCAAGGCTTGGCAGGGCAAAAGGGACCCTTCTCGAGGTGAGGCAGGGCACCCAAGGACCCTTTCCAGTAGCCACAGGGATTTTGGGATTCCTATCAGTATTCAAGAGGAGTCAGGCATCGTCACCTTTTGAAGCAATGAACTCCGCGTGCCTCTCGAGGTGTCAACGGGTTGTGAGGCATTCCGTCAAAATCAGGCAGGGACCTAGGGCTTTCTCTAAGGTCTCCACAGGGAATTCAGACATCCCTTCATGTTTTGAGATCAAAGACGAGCCTTTATGCAAGCCACTGCAAGGAAATCCGGCCTCCTTTCAATATGGGGCTTCTCGCTGTATATTCCCATTGAAGCAGCGATCTCGGGGTCCCTCCCACATACCTATTGCTGAGAGAAGCCTCCTCCTGAGGTGCTTCTGGAAAGTTAGCATACGTCTTGAGCCTAAGGCAGGGAATCAGCTCTCATCTCGAGACGATTTGGTGTACATGGAGCATTCCTCGAGTTGCTGTGCTGAGGTTGGTGTTCCTCTAGACTTGGGACAGTATTCTCGGGGCATCTCTGGAGTTCCCTGAAGGAAGTCGAGCCACCGGTCGTTTTGAATGGGGAATGGGGAATTGCTCTGGAGTCAATGCAGGGGAATCGGGCCTCATCTCGAGTTGATTTGGGGCACATGGAGCTGCTTTGCGTTGCTGGGGTGACCTCAGGGTCCGTCTAGACTGGTGACAGTGTTCTTGGGGGCTGTCTCCAGATCCATTAAGCAAGTCGAAGCTCCTGACTTGTTTGAATGGGATCACGGAATAGCTCTGCATGCACTGCAGGGGAATGGGGCCTCATCTCGCCTCTAGGGGGAAGTCTCATGGTTTTTCTCGAGTTGCGGCGGGGACCTGGGGTATTTTCTCGAGTTACGGCGGGGATGGCCCATCAAAACACGTGTTTCTTCAGTGACGTCAGGACTCCTGTCTAGTAACGAGGGACACCTCAGGAATCTCTTTGAGGCTTGGCAGGGCAAAAGGGATGCTTCTCGAGGTGAGCAGGGCACCCAAGGACCCTTTCCAGTAGCCACAGGGATTTTGGGATTCCTATCAGTATTCAAGACGAGTGAGGCAACGTCACCTTTTGAAGCAATGAACTCCGCGTGCCTCTCGAGGTGTCAACGGGATGTGAGGCATTCCGTCAAAATGAGGCAGGGACCAAAGGCTTTCTCTAAGGCCTCCAAAGGGGATTCAGACTTCCCTTCATGTTTTGAGAACAAAGACGAGCCTGTATTCAAGCCAATGCAAGGAAATCCGGCCTCCTTTCAAGTTAGGGCTTCTCGCTGTATATTTCCCTTGAGGCAGCAAACTCGGGGTCCCTCCCACATACCTATTGCTGAGAGAAGCCTCCTCCTGAGGTGCTTCTGGAAAGTTGGCATACGTCTTGAGCCTAAGCCAGGGAATCAGCTCTCATCTCGAGACGATTTGGGGTACACGGAGCATTCCTCGAGTTGCTGTGCTGAAGTTGGTGTTCCTCTAGACTTGGGCCAGTGCTCTCGGGGCATCTCTGGAGTTGCCTGAAGGAAGTCGACCCACCGGTCGTGTTGAATGGGGAACGCGAATGGCTATGGAGTCAATCCAGGGGAATCGGGCCTCATCTCGAGTTGATTTGGGGCACATGGAGCTGCTTTGCGTTGCTGGGGTGACCTCAGGGTCCATCTAGACTGATGACAGTGTTCTTGGGGACTGTCTCGAGATCCATTAAGCAAGTCGAAGCTCCTGACTTGTTTCAATGGGATCACGGAATAGCTCTGCATGCACTGCAGGGGAATGGGGCCTCTTCTCGCCTCTAGGGGGAAGTCTCATTGTTTTTCTCGAGTTGGGGCGGGGACCTGGGGTATGTTCTCGACTTACGGCGGGGATGGCCCTTCAAAACACGAGTTTCTTCAGTGACGTCAGGACTCCTGTCTAGTAACTAGGGACACCTCAGGAATCTCTTCGAGGCTTGGCAGGGCAAAAGGGACGCTTCTCGAGGTGAGGCAGGGCAACCAAGGACACTTTCCAGTAGCCACAGGGATTTTGGGATTCCTATCAGTATTCAAGAGGAGTCAGGCATCGTCACCTTTTGAAGCAATGAACTCCGCGTGCCTCTCGAGGTGTCAGCGGGATGTGAGGCATTCCGTCAAAGTGAGGCAGGGACCTAGGGCTTTCTCTAAGGTCTCCACAGTGGATTCAGACATCCCTTCATGTTGTGAAATGAAACACGAGCCTGTATTCAAGCCACTGCAAGGAAATCCGGCCTCCTTTCAAGTTAGGGCTTATCGCTGTATATTGCCCTTGAGGCAGCAAACTCGGGGTCCCTCCCACATACCTATTGCTGAGACAGCCTCCTCCTGAGGTGCTTCTGGAAAGTTGGCATACGTCTTGAGCCTAAGCCAGGGAATCAGCTCTCATCTCGAGACGATTTGGGGTACACGGAGCATTCCTCGAGTTGCTGTGCTGAAGTTGGTGTTTCTCTAGACTTGGGACAGTGTTCTCGGGGCATCACTGGAGTTGCCTGAAAGAAGTCGAGACACTGGTCGTGTTGAATGGGGAACGGGGAATCGCTCTGGAGTCAATGCAGGGGAATCGGGCCTCATCTCGAGTTGATTTGTGGCACATGGAGCTGCTTTGCGTTGCTTGGGTGACCTCAGGGTCCGTCTAGACTGGTGACAGTGTTCTTGGGGACTCTCTCGAGATCCATTAAGCAAGTCGAAGCTCCTGACTTGTTTGAATGGGATCACGGAATAGCTCTGCATGCACTGCAGGGGAATGGGGCCTCATCTCGCCTCTAGGGGGAAGTCTCATGGTTTTTCTCGATTTGCGGCGGGGACCTGGGGTATGTTCTCGACTTACGGCGGGGATGGCTCTTCAAAACACGAGTTTCTTCAGTGACGTCAGGACTCCTGTCTAGTAACGAGGGACACCTCAGGAATCTCTTTCAGGCTTGGCAGGGCAAAAGGGACGCTTCTCGAGGTGAGGCAGGGCAACCAAGGACCCTTTCCAGTAGCCACAGGGATTTTGGGATTCCTATCAGTATTCAAGAGGAGTCAGGCATCGTCACCTTTTGAAGCAATGAACTCCGCGTGCCTCTCGAGGTGTCAACGGTATGTGAGGCATTCCGTCAAAGTGAGGCAGGGACCTAGGGCTTTCTCTAAGGTCTCCACAGGGGATTCAGACATCCCTTCATGTTGTGAAATGAAACACGAGCCTGTATTCAAGACACTGCAAGGAAATCCGGCCTCCTTTCAAGTTACGGCTTCTCGCTGTATATTCCACTTGAGGCAGCGGTCTCGGGGTCCCTCCTACATACCTATTGCTGAGAGAAGCCTCCTCCTGAGGTGCTTCTGGATAGTTGGCATACGTCTTGAGCCTAAGCCAGGGAATCAGCTCTCATCTCGAGACGATTTGGGGTACAAGGCGCATTCCTCGAGTTGCTGTGCTGAAGTTGGTGTTCCTCTATACTTGGGACAGAGTTCTCGGGGCAACTCTGGCGTTGCCTGAAGGAAGTCGAGCCACCGGCCGTGTTGAATGGGGAACGGGAAATGGCTCTGGAGTCAATGCAGGGGAATCGGGCCTCATCTCGAGTTGATTTGGGGCACATGGAGCTGCTTTGCGTTGTTGGGGTGACTTCAGGGTCCGTCTAGACTGGTGACAGTGTTCTTGGGGACTGTCTCGAGATCCATTAAGCAAGTCGAAGCTCCTGACTTGTTTGAATGGGATCACGGAATAGCTCTGCATGCACTGCAGGGGAATGGGGCCTCATATCGCCTCTAGGGGGAAGTCTCCTGGTTTTTCTCGAGTTGCGGCGGGGACCTGGGGTATGTTCTCGACTTACGGCGGGGATGGCCCTTCAAAACACGAGTTTCTTCAGTGACGTCAGGACTCCTGTCTAGTAAAGAGGGACACGTCAGGAATCTCTCCGAGGCTTCGCAGGGCAAAAGGGACGCTTCTCGAGGTGAGGCAGGGCACCCAAGGACCCTTTCCAGTAGCCACAGGGATTTTGGGATTCCTATCTGTATTCAAGAGGAGTCAGGCATCGTCACCTTTTGAACCATGAACTTTGCGTGCCTCTCGAGATGTCAGCGGGATGTGAGGCATTCTGTCAAAATGAGGCAGGGACCTAGGGCTTTCTCTAAGGTTTCCACAGGGGATTCAGACATCCCTTCATGTTGTGAGATGAAAGACAAGCCTGTATTCAAGCCACTACAAGGAAATCCGGCCTCCTTTCAAGTTAGGGCTTCTCGCTGTATATTCCCCTTGAGGCAGCAAACTCGGGGTCCCTCCCACATACCTATTGCTGAGAGAAGCCTCCTCCTGAGGTGCTTCTGGAAAGTTGCCATACGTCTTGAGCCTAAGCCAGGGAATCATCTCTCATCTCGAGACGATTTGGGGTACACGGAGCATTCCTCGAGTTGCTGTGTTGAAGTTGGTGTTCCTCTAGACTTGGGACAGTGTTCTCGGGGCATCTCTGGAGTTGCCTGAAGGAAGTCGAGCCACCGGTCGTGTTGAATGGGGAACGGGGAATGGCTCTGGAGTCAATGCAGGGGAATCGGGCGTCATCTCGAGTTGATTTGGGGCACATGGAGCTGCTTTGCGTTGCTGGGGTGACCTCAGGGTCCGTCTAGACTGGTGACAGTGTTCTTGGGGACTCTCTCGAGATCCATTAAGCAAGTCGAAGCTCCTGACTTGTTTGAATGGGATCACGGAATAGCTCTGCATGCACTGCAGGGGAATGGGGCCTCATCTCGCCTCTAGGGAGAAGTCTCATGGTTTTTCTCGAGTTGTGGCGGGGACCTGGGTTATGTTCTCGACTTACGGCAGGGATGGCCCTTCAAAACACGAGTTTCTTTAGTGACGTCAGGACTCCAGTCTAGTAACGAGGGACACCTCAGGAATCTCTTCGAGGATTGGCAGGGCAAAAGGGACGCTTCTCGAGGTGAGGCAGGGCACCCAAGGACCCTTTCCAGTAGCCACAGGGATTTTGGGATTCCTATCAGTATTCAAAAGGAGTTAGGCATCGTCACATTTTGAAGCAATGAACTCCGCGTGCCTCTCGAGGTGTCAACGGGATGTGAGGCATTCCGTCAAAATGAGGCAGGGACCTAGGTCTTTTTCTAAGTCTCCAAAGGGGATTCAGACATCCCTTCATGTTTTGAGATCAAAGACGAGCCTGTATTCAAGCCACTGCAAGGAAGTACGGCCTCCTTTCAAGTTAGGGCTTCTCGCTGTATATTCCACTTGAGGCAGCGATCTCGGGGTCTCTCCCACATACCTATTGCTGAGAGAAGCCTCCTCCTGAGGTGCCTCTGGAAAGTTGGCATACGTCTTGAGCCTAAGCCAGGGAATCAGCTCTCATCTCGAGACGATTTGGGTTACACAGAGCATTCCTCCAGTTGCTGTGCTGAAGTTGGTGTTCCTCTAGACTTGGAACAGTGTTCTCGGGGCATCTCTGGAGCTGCCTGAAGGAAGCCGAGCCACTGGTCGTGTTGAATGGGGAACGGGGAATGGCTCTGGAGTCAATGCAGGGGAATCAGGCCTCATCTCGAGTTGATTTGGGGCACATGTTGCTAGTTTGCATTGCTGGAGTGACCTCAGGGTCCGTCTAGACTGGTGACAGTGTTCTTGGGGACTGTCGCGAGATCCATTAAGCAATTCGATGCTCCTGATTTCTTTGAATGGGATCATGGAATAGATCTGCATGCACTGCAGGGGAATGGGGCCTCATCTCGCCTCTAGAGGGAAGTCTCAAGGTTTTTCTCGAGTTGCGGCCGGGACCTGGGCTATGTTCTCGACTTACGGCGGGGATGGCCCTTCAAAACACGAGTTTCTTCAGTGACGTCAGGACTCCTGTCTAGTAACGAGGGACACTTCAGGAATCTCTTCGAGGCTTGGCAGGGCAAACGGGACGCTTCTCGAGGTGAGGCAGGGCACCCAAGGACCCTTTCCAGTAGCCACAGCGATTTTGGGATTCCTATCAGTATTCAAGAGGAGTCAGGCAACGTCACCTTTTGAAGCAATGAACTCCGCGTGCCTCTCGAGGTGTCAACGGGATGTGAGGCATTCCGTCAAAATGAGGCAGGGACCAAGGGCTTTCTCTAAGGTCTCCAAAGGGGATTCAGACTTCCCTTCATGTTTTGAGAACAAAGATGAGCCTGTATTCAAGCCAATGCAAGGAAATCCGGCCTCCTTTCAAGTTAGGGCTTCTCGCTGTATATTCCACTTGAAGCAGCGATCTCGGGTTCCCTCCCACATACGTATTGCTGAGAGATGCCTCCTCCTGACGTGCTTCTGGAAAGTAGGCATACGGCTTTAGCTAAGTCAGGGAATCAGCTCTCATCTCGAGACGATTTGGGGTACACGGAGCATTCCTCGAGTTGCTGTGCTGAAGTTGGTGTTCCTCTAGACTTGGGACAGTGTTCTCTGGGCATCTCTGGAGTTGCCTGAAGGAAGTCGAGCCACCTGTCGTGTTGAATGGGGAACGGGGAATGAGTCTGGAGTCAATGCAGGGGAATCGGGCCTCATCTCGAGTTGATTTGGGGCACATGGAGCTGATTTGCGTTGCTGGGGTGACCTCAGGTTCCATCTAGACTGGTGACAGTGTTCTTGGGGACTGTCTCGAGATCCATTAAGCAAGTCGAAGCTCCTGACTGGTTTGAATGGGATCACGGAATAGCTCTGCATGCACTGCATGGGAATGGGGCCTCATCTCGCCTCTAGGGGGAAGTCTCATGGTTTTTCTCGAGTTGCGGCGGGGACCTGGGGTATGTTCTCGACTTACGGCGGGGATGGCCCTTCAAAACACAAGTTTCTTCAGTGACGTCAGGACTCCTGTCTAGTAACGAGGGACACCTCAGGAATCTCTTCGAGGCTTGCCAGGGCAAAAGGGACGCTTCTCGAGGTGAGGCAGGGCACCCAAGGACCCTTTCCAGTAGCCAGAGGGATTTGGGGATTCCTATCAGTATTCAAGAAGAGTCAGGCATCGTCCCTTTTGAAGCAATGAACTCCGCGTGCCTCTCGAGGTGTCAGCGGGATGTGAGGCATTCCGTCAAAATGAGGCAGGGACCTAGGGCTTTCTCTAAGGTCTCCACAGGGGATTCAGACATCCCTTCATTTTGTGAGATGAAAGACGAGCCTGTATTCAAGCCAATGCAAGGAAATCTGGCCTCCTTTCAAGTTAGGGCTTCTCGCTGTATATTTCCCTTGAGGCAGCAAACTCGGGGTCCCTCCCACATAACTATTGCTGAGAGAAGCCTCCTCCTGAGGTGCTTCTGGAAAGTTGGCATACGTCTTGAGCCTAAGCCAGGGAATCAGCTCTCATCTCCAGACGATTTGGGGTACACGGAGCATTCCTCGAGTTGCTGCGCTGAAGTTGGTGTTCCTCTAGACTTGGGACAGTGTTCTCGGGGCATCTCTGGAGTTGCCTGAAGGAAGTCGAGCCACCGGTCGTGTTGAATGGGGAAGGGGGAATGGCTCTGGAGTCAATGCAGGGGAATCGGGCCTCATCTCGTGTTGATTTGGGGCACATGGAGCTGCTTTGCGTTGCTGGGGTGACCTCAGGGTCCGTCTAGACTGGTGACAGTGTTCTTGGGGACTGTCTCGAGATCCATTAAGCAAGTCGAAGCTCCTGACTTGTTTGAATAGGATCACGGAATAGCTCTGCATGCACTGCAGGGGAATGGGGCCTCATCTCGCCTCTAGGGGGAAGTCTCATGGTTTTTCTCGAGTTGCGGCGGGGACCTGGGGTATGTTCTCGAGTTACGGCGGGGATGGCCCATCAAAACACGTGTTTCTTCAGTGACGTCAGGACTCCTGTCTAGTAAAGAGGGACACCTCAGGAATCTCTTTGAGGCTTGGCAGGGCAAAAGGGATGCTTCTCGAGGTGAGCAGGGCACCCAAGGACCCTTTCCAGTAGCCACAGGGATTTTGGGATTCCTATCAGTATTCAAGAGGAGTCAGGCAACGTCACCTTTTGAAGCCATGAACTCCGCGTGCCTCTCGAGGTGTCAACGGGATGTGAGGCATTCCGTCAAAATGAGGCAGGGACCAAGGGCTTTCTCTAAGGTCTCCAAAGGGGATTCAGACTTCCCTTCATGTTTTGAGAACAAAGACGAGCCTGTATTCAAGCCAATGCAAGGAAATCCGGCCTCCTTTCAAGTTAGGGCTTCTCGCTGTATATTCCACTTGAAGCAGCGATCTCGGGTTCCCTCCCACATACGTATTGCTGAGAGATGCCTCCTCCTGAGGTGCTTCTGGAAAGTAGGCATACGGCTTTAGCTAAGTCAGGGAATCAGCTCTCATCTCGAGACGATTTGGGGTACACGGAGCATTCCTCGAGTTGCTGTGCTGAAGTTGGTGTTCCTCTAGACTTGGGACAGAGTTCTCGGGGCAACTCTGGCGTTGCCTGAAGGAAGTCGAGCCACCGGCCGTGTTGAATGGGGAATGGGAAATGGCTCTGGAGTCAATGCAGGGGAATCGGGCCTCATCTCGAGTTGATTTGGGGCACATGGAGCTGCTTTGCGTTGTTGGGGTGACTTCAGGGTCCGTCTAGACAGGTGACAGTGTTCTTGGGGACTCTCTCGAGATCCATTAAGCAAGTCGAAGCTCCTGACTTGTTTGAATGGGATCACGGAATAGCTCTGCATGCACTGCAGGGGAATGGGACCTCATCTCGCCTCTAGGGAGAAGTCTCATGGTTTTTCTCGAGTTGCGGCGGGGACCTGGGGTATGTTCTCGACTTACGGCGGGGATGGCCCTTCAAAACACGAGTTTCTTTAGTGACGTCAGGACTCCAGTCTAGTAACGAGGGAAACCTCAGGAATCTCTTCGAGGCTTGGCAGGGCAAAAGGGATGCTTCTCGAGGTGAGGCAGGGCACCCAAGGACCCTTTCCAGTAGCCACAGGGATTTTGGGATTCCTATCAGTATTCAAAAGGAGTTAGGCATCGTCACATTTTGAAGCAATGAACTCCGCGTGCCTCTCGAGGTGTCAACGGGATGTGAGGCATTCCGTCAAAATGAGGCAGGGACCTAGGTCTTTTTCTAAGTCTCCAAAGGGGATTCAGACATCCCTTCATGTTTTGAGATCAAAGACGAGCCTGTATTCAAGCCACTGCAAGGAAGTACGGCCTCCGTTCAAGATAGGGCTTCTCGCTGTATATTCCACTTGAGGCAGCGATCTCGGGGTCCCTCCCACATACCTATTGCTGAGATAAGCCTCCTCCTGAGGTGCTTCTGGAAAGTTGGCATACGTCTTGAGCCTAAGCCAGGGAATCAGCTCTCATCTCGAGACGATTTGGGTACACAGAGCATTCCTCGAGTTGCTGTGCTGAAGTTGGTGTTCCTCTAGACTTGGGACAGTGTTCTCGGGGCATCTCTGGAGTTGCCTGAAGGAAGTCGAGCCACCGGTCGTGTTGAATGGGGAACGGGGAATGGCTCTGCAGTCATTGCAGGTGAATCGGGTCTCATCTCGAGTTGATTTGGGGCACATGGAGCTGCTTTGCGTCCGTCTAGACTGGTGACAGTGTTCTTGGGGACTGTCTCGAGATCCATTAAGCAAGTCGAAGCTCCTGACTTGTTTGAATGGGATCACGTTATAGCTCTGCATGCACTGCAGGGAATGGGGCCTCATCTCGCCTCTAGGGGGAAGTCTCATTGTTTTTCTCGAGTTGCGGCGGGGACCTGGGGTATGTTCTCGACTTACGGCGGGGATGGCCCTTCAAAACACGAGGTTCTTCAGTGACGTCAGGACTCCTGTCTAGTAACGAGGGAAACCTCAGGAATCTCTTCAAGGCTTGGCAGGGCAAAAGGGACCCTTCTCGAGGTGAGGCAGGGCACCCAAGGACCCTTTCCAGTAGCCACAGGGATTTTGGGATTCCTATCAGTATTCAAGAGGAGTCAGGCATCGTCACCTTTTGAAGCAATGAACTCCGGGTGCCTCTCGAGGTGTCAACGGGTTGTGAGGCATTCCGTCAAAATCAGGCAGGGACCTAGGGCTTTCTCTAAGGTCTCCACAGGGAATTCAGACATCCCTTCATGTTTTGAGATCAAAGACGAGCCTTTATGCAAGCCACTGCAAGGAAATCCGGCCTCCTTTCAATATGGGGCTTCTCGCTGTATATTCCCATTGAAGCAGCGATCTCGGGGTCCCTCCCACATACCTATTGCTGAGAGAAGCCTCCTCCTGAGGTGCTTCTGGAAAGTTAGCATACGTCTTGAGCCTAAGGCAGGGAATCAGCTCTCATCTCGAGACGATTTGGTGTACATGGAGCATTCCTCGAGTTGCTGTGCTGAGGTTGGTGTTCCTCTAGACTTGGGACAGTATTCTCGGGGCATCTCTGGAGTTCCCTGAAGGAAGTCGAGCCACCGGTCGTTTTGAATGGGGAATGGGGAATTGCTCTGGAGTCAATGCAGGGGAATCGGGCCTCATCTCGAGTTGATTTGGGGCACATGGAGCTGCTTTGCGTTGCTGGGGTGACCTCAGGGTCCGTCTAGACTGGTGACAGTGTTCTTGGGGGCTGTCTCCAGATCCATTAAGCAAGTCGAAGCTCCTGACTTGTTTGAATGGGATCACGGAATAGCTCTGCATGCACTGCAGGGGAATGGGGCCTCATCTCGCCTCTAGGGGGAAGTCTCATGGTTTTTCTCGAGTTGCGGCGGGGACCTGGGGTATTTTCTCGAGTTACGGCGGGGATGGCCCATCAAAACACGTGTTTCTTCAGTGACGTCAGGACTCCTGTCTAGTAACGAGGGACACCTCAGGAATCTCTTTGAGGCTTGGCAGGGCAAAAGGGATGCTTCTCGAGGTGAGCAGGGCACCCAAGGACCCTTTCCAGTAGCCACAGGGATTTTGGGATTCCTATCAGTATTCAAGACGAGTGAGGCAACGTCACCTTTTGAAGCAATGAACTCCGCGTGCCTCTCGAGGTGTCAACGGGATGTGAGGCATTCCGTCAAAATGAGGCAGGGACCAAAGGCTTTCTCTAAGGCCTCCAAAGGGGATTCAGACTTCCCTTCATGTTTTGAGAACAAAGACGAGCCTGTATTCAAGCCAATGCAAGGAAATCCGGCCTCCTTTCAAGTTAGGGCTTCTCGCTGTATATTTCCCTTGAGGCAGCAAACTCGGGGTCCCTCCCACATACCTATTGCTGAGAGAAGGCTCCTCCTGAGGTGCTTCTGGAAAGTTGGCATACGTCTTGAGCCTAAGCCAGGGAATCAGCTCTCATCTCGAGACGATTTGGGGTACACGGAGCATTCCTCGAGTTGCTGTGCTGAAGTTGGTGTTCCTCTAGACTTGGGCCAGTGTTCTCGGGGCATCTCTGGAGTTGCCTGAAGGAAGTCGACCCACCGGTCGTGTTGAATGGGGAACGCGAATGGCTATGGAGTCAATCCAGGGGAATCGGGCCTCATCTCGAGTTGATTTGGGGCACATGGAGCTGCTTTGCGTTGCTGGGGTGACCTCAGGGTCCATCTAGACTGATGACAGTGTTCTTGGGGACTGTCTCGAGATTCATTAAGCAAGTCGAAGCTCCTGACTTGTTTCAATGGGATCACGGAATAGCTCTGCATGCACTGCAGGGGAATGGGGCCTCTTCTCGCCTCTAGGGGGAAGTCTCATTGTTTTTCTCGAGTTGGGGCGGGGACCTGGGGTATGTTCTCGACTTACGGCGGGGATGGCCCTTCAAAACACGAGTTTCTTCAGTGACGTCAGGACTCCTGTCTAGTAACTAGGGACACCTCAGGAATCTCTTCGAGGCTTGGCAGGGCAAAAGGGACGCTTCTCGAGGTGAGGCAGGGCAACCAAGGACACTTTCCAGTAGCCACAGGGATTTTGGGATTCCTATCAGTATTCAAGAGGAGTCAGGCATCGTCACCTTTTGAAGCAATGAACTCCGCGTGCCTCTCGAGGTGTCAGCGGGATGTGAGGCATTCCGTCAAAGTGAGGCAGGGACCTAGGGCTTTCTCTAAGGTCTCCACAGTGGATTCAGACATCCCTTCATGTTGTGAAATGAAACACGAGCCTGTATTCAAGCCACTGCAAGGAAATCCGGCCTCCTTTCAAGTTAGGGCTTATCGCTGTATATTGCCCTTGAGGCAGCAAACTCGGGGTCCCTCCCACATACCTATTGCTGAGACAGCCTCCTCCTGAGGTGCTTCTGGAAAGTTGGCATACGTCTTGAGCCTAAGCCAGGGAATCAGCTCTCATCTCGAGACGATTTGGGGTACACGGAGCATTCCTCGAGTTGCTGTGCTGAAGTTGGTGTTTCTCTAGACTTGGGACAGTGTTCTCGGGGCATCACTGGAGTTGCCTGAAGGAAGTCGAGACACTGGTCGTGTTGAATGGGGAACGGGGAATCGCTCTGGAGTCAATGCAGGGGAATCGGGCCTCATCTCGAGTTGATTTGTGGCACATGGAGCTGCTTTGCGTTGCTTGGGTGACCTCAGGGTCCGTCTAGACTGGTGACAGTGTTCTTGGGGACTCTCTCGAGATCCATTAAGCAAGTCGAAGCTCCTGACTTGTTTGAATGGGATCACGGAATAGCTCTGCATGCACTGCAGGGGAATGGGGCCTCATCTCGCCTCTAGGGGGAAGTCTCATGGTTTTTCTCGATTTGCGGCGGGGACCTGGGGTATGTTCTCGACTTACGGCGGGGATGGCTCTTCAAAACACGAGTTTCTTCAGTGACGTCAGGACTCCTGTCTAGTAACGAGGGACACCTCAGGAATCTCTTTCAGGCTTGGCAGGGCAAAAGGGACGCTTCTCAAGGTGAGGCAGGGCAACCAAGGACCCTTTCCAGTAGCCACAGGGATTTTGGGATTCCTATCAGTATTCAAGAGGAGTCAGGCATCGTCACCTTTTGAAGCAATGAACTCCGCGTGCCTCTCGAGGTGTCAACGGTATGTGAGGCATTCCGTCAAAGTGAGGCAGGGACCTAGGGCTTTCTCTAAGGTCTCCACAGGGGATTCAGACATCCCTTCATGTTGTGAAATGAAACACGAGCCTGTATTCAAGACACTGCAAGGAAATCCGGCCTCCTTTCAAGTTACGGCTTCTCGCTGTATATTCCACTTGAGGCAGCGGTCTCGGGGTCCCTCCTACATACCTATTGCTGAGAGAAGCCTCCTCCTGAGGTGCTTCTGGATAGTTGGCATACGTCTTGAGCCTAAGCCAGGGAATCAGCTCTCATCTCGAGACGATTTGGGGTACAAGGCGCATTCCTCGAGTTGCTGTGCTGAAGTTGGTGTTCCTCTATACTTGGGACAGAGTTCTCGGGGCAACTCTGGCGTTGCCTGAAGGAAGTCGAGCCACCGGCCGTGTTGAATGGGGAACGGGAAATGGCTCTGGAGTCAATGCAGGGGAATCGGGCCTCATCTCGAGTTGATTTGGGGCACATGGAGCTGCTTTGCGTTGTTGGGGTGACTTCAGGGTCCGTCTAGACTGGTGACAGTGTTCTTGGGGACTGTCTCGAGATCCATTAAGCAAGTCGAAGCTCCTGACTTGTTTGAATGGGATCACGGAATAGCTCTGCATGCACTGCAGGGGAATGGGGCCTCATATCGCCTCTAGGTTGAAGTCTCCTGGTTTTTCTCGAGTTGCGGCGGGGACCTGGGGTATGTTCTCGACTTACGGCGGGGATGGCCCTTCAAAACACGAGTTTCTTCAGTGACGTCAGGACTCCTGTCTAGTAAAGAGGGACACGTCAGGAATCTCTCCGAGGCTTCGCAGGGCAAAAGGGACGCTTCTCGAGGTGAGGCAGGGCACCCAAGGACCCTTTCCAGTAGCCACAGGGATTTTGGGATTCCTATCTGTATTCAAGAGGAGTCAGGCATCGTCACCTTTTGAACCATGAACTTTGCGTGCCTCTCGAGATGTCAGCGGGATGTGAGGCATTCTGTCAAAATGAGGCAGGGACCTAGGGCTTTCTCTAAGGTTTCCACAGGGGATTCAGACATCCCTTCATGTTGTGAGATGAAAGACAAGCCTGTATTCAAGCCACTGCAAGGAAATCCGGCCTCCTTTCAAGTTAGGGCTTCTCGCTGTATATTCCCCTTGAGGCAGCAAACTCGGGGTCCCTCCCACATACCTATTGCTGAGAGAAGCCTCCTCCTGAGGTGCTTCTGGATAGTTGGCATACGTCTTGAGCCTAAGCCAGGGAATCAGCTCTCATCTCGAGACGATTTGGGGTACAAGGCGCATTCCTCGAGTTGCTGTGCTGAAGTTGGTGTTCCTCTATACTTGGGACAGAGTTCTCGGGGCAACTCTGGCGTTGCCTGAAGGAAGTCGAGCCACCGGCCGTGTTGAATGGGGAACGGGAAATGGCTCTGGAGTCAATGCAGGGGAATCGGGCCTCATCTCGAGTTGATTTGGGGCACATGGAGCTGCTTTGCGTTGTTGGGGTGACTTCAGGGTCCGTCTAGACTGGTGACAGTGTTCTTGGGGACTGTCTCGAGATCCATTAAGCAAGTCGAAGCTCCTGACTTGTTTGAATGGGATCACGGAATAGCTCTGCATGCACTGCAGGGGAATGGGGCCTCATCTCGCCTCTAGGGAGAAGTCTCATGGTTTTTCTCGAGTTGTGGCGGGGACCTGGGTTATGTTCTCGACTTACGGCAGGGATGGCCCTTCAAAACACGAGTTTCTTTAGTGACGTCAGGACTCCAGTCTAGTAACGAGGGACACCTCAGGAATCTCTTCGAGGATTGGCAGGGCAAAAGGGATGCTTCTCGAGGTGAGGCAGGGCACCCAAGGACCCTTTCCAGTAGCCACAGGGATTTTGGGATTCCTATCAGTATTCAAAAGGAGTTAGGCATCGTCACATTTTGAAGCAATGAACTCCGCGTGCCTCTCGAGGTGTCAACGGGATGTGAGGCATTCCGTCAAAATGAGGCAGGGACCTAGGTCTTTTTCTAAGTCTCCAAAGGGGATTCAGACATCCCTTCATGTTTTGAGATCAAAGACGAGCCTGTATTCAAGCCACTGCAAGGAAGTACGGCCTCCTTTCAAGTTAGGGCTTCTCGCTGTATATTCCACTTGAGGCAGCGATCTCGGGGTCTCTCCCACATACCTATTGCTGAGAGAAGCCTCCTCCTGAGGTGCCTCTGGAAAGTTGGCATACGTCTTGAGCCTAAGCCAGGGAATCAGCTCTCATCTCGAGACGATTTGGGTTACACAGAGCATTCCTCCAGTTGCTGTGCTGAAGTTGGTGTTCCTCTAGACTTGGAACAGTGTTCTCGGGGCATCTCTGGAGCTGCCTGAAGGAAGCCGAGCCACTGGTCGTGTTGAATGGGGAACGGGGAATGGCTCTGGAGTCAATGCAGGGGAATCAGGCCTCATCTCGAGTTGATTTGGGGCACATGTTGCTAGTTTGCATTGCTGGAGTGACCTCAGGGTCCGTCTAGACTGGTGACAGTGTTCTTGGGGACTGTCGCGAGATCCATTAAGCAATTCGAAGCTCCTGATTTCTTTGAATGGGATCATGGAATAGATCTGCATGCACTGCAGGGGAATGGGGCCTCATCTCGCCTCTAGAGGGAAGTCTCAAGGTTTTTCTCGAGTTGCGGCCGGGACCTGGGCTATGTTCTCGACTTACGGCGGGGATGGCCCTTCAAAACACGAGTTTCTTCAGTGACGTCAGGACTCCTGTCTAGTAACGAGGGACACTTCAGGAATCTCTTCGAGGCTTGGCAGGGCAAACGGGACGCTTCTCGAGGTGAGGCAGGGCACCCAAGGACCCTTTCCAGTAGCCACAGCGATTTTGGGATTCCTATCAGTATTCAAGAGGAGTCAGGCAACGTCACCTTTTGAAGCAATGAACTCCGCGTGCCTCTCGAGGTGTCAACGGGATGTGAGGCATTCCGTCAAAATGAGGCAGGGACCAAGGGCTTTCTCTAAGGTCTCCAAAGGGGATTCAGACTTCCCTTCATGTTTTGAGAACAAAGACGAGCCTGTATTCAAGCCAATGCAAGGAAATCCGGCCTCCTTTCAAGTTAGGGCTTCTCGCTGTATATTCCACTTGAAGCAGCGATCTCGGGTTCCCTCCCACATACGTATTGCTGAGAGATGCCTCCTCCTGAGGTGCTTCTGGAAAGTAGGCATACGGCTTTAGCTAAGTCAGGGAATCAGCTCTCATCTCGAGACGATTTGGGGTACACGGAGCATTCCTCGAGTTGCTGTGCTGAAGTTGGTGTTCCTCTAGACTTGGGACAGTGTTCTCTGGGCATCTCTGGAGTTGCCTGAAGGAAGTCGAGCCACCTGTCGTGTTGAATGGGGAACGGGGAATGAGTCTGGAGTCAATGCAGGGGAATCGGGCCTCATCTCGAGTTGATTTGGGGCACATGGAGCTGATTTGCGTTGCTGGGGTGACCTCAGGTTCCATCTAGACTGGTGACAGTGTTCTTGGGGACTGTCTCGAGATCCATTAAGCAAGTCGAAGCTCCTGACTGGTTTGAATGGGATCACGGAATAGCTCTGCATGCACTGCATGGGAATGGGGCCTCATCTCGCCTCTAGGGGGAAGTCTCATGGTTTTTCTCGAGTTGCGGCGGGGACCTGGGGTATGTTCTCGACTTACGGCGGGGATGGCCCTTCAAAACACAAGTTTCTTCAGTGACGTCAGGACTCCTGTCTAGTAACGAGGGACACCTCAGGAATCTCTTCGAGGCTTGCCAGGGCAAAAGGGACGCTTCTCGAGGTGAGGCAGGGCACCCAAGGACCCTTTCCAGTAGCCAGAGGGATTTGGGGATTCCTATCAGTATTCAAGAAGAGTCAGGCATCGTCCCTTTTGAAGCAATGAACTCCGCGTGCCTCTCGAGGTGTCAGCGGGATGTGAGGCATTCCGTCAAAATGAGGCAGGGACCTAGGGCTTTCTCTAAGGTCTCCACAGGGGATTCAGACATCCCTTCATTTTGTGAGATGAAAGACGAGCCTGTATTCAAGCCAATGCAAGGAAATCTGGCCTCCTTTCAAGTTAGGGCTTCTCGCTGTATATTTCCCTTGAGGCAGCAAACTCGGGGTCCCTCCCACATAACTATTGCTGAGAGAAGCCTCCTCCTGAGGTGCTTCTGGAAAGTTGGCATACGACTTGAGCCTAAGCCAGGGAATCAGCTCTTATCTCCAGACGATTTGGGGTACACGGAGCATTCCTCGAGTTGCTGTGCTGAAGTTGGTGTTCCTCTAGACTTGGGACAGTGTTCTCGGGGCATCTCTGGAGTTGCCTGAAGGAAGTCGAGCCACCGGTCGTGTTGAATGGGGAAGGGGGAATGGCTCTGGAGTCAATGCAGGGGAATCGGGCCTCATCTCGTGTTGATTTGGGGCACATGGAGCTGCTTTGCGTTGCTGGGGTGACCTCAGGGTCCGTCTAGACTGGTGACAGTGTTCTTGGGGACTGTCTCGAGATCCATTAAGCAAGTCGAAGCTCCTGACTTGTTTGAATAGGATCACGGAATAGCTCTGCATGCACTGCAGGGGAATGGGGCCTCATCTCGCCTCTAGGGGGAAGTCTCATGGTTTTTCTCGAGTTGCGGCGGGGACCTGGGGTATGTTCTCGAGTTACGGCGGGGATGGCCCATCAAAACACGTGTTTCTTCAGTGACGTCAGGACTCCTGTCTAGTAAAGAGGGACACCTCAGGAATCTCTTTGAGGCTTGGCAGGGCAAAAGGGATGCTTCTCGAGGTGAGCAGGGCACCCAAGGACCCTTTCCAGTAGCCACAGGGATTTTGGGATTCCTATCAGTATTCAAGAGGAGTCAGGCAACGTCACCTTTTGAAGCCATGAACTCCGCGTGCCTCTCGAGGTGTCAACGGGATGTGAGGCATTCCGTCAAAATGAGGCAGGGACCAAGGGCTTTCTCTAAGGTCTCCAAAGGGGATTCAGACTTCCCTTCATGTTTTGAGAACAAAGACGAGCCTGTATTCAAGCCAATGCAAGGAATTCCGGCCTCCTTTCAAGTTAGGGCTTCTCGCTGTATATTCCACTTGAAGCAGCGATCTCGGGTTCCCTCCCACATACGTATTGCTGAGAGATGCCTCCTCCTGAGGTGCTTCTGGAAAGTAGGCATACGGCTTTAGCTAAGTCAGGGAATCAGCTATCATCTCGAGACGATTTGGGGTACACGGAGCATTCCTCGAGTTGCTGTGCTGAAGTTGGTGTTCCTCTAGACTTGGGAGAGTGTTCTCGGGGTATCTCTGGAGTTGCCTGAAGGAAGTCGAGCCACCGGTCGTGTTGAATGGGGAACGGGGAATGAGTCTGGAGTCAATGCAGGGGAATCGGGCCTCATCTCGAGTTGATTTGGGGCACATGGAGCTGATTTGCGTTGCTGGGGTGACCTCAGGTTCCGTCTAGACTGGTGACAGTGTTCTTGGGACTGTCTCGAGATCCATTAAGCAATTCGAAGCTCCTGATTTCTTTGAATGGGATCACGGAATAGATCTGCATGCACTGCAGGGGAATGGGGCCTCATCTCGCCTCTAGAGGGAAGTCTCAAGGTTTTTCTCGAGTTGCGGCCGGGACCTGGGCTATGTTCTCGACTTACGGCGGGGATGGCCCTTCAAAACACGAGTTTCTTCAGTGACGTCAGGACTCCTGTCTAGTAACGAGGGACACTTCAGGAATCTCTTCGAGGCTTGGCAGGGCAAACGGGACGCTTCTCGAGGTGAGGCAGGGCACCCAAGGACCCTTTCCAGTAGCCACAGCGATTTTGGGATTCCTATCAGTATTCAAGAGGAGTCAGGCAACGTCACCTTTTGAAGCAATGAACTCCGCGTGCCTCTCGAGGTGTCAACGGGATGTGAGGCATTCCGTCAAAATGAGGCAGGGACCAAGGGCTTTCTCTAAGGTCTCCAAAGGGGATTCAGACTTCCCTTCATGTTTTGAGAACAAAGACGAGCCTGTATTCAAGCCAATGCAAGGAAATCCGGCCTCCTTTCAAGTTAGGGCTTCTCGCTGTATATTCCACTTGAAGCAGCGATCTCGGGTTCCCTCCCACATACGTATTGCTGAGAGATGCCTCCTCCTGAGGTGCTTCTGGAAAGTAGGCATATGGCTTTAGCTAAGTCAGGGAATCAGCTCTCATCTCGAGACGATTTGGGGTACACGGAGCATTCCTCGAGTTGCTGTGCTGAAGTTGGTGTTCCTCTAGACTTGGGACAGTGTTCTCTGGGCATCTCTGGAGTTGCCTGAAGGAAGTCGAGCCACCTGTCGTGTTGAATGGGGAACGGGGAATGAGTCTGGAGTCAATGCAGGGGAATCGGGCCTCATCTCGAGTTGATTTGGGGCACATGGAGCTGATTTGCGTTGCTGGGGTGACCTCAGGTTCCATCTAGACTGGTGACAGTGTTCTTGGGGACTGTCTCGAGATCCATTAAGCAAGTCAAAGCTCCTGACTGGTTTGAATGGGATCACGGAATAGCTCTGCATGCACTGCATGGGAATGGGGCCTCATCTCGCCTCTAGGGGGAAGTCTCATGGTTTTTCTCGAGTTGCGGCGGGGACCTGGGGTATGTTCTCGACTTACGGCGGGGATGGCCCTTCAAAACACAAGTTTCTTCAGTGACGTCAGGACTCCTGTCTAGTAACGAGGGACACCTCAGGAATCTCTTCGAGGCTTGCCAGGGCAAAAGGGACGCTTCTCGAGGTGAGGCAGGGCACCCAAGGACCCTTTCCAGTAGCCAGAGGGATTTGGGGATTCCTATCAGTATTCAAGAAGAGTCAGGCATCGTCCCTTTTGAAGCAATGAACTCCGCGTGCCTCTCGAGGTGTCAGCGGGATGTGAGGCATTCCGTCAAAATGAGGGAGGGACCTAGGGCTTTCTCTAAGGTCTCCACAGGGGATTCAGACATCCCTTCATTTTGTGAGATGAAAGACGAGCCTGTATTCAAGCCAATGCAAGGAAATCTGGCCTCCTTTCAAGTTAGGGCTTCTCGCTGTATATTTCCCTTGAGGCAGCAAACTCGGGGTCCCTCCCACATAACTATTGCTGAGAGAAGCCTCCTCCTGAGGTGCTTCTGGAAAGTTGGCATACGTCTTGAGCCTAAGCCAGGGAATCAGCTCTCATCTCCAGACGATTTGGGGTACACGGAGCATTCCTCGAGTTGCTGCGCTGAAGTTGGTGTTCCCCTAGACTTGGGACAGTGTTCTCGGGGCATCTCTGGAGTTGCCTGAAGGAAGTCGAGCCACCGGTCGTGTTGAATGGGGAAGGGGGAATGGCTCTGGAGTCAATGCAGGGGAATCGGGCCTCATCTCGTGTTGATTTGGGGCACATGGAGCTGCTTTGCGTTGCTGGGGTGACCTCAGGGTCCGTCTAGACTGGTGACAGTGTTCTTGGGGACTGTCTCGAGATCCATTAAGCAAGTCGAAGCTCCTGACTTGTTTGAATAGGATCACGGAATAGCTCTGCATGCACTGCAGGGGAATGGGGCCTCATCTCGCCTCTAGGGGGAAGTCTCATGGTTTTTCTCGAGTTGCGGCGGGGACCTGGGGTATGTTCTCGAGTTACGGCGGGGATGGCCCATCAAAACACGTGTTTCTTCAGTGACGTCAGGACTCCTGTCTAGTAACGAGGGACACCTCAGGAATCTCTTTGAGGCTTGGCAGGGCAAAAGGGATGCTTCTCGAGGTGAGCAGGGCACCCAAGGACCCTTTCCAGTAGCCACAGGGATTTTGGGATTCCTATCAGTATTCAAGAGGAGTCAGGCAACGTCACCTTTTGAAGCCATGAACTCCGCGTGCCTCTCGAGGTGTCAACGGGATGTGAGGCATTCCGTCAAAATGAGGCAGGGACCAAGGGCTTTCTCTAAGGTCTCCAAAGGGGATTCAGACTTCCCTTCATGTTTTGAGAACAAAGACGAGCCTGTATTCAAGCCAATGCAAGGAAATCCGGCCTCCTTTCAAGTTAGGGCTTCTCGCTGTATATTCCACTTGAAGCAGCGATCTCGGGTTCCCTCCCACATACGTATTGCTGAGAGATGCCTCCTCCTGAGGTGCTTCTGGAAAGTAGGCATACGGCTTTAGCTAAGTCAGGGAATCAGCTATCATCTCGAGACGATTTGGGGTACACGGAGCATTCCTCGAGTTGCTGTGCTGAAGTTGGTGTTCCTCTAGACTTGGGAGAGTGTTCTCGGGGTATCTCTGGAGTTGCCTGAAGGAAGTCGAGCCACCGGTCGTGTTGAATGGGGAACGGGGAATGAGTCTGGAGTCAATGCAGGGGAATCGGGCCTCATCTCGAGTTGATTTGGGGCACATGGAGCTGATTTGCGTTGCTGGGGTGACCTCAGGGTCCGTCTAGACTGGTGACAGTGTTCTTGGGACTGTCTCGAGATCCATTAAGCAAGTCGAAGCTCCTGACTGGTTTGAATGGGATCACGGAATAGCTCTGCATGCACTGCATGGGAATGGGGCCTCATCTCGCCTCTAGGGGGAAGTCTCATGGTTTTTCTCGAGTTGCGGCGGGGACCTGGGGTATGTTCTCGACTTACGGCGGGGATGGCCCTTCAAAACACGACTTTCTTCAGTGACGTCAGGACTCCTGTCTAGCAACGAGGGACACCTCAGGAATCTCTTCGAGGCTTGGCAGGGCAAAAGGGACGCTTCTCGAGGTGAGGCAGGGCAACCAAGGACCCTTTCCAGTAGCCACAGGGATTTTGGGATTCCTATCAGTATTCAAGAGGAGTCAGGCATCGTCACCTTTTGAAGCAATGAACTCCGCGTGCCTCTCGAGGTGTCAGCGGGATGTGAGGCATTCCGTCAAAGAGAGGCAGGGATCTAGGGCTTTCTCTAAGGTCTCCACAGGGGATTCAGATATCCCTTCATGTTGTGAAATGAAACACGAGCCTGTATTCAAACCACTGCAAGGAAATCCGGCCTCCTTTCAAGTTAGGGCTTCTCGCTGTATATTCCCCTTGAGGCAGCAAACTCGGGGTCCCTCCCACATACCTATTGCTGAGACAGCCTCCTCCTGAGGTGCTTCTGGAAAGTTGGCATACGTCTTGAGCCTAAGCCAGGGAATCAGCTCTCATCTCGAGACGATTTGGGGTATACGGAGCATTCCTCGAGTTGCTGTGCTGAAGTTGGTGTTTCTCTAGACTTGGGACAGTGTTCTCGGGGCATCACTGGAGTTGCCTGAAGGAAGTCGAGACACTGGTCGTGTTGAATGGGGAACGGGGAATGGCTCTGGGATCAATGCATTGGAATCGGGCCTCATCTCGAGTTGATTTGTGGCAAAAGAGCTGCTTTGCGTTGCTGGGGTGACCTCAGGGTCCGTCTAGACTGGTGACAGTGTTCTTGGGGACTGTCTCGAGATCCAATAAGCAAGTCGAAGCTCCTGACTTGTTTGAATGGGATCACGGAATAGCTCTGCATGCACTGCAGGGGAATGGGGCCTCACCTCGCCTCTAGGGGGAAGTCTCATGGTTTTTCTCGAGTTGCGGCGGTGACCTGGGGTATGTTCTCGACTTACGGCGGGGATGGCCCTTCAAAACACGAGTTTCTTCAGTGACGTCAGGACTCCTGTCTAGCAACGAGGGACACCTCAGGAATCTCTTCGAGGCTTGGCAGGGCAAAAGGGACGCTTCTCGAGGTGAGGCAGGGCACCCAAGGCCCCTGTCCAGTAGCCACAGGGATTTGGGGATTCCTATCAGTATTGAAGAGAAGTCAGGCATCGTCACCTTTTGAAGCAATGAACTCCGCGTGCCTCTCGAGGTGTCAGCGGGATGTGAGGCATTCCGTCAAAGTGAGGCAGGGACCTAGGGCTTTCTCTAAGGTCTCCACAGGGGATTCAGACATCCCTTCATGTTGTGAAATGAAACACGAGCCTGTATTCAAGCCACTGCAAGGAAATCCGGCCTCCTTTCAAGTTAGGGCTTCTCGCTGTATATTCCCCTTGAGGCAGCAAACTCGGGGTCCCTCCCACATACCTATTCCTGAGACAGCCTCCTCCTGAGGTGCTTCTGGAAAGTTGGCATACGTCTTGAGCCTAAGCCAGGGAATCAGCTCTCATCTCGAGACGATTTGGGGTACACGGAGCATTCCTCGAGTTGCTGTGCTGAAATTGGTGTTCCTCTAGACTTGGGACAGTGTTCTCGGGGCATCTCTGGAGTTGCCTGAAGGACGTCGAGCCACCGGTCGTGTTGAATGGGGAACGAGAATGGCTATGGAGTCAATGAAGGGGAATCGGGCCTCATCTCGAGTTGATTTGGGGCACATGGAGCTGCTTTGCGTTGCTGGGGTGAACTCAGGGTCCGTCTAGACTGGTGACAGTGTTCTTGGGGACTGTCTCGAGATCCATTAAGCAAGTCGAAGCTCCTGACTTGTTTGAATGGGATCACGGAATAGCTCTGCATGCACTGCAGGGGAATGGGGCCTCATCTCACCTCTAGGGGGAAGTCTCATGGTTTTTCTCGAGTTGCGGCGGGGACCTGGGGTATGTTCTCGACTTACGGCGGGGATGGCCCTTCAAAACACGAGTTTCTTCAGTGACGTCAGGACTCCTGTCTAGTAACGAGGGACACCTCAGGAATCTCTTCGAGGCTTGGCAGGGCAAAAGGGACGCTTCTCGAGGTGAGGCAGGGCAACTAAGGACCCTTTCCAGTAGCCACAGGGATTTTGGGATTCCTATCAGTATTCAAGAGGAGTCAGGCATCGTCACCTTTTGAAGCAATGAACTCCGCGTGCCTCTTGAGGTGTCAACGGTATGTGAGGCATTACGTCAAAATGAGGCAGGGACTTAGGGCTTTCTCTAAGGTCTCCACAGGGGATTCAGACATCCCTTCATGTTGTGAAATGAAACACGAGCCTGTATTCAAGACACTGCCAGGAAATCCGGCCTCCTTTCAAGTTAGGGCTTCTCGCTGTATATTCCCCTTGAGGCAGAAAACTCGGGGTCCCTCCCACATACCTATTGCTGAGAGAAGCCTCCTCCTGAGGTGCTTCTGGAAAGTTGGCATACGTCTTGAGCCTAAGCCAGGGAATCAGCTCTCATCTCGAGACGATTTGGGGTACACGGAGCATTCCTCGAGTTGCTGTGCTGAAGTTGGTGTTCCTCTAGACTTGGGCCAGTGTTCTCGGGGCATCTCTGGAGTTGCCTGAAGGAAGTCGACCCACCGGTCGTGTTGAATGGGGAATGGGGAATTGCTCTGGAGTCAATGCAGGGGAATCGGGCCTCATCTCGTGTTGATTTGGGGCACATGGAGCTGCTTTTCGTTGCTGGGGTGACCTCAGGGTCCGTCTAGACTGGTGACAGTGTTCTTGGGGGCTGTCTCCAGATCCATTAAGCAAGTCGAAGCTCCTGACTTGTTTGAATGGGATCACGGAATAGCTCTGCATGCACTGCAGGGGAATGGGGCCTCATCTCGCCTCTAGGGGGAAGTCTCATGGTTTTTCTCGAGTTGCGGCGGGGACCTGGGGTATGTTCTCGAGTTACGGCAGGGATGGCCCATCAAAACACGTGTTTCTTCAGTGACGTCAGGACTCCTGTCTAGTAATGAGGGACACCTCAGGAATCTCTTTGAGGCTTGGCAGGGCAAAAGGGATGCTTCTAGAGGTGAGCAGGGCACCCAAGGACCCTTTCCAGTAGCCACAGGGATTTTGGGATTCCTATCAGTATTCAAGACGAGTCAGGCAACGTCACCTTTTGAAGCAATGAACTCCGCGTGCCTCTCGAGGTGTCAACGGGATGTGAGGCATTCCGTCAAAATGAGGCAGGGACCAAAGGCTTTCTCTAAGGCCTCCAAAGGGGATTCAGACTTCCCTTCATGTTTTGAGAACAAAGACGAGCCTGTATTCAAGCCAATGCAAGGAAATCCGGCCTCCTTTCAAGTTAGGGCTTCTCGCTGTATATTCCACTTGAAGCAGCGATCTTGGGTTCCCTCCCACATACGTATTGCTGAGAGATGCCTCCTCCTGAGGTGCTTCTGGAAAGTAGGCATACGGCTTTAGCTAAGTCAGGGAATCAGCTCTCATCTCGAGACGATTTGGGGTACACGGAGCATTCCTCGTGTTGCTGTGCTGAAGTTGGTGTTCCTCTAGATTTGGGACAGTGTTCTCGGGGCATCTCTGGAGTTGCCTGAAGGAAGTCGAGCCACCGGTCGTGTTGAATGGGGAACGGGGAATGAGTCTGGAGTCAATGCAGGGGAATCGGGACTCATCTCGAGTTGATTTGGGGCACATGGTGCTGCTTTGCGTTGTTGGGGTGACCTCAGGTTCCGTCTAGACTGGGGACAGTGTTCTTGGGACTGTCTCGAGATCCATTAAGCAAGTCGAAGCTCCTGACTGGTTTGAATGGGATCACGGAATAGCTCTGCATGCACTGCAGGGGAATGGGGCCTCATCTCGCCTCTAGGGGGAAGTCTCATGGTTTTTCTCGAGTTGCGGCCGGGACCTGGGGTATGTTCTCGACTTACGGCGGGGATGGCCCTTCAAAACACGAGTTTCTTCAGTGACGTCAGGACTTCTGTCTAGTAACGAGGGACACCTCAGGAATCACTTCGAGGCTTGCCAGGGCAAAAGGGACGCTTCTCGAGGTGAGGCAGGGCACCCAAGGCCCCTTTCCAGTAGCCAGAGGGATTTGGGGATTCCTATCAGTATTCAAGAAGAGTCAGGCATCGTCCCTTTTGAAGCAATGAACTCCGCGTGCCTCTCGAGGTGTCAGCGGGATGTGAGGCATTCCGTCAAAATGAGGCAGGGACCTAGGGCTTTCTCTAAGGTCTCCACAGGGGATTCAGACATCCCTTCATTTTGTGAGATGAAAGACGAGCCTGTATTCAAGCCAATGCAAGGAAATCCGGCCTCCTTTCAAGTTAGGGCTTCTCGCTGTATATTTCCCTTGAGGCAGCAAACTCGGGGTCCCTCCCACATAACTATTGCTGAGAGAAGCCTCCTCCTGAGGTGCTTCTGGGAAGTTGGCATACGTCTTGAGCCTAAGCCAGGGAATCAGCTCTCATCTCCAGACGATTTGGGGTACATGGAGCATTCCTCGAGTTGCTGCGCTGAAGTTGGTGTTCCTCTAGACTTGGGACAGTGTTCTCGGGGCATCTCTGGAGTTGCCTGAAGGAAGTCGAGCCACCGGTCGTGTTGAATGGGGAAGGGGGAATGGCTCTGGAGTCAATGCAGGGGAATCGGGCCTCCTCTCGAGTTGATTTGGGGCACATGGAGCTGCTTTGTGTTGCTGGGGTGACCTCAGGGTCCGTCTAGACTGGTGACAGTGTTCTTGGGGACTGTCTCGAGATCCAATAAGCAAGTCGAAGCTCCTGACTTGTTTGAATGGGATCACGGAATAGCTCTGCATGCACTGCAGGGGAATGGGGCCTCACCTCGCCTCTAGGGGGAATTCTCATGGTTTTTCTCGAGTTGCGGCGGTGACCTGGGGTATGTTCTCGACTTACGGCGGGGATGGCCCTTCAAAACACGAGTTTCTTCAGTGACGTCAGGACTCCTGTCTAGCAACGAGGGACACCTCAGGAATCTCTTCGAGGCTTGGCAGGGCAAAAGGGACGCTTCTCGAGGTGAGGCAGGGCAACCAAGGACCCTTTCCATTAGCCACAGGGATTTTGGGATTCCTATCAGTATTCAAGAGGAGTCAGGCATCGTCACCTTTTGAAGCAATGAACTCCGCGTGCCTCTCGAGGTGTCAGCGGGATGTGAGGCATTCCGTCAAAGAGAGGCAGGGATCTAGGGCTTTCTCTAAGGTCTCCACAGGGGATTCAGATATCCCTTCATGTTGTGAAATGAAACACGAGCCTGTATTCAAGCCACTGCAAGGAAATCCGGCCTCCTTTCAAGTTAGGGCTTCTCGCTGTATATTCCCCTTGAGGCAGCAAACTCGGGGTCCCTCCCACATACCTATTGCTGAGACAGCCTCCTCCTGAGGTGCTTCTGGAAAGTTGGCATACGTCTTGAGCCTAAGCCAGGGAATCAGCTCTCATCTCGAGACGATTTGGGGTACACGGAGCATTCCTCGAGTTGCTGTGCTGAAGTTGGTGTTTCTCTAGACTTGGGACAGTGTTCTCGGGGCATCACTGGAGTTGCCTGAAGGAAGTCGAGACACTGGTCGTGTTGAATGGGGAACGGGGAATGGCTCTGGAGTCAATGCAGGGGAATCGGGCCTCATCTCGAGTTGATTTGTGGCAAAAGAGCTGCTTTGCGTTGCTGGGGTGACCTCAGGGTCCGTCTAGACTGGTGACAGTGTTCTTGGGGACTCTCTCGAGATCCATTAAGCAAGTCGAAGCTCCTGACTTGTTTGAATGGGATCACGGAATAGCTCTGCATGCTCTGCAGGGGAATGGGGCCTCATCTCGCCTCTAGGGGGAAGTCTCATGGTTTTTCTCGATTTGCGGCGGGGACCTGGGGTATGTTCTCGACTTACGGCGGGGATGGCCCTTCAAAATACGAGTTTCTTCAGTGACGTCAGGACTCCTGTCTAGTAACGAGGGACACCTCAGAAATCTCTTCGAGGCTTGGCAGGGCAAAAGGGACGCTTCTCGAGGTGAGGCAGGGCAACCAAGGACCCTTTCCAGTAGCCACAGGGATTTTGGGATTCCTATCAGTATTCAAGAGGAGTCAGGCATCGTCACCTTTTGAAGCAATGAACTCCGCGTGCCTCTCGAGGTGTCAACGGTATGTGAGGCATTCCGTCAAAATGAGGCAGGGACCTAGGGCTTTCTCTAAGGTCTCCACAGGGGATTCAGACATCCCTTCATGTTGTGAAATGAAACACGAGCCTGTATTCAAGACACTGCAAGGAAATCTGGCCTCCTTTCAAGTTAGGGCTTCTTGCTGTATATTCCCCTTGAGGCAGCAAACTCGGGGTCCCTCCCACATACCTATTGCTGAGAGAAGCCTCCTCCTGAGGTGCTTCTGGAAAGTTGGCATACGTCTTGAGCCTAAGCCAGGGAATCAGCTCTCATCTCGAGACGATTTGGGGTACACGGAGCATTCCTCGAGTTGCTGTGCTGAAGTTGGTGTTCCTCTAGACTTGGGCCAGTGTTCTCGGGGCATCTCTGGAGTTGCCTGAAGGAAGTCGACCCACCGGTCGTGTTGAATGGGGAACGGGAATGGCTATGGAGTCAATCCAGGGGAATCGGGCCTCATCTCGAGTTGATTTGTGGCACATGGAGCTGCTTTGCGTTGCTGGGGTGACCTCAGGGTCCATCTAGACTGATGACAGTGTTCTTGGGGACTGTCTCGAGATCCATTAAGCAAGTCGAAGCTCCTGACTTGTTTCAATGGGATCACGGAATAGCTCTGCATGCACTGCAGGGGAATGGGGCCTCATCTCGCCTCTAGGGGGAAGTCTCATTGTTTTTCTCGAGTTGCGGCGGGGACCTGGGGTATGTTCTCGACTTACGGCGGGGATGGCTCTTCAAAACACGTCGTTCTTCAGTGACGTCAGGACTCCTGTCTAGTAACGAGGGAAACCTCAGGAATCTCTTCGAGGCTTGGCAGGGCAAAAGGGACGCTTCTCGAGGTGAGGCAGGGCACCCAAGGACCCTTTCCAGTAGCCACAGGGATTTTGGGATTCCTATCAGTATTCAAGAGGAGTCAGGCATCGTCACCTTTTGAAGCAATGAACTCCGCGTGCCTCTTGAGGTGTCAACGGGATGTGAGGCATTCCGTCAAAATGAGGCAGGGACCTAAGGCTTTCTCTAAGGTCTCCACAGGGCATTCAGACATCCCTTCATGTTGTGAAATGAAACACGAGCCTGTATTCAAGACACTGCAAGGAAATCCAGCCTCCTTTCAAGTTAGGGCTTCTCGCTGTATATTCCCCTTGAGGCAGCAAACTCGGGGTCCCTCCCACATACCTATTGCTGAGAGAAGCCTCCTCCTGAGGTGCTTCTGGAAAGTTGGCATATGTCTTAAGCCAAAGCCAGGGAATCAGCTCTCATCTCGAGACGATTTGGGGTACACGGAGCATTCCTCGAGTTGCTGTGCTGAAGTTGGTTTTCCTCTAGACTTGGGCCAGTGTTCTCGGGGCATCTCTGGAGTTCCCTGAAGGAAGTCGAGCCACCGGTCGTGTTGAATGGGGAACGGGAATGGCTATGGAGTCAATCTAGGGGAATCGGGCCTCATCTCGAGTTGATTTGGGGCACATGGGGCTGCTTTGCGTTGCTGGGGTGACCTCAGGTTTCGTCTAGACTGGTGACAGTGTTCCTGGGGACTGTCTCGAGATCCATTAAGCAAGTCGAAGCTCCTGACTTGTTTGAATGGGATCACGGAATAGCTCTGCATGCACTGCAGGGGAATGGGCCTCATCTCGCCTCTAGGGGGAAGTCTCATGGTTTTTCTCGAGTTGCGGCGGGAACCTGGGGTATGTTCTCGACTCACGGCGGGGATGGCCCCTCAAAACACTTTTTTCTTCAGTGACGTCAGGGCCTCTGTCTAGTAACGAGGGACACCTCAGCAATCTCTTCGAGGATTGGCAGGGCAAAAGGGACGCTTCTCGAGGTGAGGCAGGGCACCCAAGGACCCTTTTCAGTAGCCACAGGGATTTTGGGATTCCTATCAGTATTCAAGAGGAGTCAGGCATCGTCACCTTTAGAAGCAATGAACTCCGCGTGCCTCTCGAGGTGTCAACGAAATGTGAGGCATTCCGTCAAAATGAGGCAGGGACCTAGGGCTTTCTCTAAGGTCTCCACAGGGGATTCAGACATTCCTTCATGTTGTGAAATGAAACACGAGCCTGCATTCAAGCCTCTGCAAGGAAATCCGGCCTCCTTTCAAGTTAGGGCTTCTCGCGGTATATTCCCCTAGAGGCAGCAAACTCGGTGTCCCTCCCACATACCTATTGCTGAGAGAAGCCTCCTCCTGAGGTGCATCTGGAAAGTTGGCATACGTCTTGAGCCTAAGCCAGGGAATCAGCTCTCATCTCGAAACGATTTGGGGTACACGGAGCATTCCTCGAGTTGCTGTGCTAAAGTTGGTGTTCCTCTAGACTTCGGAGAGTGTTCTCGGGGCATCTCTGGAGTTGCCTGAAGGAAGTCGAGCCACCGGTCGTGTTGAATGGGGAACGGGGAATGGCTCTGGAGTCAATCCAGGGGAATCGGGCCTCATCTCGAGTTGATTTGGGGCACATGGAGCTGCTTTGCTTTGCTGGGGTGACCTCAGGGTCCGTCTAGACTGGTGACAGTGTTCTTGGAGACTGTCTCGAGATCCATTAAGCAAGTCGAAGCTCCTGACTTGTTTGAATGGGATCACGGAATAGCTCTGCATGCACTGCAGGGGAATGGGGCCTCATCTCGCCTCTAGGGGGAAGTCTCATGGTTTTTCTCGAGTTGCGGCGGGGACCTGGGGTATGTTCTCGACTTACGGCGGGGATGGCCCTTCAAAACACGAGTTTCTTCAGTGACCTCAGGACTCCTGTCTAGTAACGAGGGACACCTCAGGAAACTATTCGAGGCTTGGCAGGGCAAAAGGGACTCTTCTCGAGGTGAGGCAGATAACCCTAGGACCCTTTCCAGTAGCCACATGGATTTTGGGATTCCTATCAGTATTCAAGAGGAGTCAGGCATCGTCACCTTTTGAAGCAATGAACTCCGCGTGCCTCTCGAGGTGTCAACGGGATGTGAGGCATTCCGTCAAAGTGAGGCAGGTACCTAGGGCTTTCTCTAAGGTCTCCACAGGGGATTCAGACATCCCTTCATGTTGTGAAATGAAACACGAGCCTGTATTCAAGCCACTGCAAGGAAATCCGGCCTCCTTTCAAGTTAGGGCTTCTCGCTGTATATTCCCCTTGAGGCAGCAAACTCGGGGTCCCTCCCACATACCTATTGCTGAGACAGCCTCCTCCTGAGGTGCTTCTGGAAAGTTGGCATACGTCTTGAGCCTAAGCCAGGGAATCAGCTCTCATCTCGAGACGATTTGGGGTACACGGAGCATTCCTCGAGTTGCTGTTCTGAGGTTGGTGTTTCTCTAGACTTGGGACAGTGTTCTCGGGGCATCACTGGAGTTGCCTGAAGGAATTCGAGACACTGGTCGTGTGGAATGGGGAACGGGAATGGCTATGGAGTCAATCTAGGGGAATCGGGCCTCATCTCGAGTTGATTTGGGGCACATGGAGCTGCTTTGCGTTGCTGGGGTGACCCCAGGGTTCGTCTAGACTGGTGACAGTGTTCCTGGGGACTGTCTCGAGATCCATTAAGCAAGTCGAAGCTCCTGACTTGTTTGAATGGGATCACGGAATAGCTCTGCATGCACTGCAGGGGAATGGGCCTCATCTCGCCTCTAGGGGGAAGTCTCATGGTTTTTCTCGAGTTGCGGCGGGAACCTGGGGTATGTTCTCGACTTACGGCGGGGATGGCCCCTCAAAACACTTTTTTCTTCAGTGACGTCAGGGCCTCTGTCTAGTAACGAGGGACACCTCAGCAATCTGTTCGAGGATTGGCAGGGCAAAAGGGACGCTTCCCGAGGTGAGGCAGGGCACCCAAGGACCCTTTCCAGTAGCCACAGGGATTTTGGGATTCCTATCAGTATTCAAGAGGAGTCAGGCATCGTCAACTTTAGAAGCAATGAACTCCGCGGGCCTCTCGAGGTGTCAACGAAATGTGAGGCATTCCGTCAAAATGAGGCAGGGACCTAGGGCTTTCTCTAAGGTCTCCACAGGGGATTCAGACATTCCTTCATGTTGTGAAATGAAACACGAGCCTGCATTCAAGCCTCTGCAAGGAAATCCGGCCTCCTTTCAAGTTAGGGCTTCTCGCGGTATATTCCCCTAGAGGCAGCAAACTCGGTGTCCCTCCCACATACCTATTGCTGAGAGAAGCCTCCTCCTGAGGTGCATCTGGAAAGTTGGCATACGTCTTGAGCCTAAGCCAGGGAATCAGCTCTCATCTCGAGACGATTTGGGGTACACGGAGCATTCCTCGAGTTGCTGTGCTAAAGTTGGTGTTCCTCTAGACTTGGGACAGTGTTCTCGGGGCATCTCTGGAGTTGCCTGAAGGAAATCGAGCCACCGGTCGTGTTGAATGGGGAACGGGGAATGGCTCTGGAGTCAATACAGGGGAATCGGGCCTCATCTCGAGTTGATTTGGGGCACATGGAGCTGCTTTGCGTTGTTGGGGTGACCTCAGGGTCCGTCTAGACTGGTGACAGTGTTCTTGGAGACTGTCTCGAGATCCATTAAGCAAGTCGAAGCACCTGACTTGTTTGAATGGGATCACGGAATAGCTCTGCATGCACTGCAGGGGAATGGGGCCTCATCTCGCCTCTAGGGGGAAGTCTCATGGTTTTTCTCGAGTTGCGGCGGGGACCTGGGGTATGTTCTCGACTTACGGCGGGGATGGCCCTTCAAAACACGAGTTTCTTCAGTGACCTCAGGACTCCTGTCTAGTAACGAGGGACACCTCAGGAAACTCTTCAAGGCTTGGCAGGGCAAAAGGGACTCTTCTCGAGGTGAGGCAGATAACCCTAGGACCCTTTCCAGTAGCCACATGGATTTTGGGATTCCTATCAGTATTCAAGAGGAGTCAGGCATCGTCACCTTTTGAAGCAATGAACTCCGCGTGCCTCTCGAGGTGTCAACGGGAAGTGAGGCATTCCGTCAAAGTGAGGCAGGTACCTAGGGCTTTCTCTAAGGTCTCCACAGGGGATTCAGACATCCCTTCATGTTGTGAAATGAAACACGAGCCTGTATTCAAGCCACTGCAAGGAAATTCGGCCTCCTTTCAAGTTAGGGCTTCTCGCTGTATATTCCCCTTTAGGCAGCAAACTCGGGGTCCCTCCCACATACCTATTGCTGAGACAGCCTCCTCCTGAGGTGCTTCTGGAAAGTTGGCATACGTCTTGAGCCTAAGCCAGGGAATCAGCTCTCATCTCGAGACGATTTGGGGTACACGGAGCATTCCTCGAGTTGCTGTGCTGAAGTTGGTGTTCCTCTAGACTTGGGACAGTGTTCTCGGGGCATCTCTGGAGTTGACTGAAGGAAGTCGAGCCACCGGTCGTGTTGAATGGGGAACGAGAATGGCTATGGAGTCAATGCAGGGGAATCGGGCCTCATCTCGAGTTGATTTGGGGCACATGGAGCTGCTTTGCGTTGCTGGGGTGACCTCAGGGTCCGTCTAGACTGGTGACAGTGTTCTTGGAGACTGTCTCGAGATCCATTAAGCAAGTCGAAGCTCCTGACTTGTTTGAATGGGATCACGGAATAGCTCTGCATGCACTGCAGTGGAATGGGGCCTCATCTCGCCTCTAGGGGGAAGTCTCATGGTTTTTCTCGAGTTGCGGCGGGGACCTGGGGTATGTTCTCGACTTACGGCGGGGATGGCCCTTCAAAACACGAGTTTCTTCAGTGACGTCAGGACTCCTGTCTAGTAACGAGGGACACCTCAGGAATCTCTTCGAGGCTTGGCAGGGCAAAAGGGACGCTTCTCGAGGTGAGGCAGGGCAACCAAGGACCCTTTCCAGTAACCACAGGGATTTTGGGATTCCTATCAGTATTCAAGAGGAGTCAGGCATCGTCACCTTTTGAAGCAATGAATTCCGCGTGCCTCTCGAGGTGTCAACGGGATGTGAGGCATTCCCTCAAAGTGAGGCAGGGACCTAGGGTTTTCTCTAAGGTCTCCACAGGGGATTCAGACATCCCTTCATGTTGTGAAATGAAACACGAGCCTGTATTCAAGCCACTGCAAGGAAATCCGGCCTCCTTTCAAGTTAGGGCTTCTCGCTGTATATTGCCCTTGAGGCAGCAAACTCGGGGTCCCTCCCACATACCTATTGCTGAGACAGCCTCCTCCTTACGTGCTTCTGGAAAGTTGGCATACGTCTTGAGCCTAAGCCAGGGAATCAGCTCTCATCTCGAGACGATTTGGGGTACACGGAGCATTCCTCGAGTTGCTGTGCTGAAGTTGGTGTTCCTCTAGACTTGGGACAGTGTTCTCGGGGCATCTCTGGAGTTGACTGAAGGAAGTCGAGCCACCGGTCGTGTTGAATGGGGAACGAGAATGGCTATGGAGTCAATGCAGGGGAATCGGGCCTCATCTCGAGTTGATTTGGGGCACATGGAGCTGCTTTGCGTTGCTGGGGTGACCTCAGAGTCCGTCTAGACTGGTGACAGTGTTCTTGGGGACTCTCGCGAGATCCATTAAGCAAGTCGAAGCTCCTGACTTGTTTCAATGGGATCACGGAATAGCTCTGCCTGCACTGCAGGGGAATGGGGCCTCATCTCGCCTCTAGGGGGAAGTCTCATGGTTTTTCTCGAGTTGCGGCGGGGACCTGGGGTATGTTCTCGACTTACGGCGGGGATGGCCCTTCAAAACACGAGTTTCTTCAGTGACGTCAGGACTCCTGTCTAGTAACGAGGGACACCTCAGGAATCTCTTTGAGGCTTGGCAGGGCAAAAGGGACGCTTCTCGAGGTGAGGCAGGGCAACCAAGGACCCTTTCCAGTAGCCACAGGGATTTTGGGATTCCTATCAGTATTCAAGAGGAGTCAGGCATCGTCACCTTTTGAAGCAATGAACTCCGCGTGCCTCTCGAGGTGTCAACGGTATGTGAGGCATTCCGTCAAAATGAGGCAGGGACCTAGGGCTTTCTCTAAGGTCTCCACAGGGGATTCAGACATCCCTTCATGTTGTGAAATGAAACATGAGCCTGTATTCAAGACACTGCAAGGAAATCCGGCCTCCTTTCAAGTTAGGGCTTCTCGCTGTATATTGCCCTTGAGGCAGCAAACTCGGGGTCCCTCCCACATACCTATTGCTGAGAGAAGCCTCCTCCTGAGGTGCTTCTGGAAAGTTGGCATACGTCTTGAGCCTAAGCCAGGGAATCAGCTCTCATCTCGAGACGATTTGGGGTACACGGAGCATTCCTCGAGTTGCTGTGCTGAAGTTGGTGTTCCTCTAGACTTGGGACAGTGTTTTCGGGGCATCTCTGGAGTTGCCTGAAGTAAGTCGAGCCACCGGTCGTGTTGAATGTGGAACGGGGAATGGCTCTGCAGTCATTGCAGGTGAATCGGGTCTCATCTCGAGTTGATTTGGGGCACATGGAGCTGCTTTGCGTCCGTCTAGACTGGTGACAGTGTTCTTGGGGACTTTCTCGAGATCCATTAAGCAAGTCGAAGCTCCTGACTTGTTTGATTGGGATCACGGAATAGCTCTGCATGCACTGCAGCGGAATGGGGCCTCATCTCGCCTCTAGGGGGAAGTCTCATGGTTTTTCTCGAGTTGCGTCGGGGACCTGGGGTATGTTCTCGACTTTCGGCGGGGATGGCCCTTCAAAACACGTGTTTATTCAGTGTCGTCAGGACTCCTGTCTAGTAACGAGGGACACCTCAGGAATCTCTTCGAGGCTTGGCAGGGCAAAAGGGACGCTTCTCGAGTTGAGGCAGGGCACCCAAGGACCCTTTCCAGTAGCCACAGGGATTTTGGGATTCCTATCAGTATTCAAAAGGAGTCAGGCATCGTCACCTTTTGAAGCACTGAACTCTGCGTGCCTCTCGAGGTGTCAACCGAATGTGAGGCATTCCGACAAAATGAGGCAGGGACCTAGGGCTTTCTCTAAGGTCTCCAGAGGGGATTCAGAAATCCCTTCATGTTTTGAGAACAAAGACGAGCCTATATTCAAGCCACTGCAAGGAAATCCGGCCTCCTTTCAAGTTAGGGCTTCTCGCTGTATATTCCACTTGAGGCAGCGATCTCGGGGTCCCTCCCACATACCTATTGCTGAGAGAAGCCTCCTCCTGAGGTGCTTCTTTAAATTTGGCATACGTCTTGAGCCTAAGCCAGGGAATCAGCTCTCATCTCGAGATGATTTGGGGTACACGGAGCATTCCTTGAGTTGCTGTGCTGAAGTTGGTGTTCCTCTAGACTTGGGACAGTGTTCTCGGGGCATCTCTGGAGTTGACTGAAGGAAGTCGAGCCACCGGTCGTGTTGAATGGGGAACGGGGAATGGCTCTGGAGTCAATGCAGGGGAATCGGGCCTCATCTCGAGTTGATTTGGGGCACATGGAGCTGCCTTGCATTGCTGGGGTGACTTCAGCGTCCGTCTAGACTGGTGACAGTGTTCTTGGGGACTGTCTCGAGATTCATTAAGCAAGTCGAAGCTCCTGATTTGTTTGAATGGGATCACGGAATAGCTCTGCATGCACTGCAGGGGATTTGGGCCTCATCTCGCCTCTAGGGGGAAGTCTCATGGTTTTTCTCGAGTTGCGGCAGTGACCTGGGGTATGTTCTAGACTTACGGCGGGGATGGCCCTTCAAAACACGAGTTTCTTCAGTGACGTCAGGACTCCTGTCTAGTAACGAGGGACACTTCAGGAATCTCTTCGAGGCTTGGCAGGGCAAACGGGACGCTTCTCGAGGTGAGGCAGGGCACCCCAGGACCCTTTCCAGTAGCCACAGGGATTTTGGGATTCCTATCAGTATTCAGAGGAGTCAGGCATCTTCACCTTTTGAAGCAATGAACTCCGCGTGCCTCTCGAGGTGTCAACGGGATGGGAGGCATTCCGTCAAAATGAGGCAGGGACCTAGGGCTTTCTCTAAGGTCTCCACAGGGGATTAAGACATCCCATCATGTTGTGAGATGAAAGACGAGCCTGTATTCAAGCCACTGCAAGGAAATCCGGCCTCCTTTCAAGTTAGGGCTTCTCGCTGTATATTCCACTTGAGGCAGCGATCTCGGGGTCCCTCCTACATAACTATTGCTGAGACAGCCTCCTCCTGAGGTGCTTCTGGAAAGTTGGCATACGTCTTGAGCCTAAGCCAGGGAATCAGCTCTCATCTCCAGACGATTTGGGGTACACGGAGCATTCCTCGAGTTGCTGTGCTGAAGTTGGTGTTCCTCTAGACTTGGGACAGTGTTCTCGGGGCATCTCTGGAGTTGCCTGAAGGAAGTCGAGCCACCGGTCGTGTTGAATGGGGAACGGGGAATGAGTCTGGAGTCAATGCAGGGGAATTGGGCCTCATCTCGAGTTGATTTGGGGCACATGGAGCTGATTTGCGTTGCTGGGGTGACCTCAGGTTCCGTCTAGACTGGTGACAGTGTTCTTGGGGAGTGTCTCGAGATCCATTAAGCAAGTCGAAGCTCCTGACTGGTTTGAATGGGATCACGGAATAGCTCTGCATGCACTGCATGGGAATGGGGCCTCATCTCGCCTCTAGGGGGAAGTCTCATGGTTTTTCTCGAGTTGCGGCGGGGACCTGGGGTATGTTCTCGACTTACGGCGGGGATGGCCCTTCAAAACACAAGTTTCTTCATTGACGTCAGGACTCCTGTCTAGTAACGAGGGACACCTCAGGAATCTCTTCGAGGCTTGCCAGGGCAAAAGGGACGCTTCTCGAGGTGAGGCAGGGCACCCAAGGCCCCTTTCCAGTAGCCAGAGGGATTTGGGGATTCCTATCAGTATTCAAGAAGAGTCAGGCATCGTCACCTTTTGAAGCAATGAACTCCGCGTGCCTCTCGAGATGTCAGCGGGATGTGAGGCATTCCGTCAAAATGAGGCAGGGACCTAGGGCTTTCTCTAAGGTCTCCACAGGGGATTCAGACATCCCTTCATTTTGTGAGATGAAAGACGAGCCTGTATTCAAGCCAATGCAAGGAAATCTGGCCTCCTTTCAAGTTAGGGCTTCTCGCTGTATATTTCCATTGAGGCAGCAAACTCGGGGTCCCTCCCACATACCTATTGCTGAGAGAAGCCTCCTCCTGAGGTGCTTCTGGAAAGTTGGCATACGTCTTGAGCCTAAGCCAGGGAATCAGCTCTCATCTCCAGACGATTTGGGGTACACGGATCATTCCTCGAGTTGCTGCGCTGAAGTTGGTGTTCCTCTAGACTTGGGACAGTGTTCTCGGGGCATCTCTAGAGTTGCCTGAAGGAATTCGAGCCACCGGTCGTGTTGAATGGGGAAGGGGGAATGGCTCTGGAGTCAATGCAGGGGAATCGGGCTTCCTCTCGAGTTGATTTGGGGCACATGGAGCTGCTTTGTGTTGCTGGGGTGAACTCAGGGTCCGTCTAGACTGGTGACAGTGTTCTTGGGGACTGTCTCGAGATCCAATAAGCAAGTCGAAGCTCCTGACTTGTTTGAATGGGATCAAGGAATAGCTCTGCATGCACTGCAGGGGAATGGGGCCTCACCTCGCCTAGGGGGAAGTCTCATGGTTTTTCTCGAGTTGCGGCGGTGACCTGGGGTATGTTCTCGACTTATGGTGGGGATGGCCCTTCAAAACACGAGTTTCTTCAGTGACGTCAGGACTCCTGTCTAGTAACGAGGGACACCTCAGGAATCTCTTCGAGGCTTGGCAGGGCAAAAGGGACGCTTCTCGAGGTGAGGCAGGGCACCCAAGGCCCCTGTCCTGTAGCCACAGGGATTTGGGGATTCCTATCAGTATTCCAGAGAAGTCAGGCATCGTCACCTTTTGAAGCAATGAACTCCGCGTGCCTCTCGAGGTGTCAGCGGGATGTGAGGCATTCCGTCAAAATGAGGCAGGGACCTAGGGCTTTCTCTAAGGTCTCCACAGGGTATTCAGACATCCCTTCATGTTGTGAGATGAAAGATGAGCCTGTATTCAAGCCACTGCAAGGAAATCCGGCCTCCTTTCAAGTTAGGGCTTCTCGCTGTATATTCCCCTTGAGGAAGCAAACTCGGGGTCCCTCCCACATACCTATTGCTGAGAGAAGCCTCCTCCTGAGGTGCTTCTGGAAAGTTGGCATACGTCTTGAGCCTAAGCCAGGGAATCAGCTCTCATCTCGAGACGATTTGGGGTACCCGGAGAGTTCCTCGAGTTGCTGTGCTGAAGTTGGTGTTCCTCTAGACTTGGGACAGTGTTCTCGGGGCATCTCTGGAGTTGCCTGAAGGAAGTCGAGCCACCGGTCGTGTTGAATGTGGAACGGGGAATGGCTCTGGAGTCAATGCAGGGGAATCGGGCCTCATCTCGAGTTGATTTGTGGCACATGGAGCTACTTTGCGTTGCTGGGGTGACCTCAGGGTCCGTCTAGACTGGTGACAGTGTTCTTGGGGACTGTCTCGAGATCCATTAAGCAAGTCGAAACTCCTGACTTGTTTGAATGGGATCACGGAATACCTCTGCATGCACTGCAGGGGAATGGGGCCTCATCTCGCCTCTAGGGGGAAGTCTCATGGTTTTTCTCGAGTTGCGGCGGTGACCTGGGGTATGTTCTCGACTTACGGCGGGGATGGCCCTTCAAATCACGAGTTTCTTCAGTGACGTCAGGACTCCTGTCTAGTAACGAGGGACACCTCAGGAATCTCTTCGAGGCTTGGCAGGGCAAAAGGGACGCTTCTCGAGGTGAGGCAGGGCACCCAAAGTCCCTTTCCAGTAGGCACAGGGATTTTGGGATTCCTATCAGTATTCAAGAGGAGTCAGGCATCGTCACATTTTGAAGCAATGAACTCCGCGGGCCTCTCGAGGTGTCAACGGGATGTGAGGCATTCCGTCAAAATGAGGCAGGAACCTAGGGCTTTCTCTAAGGTCTCCACAGGGGATTCAGACATCCCTTCATGTTGTGAAATGAAACACGAGCCTGTATTCAAGACACTGCCAGGAAATTCGGCCTCCTTTCAAGTTAGGGCTTCTCGCTTTATATTCCCCTTGAGGCAGCAAACTCGGGGTCCCTCCCACATACCTATTGCTGAGAGAAGCCTCCTCCTGAGGTGCTTCTGGAAAGTTGGCATACGTCTTTAGCATAAGCCAGGGAATCAGCTCTCATCTCGAGACGATTTGGGGTACACGGAGCATTCCTCGAGTTGCTGTGCTGAAGTTGGTGTTCCTCTAGACTTGGGCCAGTGTTCTCGGGGCATCTCTGGAGTTGCCTGAAGGAAGTCGAGCCACCGGTCGTGTTGAATGGGGAACGGGGAATGGCTCTGGAGTCAATGAAGGGGAATCGGGCCTCATCTCGAGTTGATTTGGGGCACATGGAGCTGCTTTGCGTTGCTGGGGTGACCTCAGGGTCCGTCTAGACTGGTGACAGTGTTCTTGGGGACTGTCTCGAGATCCATTAAGCAAGTCGAAGCTCCTGACTTGTTTGAATGGGATCACGGAATAGCTCTGCATGCACTGCAGGGGAATGGGGCCTCATCTCGCCTCTAGGGGGAAGTCTCATGGTTTTTCTCGAGTTGCGGCGGGGACCTGGGGTATGTTCTCGACTTACGGCGGGGATGGCCCTTCAAAACACGAGTTTCTTCAGTGACGTCAGGACTCCTGTCTAGTAACGAGGGACACCTCAGGAAACTCTTCGTGGCTTGGCAGGGGAAAAGGGACTCTTCTCGAGGTGAGGCAGGTCACCCTAGGACCCTTTCCAGTAGCCACAGGGATTTTGGGATTCCTATCAGTATTCAAGAGGAGTCAGGCATCGTCACCTTTTGAAGCAATGAACTCCGCGTGCCTCTCGAGGTGTCAACGGGATGTGAGGCATTCCGTCAAAGTGAGGCAGGGACCTAGGGCTTTCTCTAAGGTCTCCACAGGGGATTCAGACATCCCTTCATGTTGTGAAATGAAACACGAGCCTGTATTCAAGCCATTGCAAGGAAATCCGGCCTCCTTTCAAGTTAGGGCTTCTCGCTGTATATTGCCATTGAGGCAGCAAACTCGGGGTCCCTCCCACATACCTATTGCTGAGACAGAATCCTCCTGAGGTGCTTCTGGAAAGTTGGCATACGTCTTGAGCCTAAGCCAGGGAATCAGCTCTCATCTCGAGACGATTTGGGGTACACGGAGCATTCCTCGAGTTGCTGTGCTGAAGTTGGTGTTCCTCTAGACTTGGGACAGTGTTCTCGGGGCATCTCTGGAGTTGCCTGAAGGAAGTCGAGCCACAGGTCGTGTTGCATGGGGAACGAGAATGGCTATGGAGTCAATGCAAGGGAATCGGGCCTCATCTCCAGTTGATTTGGGGCACATGGAGCTACTTTGCGTTGCTGGGGTGACCTCAGTGTCCGTCTAGACTGGTGACAGTGTTCTTGGGGACTGTCTCGAGATCCATTAAGCAAGTCGAAGCTCCTGACTTGTTTGAATGGGATCACGGAATACCTCTGCATGCACTGCAGGGGAATGGGGCCTCATCTCGCCTATAGGGGGAAGTCTCATGGTCTTTCTCGAGTTGCGGCGGGGACCTGGGGTATGTTCTCGACTTACGGCGGGGATGGCCCTTCAAAACACGAGTTTCTTCAGTGACGTCAGGACTCCTGTCTAGTAACGAGGGACACCTCAGGAAACTCTTCGTGGCTTTGCAGGGGAAAAGGGACTCTTCTCGAGGTGAGGCAGGTCACCCTAGGACCCTTTCCAGTAGCCACAGGGATTTTGGGATTCCTATCAGTATTCAAGAGGAGTCAGGCATCGTCACCTTTTGAAGCAATGAACTCCGCGTGCCTCTCGAGGTGTCAACGGGATGTGAGGCATTCCGTCAAAGTGAGGCAGGGACCTAGGGCTTTCTCTAAGGTTTCCACAGGGGATTCAGACATCCCTTCATGTTGTGAAATGAAACACGTACCTGTATTCAAGCCATTGCAAGGAAATCCGGCCTCCTTTCAAGTTAGGGCTTCTCGCTGTATATTGCCCTTGAGGCAGCAAACTCGGGGTCCCTCCCACATACCTATTGCTGAGACAGCCTCCTCCTGAGGTGCTTCTGGAAAGTTGGCATACGTCTTGAGCCTAAGCCAGGGAATCAGCTCTCATCTCGAGACGATTTGGGGTACACGGAGCATTCCTCGAGTTGCTGTGCTGAAGTTGGTGTTCCTCTAGACTTGGGACAGTGTTCTCGGGGCATCTCTGGAGTTGCCTGAAGGAAGTCGAGCCACAGGTCGTGTTGCATGGGGAACGAGAATGGCTATGGAGTCAATGCAGGGGAATCGGGCCTCATCTCGAGTTGATTTGGGGCACATGGAGCTGATTTGCGTTGCTGGGGTGACATCAGGGTCCGTCTAGACTGGTGACAGTGTTCTTGGGGACTGTCTCGAGATCCATTAAGCAAGTCGAAGCTCCTGACTTGTTTGAATGGGATCACGGAATAGCTCTGCATGCACTGCAGGGGAATGGGGCCTCATCTCGCCTCTAGGGGGAAGTCTCATGGTTTTTCTCGAGTTGCGGCGGGGACCTGGGGTATGTTCTCGACTTACGGCGGGGATGCCCTTCAAAACACGAGTTTCTTCAGTGACGTCAGGACTCCTGTCTAGTAACGAGGGACACCTCAGGAATCACTTCGAGGCTTGGCAGGGCAAAATGGACGCTTCTCGAGGTGAGGCAGGGCACCCAAGGACCATTTCCAGTAGCCACAGGGATTTTGGGATTCCTATCAGTATTCAAGAGGAGTCAGGCATCGTCACCTTTTGAAGCAATGAACTCCGCGTGCCTCTCGACGTGTCAGCGGGATGTGAGGAATTCCGTCAAAGTGAGGCAGGGACCTAGGGCTTTCTCTAAGGTCTCCACAGGGGATTCAGACATCCCTTCATGTTGTGAAATGAAACACGAGCCTGTATTCAAGCCACTGCAAGGAAATCCGGCCTCCTTTCAAGTTTGGGCTTCTCGCTGTATATTCCCCTTGAGGCAGCAAACTCGGGGTCCCTCCCACATACCTATTGCTGAGACAGCCTCCTCCTGAGGTGCTTCTGGAAAGTTGGCATACGTCTTGAGCCTAAGCCAGGGAATCAGCTCTCATCTCGAGACGATTTGGGGTACACGGAGCATTCCTCGAGTTGCTGTGCTGAAGTTGGTGTTTCTCTAGACTTGGGACAGTGTTCTCGGGGCATCACTGGAGTTGCCTGAAGGAAGTCGAGACACTGGTCGTGTTGAATGGGGAACGGGGAATGGCTCTGGAGTCAATGAAGGGGAATCGGGCCTCATCTCGAGTTGATTTGTGGCACATGGAGCTGCTTTGCGTTGCTTGGGTGACCTCAGGGTCCGTCTAGACTGGTGACAGTGTTCTTGGGGACTGTCTCGAGATCCATTAAGCAAGTCGAAGCTCCTGACTTGTTTGAATGGGATCACGGAATAGCTCTGCATGCACTGCAGGGGAATGGGGCCTCATCTCGCCTCTAGGGGGAAGTCTCATGGTTTTTCTCGAGTTGCGGCGGGGACCTGGGTATGTTCTCGACTTAGGGCGGGGATGTCCCTTCAAAACACGAGTTTCTTCAGTGACGTCAGGACTCCTGTCTAGTAACGAGGGACACCTCAGGAATCTCTTCGAGGCTTGGCAGGGCAAAAGGGACGCTTCTCGAGGTGAGGCAGGGCAACCAAGGACCCTTTCCAGTAGCCACAGGGATTTTGGGATTCCTATCAGTATTCAAGAGGAGTCAGGCATCGTCACCTTTTGAAGCAATGAACTCCGCGTGCCTCTCGAGGTGTCAACGGGATGTGAGGCATTCCCTCAAAGTGAGGGAGGGACCTAGGGTTTTCTCTAAGGTCTCCACAGGGGATTCAGACATCCCTTCATGTTGTGAGATGAAACACGAGCCTGTATTCAAGCCACTGCAAGGAAATCCGGCCTCATTTCAAGTTAGGGCTTCTCGCTGTATATTGCCCTTGAGGCAGCAAACTCGGGGTCCCTCCCACATACCTATTGCTGAGACAGCCTCCTCCTTAGGTGCTTCTGGAAAGTTGGCATACGTCTTGAGCCTAAGCCAGGGAATCAGCTCTCATCTCGAGACGATTTGGGGTACACGGAGCATTCCTCGAGTTGCTGTGCTGAAGTTGGTGTTCCTCTAGACTTGGGACAGTGTTCTCGGGGCATCTCTGGAGTTGACTGAAGGAAGTCGAGCCACCGGTCGTGTTGAATGGGGAACGAGAATGGCTATGGAGTCAATGCAGGGGAATCGGGCCTCATCTCGAGTTGATTTGGGGCACATGGAGCTTCTTTGCATTGCTGGGGTGACCTCAGAGTCCGTCTAGACTGGTGACAGTGTTCTTGGGGACTCTCTCGAGATCCATTAAGCAAGTCGAAGCTCCTGACTTGTTTGAATGGGATCACGGAATAGCTCTGCATGCACTGCAGGGGAATGGGGCCTCATCTCGCCTCTAGGGGGAAGTCTCATGGTTTTTCTCGAGTTGCGGCGGGGACCTGGGGTATGTTCTCGACTTACGGCGGGGATGGCCCTTCAAAACACGAGTTTCTTCAGTGACGTCAGGACTCCTGTCTAGTAACGAGGGACACCTCAGGAATCTATTCGAGGCTTGGCAAGGCAAAAGGGACGCTTCTCGAGGTGAGGCAGTGCACCCAAGGACCCTTTCCAGTAGCCACAGGGATTTTGGGATTCCTATCAGTATTCAAGAGGAGTCAGGCATCGTCACCTTTTGAAGCAATGAACTCCGCGTACCTCTCGAGGTGTCAGCGGGATGTGAGGCATTCCGTCAAAGTGAGGCAGGGACCTAGGGCTTTCTCTAAGGTCTCCACAGGGGATTCAGACATCCCTTCATGTTGTGAAATGAAACACGAGCCTGTATTCAAGACACTGCAAGGAAATCCACCTCCTTTCAAGTTAGGGCTTCTCGCTGTATATTCCCCTTGAGGCAGCAAACTCGGGGTCCCTCCCACATACCTATTGCTGAGAGAAGCCTCCTCCTGAGGTGCTTCTGGAAAGTTGGCATACGTCTTGAGCCTAAGCCAGGGAATCAGCTCTCATCTCGAGACGATTTGGTGTACACGGAGCATTCCTCGAGTTGCTGTGCTAAAGTTGGTGTTCCTCTAGACTTGGGACAGTGTTCTCGGGTCATCTCTGGAGTTGCCTGAAGGAAGTCGAGCCACCGGTCGTGTTGAATGGGGAACGAGAATGGCTATGGAGTCAATGCAGGGGAATCGGGCCTCATCTCGAGTTGATTTGGGGCACATGGAGCTGCTTTGCGTTGCTGGGGTGACCTCAGGGTCCGTCTAGACTGGTGACAGTGTTCTTGGGGACTGTCTCGAGATCCATTAAGCAAGTCGAAGCTCCTGACTTGTTTGAATGGGATCACGGAATAGCTCTGCATGCACTGCAGGGGAATGGGGCCTCATCTCGCCTCTAGGGGGAAGTCTCATGGTTTTTCTCGAGTTGCGGCAGGGACCTGGGGTATGTTCTCGACTTACGGCGGGGATGGCCCTTCAAAACACGAGTTTCTTCAGTGACGTCAGGACTCCTGTCTAGTAAGGAGGGACACTTCAGGAATCTCTTCTAGGCTTGGCAGGGCAAAAGGGACGCTTCTCGAGGTGAGGCAGGGCACCCAAGGCCCCTGTCCAGTAGCCACAGGGATTTGGGGATTCCTATCAGTATTCAAGAGAAGTCAGGCATCGTCACCTTTTGAAGCAATGAACTCCGCGTGCCTCTCGAGGTGTCAGCGGGATGTGAGGCATTCCGTCAAAATGAGGCAGGGACCTAGGGCTTTCTCTAAGGTCTCCACAGGGTATTCAGACATCCCTTCATGTTGTGAGATGGAAGACGAGCCTGTATTCAAGCCACTGCAAGGAAATCCGGCCTCCTTTCAAGTTAGGGCTTCTCGCTGTATATTCCCCTTGAGGCAGCAAACTCGGGGTCCCTCCCACATACCTATTGCTGAGAGAAGCCTCCTCCTGAGGTGCTTCTGGAAAGTTGGCATAGGTCTTGAGCCTAAGCCAGGGAATCAGCTCTCATCTCGAGACGATTTGGGGTACCCGGAGAGTTCCTCGAGTGCTGTGCTGAAGTTAGTGTTCCTCTAGACTTGGGCCAGTGTTCTCGGGGCATCTCTGTAGTTGCCTGAAGGAAGTCGAGCCACCGGTCGTGTTGAATGGGGAACGGGAATGGCTATGGAGTCAATGCAGGGGAATCGGGCCTCATCTCGAGTTGATTTGGGGCACATGGAGCTGCTTTGCGTTGCTGGGGTGACCTCAGGGTTCGTCTAGACTGGTGACAGTGTTCCTGGGGACTGTCTCGAGATCCATTAAGCAAGTCGAAGCTCCTGACTTGTTTGAATGGGATCACGGAATAGCTCTGCATGCACTACAGGGGAATGGGCCTCATCTCGCCTCTAGGGGGAAGTCTCATGTTTTTTCTCGAGTTGCGGCGGGAACCTGCGTTATGTTCTCGACTTACGGCGGGGATGGCCCCTCAAAACACTTTTTTCTTCAGTGACGTCAGGGCCTCTGTCTAGTAACGAGGGACACCTCAGCAATCTCTTCGAGGATTGGCAGGGCAAAAGGGACGCTTCTCGAGGTGAGGCAGGGCACCCAAGGACCCTTTCCAGTAGCCACAGGGATTTTGGGATTCCTATCAGTATTCAAGAGGAGTCAGGCATCGTCACCTTTTGAAGCAATGAACTCCGCGTGCCTCTCAAGGTGTCAACGAAATGTGAGGCATTCCGTCAAAATGAGGCAGGGACCTAGGGCTTTCTCTAAGGTCTCCACAGGGGATTCAGACATTCCTTCATGTTGTGAAATGAAACACGAGCCTGCATTCAAGCCTCTGCAAGGAAATCCGGCCTCCTTTCAAGTTAGGGCTTCTCGCGGTATATTCCCCTAGAGGCAGCAAACTCGGTGTCCCTCCCACATACCTATTGCTGAGAGAAGCCTCCTCCTGAGGTGCATCTGGAAAGTTGGCATACGTCTTGAGCCTAAGCCAGGGAATCAGCTCTCATCTCGAGACGATTTGGGGTACACGGAGCATTCCTCGAGTTGCTGTGCTAAAGTTGGTGTTCCTCTAGACTTGGGAGAGTGTTCTCGGGGCATCTCTGGAGTTGCCTGAAGGAAGTCGAGCCACCGGTCGTGTTGAATGGGGAACGGGGAATGGCTCTGGAGTCAATCCAGGGGAATCGGGCCTCATCTCGAGTTGATTTGGGGTACATGGAGCTGCTTTGCGTTGCTTGGGTGACCTCAGGGTCCGTCTAGACTGGTGACAGTGTTCTTGGAGACTGTCTCGAGATCCATTAAGCAAGTCGAAGCTCCTGACTTGTTTGAATGGGATCACGGAATAGCTCTGCATGCACTGCAGGGGAATGGGGCCTCATCTCGCCTCTAGGGGGAAGTCTCATGGTTTTTCTCGAGTTGCGGCGGGGACCTGGGGTATGTTCTCGACTTACGGCGGGGATGGCCCTTCAAAACACGAGTTTCTTCAGTGACCTCAGGACTCCTGTCTAGTAACGAGGGACACCTCAGGAATCTCTTCGAGGCTTGGCAGGGCAAAAGGGACGCTTCTCGAGGTGAGGCAGGGCAACCAAGGACCCTTTCCAGTAGCCACAGGGATTTTGGGATTCCTATCAGTATTCAAGAGGAGTCAGGCATCGTCACCTTTTGAAGCAATGAACTCCGCGTGCCTCTCGAGGTGTCAACGGGATGTGAGGCATTCCCTCAAAGTGAGGCAGGGACCTAGGGTTTTCTCTAAGGTCTCCACAGGGGATTCAGACATCCCTTCATGATGTGAGATGAAACACGAGCCTGTATTCAAGCCACTGCAAGGAAATCCGGCCTCCTTTCAAGTTAGGGCTTCTCGCTGTATATTGCCCTTGAGGCAGCAAACTCGGGGTCCCTCCCACATACCTATTGCTGAGACAGCCTCCTCCTGAGGTGCTTCTGGAAAGTTGGCATACGTCTTGAGCCTAAGCCAGGGAATCAGCTCTCATCTCGAGACGATTTGGGGTACACGGAGCATTCCTCGAGTTTCTGTGCTGAAGTTGGTGTTCCTCTAGACTTGGGCCAGTGTTCTCGGGGCATCTCTGGAGTTGCCTGAAGGAAGTCGAGCCACCGGTCGTGTTGAATGGGGAACGAGAATGGCTATGGAGTCAATGCAGGATAATCGGGCCTCATCTCGAGTTGATTTGGGGCACATGGAGCTGCTTTGCGTTGCTGGGGTGACCTCAGAGTCCGTCTAGACTGGTGACAGTGTTCTTGGGGACTCTCGCGAGATCCATTAAGCAAGTCGAAGCTCCTGACTTGTTTGAATGGGATCACGGAATAGCTCTGCATGCACTGCAGGGGAATGGGGCCTCATCTCGCCTCTAGGGGGAAGTCTCATGGTTTTTCTCGAGTTGCGGCGGGGACCTGGGGTATGTTCTCGACTTACGGCGGGGATGTCCCTTCAAAATACGAGTTTCTTCAGTGACGTCAGGACTCCTGTCTAGTAACGAAGGACACCTCAGGAATCTCTTTGAGGCTTGGCAGGGCAAAAGGGACGCTTCTCGAGGTGAGGCAGGGCAACCAAGGACCCTTTCCAGTAGCCACAGGGATTTTGGGATTCCTATCAGTATTCAAGAGGAGTCAGGCATCGTCACCTTTTGAAGCAATGAAATCCGCGTGCCTCTCGAGGTGTCAACGGTATGTGAGGCATTCCGTCAAAATGAGGCAGGGACCTAGGGCTTTCTCTAAGGTCTCCACAGGGGATTAAGACATCCCTTCATGTTGTGAGATGAAAGACGAGCCTGTATTCAAGCCACTGCAAGGAAATCCGGCCTCCTTTCAAGTTAGGGCTTCTCGCTGTATATTCCACTTGAGGCAGCGATCTCGGGGTCCCTCCTACATACCTATTGCTGAGACAGCCTCCTCCTGAGGTGCTTCTGGAAAGTTGGCATACGTCTTGAGCCTAAGCCAGGGAATCAGCTCTCATCTCCAGACGATTTGGGGTACCCGGAGAGTTCCTCGAGTTGCTGTGCTGAAGTTGGTGTTCCTCTAGACTTGGGCCAGTGTTCTCGGGGCATCTCTGGAGTTGCCTGAAGGAAGTCGAGCCACCGGTCGTGTTGAATGGGGAACGGGAATGGCTATGGAGTCAATGCAGGGGAATCGGGCCTCATCTCGAGTTGATTTGGGGCACATGGAGCTGCTTTGCGTTGCTGGGGTGACCTCAGGGTTCGTCTAGACTGGTGACAGTGTTCCTGGGGACTGTCTCGAGATCCATTAAGCAAGTCGAAGCTCCTGACTTGTTTGAATGGGATCACGGAATAGCTCTGCATGCACTACAGGGGAATGGGCCTCATCTCGCCTCTAGGGGGAAGTCTCATGGTTTTTCTCGAGTTGCGGCGGGAACCTGGGTTATGTTCTCGACTTACGGCGGGGATGGCCCCTCAAAACACTTTTTTCTTCAGTGACGTCAGGGCCTCTGTCTAGTAACGAGGGACACCTCAGCAATCTCTTCGAGGATTGGCAGGGCAAAAGGGACGCTTCTCGAGGTGAGGCAGGGCACCCAAGGACCCTTTCCAGTAGCCACAGGGATTTTGGGATTCCTATCAGTATTCAAGAGGAGTCAGGCATCGTCACCTTTAGAAGCAATGATCTCCGCGTGCCTCTCGAGGTGTCAACGAAATGTGAGGCATTCCGTCAAAATGAGGCAGGGACCTAGGGCTTTCTCTAAGGTCTCCACAGGGGATTCAGAAATCCCTTCATGTTTTGAGACCAAAGACGAGCCTATATTCAAGCCACTGCAAGGAAATCCGGCCTCCTTTCAAGTTAGGGCTTCTCGCTGTATATTCCACTTGAGGCAGCGATCTCGGTGTCCCTCCCACATACCTATTGCTGAGAGAAGCCTCCTCCTGAGGTGCATCTGGAAAGTTGGCATACGTCTTGAGCCTAAGCCAGGGAATCAGCTCTCATCTCGAGATGATTTGGGGTACACGGAGCATTCCTCGAGTTGCTGTGCTAAAGTTGGTGTTCCTCTAGACTTGGGAGAGTGTTCTCGGGGCATCTCTGGAGTTGCCTGAAGGAAGTCGAGCCACCGGTCGTGTTGAATGGGGAACGGGGAATGGCTCTGGAGTCAATCCAGGGGAATCGGGCCTCATCTCGAGTTGATTTGGGGTACATGGAGCTGCTTTGCGTTGCTGGGGTGACCTCAGGGTCCGTCTAGACTGGTGACAGTGTTCTTGGAGACTGTCTCGAGATCCATTAAGCAAGTCGAAGCTCCTGACTTGTTTGAATGGGATCACGGAATAGCTCTGCATGCACTGCAGGGGAATGGGGGATCATCTCGCCTCTAGGGGGAAGTCTCATGGTTTTTCTCGAGTTGCGGCGGGGACCTGGGGTATGTTCTCGACTTACGGCGGGGATGGCCCTTCAAAACACGAGTTTCTTCAGTGACCTCAGGACTCCTGTCTAGTAACGAGGGACACCTCAGGAAACTCTTCGAGGCTTGGCAGGGCAAAAGGGACTCTTCTCGAGGTGAGGCAGATAACCCTAGGACCCTTTCCAGTAGCCAAATGGATTTTGGGATTCCTATCAGTATTCAAGAGGAGTCAGGCATCGTCACCTTTTGAAGCAATGAACTCCGCGTGCCTCTCGAGGTGTCAACGGGATGTGAGGCATTCCGTCAAAGTGAGGCAGGTACCTAGGGCTTTCTCTAAGGTCTCCACAGGGGATTCAGACATCCCTTCATGTTGTGAAATGAAACACGAGCCTGTATTCAAGCCACTGCAAGGAAATTCGGCCTCCTTTCAAGTTAGGGCTTCTCGCTGTATATTCCCCTTTAGGCAGCAAACTCGGGGTCCCTCCCACATACCTATTGCTGAGACAGCCTCTTCCTGAGTTGCTTCTGGAAAGTTGGCATACGTCTTGAGCCTAAGCCAGGGAATCAGCTCTCATCTCGAGACGATTTGGGGTACACGGAGCATTCCTCGAGTTGCTGTGCTGAAGTTGGTGTTTCTCTAGACTTGGGACAGTGTTCTCGGGGCATCACTGGAGTTGCCTGAAGGAAGTCGAGACACTGGTCGTGTTGAATGGAGAACGGGGAATGGCTCTGGAGTCAATGCAGGGGAATCGGGCCTCATCTCGAGTTGATTTGTGGCACATGGAGCTGCTTTGCGTTGCTTGGGTGACCTCAGGGTCCGTCTAGACTGGTGACAGTGTTCTTGGGGACTGTCTCGAGATCCATTAAGCAAGTCGAAGCTCCTGACTTGTTTGAATGGAATCACGGAATAGCTCTGCATGCACTGCAGGGGAATGGGGTCTCATCTCGACTCTAGGGGGAAGTCTCATGGTTTTTCTCGAATTGCGGCGGGGACCTGGGGTATGTTCTCGACTTACGGCGGGGATGGCCCTTCAAAACACGAGTTTCTTCAGTGACCTCAGGACTCCTGTCTAGTAACGAGGGACACCTCAGGAATCTCTTCGAGGCTTGGCAGGGCAAAAGGGTCGCTTCTCGAGGTGAGGCAGGGTAACCAAGGACCCTTTCGAGTAGCCACAGGGATTTTGGGATTCCTATCAGTATTCAAGAGGAGTCAGGCATCGTCACCTTTTGAAACAATGAACTCCGCGTGCCTCTCGAGGTGTCAGCGGGATGTGAGGCATTCCGTCAAAGTGAGGCAGGGACCTAGGGCTTTCTCTAAGGTCTCCACAGGGGATTCAGACATCCCTTCATGTTGTGAAATGAAACACGAGCCTGTATTCAAGCCACTGCAAGGAAATCCGGCCTCCTTTCAAGTTAGGGCTTCTCGCTGTATATTCCCCTTGAGGCAGCAAACTCGGGGTCCCTCCCACATACCTATTGCTGAGACAGCCTCCTTCTGAGGTGCTTCTGGAAAGTTGGCATACATCTTGAGCCTAAGCCAGGGAATCAGCTCTCATCTCGAGACGATTTGGGGTACACGGAGCATTCCTCGAGTTGCTGTGCTGAAGTTGGTGTTTCTCTAGACTTGGGACAGTGTTCTCGGGGCATCACTGGAGTTGCCTGAAGGAAGTCGAGACACTGGTCTTGTTGAATGGGGAACGGTGAATGGCTCTGGAGTAAATGCAGGGGAATCGGGCCTCATCTCGAGTTGATTTGTGGCACATGGAGCTGCTTTGCGTTGCTGGGGTGACCTCAGGGTCCGTCTAGACTGGTGACAGTGTTCTTGGAGACTGTCTCGAGATCCATTAAGCAAGTCGAAGCTCCTGACTTGTTTGAATGGGATCACGGAATAGCTCTGCATGCACTGCAGGGGAATGGGGCCTCATCTCGCCTCTAGGGGGAAGTCTCATGGTTTTTCTCGAGTTGCGGCGGGGACCTGGGGTATGTTCTCAACTTACGGCGGGGATGGCCCTTCAAAACACGAGTTTCTTCAGTGACGTCTGGACTCCTGTCTAGTAACGAGGGACACCTCAGGAATCTCTTCGAGGCTTGGCAGGGCAAAAGGGACGCTTCTCGAGGTGAGGCAGGGCAACCAAGGACCCTTTCCAGTAGCCACAGGGATTTTGGGATTCCTATCAGTATTCAAGAGGAGTCAGGCATCGTCACCTTTTGAAGCAATGAACTCCGCGTGCCTCTCGAGGTGTCAACGGGATGTGAGGCATTCCCTCAAAGTGAGGCAGGGACCTAGGGTTTTCTCTAAGGTCTCCACAGGGGATTCAGACATCCCTTCATGTTGTGAGATGAAACACGAGCCTGTATTCAAGCCACTGCAAGGAAATCCGGCCTCCTTTCAAGTTAGGGCTTCTCGCTGTATATTGCCCTTGAGGCAGCAAACTCGGGGTCCCTCCCACATACCTATTGCTGAGACAGCCTCCTCCTGAGGTGCTTCTGGAAAGTTGGCATACGTCTTGAGCCTAAGCCAGGGAATCAGCTCTCATCTCGAGACGATTTGGGGTACACGGAGCATTCCTCGAGTTGCTGTGCTGAAGATGGTGTTCCTCTAGTTTTGGGACAGTGTTCTCGGGCATTTCTGGAGTTGCCTGAAGTAAGTCGAGCCACCGGTCGTGTTGAATGTGGAACGGGGAATGGCTCTGCAGTCATTGCAGGTGAATCGGGTCTCATCTCGAGTTGATTTGGGGCCCATGGAGCTGCTTTGCGTTGCTGGGGTGACTTCAGGGTCCGTCTAGACTGGTGACAGTGTTCTTGGGGACTGTCTCGAGATTCATTAAGCAAGTCGAAGCTCCTGATTTGTTTGAATGGGATCACGGAATAGCTCTGCATGCACTGCAGGGGATTTGGGCCTCATCTCGCCTCTAGGGGGAAGTCTCATGGTTTTTCTCGAGTTGCGGCAGTGACCTGGGGTATGTTCTAGACTTACGGCGGGGATGGCCCTTCAAAACACGAGTTTCTTCGGGGACGTCAGGACTCCTGTCTAGTAACGAGGGACACTTCAGGAATCTCTTCGAGGCTTGGCAGGGCAAACGGGACGCTTCTTGAGGTGAGGCAGGGCACCCAAGGACCCTTTCCAGTAGCCACAGGGATTTTGGGATTCCTATCAGTATTCAAGAGGAGTCAGGCATCTTCACCTTTTGAAGCAATGAACTCCGCGTGCCTCTCGAGGTGTCAACGGGATGTGAGGCATTCCGTCAAAATGAGGCAGGGACCTAGGGCTTTCTCTAGGTCTCCACAGGGGATTAAGACATCCCTTCATGTTGTGAGATGAAAGACGAGCCTGTATTCAAGCCACTGCAAGGAAATCCGGCCTCCTTTCAAGTTAGGGCTTCTCGCTGTATATTCCACTTGAGGCAGCGATCTCGGGGTCCCTCCTACATACCTATTGCTGAGACAGCCTCCTCCTGAGGTGCTTCTGGAAAGTTGGCATACGTCTTGAGCCTAAGCCAGGGAATCAGCTCTCATCTCCAGACGATTTGGGGTACACGGAGCATTCCTCGAGTTGCTGTGCTGAAGTTGGTGTTCCTCTAGACTTGGGACAGTGTTCTCGGGGCATCTCTGGAGTTGCCTGAAGGAAGTCGAGCCACCGGTCGTGTTGAATGCGGAACGGGGAATGGCTGTGGAGTCAATGCAGGGGAATCGGGCCTCATCTCGAGTTGATTTGTGGCACATGGAGCTTCTTTGCTTTGCTGGTGTGACATCAGGGTCCGTCTAGACTGGTGACAGTGTTCTTGGGGACTGTCTCGAGATCCAATAAGCAAGTCAAAGCTCCTGACTTGTTTGAATGGGATCACGGAATAGCTCTGCATGCACTGCAGGGGAATGGGCCCTCACCTCGCCTCTAGGGGGAAGTCTCATGGTTTTTCTCGAGTTGCGGCGGTGACCTGGGGTATGTTCTCGACTTACGGCGGGGATGGCCCTTCAAAACACGAGTTTCTTCAGTGACGTCAGGACTCCTGTCTGGTAACGAGGGACACTTCAGGAATCTCTTCGAGGCTTGGCAGGGCAAAAGGGACGCTTCTCGAGGTGAGGCAGGGCACCCAAGGCCCCTGTCCCGTATCCACAGGGATTTGGGGATTCCTATCAGTATTCCAGAGAAGTCAGGCATCGTCACCTTTTGAAGCAATGAACTCCGCGTGCCTCTCGAGGTGTCAGCGGGATGTGAGGCATTCCGTCAAAATGAGGCAGGGACCTAGGGCTTTCTCTAAGGTCTCCACAGGGTATTCAGACATCCCTTCATGTTGTGAGATGAAAGACGAGCCTGTATTCAAGCCACTGCAAGGAAATCCGGCCTCCTTTCAAGTTAGGGCTTCTCGCTGTATATTCCCCTTGAGGCAGCAAACTCGGGGTCCCTCCCACATACCTATTGCTGAGAGAAGCCTCCTCCTGAGGTGCTTCTGGGAAGTTGGCATACGTCTTGAGCCTAAGCCAGGGAATCAGCTCTCATCTCTAGACGATTTGGGGTACCCGGAGAGTTCCTCGAGTTGCTGTGCTGAAGTTGGTGTTCCTCTAGACTTGGGACAGTGTTCTCGGGGCATCTCTGGAGTTGCCTGAAGGAAGTCGAGCCACCGGTCGTGTTGAATGTGGAACGGGGAATGGCTCTGGAGTCAATGCAGGGGAATCGGGCCTCATCTCGAGTTGATTTGTGGCACATGGAGCTACTTTGCGTTGCTGGGGTGACCTCAGGGTCCGTCTAGACTGGTGACAGTGTTCTTGGGGACTGTCTCGAGATCCATTAAGCAAGTCGAAGCTCCTGACTTGTTTGAATGGGATCACGGAATACCTCTGCATGCACTACAGGGGAATGGGGCCTCATCTCGCCTCTAGGGGGAAGTCTCATGGTTTTTCTCGAGTTGCGTCGGTGACCTGGGGTATGTTCTCGACTTACGGCGGGGATGGCCCTTCAAAACACGAGTTTCTTCAGTGACGTCAGGACTCCTGTCTAGTAACGAGGGACACCTCAGGAATCTCTTCGAGGCTTGGCAGGGCAAAAGGGACGCTTCTCAAGGTGAGGCAAGGCACCCAAAGTCCCTTTCCAGTATCCACAGGGATTTTGGGATTCCTATCAGTATTCAAGAGGAGTCAGGCATCGTCACATTTTGAAGCAATGAACTCCGCGTGCCTCTCGAGGTGTCAACGGGATGTGAGGCATTCCGTCAAAATGAGGCAGGAACCTAGGGCTTTCTCTAAGGTCTCCACAGGGGATTCAGACATCCCTTCATGTTGTGAAATGAAACACGAGCCTGTATTCAAGACACTGCCAGGAAATCCGGCCTCCTTTCAAGTTAGGGCTTCTCGCTTTATATTCCCCTTGAGGCAGCAAACTCGGGGTCCCTCCCACATACCTATTGCTGAGAGAAGCCTCCTGCTGAGGTGCTTCTGGAAAGTTGGCATACGTCTTGAGCCTAAGCCAGGGAATCAGCTCTCATCTCGAGACGATTTGCGGTACACGGAGCATTCCTTGAGTTGCTGTGCTGAAGTTGGTGTTCCTCTAGACTTGGGCCAGTGTTCTCGGGGCATCTCTGGAGTTGCCTGAAGGAAGTCGAGCCACCGGTCGTGTTGAATGGGGAACGAGAATGGCTATGGAGTCAATGAAGGGGAATCGGGCCTCATCTCGAGTTGATTTGGGGCACATGGAGCTGCTTTGCGTTGCTGGGGTGACCTCAGGGTCCGTCTAGACTGGTGACAGTGTTCTTGGGGACTGTCTCGAGATCCATTAAGCAAGTCGAAGCTCCTGACTTGTTTGAATGGGATCACGGAATAGCTCTGCATGCACTGCAGGGGAATGGGGCCTCATCTCGCCTCTAGGGGGAAGTCTCATGGTTTTTCTCGAGTTGCGGCGGGGACCTGGGGTATGTTCTCGACTTACGGCGGGGATGGCCCTTCAAAACACGAGTTTCTTCAGTGACGTCAGGACTCCTGTCTAGTAACGAGGGACACCTCAGGAAACTCTTCGTGGCTTGGCAGGGGAAAAGGGACACTTCTCGAGGTGAGGCAGGTCACCCTAGGACCCTTTCCAGTAGCCACAGGGATTTTGGGATTCCTATCAGTATTCAAGAGGAGTCAGGCATCGTCACCTTTTGAAGGAATGAACTCCGCGTGCCTCTCGAGGTGTCAAAGGGATGTGAGGCATTCCGTCAAAGTGAGGCAGGGACCTAGGGCTTTCTCTAAGGTCTCCACAGGGGATAGAGACACCCCTTCATGTTGTGAAATGAAACACGAGCCTGTATTCAAGCCATTGCAAGGAAATCCGGCCTCCTTTCAAGTTAGGGCTTCTCGCTGTATATTGCCCTTGAGGCAGCAAACTCGGGGTCCCTCCCACATACCTATTGCTGAGAGAAGCCTCCTCCTGAGGTGCTTCTGGAAAGTTGGCATACGTCTTGAGCCTAAGCCAGGGAATCAGCTCTCATCTCGAGACGATTTGGGGTACACGGAGCATTCCTCGAGTTGCTGTGCTGAAGTTGGTGTTCCTCTAGACTTGGGAGAGTGTTCTCGGGGCATCTCTGGAGTTGCCTGAAGGAAGTCGAGCCACAGGTCGTGTTGCATGGGGAACGAGAATGGCTATGGAGTCAATGCAGGGGAATCGGGCCTCATCTCGAGTTGATTTGGGGCACATGGAGCTGATTTGCGTTGCTGGGGTGACCTCAGGGTCCGTCTAGACTGGTGACAGTGTTCTTGGGGACTGTCTCGAGATCCATTAAGCAAGTCGAAGCTCCTGACTTGTTTGAATGGGATCACGGAATAGCTCTGCATGCACTGCAGGGGAATGGGGACTCATCTCGCCTCTAGGGGGAAGTCTCATGGTTTTTCTCGAGTTTCGGCGGGGACCTGGGGTATGTTCTCGACTTACGGCGGGGATGCCCTTCAAAACACGAGTTTCTTCAGTGACGTCAGGACTCCTGTCTAGTAACGAGGGAAACCTCAGGAATCTCTTCGAGGCTTGGCAGGGCAAAATGGACGCTTCTCGAGGTGAGGCAGGGCACCCAAGGACCTTTCCAGTAGCCACAGGGATTTTGGGATTCCTATCAGTATTCAAGAGGAGTCAGGCATCGTCACCTTTTGAAGCAATGAACTCCGCGTGTCTCTCGAGGTGTCAACGGGATGTGAGGCATTCCGTCAAAGTGAGGCAGGGACCTAGGGCTTTCTCTAAGGTCTCCACAGGGGATTAAGACATCCCTTCATGTTGTGAAATGAAACACGAGCCTGTATTCAAGCCACTGCAAGGAAATCCGGCCTCCTTTCAAGTTAGGGCTTCTCGCTGTATATTCCCCTTGAGGCAGCAAACTCGGGGTCCCTCCCACATACCTATTGCTGAGACAGCCTCCTCCTGAGGTGCTTCTGGAAAGTTGGCATACGTCTTGAGCCTAAGCCAGGGAATCAGCTCTCATCTCGAGACGATTTGGGGTACACGGAGCATTCCTCGAGTTGCTATGCTGAAGTTGGTGTTCCTCTAGACTTGGGACAGTGTTCTCGGGGCATCTCTGGAGTTGCCTGAAGGAAGTCGAGCCACCGGTCGTGTTGAATGGGGAACGGGGAATGGCTCTGGAGTCAATGCAGGGGAATCGGGCCTCATCTCGAGTTGATTTGTGGCACATGGAGCTTCTTTGCGTTGCTGGGGTGACCTCAGGGTCCGTCTAGACTGGTGACAGTGTTCTTGGGGACTGTCTCGAGATCCATTAAGCAAGTCGAAGCTCCTGACTTGTTTGAATGGGATCACGGAATAGCTCTGCATGCACTGCAGGGGAATGGGGCCTCATCTCGCCTCTAGGGGGAAGTCTCATGGTTTTTCTCGAGTTGCGGCGGTGACCTGGGGTATGTTCTCGACTTACGGCGGGGATGGCCCTTCAAAACAAGAGTTTCTTCAGTGACGTCAGGACTCCTGTCTAGTAACGAGGGACACCTCAGGAATCTCTTCGAGGCTTGGCAGGGCAAAAGGGACGCTTCTCGAGGTGAGGCAGGGCACCCAAGGTCCCTTTCCAGTAGCCACAGGGATTTTGGGATTCCTATCAGTATTCAAGAGGAGTCAGGCATCGTCACCTTTTGAAGCAATGAACTCCGTGTGCCTCTCGAGGTGTCAACGGGATGTGAGGCATTCCGTCAAAATGAGGCAGGAACCTAGGGCTTTCTCTAAGGTCTCCACAGGGGATTCAGACATCCCTTCATGTTGTGAAATGAAACACGAGCCTGTATTCAAGACACTGCCAGGAAATCCGGCCTCCTTTCAAGTTAGGGCTTCTCGCTTTATATTCCCCTTGAGGCAGCAAACTCGGGGTCCCTCCCACATACCTATTGCTGAGAGAAGCCTCCTGCTGAGGTGCTTCTGGAAAGTTGGCATACGGCTTTAGCATAAGCCAGGGAATCAGCTCTCATCTCGAGACGATTTGGGGTACACGGAGCATTCCTCGAGTTTCTGTGCTGAAGTTGGTGTTCCTCTAACTTGAGCCAGTGTTCTCGGGGCATCTCTGGAGTTGCCTGAAGGAAGTCGAGCCACCGGTCGTGTTGAATGGGGAACGAGAATGGCTATGGAGTCAATGAAGGGGAATCGGGCCTCATCTCGAGTTGATTTGGGGCACATGGAGCTGCTTTGCGTTGCTGGGGTGACCTCAGGGTCCGTCTAGACTGGTGACAGTGTTCTTGGGGACTGTCTCGAGATCCATTAAGCAAGTCGAAGCTCCTGACTTGTTTGAATGGGATCACGGAATAGCTCTGCATGCACTGCAGGGGAATGGGGCCTCATCTCGCCTCTAGGGGGAAGTCTCATGGTTTTTCTCGAGTTGCGGCGGGGACCTGGGGTATGTTCTCGACTTACGGCGGGGATGGCCCTTCAAAACACGAGTTTCTTCAGTGACGTCAGGACTCCTGTCTAGTAACGAGGGACACCTCAGGAAACTCTTCGTGGCTTGGCAGGGGAAAAGGGACTCTTCTCGAGGTGAGGCAGGTCACCCTAGGACCCTTTCCAGTAGCCACAGGGATTTTGGGATTCCTATCAGTATTCAAGAGGAGTCAGGCATCGTCACCTTTTGAAGCAATGAACTCCGCGTGCCTCTCGAGGTGTCAACGGGATGTGAGGCATTCCCTCAAAGTGAGGCAGGGACCTAGGGCTTTCTCTAAGGTCTCCACAGGGGATTCAGACATCCCTTCATGTTGTGAAATGAAACACGAGCCTGTATTCAAGCCATTGCAAGGAAATCCGGCCTCCTTTCAAGTTAGGGCTTCTCGCCGTATATTGCCCTTGAGGTAGCAAACTCGGGGTCCCTCCCACATACCTATTGCTGAGACAGCCTCCTCCTGAGGTGCTTCTGGAAAGTTGGCATACGTCTTGAGCCTAAGCCAGGGAATCAGCTCTCATCTCGAGACGATTTGGGGTACACGGAGCATTCCTCGAGTTGCTGTGCTGAAGTTGGTGTTCCTCTAGACTTGGGACAGTGTTCTCGGGGCATCTCTGGAGTTGCCTGAAGGAAGTCGAGCCACAGGTCGTGTTGCATGGGGAACGAGAATGGCTATGGAGTCAATGAAGGGGAATCGGGCCTCATCTCGAGTTGATTTGGGGCACATGGAGCTGCTTTGCGTTGCTTGGGTGACCTCATTGTCCGTCTAGACTGGTGACAGTGTTCTTGGGGACTGTCTCGAGATCCATTAAGCAAGTCGAATCTCCTGACTTGTTTGAATGGGATCACGGAATAGCTCTGCATGCACTGCAGGGGAATGGGGCCTCATCTCGCCTCTAGGGGGAAGTCTCATGGTTTTTCTCGAGTTGCGGCGGGGACCTGGGGTATGTTCTCGACTTAGGGCGGGGATGTCCCTTCAAAACACGAGTTTCTTCAGTGACGTCAGGACTCCTGTCTAGTAACGAGGGACACCTCAGGAATCTCTTCGAGGCTTGGCAGGGCAAAAGGGACGCTTCTCGAGGTGAGGCAGGGCAACCAAGGACCCTTTCCAGTAGCCACAGGGATTTTGGGATTCCTATCAGTATTCAAGAGGAGTCAGGCATCGTCACCTTTTGAAGCAATGAACTCCGCGTGCCTCTCGAGGTGTCAGCGGGATGTGAGGCATTCCGTCAAAATGAGGCAGGGACCTAGGGCTTTCTCTAAGGTCTCCACAGGGGATTCAGACATCCCTTCATGTTGTGAAATGAAACACGAGCCTGTATTCAAGACACTGCAAGGAAATCCGGCCTCCTTTCAAGTTAGGGCTTCTCGCTGTATATTCCCCTTGAGGCAGCAAACTCGGGGTCCCTCCCACATACCTATTGCTGAGAGAAGCCTCCTCCTGAGGTGCTTCTGGAAAGTTGGCATACGTCTTGAGCCTAAGCCAGGGAATCAGCTCTCATCTCGAGACGATTTGGGGTACACGGAGCATTCCTCGAGTTGCTGTGCTGAAGTTGGTGTTCCTCTAGACTTGGGACAGTGTTCTCGGGGTATCTCTGGAGTTGCCTGAAGGAAGTCGAGCCACCGGTCGTGTTGAATGGGGAACGAGAATGGCTATGGAGTCAATGCAGGGGAATCGGGCCTCATCTCGAGTTGATTTGGGGCACATGGAGCTGCTTTGCATTGCTGGGGTGACCTCAGGGTCCGTCTAGACTGGTGACAGTGTTCTTGGGGACTGTCTCGAGATCCATTAAGCAAGTCGAAGCTCCTGACTTGTTTGAATGGGATCACGGAATAGCTCTGCATGCACTGCAGGGGAATGGGGCCTCATCTCGCCTCTAGGGGGAAGTCTCATGGTTTTTCTCGAGTTGCGGCAGGGCCCTGGGGTATGTTCTCGACTTACGGCAGGGATGGCCCTTCAAAACACAAGTTTCTTCAGTGACGTCAGGACTCCTGTCTAGTAATGAGGGACAACTCAGGAAACTCTTCGAGGCTTGGCAGGGCAAAAGGGACGCTTCTCGAGGTGAAGCAGGTCACCCTAGGACCCTTTCGAGTAGCCACAGGGATTTTGGGATTCCTATCAGTATTCAAGAGGAGTCAGGCATCGTCACCTTTTGAAGCAATGAACTCCGCGTGCCTCTCGAGGTGTCAACGGGATGTGAGGCATTCCGTCAAAGTGAGGCAAGGACCAAGGGCTTTCTCTAAGGTCTCCACAGGGGATTAAGACATCCCTTCATGTTGTGAAATGAAACACGAGCCTGTATTCAAGCCACTGCAAGGAAATCTGGCCTCCTTTCAAGTTAGGGCTTCTCGCTGTATATTCCCCTTGAGGCAGCAAACTCGGGGTCCCTCCCACATACCTATTGCTGAGAGAAGCCTCCTCCTGAGGTGCTTCTGGAAACTTGGCATACGTCTTGAGCCTAAGCCAGGGAATCAGCTCTCATCTCAAGACGATTTGGGGTACACGGAGCATTCCTCGAGTTGCTGTGCTGAAGTTGGTGTTCCTCTAGACTTGGGCCAGTGTTCTCGGGGCATCTCTGGAGTTGCCTGAAGGAAGTCGACCCACCTGTCGTGTTGAATGTGGAACGGGAATGGCTATGGAGTCAATCCAGGGTAATCGGGCCTCATCTCGAGTTGATTTGGGGCACATGGAGCTGCTTTGCGTTGCTGGGGTGACCTCAGGGCCATCTAGACTGATGACAGTGTTCTTGGGGACTGTCTCGAGATCCATTAAGCAAGTCGAAGCTCCTGACTTGTTTCAATGGGATCACGGAATAGCTCTGCATGCACTGCAGGGGAATGGGGCCTCATCTCGCCTCTAGGGGGAAGTCTCATGGTTTTTCTCGAGTTGCGGCGGGGACCTGGGGTATGTTCTCAACTTACGGCGGGGATGGCCTTCAAAACACGAGGTTCTTCAGTGACGTCAGGACTCCTGTCTAGTAACGAGAGAAACCTCAGGAATCTCTTCGAGGCTTGGCAGGGCAAAAGGGACGCTTCTCGAGGTGAGGCAGGGCACCCAAGGACCCTTTCCAGTAGCCACAGCGATTTTGGGATTCCTCTCAGTATTCAAGAGGAGTCAGGCATCGTCACCTTTTGAAGCAATGAACTCCGCGTGCCTCTCGAGGTGTCAGCGGGATGTGAGGCATTCCGTCAAAGTGAGGCAGGGACCTAGGGCTTTCTCTAAGGTCTCCACAGGGGATTCAGACATCCCTTCATGTTGTGAAATGAAACACGAGCCTGTATTCAAGCCACTGCAAGGAAATCCGGCCTCCTTTCAAGTTAGGGCTTCTCGCTGTATATTCCCCTTGAGGCAGCAAACTCGGGGTCCCTCCCACATACCTATTGCTGAGACAGCCTCCTCCTGAGGTGCTTCTGGAAAGTTGCCATACGTCTTGAGCCTAAGCCAGGGAATCAGCTCTCATCTCGAGACGATTTGGGGTACACGGAGCATTCCTCGAGGAGCTGTGCTGAAGTTGGTGTTCCTCTAGACTTGGGCCAGTGTTCTCGGGGCATCTCTGGAGTTGCCTGAAGGAAGTCGAGACACTGGTCGTGTTGAATGGGGAACGGGGAATGGCTCTGGAGACAATGCAGGGGAATCGGGCCTCATCTCGAGTTGATTTGTGGCACATGGAGCTGCTTTGCGTTGCTTGGGTGACCTCAGGGTCCGTCTAGACTGGTGACAGTGTTCTTGGGGACTGTCTCGAGATCCATTAAGCAAGTCGAAGCTCCTGACTTGTTTGAATGGGATCACGGAATAGCTCTGCATGCACTGCAGGGGAATGGGGCCTCATCTCGCCTCTAGGGGGAAGTCTCATGGTTTTTCTCGATTTGCGGCGGGGACCTGGGGTATGTTCTCGACTTACGGCGGGGATGGCCCTTCAAAACACGAGTTTCTTCAGTGACGTCAGGACTCCTGTCTAGTAACGAGGGACACCTCAGGAATCTCTTCGAGGCTTGGCAGGTCAAAAGGGACGCTTCTCGAGGTGAGGCAGGGCAACCAAGGACCCTTTCCAGTAGCCACAGGGATTTGGGGATTCCTATCAGTATTCAAGAGGAGTCTGGCATCGTCACCTTTTGAAGCAATGAACTCCGCGTGCCTCTCGAGGTGTCAACGGTATGTGAGGCATTCCGTCAAAATGAGGCAGGGACCTAGGGCTTTCTCTAAGGTCTCCACAGGGGATTCAGACATCCCTTCATGTTGTGAAATGAAACACGAGCCTGTATTCAAGACACTGCAAGGAAATCCGGCCTCCTTTCAAGTTAGGGCTTCTCGCTATATATTCCCCTTGAGGCACCGATCTCGGGGTCCCTCCTACATACCTATTGCTGAGAGAAGCCTCCTCCTGAGGTGCTTCTGGAAAGTTGGCATACGTCTTGAGCCTAAGCCAGGGAATCAGCTCTCATCTCGAGACGATTTGGGGTACACGGAGCATTCCTCGAGTTGCTGTGCTGAAGTTGGTGTTCCTCTAGACTTGGGCCAGTGTTCTCGGGGCATCTCTGGAGTTGCCTGAAGGAAGTCGACCCACCGGTCCTGTTGAATGGGGAACGGGAATGGCTATGGAGTCAATCCAGGGGAATCGGGCATCATCTCGAGATGATTTGGGGCACATGGAGCTGCTTTGCGTTGCTGGGGTGACCTCAGGGTCCATCTAGACTGATGACAGTGTTCTTGGGGACTGTCTCGAGATCCATTAAGCAAGTCGAAGCTCCTGACTTGTTTGAATGGGATCACGGAATAGCTCTGCACGCACTGCAGGGGAATGGGGCCTCATCTCGCCTCTAGGGGGAAGTCTCATTGTTTTTCTCGAGTTGCGGCGGGGACCTGGGGTATGTTCTCGACTTACGGCGGGGATGGCCCTTCAAAACACGAGGTTCTTCAGTGACGTCAGGACTCCTGTCTAGTAACGAGGGAAAACTCAGGAATCTCTTCGAGGCTTGGCAGGCCAAAAGGGACGCTTCTCGAGGTGAGGCAGGGCACCCAAGGACCCTTTCCAGTAGCCACAGGGATTTTGGGATTCCTATCAGTATTCAAGAGGAGTCAGGCATCGTCACCTTTTGAAGCAATGAACTCCGCGTGCCTCTCGAGGTGTCAGCGGGATGTGAGGCATTCCGTCAAAATGAGGCAGGGACCTAGGGCTTTCTCTAAGGTCTCCACAGGGGATTCACACATCCCTTCATGTTGTGAAATGAAACAAGAGCCTGTATTCAAGACACTGCAAGGAAATCCGGCCTCCTTTCAAGTTAGGGCTTATCGCTGTATATTCCCCTTGAGGCAGCAAACTCGGGGTCCCTCCCACATGCCTATTGCTGAGAGAAGCCTCCTCCTGAGGTGCTTCTGCAAAGTTGGCATATGTCTTAAGTCTAAGCCAGGGAATCAGCTCTCATCTCGAGACGATTTGGGGTACACGGAGCATTCCTCGAGTTGCTGTGCTGAAGTTGGTGTTCCTCTAGACTTGGGCCAGTGTTCTCGGGGCATCTCTGGAGTTGCCTGAAGGAAGTCGAGCCACCAGTCGTGTTGAATGGGGTACGGCAATGGCTATGGAGTCAATGCAGGGGAATCGGGCCTCATCTCGAGTTGATTTGGGGCACATGGAGCTGCTTTGCGTTGCTGGGGTGACCTCACGGTCCGTCTAGACTGGTGACAGTGTTCCTGGGGACTGTCTCGAGATCCATTAAGCAAGTCGAAGCTCCTGACTTGTTTGAATGGGATCACGGAATAGCTCTGCATGCACTGCAGGGGATTTGGGCCTCATCTCGCCTCTAGGGGGAAGTCTCATGGTTTTTCTCGAGTTGCGGCAGTGACCTGGGGTATGTTCTAGACTTACGGCGGGGATGGCCCTTCAAAACACGAGTTTCTTCAGTGACGTCAGGACTCCTGTCTAGTAACGAGGGACACTTCAGGAATCTCTTCGAGGCTTGGCAGGGCAAACGGGACGCTTCTCGAGGTGAGGCAGGGCACCCCAGGACCCTTTCCAGTAGCCACAGGGATTTTGGGATTCCTATCAGTATTCAAGAGGAGTCAGGCATCTTCACCTTTTGAAGCAATGAACTCCGCGTGCCTCTCGAGTTGTCAACGGGATGTGAGGCATTCCGTCAAAATGAGGCAGGGACCTAGGGCTTTCTCTAAGGTCTCCACAGGGGATTAAGACATCCCTTCATGTTGTGAGATGAAAGAAGAGCCTGTATTCAAGCCACTGCAAGGAAATCCGGCCTCCTTTCAAGTTAGGGCTTCTCGCTGTATATTCCACTTGAGGCAGCGATCTCGGGGTCCCTCCTACATACCTATTGCTGAGAGAAGCCTCCTCCTGAGGTGCTTCTGGAAAGTTGGCATACGTCTTGAGCCTAAGCCAGGGAATCAGCTCTCATCTCGAGACGATTTGGGGTACAAGGCGCATTCCTCGAGTTGCTGTGCTGAAGTTGGTGTTCCTCTATACTTGGGACAGAGTTCTCGGGGCAACTCTGGCGTTGCCTGAAGGAAGTCGAGCCACCGGCCGTGTTGAATGGGGAACGGGAAATGGCTCTGGAGTCAATGCAGGGGAATCGGGCCTCATCTCGAGTTGATTTGGGGCACATGGAGCTGCTTTGCCTTGTTGGGGTGACTTCAGGGTCCGTCTAGACTGGTGACAGTGTTCTTGGGCACTGTCTCGAGATCCATTAAGCAAGTCGAAGCTCCTGACTTGTTTGAATGGGATCACGGAATAGCTCTGCATGCACTGCAGGGGAATGGTGCCTCATCTCGCCTCTATGGAGAAGTCTCATGGTTTTTCTCGAGTTGCGGCGGGGACCTGGCGTATGTTCTCGACTTACGGCGGGGATGGCCCTTTAAAACACGAGTTTCTTTAGTGACGTCAGGACTCCAGTCTAGTAACGAGGGACACCTCAGGAATCTCTTCGAGGACTGGCAGGGCAAAAGGGATGCTTCTCGAGGTGAGGCAGGGCACCCAAGGACCCTTTCCAGTAGCCACAGGGATTTTGGGATTCCTATCAGTATTCAAAAGGAGTCAGGCATCGTCACATTTTGAAGCAATGAACTCCGCGTGCCTCTCGAGGTGTCAACGGGATGTGAGGCATTCCGTCAAAATGAGGCAGGGACCTAGGTCTTTTTCTAAGTCTCCAAAGGGGAATCAGACATCCCTTCATGTTTTGAGATCAAAGACGAGCCTGTATTCAAGCCACTGCAAGGAAGTACGGCCTCCGTTCAAGTTAGGGCTTCTCGCTGTATATTCCACTTGAGGCAGCGATCTCGGGGTCTCTCCCACATACCTATTGCTGAGAGAAGTCTCCTCCTGAGGTGCCTCTGGAAAGTTGGCATACGTCTTGAGCCTAAGCCAGGGAATCAGCTCTCATCTCGAGACGATTTGGGTTACACAGAGCATTCCTCCAGTTGCTGTACTGAAGTTGGTGTTCCTCTAGACTTGGAACAGTGTTCTCGGGGCATCTCTGGAGCTGCCTGAAGGAAGCCGAGCCACTGGTCGTGTTGAATGGGTAACGGGGAATGGCTCTGGAGTCAATGCAGGGGAATCGGGCCTCATCTCGAGTTGATTTGGGGGACATGTTGCTAGTTTGCGTTGCTGGAGTGACCTCAGGGTCCGTCTAGACTGGTGACAGTGTTCTTGGGGACTGTCTCGAGATCCATTAAGCAATTCGAAGCTCCTGATTTGTTTGAATGGGATCACGGAATAGATCTGCATGCACTGCAGGGGAATGGGGCCTCATCTCGCCTCTAGAGGGAAGTCTCAAGGTTTTTCTAGAGTTGCGGCGGGGACCTGGGCTATGTTCTCCACTTACGGCGGGGATGGCCCTTCAAAACACGAGTTTCTTCAGTGACGTCAGGACTCCAGTCTAGTAAACAGGGACACCTCAGCAAACTCTTTCAGGCTTGGCAGGGCAAAAGGGACGCTTCTCGATTTGAGGCAGGGCACCCAAGGACCCTTTCCAGTAGCCACAGCGATTTTGGGATTCCTATCAGTATTCAAGAGGAGTCAGGCATCGTCACCTTTTGAAGCAGTGAACTCCGCGTGCCTCTCGAGGTGTCAACGGGTTGTGAGGCATTCCGTCAAAATCAGGCAGGGACCTAGGGCTTTCGCTAAGGTCTCCACAGGGAATTCAGACATCCCTTCATGTTTTGAGATCAAAGACGAGCCTTTATGCAAGCCACTGCAAGGAAATCCGGCCTCCTTTCAATATAGGGCTTCTCGCTGTATATTCCCCTTTAAGCAGCGATCTTGGGGTCCCTCCCACACACCTATTGCTGAGAGAAGCCTCCTCCTGAGGTGCTTCTGGAAAGTTGGCATAAGTCTTGAGCCTAAGCCAGGGAATCAGCTCTTATCTCCAGACGATTTGGGGTACACGGAGCATTCCTCGAGTTGCTGCGCTGAAGTTGGTGTTCCTCTAGACTTGGGACATTGTTCTCGGGGCATCTCTGGAGTTGCCTGAAGGAAGTCGAGCCACCGGTCGTGTTGAATGGGGAAGGGGGAATGGCTCTGGAGTCAATGCAGGGGAATCGGGCCTCATCTCGTGTTGATTTGGGGCACATGGAGCTGATTTGCGTTGCTGGGGTGACCTCAGGGTCCGTCTAGACTGGTGACAGTGTTCTTGGGGACTGTCTCGAGATCCATTAAGCAAGTCGAAGCTCCTGACTTGTTTGAATAGGATCACGGAATAGCTCTGCATGCACTGCAGGGGAATGGGGCCTCATCTCGCCTCTAGGGGGAAGTCTCATGGTTTTTCTCGAGTTGCGGCGGGGACCTGGGGTATGTTCTCGAGTTACGGCGGGGATGGCCCATCAAAACACATGTTTCTTCAGTGACGTCAGGACTCCTGTCTAGTAACGAGGGACACCTCAGGAATCTCTTTGAGGCTTGGCAGGGCAAAAGGGATGCTTCTCGAGGTGAGCAGGGCACCCAAGGACCCTTTCCAGTAGACACAGCGATTTTGGGATTCCTATCAGTATTCAAGAGGAGTCAGGCAACGTCACCTTTTGAAGCAATGAACTCCGCGTGCCTCTCGAGGTGTCAACGGGATGTGAGGCATTCCGTCAAAATGAGGCAGGGACCTAGTTCTTTCTCTAAGGTCTCCACAGGGGATTCAGACATCCCTTCATTTTGTGAGATGAAACACGAGCCTGTATTCAAGCCAATGCAAGGAAATCTGGCCTCCTTTCAAGTTAGGGCTTCTCGCTCTATATTTCCCTTGAGGCAGCAAACTCGGGGTCCCTCCCACATAACTATTGCTGCGAGAAGCCTCCTCCTGAGGTGCTTCTGGAAAGTTGGCATACGTCTTGAGCCTAAGTGAGGGAATCAGCTCTCATCTCCAGACGATTTGGGGTACACGGAGCATTCCTCGAGTTGCTGCGCTGAAGTTGGTGTTCCTCTAGACTTGGGACAGTGTTCTCGGGGCATCTCTGGAGTTGCCTGAAGGAAGTCGAGCCACCGGTCGTGTTGAATGGGGAACGGGAATGGCTATGGAGTCAATGCAGGGGAATCGGGCCTCATCTCGAGTTGATTTGGGGCACATGGAGCTGCTTTGCATTGCTGGGGTGACCTCAGGGTTCGTCTAGACTGGTGACAGTGTTCCTGGGGACTGTCTCGAGATCCATTAAGCAAGTCGAAGCTCCTGACTTGTTTGAATGGGATCACGGAATAGCTCTGCATGCACTACAGGGGAATGGGCCTCATCTCGCCTCTAGGGGGAAGTCTCATGTTTTTTCTCGAGTTGCGGCGGGAACCTGGGTTATGTTCTCGACTTACGGCGGGGATGGCCCCTCAAAACACTTTTTTCTTCAGTGACGTCAGGGCCTCTGTCTAGTAACGAGGGACACCTCAGCAATCTCTTCGAGGATTGGCAGGGCAAAAGGGACGCTTCTCGAGGTGAGGCAGGGCACCCAAGGACCCTTTCCAGTAGCCACAGGGATTTTGGGATTCCTATCAGTATTCAAGAGGAGTCAGGCATCGTCACCTTTTGAAGCAATGAACTCCGCGTGCCTCTCAAGGTGTCAACGAAATGTGAGGCATTCCGTCAAAATGAGGCAGGGACCTAGGGCTTTCTCTAAGGTCTCCACAGGGGATTCAGAGATTCCTTCATGTTGTGAAATGAAACACGAGCCTGCATTCAAGCCTCTGCAAGGAAATCCGGCCTCCTTTCAAGTTAGGGCTTCTCGCGGTATATTCCCCTAGAGGCAGCAAACTCGGTGTCCCTCCCACATACCTATTGCTGAGAGAAGCCTCCTCCTGAGGTGCATCTGGAAAGTTGGCATACGTCTTGAGCCTAAGCCAGGGAATCAGCTCTCATCTCGAGACGATTTGGGGTACACGGAGCATTCCTCGAGTTGCTGTGCTAAAGTTGGTGTTCCTCTAGACTTGGGAGAGTGTTCTCGGGGCATCTCTGGAGTTGCCTGAAGGAAGTCGAGCCACCGGTCGTGTTGAATGGGGAACGGGGAATGGCTCTGGAGTCAATCCAGGGGAATCGGGCCTCATCTCGAGTTGATTTGGGGTACATGGAGCTGCTTTGCGTTGCTTGGGTGACCTCACGGTCCGTCTAGACTGGTGACAGTGTTCTTGGAGACTGTCTCGAGATCCATTAAGCAAGTCGAAGCTCCTGACTTGTTTGAATGGGATCACGGAATAGCTCTGCATGCACTGCAGGGGAATGGGGCCTCATCTCGCCTCTAGGGGGAAGTCTCATGGTTTTTCTCGAGTTGCGGCGGGGACCTGGGGTATGTTCTCGACTTACGGCGGGGATGGCCCTTCAAAACAAGAGTTTCTTCAGTGACCTCAGGACTCCTGTCTAGTAACGAGGGACACCTCAGGAAACTCTTCGAGGCTTGGCAGGGCAAAAGGGACTCTTCTCGAGGTGAGGCAGATAACCCTAGGACCCTTTCCAGTAGCCAAATGGATTTTGGGATTCCTATCAGTATTCAAGAGGAGTCAGGCATCGTCACCTTTTGAAGCAATAAACTCCGCGTGCCTCTCGAGGTGTCAACGGGATGTGAGGCATTCCGTCAAAGTGAGGCAGGTACCTAGGGCTTTCTCTAAGGTCTCCACAGGGGATTCAGACATCCCTTCATGTTGTGAAATGAAACACGAGCCTGTATTCAAGCCACTGCAAGGAAATTCGGCCTCCTTTCAAGTTAGGGCTTCTCGCTGTATATTCCCCTTTAGGCAGCAAACTCGGGGTCCCTCCCACATACCTATTGCTGAGACAGCCTCTTCCTGAGGTGCTTCTGGAAAGTTGGCATACGTCTTGAGCCTAAGCCAGGGAATCAGCTCTCATCTCGAGACGATTTGGGGTACACGGAGCATTCCTCGAGTTGCTGTGCTGAAGTTGGTGTTTCTCTAGACTTGGGACAGTGTTCTCGGGGCATCACTGGAGTTGCCTGAAGGAAGTCGAGACACTGGTCGTGTTGAATGGGGAACGGGGAATGGCTCTGGAGTCAATGCAGGGGAATCGGGCCTCATCTCGAGTTGATTTGTGGCACATGGAGTTGCTTTGCGTTGCTTGGGTGACCTCAGGGTCCGTTTAGACTGGTGACAGTGTTCTTGGGGACTGTCTCGAGATCCATTAAGCAAGTCGAAGCTCCTGACTTGTTTGAATGGGATCACGGAATAGCTCTGCATGCACTGCAGGGGAATGGGGCCTCATCTCGCCTCTAGGGGGAAGTCTCATGGTTTTTCTCGAGTTGCGGCGGGGACCTGGGGTATGTTCTCAACTTACGGCGGGGATGGCCCTTCAAAACACGAGTTTCTTCAGTGACGTCAGGACTCCTGTCTAGTAACGAGGGACACCTCAGGAATCTCTTCGAGGCTTGGCAGGGCAAAAGGGACGCTTCTCGAGGTGAGGCAGGGCAACCAAGGACCCTTTCCAGTAGCCACAGGGATTTTGGGATTCCTATCAGTATTCAAGAGGAGTCAGGCATCGTCACCTTTTGAAGCAATGAACTCCGCGTGCCTCTCGAGGTGTCAACGGGATGTGAGGCATTCCCTCAAAGTGAGGCAGGGACCTAGGATTTTCTTTAAGGTCTCCACAGGGGATTCAGACATCCCTTCATGTTGTGAAGTGAAACACGAGCCTGTATTCAAGCCACTGCAAGGAAATCCGGCCTCCTTTCAAGTTAGGGCTTCTCGCTGTATATTGCCCTTGAGGCAGCAAACTCGGGGTCCCTCCCACATACCTATTGCTGAGACAGCCTCCTCCTGAGGTGCTTCTGGAAAGTTGGCATACGTCTTGAGCCTAAGCCAGGGAATCAGCTCTCATCTCGAGACGATTTGGGGTACACGGAGCATTCCTCGAGTTGCTGTGCTGAAGTTGGTGTTCCTCTAGACTTGGGACAGTGTTCTCGGGGCATCTCTGGAGTTGACTGAAGGAAGTCGAGCCACCGGTCGTGTTGAATGGGGAACGAGAATGGCTATGGAGTCAATGCAGGGGAATCGGGCCTCATCTCGAGTTGATTTGGGGCACATGGTGCTGCTTTGCGTTGCTGGGGTGACCTCAGAGTCCGTCTAGACTGGTGACAGTGTTCTTGGGGACTCTCGCGAGATCCATTAAGCAAGTCGAAGCTCCTGACTTGTTTGAATGGGATCACGGAATAGCTCTGCATGCACTGCAGGGGAATGGGGCCTCATCTCGCCTCTAGGGGGAAGTCTCATGGTTTTTCTCGAGTTGCGGCGGGGACCTGGGGTATGTTCTCGACTTACGGCGGGGATGGCCCTTCAAAACACGAGTTTCTTCAGTGACGTCAGGACTCCTGTCTAGTAACGAGGGACACCTCAGGAATCTCTTCGAGGCTTGGCAAGGCAAAAGGGACGCTACTCGAGGTGAGGCAGTGCACCCAAGGACCCTTTCCAGTAGCCACAGGGATTTTGGGATTCCTATCAGTATTCAAGAGGAGTCAGGCATCGTCACCTTTTGAAGCAATGAACTCCGCGTGCCTCTCGAGGTGTCAGCGGGATGTGAGGCATTCCGTCAAAGTGAGGCAGGGACCTAGGGCTCTCTCTAAGGTCTCCACAGTGGAATCAGACATCCCTTCATGTTGTGAAATGAAACACGAGCCTGTATTCAAGCCACTGCAAGGAAATCCGTCCTCCTTTCAAGTTAGGGCTTCTCGCTGTATATTCCCCTTGAGGCAGCAAACTCGGGGTCCCTCCCACATACCTATTGCTGAGACAGCCTCCTCCTGAGGTGCTTCTGGAAAGTTGGCATACGTCTTGAACCTAAGCCAGGGAATCAGCTCTCATCTCGAGACGATTTGGGGTACACGGAGCATTCCTCGAGTTGCTGTTCTGAGGTTGGTGTTTCTCTAGACTTGGGACAGTGTTCTCGGGGCATCACTGAAGTTGCCTGAAGGAAGTCGAGACACTGATCGTGTTGAATGGGGAAGGTAGAATCGCTCTGGAGTCAATGCAGAGGAAACGGGCCTCATCTCGAGTTGATTTGTGGCATATGGAGCTGCTTTGCGTTGCTTGGGTGACCTCAGGGTCCGTCTAGACTGGTGACAGTGTTCTTGGGGACTGTCTCGAGATCCATTAAGCAAGTCGAAGCTCCTGACTTGTTTGAATGGGATCACGGAATAGCTCTGCATGCACTGCAGGGGAATGGGGCCTCATCTCGCCTCTAGGGGGAAGTCTCATGGTTTTTCTCGATTTGCGGCGGGGACCTGGGGTATGTTCTCGACTTACGGCGGGGATGGCCCTTCAAAACACGAGTTTCTTCAGTGACGTCAGGACTCCTGTCTAGTAATGAGGGACACCTCAGGAATCTCTTTGAGGCTTGGCAGGGCAAAAGGGACGCTTCTCGAGGTGAGGCAGGGCAACCAAGGACCCTTTCCAGTAGCCACAGGGATTTTGGGATTCCTATCAGTATTCAAGAGGAGTCAGGCATCGTCACCTTTTGAAGCAATGAAATCCGCGTGCCTCTCGAGGTGTCAACGGTATGTGAGGCATTCCGTCAAAATGAGGCAGGGACCTAGGGCTTTCTCTAAGGTCACCACAGGGGATTCAGACATCCCTTCATGTTGTGAAATGAAACACGAGCCTGTATTCAAGACACTGCAAGGAAATCCGGCCTCCTTTCAAGTTAGGGCTTCTCGCTGTATATTGCCCTTGAGGCAGCAAACTCGGGGTCCCTCCCACATACCTATTGCTGAGAGAAGCCTCCTCCTGAGGTGCTTCTGGAAACTTGGCATACGACTTGAGCCTAAGCCAGGGAATCAGCTCTCATCTCGAGACGATTTGGGGTACACGGAGCATTCCTCGAGTTGCTGTGCTGAAGTTGGTGTTCCTCTAGACTTGGGACAGTGTTCTCGGGGCATCTCTGGAGTTGCCTGAAGTAAGTCGAGCCACCGGTCGTGTTGAATGTGGAACGGGGAATGGCTCTGCAGTCATTGCAGGTGAATCGGGTCTCATCTCGAGTTGATTTGGGGCCCATGGAGCTGCTTTGCGTTGCTGGGGTGACTTCAGGGTCCGTCTAGACTGGTGACAGTGTTCTTGGGGACTGTCTCGAGATTCATTAAGCAAGTCGAAGCTCCTGATTTGTTTGAATGGGATCACGGAATAGCTCTGCATGCACTGCAGGGGATTTGGGCCTCATCTCGCCTCTAGGGGGAAGTCTCATGGTTTTTCTCGAGTTGCGGCAGTGACCTGGGGTATGTTCTAGACTTACGGCGGGGATGGCCCTTCAAAACACGAGTTTCTTCAGTGACGTCAGGACTCCTGTCTAGTAACGAGGGACACTTCAGGAATCTCTTCGAGGCTTGGCAGGGCAAACGGGACGCTTCTTGAGGTGAGGCAGGGCACCCAAGGACCCTTTCCAGTAGCCACAGGGATTTTGGGATTCCTATCAGTATTCAAGAGGAGTCAGGCATCTTCACCTTTTGAAGCAATGAACTCCGCGTGCCTCTCGAGGTGTCAACGGGATGTGAGGCATTCCGTCAAAATGAGGCAGGGACCTAGGGCTTTCTCTAAGGTCTCCACAGGGGATTAAGACATCCCTTCATGTTGTGAGATGAAAGACGAGCCTGTATTCAAGCCACTGCAAGGAAATCCGGCCTCCTTTCAAGTTAGGGCTTCTCGCTGTATATTCCACTTGAGGCAGCGATCTCGGGGTCCCTCCTACATACCTATTGCTGAGAGAAGCCTCCTCCTGAGGTGCTTCTGGAAAGTTGGCATACGTCTTGAGCCTAAGCCAGGGAATCAGCTCTCATCTCGAGACGATTTGGGGTACACGGAGCATTCCTCGAGTTGCTGTTCTGAGGTTGGTGTTTCTCTAGACTTGGGACAGTGTTCTCGGGGCATCACTGAAGTTGCCTGAAGGAAGTCGAGACACTGGTCGTGTTGAATGGGGAACGGGGAATCGCTCTGGAGTCAATGCAGAGGAATCGGGCCTCATCTCGAGTTGATTTGTGGCACATGGAGCTGCTTTGCGTTGCTTGGGTGACCTCAGGGTCCGTCTGGACTGGTGACAGTGTTCTTGGGGACTGTCTCGAGATCCATTAAGCAAGTCGAAGCTCCTGACTTGTTTGAATGGGATCACGGAATAGCTCTGCATGCACTGCAGGGGAATGGGGCCTCATCTCGCCTCTAGGGGGAAGTCTCATGGTTTTTCTCGATTTGCGGCGGGGACCTGGGGTATGTTCTCGACTTACGGCGGGGATGGCCCTTCAAAACACGAGTTTCTTCAGTGACGTCAGGACTCCTGTCTAGTAACGAGGGACACCTCAGGAATCTCTTTGAGGCTTGGCAGGGCAAAAGGGACGCTTCTCGAGGTGAGGCAGGGCAACCAAGGACCCTTTCCAGTAGCCACAGGGATTTTGGGATTCCTATCAGTATTCAAGAGGAGTCAGGCATCGTCACCTTTTGAAGCAATGAAATCCGCGTGCCTCTCGAGGTGTCAACGGTATGTGAGGCATTCCGTCAAAATGAGGCAGGGACCTAGGGCTTTCTCTAAGGTCTCCACAGGGGATTCAGACATCCCTTCATGTTGTGAAATGAAACACGAGCCTGTATTCAAGACACTGCAAGGAAATCCGGCCTCCTTTCAAGTTAGGGCTTCTCGCTGTATATTGCCCTTGAGGCAGCAAACTCGGGGTCCCTCCCACATACCTATTGCTAAGAGAAGCCTCCTCCTGAGGTGCTTCTGGAAACTTGGCATACGACTTGAGCCTAAGCCAGGGAATCAGCTCTCATCTCGAGACGATTTGGGGTACACGGAGCATTCCTCGAGTTGCTGTGCTGAAGTTGGTGTTCCTCTAGACTTGGGACAGTGTTCTCGGGGCATCTCTGGAGTTGCCTGAAGTAAGTCGAGCCACCGGTCGTGTTGAATGTGGAACGGGGAATGGCTCTGCAGTCATTGCAGGTGAATCGGGTCTCATCTCGAGTTGATTTGGGGCCCATGGAGCTGCTTTGCGTTGCTGGGGTGACTTCAGGGTCCGTCTAGACTGGTGACAGTGTTCTTGGGGACTGTCTCGAGATTCATTAAGCAAGTCGAAGCTCCTGATTTGTTTGAATGGGATCACGGAATAGCTCTGCATGCACTGCAGGGGATTTGGGCCTCATCTCGCCTCTAGGGGGAAGTCTCATGGTTTTTCTCGAGTTGCGGCAGTGACCTGGGCTATGTTCTAGACTTACGGCGGGGATGGCCCTTCAAAACACGAGTTTCTTCAGTGACGTCAGGACTCCTGTCTAGTAACGAGGGACACTTCAGGAATCTCTTCGAGGCTTGGCAGGACAAACGGGACGCTTCTTGAGGTGAGGCAGGGCACCCAAGGACCCTTTCCAGTAGCCACAGGGATTTTGGGATTCCTATCAGTATTCAAGAGGAGTCAGGCATCTTCACCTTTTGAAGCAATGAACTCCGCGTGCCTCTCGAGGTGTCAACGGGATGTGAGGCATTCCGTCAAAATGAGGCAGGGACCTAGGGCTTTCTCTAAGGTCTCCACAGGGGATTAAGACATCCCTTCATGTTGTGAGATGAAAGACGAGCCTGTATTCAAGCCACTGCAAGGAAATCCGGCCTCCTTTCAAGTTAGGGCTTCTCGCTGTATATTCCACTTGAGGCAGCGATCTCGGGGTCCCTCCTACATACCTATTGCTGAGACAGCCTCCTCCTGAGGTGCTTCTGGAAAGTTGGCATACGTCTTGAGCCTAAGCCAGGGAATCAGCTCTCATCTCCAGACGATTTGGGGTACCCGGAGAGTTCCTCGAGTTGCTGTGCTGAAGTTGGTGTTCCTCTAGACTTGGGCCAGTGTTCTCGGGGCATCTCTGGAGTTGCCTGAAGGAAGTCGAGCCACCGGTCGTGTTGAATGGGGAACGGGAATGGCTATGGAGTCAATGCAGGGGAATCGGGCCTCATCTCGAGTTGATTTGGGGCACATGGAGCTGCTTTGAGTTGCTGGGGTGACCTCAGGGTTCGTGTAGACTGGTGACAGTGTTCCTGGGGACTGTCTCGAGATCCATTAAGCAAGTCGAAGCTCCTGACTTGTTTGAATGGGATCACGGAATAGCTCTGCATGCACTACAGGGGAATGGGCCTCATCTCGCCTCTAGGGGGAAGTCTCATGGTTTTTCTCGAGTTGCGGCGGGAACCTGGGTTATGTTCTCGACTTACGGCGGGGATGGCCCCTCAAAACACTTTTTTCTTCAGTGACGTCAGGGCCTCTGTCTAGTAACGAGGGACACCTCAGCAATCTCTACGAGGATTGGCAGGGCAAAAGGGACGCTTCTCGAGGTGAGGCAGGGCACCCAAGGACCCTTTCCAGTAGCCACAGGGATTTTGGGATTCCTATCAGTATTCAAGAGGAGTCAGGCATCGTCACCTTTAGAAGCAATGAACTCCGCGTGCCTCTCGAGGTGTCAACGAAATGTGAGGCATTCCGTCAAAATGAGGCAGGGACCTAGGGCTTTCTCTAAGGTCTCCACAGGGGATTCAGAAATCCCTTCATGTTTTGAGACCAAAGACGAGCCTATATTCAAGCCACTGCAAGGAAATCCGGCCTCCTTTCAAGTTAGGGCTTCTCGCTGTATATTCCACTTGAGGCAGCGATCTCGGTGTCCCTCCCACATACCTATTGCTGAGAGAAGCCTCCTCCTGAGGTGCATCTGGAAAGTTGGCATACGTCTTGAGCCTAAGCCAGGGAATCAGCTCTCATCTCGAGATGATTTGGGGTACACGGAGCATTCCTCGAGTTGCTGTGCTAAAGTTGGTGTTCCTCTAGACTTGGGAGAGTGTTCTCGGGGCATCTCTGGAGTTGCCTGAAGGAAGTCGAGCCACCGGTCGTGTTGAATGGGGAACGGGGAATGGCTCTGGAGTCAATCCAGGGGAATCGGGCCTCATCTCGAGTTGATTTGGGGTACATGGTGCTGCTTTGCGTTGCTGGGGTGACCTCAGGGTCCGTCTAGACTGGTGACAGTGTTCTTGGAGACTGTCTCGAGATCCATTAAGCAAGTCGAAGCTCCTGACTTGTTTGAATGGGATCACGGAATAGCTCTGCATGCACTGCAGGGGAATGGGGCCTCATCTCGCCTCTAGGGGGAAGTCTCATGGTTTTTCTCGAGTTGCGGCGGGGACCTGGGGTATGTTCTCGACTTACGGCGGGGATGGCCCTTCAAAACACGAGTTTCTTCAGTGACCTCAGGACTCCTGTCTAGTAACGAGGGACACCTCAGGAAACTCTTCGAGGCTTGGCAGGGCAAAAGGGACTCTTCTCGAGGTGAGGCAGATAACCCTAGGACCCTTTCCAGTAGCCAAATGGATTTTGGGATTCCTATCAGTATTCAAGAGGAGTCAGGCATCGTCACCTTTTGAAGCAATGAACTCCGCGTGTCTCTCGAGGTGTCAACGGGATGTAAGGCATTCCGTCAAAGTGAGGCAGGTACCTAGGGCTTTCTCTAAGGTCTCCACAGGGGATTCAGACATCCCTTCATGTTGTGAAATGAAACACGAGCCTGTATTCAAGCCACTGCAAGGAAATCCGGCCTCCTTTCAAGTTAGGGCTTCTCGCTGTATATTCCCCTTTAGGCAGCAAACTCGGGGTCCCTCCCACATACCTATTGCTGAGACAGCCTCTTCCTGAGGTGCTTCTGGAAAGTTGGCATACGTCTTGAGCCTAAGCCAGGGAATCAGCTCTCATCTCGAGACGATTTGGGGTACACGGAGCATTCCTCGAGTTGCTGTGCTGAAGTTGGTGTTTCTCTAGACTTGGGACAGTGTTCTCGGGGCATCACTGGAGTTGCCTGAAGGAAGTCGAGACACTGGTCGTGTTGAATGGGGAACGGGGAATGGCTCTGGAGTCAATGCAGGGGAATCGGGCCTCATCTCGAGTTGATTTGTGGCACATGGAGCTGCTTTGCGTTGCTTGGGTGACCTCAGGGTCCGTCTAGACTGGTGACAGTGTTCTTGGGGACTGTCTCGAGATCCATTAAGCAAGTCGAAGCTCCTGACTTGTTTGAATGGAATCACGGAATAGCTCTGCATGCACTGCAGGGGAATGGGGTCTCATCTCGACTCTAGGGGGAAGTCTCATGGTTTTTCTCGAATTGCGGCGGGGACCTGGGGTATGTTCTCGACTTACGGCGGGGATGGCCCTTCAAAACACGAGTTTCTTCAGTGACGTCAGGATACCTGTCTAGTAACGAGGGACACCTCAGGAATCTCTTCGAGGCTTGGCAGGGCAAAAGGGTCGCTTCTCGAGGTGAGGCAGGGCAACCAAGGACCCTTTCGAGTAGCCACAGGGATTTTGGGATTCCTATCAGTATTCAAGAGGAGTCAGGCATCGTCACCTTTTGAAACAATGAACTCCGCGTGCCTCTCGAGGTGTCAGCGGGATGTGAGGCATTCCGTCAAAGTGAGGCAGGGACCTAGGGCTTTCTCTAAGGTCTCCACAGGGGATTCAGACATCCCTTCATGTTGTGAAATGAAACACGAGCCTGTATTCAAGCCACTGCAAGGAAATCCGGCCTCCTTTCAAGTTAGGGCTTCTCGCTGTATATTCCCCTTGAGGCAGCAAACTCGGGGTCCCTCCCACATACCTATTGCTGAGACAGCCTCCTTCTGAGGTGCTTCTGGAAAGTTGGCATACATCTTGAGCCTAAGCCAGGGAATCAGCTCTCATCTCGAGACGATTTGGGGTACACGGAGCATTCCTCGAGTTGCTGTGATGAAGTTCGTGTTTCTCTAGACTTGGGACAGTGTTCTCGGGGCATCACTGGAGTTGCCTGAAGGAAGTCGAGACACTGGTCTTGTTGAATGGGGAACGGTGAATGGCTCTGGAGTAAATGCAGGGGAATCGGGCCTCATCTCGAGTTGATTTGTGGCACATGGAGCTGCTTTGCGTTGCTGGGGTGACCTCAGGGTCCGTCTAGACTGGTGACAGTGTTCTTGGAGACTGTCTCGAGATCCATTAAGCAAGTCGAAGCTCCTGACTTGTTTGAATGGGATCACGGAATAGCTCTGCATGCACTGCAGGGGAATGGGGCCTCATCTCGCCTCTAGGGGGAAGTCTCATGGTTTTTCTCGAGTTGCGGCGGGGACCTGGGGTATGTTCTCAACTTACGGCGGGGATGGCCCTTCAAAACACGAGTTTCTTCAGTGACGTCAGGACTCCTGTCTAGTAACGAGGGACACCTCAGGAATCTCTTCGAGGCTTGGCAGGGCAAAAGGGACGCTTCTCGAGGTGAGGCAGGGCAACCAAGGACCCTTTCCAGTAGCCACAGGGATTTTGGGATTCCTATCAGTATTCCAGAGAAGTCAGGCATCGTCACCTTTTGAAGCAATGAACTCCGCGTGCCTCTCGAGGTGTCAGCGGGATGTGAGGCATTCCGTCAAAATGAGGCAGGGACCTAGGGCTTTCTCTAAGGTCTCCACAGGGTATTCAGACATCCCTTCATGTTGTGAGATGAAAGACGAGCCTGTATTCAAGCCACTGCAAGGAAATCCGGTCTCCTTTCAAGTTAGGGCTTCTCGCTGTATATTCCCCTTGAGGCAGCAAACTCGGGGTCCCTCCCACATACCTATTGCTGAGAGAAGCCTCCTCCTGAGGTGCTTCTGGGAAGTTGGCATACGTCTTGAGCCTAAGCCAGGGAATCAGCTCTCATCTCTAGACGATTTGGGGTACCCGGAGAGTTCCTAGAGTTGCTGTGCTGAAGTTGGTGTTCCTCTAGACTTGGGACAGTGTTCTCGGGGCATCTCTGGAGTTGCCTGAAGGAAGTCGAGCCACCGGTCGTGTTGAATGTGGAACGGGGAATGGCTCTGGAGTCAATGCAGGGGAATCGGGCCTCATCTCGAGTTGATTTGGGGCACATGGAGCTACTTTGCGTTGCTGGGGTGACCTCAGGGTCCGTCTAGACTGGTGACAGTGTTCTTGGGGACTGTCTCGAGATCCATTAAGCAAGTCGAAGCTCCTGACTTGTTTGAATGGGATCACGGAATACCTCTGCATGCACTACAGGGGAATGGGGCCTCATCTCGCCTCTAGGGGGAAGTCTCATGGTTTTTCTCGAGTTGCGGGGGTGACCTGGGGTATGTTCTCGACTTACGGCGGGGATGGCCCTTCAAAACACGAGTTTCTTCAGTGACGTCAGGACTCCTGTCTAGTAACGAGGGACACCTCAGGAATCACTTCGAGGCTTGGCAGGGCAAAAGGGACGCTTCTCGAGGTGAGGCAAGGCACCCAAAGTCCCTTTCCAGTATCCACAGGGATTTTGGGATTCCTATCAGTATTCAAGAGGAGTCAGGCATCGTCACATTTTGAAGCAATGAACTCCGCGTGCCTCTCGAGGTGTCAACGGGATGTGAGGCATTCCGTCAAAATGAGGCAGGAACCTAGGGCTTTCTCTAAGGTCTCCACAGGGGATTCAGACATCCCTTCATGTTGTGAAATGAAACACGAGCCTGTATTCAAGACACTGCCAGGAAATCCGGCCTCCTTTCAAGTTAGGGCTTCTCGCTTTATATTCCCCTTGAGGCAGCAAACTCGGGGTCCCTCCCACATACCTATTGCTGAGAGAAGCCTCCTGCTGAGGTGCTTCTGGAAAGTTGGCATACGTCTTGAGCCTAAGCCAGGGAATCAACTCTCATCTCGAGACGATTTGCGGTACACGGAGCATTCCTCGAGTTGCTGTGCTGAAGTTGGTGTTCCTCTAGACTTGGGCCAGTGTTCTCGGGGCATCTCTGGAGTTGCCTGAAGGAAGTTGAGCCACCGGTCGTGTTGAATGGGGAACGAGAATGGCTATGGAGTCAATGAAGGGGAATCGGGCCTCATCTCGAGTTGATTTGGGGCACATGGAGCTGCTTTGCGTTGCTGGGGTGACCTCAGGGTCCGTCTAGACTGGTGACAGTGTTCTTGGGGACTGTCTCGAGATCCATTAAGCAAGTCGAAGCTCCTGACTTGTTTGAATGGGATCACGGAATAGCTCTGCATGCACTGCAGGGGAATGGGGCCTCATCTCGCCTCTAGGGGGAAGTCTCATGGTTTTTCTCGAGTTGCGGCGGGGACCTGGGGTATGTTCTCGACTTACGGCGGGGATGGCCCTTCAAAACACGAGTTTCTTCAGTGACGTCAGGACTCCTGTCTAGTAACGAGGGACACCTCAGGAAACTCTTCGTGGCTTGGCAGGGGAAAAGGGACACTTCTCGAGGTGAGGCAGGTCACCCTAGGACCCTTTCCAGTAGCCACAGGGATTTTGGGATTCCTATCAGTATTCAAGAGGAGTCAGGCATCGTCACCTTTTGAAGGAATGAACTCCGCGTGCCTCTCGAGGTGTCAAAGGGATGTGAGGCATTCCGTCAAAGTGAGGCAGCGACCTAGGGCTTTCTCTAAGGTCTCCACAGGGGATAGAGACACCCCTTCATGTTGTGAAATGAAACACGAGCCTGTATTCAAGCCATTGCAGGGAAATCCGGCCTCCTTTCAAGTTAGGGCTTCTCGCTGTATATTGCCCTTGAGGCAGCAAACTCGGGGTCCCTCCCACATACCTATTGCTGAGAGAAGCCTCCTCCTGAGGTGCTTCTGGAAAGTTGGCATACGTCTTGAGCCTAAGCCAGGGAATCAGCTCTCATCTCGAGACGATTTGGGGTACACGGAGCATTCCTCGAGTTGCTGTGCTGAAGTTGGTGTTCCTCTAGACTTGGGAGAGTGTTCTCGGGGCATCTCTGGAGTTGCCTGAAGGAAGTCGAGCCACAGGTCGTGTTGCATGGGGAACGAGAATGGCTATGGAGTCAATGCAGGGGAATCGGGCCTCATCTCGAGTTGATTTGGGGCACATGGAGCTGATTTGCGTTGCTGGGGTGACCTCAGGGTCCGTCTAGACTGGTGACAGTGTTCTTGGGGACTGTCTCGAGATCCATTAAGCAAGTCGAAGCTCCTGACTTGTTTGAATGGGATCACGGAATAGCTCTGCATGCACTGCAGGGGAATGGGGACTCATCTCGCCTCTAGGGGGAAGTCTCATGGTTTTTCTCGAGTTTCGGCGGGGACCTGGGGTATGTTCTCGACTTACGGCGGGGATGCCCTTCAAAACACGAGTTTCTTCAGTGACGTCAGGACTCCTGTCTAGTAACGAGGGAAACCTCAGGAATCTCTTCGAGGTTTGGCAGGGCAAAATGGACGCTTCTCGAGGTGAGGCAGGGCACCCAAGGACCTTTCCAGTAGCCACAGGGATTTTGGGATTCCTATCAGTATTCAAGAGGAGTCAGGCATCGTCACCTTTTGAAGCAATGAACTCCGCGTGTCTCTCGAGGTGTCAACGGGATGTGAGGCATTCCGTCAAAGTGAGGCAGGGACCTAGGGCTTTCTCTAAGGTCTCCACAGGGGATTAAGACATCCCTTCATGTTGTGAAATGAAACACGAGCCTGTATTCAAGCCACTGCAAGGAAATCCGGCCTCCTTTCAAGTTAGGGCTTCTCGCTGTATATTCCCCTTGAGGCAGCAAACTCGGGGTCCCTCCCACATACCTATTGCTGAGACAGCCTCCTCCTGAGGTGCTTCTGGAAAGTTGGCATACGTCTTGAGCCTAAGCCAGGGAATCAGCTCTCATCTCGAGACGATTTGGGGTACACGGAGCATTCCTCGAGTTGCTATGCTGAAGTTGGTGTTCCTCTAGACTTGGGACAGTGTTCTCGGGGCATCTCTGGAGTTGCCTGAAGGAAGTCGAGCCACCGGTCGTGTTGAATGGGGAACGGGGAATGGCTCTGGAGTCAATGCAGGGGAATCGGGCCTCATCTCGAGTTGATTTGTGGCACATGGAGCTTCTTTGCGTTGCTGGGGTGACCTCAGGGTCCGTCTTGACTGGTGACAGTGTTCTTGGGGACTGTCTCAAGATCCATTAAGCAAGTCGAAGCTCCTGACTTGTTTGAATGGGATCACGTAATAGCTCTGCATGCACTGCAGGGGAATGGGGCCTCATCTCGCCTCTAGGGGGAAGTCTCATGGTTTTTCTCGAGTTGCGGCGGTGACCTGGGGTATGTTCTCGACTTACGGCGGGGATGGCCCTTCAAAACACGAGTTTCTTCAGTGACGTCAGGACTCCTGTCTAGTAACGAGGGACACCTCAGGAATCTCTTCGAGGCTTGGCAGGGCAAAAGGGACGCTTCTCGAGGTGAGGCAGGGCACCCAAGGTCCCTTTCCAGTAGCCACAGGGATTTTGGGATTCCTATCAGTATTCAAGAGGAGTCAGGCATCGTCACCTTTTGAAGCAATGAACTCCGCGTGCCTCTCGAGGTGTCAACGGGATGTGAGGCATTCCGTCAAAATGAGGCAGGAACCTAGGGCTTTCTCTAAGGTCTCCACAGGGGATTCAGACATCCCTTCATGTTGTGAAATGAAACACGAGCCTGTATTCAAGACACTGCCAGGAAATCCGGCCTCCTTTCAAGTTAGGGCTTCTCGCTTTATATTCCCCTTGAGGCAGCAAACTCGGGGTCCCTCCCACATACCTATTGCTGAGAGAAGCCTCCTGCTGAGGTGCTTCTGGAAAGTTGGCATACGGCTTTAGCATAAGCCAGGGAATCAGCTCTCATCTCGAGACGATTTGGGGTACACGCAGCATTCCTCGAGTTTCTGTGCTGAAGTTGGTGTTCCTCTAGACTTGGGCCAGTGTTCTCGGGGCATCTCTGGAGTTGCCTGAAGGAAGTCGAGCCACCGGTCGTGTTGAATGGGGAACGAGAATGGCTATGGAGTCAATGAAGGGGAATCGGGCCTCATCTCGAGTTGATTTGGGGCACATGGAGCTGCTTTGCGTTGCTGGGGTGACCTCAGGGTCCGTCTAGACTGGTGACAGTGTTCTTGGGGACTGTCTCGAGATCCATTAAGCAAGTCGAAGCTCCTGACTTGTTTGAATGGGATCACGGAATAGCTCTGCATGCACTGCAGGGGAATGGGGCCTCATCTCGCCTCTAGGGGGAAGTCTCATGGTTTTTCTCGAGTTGCGGCGGGGACCTGGGGTATGTTCTCGACTTACGGCGGGGATGGCCCTTCAAAACACGAGTTTCTTCAGTGACGTCAGGACTCCTGTCTAGTAACGAGGGACACCTCAGGAAACTCTTCGTGGCTTGGCAGGGGAAAAGGGACTCTTCTCGAGGTGAGGCAGGTGACCCTAGGACCCTTTCCAGTAGCCACAGGGATTTTGGGATTCCTATCAGTATTCAAGAGGAGTCAGGCATCGTCACCTTTTGAAGCAATGAACTCCGCGTGCCTCTCGAGGTGTCAGCGGGATGTGAGGCATTCCCTCAAAGTGAGGCAGGGACCTAGGGCTTTCTCTAAGGTCTCCACAGGGGATTCAGACATCCCTTCATGTTGTGAAATGAAACACGAGCCTGTATTCAAGACACTGCAAGGAAATCCGGCCTCCTTTCAAGTTAGGGCTTCTCGCTGTATATTCCCCTTGAGGCAGCAAACTCGGGGTCCCTCCCACATACCTATTGCTGAGAGAAGCCTCCTCCTGAGGTGCTTCTGGAAAGTTGGCATACGTCTTGAGCCTAAGCCAGGGAATCAGCTCTCATCTCGAGACGATTTGGGGTACACGGAGCATTCCTCGAGTTGCTGTGCTGAAGTTGGTGTTCCTCTAGACTTGGGACAGTGTTCTCGGGGTATCTCTGGAGTTGCCTGAAGGAAGTCGAGCCACCGGTCGTGTTGAATGGGGAACGAGAATGGCTATGGAGTCAATGCAGGGGAATCGGGCCTCATCTCGAGTTGATTTGGGGCACATGGAGCTGCTTTGCATTGCTGGGGTGACCTCAGGGTCCGTCTAGACTGGTGACAGTGTTCTTGGGGACTGTCTCGAGATCCATTAAGCAAGTCGAAGCTCCTGACTTGTTTGAATGGGATCACGGAATAGCTCTGCATGCACTGCAGGGGAATGGGGCCTCATCTCGCCTCTAGGGGGAAGTCTCATGGTTTTTCTCGAGTTGCGGCAGGGCCCTGGGGTATGTTCTCGACTTACGGCAGGGATGGCCCTTCAAAACACAAGTTTCTTCAGTGACGTCAGGACTCCTGTCTAGTAATGAGGGACAACTCAGGAAACTCTTCGAGGCTTGGCAGGGCAAAAGGGACGCTTCTCGTGGTGAAGCAGGTCACCCTAGGACCCTTTCGAGTAGCCACAGGGATTTTGGGATTCCTATCAGTATTCAAGAGGAGTCAGGCATCGTCACCTTTTGAAGCAATGAACTCCGCGTGCCTCTCGAGGTGTCAACGGGATGTGAGGCATTCCGTCAAAGTGAGGCAAGGACCAAGGGCTTTCTCTAAGGTCTCCACAGGGGATTAAGACATCCCTTCATGTTGTGAAATGAAACACGAGCCTGTATTCAAGCCACTGCAAGGAAATCCGGCCTCCTATCAAGTTAGGGCTTCTCGCTGTATATTCCCCTTGAGGCAGCAAACTCGGGGTCCCTCCCACATACCTATTGCTGAGACAGCCTCCTCCTGAGGTGCTTCTGGAAAGTTGGCATACGTCTTGAGCCTAAGCCAGGGAATCAGCTCTCATCTCGAGACGATTTGGGGTACACGGAGCATTCCTCGAGTTGCTGTGCTGAAGTTGGTGTTTCTCTAGACTTGGGACAGTGTTCTCGGGGCATCACTGGAGTTGCCTGAAGGAAGTCGAGACACTGGTCGTGTTGAATGGGGAACGGGGAATGGCTCTGGGGTCAATGCATTGGAATCGGGCCTCATCTCAGGTTGATTTGTGGCACATGGAGCTGCTTTGCGTTGCTTGGGTGACCTCAGGGTCCGTCTAGACTGGTGACAGTGTTCTTGGGGACTGTCTCGAGATCCATTAAGCAAGTCGAAGCTCCTAACTTGTTTGAATGGGATCACGGAATAGCTCTGCATGCACTGCAGGGGAATGGGGCCTCATCTCGCCTCTAGGGGGAAGTCTCATGGTTTTTCTCGAGTTGCGGCGGGGACCTGGGGTATGTTCTCGACTTACGGCGGGGATGGCCCTTCAAAACACGAGTTTCTTCAGTGACCTCAGGACTCCTGTCTAGTAACGAGGGAGACCTCAGGAATCTCTTCGAGGCTTGGCAGGGCAAAAGGGACGCTTCTCGAGGTGAGGCAGGGCAACCAAGGACCCTTTCCAGTAGCCACAGGGATTTTGGGATTCCTATCAGTATTCAAGAGGAGTCAGGCATCGTCACCTTTTGAAGCAATGAACTCCGCGTGCCTCTCGAGGTGTCAGCGGGATGTGAGGCATTCCGTCAACGTGAGGCAGGGCCCTAGGGCTTTCTCTAAGGTCTCCACAGGGGATTCAGACATCCCGTCATGTTGTGAAATGAAACACGAGCCTGTATTCAAGCCACTGCAAGGAAATCTGGCCTCCTTTCAAGTTAGGGCTTCTCGCTGTATATTCCCCTTGAGGCAGCAAACTCGGGGTCCCTCCCACATACCTATTGCTGAGAGAAGCCTCCTCCTGAGGTGCTTCTGGAAACTTGGCATACGTCTTGAGCCTAAGCCAGGCAATCAGCTCTCATCTCAAGACGATTTGGGGTACACGGAGCATTCCTCGAGTTGCTGTGCTGAAGTTGGTGTTTCTCTAGACTTGGGCCAGTGTTCTCGGGGCATCTCTGGAGTTGCCTGAAGGAAGTCGACCCACCTGTCGTGTTGAATGTGGAACGGGAATGGCTATGGAGTCAATCCAGGGGAATCGGGCCTCATCTCGAGTTGATTTGGGGCACATGGAGCTGCTTTGCGTTGCTGGGGTGACCTCAGGGCCATCTAGACTGATGACAGTGTTCTTGGGGACTGTCTCGAGATCCATTAAGCAAGTCGAAGCTCCTGACTTGTTTCAATGGGATCACGGAATAGCTCTGCATGCACTGCAGGGGAATGGGGCCTCATCTCGCCTCTAGGGGGAAGTCTCATGGTTTTTCTCGAGTTGCGGCGGGGACCTGGGGTATGTTCTCAACTTACGGCGGGGATGGCCTTCAAAACACGAGGTTCTTCAGTGACGTCAGGACTCCTGTCTAGTAACGAGGGAAACCTCAGGAATCTCTTCGAGGCTTGGCAGGGCAAAAGGGACGCTTCTCGAGGTGAGGCAGGGCACCCAAGGACCCTTTCCAGTAGCCACAGCGATTTTGGGATTCCTCTCAGTATTCAAGAGGAGTCAGGCATCGTCACCTTTTGAAGCAATGAACTCCGCGTGCCTCTCGAGGTGTCAGCGGGATGTGAGGCATTCCGTCAAAGTGAGGCAGGGACCTAGGGCTTTCTCTAAGGTCTCCACAGGGGATTCAGACATCCCTTCATGTTGTGAAATGAAACACGAGCCTGTATTCAAGCCACTGCAAGGAAATCCGGCCTCCTTTCAAGTTAGGGCTTCTCGCTGTATATTCCCCTTGAGGCAGCAAACTCGGGGTCCCTCCCACATACCTATTGCTGAGACAGCCTCCTCCTGAGGTGCTTCTGGAAAGTTGCCATACGTCTTGAGCCTAAGCCAGGGAATCAGCTCTCATCTCGAGACGATTTGGGGTACACGGAGCATTCCTCGAGGAGCTGTGCTGAAGTTGGTGTTCCTCTAGACTTGGGCCAGTGTTCTCGGGGCATCTCTGGAGTTGCCTGAAGGAAGTCGAGACACTGGTCGTGTTGAATGGGGAACGGGGAATGGCTCTGGAGACAATGCAGGGGAATCGGGCCTCATCTCGAGTTGATTTGTGGCACATGGAGCTGCTTTGCGTTGCTTGGGTGACCTCAGGGTCCGTCTAGACTGGTGACAGTGTTCTTGGGGACTGTCTCGAGATCCATTAAGCAAGTCGAAGCTCCTGACTTGTTTGAATGGGATCACGGAATAGCTCTGCATGCACTGCAGGGGAATGGGGCCTCATCTCGCCTCTAGGGGGAAGTCTCATGGTTTTTCTCGATTTGCGGCGGGGACCTGGGGTATGTTCTCGACTTACGGCGGGGATGGCCCTTCAAAACACGAGTTTCTTCAGTGACGTCAGGACTCCTGTCTAGTAACGAGGGACACCTCAGGAATCTCTTCGAGGCTTGGCAGGTCAAAAGGGACGCTTCTCGAGGTGAGGCAGGGCAACCAAGGACCCTTTCCAGTAGCCACAGGGATTTGGGGATTCCTATCAGTATTCAAGAGGAGTCTGGCATCGTCACCTTTTGAAGCAATGAACTCCGCGTGCCTCTCGAGGTGTCAACGGTATGTGAGGCATTCCGTCAAAATGAGGCAGGGACCTAGGGCTTTCTCTAAGGTCTCCACAGGGGATTCAGACATCCCTTCATGTTGTGAAATGAAACACGAGCCTGTATTCAAGACACTGCAAGGAAATCCGGCCTCCTTTCAAGTTAGGGCTTCTCGCTATATATTCCCCTTGAGGCAGCGATCTCGGGGTCCCTCCTACATACCTATTGCTGAGAGAAGCCTCCTCCTGAGGTGCTTCTGGAAAGTTGGCATACGTCTTGAGCCTAAGCCAGGGAATCAGCTCTCATCTCGAGACGATTTGGGGTACACGGAGCATTCCTCGAGTTGCTGTGCTGAAGTTGGTGTTCCTCTAGACTTGGGCCAGTGTTCTCGGGGCATCTCTGGAGTTGCCTGAAGGAAGTCGACCCACCGGTCCTGTTGAATGGGGAACGGGAATGGCTATGGAGTCAATCCAGGGGAATCGGGCATCATCTCGAGATGATTTGGGGCACATGGAGCTGCTTTGCGTTGCTGGGGTGACCTCAGGGTCCATCTAGACTGATGACAGTGTTCTTGGGGACTGTCTCGAGATCCATTAAGCAAGTCGAAGCTCCTGACTTGTTTGAATGGGATCACGGAATAGCTCTGCACGCACTGCAGGGGAATGGGGCCTCATCTCGCCTCTAGGGGGAAGTCTCATTGTTTTTCTCGAGTTGCGGCGGGGACCTGGGGTATGTTCTCGACTTACGGCGGGGATGGCCCTTCAAAACACGAGGTTCTTCAGTGACGTCAGGACTCCTGTCTAGTAACGAGGGAAACCTCAGGAATCTCTTCGAGGCTTGGCAGGGCAAAAGGGACGCTTCTCGAGGTGAGGCAGGGCACCCAAGGACCCTTTCCAGTAGCCACAGGGATTTTGGGATTCCTATCAGTATTCAAGAGGAGTCAGGCATCGTCACCTTTTGAAGCAATGAACTCCGCGTGCCTCTCGAGGTGTCAGCGGGATGTGAGGCATTCCGTCAAAATGAGGCAGGGACCTAGGGCTTTCTCTAAGGTCTCCACAGGGGATTCACACATCCCTTCATGTTGTGAAATGAAACAAGAGCCTGTATTCAAGACACTGCAAGGAAATCCGGCCTCCTTTCAAGTTAGGGCTTATCGCTGTATATTCCCCTTGAGGCAGCAAACTCGGGGTCCCTCCCACATGCCTATTGCTGAGAGAAGCCTCCTCCTGAGGTGCTTCTGCAAAGTTGGCATATGTCTTAAGTCTAAGCCAGGGAATCAGCTCTCATCTCGAGACGATTTGGGGTACACGGAGCATTCCTCGAGTTGCTGTGCTGAAGTTGGTGTTCCTCTAGACTTGGGCCAGTGTTCTCGGGGCATCTCTGGAGTTGCCTGAAGGAAGTCGAGCCACCGGTCGTGTTGAATGGGGTACGGCAATGGCTATGGAGTCAATGCAGGGGAATCGGGCCTCATCTCGAGTTGATTTGGGGCACATGGAGCTGCTTTGCGTTGCTGGGGTGACCTCACGGTCCGTCTAGACTGGTGACAGTGTTCCTGGGGACTGTCTCGAGATCCATTAAGCAAGTCGAAGCTCCTGACTTGTTTGAATGGGATCACGGAATAGCTCTGCATGCACTGCAGGGGATTTGGGCCTCATCTCGCCTCTAGGGGGAAGTCTCATGGTTTTTCTCGAGTTGCGGCAGTGACCTGGGGTATGTTCTAGACTTACGGCGGGGATGGCCCTTCAAAACACGAGTTTCTTCAGTGACGTCAGGACTCCTGTCTAGTAACGAGGGACACTTCAGGAATCTCTTCGAGGCTTGGCAGGGCAAACGGGACGCTTCTCGAGGTGAGGCAGGGCACCCCAGGACCCTTTCCAGTAGCCACAGGGATTTTGGGATTCTTATCAGTATTCAAGAGGAGTCAGGCATCTTCACCTTTTGAAGCAATGAACTCCGCGTGCCTCTCGAGTTGTCAACGGGATGTGAGGCATTCCGTCAAAATGAGGCAGGGACCTAGGGCTTTCTCTAAGGTCTCCACAGGGGATTAAGACATCCCTTCATGTTGTGAGATGAAAGACGAGCCTGTATTCAAGCCACTGCAAGGAAATCCGGCCTCCTTTCAAGTTAGGGCTTCTCGCTGTATATTCCACTTGAGGCAGCGATCTCGGGGTCCCTCCTACATACCTATTGCTGAGAGAAGCCTCCTCCTGAGGTGCTTCTGGAAAGTTGGCATACGTCTTGAGCCTAAGCCAGGGAATCAGCTCTCATCTCGAGACGATTTGGGGTACAAGGCGCATTCCTCGAGTTGCTGTGCTGAAGTTGGTGTTCCTCTATACTTGGGACAGAGTTCTCGGGGCAACTCTGGCGTTGCCTGAAGGAAGTCGAGCCACCGGCCGTGTTGAATGGGGAACGGGAAATGGCTCTGGAGTCAATGCAGGGGAATCGGGCCTCATCTCGAGTTGATTTGGGGCACATGGAGCTGCCTTGCGTTGTTGGGGTGACTTCAGGGTCCGTCTAGACTGGTGACAGTGTTCTTGGGCACTGTCTCGAGATCCATTAAGCAAGTCGAAGCTCCTGACTTGTTGAATGGGATCACGGAATAGCTCTGCATGCACTGCAGGGGAATGGTGCCTCATCTCGCCTCTATGGAGAAGTCTCATGGTTTTTCTCGAGTTCCGGCGGGGACCTGGCGTATGTTCTCGACTTACGGCGGGGATGGCCCTTCAAAACACGAGTTTCTTTAGTGACGTCAGGACTCCAGTCTAGTAACGAGGGACACCTCAGGAATCTCTTCGAGGACTGGCAGGGCAAAAGGGATGCTTCTCGAGGTGAGGCAGGGCACCCAAGGACCCTTTCCAGTAGCCACAGGGATTTTGGGATTCCTATCAGTATTCAAAAGGAGTCAGGCATCGTCACATTTTGAAGCAATGAACTCCGCGTGCCTCTCGAGGTGTCAACGGGATGTGAGGCATTCCGTCAAAATGAGGCAGGGACCTAGGTCTTTTTCTAAGTCTCCAAAGGGGAATCAGACATCCCTTCATGTTTTGAGATCAAAGACGAGCCTGTATTCAAGCCACTGCAAGGAAGTACGGCCTCCGTTCAAGTTAGGGCTTCTCGCTGTATATTCCACTTGAGGCAGCGATCTCGGGGTCTCTCCCACATACCTATTGCTGAGAGAAGTCTCCTCCTGAGGTGCCTCTGGAAAGTTGGCATACGTCTTGAGCCTAAGCCAGGGAATCAGCTCTCATCTCGAGACGATTTGGGTTACACAGAGCATTCCTCCAGTTGCTGTACTGAAGTTGGTGTTCCTCTAGACTTGGAACAGTGTTCTCGGGGCATCTCTGGAGCTGCCTGAAGGAAGCCGAGCCACTGGTCGTGTTGAATGGGTAACGGGGAATGGCTCTGGAGTCAATGCAGGGGAATCGGGCCTCATCTCGAGTTGATTTGGGGGACATGTTGCTAGTTTGCGTTGCTGGAGTGACCTCAGGGTCCGTCTAGACTGGTGACAGTGTTCTTGGGGACTGTCTCGAGATCCATTAAGCAATTCGAAGCTCCTGATTTGTTTGAATGGGATCACGGAATAGATCTGCATGCACTGCAGGGGAATGGGGCCTCATCTCGCCTCTAGAGGGAAGTCTCAAGGTTTTTCTAGAGTTGCGGCGGGGACCTGGGCTATGTTCTCCACTTACGGCGGGGATGGCCCTTCAAAACACGAGTTTCTTCAGTGACGTCAGGACTCCAGTCTAGTAAACAGGGACACCTCAGCAAACTCTTTCAGGCTTGGCAGGGCAAAAGGGACGCTTCTCGATTTGAGGCAGGGCACCCAAGGACCCTTTCCAGTAGCCACAGCGATTTTGGGATTCCTATCAGTATTCAAGAGGAGTCAGGCATCGTCACCTTTTGAAGCAGTGAACTCCGCGTGCCTCTCGAGGTGTCAACGGGTTGTGAGGCATTCCGTCAAAATCAGGCAGGGACCTAGGGCTTTCGCTAAGGTCTCCACAGGGAATTCAGACATCCCTTCATGTTTTGAGATCAAAGACGAGCCTTTATGCAAGCCACTGCAAGGAAATCCGGCCTCCTTTCAATATAGGGCTTCTCGCTGTATATTCCCCTTTAAGCAGCGATCTTGGGGTCCCTCCCACATACCTTTTGCTGAGAGAAGCCTCCTCCTGAGGTGCTTCTGGAAAGTTGGCATAAGTCTTAAGCCTAAGCCAGGGAATCAGCTCTTATCTCCAGACGATTTGGGGTACACGGAGCATTCCTCGAGTTGCTGCGCTGAAGTTGGTGTTCCTCTAGACTTGGGACAGTGTTCTCGGGGCATCTCTGGAGTTGCCTGAAGGAAGTCGAGCCACCGGTCGTGTTGAATGGGGAAGGGGGAATGGCTCTGGAGTCAATGCAGGGGAATCGGGCCTCATCTCGTGTTGATTTGGGGCACATGGAGCTGATTTGCGTTGCTGGGGTGACCTCAGGGACCGTCTAGACTGGTGACAGTGTTCTTGGGGACTGTCTCGAGATCCATTAAGCAAGTCGAAGCTCCTGACTTGTTTGAATAGGATCACGGAATAGCTCTGCATGCACTGCAGGGGAATGGGGCCTCATCTCGCCTCTAGGGGGAAGTCTCATGGTTTTTCTCGAGTTGCGGCGGGGACCTGGGGTATGTTCTCGAGTTACGGCGGGGATGGCCCATCAAAACACGTGTTTCTTCAGTGACGTCAGGACTCCTGTCTAGTAACGAGGGACACCTCAGGAATCTCTTTGAGGCTTGGCAGGGCAAAAGGGATGCTTCTCGAGGTGAGCAGGGCACCCAAGGTCCCTTTCCAGTAGCCACAGGGATTTTGGGATTCCTATCAGTATTCAAGAGGAGTCAGGCAACGTCACCTTTTGAAGCAATGAACTCCGCGTGCCTCTCGAGGTGTCAACGGGATGTGAGGCATTCCGTCAAAATGAGGCAGGGACCAAGGGCTTTCTCTAAGGTCTCTAAAGGGGATTCAGACTTCCCTTCATGTTTTGAGAACAAAGACGAGCCTGTATTCAAGCCAATGCAAGGAAATCCGGCCTCCTTTCAAGTTAGGGCTTCTCGCTGTATATTCCACTTGAAGCAGCGATCTCGGGGTCCCTCCCACATACCTATTGCTGAGAGAAGCCTCCTCCTGAGGTGCTTCTGGAAAGTTGGCATACGGCTTTAGCTAAGTCAGGGAATCAGCTATCATCTCGCGATGATTTGGGGTACACGGAGCATTCCTTGAGTTGCTGTGCTGAAGTTGGTGTTCCTCTAGACTTGGGACAGTGTTCTCGGGGCATCTCTGGAGTTGCCTGAAGGAAGTCGATCCACCGGTCGTGTTGAATGGGGAACGGGGAATGAGTCTGGAGTCAATGCAGGGGAATCAGGCCTCATCTCGAGTTGATTTGGGGCACATGGAGCTGCTTTGCGTTGCTGGGGTGACCTCAGGTTCCGTCCAGACTGGTGACAGTGTTCTTGGGGACTGTCTCGAGATCCATTAAGCAAGTCGAAGCTCCTGACTGGTTTGAATGGGATCACGGAATAGCTCTGCATGCACTGCAGGGGAATGGGGCCTCATCTCGCCTCTAGGGTTAAGTCTCATGGTTTTTCTCGAGTTGCGGCGGGGACCTGGGGTATGTTCTCGACTTACGGCGGGGATGGCCCTTCAAAACACAAGTTTCTTCAGTGACGTCAGGACTCCTGTCTAGTAACGAGGGACACCTCAGGAATGTCTTCGAGGCTTGGCAGGGCAAAAGGGACGCTTCTCGAGGAGAGGCAGGGCACCCAAGGACCCTTTCCAGTAGCCACAGGGATTTTGGGATTCCTATCAGTATTCAAGAGGAGTCAGGCATCGTCACCTTTTCAAGCAATGAACTCCGCGTGCCACTCGAGGTGTCAGCGGGATGTGAGGCATTCCGTCAAAATGAGGCAGGGACCTAGTTCTTTCTCTAAGGTCTCCACAGGGGATTCAGACATCCCTTCATTTTGTGAGATGAAACACGAGCCTGTATTCAAGCCAATGCAAGGAAATCTGGCCTCCTTTCAAGTTAGGGCTTCTCGCTGTATATTTCCCTTGAGGCAGCAAACTCGGGGTCCCTCCCACATAACTATTGCTGCGAGAAGCCTCCTCCTGAGGTGCTTCTGGAAAGTTGGCATACGTCTTGAGCCTAAGTGAGGGAATCAGCTCTCATCTCCAGACGATTTGGGGTACACGGAGCATTCCTCGAGTTGCTGCGCTGAAGTTGGTGTTCCTCTAGACTTGGGACAGTGTTCTCGGGGCATCTCTGGAGTTGCCTGAAGGAAGTCGAGCCACCGGTCGTGTTGAATGGGGAACGGGAATGGCTATGGAGTCAATGCAGGGGAATCGGGCCTCATCTCGAGTTGATTTGGGGCACATGGAGCTGCTTTGCGTTGCTGGGGTGACCTCAGGGTTCGTCTAGACTGGTGACAGTGTTCCTGGGGACTGTCTCGAGATCCATTAAGCAAGTCGAAGCTCCTGACTTGTTTGAATGGGATCACGGAATAGCTCTGCATGCACTACAGGGGAATGGGCCTCATCTCGCCTCTAGGGGGAAGTCTCATGTTTTTTATCGAGTTGCGGCGGGAACCTGGGTTATGTTCTCGACTTACGGCGGGGATGGCCCCTCAAAACACTTTTTTCTTCAGTGACGTCAGGACTCCTGTCTAGTAATGAGGGACAACTCAGGAAACTCTTCGAGGCTTGGCAGGGCAAAAGGGACGCTTCTCGAGGTGAAGCAGGTCACCTTAGGACCCTTTCGAGTAGCCACAGGGATTTTGGGATTCCTATCAGTATTCAAGAGGAGTCAGGCAACGTCACCTTTTGAAGCAATGAACTCCGCGTGCCTCTCGAGGTGTCAACGGGATGTGAGGCATTCCGTCAAAGTGAGGCAAGGACCAAGGGCTTTCTCTAAGGTCTCCACAGGGGATTAAGACATCCCTTCATGTTGTGAAATGAAACACGAGCCTGTATTCAAGCCACTGCAAGGAAATCCGGCCTCCTATCAAGTTAGGGCTTCTCGCTGTATATTCCCCTTGAGGCAGCAAACTCGGGGTCCCTCCCACATACCTATTGCTGAGACAGCCTCCTCCTGAGGTGCTTCTGGAAAGTTGGCATACGTCTTGAGCCTAAGCCAGGGAATCAGCTCTCATCTCGAGACGATTTGGGGTACACGGAACATTCCTCGAGTTGCTGTGCTGAAGTTGGTGTTTCTCTAGACTTGGGACAGTGTTCTCGGGGCATCACTGGAGTTGCCTGAAGGAAGTCGAGACACTGGTCGTGTTGAATGGGGAACGGGGAATGGCTCTGGAGTCAATGCAGGGGAATCGGGCCTCATCTCGAGTTGATTTGTGGCACATGGAGCTGCTTTGCGTTGCTTGGGTGACCTCAGGGTCCGTCTAGACTGGTGACAGTGTTCTTGGGGACTGTCTCGAGATCCATTAAGCAAGTCGAAGCTCCTAACTTGTTTGAATGGGATCACGGAATAGCTCTGCATGCACTGCAGGGGAATGGGGCCTCATCTCGCCTCTAGGGGGAAGTCTCATGGTTTTTCTCGAGTTGCGGCGGGGACCTGGGGTATGTTCTCGACTTAAGGCGGGGATGGCCCTTCAAAACACGAGTTTCTTCAGTGACGTCAGGACTCCTGTCTAGTAACGAGGGAGACCTCAGGAATCTCTTCGAGGCTTGGCAGGGCAAAAGGGACGCTTCTCGAGGTGAGGCAGGGCAACCAAGGACCCTTTCCAGTAGCCACAGGGATTTTGGGATTCCTATCAGTATTCAAGAGGAGTCAGGCATCGTCACCTTTTGAAGCAATGAACTCCGCGTGCCTCTCGAGGTGTCAGCGGGATGTGAGGCATTCCGTCAACGTGAGGCAGGGCCCTAGGGCTTTCTCTAAGGTCTCCACAGGGGATTCAGACATCCCGTCATGTTGTGAAATGAAACACGAGCCTGTATTCAAGACACTGCAAGGAAATCTGGCCTCCTTTCAAGTTAGGGCTTCTCGCTGTATATTCCCCTTGCGGCAGCAAACTCGGGGTCCCTCCCACATACCTATTGCTGAGAGAAGCCTCCTCCTGAGGTGCTTCTGGAAACTTGGCATACGTCTTGAGCCTAAGCCAGGGAATCAGCTCTCATCTCGAGACGATTTGGGGTACACGGAGCATTCCTTGAGTTGCTGTGCTGAAGTTGGTGTTCCTCTAGACTTGGGCCAGTGTTCTCGGGGCATCTCTGGAGTTGCCTGAAGGAAGTCGACCCACCGGTCCTGTTGAATGGGGAACGGGAATGGCTATGGAGTCAATCCAGGGGAATCGGGCATCATCTCGAGATGATTTGGGGCACATGGAGCTGCTTTGCGTTGCTGGGGTGACCTCAGGGTCCATCTAGACTGATGACAGTGTTCTTGGGGACTGTCTCGAGATCCATTAAGCAAGTCGAAGCTCCTGACTTGTTTCAATGGGATCACGGAATAGCTCTGCACGCACTGCAGGGGAATGGGGCCTCATCTCGCCTCTAGGGGGAAGTCTCATTGTTTTTCTCGAGTTGCGGCGGGGACCTGGGGTATGTTCTCGACTTACGGCGGGGATGGCCCTTCAAAACACGAGGTTCTTCAGTGACGTCAGGACTCCTGTCTAGTAACGAGGGAAACCTCAGGAATCTCTTCGAGGCTTGGCAGGGCAAAAGGGACGCTTCTCGAGGTGAGGCAGGGCACCCAAGGACCCTTTCCAGTAGCCACAGGGATTTTGGGATTCCTATCAGTATTCAAGAGGAGTCAGGCATCGTCACCTTTTGAAGCAATGAACTCCGCGTGCCTCTCGAGGTGTCAGCGGGATGTGAGGCATTCCGTCAAAATGAGGCAGGGACCTAGGGCTTTCTCTAAGGTCTCCACAGGGGATTCACACATCCCTTCATGTTGTGAAATGAAACAAGAGCCTGTATTCAAGACACTGCAAGGAAATCCGGCCTCCTTTCAAGTTAGGGCTTATCGCTGTATATTCCCCTTGAGGCAGCAAACTCGGGGTCCCTCACACATACCTATTGCTGAGAGAAGCCTCCTCCTGAGGTGCTTCTGGAAAGTTGGCATATGTCTTAAGTCTAAGCCAGGGAATCAGCTCTCATCTCGAGACGATTTGGGGTACACGGAGCATTCCTCGAGTTGCTGTGCTGAAGTTGGTGTTCCTCTAGACTTGGGCCAGTGTTCTCGGGGCATCTCTGGAGTTGCCTGAAGGAAGTCGAGCCACCGGTCGTGTTGAATGGGGTACGGCAATGGCTATGGAGTTAATGCAGGGGAATCGGGCCTCATCTCGAGTTGATTTGGGGCACATGGAGCTGCTTTGCGTTGCTGGGGTGACCTCACGGTCCGTCTAGACTGGTGACAGTGTTCCTGGGGACTGTCTCGAGATCCATTAAGCAAGTCGAAGCTCCTGACTTGTTTCAATGGGATCACGGAATAGCTCTGCATGCACTGCAGGGGATTTGGGCCTCATCTCGCCTCTAGGGGGAAGTCTCATGGTTTTTCTCGAGTTGCGGCAGTGACCTGGGGTATGTTCTAGACTTACGGCGGGGATGGCCCTTCAAAACACGAGTTTCTTCAGTGACGTCAGGACTCCTGTCTAGTAACGAGGGACACTTCAGGAATCTCTTCGAGGCTTGGCAGGGCAAACGGGACGCTTCTCGAGGTGAGGCAGGGCACCCCAGGACCCTTTCCAGTAGCCACAGGGATTTTGGGATTCCTATCAGTATTCAAGAGGAGTCAGGCATCTTCACCTTTTGAAGCAATGAACTCCGCGTGCCTCTCGAGTTGTCAACGGGATGTGAGGCATTCCGTCAAAATGAGGCAGGGACCTAGGGCTTTCTCTAAGGTCTCCACAGGGGATTAAGACATCCCTTCATGTTGTGAGATGAAAGACGAGCCTGTATTCAAGCCACTGCAAGGAAATCCGGCCTCCTTTCAAGTTAGGGCTTCTCGCTGTATATTCCCCTTGAGGCAGCAAACTCGGGGTCCCTCCCACATACCTATTGCTGAGAGAAGCCTCCTCCTGAGGTGCTTCTGGAAAGTGGCATACGTCTTGAGCCTAAGCCAGGGAATCAGCTCTCATCTCGAGACGATTTGGGGTACCCGGAGCATTCCTCGAGTTGCTGTGCTGAAGTTGGTGTTCCTCTAGACTTGGGACAGTGTTCTCGGGGCATCTCTGGAGTTGCCTGAAGGAATTCGAGCCACCGGTCGTGTTGAATGGGGAAGGGGGAATGGCTCTGGAGTCAATGCAGGGGAATCGGGCCTCCTCTCGAGTTGATTTGGGGCACATGGAGCTGCTTTGTGTTGCTGGGGTGACCTCAGGGTCCGTCTAGACTGGTGACAGTGTTCTTGGGGACTGTCTCGAGATCCAATAAACAAGTCGAAGCTCCTGACTTGTTTGAATGGGATCACTTAATAGTTCTGCATGCACTTCAGGGGAATGGGGCTTCACCTCGCCTAGGGGGAAGTCTCATGGTTTTTCTCGAGTTGCGGCGGGGACCTGGGTTATGTTCTCGACTTACGGCGGGGATGGCCCTTCAAAACACGAGTTTCTTCAGTGACGTCAGGACCTCTGTCTAGTAACGAGGGACACTTCAGGAATCTCTTCGAGGCTTGGCATGGCAAAAGGGACGCTTCTCGAGGTGAGGCAGGGCACCCAAGGTCCCTTTCCAGTAGCCACAGGGATTTTGGGATTCCTATCAGTATTCAAGAGGAGTCAGGCATCGTCACCTTTTGAAGCATTGAACTCCGCGTGCCTCTCGAGGTGTCCGCGGGATGTGAGGCATTCCGTCAAAATGAGGCAGGGACCTAGGGCTTTCTCTAAGGTCTCCACAGGGGATTCAGACATCCCTTTACGTTGTGAAATGAAACACGAGCCTGTATTCAAGACACTGCAAGGAAATCCGGCCTCCTTTCAAGTTAGGGCTTCTCGTTTTATATTCCCCTTGAGGCAGCAAACTCGGGGTCCCACCCACAAACCTATTGCTGAGAGAAGCCTCCTGCTGAGGTGCTTCTGGAAAGTTGGCATACTTCTTGATCCTAAGCCAGGGAATCAGCTCTCATCTCGAGACGATTTGGGATACACGGAGCATTCCTCGAGTTGCTGTGCTGAAGTTGGTGTTCCTCTAGACTTGGGCCAGTGTTCTCGGGGCATCTCTGGAGTTGCCTGAAGGAAGTCGAGCCACCGGTCGTGTTGAATGGGGAACGAGAATGGCTACGGAGTCAATGAAGGGGAATCGGGCCTCATCTCGAGTTGATTTGGGGCACATGGAGGTGCTTTGCGTTGCTGGGGTGACCTCAGGGTCCGTCTAGACTGGTGACAGTGTTCTTGGGGACTGTCTCGAGATCCATTAAGCAAGTCGAAGCTCCTGACTTGTTTGAATGGGATCACGGAATAGCTCTGCATGCACTGCAGGGGAATGGGGCCTCATCTCGCCTCTAGGGGGAAGTCTCATGGTTTTTCTCGAGTTGCGGCGGGGACCTGTGGTATGTTCTCGACTTACGGCGGGGATGGCCCTTCAAAACACGAGTTTCTTCAGTGACGTCTGGACTCCTGTCTAGTGACGAGGGACACCTCAGGAATCTCTTCGAGGCTTGGCAGGGCAAAAGGGACGCTTCTCGAGGTGAGGCAGGGCACCCAAGGCCCCTGTCCAGTAGCCACAGGGATTTGGGGATTCCTATCAGTATTCAAGAGAAGTCAGGCATCGTCACCTTTTGAAGCAATGAACTCCGCGTGCCTCTCGAGGTGTCAGCGGGATGTGAGGCATTCCGTCAAAAAGAGGCAGGGACCTAGGGCTTTCTCTAAGGTCTCCACAGGGTATTCAGACATCCCTTCATGTTGTGAGATGAAAGACGAGCCTGTATTCAAACCACTGCAAGGAAATCCGGCCTCCTTTCAAGTTAGGGCTTCTCGCTGTATATTCCCCTTGAGGCAGCAAATTCGGGGTCCCATCCACAAACCTATTGCTGAGAGAAGCCTCCTGCTGAGGTGCTTCTGGAAAGTGGCATACGTCTTGAGCCTAAGCCAGGGAATCAGCTCTCATCTCGAGACGATTTGGGGTACCCGGAGCATTCCTCGAGTTGCTGTGCTGAAGTTGGTGTTCCTCTAGACTTGGGACAGTGTTCTCGGGGCATCTCTGGAGTTGCCTGAAGGAAGTCGAGCCACCGGTCGTGTTGAATGTGGTACGGGGAATGGCTCTGGAGTCAATGCAGGGGAATCTGGCCTCATCTCGAGTTGATTTGGGGCACATGGAGCTTCTTTGCGTTGCTGGTGTGAACTCAGGGTCCGTCTAGACTGGTGACAGTGTTCTTGGGGACTGTCTCGAGATCCAATAAGCAAGTCGAAGCTCCTGACTTGTTTGAATGGGATCACGGAATAGCTCTGCATGCACTGCAGGGGAATGGGGCCTCATCTCGCCTCTAGGGGGAAGTCTCATGGTTTTTCTCGAGTTGCGGCGGGGACCTGGGTTATGTTCTCGACTTACGGCGGGGATGGCCCTTCAAAACACGAGTTTCTTCAGTGACGTCAGGACCTCTGTCTAGTAACGAGGGACACCTCAGGAATCTCTTCGAGGCTTGGCAGGGCAAAAGGGACGCTTCTCGAGGTGAGGCAGGGCAACCAAGGACCCTTTCCAGTAGCCACAGGGATTTTGGGATTCCTATCAGTATTCAAGAGGAGTCAGGCATCGTCACCTTTTGAAGCAATGAACTCCGCGTGCCTCTCGAGGTGTCAGCGGGATGTGAGGCATTCCGTCAAAGTGAGGCAGGGACCTAGGGCTTTCTCTAAGGTCTCCACAGGGAATTCAGACATCCCTTCATGTTTTGAGATCAAAGACGAGCGTTTATGCAAGCCACTGCAAGGAAATCCGTCCTCCTTTCAATATGGGGCTTTTCGCTGTATATTCCCATTGAAGCAGCGATCTCGGGGTCCCTCCCACATACCTATTGCTGAGAGAAGCCTCCTCCTGAGGTGCTTCTGGAAAGTTAGCATAGGTCTTGAGCATAAGGCAGGGAATCAGCTCTCATCTCGAGACGATTTGGTGTACATGGAGCATTCCTCGAGTTGCTGTGCTGAGGTTGGTGTTCCTCTAGACTTGGGACAGTGTTCTCGGGGCATCTCTGGAGTTCCCTGAAGGAAGTCGAGCCACCGGTCGTTTTGAATGGGGAACGGGGAATTGCTCTGGAGTCAATGCAGGGGAATCGGGCCTCATCTCGTGTTGATTTGGGGCACATGGAGCTGCTTTGCGTTGCTGGGGTGACCTCAGGGTCCGTCTAGACTGGTGACAGTGTTCTTGGGGGCTGTCTCCAGATCCATTAAGCAAGTCGAAGCTCCTGACTTGTTTGAATGGGATCACGGAATAGCTCTGCATGCACTGCAGGGGAATGGGGCCTCATCTCGCCTCTAGGGGGAAGTCTCATGGTTTTTCTCGAGTTGCGGCGGGGACCTGGGGTATGTTCTCGAGTTACGGCGGGGATGGCCCATCAAAACACGTGTTTCTTCAGTGACGTCAGGACTCCTGTCTAGTAACGAGGGACACCTCAGGAATCTCTTTGAGGCTTGGCAGGGCAAAAGGGATGCTTCTCAAGGTGAGCAGGGCACCCAAGGACCCTTTCCAGTAGCCACAGGGATTTTGGGATTCCTATCAGTATTCAAGACGAGTCAGGCAACGTCACCTTTTGAAGCAATGAACTCCGCGTGCCTCTCGAGGTGTCAACGGGATGTGAGGCATTCCGTCAAAATGAGGCAGGGACCAAAGGCTTTCTCTAAGGCCTCCAAAGGGGATTCAGACTTCCCTTCATGTTTTGAGAACAAAGACGAGCCTGTATTCAAGCCAATGCAAGGAAATCCGGCCTCCTTTCAAGTTAGGGCTTCTCGCTGTATATTCCACTTGAAGCAGCGATCTCGGGTTCCCTCCCACATACGTATTGCTGAGAGATGCCTCCTCCTGAGGTGCTTCTGGAAAGTTGGCATACGGCTTTAGCTAAGTCAGGGAATCAGCTCTCATCTCCAGACTATTTGGGGTACATGGAGCATTCCTCGAGTTCCTGCACTGAAGTTGGTGTTCCTCTAGACTTGGGACAGTGTTCTCGGTGCATCTCTGGAGTTGCCTGAAGGAAGTCGAGCCACAGGTCGTGTTGAATGGGGAAGGGGGAATGGCTCTGGAGTCAATGCAGGGGAATCGGGCCTCCTCTCGAGTTGATTTGGGGCACATGGAGCTGCTTTGTGTTGCTGGGGTGACCTCAGGGTCCGTCTAGACTGGTGACAGTGTTCTTGGGGACTGTCTCGAGATCCAATAAGCAAGTCGAAGCTCCTGACTTGTTTGAATGGGATCACGGAATAGCTCTGCATGCACTGCAGGGGAATGAGGCCTCACCTCGCCTCTAGGGGGAAGTCTCATGGTTTTTCTCGAGTTGCGGCGGTGACCTGGGGTATGTTCTCAACTTATGGCGGGGATGGCCCTTCAAAACACGAGTTTCTTCAGTGACGTCAGGACTCCTGTCTAGCAACGAGGGACACTTCAGGAATCTCTTCGAGGCTTGGCAGGGCAAAAGGGAAGCTTCTCGAGGTGAAGCAGGGCAACCAAGGACCCTTTCCAGTAGCCACAGGGATTTTGGGATTCCTATCAGTATTCAAGAGGAGTCAGGCATCGTCACCTTTTGAAGCAATGAACTCCGCGTGCCTCTCGAGGTGTCAACGGGATGTGAGGCATTCCGTCAAAATGAGGCAGGGACCTAGGTCTTTTTCTAAGTCTCCAAAAGGGAATCAGACATCCCTTCATGTTTTGAGATCAAAGTCGAGCCTGTATTCAAGCCACTGCAAGGAAGTACGGCCTCCGTTCAAGTTAGGGCTTCTCGCTCTATATTCCACTTGAGGCAGCGATCTCGGGGTCTCTCCCACATACCTATTGCTGAGAGAAGCCTCCTCCTGAGGTGCCTCTGGAAAGTTGGCATACGTCTTGAGCCTAAGCCAGGGAATCAGCTCTCATCTCGAGACGATTTGGGTTACACAGAGCATTCCTCCAGTTGCTGTACTGAAGTTGGTGTTCCTCTAGACTTGGAACAGTGTTCTCGGGGCATCTCTAGAGCTGCCTGAAGGAAGCCGAGCCACTGGTCGTGTTGAATGGGTAACGGGGAATGGCTCTGGAGACAATGCAGGGGAATCGGGCCTCATCTCGAGTTGATTTGGGGCACATGTTGCTAGTTTGCGTTGCTGGAGTGACCTCAGGGTCCGTCTAGACTGGTGACAGTGTTCTTGGGGACTGTCTCGAGATCCATTAAGCAATTCGAAGATCCTGATTTGTTTGAATGGGATCACGGAATAGATCTGCATGCACTGCAGGGGAATGGGGCCTCATCTCGCCTCTAGAGGGAAGTCTCAAGGTTTTTCAAGAGTTGCGGCGGGGACCTGGGCTATGTTCTCGACTTACGGCGGGGATGGCCCTTCAAAACACGAGTTTCTTCAGTGACGTCAGGACTCCACTCTAGTAAACAGGGACACCTCAGCAAACTCTTTCAGGCTTGGCAGGGCAAAAGGGACGCTTCTCGATTTGAGGCAGGGCACCCAAGGACCCTTTCCAGTAGCCACAGCGATTTTGGGATTCCTATCAGTATTCAAGAGGAGTCAGGCATCGTCACCTTTTGAAGCAGTGAATTCCGCGTGCCTCTCGAGGTGTCAACGTGTTGTGAGGCATTCCGTCAAAATCAGGCAGGGACCTAGGGCTTTCGCTAAGGTCTCCACAGGGAATTCAGACATCCCTTCATGTTTTGAGATCAAAGACGAGCCTTTATGCAAGCCACTGCAAGGAAATCCGGCCTCCTTTCAATATAGGGCTTCTCGCTGTATATTCCCATTGAAGCAGCGATCTTGGGGTCCCTCCCACATACCTATTGCTGAGAGAAGCCTCCTCCTGAGGTGCTTCTGGAAAGTTGGCATACGTCTTGAGCCTAAGCCAGGGAATCAGCTCTTATCTCCAGACGATTTGGGGTACACGGAGCATTCCTCGAGTTGCTGCGCTGAAGTTGGTGTTCCTCTAGACTTGGGACAGTGTTCTCGGGGCATCTCTGGAGTTGCCTGAAGGAAGTCGAGCCACCGGTGGTGTTGAATGGGGAAGGGGGAATGGCTCTGGAGTCAATGCAGGGGAATCGGGCCTCATCTCGTGTTGATTTGGGGCACATGGAGCTGCTTTGCGTTGCTGTGGTGACCTCAGGGTCCGTCTAGACTGGTGACAGTGTTCTTGGGGACTGTCTCGAGATCCATTAAGCAAGTCGAATCTCCTGACTTGTTTGAATAGGATCACGGAATAGCTCTGCATGCACTGCAGGGGAATGGGGCCTCATCTCGCCTCTAGGGGGAAGTCTCATGGTTTTTCTCGAGTTGCGGCGGGGACCTGGGGTATGTTCTCGAGTTACGGCGGGGATGGCCCATCAAAACACGTGTTTCTTCAGTGACGTCAGGACTCCTGTCTAGTAACGAGGGACACCTCAGGAATCTCTTTGAGGCTTGGCAGGGCAAAAGGGATGCTTCTCGAGGTGAGCAGGGCACCCAAGGTCCCTTTCCAGTAGCCACAGGGATTTTGGGATTCCTATCAGTATTCAAGAGGAGTCAGGCAACGTCACCTTTTGAAGCAATGAACTCCGCGTGCCTCTCGAGGTGTCAACGGGATGTGAGGCATTCCGTCAAAATGAGGCAGGGACCAAGGGCTTTCTCTAAGGTCTCTAAAGTGGATTCAGACTTCCCTTCATGTTTTGAGAACAAAGACGAGCCTGTATTCAAGCCAATGCAAGGAAATCTGGCCTCCTTTCAAGTTAGGGCTTCTCGCTGTATATTTCCCTTGAGGCAGCAAACTCGGGGTCCCTCCCACATAACTATTGCTGAGAGAAGCCTCCTCCTGAGGTGCTTCTGGAAAGTTGGCATACGTCTTGAGCCTAAGCGAGGGAATCAGCTCTCATCTCCAGACGATTTGGGGTACACGGAGCATTCCTCGAGTTGCTGCGCTGAAGTTGGTGTTCCTCTAGACTTGGGCCAGTGTTCTCGGGGCATCTCTGGAGTTGCCTGAAGGAATTCGAGCCACCGGTCGTGTTGAATGGGGAAGGGGGAATGGCTCTGGAGTCAATGCAGGGGAATCGGGCCTCCTCTCGAGTTGATTTGGGGCACATGGAGCTGCTTTGTGTTGCTGGGGTGACCTCAGGGTCCGTCTAGACTGGTGACAGTGTTCTTGGGGACTGTCTCGAGATCCAATAAACAAGCCGAAGCTCCTGACTTGTTTGAATGGGATCACGGAATAGCTCTGCATGCACTGCAGGGGAATGGGGCTTCACCTCGCCTAGGGGGAAGTCTCATGGTTTTTCTCGAGTTGCGGCGGGGACCTGGGTTATGTTCTCGACTTACAGCGGGGATGGCCCTTCAAAACACGAGTTTCTTCAGTGACGTCAGGACCTCTGTCTAGTAACGAGGGACACTTCAGGAATCTCTTCGAGGCTTGGCATGGCAAAAGGGACGCTTCTCGAGGTGAGGCAAGGCACCCAAGGTCCCTTTCCAGTAGCCACAGGGATTTTGGGATTCCTATCAGTATTCAAGAGGAGTCAGGCATCGTCACCTTTTGAAGCAATGAACTCCGCGTGCCTCTCGAGGTGTCCGCGGGATGTGAGGCATTCCGTCAAAATGAGGCAGGGACCTAGGGCTTTCTCTAAGGTCTCCACAGGGGATTCAGACATCCCTTTACGTTGTGAAATGAAACACGAGCCTGTATTCAAGACACTGCAAGGAAATCCGGCCTCCTTTCAAGTTAGGGCTTCTCGTTTTATATTCCCCTTGAGGCAGCAATCTCGGGATCCCACCCACAAACCTATTGCTGAGAGAAGCCTCCTGCTGAGGTGCTTCTGGAAAGTTGGCATACGTCTTGAGCCTAAGCCAGGGAATCAGCTCTCATCTCGAGACGTTTTGGGGTACACGGAGCATTCCTCGAGGTGCTGTGCTGAAGTTGGTGTTCCTCTAGACTTGGGCCAGTGTTCTCGGGGCATCTCTGGAGTTGCCTGAAGGAAGTCGAGCCACCGGTCGTGTTGAATGGGGAACGAGAATGGCTATGGAGTCAATGAAGGGGAATCGGGCCTCATCTCGAGTTGATTTGGGGCACATGGAGCTGCTTTGCGTTGCTGGGGTGACCTCAGGGTCCGTCTAGACTGGTGACAGTGTTCTTGGGGACTGTCTCGAGATCCATTAAGCAAGTCGAAGCTCCTGACTTGTTTGAGTGGGATCACGGAATAGCTCTGCATGCACTGCAGGGGAATGGGGCCTCATCTCGCCTCTAGGGGGAAGTCTCATGGTTTTTCTCGAGTTGCGGCGGTGACCTGGGGTATGTTCTCGACTTACGGCGGGGATGGCCCTTCAAAACACGAGTTTCTTCAGTGACGTCAGGACTCCTGTCTAGTGACGAGGGACACCTCAGGAATCTCCTCGAGGCTTGGCAGGGCAAAAGGGACGCTTCTCGAGGTGAGGCAGGGCACCCAAGGCCCCTGTCCAGTAGCCACAGGGATTTGGGGATTCCTATCAGTATTCAAGAGAAGTCAGGCATCATCACCTTTTGAAGCAATGAACTCCGCGTGCCTCTCGAGTTGTCAGCGGGATGTGAGGCATTCCGTCAAAAAGAGGCAGGGACCTAGGGCTTTCTCTAAGGTCTCCACAGGGTATTCAGACATCCCTTCATGTTGTGAGATGAAAGACGAGCCTGTATTCAAGCCACTGCAAGGAAATCCGGCCTCCTTTCAAGTTAGGGCTTCTCGCTGTATATTCCCCTTGAGGCAGCAAACTCGGGGTCCCTCCCACATACCTATTGCTGAGAGAAGCCTCCTCCTGAGGTGCTTCTGGAAAGTGGCATACGTCTTGAGCCTAAGCCAGGGAATCAGCTCTCATCTCGAGACGATTTGGGGTACCCGGAGCATTCCTCGAGTTGCTGTGCTGAAGTTGGTGTTCCTCTAGACTTGGGACAGTGTTCTCGGGGCATCTCTGGAGTTGCCTGAAGGAAGTCGAGCCACCGGTCGTGTTGAATGTGGTACGGGGAATGGCGCTGGAGTCAATGCAGGGGAATCTGGCCTCATCTCGAGTTGATTTGTGGCACATGGAGCTTCTTTGCGTTGCTGGTGTGACCTCAGGGTCCGTCTAGACTGGTGACAGTGTTCTTGGGGACTGTCTCGAGATCCAATAAGCAAGTCGAAGCTCCTGACTTGTTTGAATGGGATCACGGAATAGCTCTGCATGCACTGCAGGGGAATGGGGCCTCATCTCGCCTCTAGGGGGAAGTCTCATGGTTTTTCTCGAGTTGTGGCGGGGACCTGGGGTATGTTCTCGACTTACGGCGGGGATGGCCCTTCAAAACACGAGTTTCTTCAGTGACGTCAGGACCTCTGTCTAGTAACGAGGGACACCTCAGGAATCTCTTCGAGGCTTGGCAGGGCAAAAGGGACGCTTCTCGAGGTGAGGCAGGGCACCCAAGGTCCCTTTCCAGTAGCCACAGGGATTTTGGGATTCCTATCAGTATTCAAGATTAGTCAGGCATCGTCACCTTTTGAAGCAATGAACTCCGCGTGCCTCTCGAGGTGTCCGCGGGATGTGAGGCATTCCGTCAAAATGAGGCAGGGACCTAGGGCTTTCTCTAAGGTCTCCACAGGGGATTCAGACATCCCTTTACGTTGTGAAATGAAACACGAGCCTGTATTCAAGACACTGCAAGGAAATCCGGCCTTCTTTCAAGTTAGGGCTTCTCGTTTTATATTCCCCTTGAGGCAGCAAACTCGGGGTCCCACCCACAAACCTATTGCTGAGAGAAGCCTCCTGCTGAGGTGCTTCTGGAAAGTTGGCATACGTCTTGAGCCTAAGCCAGGGAATCAGCTCTCATCTCGAGACGATTTGGGGTACACGGAGCATTCCTCGAGTTGCTGTGCTGAAGTTGGTGTTCCTCTAGACTTGGGCCAGTGTTCTCGGGGCAACTCTGGAGTTGCCTGAAGGAAGTCGAGCCACCGGTCGTGTTGAATGTGGAACGGGGAATGGCTCTGGAGTCAATGCAGGGGAATCGGGCCTCATCTCGAGTTGATTTGTGGCACGTGGAGCTTCTTTGCGTTGCTGGGGTGACCTCAGGGTCCGTCTAGACTGGTGACAGTGTTCTTGGGGACTGTCTCGAGATCCAATAAGCAAGTCGAAGCTCCTGACTTGTTTGAATGGGATCACGGAATACCTCTGCATGCACTGCAGGGGAATGGGGCCTCACCTCGCCTCTAGGGGGAAGTCTCATGGTTTTTCTCGAGTTGCGGCGGTGACCTGGGCTATGTTCTCGACTTATGGCGGGGATGGCCCTTCAAAACACGAGTTTCTTCAGTGACGTCAGGACTTCGGTCTAGCAAAGAGGGACACCTCAGGAATTTCTTCGAGGCTTGGCAGGGCAAAAGGGATGCTTCTCGAGGTGAGCAGGGCACCCAAGGACCCTTTCCAGTAGCCACAGGGATTTTGGGATTCCTATCAGTATTCAAGAGGAGTCAGGCATCGTCACCTTTTGAAGCAATGAACTCCGCGTGCCTCTCGAGGTGTCAGCGGGATGTGAGGCATTCCGTCAAAGTGAGGCAGGGACCTAGGGCTTTCTCTAAGGTCTCCACAGGGAATTCAGACATCCCTTCATGTTTTGAGATCAAAGACGAGCGTTTATGCAAGCCACTGCAAGGAAATCCGGCCTCCTTTCAATATGGGGCTTCTCGCTGTATATTCCCATTGAAGCAGCGATCTCGGGGTCCCTCCCACATACCTATTGCTGAGAGAAGCCTCCTCCTGAGGTGCTTCTGGAAAGTTAGCATACGTCTTGAGCCTAAGGCAGGGAATCAGCTCTCAACTCGAGACGATTTGGTGTACATGGAGCATTCCTCGAGTTGCTGTGCTGAGGTTGGTGTTCCTCTAGACTTGGGACAGTGTTCTCGGGGCATCTCTGGAGTTCCCTGAAGGAAGTCGAGCCACCGGTCGTTTTGAATGGGGAACGGGGAATTGCTCTGGAGTCAATGCAGGGGAATCGGGCCTCATCTCGTGTTGATTTGGGGCACATGGAGCTGCTTTGCGTTGCTGGGGTGACCTCAGGGTCCGTCTAGACTGGTGACAGTGTTCTTGGGGACTGTCTCCAGATCCATTAAGCAAGTCGAAGCTCCTGACTTGTTTGAATGGGATCACGGAATAGCTCTGCATGCACTGCAGGGGAATGGGGCCTCATCTCGCCTCTAGGGGGAAGTCTCATGGTTTTTCTCGAGTTGCGGCGGGGACCTGGGGTATGTTCTCGAGTTACGGCGGGGATGGCCCATCAAAACACGTGTTTCTTCAGTGACGTCAGGACTCCTGTCTAGTAACGAGGGACACCTCAGGAATCTCTTTGAGGCTTGGCAGGGCAAAAGGGATGCTTCTCGAGGTGAGCAGGGCACCCAAGGACCCTTTCCAGTAGCCACAGGGATTTTGGGATTCCTATCAGTATTCAAGACGAGTCAGGCAACGTCACCTTTTGAAGCAATGAACTCCGCGTGCCTCTCGAGGTGTCAACGGGATGTGAGGCATTCCGTCAAAATGAGGCAGGGACCAAAGGCTTTCTCTAAGGCCTCCAAAGGGGATTCAGACTTCCCTTCATGTTTTGAGAACAAAGACGAGCCTGTATTCAAGCCAATCCAAGGAAATCCGGCCTCCTTTCAAGTTAGGGCTTCTCGCTGTATATTCCACTTGAAGCAGCGATCTCGGGTTCCCTCCCACATACGTATTGCTGAGAGATGCCTCCTCCTGAGGTGCTTCTGGAAAGTAGGCATACGGCTTTAGCTAAGTCAGGGAATCAGCTCTCATCTTGAGACGATTTGGGGTACACGGAGCATTCCTCGAGTTGCTGTGCTGAAGTTGGTGTTCCTCTAGACTTGGGACAGTGTTCTCGGGGCATCTCTGGAGTTGCCTGAAGGAAGTCGAGCCACCGGTCGTGTTGAATGGGGAACGAGAATGGCTATGGAGTCAATGAAGGGGAATCGGGCCTCATCTCGAGTTGATTTGGGCCACATGGAGCTGCTTTGCGTTGCTGGGGTGACCTCAGGGTCCGTCTAGACTGGTGACAGTGTTCTTGGGGACTGTCTCGAGATCCATTAAGCAAGTCGAAGCTCCTGACATGCTTGAATGGGATCACGGAATAACTCTGCATGCACTGCAGGGGAATGGGGCCTCATCTCGCCTCTAGGGGGAAGTCTCATGGTTTTTCTCGAGTTGCGGCGGTGACCTGGGATATGTTCTCGACTTACGGCGGGGATGGCCCTTCAAAACACGAGTTTCTTCAGTGACGTCAGGACTCCTGTCTAGTGACGAGGGACACCTCAGGAATCTCTTCGAGGCTTGGCAGGGCAAAAGGGACGCTTCTCGAGGTGAGGCAGGGCACCCAAGGCCCCTGTCCAGTAGCCACAGGGATTTGGGGATTCCTATCAGTATTCAAGAGAAGTCAGGCATCGTCACCTTTTGAAGCAATGAACTCCGCGTGCCTCTCGAGGTGTCAGCGGGATGTGAGGCATTCCGTCAAAAAGAGGCAGGGACCTAGGGCTTTCTCTAAGGTCTCCACAGGGTATTCAGACATCCCTTCATGTTGTGAGATGAAAGACGAGCCTGTATTCAAGCCACTGCAAGGAAATCCGGCCTCCTTTCAAGTTAGGGCTTCTCGCTGTATATTCCCCTTGAGGCAGCAAACTTGGGGTCCCTCCCACATACCTATTGCTGAGAGAAGCCTCCTCCTGAGGTGCTTCTGGAAAGTGGCATACGTCTTGAGCCTAAGCCAGGGAATCAGCTCTAATCTCGAGACGATTTGGGGTACCCGGAGCATTCCTCGAGTTGCTGTGCTGAAGTTGGTGTTCCTCTAGACTTGGGACAGTGTTCTCGGGGCATCTCTGGAGTTGCCTGAAGGAAGTCGAGCCACCGGTCGTGTTGAATGTGGTACGGGGAATGGCTCTGGAGTCAATGCAGGGGAATCTGGCCTCATCTCGAGTTGATTTGGGGCACATGGAGCTTCTTTGCGTTGCTGGTGTGACCTCAGGGTCCGTCTAGACTGGTGACAGTGTTCTTGGGGACTGTCTCGAGATCCAATAAGCAAGTCGAAGCTCCTGACTTGTTTGAATGGGATCACGGAATAGCTCTGCATGCACTGCAGGGGAATGGGGCCTCATCTCGCCTCTAGGGGGAAGTCTCATGGTTTTTCTCGAGTTGCGGCGGGGACCTGGGTTATGTTCTCGACTTACGGCGGAGATGGCCCTTCAAAACACGAGTTTCTTCAGTGATGTCAGGACCTCTGTCTAGTAACGAGGGACACCTCAGGAATCTCTTCGAGGCTTGGCAGGGCAAAAGGGACGCTTCTCGAGGTGAGGCAGGGCACCCAAGGTCCCTTTCCAGTAGCCACAGGGATTTTGGGATTCCTATCAGTATTCAAGAGTAGTAAGGCATCGTCACCTTTTGAAGCAATGAACTCCGCGTGCCTCTCGAAGTGTCCGCGGGATGTGAGGCATTCCGTCAAAATGAGGCAGGGACCTAGGGCTTTCTCTAAGGTCTCCACAGGGGATTCAGACATCCCTTTACGTTGTGAAATGAAACACGAGCCTGTATTCAAGACACTGCAAGGAAATCCGGCCTCCTTTCAAGTTAGGGCTTCTCGTTTTTATTCCCCTTGAGGCAGCAAACTCGGGGTCCCACCCACAAACCTATTGCTGAGAGAAGCCTCCTGCTGAGGTGCTTCTGTAAAGTTAGCATACGTCTTGAGCCTAAGCCAGGGAGTCAGCTCTCATCTCGAGACGATTTGGGGTACACGGAGCATTCCTCGAGTTGCTGTGCTGAAGTTGGTGTTCCTCTAGACTTGGGCCAGTGTTCTCGGGGCATCTCTGGAGTTGCCTGAAGGAAGTCGAGCCACCGGTCGTGTTGAATGGGGAACGAGAATGGCTATGGAGTCAATGAAGGGGAATCGGGCCTCATCTCGAGTTGATTTGGGGCACATGTTGCTGCTTTGCGTTGCTGGGGTGACTTCAGGGTCCGTCTAGACTGGTGACAGTGTTCTTGGGGACTGTCTCGAGATCCATTAAGCAAGTCGAAGCTCCTGACTTGTTTGAATGGGATCACGGAATAGCTCTGCATGCACTGCAGGGGAATGGGTCCTCATCTCGCCTCTAGGGGGAAGTCTCATGGTTTTTCTCGAGTTGCGGCGGTGACCTGGGGTATGTTCTCGACTTACGGCGGGGATGGCCCTTCAAAACACGAGTTTCTTCAGTGACGTCAGGACTCCTGTTTAGTGACGAGGGACACCTCAGGAATCTCTTCGAGGCTTGGCAGGGCAAAAGGGACGCTTCTCGAGGTGAGGCAGGGCACACAAGGCCCCTGTCCAGTAGCCACAGGGATTTGGGGATTCCTATCAGTATTCAAGAGAAGTCAGGCATCGTCACCTTTTGAAGCAATGAACTCCGCGTGCCTCTCGAGGTGTCAGCGGGATGTGAGGCATTCCGTCAAAAAGAGGCAGGGACCTAGGGCTTTCTCTAAGGTCTCCACAGTGTATTCAGACATCCCTTCATGTTGTGAGATGAAAGACGAGCCTGTATTCAAGCCACTGCAAGGAAATCCGGCCTCCTTTCAAGTTAGGGCTTCTCGCTGTATATTCCAGTTGAGGCAGCAAACTCGGGGTCCCTCCCACATACCTATTGCTGAGAGAAGCCTCCTCCTGAGGTGCTTCTGGAAAGTTGGCAAACGTCTTGAGCCTAAGCCAGGGAATCAGCTCTCATCTCGAGACGATTTGGGGTACCCGGAGAGTTCCTCGAGTTGCTGTGCTGAAGTTGGTGTTCCTCTAGACTTCGGACAGTGTTCTCGGGGCAACTCTGGAGTTGCCTGAAGGAAGTCGAGCCACCGGTCGTGTTGAATGTGGAACGGGGAATGGCTCTGGAGTCAATGCAGGGGAATCGGGCCTCATCTCGAGTTGATTTGTGGCACGTGGAGCTTCTTTGCGTTGCTGGGGTGACCTCAGGGTCCGTCTAGACTGGAGACAGTGTTCTTGGGGACTGTCTCGAGATCCAATAAGCAAGTCGAAGCTCCTGACTTGTTTGAATGGGATCACGGAATACCTCTGCATGCACTGCAGGTGATTGGGGCCTCACCTCGCCTCTAGGGGGAAGTCTCATGGTTTTTCTCGAGTTGCGGCGGGGACCTGGGGTATGTTCTCGACTTATGGCGGGGATGGCCCTTCAAAACACGAGTTTCTTCAGTGACGTCAGGACTTCTGTCTAGCAACGAGGGACACCTCAGGAATCTCTTCGAGGCTTGGCAGGGCAAAAGGGACGCTTCTCGAGGTGAGGCAGGGCAACCAAGGACCCTTTCCAGTAGCCACAGGGATTTTGGGATTCCTATCAATATTCAAGAGGAGTCAGGCATCGTCACCTTTTGAAGCAATGAACTCCGCGTGCCTCTCGAGGTGTCAGCGGGATGTGAGGCATTCCGTCAAAGTGAGGCAGGGACCTAGGGCTTTCTCTAAGGTCTCCACAGGGAATTCAGACATCCCTTCATGTTTTGAGATCAAAGACGAGCGTTTATGCAAGCCACTGCAAGGAAATCCGGCCTCCTTTCAATATGGGGCTTCTCGCTGTATATTCCCATTGAAGCAGCGATCTCGGGGTCCCTCCCACATACCTATTGCTGAGAGAAGCCTCCTCCTGAGGTGCTTCTGGAAAGTTAGCATACGTCTTGAGCCTAAGGCAGGGAATCAGCTCTCATCTCGAGACGATTTGGTGTACATGGAGCATTCCTCGAGTTGCTGTGCTGAGGTTGGTGTTCCTCTAGACTTGGGACAGTGTTCTCGGGGCATCTCTGGAGTTCCCTGAAGGAAGTCGAGCCACCGGTCGTTTTGAATGGGGAACGGGGAATTGCTCTGGAGTCAATGCAGGGGAATCGGGCCTCATCTCGTGTTGATTTGGGGCACATGGAGCTGCTTTGCGTTGCTGGGGTGACCTCAGGGTCCGTCTAGACTGGTGACAGTGTTCTTGGGGGCTGTCTCCAGATCCATTAAGCAAGTCGAAGCTCCTGACTTGTTTGAATGGGATCACGGAATAGCTCTGCATGCACTGCAGGGGAATGGGGCCTCATCTCGCCTCTAGGGGGAAGTCTCATGGTTTTTCTCGAGTTGCGGCGGGGACCTGGGGTATGTTCTCGAGTTACGGCGGGGATGGCCCATCAAAACACGTGTTTCTTCAGTGACGTCAGGACTCCTGTCTAGTAACGAGGTACACCTCAGGAATCTCTTTGAGGCTTGGCAGGGCAAAAGGGATGCTTCTCGAGGTGAGCAGGGCACCCAAGGACCCTTTCCAGTAGCCACAGGGATTTTGGCATTCCTATCAGTATTCAAGACGAGTCAGGCAACGTCACCTTTTGAAGCAATGAACTCCGCGTGCCTCTCGAGGTGTCAACGGGATGTGAGGCATTCCGTCAAAATGAGGCAGGGACCAAAGGCTTTCTCTAAGGCCTCCAAAGGGGATTCAGACTTCCCTTCATGTTTTGAGAACAAAGACGAGCCTGTATTCAAGCCAATCCAAGGAAATCCGGCCTCCTTTCAAGTTAGGGCTTCTCCCTGTATATTCCACTTGAAGCAGCGATCTCGGGTTCCCTCCCACATACGTATTGCTGAGAGATGCCTCCTCCTGAGGTGCTTCTGGAAAGTAGGCATACGGCTTTAGCTAAGTCAGGGAATCAGCTCTCATCTCGAGACGATTTGGGGTACACGGAGCATTCCTCGAGTTGCTGTGCTGAAGTTGGTGTTCCTCTAGACTTGGGACAGTGTTCTCGGGGCATCTCTGGAGTTGCCTGAAGGAAGTCGAGCCACCGGTCGTGTTGAATGGGGAACGAGAATGGCTATGGAGTCAATGAAGGGGAATCGGGCCTCATCTCGAGTTGATTTGGGGCACATGGAGCTGCTTTGCGTTGCTGGGGTGACCTCAGGGTCCGTCTAGACTGGTGACAGTGTTCTTGGGGACTGTCTCGAGATCCATTAAGCAAGTCGAAGCTCCTGACTTGTTTGAATGGGATCACGGAATAGCTCTGCATGCACTGCAGGGGAATGGGGCCTCATCTCGCCTCTAGGGGGAAGTCTCATGGTTTTTCTCGAGTTGCGGCGGTGACCTGGGGTATGTTCTCGACTTACGGCAGCGATGGCCCTTCAAAACACGAGTTTCTTCAGTGACGTCAGGACTCCTGTCTAGTGACGAGGGACACCTCAGGAATCTCTTCGAGGCTTGGCAGGGCAAAAGGGACGCTTCTCGAGGTGAGGCAGGGCACCCAAGGCCCCTGTCCAGTAGCCACAGGGATTTGGGGATTCCTATCAGTATTCAAGAGAAGTCAGGCATCGTCACCTTTTGAAGCAATGAACTCCGCGTGCCTCTCGAGGTGTCAGCGGGATGTGAGGCATTCCGTCAAAAAGTGGCAGGGACCTAGGGCTTTCTCTAAGGTCTCCACAGGGTATTCAGACATCCCTTCATGTTGTGAGATGAAAGACGAGCCTGTATTCAAGCCACTGCAAGGAAATCCGGCCTCCTTTCAAGTTAGGGCTTCTCGCTGTATATTCCCCTTGAGGCAGCAAACTCGGGGTCCCTCCCACATACCTATTGCTGAGAGAAGCCTCCTCCTGAGGTGCTTCTGGAAAGTGGCATACGTCTTGAGCCTAAGCCAGGGAATCAGCTCTCATCTCGAGACGATTTGGGGTACCCGGAGCATTCCTCGAGTTGCTGTGCTGAAGTTGGTGTTCCTCTAGACTTGGGACAGTGTTCTCGGGGCATCTCTGGAGTTGCCTGAAGGAAGTCGAGCCACCGGTCGTGATGAATGGGGAACGGGGAATGAGTCTAGAGTCAATGAAGGGGAATCGGGCCTCATCTCGAGTTGATTTGGGGCACATGGAGCTGATTTGCGTTGCTGGGGTGACCTCAGGTTCCGTCTAGACTGGTGACAGTGTTCTTGGGGACTGTCTCCAGATCCATTAAGCAAGTCGAAGCTCCTGACTGGTTTGAATGGGATCACGGAATAGCTCTGCATGCACTGCAGGGGAATGGGGCCTCATCTCGCCTCTAGGGGGAAGTCTCATGGTTTTTCTCGAGTTGCGGCGGGGACCTGGGTTATGTTCTCGACTTACGGCGGGGATGGCCCTTCAAAACACGAGTTTCTTCAGTGACGTCAGGACTTCTGTCTAGTAACGAGGGACACCTCAGGAATCTCTTCGAGGCTTGCCAGGGCAAAAGGGACACTTCTCGAGGTGAGGCAGGGCACCCAAGGCCCCTTTCCAGTAGCCAGAGGGATTTGGGGATTCCTATCAGTATTCAAGAAGAGTCAGGCATCGTCCCTTTTGAAGCAATGAACTCCGCGTGCCTCTCGATGTGTCAGCGGGATGTGAGGCATTCCGTCAAAATGAGGCAGGGACCTAGGGCTTTCTCTAAGGTCTCCACAGGGGATTCAGACATCCCTTCATTTTGTGAGATGAAAGACGAGCCTGTATTCAAGCCAATGCAAGGAAATCCGGCCTCCTTTCAAGTTAGGGCTTCTCGGTGTATATTTCCCTTGAGGCAGCAAACTCGGGGTCCCTCCCACATAACTATTGCTGAGAGAAGCCTCCTCCTGACGTGCTTCTGGAAAGTTGGCATACGTCTTGAGCCTAAGCCAGGGAATCAGCTCTCATCTCGAGACGATTTGGGGTACACGGAGCATTCCTCGAGTTGCTGTGCTGAAGTTGGTGTTCCTCTAGACTTGGGACAGTGTTCTCGGGGCATCACTGGAGTTGCCTGAAGGAAGTCGAGACACTGGTCGTGTTGAATGGGGAATGGGGAATGGCTCTGGAGTCAATGCAGGGGAATCGGGCCTCATCTCGAGTTGATTTGTGGCACATGGAGCTGCTTTGCGTTGCTTGGGTGACCTCAGGGTCCGTCTAGACTGGTGACAGTGTTCTTGGGGAGTGTCTCGAGATCCATTAAGCAAGTCGAAGCTCCTGACTTGTTTGAATGGGATCACGGAATAGCTCTGCATGCACTGCAGGGGAATGGGGTCTCATCTCGCCTCTAGGGGGAAGTCTCATGGTTTTTCTCGAATTGCGGCGGGGACCTGGGGTATGTTCTCGACTTACGGCGGGGATGGCCCTTCAAAACACTAGTTTCTTCAGTGACGTCAGGACTCCTGTCTAGTAACGAGGGACACCTCAGGAATCTCTTCGAGGCTTGGCAGCGCAAAAGGGACGCTTCTCGAGGTGAGGCAGGGCAACCAAGGACCCTTTCCAGTAGTCACAGGGATTTTGGGATTCCTATCAGTATTCAAGAGGAGTCAGGCATCGTCACCTTTTGAAGCAATGAACTCCGCGTGCCTCTCGAGGTGTCACCGGGATGTGAGGCATTCCGTCAAAATGAGGCAGGGACCTAAGGCTTTCTCTAAGGTCTCCACAGGGGATTCAGACATCCCTTCATGTTGTGAAATGAAACACGAGCCTGTATTCAAGACACTGCAAGGAAATCCGGCCTCCTTTCAAGTTAGGGCTTCTCGCTGTATATTCCCCTTGAGGCAGCAAACTCGGGGTCCCTCCCACATACCTATTGCTGAGAGAAGCCTCCTCCTGAGGTGCTTCTGGAAAGTTGGCATATGTCTTAAGCCAAAGCCAGGGAATGAGCTCTCATCTCGAGACGATTTGGGGTACACGGAGCATTCCTCGAGTTGCTGTGCTGAAGTTGGTGTTCCTCTAGACTTGGGCCAGTGTTCTCGGGGCATCTCTGGAGTTGCCTGAAGGAATTCGAGCCACCGGTCGTGTTGAATGGGGAACGGGAATGGCTATGGAGTCAATGCAGGGGAATCGGGCCTCATCTCGAGTTGATTTGGAGCACATGGAGCTGCTTTGCGTTGCTGGGGTGACCTCAGGGTCCGTCTAGACTGGTGACAGTGTTCCTGGGGACTGTCTCGAGATCCATTAAGCAAGTCGAAGCTCCTGACTTGTTTGAATGGGATCACGGAATAGCTCTGCATGCTCTGCAGGGGAATGGGGCCTCATCTCGCCTCTAGGTGGAAATCTCATTGTTTTTCTCCAGTTGCGGCGGGGACCTGGGGTATGTTCTCGACTTACGGTGGGGATGGCCCTTCAAAACACGAGGTTCTTCAGTGAGGTCAGGACTCCTGTCTAGTAACGAGGGAAACCTCAGGAATCTCTTCAAGGCTTGGCAGGGCAAAAGGGACGCTTCTCGAGGTGAGGCAGGGCACCCAAGGACCCTTTCCAGTAGCCACAAGGATTTTGGGATTCCTATCAGTATTCAAGAGGAGTCAGGCATCGTCACCTTTTGAAGCAATGAACTCCGCGTGCCTCTCGAGGTGTCAACGGGATGTGAGGCATTCCGTCAAAATGAGGCAGGGACCTAAGGCTTTCTCTAAGGTCTCCACAGGGGATTCAGACATCCCTTCATGTTGCGAAATGAAACACGAGCCTGTATTCAAGACACTGCAAGGAAATCCGGCCTCCTTTCAAGTTAGGGCTTCTCGCTGTATATTCCCCTTGAGGCAGCAAACTCGGGGTCCCTCCCACATACCTATTGCTGAGAGAAGCCTCCTCCTGAGGTGCTTCTGGAAAGTTGGCATATGTCTTAAGCCAAAGCGAGGGAATGAGCTCTCATCTCGAGACGATTTGGGGTACACGGAGCATTCCTCGAGTGGCTGTGCTGAAGTTGGTGTTCCTCTAGACTTGG